TCGAATCTGCAGAGTCCAAAGGGAACAACGTCTTTGTCACCAAGGGTGGTGTGTGGCAACTGACACCCAAGGGGTCTGCAACTCTACACCGGTTCTGCAGTCGAAATGGAATCAATGCACGACATATTGAGCCTATATTACGGCGACACCAGATGCAGATGGTGTCCCTGGAAAGGGACCCGTCTACCGACAAGCTTGTACAAGACCGCCCTACGATTGAGATCATATTCCGCAGATTCATGGGCTCAGAAGGTCCCAACCTGAAGAGCTCGACATCCTTGTCTGACTCTGATTCCGTGTCTGAGTACGCATCGGGACTTGTGGGTGTCAAGATGGCCAAGGAACGAAGGGTGTTGGACAAACTGGTGAACAATAGCTTCACTGGCAAAGCCGCGTCCGACTGGTTGCTGGACTGCTGTACGACTATCGATCGCAGAGAGACCTATGAGATGGCAGAACTGTTTGTGAAGTGGCAGCTGATGGCTCCGGTCGTGGAGGATCGAGCATACATCCGATTGAACCCGATGGCCACGTATTTCCAACCCACCAAGCATGCTATCTACACGATTACAGAGCGGGGACAACGAGTCTGCGGCTGGCTTGCACGGCCCGCGAGCATTGACAGCGAAGACAGCCGGGATACAAAAGACCACAAGAACCGACTTGCTAGGGATTCCAATGTCAGCCGATTGAACGTGATCCTGCAAGATGCGGCCCTACGGCTGCTCTTCAAAGAGTTTCTTAGGCAGTCACTCTGCGAGGAGAATTTGCAGTTTTATTTCGACGTGTCGGATTTCACCAGCAATTATCGAAGTCTGGAGAAGTCTGGAAAGCTGGACAGGCCTGAGGCTGTCAGGGAAACCCTTGCTGCTGCTTACGGTAAGTCGATCAAGGCTGCCTGCTCCGCGAACGCCTTGAGCTGATCGGTTTAGGTCTCTACAACTCATTCCTTGCTTCCGGGGCACCCTCCGAGCTTAACATCGACCATTCCCTCCGGAACCGTCTTGACTCTCGCATGATCCGTACCAATACTGATGATGAGTCTATGCGTGAAAGTCTCGAGGAAGTGGTGGATTTATTTGAGCTTGCCCAAAACGCCGTCTTTAAACTGATGGCTAGCGTAAGTTTACCGCATTCGATCAGTGATTGTACATTGACGTGATGTCCCAGGATTCTGTGCCCAAATTCCTTCGAGACCCCAGGCACGCCGCGGTCCTTCGAGATCACGAAATCGATTTGATCGGCTCGAACCGCGCAATGTCACCCGCGCCCGACCGTACCGTCAGTCGCTCGAATACCCGATCATGACCTTTCTCCTTCCATGAAGCTTTATCAACGACTTCGAAACAGACCCGTCCCAGTGGTCCACGCTGATTTCAGCGACATCATTTTACAACACCACATTCTAATATGATGAATATACGAATTCAGAATCTGTGGTACGGATTCGTTGTACAAAAACGGCATTACCTCAGTGCGGGTGAAGCTGAGCGACCTTGCACGAGCATGTCCATGAGTCTCGCGATTTGTCTTATTGCGAGAATAGAATGATTCTTATTTCGGCAGTGTACTGCCACATCTGCATTCCATCATGTACAGGTCCTGCATAGCGTGGTCGGAGGGGTGGTTGTGTGTTCTTTTTCTACCATCGGGCATAGGTTTAGGGGCGTGAGCACACCATTCTGCATTTGCATTGGAAAGATACCCCTGCGGAGGACGCAAACAAGTGTGGATAGGGAGAAGGGACGAGACATAAGGTGGGATCGAAGCTGTCGAAAACAATGGCTGGGCAATACGGGGAGGAGGCTGAACATGTTGGTCGCTGTGTGCATAAGGCGTGGCAGTGGATAGCTGTGTTGGAAACCACAACGAGATGGACTGATCTTTCAAGATATTGCAGAATATGAACGTCTGTCCACCCGTATCCAGGGTTCTTCTCGTGATCACGCAGAGGCTGCATTGGGCTCTACGTCGCCATCCCTGTGAGAAGTGCTACAGAGTCTAAGTGACTGCGCTTTCCAAACAGGGCCTCCTGACACCCCTTGTACACCGTACCACCTTTCTGGACGCGTAATACCGAGTACTCGGTACTCCGTGCAAGAACGCAAGCGGCAAATGCGATGTCAGGGCCTTAATTTCGTGGGCTCCCCTGCCGGACAGTCCCCTGAACTGGAAATTTTCCAGAAGGGAGATTCGAAGGGGGAAGCGAGATGACCAAGTTCGAAGATCCCCGTCACCCCGTATTCCTGTAGTCCAACACCCAGTCAATGAAACGCTGACCGGGGAAATGTGCATATGCATGTAACATGAGTCGGAGAATGCATTGTTAGCAACAATTTGATCACAAACGATGCAGGTGTATGGCAGCTCCGATGGAGGGTAATTAGCTTGTTGTCGTGCATGTAGTATCGCACTGAGGCTGAAGTGCGATAGAAAAGGGGCCAGGGCGTGCGCCGGACGAGCCGGAAAAATCATAATCCGTTACCCAGCGCGGATTCCCTGCCACTCCCGGAAATGCAGTGCGCATGACAGTCCTTCTCCCGCGTTGGCACTTGGCCTGGTCCTGCATGCAACCCTTTACAACAACATCAGTCGCGCACGGCGATGCCGTATCGACCCAGACAAACCACTCACCCCTGTCGAATTAGCTGAAGCGATGGCGTCCCCAGACGCACTGCAGCTGCTCAGATCCTCGATTGCGGCCTCCAAGCCTCCAGTCCTCACAAAAACCTCAGATCCTGCCAACGCCGAAACAGACCAAACAGATTCACTAGTCGAGGCGACGCATCTCTACTTCACACACCCTGCCCCACAATGTCTCCCGCTAGACACAAAGACGCGGTTTACGTCGCAGAATCCGGACACGGCGCAAGTTGATCTGCGCAGCATCTTCTTCGCCTGGCAACAGAAGGATGTCACTGTGCCGGAGTACATTGCCCGCGCCGCGGAGCTCGACAAGGAATTACCCGAAGGCCACAAAGTGCGAAATCTCATTTTCGTCGAGCGCTTGGATTTGATCACCTGGCTTGAAGGCGCGTCGGAAGAGTCGGAATACATCAAGCCTATCGAAGGTGCGGCTGCTCTGGGAGATGCGGTCAACAGGGCTGCGGATGTCGCTGGCGGTGCGGCCGTGCCTACAGTCAGTGGCTCTGGAGTTGGCGTGACGCAGTCTGCCGGTGGGAGACCTGTCAAGGTTATCGATGCCAGGCTCCAGGCAATTTACAATGGTGAACGAAGAATGGGCGATCACAATACAGTGTTACGAGGGATCAAGCCTACGGTAGGAAAACCACCTTCTAGCGTACCAAGTCCGCCTTCTAACTCTTCGACAGGACTTCTCACATGTCCGCAAACACGCAGAAACCTTCCTTGGACGACGGAAAGGCGTCCCTTCATCTTCTGCACGACCAGGCGGTCTCCCAGCAAAACCAGCTCAACTTGCCGCTCGACCTGCCGCCAACTCATCCAAACCTCTTGCCTCTGCCGTGTCCTCGAAACGATCCGACCCAATCATCCTTCTCTCTCCGTCAGCATCATCCTTACTGCGCATGTCCAACATCAAAACTTTTCTCGACACTGGCCTGTATGTTCCGCCTGATCACCCTACGCTGTCCACCCAAACCACAGCCAACCTCCTGCACATCACGCGCACGATGCATTCTCTGAGTGAGAAACCGTACCGCTTCATCCTGGTCGATTCCCCCGAACACTTCAAGCCAGATTACTGGTCCCGGGTCGTCGCTGTCTTCACCACCGGTCAAATTTGGCAGTTTCGAGGCTACAAATGGCGCGAGCCGCAGGAATTGTTTGGGCACGTCCTTGGTATCTATGTTGGGGAGAAGGGGCTACCCATCCCAGCCGAGGTCAAGGGTTGGGGATCGAGCGTCAAAACCTTTGCCGTCGAGAGGTGGGATGAACGGGCTCACGGGCAAAGTGTCGAGCAAGAAACGAGGATGTCGAGACGGTGGAGAGATAGAGAGACGGTCGAGGAGGTGTGGAGGTCTATCGAGGCGTATATGAGAGGCAGAGGAGAGTGGAAGCGGTGATTTTTGCTAAGCAAATGCGATCTTGAAGTCCTGGATGGTCGATCTATTGGTGATCCCAGCGGAGAACCTTTCAAGTAAAGTACTTGCAAGGCTCAAGCGAAACAACCTACTTTGCCACAATATCGGTTGGACATTTTGTGACCCTGACCAGACGATCCATCCTTGGTCGTTTCTTGTCCGGTTCGTGCACGGATGGGAGCACTCGGTCCAGCTGAAGACACGGGGGCTAACACAAGCGAAACACTGGCCAGCTGAGCGCGAAACACGAAAGAGAGAGAGAGAGAGGAAGAGAGATCGGGCCCGACCAGGAAAATGACTCGTTGTTGCCCGCCCGCCCGTCCCCCTCTCTATTGGAGAATGAACGGATGTCAATGGAAAACACACCAAGAAAAGGGTGTTTGCGACCATTGGCTTGGGATCTTCCGGCCTGAGTGTGAGCCCTTTTTGGGATCATTAAAGGAGCTGGAGCAGTTCTTGGGAAAATCGAAGCGCCCGTGATCTACGTATGACTACCTAGGTACCTACCGGATGATATTAGTGACGAGATCGCTATGCAGGTCAAGGGGGATTCATGAAAGACTCAGTGGCCGCATGACAGGGATGGAATCAAGTGTTGCACGCGGCGGATACGGGGCACGGAGGGACATTGCACCGGAAGCACATGTGTAATTTTTTGGAGAGACACACGCGAGGTTGACGCCAATCACACATACAAAAGGGCAAGCCTGGTGTTTGTCCTCGACGTGGCCACAGACAGTGTGCTCTGTTCCAACTCCGTCTCCAGTGATCAAATACAACTGTTCTTTCTCGGTATGCTCCATCTCAGTCCCTCGCCTTTACTCCTCCCCGTGACCCTGCTGTAGGTCAAGTTACAAGATTAGTCCCTCTTTCTCAAAGCAATTGACGCCTTTTTTCCGCAGGAGTGCGAAACACTTTGCAAAACACTTTCTCTTTTTAGGATTCTGAATCATCAGATTCAGAATACAGGTGAGGAAGCGGTTCCAAGACGGAATCAGAGTCGGGAGATTCATAGTTGGGATCGAACAGGCGTGTCAACTTCTCCTGCTCCCCCCTGGGCAGGGCGTCAAAGGCGAGTTTGCCGCGGTATCGGATCTCATGCTGAAGCTGTTCCAAGAGGCGCAGTCCGATCGTCCGCGGTGTCCAGGGCGGAAGGGCCATGGGAAGCCATGTCCCATGGAAAGATGGGGGAGAGATCCGGCGCCTAAAGCTCTGCAAATCTCGAATTGCAAAGACCACGATCCGGCATCCGGGGCAGCATCTCCTCGAGAGGCCCAGAGAGGTACGCCCAGCTTGGAGTTTGGTGATGACCTGTGGCGGGACGATGATGTTGCGGGACCTGAGACATTGTGATATTGCTTCGGCACTGGAGTCAGCATATGCAGACGCCAATTTGAGCGTGAGAGCGTGCAGCGTGAGCAGCATGGTTTCACAGTGGACAGAGCCTTTGAATTCCGCAGCATTCAGAGCCGTGGAGTGCCCGTTCCGTTCGAGCCATCTTGTCAGCGCTTCCTGGTGGGTTTTGGGAAGCCACGGGTCTCCTTCCAGCTCCTGTTGAATGTCGCTCATGTCATGGGAGACTCGATCCCAGGCCGCGGACCTGAATTCGACCGTGTGGAGCTTTACGTGAGGCACCAATTGCTTCAGAGTCTTCGAATTGTGTGTCCGAGATGGTGCCCACAAGTGAAGATTCCGGATGGCGCCCTGCTGGGCGACAAGGAGCTCTAGCCATTGGAGACATGCCTCGGGCCATCTCCATTTCCACGGGTCCTTGATCTCCTCCAGGGTCATGACAAGGTCCCCCTCTGGACAGGTAGTGATCTTTTTGACCCCGTCTTTGGAGCTCTCGCAATCACCATCCCTGAGCTCGCAATTACGGGCTACCCACTTGTCGAAAGTGGTCGACAAAGAGCCATAGGGCTTGCACAATGTCGACCAGAGCACGTATGGCATTGCCGAAAGCTGCCCTATCAAAAGTCGATTGCCGCCCTTTAGGAGGCTGATATAGCTTAGCACAGTTCAGTCTAACCTTCAGCTTCTTCAGAAGACTGGATAAAACTCTGTAGAAGAAGCGAGGTGCATTGTAGTCAATCTTTCCAGACTCCTGGTGCTCGTCCTTGCTGATGAGCTGGAGCCTCCACAAAAGTTCTTTGAATAATGCCTTTTTGTGCTTGGTGAGGTGAGCAACGCCGCTTGAATTCTCCTCATTAGCATTGGGAGACTTCATTTTGCTCACCGCATCGTTGAGCGATCCTGCCGTCGGTTCGTCCTCGTCCAGGAGACACATGATGTCGTAAAAGTTCCGAGAGCTCGCCCCAAAGTCGAATCGCTCCCATAGCCGGTTCAGTCCGATACAGGTCATGAAAAGGTTAAAGTCCTCAAATGACTTTTGACGCGCTTCTTTGCCGATCTGCACATGGCAATGCTTCAGCAGCAACAGGGTGAGCTGGAGGGTAAGGGCTGGAGGAACTTGGTTGCCGCGGTTCTCTAGAAGGTCGAGAAAGGACGGCAGCGCGTTATGCACAAAGCTGGGAGGAACTTCGTAGTGCGTAAACCCCACTCTGCATCTTTCACCTCTGGGAAAACTCAGGTCCTTGGATCCATTCTGGGGTGTGTTTGCCGGCCTGGGATCGCCATTTCCTTCTTGCTGGTCGTCCACAGATGCTGACTTCCCCAGCAACCCTTGAGACCCACCAGCAAAGAGTGCGAGCCCGCCAGCTCTGAAGCAACCAGGCAATAGCGCAATAGCCTCAGAACCTCCACCATCGTTGGATTGCAGGAAGCTGTTGAGAAGGTTGCGTTGGGATTTCGGTTCCGCCCCAGTTCTCTCTAAGCAGACCTGGTCAACGTCGTTGGTACATAGGCCATCCTCTTCGACCAGCGGCTGTGCCCAAGAGAGGATCTGAGTTAATGTACGAATAGTGCGATGCTCCTCCTCGCTCAGGAAAGCCCATTCGAAATCGAGTTCCTTGTTGGACTTCTGATGTGGTTGCATCGCGGTCATGTGTTTGCAGTGAGAATGCTAGTTTAGGGCGTGCAAGGCTGAGAACCCCTTGGGGCATGTAGGCTGATGAAGATCTGGACATGTACGAGCCTTTTCGTAGAGAGAAATCCCACGCTAGGTCCAGAGTCTGTCCGCCCTCAAGTAACTTGAGCTCGATCCTAGATGCAAGGCGAAGATTTTGTATGCGAGGAAGGTCGTTCTTTGAACCAGGAAATATCCTCTTGCAGGTCCTCAAGCGCCAAGCTAGTTCCCAGCCTTGTTGCGTATCTGCAGCGGCAGAAAATCTCAGAGACTGGGCGATGCAGCGTGCCATGCAGTTCGTATGTCGTTGTCGCTGGAAGGAGCCCTCCCAGTCCATACGGGCAAGAAGAGTGCCAAAGACGATACCCCGATGGCTGGGAAAGAGGGACGAGCGAACACGATGCCAAGGTCAACACTCCTACAGCTTGAAGGTCAAAACTCTTTGATTCACTCAGATGGCAGCTGCACAATCTGGCAAGACAAAGCTTCCGGGGGGCAAGAGATAGGTATTGACTATCAGCTGGAAGAGGTCTTCACTGACTCCGAATTGCTCTTGCTTTGCACAAGTGCCAGACGGTTTCTGTAACAATCTTCACTTCCTGTCCCCGCGGCCTCTGCACTTGCCTTCATGAGTTAGAGAGGCTCGTTTGTCCACTCACTGCTGACTGCAACTCCGCTGCGGATGAAGAGCTGGGTGATTGGGCACCGCCGTTCTGCTTCGGCGACAAAATGCTTGAACTTCGGATCATCGCTGCCACCCTTGACGTCCGTTTGAACTTTCACCTTGAGAACGATCTTCTCCCAGTTCGGGTTACCCTGCTCGCCTTTGACCAACACTGCAGTAGGCAGTAAGCCTTCAACCGCAACGTCCCATTGCCCAAGCTTGATGCTGTGGTCCTTGGCAACCACAGATCCGGTTACTTGAGTGCAAGAGCCTAGGCTGGCCAAGGAGTAGGACACAGGGGACGGTGCCGAGTCGCTTCCGCCCAGGACCGGGTACGTGTCGGTCTGTATCTTATATGGCTTTCCCTCCACATCGATGGTTTGCAGAGTGCCGGTGCCTCGCCCGTGAATTCGCACTGGGAGACTCTGAAGGGCAGTTGCAGAGCCGGAAAACTGGCGGAAACTGGCCAGCGGGCGGTGGAGATAAGATGATGTCTGTCGGACTGTAAGGGAACGGGTCGCTGCTGCAGCAACTCGAGTTCGAAACATGCTGACAGAGTCCAAGCTGGTTGTCCAATTTTCAAGGCTTATGTTGCTGCATAGACTTATTTCGAGCTGCAAAGGATGACTTCAAGGGACAAACGAGAAGGGCGACGGGGAAAGGTAAGGAAGCTAGATGCTGATATTGAGGAGTCGAAACCTCAAAGAATCCGATCTTCACAAGAACTTCCAGACCAGAGTAGAACTCTGCTGAGACACCACTGCCATGCATGCCTCATATGGCTTATTCTTCCCTTTTGCCGAATCATGTCCGCATCGCTTCTCCCCCGAATTTTCATATGCTGTTGCGCCATTTCCCCGGCGAATGGCGAAAGATTGAAGACATTTGCTTGGCGGACGCAGAAGCAAGGCTGAGGTTGTGTCTGAAGTAGGATGGCTGGGCCATGGTGATCGAGCCTCATGGTTTCTCGGGGAAGTTGGACTATTCAACGACTCAGGACGCTGGTCCCAGTTCGAACTTCCTGTGCCATATCAAAAGCACGACTGCCTCTGCTTCAGTTTGGCGACTATGTCTTTGGCAAATCGATCGAGTACGAAGACCTTCGGTTCATACACCCGGCATCTGAGACCGGCGAACAGCGAATGCATTAGGTAAGAGAACGGGGTTGGGCAGCTCTGGGTGCAGCTGGTGGCACGGCATTATTGCGACATGGACATCTCTACCTCGCCATGCGGCCTTCACTATTCCCCTTCCATCATGGACGCAATAAGCTGCCAATCTGTCGTGCGGAGCAATGCACAGCGACCTCGGTCGCATCATCCACGCCCACAAACCCGCAAAGAATGATCCTTACAAACGACGCCACCGGGATTCCGGCACGCTGAACCCCAGGCTATTGTACGGGGTAGAAGTTAGACCATCCGATTTTTACGAAGGACATTTCCCATTTTTGACGTTATGCCTTCACTACTAGGGATCAAGATTCAGTTCTTAACCTTGACCTTGATCACCAAGCGTCCAAGCGTCCAAGCTGGATGAAGCGCAGCTTGGTATACAATCTTCATTATGCGTATCCCCCCGGTCGACAACAAAGATGAAGACTTGTCGACCATAGCTCCACAGAATACGTGGGATTCCACCGAAAAGACACCACAGACTCCAGTTGCAGATGTAGCAGGACACAGTACACAGCAAGCGCCTGCCCAGCAGCTTGGCTTTGTACCTCCCAATGGAGGTTTCGAAGCGTGGTTGCTGGTCTTTGCGGGCTTCTTGGTCTTTGCCAATGTCTGGGGCATCGTCAGCACATTTGGCGCATTTGAAGCATTCTTCATCAGAGACCTCCTGGCCAACGAGTCGGCGTCGGCAATATCATGGATCGGCAGCGTCCAGGCTTTCCTGGTCGTCTTCACGGGCGTCTTTGGTGGTCCTCTGTTCGATCGCGGCTATCTCAGATCGCTTGTCTTCTCCGGTTGTTTCCTCACTGTGTTCGGCATGATGATGACCAGCTTGGCCAAGTCCTACTACCAAGTCTTTCTGGCGCAGGGTATTTGTGTCGGCTTGGGAGCTGGGCTGTCCTATGTCCCAACCCTGGCGCTCATTTCGACTTACTTTACAACCAAACGCCCCATCGCGATTGGGATTGCGGCGGTCGGCTCGAGCGTGGGCGGCGTTATCTTCCCCATCATGTTTCGCAGGTTGCAACCACAGATTGGCTACGGCTGGACCGTCCGCTGCATTGGCTTCATCAACCTAGCTTTCGCGGTGTTCATCTGCCTCATTCTCGGCCGACACAGGAAAGAAGGAGGGGGCCAAGCACGATCTCTCTGGGACCTGACAGCCCTCCGGGAGCCGGTCTTCCTGTTGTGGACCGCCTCATTGTTCTTCCTCTTCTTGGCATACTACATTCCTCTTTTCTTCATCGTCTCCTGGGCACGCTGGGTATTGCATACATCCGAAGACATGGCATTCTACATGCTCGCCATATTGAACGGTGGCTCGTTCCTCGGCCGTACATTTCCATATCTTCTGGGTCGGCGGGTGAAGCCAATCTACACTCTCATCTTCGCCGCCGTCCTCGGCACCGTACTGATATTCTGCTGGATCGCCATCCACAGCTCGGCGGCATTTATTGTTTGGTGTGTCCTCTGGGGATTCGTCGCAGGGGTCTTGGTCACGGCTCCAACCTCCACAATGCCGCATCCTGTGATATCACCGAACATGGGGGTGATTGGCACCAGGATGGGGATGAGCTGGGTAGGGCACCTTCTTCTTCTTCCTTTTCTTCTTGCAAAGCTACCTTGGCCTTAGACGAGCCTTGAAATTTCCCATGAATGCAACCAAGACTGACTGACATTAATTTCTAGAGTGCCGCCGCCGTCGGATCTATCATCGGATCGCCGATTGCTGGAGCCCTTGCAAACGTCGCTTCCGGAGACTTTCTTCATGCACAAGTGTTTGTCGGTGCTGTCATGGCCGCCGGTGCTATTTGTTTGATTCCGGCATTGATTGCAATTGAGAGGCATGACCGCAAAGCCAAAATTTGATGTTATTTGTCTATATAACTGAGCGTTATGCAACGGGGTCTCATATCCGAATTGCAATTTAGTTTTTGAATTTTGTTCACTATTGCACAAAGAGGAGTCGCACCGGATGTCATACCAAGGGCCCTGGTCAATTCATTACTCAGCATTGCAAGCGTTTCGAGTGGCCTACGATAACGACGTTCAGATATAACAGGGATCGTTGCAGGCTTCGCGATGGCAGAACTTGAAGCTTTCAGCCAAATGAATGAACTCCACGACTGATCCTGAGTGTTATTTTCCTGTATCGAAGACGCTCTGCAATTGATGTTTTCAGGCGGGAAGCTCGCTTAGGCTGGTAGCCTTGCCTGATGTCCGGCCTGAAATATGTATATTTATGCTGTCGCACAATAAGCGCCCGGCACGGATCCTCTGCTTACGAAGTTCGAACTCCTCCTGAAAATCTAGGAATGTTGTACATCATCACAGCCAGGCACCCTTGGTTCCTCTTGTTAATGCAATAAGCTTGCCGACTATTAATTGTCCGCAGCAGCCAGCATTTTGCAGGTATAGCAACGAGGGGAGCGAAACTCCAAGCTGTCTTTCTTGTTGAAGGGGAAAGAGAACGCACGTCGGCAATCGGATTCAAATTTGGCATCGCCATTTTAGATACTCCAGGAGGAAGCCGATCTTCCTGGATTATCCCAGCCCAAGCTTCCTGAAACCATGGACAAGTCTGGCCTGCTCACGCTTGTCCAAACCGCATGCGTCAAAGCCAGCCTTCCGCTACTGCCACCCTATCTCCCTGGCATCCTAATGACCTTCACAGCGTACCACCTGACCTATCTCTCAATCGGACCGTGGCTGTCGACGCTGTTGTTTCCCAAAGTCTACGTACAGCTGCGCGGCAGGAAGAAGCTGGACTGGGATGAGAACGTCGTGTCTCTGGTCCAGGCGATCGTAATCTGCGTCTTGGCAGGTCAGGTCGTCTTGCTGTCTTCCGACTCCGACGTCGACGTGATGGGTAGACGATGGCGAGGCATGAGGTGGGAGGACCGTATCTGGGGGTATACGGAGCCTGACGCGGTAGTGCTCACGGTTGCGAATGGCTATTTCTACTGGCATTTTCAAATGATGGTGAGGCATCGAGATGTCTTTGGATGGTCGATGGTCGCTCATGCAATGGCGGTGTCGTTCCTCATGACCAACGCTTACAGACCGGCATTCATGACCTACGCACCAGCGTCCTTCCTATACGAGTTCTCCACCATCTTCCTGGACATCCAATCGACTTTGCGATCCCTGAAGATGGAGGGCACGACGATCCAGATCGTCAACGGGATGGCACTGTTTGTCTCCTTCTTCCTGCTCAGGGTCGTCTATGCCACGCACCTCCAGGCGTGGTTCTACATGGACCTCTGGTCGGCTTTTGGGGCCAGCGAGCAGGATATTCCTGTGGGAAAGGCGAGGATTCCAACCTGGTTGCTGGCGAGCCACGCCGTGGCGGCGGTGACGCTCCAGCTGTTGAATTACTGGTGGTTCTACAAGATCAGTAGGACCGTCTACCGCAAGTTCTTTGCCGGTGGGGTAGTGAAGAGGGATTGAATGGTAAAGATCAGGAGGTAATTCAAGGCGAGAAATGCACAGGCGACATCGTTGTTGGTTGAAAGGTGCTCCACACTTGGGATAGAGACTACTGTGCCTCTCGTCGTTAGAAGCAGTTGTTTGGTATCTCGGGACAACGGCAACTTCAAGCCTGAACACAACCCACAGGGCATCGCCGCATCAGATACCTAGGAACAGACAGGGCGAAGGCTGGTGATCATTCAAGTTCGTCTAATTTCTCCATGAGTGCAAGGTCAGGCGGATCCGCATGCTGAAGGTCATGGTCTTCGCGAGTGATCGACGTCCCCCTCGCTAGGCAATGGGCGGTCCCCTTGGACTCTGCCCTGGTGCCCTTGTCCAGACACTTGATAGCATTGCACTGGCCGAGCGAATCCCCTGCACACTGCATTGAAGTCTGTGTTGATTGAAGGCTACACCTGTTTGCGGACATTGCGTGCTGTCAGTTTGCAGGCCAGGGATCGCAGAAAGCCAAAAGTACCTAGGTACCTACCGGTAGGCACTCGGAAGTTAGGCTTTGCACTCCCTAGGCGGGCGGCCTCCCGGTGCCCGCTACGTGCCGTTAGGCGCCCACTAGATTCCCGCTAGGCGTCAGTTTGAGCCCCGGAGCCCCCGGACCACTTCCGCGATCGGGGTAGTGCGTTTAGCTAGGCGATGCAAAGCTTCTAGTGACCACTGACCTGAGGTGAAGATAAGGCAGGAAGAGCCGGGCTGTTTGAGGGTGTCTGGACTTCGTTTAAGCGTCCTTCCTTTCTACCTGTTGCTCTGCCCGTCTCTCACCGAGAAGAAAGATTGAGTCCGTCCGTTCGCATTGAGCGTATAAAGACGTCAGAAGTATTCAAACTGTCACAGTTGAAATCATAACCTTCAGGGCCCAAAGCTCAATCTGCCGCCTGGCGAGAAGTCCGATCACCATGCGGTCAAACTTTACAGCAACCCCTGTCCCTAGAGCCATGAATCATGATGCATACGGCGAGCACTTATGTACGAGTAGCATGATTAGTAGGTACCTAGGTATGCAACAGTTGGCGAAAGCGGAGAGACCACCCCACAGATAGTAGGCTGAGAATCCTTGCAGCAACATGGCACAGATTGCTCCTCATACTAGGCAGAGGTTCATTTCCATGCTGGTTGACGCATGTCACCTTGCCCTTGCCAATCACCTCAGATGGATTGTTCGAGGTGCGCGAGGACATAAGCCACATGGCACACACACCTCTGTCGCTTCCAAGACCCGACGAATAATCAATCAAGATACCCCAGGCACACACCAGGTACCCTTGCCGAGATACACATCTGCAAGTGTTTCAGAAATTGCAACGTGGTCTCGTACCTGGCCGCAGTTGACGGCCTTGCCCTGTATGGAAAGGATCGAAGAAGGCCCTTTCTGTTTGAAGTGTAGCACGCTGGCAATGGCGTCCACTAGTCACCTGAATCACACCCTCTACGACCATCACCACCTTCACCACCTACTGGCATCTGCCCTCTCATGCAGTCTTTGTCTTGGCCTCAGAAAGCCCCTGAATCCCACCCGATTCCCTGCGCCCGATGCATCCGGCTTTACAAGACGGCCAGTGATCGTCTGAATCAGAGAGCATCCTGGAAGGGAGACAGATTTACGATACGGGATGCCACGCCAGCCGAGATCAACAATGACTGTGGCTTGCAAGCCGCCTACGAGGTTGGCAAGGAGGACGTATCGAAGTTGTCAGAGAATATTCCTTTGCCGCGTGGAATGTTTGGTCGCCCATTTTGGCTCCGTCCTCCGAATCCACGCGAGAAGAGCCAGATGACCAGCCTCCGTCCCTCATCTACAACCCACTCTTATCTGGGGCCGAGCACGTTGACCAGCTGCAAAAGTCCGGGGCTTGACGCAAGATAACGCGCGCTTAGGGGGTCGCATTGCCCAATTTCAGCCAGAGGCTGTGTACTCAAGCCGACCTTACCATGGCTAGCAGCCAAACGTCGTGCTTTCTGGCACATCCCCTTGCCGAAGCCATGCATGAGGTCCACCAGGGTGCCATGTGACGCGGGAGAATCTGGCCGTCACAATGGACATTGGAATATCTCTGCTATCCGTCCTGGCTTTCTCTTGAGCGATTTCTCGTCAACTTGCGAGCTTCACACGAGAGAATACATCTGCTAGTGGTCCAGCAATGGACCCTCTATGTAGCACCTTGAGTGTCGTTGCTGGTGTCGCTAGCATAGTCTCCGTCATCGGCAAATCGGTTGCGACCCTGAATCAACTCCGCCAGAGGTATCGGGATGCGGAACTCAACATTAACCTCTTGACAGGCCATCTTCGAACTGTACGGACTGCTCTGCTTCAAGTCCAGCATTGGGCAGAATGCCTATCTGGGGATTCTCAGCACTACCAGTTGATGATGGACCTCGGGGACGCCATCACTCATTGCAAGTTACTCGTCGAATACATCGACAACCAGATATCCAAATTCCAAGGGAATGACGAGGAGTTCCTGAGGGTCGGCAGCAAAGTCCTCTATCTCCTCGAGGACCAGGCCACCAAAGACTGTCTCACCCGGCTAGACCATCAGATCAATGCTCTTAATCTGTGCCTGACGGCGTTCCAGTGGTAAGATGAGCGATCCCTCCTACAAACTCACCATTAACCAATCCAGTCGGACACCGATCGATCAGAAACGTTTACTCGAGAGAGATGAAAGTAGAGAAGTCTTCAGCCAAGCCAAAGACGACGCTACGTCTCTCGTCGGTTTCCGCGATTCTGCCTCGTTCGTCACTGCCAGAACCGGGCTATCTACAGCCACGAAATGGTCAAAGACATTTGACTTCGACGGTCTGCTTCTGCGACACAAGATCTATCAGAACACCTTTCGGTCTATGCTCAGGCGTGCCAACAGTCCCACAGAAGAGCGCACCGGAGAGAAAGGCCAACGGCGGGCACTCTCTGATACCCCTCTCATTCAGCTCAAGAGCACTGCGCGCGACTCGGCCAAGATTGATCTGAAGCTCAAGCAAGATGCCCGCAGGTTGAGCAAAGAAGTCAAGATCCTTGCCGTTGGAGACAAGCATGGAAGATCCGCCATTGTCAAGCAAATGAGGCAAAGGTACGGTCGACCATACTCAGACTCAGAAGTCGAACAATATCGGCAATCAATCACCTCTCTTGCTATCAAGGCTCTTGTGGCTATCCTAGACTACGTCAAGGATATTGGCAACGGTCTTGTCAGTCAAATCAGCAGAGATCACGCCGACATAATCCGAGAATTTGCGGAATCAGGGACACCTGATTGGAAAGTCCCCGTGGGCCTCGCAGGGTCCGTCAAACACATATGGAACAATTGGCACGTTCAACAAGCTTTCTCGGTAATGCAGCAACATGGACAGACTGCCTAGTACGTTGTCCCGTCTCTGAGTAATCCAATGGCTACTGATGTTTGTACAGCTATCTCAATACGATCGAAAGAATCTGTCAGGCCGACTACACGCCCAGCCACATGGATATCATTCGAGCCCCTGAAGCCATCGACACCATGAAAGAGACAGAACTCATCATGAATTCGTCGACACTGCGCATCATCGAAATCAACGAACAGTACGCAGTGAAAATCATTTCGCAATTCGCAGACGTTCAATTCTGTCTCTTCGCCATCGATCTGACGTGCTATGATCGATATCGCGATGATGCAGAGAGGTCGAACGAACTTCTGGAGAGGCTTTCAGACCTCAAAAGCATTGTCCGATCCGTGCACTTCACCAAAAGCATCATCTTGCTCATCCTAACCAACGCAGCAGCTTTTAGAAAACGCATTGCCATCTCGCCCATGAAGTCCCACTTTGAGGATTACAATGGAGGCAACGACGTCAACGCTGCTACAAAGTATATTCTGAAGAGGTGCAAACAAGTCAATAGGTTGGATTTGCCGTTGTTCTGGCACATTTACGACTGTGCTGTTGACGAAGGCGAAGCTGAAGCTATGGATCATTTCTTCATGCAGTCCGCGGCGAGTGTTCCGGCGGTGTCGTGGCTGAGGGATATGGGAGTTGGTGCGCCGCATAGCTAAAAGCATGCCAGTGCCATATCCCTCTTAGCATGATCGATGACAGCGGTGAAGACTTGGGGGTGACAAGCCGCGCCAAAACGCATGGCTGGCGAGGAGGAAGAGCCAGCGGGACGACATTGTGTACACTAGTTTCATTCCTTATCCTAAACGGATTACCTGCGTAGGTTTCTAATCTACTGCTCACCCACGTATGACTTGGGATCCATGGATCTGTTCGGATGGTTAGCCTTATCAGAATGGAGAGAAGTGTGTGGACAGCCTGAGGGGCTCTAGCCGTGGAGAAAGCGGGACAAGGCTGGACAAGGCTGGCCGATAACGCCAGGTGTGGCGTCATCAATACAGTAAAATACAAAACCACCATCACGCTTTTTTCGAATTAGTCAACTTCAGATTTGTCGCAAACCCATTTTCTGTCCACGGGTTACGTTTCGGTCCCTCTGATTTTCTTTCTACCGGTTCACTGTCATCTCCTACATCTTCTCACCTGGAGTTCTGACTCCGAAAACATCAAACATGGCAACTCTGTCCCTCAAAGAGATCCCCTCCGAAGACGCTTTCAACCAACACATATCCTCTGCCCCCTCTTCGCACTTGAACGTAATCTACTTCCACACTCCCTGGGCGGCACCCTGCGCACAGACAAACACCATTTTGTCCGCACTCGCCTCGACCTACCCTGCCTCCCGCAGCTCCGATCTTTCCTTCCTCTCCATCAACGCCGAAGAACTGCCCGACGTCTCTGAACTATTCGACGTGACCGCGGTGCCCTACCTGGTCATTCAGCGAGATGGCAAGACGCTGGAGACGGTGAGTGGGAGTGACGCCGGCAAACTGAGAGGTGCGGTAGAGAAACACGCTGGGACTGGCTCTGCTGCGGCGAACGCCAATGTCAATGGTAATGGCAGTGCGCATGTGCCGCCTCCGCTGAAGGCGGAGCCGCAGAGCCAAGCACATACAAATGGAAACTCACAGCAGCCGACCTCGACAAAGGACCTGAGCTCCTATGCGCCCAAGCCCTCGGATCCCCAGACCGCGCCGGATTATTCGTCAGGCTTGGAGGCGAGAGAGGAGTTGAATGATCGATTGGCAAAGCTGGTCAAAGCTGCGTACGTTCCACTCTCAAGATTGTACAGAAGATGTCGCCGCTTGTTCTCAGGGAATTTCAATTGACAATGTCAATGTTGGGACATTCTTAGGCCGGTCATGCTCTTCATGAAGGGAACCCCCAGTGCGCCGCAGTGCGGGTTTAGCAGACAGCTCGTCAGCATTCTGCGCGAGAACCAAGTGAAATACGGGTATGCTACATTTTAATCACTGTCCCCTGACCTCCTCCCCAACCCAAACTTGGAACCCTGGTCAGACACTAAAACCACTGGGTGCACATCTAGCTTTTTCAACATCCTCGCCGACAACGACGTGCGCGAGGGCCTCAAGGTGTTCTCCGACTGGCCCACCTTCCCGCAACTATATACGAACGGAGAACTTGTTGGTGGGCTCGATATTGTATGTTTTAATCATCACTCCCCTTCTCGTTCGTCGGTGTCGAGTCCTCAAGGGTCTTTGGGCTCGAAACGGGTGCTGATCGATATGATGTGTCTAGGTCCGTGAGGAGCTAGAAGCCGACCCGGACTTCTTCCAGCCTTTCAGGGCGACAGCCACCGCCTGAAGCGGCTTTTAGCAGTCAAGAGGAGTCGCAATGACCGGCCTGAAGCCATGATAGAAGCAGTCGAGACTTATATCAACGCTGCGGGGGCTAGTTTACCAATGGGTACCTGTTGGAGTTGTGCGACGATACAATGAATGAGAAATGATGCGAAAGATGAGATACAAAATGAGAAAAAAAAGATAAGAAGAGAAAATAGTTTTTCTTTGGTCCATGTATAGGAGATACTATGGAAGACTGTGTAGTTAGTCTTTTATTATTTCTCAGCCTGCCGGTCTGGTGTGTTGTGCTTTTTCAATAGCACAAGGCTGGAAACAGCGAGTCCCAAAACCGCTATTGACAATAAACCCTAGGGCCTAAATCTGTCCTATATGTTCTATATTTAATCTTTGACCGTATGGACAAGTCCTGCCTCATTTTGTCGTTCTTGTCCTTTGCACTCGAAGGCCGGAAATATTGGTCGCGCGGCGGCCCTCTCTACACCAGACCCTCTTGTCTCAGGAGGTCGCTTTGAGTGTCTCTCAGGACTCGCCAACGGGGATGACTTCAAGTGGCCCGTGCTGCGGAGGGGAATTTCGTCCATTCTCGAAGGGGGAAGCACCCACCAGCTTAGTTTTAAGCTCTCCTTCCATGAGAAAGCCTACGGGGGCGGGAGGGGTCATCGGGGTGGTGTTCCCGTCACAGGCGCAAGAATTCTGCTAAGTCAAACTTGCTTCCTTCAAGCCATTTTTTTCTTCTTTCTTTCTCACGGCTCTTGCCCATCGAGCGTATAAAACCTGATGTTCGCGGGCATTCTGTCGATCATGGACGAGGCCTTGCTCACAAAGTCCTGGCGGGCGAGGTACGCGCCCCTCAGCCACCTGCGGCCCGAGTTCAGGTCGAAGGCGTTGCGGGCGTGCACGACGCGGAGGTTGTCGAAGATGACGCACGTGCCGCTGTCCATCTTCTCCTCGACCACCATCTGCGGTTGCTCGAGGATTTGGGAGAAGGCGTGGCTCGCCGAGACGAAACGCGCGAGCTCGTGATGTTCCAGCTTCGGGTGGATGTTGCCCACGAAAGGGGGCGACCAGTACACGCGGCCGACGTCGGACATGACGTGCGGGTGGCTGGCGTTGTGGGTCGGGCGATTGGGGACGTTCAGTTCTTGACGCTTGAGGATGGTGGGTTTCAGGTCCGAGTAGAAGTAGCCGTCGTTGTCGTACTCGTAGCGCACCGGGTAGGTCATCAGGTCGCGGACTTTTCCGGGGTCTTGCGAGTAGAGCACGTCGACGGCCTTGAACGTGTCGGCGAACCGAGACTCGCCGCCAACGCTTTCGTTGTGGATGCAGTGCAGGAACTGGAACGCTGGCGGTTCTCGCATGTACAGTAGGTCCATGTGGAAGCCGAGATACTTGGCCGTGTAGGCGACGTTCTTGGCGTTGGGAACCGATCGCACGTCCCACGTGGGACCGTAGAAGGTGTTCATGAGCGGACCGATGCGGGTGACAATCTGCGAAACAGACGCCTCGGACTCGGGCACGCCGTCCACAAAGACCAGGCCGTCCCGCCACAGCAGGTGGAGGGCTTCCGCCAGCGCGTCGTCGCTGCTCATGTACTCGTTGAAGTCGAACCGGTTGGAGTCGCGCGTGAACGACTCGGCATCCCACAGTTTCTGCGCCAGGCTGTACAGATACCAATGCGGGTTGCGGAACGGCTTCCTCAGGGACGAGATGGTCTCCTTATCCAAGATTGTCGATTTCCCCGCCGAGTGAGGCAGAGCGTCGTTGCGCCAGCTGACAATGGTCTCGCCGGAATTCTCGACGGGAGTGACTCTGCTAAAGCCAATGTCCGTGGGGATATCTGCGTAGGAGAAATTCCGTTGTCGGTCAGAAGGGTCGATGCATTCAGCGCACTTGCAGGCGTCGCGGGCCAGAATCGGAGACACGAGGGGAATGCCATTGTCCACTAGAATGCCCTCCCTGAGCTTTTCACCCCTGGACCAGCTTTTAGATGGTATGGGGTGGTCCTGTTTTGGAGCTCCGACATTGTCAAACACTTCATTCAAACCCGCGCCGGTTGGATTGGTTTCGGGCCTCGAAGATTCTTCTAATTCGTCGACAAGGCTTTTCAGCCGCGAATTCCTTGCTCTGACCTCCGGCGCAGATAACGCGCCTGTCCCGATAGGAGCCCGTCCTGGTAGGATACTCTTGAGTCGCTCAGTCGGTTGACGGGCTCGACTGCCAAGCTTTGCCAATCCCTTTCCGGCTCCTTGTAGGCGGATTCGCATGGTGATCAGTACCCAGACGGGCAGAGAGATGCTGAGGAAGCAGTGACGACACGGGATTTGTAACACGAAGTAAACGTTTGACCGGTCATCAAGGGCATCAGCGAGGAGATATTATGTACTCTAGTAGCCATGTGGATTATGGTTGATCCGAGGCTCGCGAGGCTGAAGGAGCAATTATCGCCAAGAACAACGCCAGGACTGAGGAAGCGAGGAAGGTACGGGAGTGTGCATGTGCACTACTGTCGAGTACCTGGTGAGGGGCCTTCAGCGCCTGGTTTTAGTTAAGGAGACGCCCCTCAGGCACCTCCAGGGGACTTGTTCTGACCTCCCCGGGTGCCCCTCGACATCATCACTCATCAGCATCATGGCCATCCCGCGCTTGGCCGCCTAGCTGCCCGAGCTGCCCAGCCATCCGCGCCCATGCGGCTAACCTGCTGTCTTTGTACCTGCGACCTTGCTCTGGATCCTCGCAACTGCATCACTGCCCTTCATCTCCCCCACGATCAGGACTACTGACATACAACCGCAGCCGTACCCATCCCCTGCTGACATCCGATATCCTTCATTCTTTCCTGCACCTCCCTCGTCCGTCCGTCACGAGACATTCTCCGTCTGATTCCCATCGTCCCTGTCACTTGAATCATCACCGTTTTGTTGCCTGAGCCGCATCGGCTTACAAAACTGTCAAAACCATCCCAACTCAAGTCCAACCCAACCACGTCACGTCACTTCAACTTCATAGACAACCTGCGCCTAGGTTACCGCGCCCACACACGCATTCACGAATTCTACCACCCCTGAGTCGAGCGCGACCCGCTCCATGCACCGCCAGCGGTGAAATCTTGAGGTCGATCTAGGGTGCTACTGCTGTGTGCGTGCTGCTGGACGTCCTGGACCCGCAGCGCACCCTGTGATGAAAGATGGTCGAAACCGAACCCGGAACTCCCACATGGAAGTTCACTCAATGTTTTGGCGATAAAGGAGATGTCGAAGACATAACGGAGGCAGATATCATCTCAACCGTTGAATTCGACCACACTGGGAACTATCTTGCAACCGGAGACAAAGGTGGTCGCGTCGTGCTTTTTGAACGAAATGAGACTGTCAGTACTTTCGCATACCGCTCTCACTGTCCCGACTACTGACAATTTTCGAAACAGAAAAAGACATGCGAGTACAAGTTCCATACAGAGTTCCAATCCCACGAGCCTGAATTCGATTACCTCAAATCTCTCGAGATAGAAGAAAAGATCAACAAGATCAAATGGTGCAGACGTCAGAATGCCTCACACTATCTTCTTTCTACAAACGATAAGACTATCAAGCTCTGGAAGGTCTTTGAGAAGTCCCTCAAGGTCGTCGCCGAGAACAATCTCTCCCAAGACCTCACCCCTGCCGGTCCCGGTGGAGGAGGGGCATCTCGTCCGAATCACATTCATTTCAAGGATGCTTCCCAACTGAAACTACCTCGAATGACTCACCACGATACCGTTGTGGCCGCAGTTCCTCGACGCACGTACGCTAATGCGCACGCTTATCACATCAACAGCATTTCAGTCAACAGCGACGGCGAGACCTTCATCAGCAGTGATGATCTCCGCATCAATTTGTGGAATCTCAACATCCAAGACCAGAGTTTCAACATTGTTGATATCAAGCCGGCGAATATGGAGGAACTCACCGAAGTCATCACTGCTGCTGAATTCCACCCACACAGCTGCAATTGGTTCATGTATGCCAGCTCCAAAGGGACCATCAAATTGGCCGATATGCGGGAGAGTGCCTTGTGTGACCACCATGCTAAACGTGAATATCTTCCCTACTCAATTGTACCCACATACTGACTTTCTGCCAGAATTCGAGCAAGAAGAAGACCCTTCCTCGCGATCCTTCTTTTCTGAGATAATCTCTTCGATTTCCGATGTTCGCTTCTCACACGATGGTAGGTATATCCTATCAAGAGACTATCTGACGGTCAAGATCTGGGATGTGAACATGGAGAGACAACCCGTCAAGACCATACCTATTCACGAGCATTTGAGGCCGCGTTTGTGCGACACCTACGAAAACGACAGCATCTTCGACAAATTCGAGGTGGTCTTCAGCGGCGATGGAAGCAATGTCATGACCGGGAGCTACAATAACAACTTCATGATTTATCCCTCGGACCCTGAACAAGAGACGGAAGTGGTCTTGCAGGCAGATAAATCGGCCTTCAAGGCTAAGAAAGTTGGAGTGCCGACTCCCATCAATTCGGCCAGCCCCAATGGTGCCAAGAAAGGTGGTTCAAGAGCAGGCAGCCCTGCAGCTTCAGGTCAAGGAAGCAGAATGAGAAAGGAGACAGACGCCGACCAGATCGATTTTAACAAAAAGATCCTGCATATGAGTTGGCATCCGTTCGAGGACAGCATTGCTATTGCTGCGACGAACAACGTAAGTCACCTGTCGCTGTTGTGGCCGTCCCTGCTGATGTTGACAAATGCTTTAGCTCTTTGTCTTCTCCGCTCTCTAGATGTGTCCCTGATGGACCTATGCGCGACTGCTCACCAGCTTTCGTCCTGGCAGCCGCCTCGCGCAGTGTGCTGGGGTTGAACGAGGCGCCTCCCATGCGCCCACAACATGTCAGCGCCTGGTTTGCACATGTCGGAAGGCGCGTGATTGGCCGAAAGGACGATGTGAGTTTGATACAATGACAACGACATCATGCGGGTCGGCAAGGCTGAAGACGACCAGCAACGACTGCAGAGAGAACTGCGAGCTGTGAAAATGAGTACTGGAAGTGAGCGATGGAGGGACTGGCTGGTTCTGCACATGTGTTTTTCTTGTCTCCAAGGGTTACACATATGCGGCCCGAGGCTGGGCTTCTTGGATTCCACAATCGACTTTTGCAATGCACTGAGCTGGAACAGAGGAGAATCGAAGGGATGACAATGCATGATTGGGAGAGTGGACATTGAGCTTTTGCTCTGGGGATCGTCTACGAGGTGAAGGAGCCATGAGACTAGATCCTCTGCCACTCTCCGGCTTGACACATTGCTCATTCTGGGAGAGCTGCATGACTCCTCAAGAAAGGACCAAATTAATAGAAAGAGGCGAGACAGACAGAGCTGAGAATCAAAGTAGCAGAAAAAGAAAAATGAGAAAAGTTGAATACCAACAGAGAACTGGCCATATGATGAGCATGAATCGTAGTGGCGAAGAGACTACATTTTTCATCCTCGTATTGCAACTATGGATCCTCTCTCCGCGTGCTTTTTGGATGTCATGGTCTTCGTCCAAGAGTCAAGATTAGTGTCTATGCAGTTCGGAGTCCGCCATTATCGAGTGGGAGTGGTAGTGGTGGTATTATCACGAAATATGATCTTGTTTTGAGGACCTGCGATGATGGCAGCATACTCGGTAGTGTACAAGTACATATGATATCAAGGACGGTGGTCCCCGAACGACTCCAATCCTCTTTCAACCCCAGCAGCGTGGGCTGAACTCGAGGGTACTGAAAGATGGCCATCCGTCTCCATGGGCGTTGGTGTTCCGGGCGCTTTTGCCCCGTTGATTTTCTCTGCGTGTTCCCTGCGGACTCTCTCGAGCTCCTGCCCCGCCTCCTCGAGGCTGCGCTGAATATGCGTTTGGGATTGCTTGATCTCGGCCTTTTCTCTTTCGATGTCGGCCCTGCGTTTCGCGATCTTGGCTCGCTCGTATTCTAGTGCCGAGACCATGTCGCGCAGGCGGGTCAATCCGATGCTGAGTTTGGGGATGGGTGTCGTCTCGCGTGGTTGGCGCGGCCGGTTCAGATGTCGCTTGTGGGCGGCGTGCGAGGAGAGCCCGTCCATGCCGTGGTGCGTCTGGGCCATCTCGTACTCTTGCCGCCGTTCGTAGTCGGAATCAGAAGCCGAGCCGCCGTCGCCGTCGCCGTCGACCGAGTTGCTGTCGGGGCTCGCAGCGCCTTCGGCTTCATCGATGAGGTGGCGGATCGCTTCCTTCTCCTTGCGGCTCTGTTCTCGAAGTCCCCTTTTGGACAGTGTGACGCGCCCGCTGTCCTCGACGAAGTCGTCGAACCCCTCGGCGATGTCCTCATCTTCGCGGACAAGGCGCGTTTCTTTTTCTCGTGGTGGCGCCAGGTAAGATGAGACTTGCATGCGGCGAGGTTTGAACTCGCCGTCCGAGTCGTAGTCCTCGAGCGGTATGAAATCTTCGGCCGACTTTTCTGCAGCTTGCTCTTTCGCTAGGCGCGCTCGCCGTTCCTTCTTCTCCCTGATTTCGGCGGCGCTGGGGATGTGGGGAGATCTCGCGGAGGGTAGAGCTGTCTTGCCGAATTTACTTTCGAGATCGAGTTCGAGGTTGGTCGATGACGGCTTCTCGACCAAGTCCAGCGACGGGCTGTCCCGAGATGACAGGTCGCGCGGCGTCGAGGGCGTCGAGTTGCGCAGTTCATCGAGGTAGGCCTTGTTGTATTTCGGTCTGTCGTGGTTCTGGCCTCCACTCTCGCTATCTCCGTCCTCGTGCACTCGTCGGGTGATGATGTCCTGTGCGGCGCTGGATAGACCCAGTCTCGTTGTCGACTTGTTTGGCGGAGCTGGTACCGTCCCAGCAATTGCACCCTCTTCCGTTGTTCCTGACCCGTCTTCCTCACTCGGGTTGAACGAGACTCGTAGTTTGGATTTTGTGCGCGGTGCATTGTGCGTTGGTCGTCTGACCACGGGGCCGGTGTCTACATACTCGTCGCGTCAGTGGGGATCGATCTCACACGCAGACTAGATCGTGGGAGAGAGAATTGTCAGATATAGTAAACATGCAGTGGTGGACTGGCTGTGTGGGCGGATTGTGGGAGACACGCAAACATACCTTCCTCGCCGTCATCTGGCTCATGATCTGCCTCGTCCCGCGCAATGCGCTTGGGTTTCCGCCGTGCTGTAAACAGCGAAGTCATTGTCGGAGGGAATCTTGCAGATAGATTCGATGAGATGTTGGGCGGAGGGAGTATTTAGAGGGCAAAGGCCAATTCTGGATGCTGTTCATCGGCCACAAGTTTGCAGATTGAATTTGCGGGGGAAAAAGGGAAGCAAATTCTGGGTTTCTCTGTTGTCTGACAAAAAGTATTTGATGGTTGATTGATGGAATTCTCACGATAGCATTTCTGCCTGACACGCTCTTTACGGTCCTGCGAATAGACGATGAATTACTAGTATGCATGCTTGGTCTACAGTTCATTGCCAAGCCGTTAGGATGAGATGCACTACACTTGTCGACCTCTCGACCTCTATCTCAAGCGACCGAGGCTTACGTCCACTCGTCTTGGAACACCACGACATATCTTCCTCAATCACTAATCTTATTAACGTTGCCAGGATCACTAATCTACTTCCTGCTTCAGCGATCCCTGTTCTCTCAAGATGGCTTTGGGTGAGACGTATGGAGTACGGTCCAATGTATGGCGGCCGTGGGCGGTGGGATCAATCCTTTGACAGGATACAGCAAGTGTCTGCTTCCAATTATAATGCCTTGCTTCTTACGGTATGTGCGGGAACGAATCTCGTCTCGTCTCAGCTTAAACGACAGGTAATCCTGGGGCTTGCCAATCCCCACAATATCCCCTGTGCCGGAGATGCATCGCATTCCCTGGCTTCTGCCTGTACATCAAATGCTACAACATCAATGGGCATTGACGCGTCGTCCTGAAGCTGGATTACCTATCGCCTCGGGTCTTTTCCCCTCTTGTCTGCCCGTAAGCGCATGGGTCAGCGTGGTCTAGTCGAAGCAGACAAGCTCTGCTCTTGCGGGAGCTGGCCAGTCTGGACTGTGGGAACGAGGAGGGTGTGAATCCAAACAGTTCGCAGCTATAAGAACAAGCGTGCTGGAAATGAAATGGTAACCCACTCCTAAGCAAGAACTCAGAGAACGCAATGGCGTTATTGGACTCATTGAATCATTATCACGTTGCTGTCCCTTTGCTTGCCATACCGGTTGCATATGTAAGTGCTCGTTCAACTCGCTTTGTTTCAGTCGAACTCTTGATCCTGAGACTTGTTATGCAGCTTGTTTATGTTGCAGTATATCGTCTGTTCTTTCATCCGCTTGCACAATATCCGGGACCATTTTTGGCAAAGCTTACGACATGGTATTCTGCCTACCACAATTATATCAATGATGTTCACATTGATATCCTGAGGTGCCATGCAGAGTACGGTATGTTGTGTGACTTTGGAGGACGCTCTTGTCCAATGGTATGACTGAAATACTTGCTTAGGAGATTTCGTTCGCTACGGACCGGACAGGCTTCTAGTCAACAGTGCAAACGGATACCATGGTATGTCTTACTAGGTCTCCAACACCACGAGCTCATCTGAACATCGACCAGACATCTATGGCCATGGCAAAAACATTGCCAAGTCCAAGGCTTACTGGGCCCTCTTGACCCGAGCACGCCAGTTCTCGGTCTTGACGGCGTGGGACAAGAAAGTCCATGGGCGCAAACGACGAGTAGTAGGTCAAGGTTTTACCGAGGCTGCAGTCCGGGGGTATGAGCCCGTCATCAAAGACAATGTCACGATTTTGTGCAATAAGTTGCTAGCAAACGACGGTCGAAATGCTGTCCCTGAAGCGGCCAATGCTTGGAGTCTCCCAGTGGACATGTCCGAGTTCAGTGAGGAAGAGGCTTGCCAATCTCTTGATAATGATGCTTACACCAAACAGCCAACTACCTTTCTTTTGATATCATGACGGACGTTATATTCAGTGTCAAACGTCATCTGATTGAAAATTCGCACTACCGTTGGATCACCACTTGCATTGAGAGAATGATGCACCGCATTGGCGTCCTGTCCATGGTACCCTGGACGAGATGGTGGGGCTTAGGACTTCACTGGCTCATTATGCCGGACGGCGTACGAGCATCAGCACAGTTCACTGACGAAGCCAAATATTTTGCCACAGCAAGAATGAAACAGCAGCTTCCTAAAGGAAAAAAAGACGTGTTCCAGAACTTACTGAACGCCAAAGACGCGGAGACTGGAGAGGGCCTGCCATTACCTGAATTGTTGGCTGAAGCGGGATTATTGATTGTGGCAGGTGAATAGCTTACTCCTCACACTTGACCACCAGTTGAAGCAAGCCATTGACATGCTCTGATCTCCCCAGGCTCTGATACCACCTCATCTGCCCTCGCTGGCATCTTCTTCTACCTGTCGCGCAATCCTTCGGTTTACGCCAGGGTCGCCCAAGAAATCCGGACGACGTTTCCCTCGGTGGCAGGAATTTCCCATGGGCCCGAGCTCCGCTCCTGCATATACCTCCACGCTGTGGTCGACGAGTGCCTACGCATGTGCCCCCCTGTCTCTGCGGCTCCGTGGCGGGTTGTCCTCAAGGGTGGCCAAAACATCGACGGTCACGAGATACCAGAGGGCATCGAAGTTGGGACATGTCTTTACTCGCTCATGCACAACCCGGCATATTTTGCCGAACCTTTCAAGTTCGACCCTGACCGCTGGATCGAAACGGAAAGCAATCCTGCGGCCACCATTGAACTTCAGCGGAGGGCTTTCGTGCCCTTCCTGAGCGGCGCAAGGATGTGCGCGGCCAAGAATCTAGCCATGGCAGAGTTGTTGATAACGACAGCCCAGGTCTTGTACACGATGGATTTCAAGCCGGCTGATGGTCCCGAGGGGAAACTGGGCGAAGGTATGATGGGGATGGGAGCCGGGAGGGAACGACCAGAGGAGTTCCAACTATATTCGCACTTTGTCACTGTGGCTAAACGTGGTCCTGTTCTGCAGTTCCGTAGAAGGGAAACAGAGTAAGAAGGGCACGCATGCCCGGCCACCTGTCAAGAGAGTTTGGTGGGTTTCCTTGTGGTTGGGAATTGAAGTGTGGTGAACCATGTCCAATACGCGTATGTCCTTTTTGGTTCCTGTCTCCGATAAAAAAGAGACATTTATGGGATTAGAATGGCCACCAAGCGTCCACTTAATGCCTAGCTATGTAGCAACCATCTACTCGTCGAAACTGTACAGTGTATATAGAGGCCCAAGGGCGGACGTCTTCACATCCCCACTACAGAGCGGCAGCACCCTTTGACCGAAACGGGTATGGTCGAACGATTTCTTGGCCTTGAGATTTCTCCAATTGCGCTCTTCCGCCTCATCGACCGGGTTGAATGTATGCAGACAGAGAATATCTTCCATTCCCTTCCCTCAGTCAGTCAATCAGTGAACTGAAACTCCGACGAGCATCCTGAAATTCCCGTTCTTTCTACCTTTATAACGCGCCCCTGCTCTCGATCAGCCAGGTAACAGCCAGCAACAGCTCGTGTACCTCCACCTCCACTTTCACCAGCACCACCGCAAGCATGCCTCAAGCGCAACCCGAGCTCAAAAAGGTAAAACTCCCTTCCCTTCCTTTCCTTTCCCCCGGGCACACACAACCTTGGTCGATCTCGAAGGAAATGGGGACCTTCGCTGTCCCTGTCCCCCTTTCCTCACAAATTGCGCTCGTGGGCTAACACATGGTGTCAAACCTACAAAACCACCACAGTATATGGAAAAGCGCCTGTTCGTCCAGTTGAACGGCAACCGCAAAGTCATTGGCGTCCTGCGCGGCTACGATGTATGTTGTCTCCCTCCCTCCCTTCCACCTCCGTCCTTTCATCACAACCTTTCCCCGGCGCCAGCATGTTCCTTTCCCCTCCTACGCTCTCTTGCTCGTTCGCTCGTTGGACAAAACCCACACATATATCAAACAAAAGCCCACAAAGCAGCGGAATATACCAACAAAAATGAGGGACAATGGCTCACACCGCCGGTTAAATTTCAGGTCTTTCTAAACATTGTCCTCGACGAAGCCGTGGAAGAAAAACCAGGCGGCGAGCGCGAGAGGTTAGGAATGGTGGTTATCCGTGGCAACTCGGTCGTGATGCTCGAGGCACTGGAACGCATGGGCGACGATCGACGGTGAAAATGTCGTGGCGCACACCAAAAAATGGGCTTCTGCGAGGGGAATAAAATAGAAGAAGGAGGTCCGGAAGGTATTTTCAAAACTGATACCCCACCCCAATTGGGCACGCTTTTCTGGGGACAACTCTCGTCCAAGCAAAGGAGCGCTTCGTTATTATTGTTACACGTCGATCTATGAAGGATGCGCATCATACGCAAGGGTAACCAGTCGCCGCCGCCGAAATTTTTTTCGTGCCAACCGGCGCTCTCGCCTTGAAGGCATTCCAGTCTCCTTTCCACCTCACCACTCTGACCAGCGACCAAGGTACAAGCCCCTCCGAACGAGGGTGCTTAAGGTTGGGAAGAGCTTCCATTCTCAGCCGGCCTCTTGGGAATCTTTAGGGTAATACGACCCGGTCCTCCGATAGGTGTCTGCGGTTTTTGAGGAGCAGGCTTTTGCTGCTGCGCTGGCTTAGCGTGATGGGCAACCGGGGGTGGTGGTGTTGGGGTCGGATTCGGCAGTGAAACCGAAGGTGTACGATTCGGCCCTGCAGAATGACTGTCGTTTGTACTACTTCCGCCCACCTTCAACTTCAGCTTCAGACCACTTCCTCCACCAATACTTGATCGCGGCTGAGGTAATGCAGGACGAGGAGGGCCACCCAAGACTGCAGTGGGAGGTGGTGGAGGCTGCCACTTGGGCACAGGTTTGTTGCGGACTTTGCGCGTCTCGGAGAACTTGAGTTTGCCCTGCAATGAATGGCAATAAAAAGCCGCGTTAACTCGGGCGATCCAAAATTACCAAATGCAAAAAAAAAGCTGATTGGAAGCAGAAAGAACTCACCTTTCCTAGATTCTGAACCTTCCAGTACCGGGGCATTCGTAGCGTGACTTTGACCTCGTTGACCGGCTCGTACAATAAGCGGCAAAAGTCAAGTAGAGTCTGCAGATCTTCGAGAGTGATTTGGTCGTAACAGATGGCGTGCCACAGTGCGGATCTCAGAGGACCATTCCTGCCCAGATCCTCCCTCAGTGCCTTCACCGCTCCCCCCAAGGTCTGCCGCCTGGCCAGCTCCTCCTGCCGCTTGGAAGGCCCCTCGTCGGCGTCGCCGGCGGAGGCTCCTTCGATGATCAGAGAATCGGCCGCTGGTTGAGCCACAGCGCTGGTTTTCTCGCCGATTGCTCGTCTGCCCAGGACCTTGCCGAATGCGCGCTGGAGACTTTGCCGGATGTAAGGTGATGGGTCGGCTACCATGCAATACAGCACGTACCGCAGGATGGAGGGGTCTTCGAACACCCTTGGCGTGACCAGGACTTTGTAGGCCGTTTGCCGCAGCATATCGTAGTTTCCCGGTCTGGTGTACTGCAAGAAATGCAAGGGTGAGAAGTGGCCGATGCCGCTTGCTGCAAGCATGGCCTGGCACTCCAGCGCGGTTCGGCAATACAGGTTCTGGTACGAGCTCGTCCACTCGTCCATCCGCCGGTACCGGTCGATCTCGTCCAGAAACTGACGCTCAAACTCCCTCAGGTCGTGGATCTCGTCTTCGATCTCAAAGTTCTCGGCCATGTCCCACTCGCTGTAGCGGGGTCGTGCGATTGCCGCGCCGGTCAGCGCTTTCATCAGCCGGGCGACGTAGAACGCGTCCGAATAGTCGTTGGCCGAGTTGTCGTTGTACTTTAGCTTCTCCAGCAAAAAGTCTCTGACTTCTTTTGGGGAATGGCCCTGGCTGTTCCGGACCATCGCGATGGCTTCCACTATCTCACACTGCAGCATGTATGAGAGTTGGTCCGAGAAGTCGTTCGGCCTCGTCAAGGCTGAGCTTTGGTCTGTAACGCAATACAGTTCTTCGTAGGCCTTTTTCAAATGAAACAAGCCTATATTGTCCACTTCTTCTGCAGCATGCCTCACAAGCGCTTTCGCGGCTAGGGCCCGGACACCATGAAAATACCGCCGGTCCATCAGAGTGCGGATAAAAATGGAAGACGTCGTTGCATCGGGTGGATATCTTGAGATCGTGCGGATCGACTCGATCTGCGCCACAACATCTCGGTCTTGCTGGAGCTGGGACGCGTACATGTACCCCGGCATGGCAAGGTTCATAGTGCAAATCCACTCAAAGTCGGCATCCAGTCGGATCCATTCATACGACTCGGCATTCATTTTGTCTTCCTGATCAGTAGTCCACTCCTTTATCCGCCAGTTGGTCATTTCCTCTTCCGTCTGCAGTACGTCACCCAGGCAATAGACGAGAGAGTCATTTTCTTCCTCACCCTGTTCCGTCGCAGCTTTCGTGTTAGCTCGAGCCCTCTGCTTCTTGCTCCTCTTAAGGCGCTTGTATTTGGTGTTGTAGGGAACTTCCATGACAGTGTTAGCGTCCTTGATCTGCACAATATGTTCGTAAGGAGTTCCGTCCGCTTCGTGAATCCTAATCGTCATCGGCCCGGTAAATACCTGTTGGGCAGTAGCAGGCCACACTCCATAAAAGTCGTCCCGGGCGTCCCGCAGGAAGTTGTCAGGATCCAGGTCGCGCACAGTTTCGCGTGAAGCCTGTTCTTGTCGAATGCTCATCTCCACGACCAGCTTCTTCTTGTTGAATCTTTGTTGGGCGAAAAATCGAGGGCATCCTGCCCCCTTAACCCACTGGGCCAGAAAGTCATCGATCTTCTCGTGACCCATCCGTTCAGTAGTCTTTTGGAACAACTCCGTCGAGAGCGCATTGTTCTCCAGATCACCCGTCCGAGCCCTGGTAAGTAGCTTTGCCAGGATTCCGGGCATCTTGGAAGTGCCCTCCTTTTTGGCGATACGGCGATCCAAAATAAACAGCACGACTGGGGCTTTGGTGGCCAAGAATTCCGACTCTGCCGGGTCGACGTAAGTAAAGGCGCCGATTTCGTAGATTGAAGGCCGTTCGTAGTCTAGCTCTACAACGCGGTCTGCTTGTCGCTTGATATAAGCCCGGTATTCGTTGTTCCCACAGAGCTCTCTCATAAAGAGGTTGGTGATGAAGTAGGCACCTCCTACAATGACCCAATTGTCTCGAGGATTTTCGGCAACAATATTGACTCCAATCCACTGCGAGACAATGGCATGTACTAGCTTTCTCGTAACTTCCTGCGCAGGGTCGATAACCTGTTCCGGGTACAGGATTCGAGTGCTGCAGATTGTCACACCCGCAAAGATGGACGTGGCTGATGGAGCGTCTTCGACAAAACACATGGCATAAGATTTGACTGGACAGGATATGTATTTTTGGACAACATAGTCCATGGCTTTGGTCGTTGGCAGGCAGGTGTTTTTGGTCTCCTCTGATCGTCCAGGTAAGCAATATGCCCACATCTCAACGGCATTGCGACCGATATCGGCAATCTCTTGTGCATCTCTGAGCTCGCTCAAGTTTACACGCTCAAACGGGCCGATGGCAAAGCCGATCTGCTGCGGCGCCAGTTGTTGTGAGCAGGAGAAAGACGTGGTCTTCGTCGTAGGATCGCCCTTGTCCAGTATCTCGTCGGTGAGCTCACCCGAGCAGACCACAATCATCTCTTTTGTTTCAAAGCTCTGGCGAGATGAATCCTTTGCAGATGCCTCTCGATTGCGCCGCCCGCTATCGACCGACGTAGCTTGGTCAATAGCATCGCCGACCGTCCTCGGACATTTTATAGAAATGTCCCACGTGCATCGACTGTTGATTTGGTCCACACACGGAAACAACGGCGAGGCGCCGCCTGGACCCAGCTTCGTCCGTGTATACGCGTGTGGCCATCGACCACTCCGTCCCCGGCCGGAGACGAAGTGCAGAGTCTCCCGTGCGTGAGAAGTCTCAAATTCGATGACCAGAGTCAGAGGGGTGAATTTCGCAGCAGTGGCATCCGAAAGGGCCTGTGTCAGCTCGGTAGCGGAAGGGCCTTGAGCCTGCGGGTCTGTGATCTTGATGGAACCAGCAGCTTGAGTGTGCACCTCCGCAACCGCGACCGGCACAATCTTCAATTTCTTTGGCAGGCTAATAACAATGTCCGGCAACGGCTCTGGCCCAACCGATCTCGTCACTTTCTCTGCCAGCAAGTGGTGCTGATAGACTGAGCCATGGGAATGGAGCGTAAGCTGGTCGCAGGGATCTTCATGGCGTACCGATGATGGCGGAATGCCGTTGACCAAGACCTTGTTGATGGTACACTGTCGCCCATGCAAGCTTATCTCTTTGAGGTCTGCCGAATCAGGATAGATGGTAATCTCGGTCCTTCCACTAAGATACTGGCTGAAGTTGATCTCAAGTTCAACCTTTTGATGCGCGACGGTGAACGATGGCTCTTCAGTTATGGGCTGCTGGTCCCCTGGAGGCTCCATGTTGAGGAGAGAAGCGAAGATGAGAGGGTGAGAACGTCGTGGCGCATCATCGCCCACACTTACAACTCTATCCCACTCAAATACGACGAGTTCCCCCGAGCCAAACTCCAAGGCAATAGGCGAAGATGGACCATGGGTGGAATGGTGAGAGAAGGCTGATCAAAGCCAGGAGATGCAGGGATGGAACGCGAAGGCAAAGGCGACGGCAAAGGAGGCAGCACGTGTCAAATCGACGGGCGGGTGTTAAAGCAGCGCCAAGTCCAATGGCTTGGCATCAAGTCGATTGCGCATCGTGTGCAGACTTCAACATTTCATTTCCCCTTTTCCTACGTCAATGCAATTCAGGCGAGTTCTCTTTCGGAGACTGTTTCCAGTCGTATGAACATTTGACAATCATGTCGTGCATGAGAATAGACCGCTAGTACGCTTCCCTTATCATTGTCTGTTTGTTCATCTTTCATTGCAATCCTTCTTGTCTTTTAGACCTCGAGCGCATTACCTAGATCATCTTTGGATTCAAGGTTAGAGCCGACAGCAACACATTTGAGTCATGGTAAATTCAGGTAGGTCTTCAGCATTCGGCTATTCTTCGAGTATTCATCTCGCCCTTGATCCACGAAACTCATGATCCTTCAACAGCGGACCCTCTCTCGGATGAGGCCATGGCCCATCTGAAGACCTATAAGTACCAAAGTGTAGATGAGTCCTGGATATCGAACCATATCCTGCGCCACTACGTACGTTGGTGCAACTTGTTTGGTTATGCGTCCACATCAGCTTATTGGTTTACAGTGGAATTGGGCTGTCCAGTTCCTCCCTATGTGGCTGGCTCCCAATATGGTGACTCTCCTGGGTTTCTGTTGCATCCTGATCAATATCCTCTTACTGTACATCTTTGTTCCGGATCTTGTGGGTCCGGCGCCACCATGGCTCTGTTACAGTTTCGCCCTGGGTCTATGGATGTATTCGACGATGGACAACATCGACGGCAAACAAGCCCGCCGCACCGGCACATCCAGCGGACTCGGAGAACTATTTGACCACGGCATTGACTCACTCAACTGCACTCTGGGTAGCCTCCTCGAGACGGCCGCGATGGGTCTCGGCCCGACCAAGATTGGTGCTTTTACAGCGCTCGTCCCTTGTCTCCCCATGTTCTTTTCCACCTGGGAGACTTACCACACGCACACCCTTTTCCTGGGGGCCTTCAACGGCCCAACCGAGGGTCTTATCCTCGCATGCTCCTTCATGGTCGTATCAGGCTTCTTCGGCCCTCAATTTTGGCAACACCGCATCGCCGATTATGTCGGCTACCCGCAGCTACTCGGCGACTTGGTTTTGCTCGACCTTTGGGTCCCTATCGTGCTTTTCGCCTTCTTTGCAGCCCACCTGCCTTCGTGCATACACAACGTCTATCTGGCACGCAAACGACAAAATCTCCCGCTGTGGCCCGTCTTCTTCGAGTGGATCCCCATGATCATCTACACCGCCTCGGTTTGTGCGTGGTGCGGATCCCCCTACTCGATTCTCCTACGAGAAAACCACCTCGTCATATTCTGCCTCACGCTCTCCTTTGTGTTTGGCCGGCTCACCACCAAGATCATCCTTCACCATCTGACACGGCGACCATTCCCGTATTTCACAGTCGCACTAGTCCCGCTGGCCGTTGGGGCGATCATGGCCTGGCTCCCGCTTTTTGGACTCGACCCGATCCCAGCTCAGTACGAAAGGTGGTATATCTACGGCTGCTTTGTGTTCGCCATGGTGCAGTATTTCGTGTGGGCGGTCCGGGTGATCAACCGCATCTGCGAGGTTTTGGACATCAACTGTTTGACGATCAAGAAAAAGAAGGCTGATCCGCGGGAGCGAGCGGCGTTTACGACCAAGGAACTGAGCGCCGAGAATGGGGACCTGAGACAAACCAGGAAGGAGCTATAGGAGGGCTTGGTTTCCGGGGCCTTCTGCTACTACGACTTGGCAGGTTGGTGCTGAGATGGAAGCACACCGAAGCTGTTCTGGAATGCAGGGCGGACCCTCAGGCAGAGGGTGGAATCTATCAAACTCGGCCGGGGATCTTGTGCTTTTGTTTGTACGGCGGCATAGATGTCTTCTTGGGACAGGGAGCACAGTGGAAGAGAACCAGTAAACGGCACAGCGCCCACCAAAAGTGTTTTTTTTTGTCCAGATATAAAACAATAGATCTCATTTTCCCTCACTCCCTGCCAATAATTGACCTCTACCTAAAGGGCGCAAAATCATTCGGGCATCTGATCCTTCCACTTGTCCTTCAACCCTTGCACATCCATGCCGCACAAGGCAGCCTTTTCGACAATGCGCTCCGCTTTCCCCTCGACGGGCTTATCGATCATTTTGCCGTCGAGACTCCAGGCGCCTTTGCCCATCTCCTCGGCCCTCCTTTGGGCAATGACGATCCTGACGGCCCACTCGACCTCCTTGTCGCTCGGGGAGAAGATTCTCTGGACCGTGGCCACCTGGGACGGGTGGATGCATTGCTTGCCGTTGTAGCCCATGCGTTTCCCTTCCTCGCACTCTCGCACGAGGGAGTCTTCGTCGCCTTCGCCCCGGAAGGCCGTCGCGACCAGGTCCATCGTCGAGGGCAGGTTGTGGGCGCGCGCCGCGGTGGCGATCAACTGGCGGGCGTAGAGGAACTCGGTGAGCGAAGGGGTGCGCGTGATGCTCATGTCCAGCGCAAAGTCCTCGGCCGCGAACACCAGGCCCTGAAGCAGGTGCGGCGCCGCGCGGCAGATCTCGGGCAGGTTGAGCAGCGACTTGGCCGACTCGATCAGGGCCAGCACGCTGATCTCCCCTTTCTCCTGCAAGTGGTCCCTCGAGCGTGAGTGGGCGAGCACGTCGCTGATAAAAGTCAGGTCGCTCGCGCTCTCCACCTTGGGCACCACCAGCGTCGTCAGGTTCGGCGACTTGACCACTTCCTCCAAATCCCCGAGCGCCAGGCCGCTGCCGACGCTGTTTATCCGCACCGCCCGCTCTTTGATGCCTGGAGGTGAGTCCTGGTCCAGGGCTTTGCGGACGAGCGTGCGCGCTTCGGCCTTCTTCGCGGGCGTCACGCTGTCTTCGAGGTCGTAGGCGATGCAGTCGGCGGTGAGGCTCCGGGATTTGTCAAGGAACCGCTGTGAGGATCCAGGGACTGTGTGCAGGGAGAATGTCAGCAACAAAGGATTTGAAGAAGTTTTCAGGAACCCAGAAAATACGCGGGGGTGTGGTACCATAGAGCACTGCTCTGCGAAGCACGTTCTTCGCCGCCATGTTGAGGGGCTGTATAGCTTGCTAGCTAGCTGGCTTCTTCCGTCTCTCTCTCTCTCTCTCTCTCTCTCTCTCTCTCTCCACCTCAAAGTCTCTCTCGGAAGCTCCCTGCAAAAGCGATGTTCAGCCCAGCCGCGAGAGATATATGTACAAGCAGCACTCCCAAAGCAACAAACGACTAAGCTCCCTTCTCTGAGAGAAGTCGCGCGGCTGACATGCTAGATCTCACAAAAATACAAGAGCGGGTTGATATTTCAATGCATGTTGAATTACTCCAACGCGGCCGCCGCGACGGGGACCAGTTGCGGGGAAACTTCCGGCTGGGGCTCCGTTATCGGCCGGGTTGGAGATCGGGATCTTATAAAGGGAGCCAGCCTTGTCCGGAATCATCCTTCTTACTCCGTTATCTATACAGACCTAAAAGGATCAAGGATCTGGCGGAAGATGATATGTGGGTCTGACTTCCATCTACGATTCTATATCCACGCTCAATCTGGGATGCAATTTCTCCCGTCACTTTTTGTCAGGGCTGGTGGGAATTAGGGCGCTAACGACTACGAGGTATACCAGGTCGGAACATTTTACAAGGGGGAACAAAGTATGTGCTGCAGATCAGATATGATTCAGCATAATCGCTTTCACGGCACTGAGAAAGTCCCATCCGATGTCCACTCAAGCTTCATCATTGACGAGATAGCGAATCACTCGTCAAGCAAGCAGAAACCTTCTCTGACCGAGACTTTGCAATTTCCATCCCTGGATGGATCTCTACCAGCCATTCCCAAGACTGTCGCCGATGCGCAACGTCCAAATTTCGTTCGTAGACCATTTCATTGCTCGTTACATGAGAAACAAGAACAGGTTTAGGTCTCTATTGGATGCGATCGAACGCAGGATCCCGGACGCTGCCACCTGCGTCACCCAGCCCAGCAACTGGTCGGTTGTATGACCACCCAGCGAATTGCTGCTGCATAGTCTGAGACAGCACTGGTCCTTCGACGTATGAATCTTTGGGTACTTCGGACGTGAATTCCTTGTCGAAGTTTGCCGTGTCTCGAGCATCCACCTTCAACACATGTTAGCAACAACATTTGCAACCATTCAGTTCTGATACTCACCACATTCGGCTTGAAGCTTGGTTCATATTTCCTCTGTAGCAATTTTCTCCAGTCAATGCCGGCAAAGAAATGGTGGGCTTTGATCTCCGCCGCTCCACCAGCTCCCAATCTACGTTCAGGATTGCGGTCAAGTAGCTTTTGAAGTAGATCCTTTGCTGCTGCGGGTACGATTTCAGGGCCAGGGAAGTGCAATGGTTCTTGAAGTATCTTGCGGTACATTTCGTTGGTGTTCTCGTCGTAGAAAGGTGGAAGTCCCGTGAGCATCTCGTACAAGAGAACGCCCAAAGTCCACCAATCGACAGTCTTCGTGTAGCCGTGTCCAAGAAGTAGTTCTGGTGCCAGATACTCCGGGGTACCACAGAAAGTGTTGGTTCTGTCTTCGTCCTTCATGTCCAGCTTGCACAATCCAAAGTCACACAAGGCAATATGGCCGGTATAATCCAACAGGATGTTCTCTGGCTTGAGATCTCGGTAAATGACCTTGAAGCCATGAAGGCACTCCAAGGCACACAACAACTCCGCAGTGTAGAATCGAGAGCGGTTGATGTCGAAGCGCTGTTCCTTTTGGAGGTGATGGAACAGCTCTCCTCCATTGACAAAGGCCAGGACGAAATAGAGCTTGTCGGGTGATTGGAAAGAGAATTTGAGCGGAGTGATGAAGGGGTTGTTGATCTGCGCCAGCACAGATCTTTCCGCCAGAGTATGAGCGACTTCGGATCGAGAAATGATGTGAGCCTTTCGGATGGTCTTCAGTGCATAGATCCGGCCGGTGTCCTTCTTCATGACTTGCATGACTTTGCCAAAACTTCCTCTTCCTACAACTTTCAAGAGCTCGAAGTCATCGATCTTGAGGCTGCCATGTCGGTTCTCGACATAATTCACACCGACCTTGATTGAGCCGGTTCCGAATTGAATGTCCAGCCACTCGGTACCAAGTTGGCCGGCCTGCTTTTCTTGGGACAAAAAGGCAGCTTCCGCTTTTTCATTCTCCTTCTTGCTCTTCTTCGGGTCCGCGACGAATTGCCGGGCTTCTTCGAACCTCGGAGTGACTCGAGCGCCACCAAGGAATATGTCTTCACTCCTACCGACGCCTGGTCTAGCGGCTGGATTGCGGAGATATAGCTGGACGCTGAGCTCGCACACTCTCGATACGTCGAACTTGAACGAGGTGTTGTCACCAGCCCACAGAGGATTTTCCGGCGTGCCGGAGACAGCATCGACGAAGACTTGCAGCTTATCAAAGTCGAGGAGAGCATAAGGCAGGTACTTGCTGCTGTATCTTCCGTGAATGGTGGGCGCGGCATTGATTCCAGCGTGAGTTGAGACCGGCCTGTTCGGGGGTGCGTATGACCCTGCAACAGACCCGGAAGCATAAGACGAGCTTGGTCTGACTGAGCCCGAGGTTCCCGAGCCATAGTAGTTGTTAAATACTGATTGATATTGTTGTGGCAAAGAAAACCCTTTTCCCTCGTGCAGTGTGACTATCAGGATACCAGGTTTGGTGGTTTGGACCGGTGGCGACGTGAGCTGTTCGGAAGCGGCTGGTAAAAGTTCAGTGAGTGACGCCGAGAAAGCTCATAATGAATAAAATGTGATTCACTTACCGATCCCATTTGCTGACGACGTGCTAGTGTTGCTCTGGGTTGTCGACAGCTCCGGCGAGTCTTGAGCAGGTGAAGCATCTTCAGCCTTGACGGTTGAAGTGGACGTGGATCGACCAAAGCCACTCGTCAGAGGCGCCAGGTGGGTGTCCTTCAATTCTATCACTCTGTCAATTCGTGTCCATCTCGTGATCGCAGTTGTTGAATCAACATACTCTTTGTCAATCTCCACGACATCTTGGAGTGTTGCGCCTCTGCTTGAACCTCAATAGCTTATGACGACAGATTGAGGACGACTGCTAAAGGAAGCAGACAAACTGCCTGGCAGCCGAAAGGTAAAGTATGGATGGGTGCTGCAGGCACAGCCTTAGGAGGTGTTGTTGACCGACAATATTCAAGGAGCGCGGGTTTAAATCTTAAGTGCGGGTGACAAACGGTGAAAGGAGGGGCTGCGAGTGCGGCAGAACGAGGACTTGAGGTGATCGAGGTGAAGACGAGGTGAAGTCGTTTAAGGAGCGTTGAGAAGAGGGTGAGTGATCTGCAGTGAAGGAGGTAAAGAGGCGAAGATGGAAGCTGATGAATAACAGAAGACCGCAGGAGAGTGGACTTGTTGTGTTTGGTGGTGAATCCGAGTTGCACAACAGCACACCAGGTCGACAAGGCCGGGGCCTGAGTTTCAGACTTTCGGGGTGAAGTGTGGGTGGTGAGGCGACCACCTGAAGCCTCCACGCTAACTTCCCAGGTAGAGTCGAGGGCGGCGCAGGCTGCTGAGTGGGCACTGGGTCACTTATTCAGCCAAAGTAACAGGGCCACCAGGGCGGAACAAGCCCCCCAGACAGACATCGGCCGAAAGCTGGGCCGTGCAGAGGTGATTTCGACGTCACGTGGCGTCCGAAGCGGGATGGCTCCTTGGCGAGTTGCGGCTGGCGGTGTTGGTGGCGGATATGAGCCCCCAACTTTGAACGTCAGTCGTACAACGATCACCCTGCTATCCCTGCCTGCAACACCATTATCAACACCATCAAGATCTGGAACCCGCTCAAGGCCAGTCCGAAGCAGTCGTAAACCCGTACACTATACCGTCGACCCTCTTACATCCGATTCCGAGGGCTCTGCGTCACCAACTGCGCCCCGGCGGCCTCGCGTACCACCGGCTGACTCTGCCTACGAGGACGCGACAATCCCTGCCGAGTACGCGCAATATTTCTCCTCTGACTCTGACAGCGAGGAAGATGCTCGCATTGAAAGAAGCATGGGCGTCATAAGGAAAAATGCAGCCTCCCGCGGCGGCGATGGGGGCACAAAATACCACTGCGACGTTTGCTCCATCGACATCACCTCGACTGTTCGCATATCTTGCGCAAATCCCGCGTGCCGCGAATACGATCTCTGTGTCCCATGTTTCGCGCGCGGAGAACACTCGAAAAACCATGACCCGCGCACCCACGAATACCATGTCGTGGAACAGAACTCGATCCCCATCTATGCAGAAGACTGGGGCGCCGATGAGGAACTGCTCCTGCTCGAAGGCTCCGAGAGGTATGGACTCGGTTCGTGGGCCGATGTAGCGGAGCACATTGGAGGCTACCGGGAAAAGGACGAAGTCCGCGACCACTACATCAACACCTATATCAATAGCTCATTGTTCCCACTCCCCGAATTGGCCGACCCTGCAGACACCCGATTATTCGAACGCATACCCAAAGATGAATTTCAAGCTCGTAAAAAGCGGCGCATTGAGGAACGCAAGGAAGCCGCGAAGCTGGCGCCGCCCGCAACCCCCAAGCAGAAGCCTACAGCCTCAGTACCAGCTTGTCACGAGGTGCAGGGCTTTATGCCGGGTCGCCTAGAATTCGAGACCGAGTTCGCCAATGATGCTGAGGAAGCTGTTCAGCACATGTCCTTCGAGCCTGGTGATGGTCTTGACCCTGTGACGGGACAGATGGATGAAGAGACGACGTTGAAAATGACCGTCTTTGACATCTACAATTCCAGACTAAAAGCGAGAACGGACCGGAAACGAATAATATTCGAGCATAACTTACTGGAGTACAAAAAGAACCAGCTTATCGATAAGAAGCGAACAAAGGAGGAGAAAGACTTACTACACAAGGCCAAGCCCTTTGCCAGAATGATGAACCATGAAGATTTCGAGGCGTTGAACCGGGATCTTCTTCTTGAACACAACTTACGTATTGCCATCTCGCAGTTACAAGAGTGGAAGCAGATGGGTATCAGCGACTTGAGAGGCGGCGAGAAGTACGAAGCTGATAAGCAAGCGCGCGCTCTACGAAATCAGCCCCAGGGGCAGTTCGACAGGATGCCTCAGATACCAAAGAAGGGCAGCCAGATCCAGCAACCCGATCTACCAACAGAGGCATCCAAGTTGACCACGCCCGAGTTGCCTCTTCGGTTCCAGCGCAAGCAAAAAACGGTGCCTCAGTTCATTGACAGTCAGCCGGCCGTCCAGAACGACTTTGACAAACTCTTTGCTGAGGCCAGCGGTCCAGACAGCTCTGCAGGACCAAAACCTAAAGTTCGCTTCGTGGTGCAACCGTTGAATGGGACGACTCCTTGGAAATTAGAAGAGGATAAAGCCTATGCTCCTGATCTGCAACTTCTGAGCGAGGAAGAAATCCAACTATGCAATACGCTCCATATCCGACCGAAGCCATATCTTGCCCTCAAAGAAGGCTTGTTGAAAGAAGCTATGAAACAAGGCGGGCACATGAAGAAAAAGGAAGCGCGAGGAGTCTGCCGGGTGAGTGGGCCGACCTTTTTGTATTGGACGCTGCCACTAACTCATGGCATAGATTGATGTCAATAAAGCTAATCGTATATTCGACTTCATGATACACTCCGGGTGGATTGCAAAGGCGTGATGGAGGGAAATATCATCGTTGCATTCCAACCACACAGCACCCACGAGTTGAAACTTGTCTTACCAGTATAGACACACTTCCCCGAGCTGAAACTTGAAGGAAAGGGCAAAAGACGTCTTTGGGGAGGTGCTCCGAGCGCTGTTCTTTGTACTAAATACCTAGGTACTTTGGTACCTCGTTATGCCCGTGTCTCCTGATACAAGAGCATGCTCAGGCCTGCGAGCGTCAGATATCAATCACGTGATATCATCACGTGTGAGCCAAGACTAGAGCTGACAAACGCAACAAACGCCACAAGTATTGGCGGTGTTGACGTCACTGCAAAGCCGCTCTCCTGTCACTCAGCTGTGGAAAAGTTTGGCAAAGATGCCACTTCTTGAAGGCATGAAGGAGACTCTGAATCATCGCAAAATGGGTTGTCAACCTACAAGCTGGAGCGACTGAAGCTCGAGTTAGACATTGCGGAGGTCTAAGGTGGCTGATGCTACCTTTCATGCTGTGTAGACAAGGGCGGCCCGCCGTCTCCATCGAGATATTCCTCCCGATCCATTAACTCCCTTGAAACCTTCCTGATTGCAAAGTTGGACAGTAGACTAGTTGACTGGATGAATCAGACACCGCTTCAGCCACAGGATCACCAGATCGCCGTACGTTCGGGCTCTTGGAGCTTGCTAGCCACTCACTAAATCTCCCAAAATGCAAATATCGTCGTCACAGTATCACTAGGCACTCCCTGGACGCGGCCTGATACGACAAAGCAAGTTATCTCAAGCCATCAGGGTCCACGTTTTCTAGCCATGAAGTGAGACCAACGCCTCGATCTGTGACCCTTGGAGCCCTTGGTAGCTCTAGTTACCGACGTGGCGTCATTTCGATTGGTTTGGGCCAACAAGGCTGACGATCGCTCCCTTTTCCTGAGCCTCGTCCGCATTCCTACATACGTCACACGAGCATCCAAAACCTGATTCTAGGACACCACCACCATCGACAGAAGGGCATCGGAGACATGCATTTATAGCACATCCCAGAAGCAGACGTCCATCGGCTTTCTCTTTCAAACCATTTTCGATAATCCTAGTCTTTTGCAAAGAAAATCAGACAATCAACTTTAACACCCTTCGCACCAATCAAGATGCCTCTCTTCGGACACAAGAACACAGAGCCAACCCCTGCGCAGACAACAGCGCCCAGATACTCAAACTCGTCGGTTGACGGTAGCCCTCGAAGAGGCTTTTTCAACCGGAATCGTTCATCTTCTGCCTCCTCGGCAGACTACGACTCGCATAACCGCCGTCATGGTTCCAAGACCTCTCGTGGATCGACCCGGGGTTCTGGCGGTTTGTTCCACCGTAACCACGAAGACCCGTCTATCATTGGCGCACGGGAGCGAGTCCTTCAGGCCGAGACTGCCGAGAGAGAGGCGGACCGTGCCCTTGTGCAGGCAAGAGCGGCGGTGAGAGAAGCCAGAGAGCGTGTCAAGATCCTCGAGCGAGAGGCTGAGGAAGAGTGAGCATCCCCACCCCGTTGGGAATCTTTTTCAATTTGAACACTGACATGAACGTTTGCAGGGCTCGGTTGGCGAAGATCAAGCAGTCCCAAGCCAAGGACATTTCGAAGAGAGCTAAGCCTCTTGGACGTGAGTATTATTGCTTCCGCCTGGGTTGAAAGCGTTAAAGCGCACACGCTGACAGTCTCCGTTCTTCAGGTCACGACCATTATTGAGCAGCACATCATAGCCCTTCAGCAAGTCTATCAGAACATTTGCGACCGTGTTGTGATTCCAGAGGATGCGATTTGTGATGAACATGTTGCTGGCAGTTGCTATTGAGCGAATGTAACAATACTCTCCTAGATATCCCTGTGTACCATCATGATGAATCATTTTCAGCGATGTGAAAGAGTTGAAGCGGATAACCAAGAATATGATACAAGTTTCTCAATAATGTTTTGTTGCCCCTGTTCTGAATGCATCTCACAGTTGGTGAACTTGAAGGCCGAGGCTTCCCACTGCTACGATTACCTAGGTACCTAGTAGTTTAATTGGCCATTGGCTAAACGATATCAGGTTATCGGGACGTGGCTTGGCGAATTAAAAGCACTGACCCATGACTGGCACTCTGCAGTCCACCGAGTACAAAGGCAGAGCTTGTTACTAGCACCACCCGCAGCTATGGATCCCCCTGCAGCTTTGGTGTGTGGCACTGGGTGGTGCGGTCACCAGTCCGCGTGCCTTTCCTTCGATGGATTATTTTCCTCAGGTATGTTGGGGTCACCGCTGGCCATACCTAGATCTTCAATAACTGCGAGCCCCCGTCTCCTTCATCCTTCTCCTTCCGGTCTCAGTTGTCGGTCTCTTGCTTTGTTGACAGCTTCGATGTGGTTACTCTAGTCCGCTATTTTGCCTGAGGCCCTACAAGATGGCCAGCCAAACCGTTGTCCTGCCCCGCGCCGCCCATTCTGTCACCCGATTCCTTCGTTCTCATCGCCTGCGACGAGATACTGCTCGGGTATGCAAGAGATGTATTGCTATAGGTCAGCGCGGTGAGCAGGATGGTCGTGATCCCCTGACTTTCTCTGAAAAGGCGCCGTTCATGGCCCGCAATGAGCTGTTCAGTCGACGCCATATTGGCCCTTCCCACGAGGACGAGACGGAGATGCTCAAGGCACTGGACCCGCCCGTCAAGGACCTCCAAGACTTCATACAACAGTCTCTGCCGCAAGGGATCCGACAGAAAGCTGCCACTACTCTCAAGGATGGGCAAGGGAGAGACAACATCGCAGGGCGCAATGAAGTGCAAGTGCAGGCCGAGCTGGGAAAACTTTCAGGATTGAACACCCTCACGAGCAATTTCATAGGCGCTGGATACTATGGCACAACAACTCCACCGGTCATCACGAGAAATATCCTGGAAAATCCTGCCTGGTACACCAGCTACACCCCATATCAAGCGGAGATCAGCCAGGGTCGCTTGGAATCGCTTCTGAATTTCCAAACCCTTGTTACCGATCTCACGGGCCTTGCCATAGCCAATGCATCTGTCCTCGATGAAGGCACTGCTGCTGCTGAAGCCATGACCCTCTCTATGAACGCTCTTTCTACTTCTCGACTCAGGGCACCTGGTAAGACGTTTGTTGTCTCGCGCCTCTGCCACCCTCAGACAATTGCCGTCCTGGAGGCGAGGGCGGCAGGCTTCGGCATCAACATCGTGGTGGGTGATGTCCTGGATAACGACTGTCAGCTCGTCAAAGACCAGGGGAGCAACTTAGTTGGAGTTCTCGCGCAATATCCCGACACCACGGGGGGCGTGTTCGACTTTCAGAATCTCTCAGATGTAACACATGCTGCGGATGCCACGTTCTGTGTCGCGACAGACCTGCTCGCGCTGACCCTATTGAAAGCGCCAGGTGAATTTGGCGCCGACGTCGCCTTTGGAAGTGCGCAACGATTTGGCGTCCCCATGGGCTTCGGCGGGCCACATGCTGCCTTCTTTGCTTGTAACGAGAAACACAAACGGAAAATCCCTGGTCGACTCGTCGGGGTGTCCAAGGATCGGCTCGGCAATCGTGCTCTTCGCCTTGCCCTTCAAACTCGGGAGCAACATATCCGGAGAGAAAAAGCCACCAGCAATATCTGTACTGCCCAAGCACTCCTCGCTAACATGAGCGCCTTTTATGCTATTTATCATGGACCAGAGGGCTTGAAAGACATCGCTCATCGGTTATGGGCTACGGCTAAATTTGTTCAAACGCTGATAGAAAAGAACAGCACGACGCTCAAAGTGGTCACGGAAGGTCTTGGTGATGATGGCTCCGTGCTCTTTGACACTGTTACTGTGGAAGCGAAGGATACTTCCACTTATAATGCGATATTGGAACGAGCATCCCAACTTGGAGTCAGCCTGCGAACAAAAGTTCCCGGAAGTAGCCCAGAAAAGCCGAGACTCGGTTTCTCGATTGACGAGACGACCGGCAGCAGGAGCCTGGTCAAGCTGGTGAGTGCTCTTGGGATCAAAAAACCCGAAGTCGACGCTGCCCTGCGAGACTCGCAAGTCCTTTCAAGGGTCAACAACCGAAGTGCCGCAAATACACTACAGAGATCCACGCCATTTTTGACCCATCCTGTCTTTAATCAGCATCGCTCCGAAACCGAGCTACTTCGATATATGCACCATCTCGAATCAAAAGACCTCTCACTCGTACACTCGATGATCCCACTGGGTTCCTGTACCATGAAGCTCAATGGCACTACGGAGATGCTACCTCTGTCTAAGGTCGGCTGGTACTCACTTCACCCTTTCGCTTCCGGTGCAGATGGCTACAAGGCTCTCATCGAGCGGCTGTCCAATAATCTCGCGACGATCACTGGTATGGACGCTGTCAGCTTGCAGCCAAATTCAGGCGCGCAGGGAGAGTTCGCAGGGCTGCGGGTGATTGAGAAATATCAGGCCACCCGAGGCCAGAGTAAACGGAAGGTATGCTTGATCCCTGTCTCCGCCCATGGAACGAATCCTGCATCTGCCGCCATGGCTGGAATGAAAGTTGTGCCGTTGAAATGCGACACGAAGACCGGCAACTTGGACATCAAAGACCTCCAGGAAAAGTGTGAAAAGCACAAGGATGATTTGGCTGCCATCATGATCACTTACCCGAGCACGTTTGGTGTTTTTGAACCGGCAATCAAGGAAGTTTGTCAGATTGTGCACGATCACGGCGGCCAAGTGTACATGGACGGTGCTAACCTCAATGCCCAAATCGGCCTTTGCAATCCCGGCGAAATTGGAGCTGATGTGTGTCATCTTAACCTGCACAAGACTTTCTGCATCCCTCATGGTGGAGGCGGACCTGGCGTGGGGCCTATCGCTGTCAAGGAGCACCTTCAACCATTCCTACCTACTCATCCTCTAGTTGACCCCCATCCCGGCGCAGACCGAGCTAGCACAGCGATCTCTCCGATAAGCTCTGCACCTTGGGGCAGTGCTCTCATTCTCCCTATCAGTTATGCCTACATCCAGCTTATGGGGAGCGAAGGACTGAAACATGGTACGGAAGTTGCGCTGCTGAATGCGAACTACATCATGTCACGTCTCAGACCACATTATCCCATTGTCTATACCAATGCAAACGGGCGGTGTGCACATGAATTCATCCTGGACGCGAGAGGCTTCAAGGAGACTTCGGGCATCGAGGCCATTGACATTGCCAAACGGTTGCAAGACTACGGGTTCCACGCGCCGACCATGAGCTGGCCGGTGGCAAATACCCTCATGATTGAACCTACTGAGTCGGAGTCGAAGGAGGAACTTGACCGATTCTGCGATGCATTGATCGAAATCAGAAAGGAGATCAAAGCTATCGAAGACGGGGAAATGCCCCGAGAGGGTAACGTCCTCAAGATGGCACCGCATCCGCAACAGGATCTGATGCGAAACGACTGGGATCGTCCTTATACCCGAGAGCGGGCGGCATATCCACTGCCGTGGCTGCGAGAGAAGAAATTCTGGCCCACGGTGGCCCGGGTCGACGATGCCTACGGAGATACAAACCTTTTCTGCACCTGTACGCCTGTCGAAGGGTATGAGAAGGAAGGAATCACGGGACACGAAGCGCCCATGCCTACCTAGGAACATGGCCTGTGATACTTGCAAAGGCTTTTTCCATCTCTTCACGGAAGACTTATGCGATCGGAAAGGTACAACGTTGGCATTTTGGAAAAAAGGCTTGATCGGAGTTCAACATTCTGGTCTAGCGAGGGCGCAAACATGAGGGGTTTTTCTTCTCTCTTGAGATTTCCACAGGTACGCTACAAGAAATTCGGCGCAAGCAATGATTCAACCTGCACCAAATAAACACATCCCCCGAAATCTGGTTGGTCCTTTCTGAGTTGGGCAAGTCTTGGATCTCGAATGCGGATAGCACGGTTTTTTTGGGGCCACGGGGAAGCTCGTGCATTTATTTCCAGTTCAACCCCTGCGATTGAGGTGCTTCCAAATGCTCTGCACAGCTTTCGACATGTTTCTACAGATGCTAAAGGCAACTGATGGCGGGAAAGAAAGTACATACAGCACCAACAATACTTGTCTTCAACTTTGGGACAACCGCACCTGAATCACCCACTCAGTCGTGGGCTTCCATCTCGCCAATCGTGAAAGCGAATGTGGGCGCTGTGTGTGGCTTTTCGACGAGGTTTCCTTCCAAAACCACATCCAAGGACCACCTGCAGTAGAGCCGTCGATACCATTGGCGTATGAAAGAAATCTCGTTGCAAGAGCACGTCGTCTTCCCTTCCTCTTGCCTCCCCTCTTCTGCGGCCTTGTGATCGCATCTTCCCATCGTCGGCCGGAGCGGATCCTGTGGAGTTCTTTGAATCTTTTGTCTTTCTCTCCAGCAATGCGACTTTGGCTATTATAGTCTAGTTCTTAACCCCATCGCCCACTTTTCTTCCTGTGAGGGCTGAGAGCCGGGCTCAGAATCGCTTCGCGCCACTCTTCCACTGGCCTGCATCCTCGACGCCATGGGCCACCTTTCTCGCCCCGTTCTCGATACCCGTCAACGCGTTCGCAAGGCCATCTCCCACGGGTTTCCCCAGACTGCCAGTGGCGCCGGTTATGGTTTCGCCGATCCCGCGGCCAGCGGCTCCGGTGACGCCGCCTACAGTGCGGGTCAGTCCGCCTACGGTGTTCTATATATTGGTCAGTGGACGACGGATGCAAGAAACTTAGGGAGAAGACACATACACCGACGGCAGAGGTGACGAACTTTGCAGCGCCCGTGACGCCTTCGTCTGAGGAGGAGGTGTTGATGGGCATTATGTGCGTTTTCCGCGGTTTCTTTCTCTGGGTATCTTCTTGGAAGTGTTGAGTGCGAGCGCCACTGTGTCTGCGTGACTGATGTCGCTTTAAGGGGAGCGAGAGGGAGGATGATATGTGAATGGAGGGTGTCTTGATCGTGGCACGTTGCGCGTACCGTGGTGCGCATGACGATGATGTCATACCCCTCTATCTTGGAGTTGAATCCTCGTATTCATCGAGCCATGTCCCCTGCTCCTACCATGATCCTTGATCCTATAAACCCCTTGTTCCATGTACCCAATGACCGAAGAGACGAGAACGGCGGGAAGCCGCATGGATGCCGCAGGTTCAGGGTTGATGGACTGTGGCTGTGTGCGACCTATGCAATGCAGCCTTGGGCTATATTCGCATTCCGTTTATTCACACATCAGTCTTGAATACTCGAGTTCGAAATGCTGATATTGTCACATCTCAACAACCTCCGCTGGACCATACAGAGTGTCGTCACGTCCCGTCTCGATTATCCTGGCCCCCGTGCTGTTCATCATTCTGAAGCAGACTGTTTTGCTCTTGTGGTTCATCATCCCGAAGCAACCTATTTTGCTCTTGCGCTTCGTCGTCATGACCATTCCTGTTCTCAGCCACAGAAGGACCATTTGCGGATGCAGGGTTCTGGACATCCCCAGCAACCTCAACGTCGTCGACGATGGCGCTCTTAATCTTAACGGACTGGCCATCTGGAGAGTATAGACCCACAATGTCATGATTCTTCAGTTTGCTCTTCTTCCCCACTGGCACTTTGACCGCTAGCTCTGCTTGGGATTCAGTGGCCAGCGGGGCCTTGTGCAAAATCGGATCCGTCTTCGAGTCGATGAGCTGAGCGACTGCTTGCCAGGCGTTGCCCAGACTTGAGATCCTGGTTTGCCAAAGGAACGCTGGCAAGACAAGGCAAAGAACAACAAGCAAGTGGACTCCCAGGACAATTGTGACTGCGATCAATCCTCGCTTCCTGACTGGAGCCGAGGCTTGGACGTACGGCGATGCCGTCACGGTCGAGGGGCCGTTGAGTTGTTGCACCTGCTGGTAATATGCCAGCTCGCTCAGGACGGTCACAATGCTTTGCATAGCAAAAGGCAGCGAACCCCCGGCTTGGAGAATCTCTTGAACGAGCCCCGTGAGTGATGCATCAGCATAGTCATATGACATCTGGGCAGACCACATCCCCATGAGCTGATAGCTCTGCCACAGTAAACGCGTCCAATTGCTACCAAGGTCATAATGGAAGACATTGCTTTGCAGCGAGCCGGCCATGTTGGCATAGTCGGTGATCCAGCTTGTCTGGGTGACACGATTCTGCGGCACAATGTAATCACCAAAGTCGGGCTCCGGAATCCAGGAGTCTCTCCTTTGGAGGTTCATGGTATTGCGGGCGCCCAAGTTGGGCGAGTACGTCACCGCCCCAGTTTCACGGTCTTGTCCCAGTTGTGCTCTGATGGCGGCGAATTCAAAGGCTCGTGTGGCTGCGTTCCATGACGGCGTGAGGTCCGAGTGGTTACCGGACGAGTCGATCTTGACATGGAGATCTGCCGTGTCAAAGGCCGTGTAGCACACGCTGACGCTCAGATTGAGGGTTGCATCTTCCGAATAGATCAGATCATACCATTCGTTCTTCTGCCCGTGCACGCTATAGCCCACGGGCGGAGTGCCCGCGCCACGGAAGATCCCTTGATTAGGATCCTCCCCAGGAATAGCTTCTGCCCAGTCCGCCTCGGAGCCGGACGAGACATTGATCACTAGATACGCGTTGCCAAAGGAATAGTTTGGGTCCCCCACATGCGTGTCCGTTCGAGCCTCCAGACCGGGAACCTGGAATTGACTCTGCAGGAGGAAGGGAGTGGCTGCCATGGCCCCTGAAGGCTGGCAAGCAACCAGCCGCCATTGAGGAAACTGAGCTTGTGTCGTCTGAAAGCTTCCGTTGCTCTGCACTACTGTCAGGGGCACCATGCAGGCAATCACCCCAGGGCAGTTTCCCGAGTCACATTTGAATTCTGGAGAGGAAACTGGTTCCAGGCCAAGATCACTCGGATCATAGCTGCCGAGGTCGATGGTGAAGGCAGTCTCAAAGGCCAACGACTCGTCTGCATAGTGCACACGAGGGTCAACGAGTGTGGGTCGTATACAAACAGTTCTGGCATCGAGAACCGTGGCCAGACCGTCCCACGACGCCACCATAGACCGAGTCTGCTGGTCTACTATCGGGAGAAACGCTCTCAAGGTCAGGCCAGTATCGTCGACTCCGTCAGGCAGGTCTTGAGAGGCCGGTTCGTGGTATTCGGCAAAACTGACGTACGACTGGAGCTGCTGGGACCACGTGGAGCCATGGGTCACGACTGGAATGTCGCCGTCCTGGTCGTATTCAAAATGTGTTGGCAACAACTTGGTCTGGCTCGAGGCCCGCGAGACCACGACGTCGACGTCGGAAAGCAGGGCAAACGAAGTGAACTGGATCAATGCTGTTGTCGAGGCCAAGATCGCGATCAAGAGTGGCCATAAAATAGTTCCCCACCGCCGAGGATTGAAGCGAAAGGCTTTCCAAAGCCACCACACAAGCATGTAAGGACCTCCATTCGCGTTTCGGGTGGTCGATACGGAAGCAAGGTTGAGCAGGAGAACAGCCGTGTGCTCCAGGGCCAGACTGGCAAGCATGGCGGTCGCAGCCGAGGCATGGAAGGACACAGACTGTCTGATTGCCAGCGACCATAACGCGATGAACCTGGGGGCCCAATTTCGATCGATAATGGCTCGCCAAAGTGAGATATGATCGCTTCCCAGCCACAAGAACCACAGGAATCCAAGGCTCAAAATGATGAGGGCGAGGCCAATGCTGAGGGTGCATGTCGCCAGCAAGCCAATTTTGGCATACGAAGAGAAGTAATCCTTGCGTGTCGGCTGCTCAGGCGCGCCGGATGGCTTCTCTGTGACTGAAGTCGAGCCCGACATTGACGATGCAGATACCCTCAATAGCGACAATCTGGGACCACGACAGAGTGAGGCCGCGATTGTGCCAAAGTGGCTGTATTTCAGGAGGGGTGCAAATCCCTGAGTTCATCAGGAGGAGCAAAAGACAAATCCCGAGCCGAACATGCCTCGAGGAGCTGAACTGGGTGGCGTTACGTGGAAGCGAGCACCTTCAGGGCACGAGACATGATTGGGCGTGGTCCCAGGCAGAGGCTTTAGAACACGAGAGGTCTCACATTGAACAGGCCCTGCTTTGGAACCGGAGACCATTGTATAGCAGGCTGCTCCTGAGATATCGACCTATCCAGTTATTGCCTCCTCCATTTGGAAGACACGCCTGCCAACCCTTCCGGGAGCCTCCCACCGCCTGGTTCCTTGATCGAAACCACGCCTCAGCCTCACGAGCTCATATTTGAACGTTTGATCCGCCTGATCAGCACCACTCCTTTCTTCATCTCATCGAAATCAACCATGTTGGCCCTCGACCTACTACTACTCGCTTGCGCTACGCTGGCCGCGGGCCAATTCAATTGCACTCAAGCCAACACGGCCTTCTGCGAAACCCCAGTATCCGGTGTGACCACAGACTACATTATCTACCGTTGCTTCTACGACACTGGAACAGCAACACCCGGCAATTGCAACGACGAGTAGGTGAAGCGCTTTCGTGGACATCATTACTAGCAAGATACACAGTTGACATGGCCGCCGTACAGCCTTGCCGACGTTCCGCCCGTTGGGCTCAAATACGCCTATTGCTGGGAGTCTTCCCCAACTGCTGGAGATGCGCAATGTACCTATAACTGTGTGGCCGTGACTGCTGCCAACGGCACGACGTTTTATCCCGTGGTATGTGTGCCAGGCTGGAAGTTCCCGACAAAGTCCTTCGGAGCTCACCCTATTGTACAGGGCTGCAACAAAACAGCATCCACAACAAGCACCACTCTTAGTGCTATTTCGAGCGCGGTGCTATCCTCTTCGAGCTCCTTAAGCTCCTTCGGTCCCAGCAGCGTCTCCCAGACTAGCTCGGCGACAACGACATCAGCTGCTCCGTCGCATTCTACCTCCAACGCGGCAGCAAGTTTGGGGAGAGCGAGTGTATGGCAATTCCTCGCGATGGTGGGGGGAATCCTGGTCGTTTAGTGTTTGGGTGATATTGACACTCATTACGAGAGGGATCTCGATCGAGCAATTTGCCAGGCAGAGAACAATACTTAGTCTGGCCCCTCAAACAGGATCTTGCGGCTTTCTTTTTGGCTACCCAATAACTTGCATGGCCTGGAATTGGTCGACGTGTTCGGCTGGGCTAGGCCTAGACTTCAGCTCAGCCTGATCCCCATCAGTCTGGGAAGTAGCTCGTATTGGCTTGTGCGTCGTGGGCTTGCATATACGAGTGCGCTAACGACACTGAGAGTCTGGTGATTGCCATGGCTTGTGATATTCTAGGTAGGGGGTTGTAACACACGGCTGAGTCCTAACTCCTGATGTCCCGTGAGGCTCCCAAGTCCGTTCATGACTCCCCTGGGCTCCAGCCACCCCATCCTTCTCGAACTCCTGCCCACCCACACACACACATGGAATACTCGGAAAGTCCCTGAACAGCCCCCTTCGAGCCCAAGGCCCAATGCCCAAGGCAGACACCTGTTCCTCAGCAGAACTGGCTGAACTACCTACCGTAGACCCCCGTGTGGCCTTATTTGGCGTTTTCACTAGTTCTCCCCGGGCTGTACACCCCGTATGCAAGCTACCTACCTAGGTACTTTTCTCGAAAACAGCCCCCAAGAGGCGTTTTAATTATTTATTGGGATTTCCAAACTACCCGGGACATGTCTGGCGACTAATTACGAGGTAATAACCTATATAATATCCACGTACGAGGTAAACGCGGAGGACCGTATTGATTGAGTTTTCGATGAGCCTTGAACTCTTTTTTGCCTCTTGGGTCGGGCCGTTGGGTGAATAATTACTGATGATATACGAGGTATACGAGGTATTTACCGAGTACAACTTTTATGGGTAGCGGGGAAACCTGTTTCAATAATCCATACATAACCGATCAATCAGTCAGTCTATGTACCGAAAAACCCAAACGGAGACTTATAATGTTTTCTATTTTGCTATTCTATTTCACACGGACTAAGAATCTGGGCAGTTATGTATGTGCTGGTGCGGACATGCATACATAATGTGTTTGGGAGGTTGATAATTGTATATTCTATGTGAAGAAGAAGAAGAAGAAGGAGGAGGAGGAGGAGGAAGAGGAGGAAATTCTTTCTGTGTTCACGAAAGAAATGTCCGTATCTTCTCGTGCCCACAAGCGCTGCCTGGGTCGCTGAGCCCATGTTGTCCGGCATTGAAGGGGATATAATCAATACCCAGATCGCCGACCAAGGCGCCGAAAACCTATAGACTCTGTATATCCGAGTATGGAGGTGGTCACAGCCTCGACTGCTTAGACGAGGAAAGCGGCCCCCGTTTCCGTATGGTCCACAAGACCTGCTGCGCTGAAGTTAAGGCGTACATCTCTCTCAATATCTTTCCTCCCCATCTTCGACTCCTTGGTCATTGCTTTGCTTACAGGTGTCTTGGTCCACTTCCTTATCCCCGTCCCAGCCCGTCTGTAGGGGCATTGTCTCCAGGTCCTTTTCAAGATCCGGCTTGCCACCAGTGATAATGCTCGACTGTGGGTGCCTATGCCAGAGATGTTTGACCGGGTTCCTCCCTTTGTCTTGCGTGCCGGGAACCGACTTTCGCGTGGAGGTCAGGGTCCTCCACAGATACCAGCTCAAGCACAATACGACCACTATGGCACAATAGGTCGAGATGATGAAATGAGACCCTACTACGTCCGAGGGAGCGGTTCCGATCTGTCGATCAACAACCTCAGTAAAGCCTAGAACGTGGCCCTGCCGATCTAATGCTGCTATGCGGAGGTATCGTGGCATGTCTGTCGCGAGTTGAAATGAGGTTTCGAATTTTGATTTCTTGAGAGACGTCAAGTCGCGGTACGAGTCGTTCTCAGCAGTCGCATTTAGACCTGCCTGCATCTCTGCCTCCGTGTCTGCACGGCCCTGGAGGACCCAGGTTTGCACCTCCGTCGCACCATTCCAACTCACATATACCTTCCCGTCTCGCGGTCGGAGGTACACATCTGGCGGTGCCGAGGGCTTCCCAACCCACGAAGAAGAGCGAAATGCGCGGTATGATTTCACCCATCCGAACGCCCAGAAGATTGAGGGTGCAAGGTGCACGTCACATAATATCTCGCCGCGCGCGTCAAATTCCGTGTACGCGGGCACGTAGCCCCAGCCGACAAGCGCGTGGTGGTCCCTCGACTCTCCCAGAAGTTGGATTGACCCCTGGCTTCCCACGAGCCGGTGGTCCGGGTGCACGTATTCTCGGACAAGGCTGGCCGTCATTTTGTCGACATCCAACGAAATCACGATTCCGCGACTGTACTCGGCATTTTTGGAGAGACTGTCATATTTCCCATTGTCGAAGAGTGTAACAACAGTGTTATTCTCGTGCATCCTCACATGATGCTGGAATGAGAAATTCGTCGCCTTACCCTTTGACAGGTCAGTGAACTGGTTCCTTTTCCCGCCCAAGATCCAGAGGATGTCGCCCTGCGGACTGATGCATGTAACCGTGTGCATATACCGCGAGGAGACGTAGTAATTGCCCGTCTCCTCGTCCTTTGTGACGCTGTTGATGTGGAAGAAATCCCATGCCGTCTCGGGACTTTCGCCGATGTGGGAGACCTTGCGGCCCGAGGAATCTGGACGTCGCCCTTCGGCCTCGATGGTGTGGAAAGTATCTGGGATGTCGTAGTGCTGTGAAGCACGCCATTCGAAAATCAGCGCCCCTGTCTCGATGTCGATTTCCTGAAAGACACTGTCATAGATCCAGCCTTGTTGCCCGACAATTCCAAAGGCCGAAAGGTTCGCTGGCGTCGGGTCGTAGATCGTCATCAACGCCGTGCCGCCATTGCGCGTGATTTCGAATTCGTGCAAGTCGCCGCTCAGGCCATTGGCGGGTTTCACCGTCTTGTATTCCTGATACGAGGAATCCAGCATCACGTACGAGCCCGTGCCGAATGTGCCGGTATCCGACCCTGTCCAGAATGTCAAATAGTTCCGTCCGCGATACTCTTGGACCTTGAAGTCCATGGCTTGGCCGTACTTGTCCTCCGCCCATACCAATTCGCCGCGCGAGTCTATGATCAGGGGACCGGGTGCAGATACCATGTGCCCCCGGGGCGACAGAAAGGTTGACCCTGACTCGTCGCAGCTGTCGTCCCAACGTACGAAATTCAAAAGGGGCGCCGTTCGCGACCAGGATTTGAAGGTTTGCTGCGGGTACGGACCTAGTAGACCCCAGTCGTACAGAAGCGATGAATATACCCTGCGGTCGGATGCCAGTGATTGCGCGTTATCCGGCAAAATGCAGAGGAAGAGGAACAGGATGTTCTGATAGAGGAATGAGAACTGCCACATCCTGTCTGCTCGTGAAAGCGATACTGTCAACGAGCGACAGCGAGAGTGCTCTGCGAAGATAGAAGGAGGAGCGCAAACACATGAAACTTTTGAAGCGTTCATAGACTCATGTTCCGCCTTGCAAACGACATCCAACTCTATAAGGTACTCAGGTCCAGAGGTAATCAGCTGCGTACCGTACCTTGAACTCTGCAGACGCTGCGGGGCGGTACCTAGTGGTGCCGCGCGTCTTCGACAGGATGAAAAGTCGCAAAGTGCCACAGATTCAACTATACCTGTGGGCTTCCATTGTTGGTCCCATCGTCAAACACCTGGCAAGAATCGTGACATTTTTCCGAGACTTGACCACGTCATGTTCCACGGTTGACCTCAACTGCTCAAAAGGGTGGTGGACCCTACCGCAACCTGGAAGATGGAGGCGATGCATCGTGTGGCGCAATGAAGATTGCGCATGGACGTCCTCCCAGTCTATCCAGGCATTGAGCGCCCGCCCTTGCATAGCAGAGACAGGATGGTGGTGACGGCCAAGGGTTGGCTCGCAAGCATTTCCGACGTCGGTTACAAAGGTGTCGCGTGTCTGGGTACTGTTTCTGGCTATTGAGAGGCTGTGGGTCTTCACGGAAACCACTTCGACGTATATCCTTGATTGGAGGTCTTGGCTGAAGGCCAAACGACCCATTATTCGCTCATTGCCGACCACATCAACGTGTTCTTGCCGATCAACGTCCCGGATCATCCGTGTCTCCCGCACTCAGAGCCAAATAACCCGTGCCGCGAGTATCCTGGCTGGGTCTAAATTGCTGGGTGACGATGATAAGAAGAGGCATCTTGATAGAGCTTGTGCACTCGATACAGCAGAAAGTACTTGGCGAATAAGAATTTCGGACCCATAAAAGCAGATTGCCAAAATGGAACATGGTGCTTGCGAGGACCAGTGTCCGAGGCCGGAATCCTTGGACATTGCAAACCTGCCAACAGCAACAGACGAGCGAGTCTGTTTTCAGGGCCCCAGTCGCCCAGCGGTCGTTTAATACCAATTATGCCCTGCCTCGCCGCGCTTTTCCTTGTTTGGATTCATTGAAACCATCTTCTGGCCGGGTATTTGGTCCACGGTGAACTGTGATTCGAATACTCCAGAAACTGCACGCTTCCCGAGGGCCGCAAATGAATCGAATTCTGCTTCCCCATTGCAGGCTGCCCATTCCAGACTCTTGGGTGAAGATCCGTCTCCGAGATCGCTCCACCGAGTTATAACAATGGCATGCTTGAATAATTTCATTGGATCGCTTTTGTCCTCCTGCATCCTCAGTTCAATAAGATATTCCGTCGGGCATTCTGGACACCGCCGCATGGGACGACATTCAGAGCACAGTGTGATGAGGGGACTGGGCCTGTGCATATGATATTGTACCTTTGCCGCGGCACCGGCGATACCACTCCCGTCCGGTGGTTTGGGAATGTGGCTCAAAGCACATTTCACAGAAGGCATGAGATTGCCATCCCTCCAATGAGCGCACACTGAGAAATACGGATGAAAATTGTCGCCGTGGGAATAGAGAAGCCTCCGGAGCCCTGCAGGCGGGAGTGCCGGGGTTGCAAATGCTGAGCTGATCACCCGAACAAGTAGGTGGCCATTGACAATGGCATAGCGAACCTGATGAGACCACTCTCCATCTCGGTCCTTGTATCGACGCGACATAGTGTCAATGTGAATACCGTGTTCCTTCGAGTATTTGTGCGCCCGCAGAAGGAGTTGGACGAATGGGAACGGCAATGAGCGACCGACTGTGATCCTCTGCCGCGACACTTTGTTCTCGGCATTGAAGGCGTTGGGACAATTGAAAATAGGATTTGAGATGTTGGTGGGACGTAAAATCTCTTGTCCTTTTTGTGTCCGGATGTGGTATATCCCACAAGGGAAGCACAGTAGGTGATCCGGCAATACCTGATCCAAATATGCAAGGAAGTCGGCTTTTGCGTCACGATTCTCCGGCGCGTTCAGGATTGTCCATACTTCCGGCCCAAGTAGGTTCCGGAATGGCTTGCAAGAGAGGGCAAGACTTGCTCTATCCGCTGGATCCAGGAGTTCCACTACTCTTTTCCAAACGGCGTCCGGGAGTCTGGCCTGGAAATTAGTTGCGGGTTGTGGCGGGATTCCAGCAAACAAGAGATGAGCCTTTTCAGCGAGAGAATCCTCTGATTCACGATGTGCTAGACTGTGCAGCATTTCTGTATGGTCTTTTCGTTCGCCGGTCTGCGCATCTCTTTCCCACTCATCGGCAACAGTGATGGCAGGGAATGAGGCTTGTCGAAACGACCGAGATTGATCGAGACTGTTCTTCTTGGACCCTGCCCTAGAGCTTCTAGCGGAATCGGCGGGACTTGATGTCTTTCTGAGGCGCATGGTGAGGGTTGCAGACTTCTGGTCGAGCTTGACCTCGTCAAAGCTCAGGCCGGAAACGGAAGCATCTCTTGAACTCGACCGGCTACCAGACCTTGACTTGAAAGGGTTGAAGAAGCCTAATGAGCTCTTTCTAGGGACCGCTTCAGTCATCTTGGCGGGAACCACATCCTCAAGTCTTAGTGGTCTAAGTGGGTGTAAGGGCTAGAATTTTCACAGGTATCATCTGGTCAAGGCAGGCAAGTACAGAAGCAGCGACATCGACCAAGCTGGAACGTCCGGAGGTCAGTGATTAGAGCACAGTACCACGCGCGGGTTTCACGAAGGGAGGGTTATATCGGCTTCTTGTAGGGCCACCAAAAAGGGTACTGCATTCCCATTTGCGGAAGAGGTGGAGGAGGTCAAGAAAAAGAGGAGGCCAGCGGAAGCTGACTGACTAGGTCCTTGAATGGCAGCTGAGTTGATCCAATGGAGAGAGAAGCTATCGAGGGTGAAAGATGCAGGCGTCCCGTTGAAAGCCGCCGCAGTCGGAGGCTGTCCAGTCAGCAACCGGCATCACATTACATAATCTGCGGTCTCGTTCCACCGTCAACAAAGGAAAGTGAAAAGATAGGGAGACCTTCAGACAGACAAGCATCAAATATTTCAATCGACAGGGTTGATGCCGGAGTTCCACGCAAGAGGCCGTAAGGGCCCGGCCAAGCGATCAAGCCATCGCAGGATCAAGCCATGGCGGATCGCTAGGATGGGCAAGCGCAAACTCGGCAATCAGATGTGGCGCGTGGAATTATGACGGCACGCATTTCCCCTGGATATACTAAACAGTAGAGTCGCAGAACAATCAGCTACAAGTACAATTCATAATAGAGGAATATGAGGCGGAGGAAATAGAAAGCGGTGTTAGCAAGAGAGACAAGCCACTGAAGAGTAAACCGTTTTGCCTCCATCCGGGCAATTTGTAAACATCCATCGACGTTTCTCGAAGTCACCGCGCGTCACTTTTGTGCCTTGGGCCTTGCGCTCTGCGTCCTTTGAGGCCCAACTTCATTATGGCTTCTTCTCGCTCCCCACTCCCTTCCACGAGGTCATCTTTACATGTCAACAATCTAAAATCATGTCTTCACAGACAGAGCCCCTGAAATGGTCGGCTCAACTTGTTGTTGCCCCAGCAAAGCGCGGTCTTGCGGGCGACAAGATCACCTTGCCACAGTCTGCCCTCGAAGCCTTGCTCGCCGCCGCACCTGTCGTATCGGTCTCGAATCCTGCGCAAAGGAACCTCACTTCCTCCTTCGATCCTTATAATCCCTATTCTTTTGCCGCCGAGCGCCGTGCTCGCGCAGCCTTCGGAGACCAACAACAGCAGCTCCCGCACCCTCTCACTTTCCGCATCGTCAATCCGCGCAATGGAAGAGCTGTGTTTGCCGGTATCCGGGAATTCTCCGCCGCTGATGGCACCATCGGGTTGAGCAGCGGTCTGCAAGAAGCCCTTGGTTTGCAAAGCGCAGCGTCGTCTGCTTCAACCACCCGCGAGAACACTCCGAGCGAGGACGTAATCATGACCAATGGCACAAACACTCCTAGAGGACCAACAGTCACAATACAGGCGAAGCAATTGGATAAAGGCACTTATGTAAAATTGAGACCTCTAGAAGCAGGGTATGACCCTGAAGATTGGAAATCGCTGCTCGAGCGTTATCTGCGGGACAACTTCACTACCTTGACTCGTGGGGAATTGCTTGTGGTCCCGGGGGCACGCCATGAAAAATTCCGTTTCTTGGTGGATAAATTCGAACCGGACGAGGACGGGGTGTGCATTGTTGACACCGACCTGGAGGTGGATATTGAGCCACTGAACGAAGAGCAAGCCCGTGAGACGTTGAATAAAAGGCTCGCAAAGAAGAAATCCGTGCTGGAATCACAAGAAGGCAATTCCACTGGGGGACTGCTGGGTCTAGGAGCCGAAATAGAGGGGAAAGTGCTGCCAGGACACTACGTGGATTATGAACTGAAAGACTGGGATCGAAAACAAGATCTGGAGGTGACGTTGCAGGCTGTGGATGACAATGCCACTCTCGACCTCCTTGTCAGTCCATTCTCCTCACGTCAACGATCTAAGCCTCGAGAGGACGAGTACGTCTTCGGCGACTTGAGCACACGACCAACAAAGCGACTAAAACTGTCCCATACCAGTGTCGACCTTGAGGACGCGGAATACTTGAGTATTGCAGTTCACGCCTGGAGAAGTCAGCACGACGAAGTTGAGAATACAGATCAGCCGATCCCGTACAGCCTCAAAATCAAAGCAGGCACTGGGCGAGTCGAAACTATGGAGACTTCGGCTCCAGACCTCTCTCCGGACGAGGTGATATGCAAAAACTGTCACCAGGTGGTTCCCAAACGGACGCTTCCGCTACACGAAGCATTTTGCTACCGAAATAATGTTCTTTGTCCGAAATGTTCGGCCGTGTTTCTCAAGAACTCCGATGCGTGGAAGAATCACTGGCACTGCCCTCATGACGAGGAACACGGGAACGATTCATTCTCGCGTCAGAAACACGACTCCGTCTTTCATCCGGAGACGCCGTTACAATGTCCCCGTTGCGACTTTCAGGCTTTTAACCTTCCGATTTTGGCCCACCATCGTACAACGACTTGTCCAGGGAAGGAGATTCTCTGCCAGTTTTGCCACCTGGTCGTCCCTCAACAAGGCCCTGAGGATGCTTCGTTCACAGATCCTGAGGTGCTGATGTCAGGCCTTTCCCCTCACGAACTCGCTGACGGCGCCCGTACAACCGAGTGTCATCTCTGCAATAAGATCATTCGACTACGGGACATGAAGATGCATCTACTCCTCCATGATCGGGAACGCTTCTCCAGACCCAAGCCGAAGCTTTGCTCGAACCGGATCTGTGGTCGGACTATTAAGCCCGAGGATGAGTTCAGGGTGCAGAAAGAGCAGCTTGGCTTGTGCAACGAGTGTTTCGGCCCGCTATACGTTACGAGCTACGATCCCGAAGGGAAGATGCTGAGGCGAAGAATCGAACGAAGACTGTTGCAGCAGCTAATAGGAGGCTGCGGCAAGCCTTGGTGCGGCAATGAAGATTGCAAGACAGGATATAAGCATTTGCATGGCGAAGAAAGGATTGTGTCTGCCAAGGACGGTCTAGCCATCGTGAAACCTATCATTGACGATATCTCTCGTGGCGTTACGTCGTCCATGGTTTTTTGCGTTGACGAAGCTAGCCAGTCACGGAGGAACCTCGCTGCCATGTTAGCCAACGAGGGCAACTACGAGCTGGAATGGTGTGTCAAAGCACTGCAAGAGGAGAAGGGAGACCTTGACCGAGCAAGAGAGTGGCTTAAACACCGAGCTCCACATATCGGCGAGGTGCTTTCTTGAGGCCAAGACGCTGACATGAATATTGGCGACAACCACGCCGAGAAGTTACTCAGCCATCTAAAAATTCGCTATTGTTGAAGCTACGACCAGAACTGTGTATCGCTATCCCTGGAAGCCAGTTGGTGCGTCTTCTCCAGTGGTTTACATCGAAACCGTATATACATTGAGCGGAACCCTTCCGCCAAAAGCAGTCATCTGTCAAGCGACGAGGTCTTCGGACTCTGAACCTTTTCCATTGTACTTCTGTCTTTGTCAGAACGATGCATCGGCGTCGCCCAGAGGTTCTAGGGCACAGCCTTCGTTGCTTAACGCAATTCAGCAGCCAAGAGCGGCGAGAATGCAACCTCAGAGGCCAACAAAAGGCCCTTGGGGTTTGAAAACACCGCCTAAACCACGGCTGAGCGTGCCGGCTACCACCAAGACTATCCCGAAGCCGGTAGGCGCTATTATCCTCTACGCCATGCTCTGGAGCGCGCGCCAAACAGGGCGGTCCCGTGTCTTGGCCGTTGATCAGGTCGCTATTCGGAAGTCTTATGATTTCTCATTTCATTCGAACCCCTAAATAGGGGCGGATGTTGATATGGAAAACTTTTATGTCAGCTGGGCTAGTGATCTAGGGCTGGATTCGGCGCTCGACTACCACATGGCCGTCTTGTCTATGCCAAGCTTGTGGGTCGAGACGTCCATGCCAATGTCTATACCTCGTTCGCGAGCGGTGAAGGGTATAGTGTCTGGGTAAGGATTGGTAAGGTTCTGAGGTCTTTCTCGTCGGCAGATAGGGGAGAGGGGCGGAAGTTGAAGCGGCGCGGCGAACATATAAGGGAGATGGGGACTGACAAAGGCTGTCGTTGCTCGAGACACAGACTACCACAACGGACAGAGCTATACAGTAATCGTCCAGTTTCGCCTCCCAAATGCCTGTCTCGCCCTATCGAGGTACCTTTCACTTCGTCAATAAAGACGCATCTAATCTCAATAAGAGAGATGCGGAAGAAGCTTTTTCAATCAGTTCCCATGTCACGAACAAATACTATCGCTGGGCAAAGAACCATCGACATGTTGGAGGAAGTCGCGATCCTTCATTGAGCCGCATTTCCAAGGTTGTTGGTTTTGCAGATGCATGCCCAGATTCAAGAGACGCGGACAATGACAGCTACGCCGGGTCTTTCAACGAGGAGGTCTCTGTACGAATGATATGTTGGCAGCTCGGGTCGGGCACAAACCCTTCCACACGTGGCTCTGCTAGTCCTCCCGGCTCACCTGAGTCTACTGATCAGATGAACTCAGACAGTGAGGGTGACAACCCATATTTCAGGCCAGAACTTTGGCCCAGCAGGATGATGCGAGAAGAGTCGCCAATGACACCAAAGAACGCTGACTGGGATGCCCCTGACTGGGCAGCATGTCCCCATTTCCAAAAAGAGGCCTTGCAGATCTTTCGTGGCTTCTTTCTCTCCTTCAGCAGCCTCAATACAGCCAGCAATGCGTCTCGCCAGTCCATCGAGCTGGGTTGGCGAAACAGCGCAAGCAATCTGGTGTCAGATAAGAAGTGTCTGCACGGCTGGTATGCAAGTGTCCTGACGCTCAAGGCACACTTTATGCAGCCCGAATGCTACAACTTTCTCTACCCAATGGCTCTGAAGCATCAAAACAGGAGCCTGATGTTGCTGCGAGAGCACATCCGTCAAGACTTGCGACCCTCGGAGAGCTTGATCATGTGCATCTGGTGTATTGCGAATATAGCGTTCTATACTGGCGACCTGGAAGCAAACGTGGCCCACTCGTCAGCGTTGTGGGAGATCGTAGACGGCCTCGGAGGAATGGAAAAGCTCAGTCCTGAGACTCGAGCGCAAGTTATTCTTGCAGACAATGGGCACTCAAGGTTCACGCTTACCAGACCACGCCTTGATTACGCTCTCTTCGATCCTGGATCCTTTCAACAGCAACCCGAATTCGAGCATTACGACTCTTTGCTGGCCGAGACGGAATTCCAACGCTGGGATGAAACATTCCTGTTGCCCGAAGACGAAATATCCGAAAACCTAGAAAACTATGTCAACATGCACCGAGAATTCATGGCTGCGCATACTCTCATCAGCAGGGTCATTTGCGAGAGAAACGGTGAGCACTCAGTAGACGCCATCTTCAGCTGGCTTCACCGTCGGCGCGCGGCGTTGAGTTCGTGGACGATGAGCCTGTATTGCGACATTGTCGAGACTATCACCCCGCGAACGCGCATCTCCCGGGCGGTTCGTCGGCAGTTACAGGCATGCCTCTGTCTGGCTGTGTCCTATGCCATGTCCTTTGTCTACGGTTTCACGCTCCCTCTCCAGAAATGGCTGCTCTATATCCCCGTCCAACATCTACGGCCCCAGATCGAGATCTTACTGAGCTACATGGCCAAGCGGGGAACACTGCCTTCAACGCGAGTGGCCCCATCCTCAAAGTCGACGATTCCTCCGCCCCCAAGTGCCCTCTCTCACCACGAGCCTCTCCTCTTTCTGTTCTTCGTCGGTGCCTGCGCCGAACAGGTCTCGGACGAAGCGGGCAAGAGGCCACAGCTCCTCGTCGACCCAAAATGGCATTCTACGCGATTTTGCGAGATGTCGCGGATTTTGGGACTGAGAACGTGGAAGGAAGCGCAGAGGATTCTTAAGAGGTTTGTCTATGGGGATGGCACTGTGATGGATCGCTTTGTGGAGGGATTGTTTGAGCAGAGAAACGAGTTGGGGAGGGGGGAAAGTGTTCTCGGCTAGTCTAGCGAGGGCCAGGGAGAGCCGATGTTCTCTTAAGGGAAGGTTGACGCACTTCGAGTAATTGGGATCGGAGACGTGTTGTAGTTCTTGTCTACTCGGTACTCATACATATATTGACCGTTGATGATCCACAGCTGCCCGCCCGTGATCTTGATTACCTACAAGTAGAACTTCCAGTTCCGTGGACACCGGACTGCTTTCTAGTCCATACCTATGTCACATGGAAGCATGGAAGCATCGACCTTCAAACGATGAGTGAGTTGCGGCACCCGAACTACCTCATGCGGGCAGTAGCTGGTAACGCCACATAATACCCACCAGAAAAACCCATGGCCGCGCAAAAGATCGTGACTGGTCGAATTCCCATTATCCATTCTCTCGTGGGCGCCTCAGGCTCCCCTGCGTTTTGGGCACCTCTTTGGATTGTGTTTTGGCGTTGCTGACTTCCTAGGTACCTAGTACCTAGGTATCCGGTACATACAGGGAACAGAATAGACCATGCTCGTACTGGTACTGGCAGGCGTAAAGTTTAGGGAGACAGACCATACTCGTCCTGTCAGGAGTAAAAGCACCTATTCGGTAGGTGCTAATAAGTTGGATCTGGAATGCCTGGGCGGAAGGCGGAATGAAGGAGGGATGGAGGGATATCCGGGAGCCCGTTGGGACTCATGTTAGAACATACCTATCAAGTGCCTAGGTAGGAACCCAGTAGGTAGCATGATATGTAATTAGCTCACATCTTCTACCCACGGGTACGAGTACCGAGTGCTTGGTCCATGCCAAGTCGCTGGGTTGCAGGTGGTTTCTTATTTGTGAAAAGGAAAAAACTTTTTTGGCTGCGGAATTTCTTCCATTCTTCGTCTTCTTGGAGACACCTGCAACAAGCAACCAAGGAGTTACGTCTATCCCCCGTCGCTGGCCAATGGTCCTGCCCCGGGGCCTTCGACAACGTAATGGGATGACATGGCATGTGCGGAGGGATGGCATCTTCCTTCTTGCGAAATTCGAGGCTCTGGCTGGCTTTGCAAGGGCAAGGGGCTAGAAGAAACCAAAGTCCGAAGCATGTATGTATGTATGTATGTATGTATGTAGGCTTGGGAGGCGACATGTGGGATCGAGTTGCCTGATTCGGGATCTGCGCAGGGTGATTCTCAGAGCCGAATGATTTCATGGGCTACCATTCCAGGCCTTTCAGCCTCGTCGTGTCGCAACCCAGCATCTTCGCGCAGATGCTCTGACCATCCGATTCGTCCTCGCCGCCGTCCCCGTTGGCGGCTGGACCGTCAGAATTCGCCTCCCTCTTTCCAGCTACCCGTGCGGCAGGCCTCGCAGCCCAGACCTCCCTGCCCGCGGCCTCCTCCAGCTGGATCTGGTCCTTGAGTACCTTGAGCACCATGCTCTGGAACGCTAGCACGCCTTCTTCGTGGAAGGGGTGCAAGGGTCCCCTGGCAAAGACGCCTCGCTCGAGGTTTTTCTGCACCTTCTCGCACAGGCCAAAGTCCTCGTCCACGACTTTCTGGTAGAATCGGATCATCCGCTCATGTGCCTCGGGAGTGGCGTGCGGCGTGTTCAGCTTGTACACGTCGTATTCCTGCCGCGTGGTAGTCGGCGACGTCGGGAAGCTACGCATCAGATGCATGAACCCCGTGCCTGGGTTCGGGCTGAAGTGGCCGCCCGGCCACACGTGGGTGGCTGACCGGCCCGCAAACCGTGTCGTGTCGAACGCCGATGTGGCGAGGATGGACGCCTTGGGCTCGCTGAAGTGCGCGATGTACTGGTGCGGTGTGGCCGGTGAAACGTAGTAGGTGTCAAGGGCGGTGGTGCGGGCAACATCTGGATGTGCCGTGAGGCAATGGTAGCACTGGATGGTGCGGATCAGCCATTTTTGACACAGGAGGGAAAAGACGGGGGCTTCGATAGGGCTGGCTACATTATTACCTCGTTGTAATTGTCTTGCATGATCTTCCAGTTGAACTTTCCTTCTTTGACCCACGTGAAATCATATTCGACCGCGTCCCAGTCAACGCCGGAACCCTGCAGGACTCCCTGACGATCGAGATCACCAAATTGCTCCTCCCACTGGATCTCAGGTGTCGGGCGGGCATCCAAGTTGACGTAGACGAACCCGTTCCTGTCAACGTGGGTGTGAACGGGAAAGAGGCGAATGTCCGCAGGGTCGAAGTCAGGCACCGACTCTGGTGTGAAACGCGGAGCTTTGGTCAATTTGCCGCTCAGTCCATACGTCCATCCGTGGTATTTGCACGCAAAGATCTTTGCGGTGCCACTGGTTTCGTGCACGAGGGGGAATGCACGATGTCTGCGAGGATTTTAGGCCCGTCACCTGGTGTGTCTCAGGAAGAAGGAAATATGAGAGACTGTGTCCTGAGTCTCATCGTCACAACAAATGGGAAAACCCACCTGCAGATGTTATGGAATCCCACAATGTCGCCGTCTTTGTCCTTGACGACGACAAAGTTGAAGCCGGCCATTTCATATTGCACGTAGTCGCCGATATTGCGGTATCGAGCTTTGTGCGAGACCAGGACCCATCGCTTCGAGAAGATGGCACGCCTTTCCAGCTGGTAGATGGCCGGCAAGTGGTAGAATCCATCTGGCAAAGCACTACCAACATCCGTCGAGATGGTCTTCTGTGACAATGCTTGGAGATGGAGTTGATGGACGACGTGCACCGCGGGTCTTGCACCTTCGTCACCATCGACCGTGGGAGCCGGCATGTTGCAGGCGAGACCCTTCCTTATCTTTGCTCGCCAACCTACCTGTCACGTACCTACATTGTATTATAAAGTCTCGGAGGGATGCCTCTCATACAGTACCAGACAAAATGGATGGGGGAAGGAGCAACACTTCGGACTGTAGATGGATGTGTATTTTTCGAGTCCAGCCAACGGCACCAATACTTCTCCATCCAGCTGCCTCATCAGGAGTAGAGATCCCCTTATCTAAATCACCCACGGAACAAGGGGGGGGAACCACCAGGGGGCTAAGCAACCACAGTGACTTCGCATCAGCCATCCTGCTCTGGTTTAACATGGATTTTGTTTTCTTTCCCACGCCTTCCTGATTGACGCCTGGCTCTTGTTTCCCCTCCTTTACCAGGCTGGACCATCCGGATATGTCGTGTCGAAGAAGAAAATCCCAAACGGAGCACATGCAGCAAAGCAACCTGGAACTCCAACCCAAGTACCCATCTCGCCAGAAAAAGCGTCGATGCAACCCACGCCGCCGCGCGCGGTGCGGTGGGTTCCGTGGCCGCCAAGGGGCCTCACTACTAGGTAGGCCTCGTAAAGCCCGCATATGTCCTTCGCGGGGTTGAATCTGCTTCGTTGCATCCCAAAAGGTGAGTGTTTTGGCGCATGTACATGTATGTATCTGTCGGGTCTGTCCTGGTTGCTTTGATTGCTCGCAACAGTCTTCGGTGCTTGGTCCCTCCTGGCACTTGTTTGATGGCACCTGCAACATGAGTCTACGTCTATCTTCGCTCGACCCAAACGAGCCCCGGGCACTCAAAGGTCAGTTCCTACCAGATGCCGAGGTCCCATGTGTGCGGTGGAGGTGTGGAGGAGAACTACAACATACTAAAGAATGACATCTGCAGATTGTCGAACGTGTAATAGGCGCAGAATACGCTGTGATCGATCGCTGCCAACGTGTAAGAAGTGCGCCCTCAAGGACCTGTCCTGCCCAGGCTATGGCTTGAGGATTCAGTTCGGTCAGGGCGTGGCAAGTCGAGGCAAACTGACGGGCAAAACGCTGCCTGTCCTTGAACCAGCACCGCCGCCGCCCGCTGTCTACACCAAGGACAGTCCCAAAAGCGTCACCCCGGGAGAATCCTCAGATTCACGAGATGATGGCCTCGACGCATCCCTGCTAGCACGGCACGAACCAATCGCCGTGCCACCTGCCCTGCGCAACGCATTCCAGCCCAGCTTCGACGAGACCACTCTCCACAATCCCTTTGCGCTAAATCTCGATCCGTCGTCGTATGCTCTGCCCCATTATCTACAGGGCAGGCCGGTCAGAGAGCTCATTCACTATTACGACCATGTGGTGGCCACCGTCATGCCCTGGGTCGATGGGCCGGAGAACCCGTGGCGGACTCTGATGCTTCCTCTTGCCATGAATTCGCCCTCGCTGCTTCTCGCTGTCCTGGCACTTTCGGCCGAGCATTACAGTACCAGATCAGCCTCAACCTGGCCCATGAACGAGGGGTTTGTCTCCAGTGACTATCGAGACAAGAGCCTGGAGCTCCTCGCTAACGATCTGCGGACAGAGGTGTCGGAACATGCAAGCGTCGCGCGTCACGCTCGAGCCAGCGGCATACTGGCCACCATCCTGGTCCTCTGCAATTTGGAGATGATTCGGTGCGACTCGGCTAGATGGCATGTCCATTGGAAAGCTGCGAGGACGATTACTCGGCGCTGGACAGCCCCCCAGCTGGCCTCCACCGTTCTCGACGATACGTGTCGCTTTCTGGTCAAAGAAGCCTTCGTCTACGATGTCTTTGGCTCCTCCACCACGTTTGATGACGACGACCAAATCCCTGGGTCCGTCTTGGCCGAACAGGACGCCCACGTCTTTACGGATTGGCTGCAACTGGTCCAAGAAGTGACCTGTGCCGAAAGGCGTCGCCACCGCGGTGCACCGCACATCCAGCCCCCGCTAGACCTGGCCAACATGCGGGTCTTGCAAGAGAGGTTCGACTACGCACGGAATCGATCTCTGGAGTTCAGCAAGAGTCTTGACTTTGGCACACCAGGTCTGCATAGCGACTTTGCAGTGCTGGTGGATATATTCCACTACGCTGGACTTGCATATAGCTTCCAAGCTCTCCTGGACCCCCAGGATTTTGCTCCAGCCATAGAGACCTGCGTCAGCGGTGTCATCACCAGAATCGCCGAGATCCAGAACAAGGACGCGTACCAGCACGACCTGGTATGGCCTCTGTTCGTCGTCGGGACACAAAGCAGGTTCAACAAGAACACACAAGCGTTTGCCGATGCTAGGCTCCTGGAGGTGATGCAGTCGACGGGGTTCTCCAATTGTTACCCAGCGCTAGAGTTTCTGCGGCGCTTTTGGAAGAGCGACCCCAATATAGCGGTGGACTGGTTGCAGTTCGCCCGACAGGAATCAAGCCAGGGACTGACTTTCCTGGTGATATGAGCCTCGATGCCGGACGTTTGATGGATCACGAATACCCCGATGGGTGGAGCGTCTAGAAGCTGCAGGTGTACTGAATCACATGTCGACCGTCTCCTCGTCCTCAACACCAAAAAGGACTCGCATTGGGTCCTGATACTCCATGAAGCCTACAGCAGGACGGCTGATTCCATATCCCAGTAACCTCTGTGCTTGGGGAGGCAATCGCTTCGCTTTCTCAGGAGGCACCATCAAGAACTGATTCTCCGCTGGGCGGTAATATGGCTTGCACAAGAAGATTCCCACGGTCTCGCGAGCTTGATCCCTATTCTCCAGTCAGCAGGGATTTAGTGCCAACCTGGGCGAGCCATGACTTACTTTGTGATATTGGCTCCTCCGGCATGATAAAGATTGCCGACGAAGATGAAGGCATCCCCTGGTTCTAGTTCGGCTGGAACCGCCTCATGATCATAAGGGCAGCGATCTGGACCCCAGAGGTGCGAACCAGGAATGGCGATTGTTGCGCCATTCTCTGCCGTGGTTTTCGTCAACGCCGTTACACAACCCAGCATCATGGGCATGTCGCAATTACGAGTGTGATAGTCGCTGCGTCAGAGTCAGCAATGGTCTAGAAGACGCCGAGCAGACATGGCTCACCCGTCGTCGCGGTGCAAGGCTTGTTGCCTTCCACCTGGGTTTACTCGGAAACCAACGGTCGAGGATATAATGGGTTTGGAAAACACCGTCTCTTGCTGCTGTCCGTTCCAGTATGTATACGTGGAAGAGATCATCTTGTTGGCTATATCGATATATGTAGGATTCATTGCCAACTCGACGCAGCCATCCGACCGAGCCAGGAGGCCGGTAGCCCTCTGTGTGGTGTGGGGAAAGAATCCTGAAGGATCAACTTTGTCTGTATCGAAGTAAGGCTTCAGCTCAGTCTTGATCTGCGTAGCCAGTTCCTTGGAGATGATGTTCTCCACGATCACACCGCCATCCCGTTCTATAATCGACACGAGGAGCTCCGTCGTCGTTGCCGGGTCGTTGGCATCACAGCGTGCAAGTGTTGGTTTGCTCACAACTCCATTCGAAGCCCCAGCGGGCTTCTTTGACACCACAGGCGTCTCAATCGTGTCCTCGACAGCGATAGGCGCCATGGTATCTATGTGGAGATGCAGCGACAGAGCAGGAGACCTGACGGATGGTGCAAAGCAACAGGCCTTTGATCTGGCAGAGGTTGTCGACAGGGTTCGCAATGTCTTCACAACTGCAGGGCGAAGGACTGATAGCATCAATAGAAGATGGGGTTTTCTTTCGTCCAGTGCGCGCCCACCGGGATTCATATATAGACTGATCTCATGACGTTGAGAAAAGGTTCAACTTCTCCTGTCTCCTGCCCAGGTTGGAACAGCGACCAGGCTAGCCTGTGACACGTCCAAGGGAGTTTTCCGTGCGGACTTCCCGTCTCTCTTCCCAGCAGAACTATTATTCAAATGTCCAAAGATAGCAGGTGACTTGAGAACCGGGAATCAAAACCCCTCCAAGATTGGGTCTGGACCGTCTGGCCCGAAGCTGAAGAACCTTTGCCTGGGTAAGCAGAGAGAAAGCAAAAAATGAATCCGTGGGAATTCGATACCTCAACGGGCTGGTGGATGGAGACAATGATGGAGAAACCGGGGCATATCTCGAGGGCATTGGGTGAGTGTTTCTCTGGTCTGAGAAGATCTCACCTGCCAGAAAGAAAGGACCTATCACCCACCTATTATTGTTTGTTCCCGTCCGTCCTAGAGAATCAATCCATTCCGATCAATCATACAGCTTCAGGGGAGCTTCGGCAAAGGAGAGGGACTTCTCCATCCACCAGCCTCATCGGGCAAGGGACGTACTACCAAAGGATGGGGACGCTTGCCCACAACCCAAGCCAGGGACTGACTCGGATGTCACACCTGTACGTTGAAGTAGCAAAAGGCCGCCGACAACCGCAAAGTGGCCGCCGCTGCTCCCAGATGTGCAGGAGTATGGACAACTGTATCGACGAGAGTCGCAGAAGAGACCAGGAGGAAAACAGTCTACATGGCCCATTGGGTAGATGGTTATCCTTTGCTGAGTGGCTGTCGATCCATGCAAGAACGAGAGGACTGTCCGTCCCCCCGTCGGCTCCAGTCCAGCTCGCAAGCCATCGAGCCCCTACAATAGGCCGGCCAATGCGGCTCGTCCCTTGTTCTAGATGGAGAATCAACAATCAAAGTTTCGCGAGACGTTCGTTACACAAATCTAGTCCCTGCGATAAGGAACTTAAGGAAGGGGTAGCCATATGCGGGACACACTTTCTTACCCGAGTGTCTATCATTCATCAAACAGCCTTTGCCGCCTTGTTCTCGCAACGTTTGGGCCTGCCCGCCAAAGCATCCAACATGCAGAGAGCCTGATATATCGCCTTCGGTCTACGATAGTGTGCATGATAAGCGTGCTACATGCCCAATGGGTATTAGGACCCGGACAACGAATCCTCCAGCCACATGGCTTTTGCAAGGATCGCTGCCAATGCTCATCGACTAGCAACTGGCGAAGGGGGGGAGAGAAGTACCTAGGACTTTGTGACTTTGTACCCCCTCCGCAGCAGCGAGGCTTGTTTAACTTAACCTCAACTCCTCCTCCCAAATCTTCAATGATTTCTTTTTGGTCCTTTGCCTCGCGACGGTGAGTCCTTTGCACAGCAGCCTCTGTCTCCACCTGTGCCCAGAGAGTGGTTCTTTTGGCCCTTCCACTCGCCCCGTTCAAGATGATGGACTCGAAGGTCGAGTATGTGGCGGAGGACCTGGACGCGACAACCACTCTGGAGGATGCCAAATCGGTTGGCAGCGATGATGCCCTGCTCATGTCCATGGGCAAGAAGCCCGAGTTGCGACGTGTCTACAACTTCTGGACGTGTGAGTGTGGTCTATTGCAAAGTGCCACGGTGGGCCATATTTGCTTACAATCGGGTCAACAGTGTGCGCATACCAGATTATGATATCGTGCAGTTGGTCCTGCTTGGTGGTCCTCTACTCGACCATCTTCGACGTTGGCGGCCCTTTTGCGCTCGTATGGGGCACGTAAGTGGCATTGAGTTTTCTGCTCGACCAACATGGATACTTTTTCTGACAGGCGATAATACAGTCTCTTCGTCGCCGTCGGCCAGACTCTCCTGATGATGTCCCTGGCCGAATACTGCAGCATATGGCCGACAGCAGGCGGTCAGCAATACTACGTCCAGGCCGTGGCAACCGGCAAGCTGCGGCCTATCTTGTCGTATCTCGTCGGCTGGGCGGTCATTGTCGGCGAAATCAGCACGGGATCCAGCTGTGCGTTGAATAGCGCAGAAATCATTGCATCTTTTGTGGAGGTCACGCACCCGGATTTTGAGTGGAAGGTCAGCATCTTCCTCGCATCAGTCCCTGGGAAGAATGCATACTAACAGCGGTAGGCCTGGATGACATGGATTATCTACACAGCTTTCCTCATCGGTCCCATTGTCATGAACTTGAAGCAGTCGTACGTATACCCGGACTGTGTTTCTGCTCTTCCATGCTTGGCTGGCTGACAACCACCCGCGCAGATGGCTTCCGGGAATGAACATGTTTGGCGCCATCTGGACCATCGCGGGCGGCATCGCGTGGGTCATCGTCTTTGCCGTCATGGCACCCAAGCACGACGCCAAATTCATCTTCACAAAGTTCATCAACAACTCCGGGTACACGAGCGCCGGCTGGGTGTTTATCATGTCATTCTATTCGCCCATGTACGGCCTATACGGCACCGATGGCATGATGCATCTTGTATGTGTCAATCCGCGATTGCTCCACAAGAGAGAGATGCTGACACAGAGATACACAGGTTGAAGAGATGAGGAATGCCTCCAGGGACGCTCCAGTGAGTCTCTCTGTCTTCCCCATCTAACGAAACAATAGCTGACACAGTCTAGCGCGTGATGGTCTGGTCGATGATCTTCTGCAGCATTACCAGCTGGCTCGGCGCGATCGTTCTGCTATGGACAGCTGGCAATTGGCAAGAGTACATGCTCGGTAGGTGTCCCCTTTTGCTCCCTTCCACCCGGGTCTTCCCTTTTTGTCGCTGTCGCTCGACCGTCATCCCGGACTAATGCCTCGCCCAGCATCCCAACCGTACATGAACTGGTGGATGGACATCTGCCACAGCGTGTACGGCGGCGGCATCTTCTGCGCGCTGATCATGATCGGGCTCAACTTCTTTATTATTGTTGGCACCAACAACGCCGGCTCCCGCCTGGCCTGGAGCATGGCCCGCGACAAGGCCTTTCCTTACTCCAAATACTTTGCGCATGTGAGCGAGCGCTTCCACATCCCGCTGCGGGCCATGATTGCCATTTTGGTCGTGGACTTGGTGATCGGCCTCATCGTGCTCGGGAGTGACCTTGCTTTCGAGTCGATCATTTCCGGCGGAGGCGTGACTCTGCAGATTGGCTATGTGACGCCGGTGATAGTGGTATGTTTGTCCTCCCTACCACCATTGTCATCACTTTCTTCTATACACCTCAAGCCTCTCTTTCCCTTCCTGACCCCATCTGCCCCAATTCCCCCTGAGCTCCCTCTACCATGGCTATCCTCCCACCTGTCCTGCTATGCATCCTCTTCATCCACCCCCCACCTCTCTCTCTATTATTTATCCATCCAATAACTCTTCGATTTCGAATGAAACAGGTCCTCCTCCGCGGCCGCAAAATCCTCCCTCCCCGCCCGCACTTCGACCTCGGCCGCTGGGGCTACCCGATCAACATCATCTCGGTATGCTGGTCCCTGATCATCATCGTCATGTACCTGTGCCCGCTCTACGTGCCCGTCACGATCGCCAACATCGACTACATGAACTGGTCATGCCTGATTGTCGGGGCGACCATTCTGTTTCCGGGCATCTACTGGGTCTGGCGCGCCCGGTTCCGCTACATCAAGGAGGGGAACAGCGTGCTGGAGGATAATGTCGTGTACATTGATGGCGTGGCTGTTGCGGGGGCGCAGGCGTTGGGTGCAAGGGGTGGGAAATGAATCATCCGGGGAATTGAGTTTCTTTTTGGATCGTAGTCGTTATAGATGGTTGGGTGGAGCGTGGGTAAGGGAAGCAGGGCCAGAGTATATACACACACACACACACATATACACATGCGTGTGTGCGTGTGAGTAGCATGGCATAGATTGTATGGGGGAGGGGGCACTGGCATGGTCCCGGCGCAAAAACATCTCTTGTTATCTACATGGGTATTATCCTTAGGATTCGTTGGTACTGGTCGATTGAGCGTGCAGAAGTAGATTCTGTCTTTCATATATGTACGTGTCCATGGATAACGCAAGGAGAACAAAGAGCGGATCGTGTGTTCAGCACTGTAGGTGATGATCTTTTATACATACATTGACTCTGAGTGTCACATTCTAACCAGTCTAACCAGTGGGGTATACCTGTGTCCTGTGCACTCTTTCGGATATCTAGCTAACGCCTTGCCATACAAGAAAACCCCTCTCAGAGTCTATAAATCCCGTCATGAAATTATCGTCATATCCAATCAACAGATCCACAATCTATCCCCAAACCAAGCTCTGCTCGAGCTCGTCATAACAACACTGCGACGCCCAAGGTCAAGGCGAGGTATCCCAGCATGTTCACCCCCGCCCCAAAGCCAGCTGCACCGTTGCCGCTTGTCGTGCTGCCTGTAGCTTTTGCCGCGTCGACCGTGGCGCTAGCAGCCGAGTTCTCCGCCGAGGGTTTGGGCTGATCCGACAGATCCAAACCCAGGAACAATGTCTGTGCGCAGAGCTTCGGGAGACTATCCGCGAATGCAAGTTGCTGGTCCGAAGGGCAGCCCAGAATGCAATTGATCAAGGGGTCGTTGGAGGGCGAGTAGCTCTCGCATTTGCACTGGTCGAGCGCGGAGCCCGTCTCGGTGCCGTTGCAGTGGTTGACGATCGGGTAGGTGGAGATGCAGTTGTTGACACATGAGCCGAATTGGGTGCTGCTTGACTGCGCGGTGATGAGAGTGAGGAGGAGGGAAGCAGAGATGAGGAAGGAAATGAGAGGACTTATGCGAGGGGGCATCTTTGGCTCCTAATAACCGCGGATGGAAGCTCTGTTTCACTGAGGGGAAATGGCGAGTACGGAGATCTTGTGTTTTGGGGGAAGACGAGCAGTCCCGAACAAGACATATTTGAACAACAGACGCAGAGCCGCGACGAGCAGAGATATGAAGATTGGATCACGTCTGGGCCTTACCAGGTAGTCTGACTCAACTCGGGCCTTGGGATCCCAAATTAGATGCCCACAAGGCTGAGGCGGGCAGTGCTCAGCTCGCTAGCAAAGGCCCAAGGACAATCGGCCCTCGGAGTGCGATGGAGTGGCCTTACGAGGTAGCAATCATGAATACTCGGTAAAGAGGATCGGACCGAGACTTGTATGGCCATATCCCATGTAGACATGTAGACGTCGAATACAAATACCAAAAACCGAGTGAGCTGAGTCTGATGTTTGGGGCATCTGTGCGGCCCGGTCAAAGAGAGTAGAGGGGAAAGGAATAAAGCACGCCAGTTGATTGCGGACATGGCGGTATCGGCAGTTGATCAGTCTGCTATAGATACAGGTATGGGTCTGTTGTATCAAGCAAGGGAGAAGAAATGAAGGTTGGTAAAGCACTTCAAAGGCAAGTTGTTCTTTGTGGTTGGCGGGCTTAGCGGAACCACGGCAGCGGGTAGGAAACGCGACGTCATTGTAGCAGTTGCGACATCAAAATTGTGTTGAGCAGCAGCTTGCTACATCCTGCTTCATGCTGCTTCATGCTGTTTCATCCTGCTTCATGTTTCTACTCTTCAAGTTCTGCATGGGTCACTGATAGACACACCCCTCGTTCTTGACTTTGATGCGTTCCTTTTTCCTGTTTGGCCGCTTCTGTGGCCAAAGGGATTTCCATCTCTTTCGATTCACAAGCCGCGTCCGCATCCCCCGACGTCAACAGTCTTTCAGCCAATGGACCAGAAAATACAGCCTCAAAGACCCCCGTCAGCGGCAGCGGCAGCGGCGCACTCCATCTCTCCTGGCAGCTGCAGCCGCTCTTTCCCCTGCAGCCTTTATCCGCCTCGGGGAAGATGAAAATGAAGGTGGCAAGACTCGAGAAATCAAAATGTTGGAGGTGTCGAGGGAGGAGATCAGCAAGAAAGTTCCCGACGACGCTTACGGCCTGCGTCGACTCTACAAGACCGTCATCTACGTCCTTGATCAGTGGCTGTACGAACCTCTTGCCACGGGTCTGCGCTTTTTCCATCTGTTCGTCATCTTCGTCCCCGTCATTGTGACGATCCCCGCCGCGTTCCTGGGTCCGAGAAGAAAAGATCGCGATAACGAAAGAGTCGGGACAATATGGTGGTACGGGTTTCTTGTGAGCTCCATGGAGAGAGCCGGGCCTGCTTTCATCAAACTTGGTCAATGGGCTGCGTCCAGGAGCGACATCTTCCCCGCCGAGATGTGCAGGCAGATGTCCGAGCTCCATTCCAATGCTCCTGCCCATTCCCTGCGTCACACCATCAAGACCATCTCGGAAGCATTTGGGGGGAGGTCGTTCAATGAAATCTTTGAGGAGTTCGATGAGAAGCCCCTCGGCGTGGGCGCCATTGCTCAAGTCTACAAGGCAAGGCTCAAGCCAGACCTCGCGAAGCCAGATGATAGCGACCTCGAGGCGTCAGACAAATACAGACTCCGGGATCGAATCAGGAGGAACGTTGATGCCCTCGTCAAATCAAGCCCCCAAAGAGTCCCTTCCGCTTATGTCGCCATCAAGGTCCTACATCCAAAAGTGGAACGTAACGTTCGCCGAGATCTCAAAATTATGGCCGTCTTTGCCGCAATCATTAATGCTATCCCGACCTTGGAGTGGCTGGATCTGCCCAACGAAGTCAGCAACTTTGGCGAGATGATGAGGCTGCAGCTGGATTTGCGAATCGAGGCGGCCAACCTGACAATTCTCCGAAGACATTTTCAACATAGAACTACAGCATGGTTCCCTTATCCATATACAGACTTTACTACTCGCACCGTCCTCGTGGAGGAGTTCGCGCAAGGACTTCCTCTCGCAGCCTTTCTAGAATCCGGAGGTGGCGCATTTCAGAAAGACATTGCAAACGAGGGATTAGATGCCTTCTTACACATGCTTCTGATAGACAACTTTGTTCATGCCGACCTTCATCCCGGCAATATAATGGTCAACTTCTATAAGCCAGTCCATCCGGACATGGGGCTGGACGTCAAGTTCCCTACTCATATGTCTCGACAAGACGCATCTCAGCCAGCGACGGCTTCCGAAATCGATGAATCGGAGGCAGTTCTATCGCGCCTGCGTCCGTACATTGGAAAAAAAAGGGAATGGTTAGCTGCCCTGGAGCAGCTTGACAAGGAGGGCTACATACCACAACTGATCTTTATCGACACAGGCCTCGTCACAGAACTAAACGCAAAGAACAGAGCCAACTTCTTGGATCTTTTCCGTGCCGTCGCCGAGTTCGACGGCTACAAGGCTGGACATTTGATGATTGAACGATGTCGTCAGCCTGATGCTGTTATCGACGGCGAAGTGTTTGCCCTGAAGATGCAGCATCTCGTCCTGGCCGTCAAGGGCCAAACCTTTGCTTTGGGTAATATCAAAATCGGCGATGTTCTTTCTTCAGTCCTCGGGATGGTCAGAGCCCATCATGTCAGGATGGAAGGTGATTTCGTGAACGTGGTCATCTCAATTCTGCTTTTGGAGGGTATTGGAAGGGCATTGGATCCCGATCTTGATCTCTTCCAGAGTGCCCTGCCAATTCTGCGACAAATTGGATCTTCAGACCCCGGAGCCGTGCTCAAGAGCTTCAAAGAGGGTGACTTTTCGTTGCTGAAGATCTGGGTTGGACTCGAAGCACGAAGATTCTTCCAGGCCAGCGCGGAAAGTGTTGAGATGTGTGTCAAGTACGACTTGCTCAGTCCCAATGTGTGAGCAGAAAGCAGCAACCACAAGCGGAATTGGAGCCGAAACATCTACACCTGGCCCTAGATCTGCTCACATCCAAACTACCAAAACTCTAATCCGAGCCACGCTGTTCGGGAAGCCAATTGCATCTGATGCCGACCTGGCACACAGATAATATCCTCTCTTGAGGATGCTCTGAGCAGTGCAGAGTGACTCAGTGCCGGGAAGGAGGCAAGGCTCGTTCGGGCAATCGGATGTCGGACAGGCAGGCCACGAGACAAAGAATGGACACCTAAAATCGAGTCGAAGGAGTGCCCAGGTAGAGAGGGTCTTGGGAGGTTATAACCGAGCCAAAGCCACGACGTCCACCTCTTGAAAGTTGGCATCTGGTTCGAGCCGGGGATTCTCTACAATCAACGGGTCTCTACTCAGTATCTTCCAACTTGCAGACCACAATACCCACTCATGTCCGCCGCTCTGACCTGCACCGAAGTGGGCTGATCCCCGGTCTAGCCACTGCCGACGAGGGCCCTCCCAGCCATCAACGTTCTTAAGGCGCTGGGATGAGAACTATGCGACTATTCGGTACAGGACACAGGCTGTCTTGGATTCGCACTAACGATTAGCCTAATGTATTCTCGAAGCAGTATCAATTGCATGCTGTCCGTGAGCCAAGGATGGCTTGTAAACAAGTCCGTAGGCTTTGCATGTGGCAAAAGGCAAAATCTCGGTCGGTGAGTTTGCGGTGCTTGTCGTCTGGGAGCCTGGAGGGCCGTCTTGCGCCAGCTTCAGGATTCCTCGCCCAGGCCTAGCTATATCTTCACATGCGAACCGATGCAAAGATATTGTTTATTCCCACAGCTATGTACGCAGAGTTCTCACTTCAGGCCTATCTCAGCCTGCAGGTGCGATGAATGTGCGAGGGTCACGTTCCGACGGCATTTCGGTTATTGTCCTTGTGGGTTCCGTATCTATATCTATATCTACAATCACATTAGGAGATTGCCCCAAGAAGGTTTGACGCCGTCGGAAGATGGGTGCTTCTACCCAGGCACGGGACTTATAACACGGCCGTTCTGGACTTCTCCCGCTGGGGCCACGGAACATTTGGGGGTCAAAAGTCCTCCCCCATGGAGTCTACGCCTTTGTGGGGGAAGAAGGGCCACAGTCAACCGGGGCCCGGACACGGATCGGTCACGGTCCCCAGACCGTTCTGCCCCAAGCTCAGCATTCACCTGGTCCAGAAGGAGGCCGCTCCAGGCACCCCAGAGGCTCGAAATAAGTTAGGATTATACGCTTCCATTTAACTACGAATGGAATGGACAGACGGGTATCGCCTTCTATTTCCTGGTGCTTTAGGTAGCTGGTGGCTTGGGCTCGGGCGGAGATCTTAACCATGGCCACCCAACCATGCCACGACCGTGACCTTCCAAGAAGATCGTTCCATGCAGTCACCCTGCTCCTGTTGCATCAGATGAACACGAGCGCCATCGACAATCCAGCCATCAGAAGCTTGGTTCCGTCGGGATCCCACCGGTGTTTTACCGTTCAAGCTCTGTTGCCCAAAAGTGGTGCATGTGGCCTTGTCTTGACAACCTCCACAACGTCAGCCCAGACGTGTGTTGCACCCGCCCTGATTTCAGCAGCTGGAGCTACCAGTATGCACAAGGGTCACGAGTGGCCCTCTCGCAGCCCCATGGCATGATCGTCCCCACGATTTCTCCATCTCTGCGTGGCAAAGACGACTCGACTTCGCTTCCACGAGCCTGGGGAGGATGGGCGCGTGCAAGTCATGAAGTCAGTGCCGCTCCCTTAAAGGAATGACGATCCTGCATCTCCCCAGCTCAATTCTCCTTCTCCTCCTAGCACCTTGTGTATCCTAAGCTGTCGCATTTGTACGGCCGCACAAAATGGGCGATATCAAGTCAGGAGGTGCCGGTGTGGTTCTCGACCACGATGTCCTTGGGGAGAAGGCTGGTCTCTCGCACGATGAGGCCATGCATTTTGGCGCCCTCACCGAGGAGGAGCTTGCCATCGAGAAGAAACTTGTCCGCAAGATCGATTTCCGGATCATGCCCTTGATTGTGCTCGTCTACTTGATGAACTACATTGATCGGTAAGTCATCACATTCGCGGCAGCTATCGAATCTGGGTAGAGCTGATGGGGAGTCCAGGAACAACTATGCCGCCGCTCGGTTGCAGGGTCTCGAGGATGACTTGGGCTTGCATGGTGATCAGTATCAGACTGGTAGGGTTGACTCTCTATCAATATGGCGCCCCTTATCCCTAACAGCTGGCGGCTAGGTCTTTCCATCCTCTTCGTCAGCTACATCTTGGCTCAAGTGCCGTCCAACCTCTTACTCAACCACCTCGGCCGTCCTTCTCTATACCTAGGCTTCTTCGTATGCGCCTGGGGCCTCGTATCGGCGTTGACTTCTCAAGTCAAGAGCTATGGCGGAATTGTCGCCTGTCGTTTTGTGCTTGGTTTGGTCGAGGCTCCCTTCTTCCCAGGTACGGCGACTTTCTGCGAATTCTCGAGCACAAGAAGTGCTAACTGCTGCAGGTGTCCTCTTCTACCTCTCCAGGTGGTACACCAAGAAGGAATTGAACCTCCGAATGTCCATCTTCTATTCCGGTTCCCTCATCAGCGGTGCATTTGGCAACCTTATCGCTGCTGGTATTCTCAGTGGTTTGGCTGGCGAAATGGGCATGTCCGCATGGTGAGTTTTGCCGCTACCCTTTTGCTTTCGATACACCAGACTGACTTTTTCCTTAGGCAATGGCTTTATGTCATTGAAGGTTCCATCACATGTTTCATCGGCCTGGTCATTTGCTTTGTCCTCCCCGACTTCCCCAGCACCTGGAAGCGTCTGCCCGAAGAGATGAAACATGTGGCGAACCGCCGCCTCGCGATCGAAGCCGCCGAAGCCGACGTCGATGAAGAAGGAGGCATGTCGCAGTGGAAGGGCTTCAAACTCGCCATGACCGACTCCAAGACCTACATGCTCGCCATCGCCTACATGTGCATCACCGGGGCCGCCGGGTTCCAAAACTTCTTCCCAACGCTCACCGCCACTTTGGGTTACAACCACATCATCTCGCTCCTCCTCTGCGCACCCCCCTACATGTTCATGGTTTTCTACTCGTTCGCGCACTCGGTCGTCTCGGACCGCATGGAGAACCGCTTCTGGTTCTTCATGTACCCGATCCCGATCACCATCGTCGGCTGGATCATCTTCATGACCACCGACACCTTTGGGCCCCGCTACTTCTCCCTCTTCCTCATGATCTTCGTCTTCGCCATGAACGGCACCTGCTACGCGTGGATCGCCTCGGCCATCCCGCGCCCACCGGCAAAGCGCGCCGCAGCGTACGCCTTTATCAACTCGATCGGCAACTCGGCATCCATCTGGACACCCTATACGTACCGCGACCAGGACAAACCCTACTACCGTCTCGCCCTGGGCATCAACATCGGCCTGCAAGCCGTGGCGGCAATCATGGGCGTCAGCATGCGCATCGTGTTGACGAGACAGAACAAGCGCCTCGAGAGGATGGAGGATGAAGACACGCCCTTGACGGATCGCGATCTGGCGAAACTGAGAAGGACCGCGGAGATTGAGGGCATTGATCTCGCTGCTGCGAGACGGTTGCAGAAGGGCTATAGGTATATGATTTGAGAGGTCTGGATGATTTCTCTGTCTGTCTCTCTCTTTCTCCCTCTCTGCTCCCGTCTACGAGCGTACTTCATGGCGGCTCAAATGGATTGCATCTACGGTACTTGATTGAGTCATTGATTCGACATTGATCCAGTGACTGAACTTGCCCATGTAAGGCGAGGAGGGACAGGCGGGGGATATTCATCATACTTTACCGTGCTGCGGTGAGTGGGTGGGAGAGTGGGTGAATTGAATCGAAATGCAATTGAACTGAACTGAATCGAATTGACCCGCCAAAGATTCCAAGCAAGTAGATAGTGCTCTGGATTGAATAATTATCAGTCGTCCAACAAGCGCAAGAGAGTCTCTCGCTGTCAAGTCTGTCAAGTCCGTTCTGTCCAGGAGCCTTTCCTTTTGAACTCAACCGGAGGGAATGAATAAAATGAATGAATGAATGAATGAATACCCTCAACATAGTAGTAACCCAGCCATTTGAAATGCAATCAGTTGACATGAACCTACCCGCCAAATGCCAAACGCCAAACGTCAAACAGTGACTCGACCAGACCAAACCAAACCATCCATCCATCCATCCATCCAGATTCCGACCAACAGAGGACCCCAGTCGTCAATTGCGGCTACGTGTGACGGGGTCGAGATCGATCTAACACGGTGGTGCGCAGGCGTGTGTGTGTGGCCCACAGCCCCGAGAGAAAGGGAAGGATCATTAAAGGAATGTACGTCAAAAAAGAATCTTCACTACTTGAATGTCTCAATTCTCCTATTTGATTCCCGTACATACCACCTACCACCTACCACCTACATACCATTCCAGCATCGCACCCCGAGTCGCGAGACTCCTTCAGCTATATTCTGTATACACACTTTACATATGTGCGTGGCATTTTTATATTGCTTGCCGTATATATTCAGACACAGACGGAAAAACCTGTCCACCAGCCTCGCTGCTTGGGATAGATAGCACCCAGACACCCTTGAACACACAGTAAGCGGTGGCTGGTCCAAGCACACGCGCCTTCCAAACAAAGCAGAAATATTCTTTTTCCTCGCAAAACGAAACCAGAAAAACAGAGTATAGCCGCCCATAGTCGTATTCCGTCGAGTTCGGAAAGTGGTTCCAACAAAGAAAACGTACAAGTCGTCGAATAACACACTTCAAAAAGAAGATTGTTCAAATTCCCATTCCGGCCATCGCAAAGTTACATTTTCAAATTCCCGTCAAATGAGTTCAGTCGTGAAGAATTCAGGTATTTTTTGGGCTTTCCGAGACTCGGAGTCGAAACATTCGAAAAGCACGATCGCGCAAAGTTTTTTTATACGACAGTAAAGGAGTTAGAGTCTTGGAAAAGACGGTAAATAGTGGTGAGAAATTGTAGAATGGTTTGGAGATCGTGGACAAATAGGTTCTGCGGTTATTGACATTCGATATCAGAACATGCCGCCATCTTGGTGAATGCTGAGAGAGGTAGTACTTCGGTTGGGGAATACAGGCATCGCTGGGCTCCGAAGCCTCTCGTGACCAAACTCAGACATCATGGCTTGGTTCCGGGCGCGAGCAGCCATGCTTCCGCCTTCGCTGCTGATCTTTCGGAGGCGATTCCGTGGACGCGGTGGAGGCTTCTGTTGTACCTGCTGTTGTTGATCGAAATAAGCACGCTGCGAGCCAGAAATTGGCAAACCTCCTCCGCGACCTGGGGAATCAGGCATCGCCGTCATCTGAGACGCCGGCATCCGTGGACTGGGGTATCCGTCAGGTCGATCCGTCATGGTATTTCCACGGCGGCGTGGGTTCATTGACGGAATCGGAGGGCTTGCAATTTGAGTTGGCCTAGGTCCATTTGGCAAGCCGACTAGGGGAACCGAAGAAGTGCTGGAAATGAATGTCGGTTCCGAAATCATACCCTTGGTGACTGATTTCTTGCGGCTTCCTGCTGGGGTAGACCGCCCTTCGACAGGGGTGAAACGTCCTGACGGTGGCTGGCCGGATGGAGATGGTAGCGCAGAAAGCACGCCGGAAGCTGGACCAGAGAGGCCAGGTGACACTCCAGGTGGAGATGTAAAAGGACTGATGGGCGAATGTGGGAAAGGTGGTCGAGGAGATGGTCTTGGTGCTCCCACTTGCATCGGGCCAGATCCAAGTTGAGGAGTTCCACCCATTGTTGGCGTGGCCGCACGGCCATCGTAGAAGCCAGCTGGTCCAGCGCGAGTCGCACTTGGTTGTCGATTTGACATGGCCGACGCAGACCTCTCGAAGGTTCGCGGATCAACAGGGGGAGGACCACGTAGTGGCACTCGGGAGGGATGAGGTCCAGGATAGCCACGTGATCCGTCAGGAGGACCATAAGGACGTTGCTGCTGTTCTCGATGTAATGGTAGGTGAGGCGGACCCGTTCTACCATATTCTCCAGGCGAGTATGGCGGCTCTTCTCTATACCGACCCGTCCGACTTCTCGACCTTTCGGCCGCCTCAGACTCGGCTCGATCCCGTCTTGCTCTCCCAGAGGTTGGCGTCGCAGAGCGTTGGTAGCGTCGCTCGGGATCTTCATTCGAGTTGATGGGATAGGCTCCATGTCCAGGTCCAGGTCCAGGCCGCGAGAACCCAGGAGTTCGTCTGCCACTTGGGGGTTCAAACTCTGCAGGCCTCTGCCTGGGAGTGGGTCGGTTGTCATGCTCGTCGTATCCTTGCTCAAAGTCCCAGTCGCCTCTCGCTCCTACGTTTGGTGATCGTCCCATGGGCTCGGGTTTTTGACTGACTCCTATCCCAAGCATCTTCATAGCTTTGGGTTGAGGCTCGTTGGCCCGAGGCCCGAGAGACGTTTTGCTTGTCTTGTGTCGAAGAGCATGCAACGCCTGTGCAGCGGGATTGTGGCGGTCTTGGCTTCGAGACCGTTTCTCGGCTTCTGCAACTCCCTTAAGACTCCCTTGAATTCTTCTTGCACGCTCAGCCAGCTCATTGCCAAATTCTTTCTGGGTCTCCGTGCTTTCCCCTCGCTGATGATGAGGAAGCGCGTCGTGTGATGGGAATGCCCTATTTGCAGGGTGTTGTAGAGCGCCTGATCCAGGGGCATCATCACCCAGGACTTGTTGAGTCTTGCTCGAGGCTTGGTTCTTATGAGATATTGCCTGGCCGAGAATCTGTTGTGCTTTTTGAGACATAGCAGGTATGGCATCGTCGTGCACCGGTTCCAGAGGACTTCGTACAGTGCGATGGGCGTTATCAAATTCCCAAGGATCACTGTGTGTGCTCTCCGGGGGGTTCGTTGTACGAGCAGTAGAAGCTACGGACGGCTCCCTGTCACGGAGAGACGGGGGATAGTTTCCCGGTTGGGTAGAAGCCACAGAAGGCTCCCTTTCACGTACTGAGCCTCGATAATTGCCGGTGGGCACGGATACACCAGAAGGCTCACGGTCACGAAGGGGGCTTATCGAGAAATTCGACTGATACGGAGGCTGTCCCGGCGAAGGTGGCGGCATAACGGAGGATCTGTCGCTGTCATGCCGCAGGTGAGTCCTAATCAAACCACTCAAGCCCAGTCCCGTGGTAGGCCCAAAAGTAGGGGAATCGCTGGCCTTTGTGTGAGAGGCACGGTGAAGTGAGTCTGAGGTATCCGGAGTATCATGTGTCACGGAAGGAGAAGAGGTATCCGCTGAGACATTCGACTGAGGTCGACCCGGCTTGCCAAAGGCTGAGACATGATCACCAAAGTCAAAAGCTTGTGAGCCGTCCCGGAGGGCTGGATGGACATCTAATGGAGCAAGTCTCGGTGCTGGCTCGTACCTGCCCAACATAGGGCTGTCGGCATCATCTTCATCACTGCCATCAAAGGTGTCGAAGAAGGTTCCCCGGGATGCCGCAGGTTGCTCTCGGAGTGATTTAGGAGGCTGTGACGCCGCCGAAGGGCGATTTGGCTCGGCTGTTGTGGATCTCTGCGTCTGAAGTGTCGAATATTCCTCGTTCTGGCGTCTGATGAGTGCTTCCACTTGGGCTTGGACCTGTGCTGGATTGACAGAGGAAGCAGTTGATTGTGCTCTTGAACGAGAAGTGACCGAAGTACTACCAGAATCTCGGCCGCGATAGGTTTTGAAAGGAGAAGTTGGAATGGTGGGAAGGACGACTCGACCGGGCGCATGCTGCCGCTCCGCAATCCCACCATAGTCTGGACCATCAGATGCAGGTGGTGATATCCTGCCTTCGTGCATTTGTAGTTGTCGCTCCTGGAATTTTGCCTCGTCAAATTGTTGCTGCGGTCTGTTGAACAATCCCATAGCAGTGGCCTTGCCGCGATCGTTGGGCTGAAGACTTTGTTTGTAGATTGATCCATCATCTTCATCATTCGTTGGAGAGGCTGTCTGATATCTACGTGGATGGTTGTTGGAGCTTTTGAGGCCAAAGTCAAGCGACGCCAGTGCCTGTGATTGGAGAGCTGGGGTGGGACTTGCGGCGCGTAGGGTGTTTGCGGAGAACGACGAAGCGCCATGAGCATACTTATCCGCAAGATTGCTGACACTGCTCGACTGAAAGAGTTGACGACTATTCGATGGGGACATAGGGAGGGGAGGTTGGGCGTGATGGTCCATCCCCTGAAATCCTTTTCGAGAGTCGGACGAGAAGTTGCGCTTCAGCAGGTTTTCTTCGCTGCCATATTCAGAGCCCTGCATACGGTTGTTTGAGCTGGCACTCGTGTTGCTCTGCCTAGGATGCGGCGTATCCGAAACGACCGACGTGGCAGCGGTTGAAGTGCGCCGATTTGAAGGCCCAGAGGCCGTAGATGATGTTGTACCCCTGCTCTTGCTGAATCCCGTCGAAGGAGTGTTGATGACGCTGCTGCGATCAGGCTCTTCGGCTCCTGCACTAGCAGGCCTCTCGCGAGATTCCTCGCGCTCCTGTCCCTCCCGAGCCTTGAGGCGCATCTGCTGATACGGGGACAGCACAACATCATTCTGGTAAACATGCCTTCCAGATATCAATGGTGCAGATGTTTCGGTTAAATCTTTCGAGGAGCCTGATCCACTGGCAGTCGGTATCCGGTACATCTTCTGCCGACCACCAAAAAGGTTGTTGCCATCCACGGGCCTCGTCCTCGCCAGCACGGACCCGGCATCGTCGCTGGCATATCCAGCTCCTTCAGAAAAGGAATAGGAACGATCCTCGTCGGAGAATGGTGCCCTAAACGCGGTCTGGATGGATTCTGTCTCGGCAATATCTGTTAAGGGATTGTGGGAGAACAAGTTGAGCCGAGAGGCTCTCTTTGGAAATAAAACACTGTCGTCGCTAGCTTTGCCAACTTTGGTCGTTGGGTCGTCCTGCTCCCGAAGCATGCTGAAGCGAGCGGACAGGCCAGGCATGAGCAGGCTGGTCCGAAAGTCGTTTTTATCTGGAAGCACCGTGGCCAGGTCAATCTCTGGCTTTGGTTCCACCACATTTTTCTGTTTGCGCTTCAAACTGCGGGATAGTTTCGTCGGCAGAGCTGGGTCTGAGGATGCAGCCGGCGGAATGATATAGGTATCATCCTTAGCCTTCGGCTTCTTCTTGAAGACCGCCATATCAGACGTCTAGGAAATTGTCAGATGTAAAAGAATGTATGCGGTGAGTTAACTAGACAATTGTGTCAGCCGAGCGCATTGACCAAGAGGAGTCTGAATACTGAGCTCGTACACAATATAACGAGTGACTCTGCAAAAGGACCGACTATGATCGTTCCATCTAGAATGATAGCAGATAAGAACACCAAGTGAGATGGAGGGACCCCGAGGTGTCAAATGGGAGTATCTCGGGATTGGCGATTGAGCCCGTCAACCGCAAGTCAGTGAGTCCCGTCGAGGGCGTGAGAAGTCGAAGTGAGAGACGGCGGCGTACGGGACTGGAAGACCACGGTGTGGGCGACTCTGAAGGTGGCTTGGACGTCGCTTGATACCCTTCTCTTGGAGTTAAAGCTTCCTCGAGTTATCAAAGGGAGTGGCTGCCTGCCAGGGACGATGTATCTGAGACGGCGATGGCACAGGAGCTGTCCAGGACAATATGTGCAGTGCTAAGGCTGGAAACGAACGTAGTTCTGGGTTTCTCGAAGTGTAAAAAGAGTGGCAGAGGTATGTCGAGACAAGTGAACGTGTTCAACAGTCCATCAGTGTCGGAAGAAGTCGAGGCGAAGAGCGCGTCGCAGTTCAAGAGCCAAAGTCAGCATGAGCAAGACTTTTTGACACCCAGGTCGACCAGGCCAGGTTGAGGAACCAGGGTAGAGGGGGGGAACGAAAGCGCAGGCTGGGCTGCAGTTTGAGGGAGGAGGCGCCTTTTCCGGCAACAGCACCTGCAGGGCAGCAAAGAGCCCCCAGTTTAAGGAATGATGTTGACCCAAGAGGCTGATACGGGTAGCAGGCTGCGTCGTGATCCGATGATTGATACCCTGTACAAGGAAGGGATTGCTGGACCAGCCGAGAAGAACAGCGAGCGTGGCTTCTGAGAAAAGAGCGAAGGCCAAAGGAAAAGAACCCCTTGCCAGCAGTCGAACTGGCAGTGAACACTGAGAAGGCTGAAGGAGAGCCAATGTGGGAAAAAAGAAGGTTCCGAGTGTGCGTGCGTGCGTGATGCTCTCTTTCGGTGGAGCAGGTCCAGGTCAAGGGTCGAAGCAGGGTAAACGCGTGCAGCAGCGGGCAGGTAAGCAGGGTTGACACGCTTAACAAGATTTGACGGAGATTTCAGAGGGCTGAACAGGACTTGGAAGTCGGGCAAGGCAAAGAGAGACCCCTCCAGGATCTGCATATGAGACCGGGCTATGGAGAATCGTATACTCGTTGAACCTAGTACCCGGTGGTGAAGCGTTGGGTCCCACTGCGTTGGCCGTTCTGAAGCAAGCGGAAGATGTGGAAAAAGTGGGCAATTTGAAGCAGGCTAACCAGGTGAAGCGACAAGGCTAGAGCTAATCAAACAATGCGTGTCGAAAGAGAGTTTTCTTTTCTCGCGATCTTGACAGACGCCAAACTCGGACGGCGAGCTGAGAGAAAATAGTCGACATTAATATCGAACCCCCAAAAGGATTCTGGGTGGCGGTGGGTGACACGAGGGTACCAGTACGAGGTACTCGAGTCACGGAATACAGGAGAAGAACGAGTGACGATCACCTGGGCTGGTTACACGGTTGGCAGAGCAATCAAGGAGCAGAGACCGACGATCTCAGGATTGCCCGGTGAGCGTGGACAGCAGGATGTCGCAGATGAAATTGTGGCTGGACACCAAACCAGCGGATGCGGAAGCGGCAGAGAAAGAGTGGGATTGGCAGAGAGAGGCATGACGACGATATCGATACCGAGTGCAGACAGATTCGAAAGGGGAAACGGAGAAAAGAGAGCACACAGCGACACTTGTCTATCTAGCGTGTCGCAGATTGATGTGATGGCCGCCCGATTGGGAGACTAAGGTTCCAGTAGACGCAGGTCGGCACATCCCCCAAGTGCCATCGGCCGTTGTCACTCGTGTCCTCCTCGTCCCTTTGACTTTGGTGGCCATCTCGGGAAGACGCACCGCCAAACGGGAACCTGGGAGGCCCCGGGCGGTTAGCCACATGGTACAGAGAACAGCACGCAAGACGACAGGTTGGGATTTCTTTCACTCGATATCAGGGAACAAAGAAGAGGGAATAGGAGAACTGTAGGAGCAAGCAGGAAAGCAAACATGCAGGTGGCTAGTAGCCCCCCTCGACTCCTTCGGTTGCGTGCCGTCTCCTGAAATCCAGCATGACCTGGTAGGCTGGTACCTATCTCCTCGTCCTTTCCGCAATATCTGCTCCATCATGAGGCAAGGCTTCGGGTTCTTTCTTCGGATCACATAGACTCACGTAATATGGTTGGCTTGTCGGAGTCTTCAAGCACCATTTCCATGGGCGGCTTTGGCGCTGGCGTGACAATTGACGAGGATTGTGCCGATGGCCATTGGGCCATTGGGCCTGGTGGGTGCCTGGGATGGCAGAGTTGGGCTTGGTCCCTGGCTAGTGGGCTTAACGTCCCCTGCTAGCGGGCGCCGTTGTTGCCCCCAACTGTAAGCCACATGGGGGGAACGTTCGGGAGCAACCTTATGGCTGCTTCAGGGCTCAGCGAGACTTGTCCTGAGGCCCAATGAGGAGACAATACATGGGCCTTACCCCTGAGTGCGAGATTGACCGACTCCGCCGACTCTCACCGGCCTGTGCCATGTTTTTCCTCTTCAAACCAATGATGCTGTTTCTCGGGGACTTCTCTTTGACTTTCAAGAAAACCAGTGGCCCGTCTTTTTATATTTGTGTGGTTATTTTGGTCCTCTCAGTGCTTCAGCACCACCAATGGCATCATTGGAAACATCAAAATTCTTCCCTCTGCATACGGGGGAGGTTAAGAGGTCCTTTTTCTGTCTTGTACCGAGTGATCCGTATATAGCATACAATAGATCTGACCTTGAAGTGTCTTTTTCCAATGCCCTTGGAAAACCCCAGTCGTTATCTCCAAATCTCCTTTTGACTTTGAAGCCTGGCTCTCCATGAACACGGTCAGATGTAAACAATCATTTCCCATGGACGCGTTTTCGCGTCTGGGAATCATACCTAGCCCGTTCTCTAGCACTGGGCCGTCTCTCCACCGTCATGTTGGATGGGTGAGTCTAGTGCGTCTGGATTTTCTTCTAAAGTCCCGCTTCCAGCTTCTGGCCTGACGCCGCCTAATCTGCCGGCAAATTACTGCACGACGTCATAACCATGGCCATCTCACCTTCCACAACTTGAATAATGGAAGCGTCCATTCACGCTCGCAGCTAAGTACAAGGTACATATGCCTTCTACGAGTAGCAGCACCTCGGAGCCGCAACCTGGAATCCCTATCGCAATGATTTGTTAAATCTCAAGGCCGCTTAGTAGTAGCGATGACACGCAGAGTCCACCGCCGTCGCATTCGCCTGTTGTCCCACTTATACACAGGTAATTTCGTGCCTCTGCCACATGGTTCAAGCGATTCGACGCCTGGGATATCGTACCTTGTGCCTTTTGTACTGATTCGTTCTTCTTCGGCTGGCACCTTCATCGTCCCTGCGGGGAAAATTTGCCTCTGCTGGTTGCGACATGGAACCTCGGGTGGCCGCTCCGGCATGTCCAAGAATGTCTGCTTTTGTGAATACTAAAGAGCCTTGTAGAAGGAATGCACCAGAAGAACTATCCAATTTCCCAGCAGACGGTCTTCCCCGCCTGCTGATGGCCTCATCTCAGATCTATTGTAATGTCTTCCTGCACAGACAAAGGGTCGGACTCTTCCCGGCCAGTCTTCTGTGAGTACGTATTACTCGGTACATCCTACCGAGTATAGTGCCAGGCACTCCACACTCCGCACGGGTACACATACTGGGTGATTTGCACCTTGAAGTTGTCAGATGAAAGAATACATAGGTACTCACATAGGGTTTTTTTGAGAATGTCATTGGGGAAGCATTTCAGTGGCATATCTGATGGACTGCTCGCCGGATCCATGGGGAGCACTTCGTGGCACCGAACTAGTTGTGAACAACGTCATCGCCATGGTGAATGCCGGTTCTCTTGCGCAGTCTTTCTAGAGACTACCTTTATCTTGAGCCTTTAGAGCAGGCACGATGCCATTTTCTTCCCTTTGTTGGTAGGAGCACAAGGACATCGAGTCGATGGCACAGTGCACGAGACAAGCGACAGAGGTTCTGTGGTCAAGTAGGTAAAGTGTACGAGGTACCTGTTCACTGCCACCGGTGTGGACATGTTCTGCTGTTCAAGCTGCTGTCGGATGTCCGGCGATATAGATAATCCGCTTCCGATGGTCTTGGCCAGAAAGTGCGGAGTTGATGCACCCCAACAAGGAAAAGTGGTCGCTAAAATCCCAAAGTTCGCCAGTGGCTGCCCCTCCGAGGCTTTTCATTTTGGAAAGACAGCCGACATCATTACTCTTCTTCACTGTCACTCTTGCAGCTGCGCAAATCCCTCGTTCTCTCCAGCAGTCATTGCTGTGCCCTTCTTGCTCGGTCTCCCAGTGCCTTCTACTTCACTCTGTTCGCTCAGTCAATCTCCATGGTCGCATCTTGGGGGTCGTCACTTGGACCGTTGCTTCTCAGTCAAGATGGCCTCTAATTCGGCAACTAACAAACCGTCCAGGAAGCCACACGCTCGCATAGTACAGCCGGCGTTGCCTTTGATCCCGGGCTTGAAACGCCAGAAGCCAAAGCCGATCACGTTGGAGCGCGAGCCCGAGAAGGTAGACCTAGGACAAGACCCCCAGTCTTCTGCCGATGACGAAAAGTTTCCGAGAGACACAGAGTCTGGAGTAGACGTGGCCGATTCCGCTGCATCTCGAGACGGGGACTCTGGGGAGAAAGTAACGCCTCCGTCCATAGGTCGGCGAATTCCCACAGGCTTTATGCGATCTCCACTGACTCGTTATCCCAGGCTCAGAACCTGTGACTCCTCAGCCCTCTCACTCTACTGCGCCGGAGGAAATCGCAACAGAAGCACATAATGATAATGAGGACAATGGAAAAGAGGTGGAAGCTGGCGACAGTGATGTACAGGCTAGACATGATGTCAGTGAAGTGACCGAGACGACAAATCTTGAAATTACAGAACCCACCAACGAACTGCCAGCTACTGAAACTGATTATGGACATGAAGCCATCACCGGGGTGAATGGCAGATTGCTTGAATCTCTCCAGAGCCCAGCTGAGGAGGGTGGAAAAGTTCAACCGGATCCCGATATGCCAGGATTAGTCTTCGCAGACAAAACTGAACCCATCCCCACGTCCAGCTATGCGAATGGGATCGATTCATCAGAATCGGCTCTAGATGAGAGCGGGGTCTTTGCGTCGCAGTCAGAAGATACCAATTCTGGTTATCAAGATGCGCAACCACCTGTTACATTCAAAGATGGATTCCGCGATCCGGCAGTTAATGGCTACCATCAGCCATCCATCACACCCTATGCCGTGCCTGTGGTTGCACCAAGGTCATTCAACACTCTCCCTTCACTTCAGGAACATCTGCTTCTTCTCAATTCGACAAAAGAAGGTGTTGATATTCTCCTCCAAGTGAACCCAACCAATGCACAACCCTTTGTCAGTTACAGTCACTCTGTCATTCTCTTCCGCAGCTTGCGCTTGCGGAGATTGGTGACTCGCCAACAGCAGGCTAACAACAATTACCCTGGCAATGTCATCAGCTTGTATCCTGCTCGTCCAATCATGGCTCACGCCTTTGAAGCAGCATTGCGCTTCCTCTACTCAGACACAGTCTTGGGGAAGGAGTTTTTTGTCCAGCCACATCCCGGAGCCGACTTTCAGGCGGTGAGAGTGCATAATCTTGAGTATATCCTGTCTTACTGGGTATCTGGGATAGAACTTGGTCTTGAACCAGTCTCCATATGCGCAGAGAGGCTTCTAGGCAGTTATCTTGACTGGGATGTCTTGGAGCTCGCCTACAGAGCTGCCGTGGAGCTTGCCAACTCACCCATGTCATCACATGGAAAGAACATGATTGGATCAGACTATCTCATCGCCAGTAGCTCCATCATCAAGCTCATTCTTCAATTCCTGGCCACCCACATTGACATTAAGAACTTCAAACTCGACAGCAACTCCACTGCCAGCACCATCATCCCATCTCGCCTGCCTCAATTTGACGATGGCCGCCCAAAACACAATCCAGCGCTGGCATCCATGGTGTTTGGCTCTATGCCTTCGTCGGCAGATATGTCACCATCGTCTCCGCAATCCGAGATACTACCCCCCGTTTCGACTTTCAAAGACACGGTCGCCTCCAACATCCTTTTGAATGTGGACTTTGAGAATCTCAATATCTTCAACAATTTCGTCCAAGCACCCACGATTCGAGACGCTGCCACCACGAAACTCATGGTTGATGTTGTCAACGAACGCGAAGCCCGTCGTCAAAAGATGTACACGTCCCGCATTCCGAACAAAGACCGCATGGCGAACTCTGCCGCTTGGGAAGCCGTGGGATTGAAGGAGTCGATCACCGAAGGGAATGTGCTGACTCGAGAACGTGTCGGTTTCTTGATTTCTTCCAAATAAGGAGGAGAAAGATGTGAGACGTGCGCGCAAATAATGAAACTTGCATGGACATGGCTATGACAGCGTTACAGCAGGCGGGATTCTTTCATGTTTGTGTATGTGCGTGGTTTTTTCTTTCAGCATAGCACAGGGGATCTTCAAAATGGCGGGCCTTGGATGGGCATAATGGGCTGGTTAGAAGATATGTACGGCACAGCAGTGTCTTTCGAGATGGGGCTTGGACTGGGCGTGCCTTGGATGACATCACAGGAAAAAGCGAAAGGAAAAGAAATGTGAGCTGTTGGTCAGTGTGAATATGGGTGTGATTTTGCGTCGATGGTTAATACTCTTTCACGCTACTTGTCGGGCTGCGGGGAATTGCTTCAGCAAGTGCTAGTGAGAGCTCACAAGTGTTGGGATGGAACATTGATTGGCACGCAATAGCATGCAGCTGCGTGATGAAGCAGACAGAACCTCGAATACATAACGATTTGTCACTTGTACGTGATTTAGTCTCTGACCCGCGGTGAGCAACGAAATACCAGCCGAGAAGATCGGTGATGTACAACAGGGTAGGTCGTTCATGACTACAGCGATCAGCACCAGTGGAAGCGAACCTGGGATTACTGGCTATGAGGTGGACGGACAGACGGGACAAAACATGACTGTTTCGTTCATTAACATTCCCCAAAAAAGGCTGCTAATTTGAACGGTCAGGGGCGAGAGCCGGACCCTGATGGCATGCCGGAGACGATGTCCATGGCGTCTTGGTCGGCGTGCATATCCTCGTCGTAAGGAATGTGGTTGGGAGCGCCGTCTCCCTCTCTCCGTGCTCCCTTCCCATTTCGGCTTCTGCTCCCGATTCCAACAAGATCGTCCTCGTCTCCCTCTCCTCTTGTGCCGTCCCCGAAGCCCGGGGTCCGACGGGGGCCTCCTCGCGAGTTGCTTTGCTGCCCATGATTCTGACCTCGTATGTGGGCGACGCCTCGATTGTGTGGCAGCAACGGTGCAAATGTGTTCTTCTCCCTCAGTCGATCGATCCAGGGCTTCACAATGGCCCACGCCAACAGGCCCGCTGTGGCGAAGATGAATATTACGACGACGGTCTCGTCTTTGAGGGAATCCCGCTCTGCGTTGAACCGGGGTTTTCTGGTTAGTTTGGGTTGGGGGGGATGAATTGCGTTGTATATCACGAGTTGGGGAGGGGGGGAGACGCACGGAAACAGGTGGTGAAAACATCTTCGTCCCGCGCATTCTTGCAGATCGGCAGGTTATAGTCGAGACAAAAGGCCCGCGTGCAGTCGGCGCAGGTGAGTTTGTGGTGTGGGCGTGAGGGCGGCGCGGGTTGTTCGTCGGTGGAATCGGCGGCCAGTGCGTGAGGAGATCTGAGCGCTAGGTTATGCACTGCGGAGGCGCTCGTGGAAGAAGGGGGTGGGTTCAATGCAATGATCGTGCTGTTGGTGAAGCAGATGCATTTGCAGAAGGACGTTGCCGTGGATTTCGCGCCGAGGGCTGGGTCAACCAGGATGAGAGAGAGACTGATAATGGAGAGAAGGAAGTTGAAGAGGTTCATGGTTGAGGAAGCCCAGGAGGTCGCAAAACATTGTTTCGTCGTTTGGGGCACACCTTGAAGGTGGATGTCGAGGACGATGATGTGTCGTTTCGAGATTGCATCTTATGCCTACTATGATCAAACGTACATTTAGTGCGGAGCAAGAGACCCTGTTCCCGTACTTATCCACGTGTGTCGATATCGAACCGAGGCACGTCGATTGAACCACCTCACCGGCGTCAATCGCATCATCATCCCTTACCTTGATTCTTCGCTCTCGTTAGCGGTTAATTGTAAGACTGCCCCGTATCCCATCACTTCACGGGTCGGGAAAAGGCCCAGAGGCGTGGAAAGTCGGCGCTAAAGCGTCCCGAAGCTCTGTTCGCCACGACTACGACGCAGTTGTCACGTCAGCCTTGAACAACACCTGCAGACACAAAAGGACTGATAAGACAGTACAAAATGGCGACCGATCAACTTCCAATTCGCCTTATGGTGAACGAGCGAGAGTATGAGGTGCTACGCAGATTCCTGTCGAGACAGTCAGCGAGAGCACAGGGCATCCGAAAGAGCGAAATTCAGGAGGACGGCTCCAGATCAGTCGCTTTCCACGACAACCATAGAGCTGCTGCTTTCCGTTCTGCATCGCGAGTGTTTCTGGTCACCTTTGGCTCTCTTAAACTGCTTGCGGCGATCTTAGACCGTCTTGCAGCACGCAGATCTCCGACCGCGACTGGCTCGAGGAAACCCATTGTGGCATCGCACTCGAGGATGGCTCTGTCACTGTCATCACTCCTGTTCTTTCACGCAACACTCTATCGCATCTTCGCCAGGCTGAGACTCCAGCTGCTTCATGAGAAGGTGCGGGATATTCGAGAGCGGTATCCACGCATCTACGCGACACTCACCTCCCGCATTGCGCCGGCTCTTGGAGCCAGTCTCTCGGGGTTTGCTCTGGGCATTTGTCCCGCAGATCAGCTCCGGATTACGCTTGCAATCTATGTGGGCTGTCGAGCCCTCGAATTGGGATATGCCGCCATTGAGCACACGGCGTTGGTCAAGAACAAGCCGTCGTGGCTGGGGAGTTGGGTGCTGTTTGCTCTGGCACAGGGCCAATTGTTGCACGCGTTTGTGTTCGACCGCGACTGCTTCCCTGAGGCATACGGGTCATTCATCCTTGGATACACTCCCGAGTATATTCAGCGTCGACCGGCGAGTCTCTCACCAAAGGTCGTATGGCCGACCCCCAATAACATTGTGGACGCTCTTGCACAAATGGCACAGTTAAGATGGCCTAACTTTGTCTCGCCAATCCTGCATCCCAATGAAGCGCAGACACTGCCGGCAGGGATCGATCCCGTCATTTCGCCCATCACGTCTCGGGCACACCCAGGCATCCAGCATCTGTCCTGTGCACTCATACACCCTTCGGACCCGTCATGCTTCATGGCATATATACGACACATGTTGATTTCATTCCCGCAATTGGCGAAGTTCTTTACCAAATACTACGGGGCGCTGGCTTTGCTGCGGCTAAGGAAGATTATCAAAGCACCACTGGCGTCCCTCAACGGGCTGTCCGAAGCTGTGTTGAGGTCTACAATAGCCGTGTCTGGGTCGATTGGTGTAGCTTGGGGAAGTATTTGTTTGTTCCAGGCTATCTTACCTCGCTCGTTTCTACCCAAATTTCGATTCTTCCTAGGCGGGTTTTTGGGCGGGATGTTCCAGGTGTTCGACCAAACGACCGCTGGCCATGCCAATTCCTTGTATGCGGCGCGAACGAGTGTTGATTCTCTTTGGAAAGTGGGCGTCAAACGTCGGTGGTGGAGAGGCATCCGAGGAGGCGACGTGTGTGTTTTTGTGGCTGCCTTGGCTCTCATCAATGTCGTATATGATCTGGGCAAGGAGACGGCGGCGGGGCAAGACCGGGCAATGATGTTGATCAAGGTGCTCAGGGGAGAGGCAGAGCTGGGATTACAAAGGAAAAAGGAGGCCACGATGACGGAGGGAGGAGGCAATGATGAAATAGCGTCCAAGTAACCGGGAACATGACAAGGCTGGGATAGTTTGACAAGGCTCTCAGGTACCTTTTGATCTATACTGCATTAGGTAAAGTCCGTACGGCAGCAGCAACCGGCCGGTCTTCGGTGTTTTTTACTGTCTTTTAACACGATTTAGTCTCGGAAGTCGGTGTGGATCTTTGCGTCAACCCCTCCATCACAATCTGCGATGCAGCAAAATACTGCCGGCAGTCGTGTCATGGGAATCTTTTGATCACCTGCCGCCCGTCCAGTCGAGGCTCTTTTTCCTTGGTTGTACAGCATGAAAATCAAGGTACGAGGATGAGAGGGAGGGGTGGTTCGGCGGCTCTGGGGCATTCCATGACCTGTGCTGTGTAGCATTCACCGACCCTTCCACGCTTTCTCTTAGTCATGGATTCCGCATGAGCCTACCTGACAGGCGTCTTTCTTGGTAGTGTGTTTTCCACATTGATATCCTCGTGCACTCTTGTCACGGCTGCAGGTGCATGTGTTCCGTCCCAACTTACCCTGATGCACATGCTTACCGAGTACCTCACCTGATACACTTTTGTTTAAACAGCACCGCCAACTACACTGTCCAATAATTACCATTTGGGTTTTCCGTACCTGCTTTTACCTCGTAGGATGATGGTTGTTGAGGGTGTGTGGTCGACGATTGCAGCTGGATAGAGCGATCTCTGGACTGGATTTCCTACATGGGCCTCGCTTTGGCCCTTGCAATTTTCTCTCACTAGCGGCTTCAACAAGCGCAACAAAGTGTCGATCTCCGGGCAAATCACGATACGGGATTCCCAGCCGAAATGCCGCTATCTCACCCGATCTTCCAGAGTTTCTCCAATCCTAAGCGTCACTTTTGCTCACCGCCCTCCATCATCCGGGCGGTGAGCCAAGTGTCGCAACCCTATTCGCTCGTCGGCATTCAACCAGACCCGCCTCTGACTCGCAAGTCCCTCGACTCTGAACTTGTTCCTTCTTTTCCCATCCTGATGGTTGCTTGCAGCGCAAACCGCCAGGTCTCGCCACGGGGTGAATGTTAACAACAAGGGATTCACAGCCGCTGTTCCGTGTGAGGGTGATGCTCGTCGTATGACTACCTAGATTTTGGCAGCAAAAACGCATTGCCGCATCTCGATTGTGTTTCTGCTCTCTCACCTTTTGCCTTTTCTGCTGCTTCGCCAACCCTCGGAAGGTGTCTCCGCCAGACAACTGCGGTGACTGCCAGACTGTCACGCCTCCACCTCACCATCTTTGCCCTTCTTCTTTTCCCTTCATTTTCATTCTTCATTTACTCTATCATTCTACCTGCTCTTCCCTCCCCTAGTTCTGGTCTGTCATCTGCCGCTTAAAAACACTGTGCCGTATCCCGACCGTCCTGTCTTGACAGCAGCGTTCCTGCAGATTCGCCGTTAGACAACGTTCTCCATCGACTGACTGGTACTGTGATCCAAAAAGTCGCAAGAGGGAGGACAGGTCGTAAGAAATTGGGCATATTCAAGGATGTTGGGACTTACACGATCAAAGAATCATTCGCCCTCGGACGACTCCTTCCCCACGGGCCAATTCCTTGTTCTCGGTAAGTTCGCTGCCTCATTCGTGATTTTCTGACACCTGCCATCTGGTCCGCGACTACCTGGCTAACCACTTATGACAGCAATATGTCGTCTCGCCGAGCCTGTTGCCGTCACCTCAATCTTCCCTTATGCCTGGCTTATGGTCAAGCAGTTCGGCATGGCTGACCCATCGTTCTGGGCAGGCGTCCTCATTGCCTCCTTCTCCCTCACCGAAGCTCTGTGCTCTTTGCTATGGGGAGGACTATCGGATCGTGTCGGAAGAAGGCCAGTTCTTCTCTTTGGCTGCTTTGGAACAATGATTTCTCTTTTGATCGTTGGTTTCTCCACAAACTTCACCATGGCTCTAGCGGGAAGAATCCTCGGAGGTGCGCTTAACGGGAACATTGGTATGCACATCGACATCTTCACCCACCGGGGTTGGCTGCTAACGGGTTGTCAGGCGTCATACAAACCATGGTCGGTGAACTCACAACCAAGCCAGAATGGGAGCCCAAGGCGTATTCAGTCATGCCGTTCGTTTGGGCCATTGGTACAATTATTGGACCTGCTATTGGGGGGCTTTTCGCCGATCCTGCGGTTTCGTACCCAGATGCCTTTTCTAAACAAGGGCTTTTTGGTCAATTTCCTTGGCTTCTCCCGAACCTCATCTGCGCTTCGCTCATGCTCGTTAGCATCATCAATGGCTACTTGTATCTGAGAGAGACCCACCCCGATCTCGTTGGTGGCCGCAGCTCCAGCGCCCACCAGGACCTTCCCGAACAAACTCGCATGATCACTGCCGCAGGTGCCACTGCTGACAATGCCGTTGATCTGAGGCAAGAGTCGTACGGGACGTTCAATGAGATTGACGTTCAAAAGAATGATCAATGGCAGCTCAACGCCGATGGGACCTCGCGCGACCCCTCTATAAGCGAGAAGAGCTCTCCGAAATGGCTGACTAAGAAAGTCGTGATGCTGACGCTGGCCCTCTCGATCTACACGTATCATTCGATGTGCTATGATCATCTCCTCCCCATCTTCTACCAGGACAAGGCCGTCAACCAAATCTCCATCGCGGCTAGCGGCCTGGTGGACATCCCAGGCGGCCTCGGGCTATCCACCAAAGATGTGGGAGTGATCATGTCTGTGAACGGGGTTATCGCTTTGTTCATACAAGCTGTCATTTTCCCCTTCACCGCCGAGCGTCTCGGCATATGGCGAGTGTTTGTTCTTGTCACTATCTTGCATCCAGTGGCGTTTTTCATCGTTCCATACCTAGCGCTGTTGCCCTCAAACTTGCTCTACCCGGGCATTTATGCCTGCCTGACGATCCGAAACTTCCTCTCGATTCTCGACTACCCGGTGATTTTGATCTTACTGAAGCAGGCGAGTCCGTCTCCTGCCTATCTGGGACGCATCAACGGACTGGCCGCATCGGCTGGTGCGGCGTGCAGAACGGTGGCACCGCCTGTTGCGGGTATTTTGTATGAATGGGGTTCCAGTATTGGCTTTACGGGTCTGGCGTGGTGGGTTGCCGGGTTTGTTGCCATCATTGGCGTTTTCCAGCTGTGGTTTGTTCCCCGGGAGAAGAACGACTCGACTGTGGTCAAGTCAGTTGTTCCTTGTTTGGAGAATTCCGGCGCGGAAAGGGTATCCGATGTGGTTGATGTTACTGTGGTTTCCGACGAAGAATATGCCTAGATTTGGGGGTTGCTGTTAGAGAGATACCACTGGATTTGGGACTGCAATGGTGTTATTGATCGTCGCAAACGGGAAACTGTACGGTGCTTCTGGTTAGGACGGTCAGGACGGTCAGGACGGTCAGGGTCTGGGGTTATTAAACAGGTTATGTTTGCAGGAACTCGAGTATGGCGTTTACGGACGGCAGCCGGCAGGAACAACAATCGGCCTCAGAACACACGGCTTGAGAAGGTTATGACAACATGAGGCAATGCGGCGTGGGGTACAGGACTGAGGGATTGATTTTTGATGGCGATCAGCCAGAGGAGTTTTGTTTTCGCATGCTCCGGTGGAGCCGGGCACAAATAGATGTGAGAGAAACACAGGTCACGGCGCAAGGACAGAGACAGCGACACGTATTGTTATTGAGATGCCAAAAATCTACACGGTCTGGATACCTACCCAGGTATTCAGGAGCCACGTCCTGGCTCGTCGCCGCTCCTGTCTCTCAATTTTGCTATTCGTGTGAGTATGGATACGAGGACGTACAGAAGTAACCTTCAAGGAGGGATGTATGACATGTCAAGTTTCATCCAGTCACATACGGACTATACACAATTCCTCAACCATCAGGGTGTTAATGTTCCCCAGGTTACAAGTAAAGAAAGACAAAGCTTCAAAGCACGCAAGGCCTTACACAAAAGTACCTACCTACCCAATATTACAAGATAAATTAAATCACTCCGTTCTCATGCAGGTAATTAGGTACCTACCTTAGGTAGGTGGTCCAAGGCCCGGCTCGACCGGACGGGTATGTAAAATTCCCCCCACCCCGGTACGAGGTAAGCACTCTCCTTTGATCTCCCAACTCGACTTTTATCTGATGGTTCGGATCAGATTAGATGGATATCACACTTGTAATAATTATCATATCAGATCAGATTGTGTTTTTTACCTTCGGCAAAGAGGGAGAAAAAAGGACTGTGCATTAGAGCCCTGTCTATGTGCCTAGCACGCACTTTGTTTATTCAGATCTAGATCGTGTGTCCGTAAGGGTGGAGCGGTCGAATAGGTATGTGATCACGCGCATTGCGAAGTACCTTGGTATGCCATGGAGGAATTCATCTATGGTCTGAAAAGGCACCATTCTTTGGACCATTTGGGCGGGTCAAGGGGTTGCTCGTTGAAGTTTTCTCGCTTGAAAAGATGCTGTGGTTAATTGGTTAACGGTGTCGCTGCAGTTTGCTGGGGGGGTGAAAATTCCTTCATTAGGTTATGGCACATTCTGGTGTCTATGGTTCTGTATATAGGTGCATATGTACTTGGGTGGTACTTGTCTCAGGATCAGTTTGGCTTCCGGCTTTAAAAGTCATGTATATACGTCGGCAGGTAATACACAACCTCATTCCCCGAGAGCACGCTTTTCCCTGAGCATTAGCACCATGAATTGGATCCTTTTCTTTTTTTTTTTGGTGGAAAGAGCCCTAAAAAAAAATACATTAGGGAGGGAGAGACCCTTTGATTAATTTATTTTTTGCAAAAACTAATTAGGTACATTTTTTCCCTTTTTCTTTTCATGACGGGGCGTTACGGGGCGCGCGGCCGTTGTAGTTGACGCCGGGCGTGGCAGTGTAGTTGGCGAAACAGTCGTAGTTGAAGTCGATCTCGGCGATGCGCTTCTGCAGCACGCCGACCATGGTGTCAAAGGGGCACAGGCCGTTGGGGTCCACGGGGCAGCCTGGGTGGGAGTCCGAGACGGGGATGACGGCGTCGTTGCTGTTTGTGGAACCAAAGATGTCAGCAACATGTTTCTTTCTCAAGGGAGAGCTCTGACGGCAAGCTTGGGAAATGAAGAGGGTGAAAAAAAAAACAACTTACACGATGAAGCGGATCTGCTTGGACGGCGACATGGCCGGGCACTCGAGCACTTGGGTGGTGAAGTGCGTGGCGAAAGGCACCTGCTTGCTGGCGACGAAGCTGTTGCCACCCGTGTTGGAGTTGAGGTTCAGGGCAGGCCCGTTGAACAGCGCCGTCAGGTTAAAGGCCGTCAGTGTGTCGAGCACGACGACCTCGTGGGTCGCGTCGGCGTAGATGGACTGGTTGAGCGGGAAATACGTCGGGGTGTCGTCGAATGTCTCGTTGAGCGACGAGAGCGCCGCAGGGTAGGTGTGGGTAAATCGAGCCACCCACTCCTCGAGGAAACCTTTGCCTTGGGCAGCGGCAACGGGCGAGCCGGGGCCGTTGTTGTAGTAGAAAGACTGAGCCGAACGTTAAAATCCACGCTGGCACTCATACCGTAGGTATGTATCACGTTGCGCGTGGGGGGTGGGGATGGAAACTTACCAGATCATAGTAGTATTCGTAGTTCTCAAAGTCTTGCATGGTGAAGAGGTCGCAGAAGGCGGAATAGCCCAGCGCATCGGTCTCGTACGAGCAAAGCTGAAGCATGGCGATGGCGTCGGTTGGTGTCAAGGTCAGATTGCCGGAGATCTAAGGAGTGATTTAGCACCATCCAGACCCCATCACTGAGACCCTGGAGAGAGAGAGGGAGGGACTCACCTGGGAGTTCAAGCGGGCGAGAGTGGCGTTGAAAGCGTTGTTGGCGAATTTGGTGGCAACGGTGCTGCCGATGCTTCCTTTGCTGGCGATGTTGGAGTTGTTGCAGACTTCGTAGGGAGCGCCCGAGTTGTTGACGCCGGGATTCTCGACGAGGATCTCAATATTGACCTGGTTCAAATACTCAGGCACCCCAAAGAACCCGGCTGCAAAGTTCTCGGCCGTCTTGACCATGCGGTCCTGAGATTCGGTGCGGAAGACAGGCAGAGCACCCTGTTCGGTGAAGTTGTTGAGCAATTCACCGTACAGTTGCCGGTATGACAGGCCGAGGAGGAAGTTCTGGCCGCGTCCAAAGGGCGTCAGAAGCTCAGCGCCCAGCTTGTAGGTCCAGTTGGACAGGAAAGACAGGTCGCCCGTCACCGAGAAACCCTCGCCTTTGGTGGCATTGTAAAGCTTAGCAGCAAACGTCGCAGGGGCAGCGCCGCTGGTAGGGTACCGAGCACCGTGGCGGTACAGGAGGTGAACCTGATTGATGGTGCAGCCGTCAGGGATCAGTGGGCTTGCATTGGGCAGTCCATAGTCGGCAGACGACACTGAATACCATGGCGACAAGTTACCCCAGTATTTAGTGATGTCGACACTGGAGCTCGAGTTGGAACCCTGAGGCTGGGCAGCAACCAGAGGAAAGGCGGCAGCACCTTGAGTGTTGTATGGGTACAGGGGAGCTGTCTGGGCGGCAGCTGGCTCAAGGCCCGTCAACGTTGGACCGGGGTATCCAACCACTGGTTCGGGCGGAAACTGAGACGAGTTGACCGATGCTAGACAGGCGTTAATTTCAAAGCACTTGTATTGTGATATAGGTACCGAGTAGGTATGGAAAGAGACTGACTGGATGCTGGCGGGTAGACGTCCGATGTAGTGGCACCAACACCGGATGAGGCGCTGACGGGTTGAGGGGCAGCCTCAATGGCTTTTGCCAACAGCACCAAAGCAAGCGGGGTGGTGGCCTTCATCTTGAGATTGCTCTGTGACTGGTCGAAGATGCCTCTCACGCACGAGACAGGCAATACAGGTCAGAGTTTCTTTCTCCTTGTCGAACCCCAAGTAGATAAGATGACCTTGAGCTGTGTCTTTCTGCACGTTCGATCAGCTTCTTTATGTAGGGCAAGACAAGCCATTGCAAGCCATGACAAGCTCAACAGAGCAGGTCGCACAAGCACGGCAAGCTCCCACCAGGTACGGAAACCCAGAGATCGAGCCATCCAACTATATTTGAGGATATAGACATGTGCCCTTGGCTTGCCCTTGTTCCCCGACGCGTCATGACCCAAAGAGTGCCCCAAATCGAAAGCTCTCAGGCGGTGATGCTGGTGGCTGGATCGACCCTAGCACGCGATCCCGCACGTGGGTGGAGAGCTTCCGCAAAGCGGCCTTGGGCCTGTACATACTCGGTATAGTATATAGGAGGAAGGATTGCGAAAGTAACCCTAGATTCAGAACAGAAGTGCTCGTGCCATCATCTTGGACCGTGCATGGCTTGCTGGGTCGTGGCATGAGGCGTAGGAGGGAGGACTTTGCTTTGGAAGCTTACGGGCGACCGATGGGAACGGATGGTGGACCAAACTCGATCTGGGAATAGTCGTTGGGTGCCGGTAAACAATCATGAGATCATCCATCGTCTTTACCGGCCGGAACTTGTCCACGAACTGGAAGCTTTGTGCCGATCACGGAGCGGAGAGACTGGCTTTAAATGCCATGCAGGTGTCTGCGGAATGGTAGGGGAGTAATTGTGAGATATCTCAGCCTGGCCATGGCTATATCCGGCGACTCTCTGATGTGCTGATTATTGTACCGAGTACTTGTAAAGCTCCATATGGGCAACAGGTGAGGCAGTACGAGGTACCCATGTACCCCGTATACGACGGGAGGTATACGGGGTATACGCAGCGTATCGGTACTAGGTAGGTAGGCTCTGTCTGACAGGGCAATTGCTTCAAAACCAGCGTCTAACACTGCCAAGAGTACTTGTCAGACAAATCCCATTCTCCTATTGGTCTCGTCGCCTGCGGTTTCCAAATTTAGCCTCTTGGAAGCGCCCGATCTTCCATACTTGATCCCAGTTTCAAGTTTTTTGTCTCCCCCCCTTTGCCCCCCTCAGCTTCAGGAACATTCAGCTGGTGCCAGCCAACCATTGCGACCATGTCATGCTAGCGACTCGCTCGCTACAAGGGCTGCCGATCTGCTGGACCAGCGACGCGAGTCCCCCCGTCAATCGAGTCTCTCGCTGGTATTCATTCTGCAACAATGCGTCACCCTGCAGTTTTACAATGCTATCTCTAGCACTGCTGCGACTGGTCGGCCATGCGAGCTGCTTCCTTGATATCGCATCGCCTAACAACTTGATAAAGAAGACGTCTCATCAGGCAAGTATCGACTGTGATGGCTTTCTCTACCCTTTCGCAAATGCTGTTGTTCTCTCCTGTGCTGTGCTTTTTCTTGTTGTTTAAACCGAGCCATCGCTTTCTTATCTTAATTCAAAAACCCAGCTCCTGGCCTCAAAAGGGTCCCTGTCTGCGATAAGCTATATCTTGTATTCAATCAACCATGTTCGATACCAGAAGAAACGAGGAGGAGCACCCTGCTTGTCCATCGCTCTCGACTGTTCGTTCGGATGAGAGCCAGGGACATAACGATACAGTACCAATTACGCGAACAGAAACGGTTGTCGTCAAAACTAGAGGTTCAAACTCCCTTGGGCGCAAGAACTCAGCCAAGCCTAAAGTCTTAACCCGCTCAGAAACGCTATCATCTAAACCTGCCCTGACCCGCGTACCTTCTATCCAAACGCGATACATGGAGATGTTGTTGCACCTAGACCAGATCCCTCGTCTGGACAACATCTTGGCCAGCCTCTTCACCTGGATTCTACTGGCTGGCTTTCTTGTCGTCCCCGGTACCTTTACAACTTTCAAGCAGTCAAAGGCGTTCCAAAACGCTGACAACGATGACAACAACGAGGTGGCCCACGCAATTGTCCATTCGATCGCCAACATTGGTTTACTGTGGCTTGCTGGTGCTTTTTGTGCCGTTGGATCGCTAGGGTGCCTCTGGCTGTGGCTTCGGTGGCGCAAGAACTACGTCTGGCTGATAAACCGCATCTTTCTGTGAGATCCTACCTCCCGGTTGCACGGCACACACTGACTGCTGGTATAGACCAGTCACGATGAACTCTATTGCCGGCTTACTAACCACTCTCGTCAACGTCTATACGGCTCAGCATGGGGTGTGGAGTGTGACAGCAAAAATCACGGCTATCGTGACAGGATCTTGCGTCGGGGTTGCAGGCCTCCTTTTCGCGTGCTACAATTTCTGGATGTTGCGTAAAGTGCAGAAGGCACATGAGAGAGAAATGGGCCTTGACGTTCAGCACCAGGACGAGACACTGGTTGAGAAGGTGAAAAGAAAGGCACATGAGCCTCCGTTGCAGTCCGGCAGTGTGGTTTGATGTTGGACGATTTCCTTGCATTCTAATGCCCGTCTTTTCCGGATCTGATGGCCACAACAGTGCATCTTTTACAATTAATTTCCACTCGCGGCTGCCTACAATGTCTCGGTCTTCCATGTCTTGTGCTTGTCGTTGACTGGCAGGAGCAGAGGAGACCCTGTCGCCTTTTGTTACAATTCTCGCCCAATATCTCACCCAAACCATGATTTCTCACTCCCTAATCTGTCTTCTCTCCTCTTCTCGCACACGTTCCTAAGACCTATTGCTCAGCATATTCTTATCACATCGCACCTAATGTCTAACACTCTTTCTTCTTCGACGAGGTCGACGGTCCGCAGAGCTGCACGTCGAGATCGTCAAGCCAGACAACGGGCTCGCCGCCTCAAGCCAAATGTGCCACTGTTGAAGACACCCCGTCGACGTGGCCCAAAAAGAAGAAAGCTCCGTGAACAGGACTCGCTGGATCTTGACAGCTGCTCTTATGCCTGTGAGGACCGCGGATACCACCTCGATGCCGACGTTCGTATCGGTCTTGAAACCAATCAATATGGTATGGCTGCTTCCTCTACGGTGCTGACTCCTCGCTCACTCTGCGTGTTAGCGATCCCTTACTGGGTTTCTGGATACGACATTACCGATCCAACAGTAGCCGTCGAAGAGCCACGTCCACCCGAATCCTCTGCCGTTGGCACGTCTGAAAATGTTTCACCCGCAATACTTCCTGAGACAAAGATCGGGAGGGTTGTCTTCAAGAGAAAGGACACGCAAAGCTCTACTCAATCGGAACTCCTTACTGGTCCTGCCTCACCTTCGCTGCCTTCCATTCCCACTACGGCAAATGCCACCCCCAAAGTCCGAATTCCATTCTGCGATTGGCAGTCTTCGATGAACGGACGAGCGCCAGAGTACCACCCAGACTACCTTAATGATGTCCGGATTCCAAGCCCACTGCTGTATCACAATTCACCCTTCGATTACGTTCGGCCCTCGAACGAGCGTCAGTTAACCTGGAGTTTCGAACTCGCCTGTGGACAGCCAAAGCCAGAACCAGACTTTAGCAGCTACCGCCCCGTCGAGAATCGTGCCACTCAGGATGAACGCACACATGTCCAACGCCACGGAAGCTTGGGCTTTGCCATTTGCACGGCTGCATCATCGAGGCACAAAGCGGAAGCCAGCCACATCTCGGATGAAAGTCATGATTCGTCAACTCATGGCGTTGCCCCTTTACCAGAGGATTGCCTTGAGTCCCGAGAATGTGCGTGGCGCAATCAAGATTATTCACGCACTGCAGATGTCAACAGCAACCAGACCGTTGCTCCCATTGATCTTGGGCCTCAATGGTATGATTATTCGTTCATGCGAACGAACTCGCACGGTCAAGAGACGGGTATCCCTGGCGAAGTCGGGTGTACCGGAGACGATTTGATCTTTCCTACACTGCCGACCCTGGTCCGCCTTGAACCCACGTTAGCAGCCTATTGCAGCACCAACAATACTGTTCAGCCTGATGGAAACCAAGCCGCCAACAGCTGGGAGCGAGCAGGAGGAGCTTTGCCGTCCTTTCCAGCTCTTACTGACAATGCTCAAGTCCCATCTGTTTCGGACACGGTGGAGGCAGCGATCCGTGCAGTCCGCAGGGGCTGTGAAATGCATTCACGTCAGTTATCTCCAGATCGCAAGGATGACGAAGTCATATCCGACGAAGCCCAGCCTAGCCCAGCAGTCAAGGCCATACGTCAACCGTGCATGGATCTTGTTCCAGCACGACTGTACAAGTACCAATTTATTACATGGCCTGCATCAACCTCAGCCGTCGATGCCAGACAGAGATGCGACGGCGACATGTCTGGTGTGCTCAGAATGGTAAACTGGCTGGAAGGATTGAACACGCCAGACCCAGATGTCAGTGTTCAGTCGGGTCTACCAGGTCTTGCGCCGCGACCGTGTGAGACCAATTCCGATTATCGCAAAGCTATTTCGACCTCTGAAGCTACTCTAAGTCCGGCCCCCTTTGTTCACCCTCAACACCACGGAGCGCTATCAGTGGATGAACCAGGTTCAGGCCGACACGACGAAGGATACTTCACCTGCAGCGAACTCTTCTCTGAGGTCGACTTGCTGGAAGACCCTTTAAGTGATGAGGAGTGGGCCCATTGGGATTGGGATTTTGAGCCGGATGATGTGGATGAAAGGATTGGACTGTTTGCCACTGAGTGGGAGGCTGCAATTAAGGAAGCCGTGGAATAAAGCGTGAGAAGCGAACTAGCCAGCACGGATGCTTGCGGAGATTGAATCTTGTTAGAGATGAGAATGGTCCAAGGACAAGATGACGGCTAGACTGATGTTCTGGAGCTGGCGGCAGCCATAGAATTGTCCGTACAAGTTGCATACAATCAAGAGTTCTTGAAAGAGTGCGGCTTGTACGCTCCATCAGGTGAAAGCTTTTGGCCGTCAGCTTGTAGAGGAAGATCCGTTTCCTCGGGCACAGAGACAGCTCGAAATTGAAATTACTGACATAGAAACAAAGCAATGCATTCTGCCTCTGCGGAACGTCTACAGTCTGTCACCTTGGTCTCTGCCTGCAGGCCTACGATACCCTTGCTGTCCCTGCCCTGTAGCAGTGTAGCTAGCTGTATAGACATGGCAGCCACCCGTCTCCATGCCCGTCTCTGTCAGCGCCCTTCCTCCTCCTCCTACTTGTACTTGTACTTACCGAGTATGCACCACCACCTCCCCGAACAACTTGTCGTAATATCGCTCATCCGCGCTCCCTCCTTCGCCTTCGCCGTCGCCGCCGGGGCGAAGGAACCGCATCCCCGCCCAGATGGCCGCGTACATGGCCCATTCGGCCAGCACGCCCATGTCGGCCTTCATGCGCGACATGCGCTGCGAGCGCGCGTGGATGGCGTGCACGCGCGGCATGCGCAGGGTTTCGAAGGCCGTGAGGGCCTGCAGTAACGCCGTGTGTGAGGGGCGAGAAAGAGGAGCGTCACCGCTGCTGTTGCTGTTGCTGCCGCTGTTGCTGCTGCCAGGATTGGATGCGGATGCTAGGTACCGCTTCAGAAACACAGCCAGGGCCTCGGCGTCCTCGAGCGCCTGGCTCGCCCCCTGCCCGCTCGACGGCTGCAGCGCGTGCGCCGCGTCGCCGACCAGCACGGCCCGGCCGCGCAGCGACCAGCAAGGCAGTTCCGGCGTCGTCCAGGTCGGGTATGGCGCGTGCAGGGCTGGGGAGTTTCCGGCTCGGAGCCCGTCGGGACTGTCATCGCCGTATAGTTGGGTTTGTGTCCGTTGGTCTTGGGGGCGTTGTTGTTCGGTGTGGTCGTTTTGCACAACAAACGACAATATCGCCTGGATGGTCGGGTTGTGCCAGTTCCGGTGGCGGTGGAGCAGTGCCGTCTGGGCGAGGTGCTTGTTGAAATTTGTCGGGGTGCGGGTCGTGCTTGTATTTGTATTTGTAGCTGTATCTGCGTTGTGGAGACGCCCTGGAGATGGAGACGAGGGAGTTGAGTATGGGAACGGGCTTGGGCTGGAGAACGTAGACCACCATCCTGCCAGCGGTCCTGGGGCCGGGGTTGGAAGATCAGGAGGTAACCCTGAAGTGGTTTCTGTCTCTCTCGTCGCTGGGAACCGGTTAGGTGATGGTGATGGTAACGGTGGCCTGGATGACGTCAAGTAACCGTATCCGAAGAATCCATTCGGTCCAAACACGACCGTCATGGTGCCTGGTTTGTGCCCTGTGGCTTGCAGCGCCGACGAAGGCACAAACCCGCCCACGCCGACGAGGCCTTCGTAGTGTGGCGAGACGTAGTCCGTCTGGGTGGCTTTGCTATCTCCTCCGGAACGGAAGAACGGGATAGGTAGGTACGAGAGGATGGTTTGCAGCCAGTTCGAGGTTGTCTTTTGCGTCGGGTTGTGGGATGATTGCTCGTCGTGAGTCTGTGCTCCATCAGTAGTCGTCGCATTATCAACCCCGCCCTCGCCCTCGTCCTCGGCGGCCTTGCCCTTGCGAAACATGGCCCGCCGCAAAACACTTCTTAATCCATCCGCCCCAATCACCAGGTCGGCTTCTTCTTGGGAGCCGTCCTCGAACTTGACAAGGTTGCGTGTCCCTTCGTTGCCGATGACCACGTCGACGACTTTCTTGCGGATGACCACGTCGGGAGACTCTCTCAGGACCCGGTCGCGGAGAATTTCCCAGAACGATTGTCGCGCGATCATGATCCCATGGTATGGACACGGATTTCGCGCCGCGGCCGGTGGAGATTTTGAACGTTCGTGCTTGTTCACAGAGGGTTTCGAGGCCGTGGTGGCAGTCCCTGGTCCGGCGAGATCGATCTCGCCGAGTGTGAAGCCTCGTGCCGTGCTGAGTATCCACCGCTCAATCGGATGGCCGTGTACAGCCATTTCCTCGATCAAGGTGCTAGATCGAGCAGCCTGTGCTTCGCTTCGGCCATGATCATGAGTTTCGTCCAGGCGAGCTAGGACGTTCAGTCCGTTGCGGGCGATGCCGATCGCGGCCCCAATCGCTTGGGGAGTGAAGATTGGTTCTGTCTCTGTCGCGGGGACTGCGTTGGCGGTCGTTGATTCTTCATTCGCGTCCGTGTCGACGGCGGGGTTCGTCAGGGAGGCGTTGAAGTGCGATTGGTGGATGTCGTAGGCTTCGTAAATTTTGATCTCATATTGTTGTTGTTGTGGTCGTTGTTGTTCTGCTTGGGGAGAAGGGGTTGAGTCGGAGAGCACCAGGTGTTTGCGAAGGAAGAGGTAGGTGCTCAGACCTGAGATGCCGGCGCCGATGATGATGATCTTGGCCATGGCGGGGGGAGAAACGTGCGAGGTCAAGGAGAGAAAAATGAATGAAGATGGAGCTACCTACCTGTTCAACTATGGCGAGGTGATAATCATGGGTGCCATAGCTTCATTATATAGACGTCTTCCCTCCATGTCTAGCATTGTGGGGAGACATTTGGAACCGTCCGGGCCTATATCGCCAGGGAGACCATAGCGCCACGGCCACACAATGTGCTCGGTAGAGTGCACAATGCCCAATTCGGGATCTTGATTCTCTAGCAGCAAGTCATGGGGAGGAATGGAATAGAAAGAAATGTTGATGCCTGATCTGGTGTTTGGATATGTTCTGTGATTGGTAGGGAACCGAGGCATGGGGCGAGGGGGCGAGCGATACGTCGGGTTCGGAGAATTTATATAGAAAAAGGGGTAGAGGCCGCTCTGATTGGTGTGGAGCTGGAGGGCGCGGAAAAACACCGGCCCGCAGAGCAAGCACTCTTGTAACATCTTGCACGATGAATTTGCTGGGAAGCCGCTGGGGCCAGTAAAGACCAGTCGAAAGCCACATGTTATCTTCAATCGAGCCTCACGGTGCAGAAGAAGTAGTGGATAACCTGGAAGGCACAGCGAAGGCGGCTCAGGAAAGACAGCTTCCGTGAGTGTGAGCCAAGGACAAAGGATAGCCACCCTGCCTTCAACGCTCAAACTTCAAGCGATAGCCTGTGATCGTTGACTCAGATGCCAATGCTTGCATCAACGGTGGCCTTCGGGCGGAGGCACGCCATCCTCCGGCCCTGTGCCCAGGATTCGTTTACCCTGTTCCTCCTCCACCGCAGCATTGTCGCTACTTTCCTTCCGAAGCTTGAGTTTGCCAAAGGCACCGGAAACTATGCCCGTCACGCTTCGCTTTGCCTTGTGGCGTTCGCGTGCTTCGCGTTCTTGAGCCTCGCGTTGCTGTTCCAGGTACTGCCGCTCCTTCTCCGCGCTCTGGGATTTGTCTCGCTTGGCCTCTTCCTCCATTTTGACCTTCTCTGGATTGAGCAACTTATCCTTCTTATACACGACAGTGTCACCAGCCGCCTTGACGCGCTTGCGAGTTTTGGTGTAAGTCTCCAGGCCAACCAGCACTGCATAGCTCCGGGAGATGGATACGCGCGACATGTCGACGCCTTCGTCTCGGAGACTATGCACGAAGGCTCGAAAATTTCCTGCTGGCGGCCGATAGTGTCCACTCAAGGGTGATAGCTTTCTTAATTGACCATGCTTAACCTTAATCAACCCTGCTGACAGAATCCGTGCGCCGTATAAGAACGACGAGTGTTGGAATGCCCCCGACTGCTTGTACCCGATGTACAGTCGAAACGAGGTATCGCAGACAAAGATCCACTTGTGCCCTTTCTTCAAGCTTGTTCTGATCATGTGGTTGAACAACACTGCCGCACTGACATACTTGACTTTGGACACCCCCCTGGCTCGATGGAACTGTTTCTGATCAGTACTCTTCACCAGGCAGGGTTATCGAAGCAACACGTACATCTTCATTGACATATCTCTCTCCTTCGTCACCCGCCGTGTTGTCATCTTCATCCTCTGCCTCTGATTCATCTGAAGAGCTGCTGTCGGATTCACTCGCATCTGGCGGCGGAACGTTGTACTTCCATTTCGGTGCGGAGTCATCTATGGGAACTATCCCATTTACGCTGTCTTTGAATAGCTCATCCTTGGTCCAAACAAGTTCACCGTTCTTGGCCCAGACAAGCAAGCCTTTTTCGTTGACCTTGACGAGATAGTTCAGACGTTCTTCGCGTGACAGGTATCGCACTTGTTCCTTGTCCAGTCGTGCTCGACTACACTCTGGAAGGTCCACATTCTTGCCGTCGCCTTGGTCCAGCCAGTAAAAGAAGTTCTGATCAGTGTCTTGAGTTTTCCAGTAGGCATGGTATCTAGTACCATCGTAAGTCCAGGTTGAAAGTGCTCCACCGGTTGGAACGCACGGCTCCTTGGGAGGCGCTCCGTCTGTTCGAGACGGAGAGGGTACTTACTTGCGCAGATTACTCCCATAACGGTGTTTCTGGTCCACCATCTCAAGAAAATATTGCAAATCCATCATTTTTGCAGTCTTCTTCCTCATGGCGTTGGCCTCGGCTTGTTTTCTTTTTGCCGCATCCATCTCTTCCCTCTCTTCTTGGATCATACCGCTGGGTGAGCCCTGGGCATTTTCGGTGCCTTCATCTGAGGAGAACTCGGAGATGGACGGGGAACGGTCATCGGCGCCAGCCCTGCGAGCAACTTCGGTCGCTCGACTCCATTTCAGCCTTGCGGGTGATGTGGTGCCGTTGTTCGTGTTTGGGCCGTCACGGGAAGAGGCGGGAGGTTGGGGTGATGTGTGTGCTTTGAATTGCGCATCTCGTACCGCCTGTCATGCTTGTCTCAGTCAGGGCCACAGCACGACTAACGTGTCACGCCTGACCTCATACCACCGTGTCGAGGCATCCAGACCAAATCCGTTCAGTTGGCGGCGCGTGCGATGTCCTCTATAAGATTTCTTGGGACTGGTCAACCATTGGCAGCCGGGATAAGAAACGGGCAGATTCAGACCTGAATTAGGACAGCCGCCTTCTCACTGTCCTCGGCGCTGAGGGCTGTCTTGGACGGTTCAGAGGGTTTGGGAATGGCATCCGACGGCTCAGCATCCATGAGGAGGGATTTGCATGTCAAACATTTGATGTCTTCTAGAATGTCACCGTTGGACGTTGGACGGGTTCGGACAACCACGGTTGAACACTACGTCATGCAAGGCTGAAACGAACGACGGCGAGGCTGACGACGAGACCCCGCACTGAGGTTCAGAGCAGCCACCATAGCTATCTTGCCATCTTGCCATCTTGCCATCTTCAAGACCTACGCCTGCAGCTCGATTGAAGTGTCTCTAGCCACTTGCCATTCTTTTCTTCGAGCATTATAATAATACACCGTGTCCAGACTCACAGGTACTTTCACACATGGCTCAGCAACCACGTAAAGGTGGTTGAAGAAGGGCAGGGTTATCCCCACTGAGTGGGTAACCTTTCCTTTGTGTAACGCGAACCTTTCTTCCCTAAGCCTCGTGCCATCCGTAGTCGGAGCAACAGAGAGGACGGCATTTGCAAGGATCTGTCTTCCTTGTCTCCTCTTCCACCGGAAGTCCCAGAGGTGTGCTCGGCAAATGAAGGCCGATGAGGGGATCAAGCAAGGTACGGGAGCACGTTGGGGTAAAGAAGAAATGTTCATGTGAAGATCCAGCACAACGGCACCATTCGGACAGAAGGCAATGTCTTTTGTTGGACTGCTATATTTGATAAAACCCCGCGGATGTTTTCGGTGTATTGTTGGGGTTTCCCAACCCCAGTCCATTTTTGGGAAGCAAGGTTGGTGTTCGTACGGCAATGACACTAGGCCACAACGTCCTCGTTGTTGAAATCCCGCAGACGCTGCAGTGCTTGACACAAGATCCTAAGATGCTCTCAACTTGGCAGAAGCCACCCTTTGTGATAGGCGCGGGAAAGGCGTCGACGGCAATGTCCATATGGCCAGTCCATCGACCTCCACAGTTCGAGATCGACGAGAACTATTCCCTCTTACCTGTTAACGAATGGGACGGAACCGTGTTGAGCAGCTCAAACGCCTCGCAACTTGGACCAGCTGCCATTGCTTCTTGCTGTACCCAGCACGCTGGCATTGACATGCATGCTGGAGAGCCATCGCACCGCGCCGCACCTCACCTCACCTCCCTTGCGCTGCAACAGATTTGCCCAGTTTGACATATCAAGAGGCGGTAGACACCGTTTACCAATTGGGCCCCTCCAGAAGGTAACAGAGATCGTGGACTAGAGTTCAGAATTGACACTGTGACGCCATTTCTGCGTCGTCCCACTGTGAGCAATGCAAAGACTACTGACCAAAGACGAAATTGTGAGGAGAGGCGTCCCATGGGCGCAGTCCGCGTCACTCTTTGGGTTCGTTCAAGTCAGAATCTTGCACCAGCTCAGAGCTTCGCCAGGAAGGTTCTCCTATCAGCTGGCAGCGTCGATCATCACCAGAGCATTTGATGGGGTCAACGATGGTATGCCAGAGATCGACAGCAATCAGGGAAGTTGACATTACTTCTACGGAGTAGATATAGGTATAGACCCTTTAACAAACACCCACCGATTGAGTTACAGGAAGTGTCTCCCAAGGGTGGACAGGCTCTCAGCTCGGAGCCGGTCGAGGAGCATGTGGGTGCGAGGATGCGTGGGTGACATACTACGAGCACATTCTTTAGGGTTGGATGCTCAGCGACCGTTTCGGAGAGAGATGATCGTCAAGCAGGCATGGGCCCAGCCCGCCTCAATGGGCCAAGTGCGTTCCAAGGGTTAGTGAGTTGGAGGTGACTCGTGAGTAGTTGGAGGTGAGGGAGAAGGGGCCCAAGTGAGGTGGATGTGAAAGTCAAAGGTTGGGCTGTCAGGTTGAGGATGAAAGTGGAGTTTGACTCGGAAGGAGCGACTCAAAGGGCCAATTAGTTCCTACTGGGTGGTGAGGCCTTTCCGTGTCTGCCGGAGAATGATGGCCGACGTAATTGATTGCGAGTCAGTCTTGGTAGCTGGAAGCCGAGTCAGAGGCGCCTGACTCCCCGACTCTGTGACTCTCTTTCCTTTACGAGGTACCTGGTACCGAGTACTGTACCTCTCTTCTCTGTGATGGAGTACCAAGGACCTAGGTACCTAGGTACCTCGTAGCGAGTAGCAGTCCTCTCCTTCGCACCGGGTCCGCTACGCTCCTTTCCCCGCTTGTCTCCTCATTCTGCTCCCTTCAAACAATCTCCTCCCGCCACCGAGTCAAACCAACAAACTCATCAACTCAATCCCACTCACCTGACGTTGACAGCGCCATGGAATTTGTTTCCCTTCTCGCTATCTCAGTGGTTACCGTGTCAGCCCAGCCCCATCTGGCAAACCTTCGAGAGGCCTAGTACCCAGTCGCCCGTCTCGAGAACCGTTCTCGAGACTGGTACTGCACGCTAGCGCATCTCGAGAACCGCCCTCACGCCTTCACGCCCTCGCGCCCTTTGTCTCTGCTTCTCTCCCTCGACCTCGTGCTCACCCACAATAACCTCCCTGCCCCTCCCCCCCGGCGGAACATAGCCTACTCCTGCTTCTCCACAACTCATCCAACCACCGATAGAAAATTTTTTCTATCGGACAAGCTGACTGGCTCTGATGCCTCGTCTAGGGCCTCCCCCCATGGCGGCTTGACTGTCTCGAACTGGGTCGATGTCACCGACTCGGCAAAGTTTGTGCAATAATGAAGGCACATCGAGTACACAACCGCTTGAAATAGCCGAGCATGCATACTGCGTATTCCACCGGCACAAATCCGCCCAACTATGTAAGTCTCTTGAAACGGTCCTGGCCAGGATAAATCGGCACGGATGAAGATCGGACCTCTAATCATTCATGGAGCTTTCCCTAGCTGCACTCTTGCCCACGCTACCTTGAATCTTCCCACTCTTTTCGTCCGAGCTGGAGTGGCCCGCCAGTGGGGAACAACCTCTTCATCTCTCCACGTGTGGCCTGGCAAAGGATTGTGCTCACTGCTTCACAGTCTGGAACTCCTAGCCTGTGGAACGGACACCACGGAGAAATCTTCTAACCCGTGGCAGTGTCCAGCCGCCTCTCATCAAAGCCACCTCTCACCCTTGATCCAGTAAGTGCCAGAGACAATGGGCGACGGCTAGCAAGCTAGCTAGCTAAAAGTCTACCAAAGTCCAAGTTACCCCAAGGCCTCGACCGAGATCGCTTGCTGGTCCAATCGCTGATCGTCGAGCCGACTGTTGCCTTCGAACCGGGGTAGTCCGGGGTAGGGGTGTGGACATTGGTTTTGAGGGTGCAATTGACTCAGTCTGTTATTTTACTCCGTTACTGGGGCCCAGTCTAGTGGACCCAGGGTCATGTCGGATCCGTTGAGATTTTCCCCATATCAGTTCTCAGGACCCTCGTGCGTGCTTCGATGCCCCTCGCTATCTTTTCTCTCGCGCTGCCCCTTGTCCTCTTCTCTCCTCTGTACTCTTTGAGAACGCTGCAGTGCTCCTTACTGCACTTTCAACCCAGTCACTCCCTAGCCACCTTGTATTCACACGACGTGCAACCTCACCTCGACTGTCCCTGCTTACCATGGCGACAACCACCCACACCCAGCCTAAGCGGAAGTCCACCGCCGCCGGACTTCCCACTGGTGGTAGGACGGTCAAGCGGAGGGCTTCCAAAGCTTGCCACTGTTGCCGTGGTAGGAAAGTGCGCTGTGACGTGGTTGAGAGTGGTATTCCATGCACGAACTGCCGACTCGACGAGGTCGAGTGTGTAGTCACTGAAGGAAAGCGTCGGAGAAAGTCTTACGCAGAGGGCGAGCTGTTTCACCACTCGCCCTGCAATTCTGTAGAAGAGGAAAAGGAAATTCCACAATTTCCCATCTTCGATGATATTGATGAGCTCAACAACTTTGTCCCTACATTGCCCACGACTGAGTCGACCCATCCCCAGCATGCCCTGGACGATGAGATGGTTCACCACAAGCCCCATATGCTTTGTAAGTCTGCTCTTTGCCCTGGCTTGGTGGTGCCCACGCTAATAGAACATCCATCTAGACCAGACACAGGGCAACCGCCTGAGCCAGGAGGAGCGTTTTCGACGAATGTCTACAGTGGGCAGCAACCACCTTACTCCGCCCATTCTCTCCCCAGCAATGTCCTACTTCCTTCAGCACTCGAGCCGACTGAACATCGTCCTCCCCCCCTACCTGCAGCCCATATCTCCTAGGATCATGTCTGAAGACCTGGAGTATCTGCACAAAAAGGGAGCGTTTTTGATCCCCGAAACAGGCTTCCGCAACGAGCTCCTTCGGTGCTACGTCCAATACGTACATCCTTTCCTTCCCATCATCGACCTGCGAGACTTTTTGACTACCGTCGAAAAGAACCAGCCCACCGACACTGTGAGCCTCTTGCTCTTCCAGGCCATTATGTTTGCGGCAACTGCATACATTGATATGCGCTATCTCATTGCCCAGGGATACATGACCCGGAAGGCAGCCAGAAAATCCTTTTTCCAGCGAGTCAAGCTCCTGTATGATTTTGACTACGAAGTCGATCGAGTCACCGTTGTGCAGGCGGTTTTGCTGATGACCTACTGGTACGAGAATCCCGACGACCCAAAGGATGTGTGGCACTGGTTGGGCGTGGCCATCTCGGTTGCTCGAACCATTGGTCTCAACTGCGACACTTCAAACGCTTCGCTCATGAGCTTGCAACAACGTCGTCTCTGGAAGCGCATCTGGTGGTCTTGCTACATGCGAGACCGATTGATCGCCATTGGGATGCGACGTCCGATGCGGATCAACAGTGGAGATTTTGACGTGCCTATGCTCGAGGTGTCTGATTTTGAGACCGAGGCTCTGCCAGCCGAGCTCAGTAGGATGCTCGGGGGCTGTCCTGCCGTGAGAGATACTTCCAAGCGCGTCACTCTAGCCAAAATGTGCATTGGCCTGGCCGATCTCTGCGCCCGCATCACTCAAGTCCTCGCCGTCCAATACTCTACGCTCGGCCACAAGATCGGCGCCACTCAAGAGACTACGATGAGACTGGTTCCGAAGAAGTCGGCGGCAGACCCATGCGATGTGATTCGTTGTGACCGCGCGCTCGATCAGTGGCACAAAGACCTCCCACATGACCTTCATTACTTCGCCCCGGATTCTCGCGAGCGAACAAGCACCAACGACGGAGAGGTCATCAATCTCCACCGAGCTCTTCTGACCGGGATCTACCTTACGGCAATTAGTGCATTGCATAGACCACAAATCCTTCCCTCGGCACCCAATGTGGTTGTCGCGCCAGAGCTACGAGAATTGTCGAGGAGGAAGGTGCGCGAGGCCGCCAATGATATCACCGAGATGTACAAAGAACTCTTTGCGCATGATTTGATACGATACCTTCCCAATACCGGGGTTACGTGTCTGCTTCCTGCCATTATTATCCACCTTCTGGACATCAAATCAAGCGACTCCAACACGCGACAAGCGAGCATTCGCAAGTTCCAATTCTGCATGCAAGCCCTTCAAAGGCTGCGGGAGATGTATGCTTCTGCGGACTTTGCCTTCTCGTTCCTCGATGCAGCCGTCCGCAAGACCAATGCTCAGGTCTATGCTGTATCTGGGATGAAGACACCATTCCCCGGTTCGACAGGAATGGACAAGAAGTTTTCCCCTGGACCGTTGCTGCTCACGCCACCTCCTGAGGCTATGCAGACGGCAAGCTTGCTGCTCATGAACTCGACGCTGGCGCCAGAGGAGCGAAACCTCATTGCCGCATACACTCCACCAGAGTCGGACACGAGCTTCAACTTTCAGACCAAGGAAGAGGCCGCAGCTGCATCAGCAGAAGCGACTATCAAACATGACACAGGGGTTAACTGTGCGCCGGAGGAGCAAGCACATGCTGAATTTGAGACCCTTGTTGATCTGGAAGGCGGCACTGATTTGTTTTCGACCGTTGAGGATGGCCTGGATTTGAACATGCAGTGGCTGCAGGGATTCGACGCGGACAACCACACTCCTAATTCGGGAGAGTTCCCGCTGGAGACGATTGAAGAGGTTGATGAGCAGCGAGAGCATTGTGGTTATGCAGAACAGGAACTAGATGCCACTGATGAGCTTGTACTAGGTCTGGGTCTTCAGGTCGATGCATGAGGTATTAACACCTGTAGGAAATGATATATATAATGAACTCTACCTTTGTATGTGTCTCTCCTTCTTGGGCTAATACTTGTTTGTGCTTGGAATCGGTTTCACGAGGCTTGATATCGCTTCATATTGCCTGAGCTTGAGAAGATGCCGAGGTGGCTTGCAGATCCGCAGCTTGTTGGAGGCGGGCCAAGTGACTGAATCTCCCTGCGATATATTTTTCCATCAACATCCCCCCCTTTCCCACCCTTTCAACCTTCTCCATCAACCTCCTTATCCAAAAAGAAGACCGAATCGTCCCTTTCGTCTTGCATACACATGTTAGGCCCGTGGGCTCTTGTATTCTATGTGCAGAGAGACACCCAGAAGCCGTTCTGGCCCTCCAATCCCCCACTTCGAGCTCACAGGATTCAACCCCGCCAGTTGATCGGCGGTGGCCCTGTCAACCTCTCCCCTGCAATGTCACATTGAAAATATGACCAGTGGGTGACCAGTGGCGAGAGAGATAAGGGTGCTCACCATGCAGGATCCTTCGAACTCGGCCTCTCCCGCAGCCAGCCGGTCCATCTACCGAAGATACGCTCGAATCAGACGATAACAAGTCTGCGTTCTGCCCTGATGGGCAATGCTTGCACACGACCAGTCTGCACAGCGCCCTGGCCCTCCCCCATTATCTGTCAATATCCGGTGCAATCATCGCCAAGTCACAGGAGCTTCACCACACATAGCTTGTCCGTTGATGTTTGCACCATCGCACAAGATGGCTACCAAGACCGCATTCTCGGGCAGACGCGTTGCTGGAAATTGTCCCTTGAGTAAGACACCAGTCGGCGGCTCCGAGGCGGTGTTCCAATTGTTTCTGGAAAACTGATGGACAAACAGCGAAGGCGGGGTCTGAGCTTGTGATTGGAGATCGGCTGTATTGAAGCTTCGGCCATGGCGCATAAAGATTGCCTGCATGAAACCACACTGGCTGTTGCTTGTCGTACCTGGCCATATTGACCAAGTCACAGGCTCAGGATCTACCACTACCCTGATTAAGAATCCTCCGAGAGGCGCAATCTTATCGCAAACTTGCGCAAATTCGCCATTGACCGGGCAAAAGAAGCTTCTACTTATGCATTCGCAGTAACATCCACTTGCACACCTGCCCCATGTGGACTGGAAAGCATATCGAAATGGGCACTGTCCCGTTTGACCAAATCCCATGACTGGACCGCCGAAAGCTCAACCTTGTCCAGCCGACCTCAGACTCCACAAGTCAAGGATTGCTATAGCTTGGATCCCTGTCTCAATACTACTTCTCATCCTGCTCAACGTCATCGAATATGGTCAAAGTATTCCTGGCACATGGGTTACTGCAAACCTCATTCGAGGAGATCACACCTCGGTCGATTGACCAGCAATTATTTACAGTCAAGCTCGAGCTAGTGAAGACACTAGAATGAGTGCTGCTCATCGTGAGCGAGGAGTTCGTGCAGCTATCGCCCAGATCGTGATCAGAGGTAGGAGAGTCATCTGCTACTTAATCCTGTCGCGCGACCCAAGTCTGACGCATCCCCTTCTCTTCCTGCACGCAGCTCTCTGTGCCTCTGAGGTGGTTGCAGAGTAACACAACAGCTGTTTGGCTTGAGACCAAAGTGAGGTAAAACCTTTCACTTGATCTTCTTGCTCCCCCATTCAACTCTCTCCTTCACTTCTGGCGACTTGGGCACGTCTCGCTATGCACGTTGCGAAACTCTCCCTCATCGGCGCTCTTGCCGCTGGTGTTTCGGCGGTCAAAGGACCTACTGTGCACAACAGAAGGGCTCCTGGGCCGAAGCTTCAGGTCTTGCCTCGACAACTACCAGCAGAGCCCACTGGCGTTCAGACAATTGTCACTCCCAATGGCGTTAACATCACCTATAAGGAACCGGGCAAAGAGGGTGTGTGTGAGACGACTCCGGGCGTCAATTCATACGCAGGCTTTGTCAACCTTGCTCCGGATGTTCACAGCTTCTTCTGGTTCTTTGAGTCTCGAAATGACCCAGCAAACGACCCGATCACGTTATGGCTCAATGGAGGGCCTGGAAGTGACTCTTTGATCGGAATGTTTCAAGGTGAGGGGTGTCTGCCCAGGAGCAGCTTGTGTCACTCCCGAACCCGTGGCTGACCACGTCTTACAGAGCTTGGCCCATGCAATGTTAGTGAAAATTTGACCACGCACCTCAATCCGCACGCATGGAATGAGGCCTCGAACATGCTCTTCCTTAGCCAACCGTTAGGTGTGGGTTTCTCATACGGCTCCAAGGTAAAGGCACTGCAGCAACACCACCCACAGGAGATGGAACTGATATTTGGATACAGGGCCCTGGCTCGCTGGACCCCAACTTTGGACAATTCGTGCCTCCATCAGAGGCGAATGTGACTGGAAGATACCCAATAATCAATGCGACCGAGATTGGTAAGTCCGCCAGAACCTGGAGCGGCACATACGCATGCATGTACTCATGGCTGTGTTGTAGATACCACTGATCTTGCTGCGATCGCAGCCTGGGAGGTGCTCCAAGGATTCTACGCAGCGCTCCCCCAACTAGATTCAAAAGTCCAATCAACCAAGTTCAACCTGTGGACCGAATCTTACGGAGGTAAATATATCACCAAACCACTTTCATCAACCAGGAAAACCATCTGACAACACGCTACAGGACACTACGGCCCTGCCTTCTTCAACTACTTCTATCAACAAAACCAAGCCATTGCCAACGGTACTCAAACCGGCAAATCCTTCGAGTTCGTGAACCTGGGGATCATGAACGGGATTGTGGACGAATACGTCCAAGCGCCTTACTACCCGATCTTCGCCAACAACAATACCTACGGGATCAAAGCCGTGAATGACACCGTTTATAACTACATGACCTTCGCCTGCTACATGGACGACGGCTGCCTGGACCAGATCTCCCTGTGTGCCGAGGCCGACACCACCACCCTCACAGGTCAAGCCGTATGCACCGAGGCCGAGGACATGTGCCGCGACAACGTCGAATCACCGTACTACTACTATGGCGGTCGTGGCGTCTACGATATTCGTCACCCGTACGACGACCCTACGCCGCCTACTTACTTCATCGACTACCTCAACTTGGCCTCGACACAACAAGCCCTGGGCGTCGACACGAACTACACCACGGACTCCAACTATGAGGTCTACTACGCATTCCAGCAGACCGGCGACTTCATCTACTTCAACTTCATCGACGATCTCGAGCAGATCCTCAATTCGTCCTCTGTCCGCGTCACCATGGTCTACGGCGACGCCGACTACATCTGCAACTGGTACGGCGGACAAGCCGTGTCCCTGGCGGCCAAGTGGCCCCACGCTGCTCAGTTCAAGAACTCGGGCTATGTCCCCTTCGTGGTCAACGGCACCGAGTACGGCGAGACGCGCGAGTACGGCAACTTCTCCTTCACCCGCATTTACGAGTCTGGCCATGAGGTCCCTTACTACCAGCCAATCGCCGCGCTGGGCTTCTTCACCCGCGCAATCAACGGCCTGGATATCGCCACGGGCACAAAGCACGTGAACGGCACACAGGGAGGAACCAAGGGCAGCCCAAGCGCCACTCATACGGAGCCCTTTGTGCCGCTGCCGACCAGCTCGTCGAGTTCTGCAGCCTCCTCGGCGGCGTCGTCATCGGCGGCAGCGTCGTCTTCGTCGGTACCCAAAGATCCAGCCATCCCAGGTCGATTTGCTAGACGGGGATATTACTACGGGGATTGAGGTGGTTTCTGGATGGAGACAATGACGCCGAAGAGAAAAGCTGGTGGTGAAAATAAAGCGCTGTCGTCGGAGCTGCAGACTGAATAGCCGAATCTGGCCCTTTTGAGTGCCTCGAACTAACAGACTTAAACCACTGAATGAGTAATGCGAACCAAGATACCGAATCCTAAAAGTCATACGCAAGGAAGTCAAGAAAAATATCAAGACGTGTTCAATCTTTGTCGTTGCTTGAATGAGACTCCATTGCCATCTTCTCCTCACTCGTAAGCACAGTTCGTTTTCCGCCAATGACATGCTCCAAATCGCGGAGTTGGTTGGGGTAACCTCCAACCACGCCTGGCTCACTCCCGGTACGTAGTACCTACCTAGGTAGTAAGTATACTTGTATCGAACTGCGCACAATGGAAACGAGCACTCGCCGCGCTGTGCCCCTCCCCCGGCCCGGCCTACGCGCCCAGCGGCAACGGCAGTGCCAGCAACCCCGGATCCAGATCTAGGCCTCGCGCCTCGAGTTCCCCGCGCGATGAGCTCTTCCATCACACTGCTCCTGGACCGCGCCCAAGCCCACCAACACCGCCTTGCGTTCAACAAGACGCGTGCAGCGCGATGAAAGTGCAAGAGTGAGCACGAGAGCCCGCGATCCGGGGGGTTCGAGGTCCCCCGCGTCGTCAGGAACTCGGTAAAGGGGCCGCAAGCATAGGAGGGGGAAGCCGTAGAAGAGTTGCGAGATGGCTTCCATACTCTGTAAGATCATGCTGCTGGTGCTGGTGCTGGTCGAGCCGATGAGGTCTGCTTTTTGCCATGGTGTTGGACGCTGAGGAGGCGAGCTGAAGAGATGCAGCTCAGCTCAGGGGAGGCGAGATGCGGCGTGCGATGGTTTCGACAGATGAGCGGGCCAGCTGTGATGATGATGATGACGATGGCAATGCAGCAGGGGTTGGTGTGTCCGGGTGGTGGTCGGCTGAGCTATAACTACTCGTACACCCGGTTGTGATTCTCGTGACTGCATCCCGAAAACGCTCGAGATTCTGCTTTTCCTCACGTGCTCCTTCTGAAGTTGAGGCCGCTTCTGCTGCGGGTGGTAAGGAATGACATCTTGACAGTTCCGTGTCCAGCCCACGCAGAAGACGCCAGGCATACGAGGTCGGCCCACGAGTAGTAGTCAACTCGGTATATGTAGCTGTAGTTGTAGCCGCGTAAGCACCTGTCTGGTAGCGTGGATCATCCCACATGCTCATCAACGGCTTCACGAAACGTGCTGGGTCTTCACCCTCCTGGGCCAGCGCCTGCTCGATGCAGAGCCTGGGATTTTGATGGACGACTGATGTAAAGACGCTGCCGTGATCGATGAAGACGGGGATGGCCTGGAACCAGACCTGGAGGATTTCCGGGACTCAGAAAACACAGCGGGTCCCGCGAGCAGATCGAACCTTGCATCGGCCCGTTCGCACGCCGTCGAGGAAGCCAAGGTCAACCCACGAGATGTAGTTGACGGAGAAGCGCAGTGCCCATCAGAGCCTCGCAGTTCTCCTTTTTCAGCGGCCGTGAGAGGTTCTGGCGCAAAGAGCCGCACCGTCCTGGCCATCAGCCGGGCCCACTCGTGCGCGTATTTGGTGCCGTGCTGGGGACAGAGGGTCGTGAGATGCTTGGCGGCAACGCACAGGATGGCAGGCATGACGAATTCTTCCTACAAATTCAAAAAAAAAAAATTAGCCATCATGGGCTTTTACTCCCAAAAAAGGGTTGAGGGAAGTTTGAACACATCAAAAGCTCGCTTGCGTGACGATGGGCCACAGATCGGGGGAAATGCCAGCGTCGAACCGCGTCCGTGTGTTCCAGTGATGGAAGAGCTCGAGGTGTAAGAGGCCGATCCGCGGGTTCGCGTCCCATCTCGAACCGGGCATCCGGCAGGGAGGAGAGGCTTGGGCGAACGACATGGTGATGGAAGGTTCGGCGGTGCTTCACATGGGATGTTGCGCCGGACACAGCCGGAGCATGGGCGCCGTCTCATCACACTGGGAAATTTGGTCAGGTCGATTAGTATTATTATCTTCTTTCCCAGTACGGTATTGCCCCAAATTGTTCTCAAAGTCTACAGAACATTTGGTCTGGGGTTTTTCTTTTCTCTTAGGGTCTATTAGTACTTTACCTTGACCCTCCGGCCCTTACACGCCAGACACCCTCGCCGGCTTTTTGAATGCGGCCGCTTCTGGCGTGGCTGCTCCGGAACCCCGACAGTCTGGAGTGTCGAAGCCCTGCCCGCGGCGCCGGGCATTAGGATGATGGTGCTGGCAAAACGGGAATCGGCCCGCGTGTTGTCGTTGGACATTTGGGGGAGGGAGTCAGGACGGACTTGGCCCTCGTATTAGCAGTACCGAGTAGAAAAAAGAGGTTGCGACGATGCGAGGACATGAATTGAACGATGAGAAGAAGGGAGACTTGATTTTACCAAAGCCTTGGAGTGAGTGCGTGAGTGAAGCCGGCGTTCGGCTTAAAGTGCTGGAGGGCGTGAGGTCGTGGGTGGAAACAATATGGACGCTGCCTAACTCAGCCTTGCAAAGGTTGTCACCTCCTCGCATTCCCGATCGGGAATGCGAGCGACCATTCACGGCCAATGGGCAAGCCTTCGCTGTTGCGACGCTCGACCCTCAGAGGATGGGACCAAGAGGTGGCAGAACGAGGTCAATGAGAGAAACGACTCTATAAAACCATCGGCTGGGGCCTGTCTTCGAGTTTAGCTCCCTCCGTCGGCAATTTTAAACCCTCTCCCTCTCTTGGTCAAGCATACCATACCATATCTACACTCACCAATGTCTTCAGTCCCACCAGGGGGGCTGATTCTCGTCACCGGCGCCAACTCATACGTCGGCAGCGTCGCGATCCAGGTGTTTCTGCAGCGCGACTACCGCGTCCGTGGTACTGTGCGCAACGTTGCCCGCCATGCCTGGATGACGGGGCACTTTGGCCCCAGATTCGAGCTTGTCGAGGTGTCCGAGATCAGTTCGCCGGGGGCGTTTGACGAGGCGATCAAAGACGTGGACGGCATCGCCCACCTGGCCATGAACATGGACATGGACCCGCAAAACCAGGCGGTCATCCACGACACCATCGCGACGAACCTGCACCTCCTGAGATCCGCGGCACGAGAACCCAGTGTCAAGAGCGTGGTCATCACCTCGACCTCGGCCGCGTGCACACTCCCGACGACTGGCATGCCGTACAAAATCGACGCAACGACTTGGAACACGGCGGCGATCGAACATACCTCGAAGCCGTGGAACGGCGAGGGCAATCCGCGCTGGCACAGGATCTTGCTGTACGGAGCCGCCAAGGCGCGCGGCGAGCAGGAAGCCTTTGCGTGGGTGCTGCAGCACAAGCCACGGTTCTCTTTCAACACGGTCGTGCCCAAGGTGAACTTCGGCACGGCCGTGGCGCCCGAGAACATGGGCTACCCGCGGCAGATTCTGCTGAAGTCGGTCGACGAGCGGGTAGTGGATGCCGACCAGGTGGATAATCAGCGCAGTGTTGAGGTGCTGAAGAAGATGGGCAAGGCGGACGGGTTCACGTCGGTGGAGGATACCCTCGTCAAGGCCGTGCATACAATTCTGGAGAACCAGTGCGAGAACGTTCCCAAGACGAGGATAGATCTGTTCCACGAGTCTCTGGCCAGTCAGTCATCTGATGGTACTTGAAGGCAAGGCAAAGCAATAGAGTCGTCTTTGTCCGACTTCGGCACGAGCTTCGCGTTGGGAGAAGTTTTAACATAAGTACATGATATTACATGTCTGCAGTCCCAGAAGAGACGAAGAGACCAACAGTTTACTTTCAGTCAGTTAGGTCTGTAGATACAGTACCATCTCGGAGATGGGGCTGAATAGGCTCACTAGGCTGAGCATGGCGCCAAAACTTAGGCTCCTGTAGCCGATCTCCGGGGCTGCTGGGCGCTAGATCAGGGGTGGTGAGGCCCGTCTAGATATCCCTTCCCCTTTATCGCACTGCCTGGCTCGTGGTGCCCGTTCATTGAAGAACTACCGAGTACGATAGAAGCCGCTCGACGGCCCAGCTGGGTAATGGATTTCTCCACCAATTTTCAGAGTACCAGCCCTGAGAGAGGCTTCATCACAGGATGCAAGGAACGAAGAAAGGACCTTTGGTCAAGTCATTACCGTTCACGTGGCGCACCTGGCCAATCTTCCAGTGCAGGCGGATCGAATGACCAAAGTCCTATGGTTGTACCTGGTATACCAAGAAGATACCTAGTGGGAGTGCAGATAGCGATAAATAGGGGGCAGCGATGAGGCAGAAGGGTAGAGGAGCCAGCGCGAACAGGCAGGGTATTCTACCGTACGCAATCACTACGCCTATCTTACTCAAAGCAATAGGTACCTAGGTATGCGAGTGCGAGGTCCTTACAGCGCTGAGTGGGCTCGGGTGTTAGTCTATGATGCTTATTCTCTCCGGGTCCTCCGGCTGTACGGAGTAGTGCCCACAGCTTTTGGAGCTGCGGTGGGTAACCCACGTTTTGCTCAAGCGACACCGGTACATGTGGCTACTAGGCGCTTGCGGACACTGCTGGCGCTGGCGGGAGTCAAAAATATACTCCGTAGGTACAAATGAGACTTACCCGTAGGTAGACATGTCAGGCTGACAGAAGAAGCCCGGTACCTCCATTTCTGAACCGGAACTCCAGAGCTCCTCCCCCTTAAACGTAGGTGGCTGTCGACGAGGCTCCAGGATCGATCATACTGTGACATCGGCTTCCCACTGGCGGAAGGGGTTTCTTTGATCGACGTCCGAGAAAACATGAAATGCGACAAGGGTCAACACTGGCACCATTGAAGAGAAGTAGCCACATTGCGTGGCAGCAGAGGAGCACAAGGACCCTCGAGGGCTGTGATGTCACTTGAAGTGTGGGAGTGTGTCAAGAGTGTCGAGATGTCACCAATCTTAACACTTGAAGCCACCGGGTGCGGAGACAGCCACGCAAAACTTGGCCACCATCCTTGGATTTGGGGCCAAAGCGTGCCGCCGATCCCAAGACCCCAGACAATGCCAGAAGTTTATCCTCGCAAATCGGCTGCCATCTCTGCCATTGTCCTCTGCTTCAAGAAAAGGCATGCTGTGGCTGGTGATCCAACTCGGTCACATCGGTCGATGATCGAGGCAAGGTCGACCAGGTCGACCACGGGTACGTTGTTCCGAACTCTGCATTTTGTCATGATGGCACTTTTCAGGAAGAATTGAGACTTGGGCTGGTACGGGCAGCTGCAGTCTGACCATCTTACCAGACCCAGCCACAGGTCACGGCCATGTATGTCGGAGCCAATTTCAACACTTCTCAGCAATGAAAGCTGCTATCCGAAACACCATTTGTAAATACTCGGTTGACTACCGAGTTCGTAGTCCTCTTGCACCGGTATCGCACCGCTTGTACCTCTCGATGACGACACAATGGACGATTTGAACTGAGCTGTGGCTGACCCTGACTTGTTCCATCCATCTCATTGCGTCAGAGCGGTTGATAGCCTCTTGGGATGGGGTGCGAGTGTGGCACAGAATATGCAATTTCCATCGAATAGGAAGAAAGGAGTCGAGGAGGTGGACAAGGGGCTGCAGGGAAACCCAAGTCAGCATTGAAATGCTGAAATGGCGATCGAGGCTGGTGAGAAACAATCGCGAATGAGAAGGGAGGCAGAGGTGTGGTTCATATGCAGTCTGACAAGGGTTTACCCCAGCACATGCCAGGATGATAGCTGTACGTTGATGGAGACACTGATGTCAGTCACTTTTGTACATTGCAATCAGTGCTGAAGGCTTTCAGCCTACTGCCATTGGGAATCGCGGAAAGGAGCATGCTTATACGAATATTCGAGACCTTGCATAACGGCGACACTGTTTCTTGCCGTTGTCTCTGTAGAGGCACAACGCCATACGACTCTTTCTTGTTAGGCAGTACGGGGCTAGAGTGCTGTCATTGTGAATATGGGATTCGAGGAAATGCGCTCGGGCAGCTGCAGGGATTTGAGGTTTAGGGTTTAGGGTCTCTGGTGGACACTGCTGGTGGAGGCAAAGTGGAGTAGCGAGACGTCGCCTACTTGTAAGATTTTTGGAGAGGCACACAGGAGGGTGTGGCTTGAAATGCGGGAAGACCTTGAGATGGTGGAGGTGGTGGTAGTCGACGCCGCAGTTGAACAAGAAACCCGGTTTTTGTTCCTTCCAGGTTCCCCACTAGGGAGTAAGTCAGGCACCGTGACCGTAGAACAAACAACCAGGGAGTCAGGGAGCCAGAGAACCAGGGAGGCAGCTCTGCTCACCACTGACCAGCTCGCGAAAATGATGGCCTGTGACGTAGGGCCATTGCTCGTGTACTTGATGGGCTGTTCTCCTCCCTCGTCCATCGCGTTTCCTAAAATCTCCATGTTTACCTAGCTCTTAGCTCTTGTACTATTACCATACTATTGCCATCCATCAGACATCTAATACCCCAGAACAAAAGAAGACAACTGAAAAGAGTGCGCTGGCTGAAACCTGACAGCAGCGCGGAATCAATGCAGCAAATAGAGTAAAACAGCTGATGACAAGTAATCGGCTCTCTTCCTCCTCATACGCCTACTACAGCTTCCCACCCACCCCGAACAGAGACTCACCTCAGTCCAAACGCTCGACGCCAGAGACAGTCAGAAGTTACAAAAGCACAATGCCTTCTCCTGCGGCAGGCAGAACCTCAAATGTCCCAGAGACACCCACAAAGACCGGCAAGAACCCTGCTTCATCCTCTACTTCCAAGCTTACTGGTGAAGGCACTCCCGGTCGGAAACCGCCCAAGCTAGGCACGTCCAAGGCAACACCAAAGAAACTAGATTCGCCGAAACCGAAGCCCGTTGAGGAGACCACCAAGCCAGTGGAAGAAAAGGGTGAGGAGGTCCAGGAGGAAGCCCCAGAAGGAATCAGCATGAAAGACACCGAAGAGCCTGGTGGCAAGATCAGCCAACCCGGCGACGACACTGGCGCCGAAACCAGCGAACTTTCCGAAGCTAACCCCGAGCCTATCCCTGAAGATGATGACGAGGAGGAGGAAGAGGAAGAAGGAGAAACAGTCCGCGGAGGCAGAGATGCTGCCAAAGACGAGGGCACTGAGGGAGATGAGGAAGAAGAGGAGGCTGGAGAAGAGGGCGATGCCGCCGAAGAGGCAGAGGACGAGGCCGAAGGCAAAGGAAAGGGTGCTCTTGGCGGCCTTGGAAAGGCCACCAGCGGTGTAACCGGTGCCGGCAAGAAAGTCGCGGGTCGCGTTGGTGGTGCCAAAGACACTGCTACTGGCGCCGCCGGCAAGGCCTCCCAAGGCGATGTGCAAGGCGCCGCGGAAGATACGGCTGGTGATGTCAAGGATACAGCCGAAGATACTGCCGGTGACGTCAAAGACACGGCTGAAGACACAGCGGAGGGAGCAAAGGAGACCACCGAGGGAGCAGCCGACGACGTTCCCAAGGACACTGGAGACGTGCCTGATGTCGAGGAGACAGCAAATGGCGTTAAAGGTCACGCTGAGAAGGTCGCTGATGAGGTCGAGGAGACCGCGGAGGAAGGAGTCGACGGAGCGGCCGAGGGGCTGCCTGTCGATCTGTCCATCTTGAAGGGTCTCAAGGTCAGCGAGAACGGCGACATCAAAGACAAGGCTGGCAATGTGGTCGGCAAGCTTAACGAGGGCGATCCCGCCGATCTCGAGGGTTATGAGATTGGCGATGATGGTGAAATCCTCGACGAAGACGGCGACGTCGTCGGTCGTGCAAGCGTCATTCCAGAGAAAGCTCAAGAACTCGCTGGCGAGGCCGATGCGGAAGGCGCGGTCAACGGGGTCAAAGATACTGCAGAGGGCGCCCAGGATCAGGCAGAGGATGCCGTTGACGGTGTCAAAGACACGGCAGAAGATGCTGTGGAGACGTATCTTCCGGACCTAAACGTCCTCGACGGCTTGGAAGTCCAAGAAAATGGAGACATTCTGGACAAAGAAGGCAACGTCCTGGGCAAAATCACCGAAGGTGACCCTGCAGACCTCGTCGGCATGACAGTCAACGCCGAAGGCGAAATCCTGGACGAGGATGGCGACGCGGTGGGTCGTGCAGAGACTCTTCCTCAACCAGTCAAGCAAGCCGTTGAAGAGGCTGCCGGCGAACTCCCTGGCCTCGATGCACTTGAGGGTCTGGAGGTACAAGAAGATGGCGCGATCAAGGATCAATCTGGCAAGACCTTGGGCAAGATTACCGAAGGTGATCCGGCTGACCTAGTCGGGCGAACTCTCAACGCTGAAGGTGAAGTCTTGGATGAAGACGGCGATGTCATTGGCCGTGCAGAAGTTGTGCCTGAAGCCGCCGGGGCCCTCGAGGGCGTCGGGGAGGAAGCCAAACCAGAATTTGTCCAGGAAGCATTCGAAAAGGTGGAAGGCCTTCAGGATCAATTGAAGCCTAATCTCACCATTGTCGAGGGCCGCAAACTCAACAAGAAGGGTACTATCCTCGACGACGAGGGAGAGGTCCTGGCCAAACTCGTGGAGGGTGATGCAAAAGCTTGCGCTGGTAAAACCCCCAACGAGAACGGCGAGATCCTCGATAAAGACGGCAATGTGATTGGCCGTGTTGAGGTCGTCGAAGGAGAGGCTGCCGAAGAAGCCATGAAAGAGCTTCATCCCGAATTGGTTGAGCAGCTCGAAGAAGCGCAGCAGGCTGCCGAAGAGGCCGAGAAGCAGGCAGAGGAAGCTGGCGACCAGGCCGATGTTGCCGGCAAAGCTGCAGATGCTGCCGAAGGTGCTGCTGATACCGCCGAAGGAGCGGCTGACGAGGCTAAAGACGCAGCCGACAAGGTTGTCAAGCCCGACTTTGCTCAACTCGAGGGCCTCAAGGTCAACAAGAAAGGTGAAGTTGTCAACGAAGATGGTGATGCCATTGCCAAATTGGCGGAAGGTTTCGACCTTGAAGCTGTTCGTGGCAAGAAGATCAACGAGAATGGAGAAATCCTGGACAAGGATGGTAATGTGATTGGCAGAGTTGAATTCATCCCTGAAGCTGTTGACGAGGGTATCGTCGAAACGATCGAAGAAGCTGCTCCTGAAGTTCCTGATACTTCGATCCTCGAAGGCCTCAAGGTCAACAAGAAGGGTCTAGTTCTCAATGAGGACGGTGACGAGATCGCGAAGCTTGTGGAAGGCGATCTTGCTGCCGTTGCTGGCAAGAAGCTCAACGACAAAGGCGAGGTTCTGGACAAAGACGGCAATGTCATCGGCAAAGTTGAGATGATTCCCCAAGAAGTTGAGGAGGAAGTTGAAGAAGCTGGCGAGGAGCTTGATGACGGCCGGCCTTCGCTGTCCATCCTCGAAGGCCTCAAGGTCAACAAGTCTGGCAAGATCGTCGACAACGACGGCAATATTGTCGGCGAGTTGGTTGAAGGTGACGCCAAGAAACTCTGGAAGTCTGGTGTAACCTGCGACGACCAGGGACAATTCTGGGACAGCAAGGGCCATGTCATTGGCCGTGCACAGACTCTGCCTCAGGAAGATAAGGAAGAGGAGGCCGAGTTCGCGGGTCTTGAAGGCCTCACTGTTGTGGCTGATGGATGGGTTGAAGATGAGAATGGCAACAGAGTAGGCCGCATCGTCGAAGGAGATCCGAAGAAACTTGTCGGTCGTGCGGTTGACGAAGATGGCGACATTATCGATAAAAAAGGAAACGTCGTCGGACACGCCGAGAGATACGAGGAACCGGAGCCGGAGCCAGAAGCAGAACCCGAGAAGATTGATCTTTCTGAGCTGAAGGGTTTGACATGCAACAAGCAGGGCAACGTCATCGGACCTGATGGTGTCCCTGTTGCTCGCCTGGTCGAAGGCAACCCCAAGGAGCTTGCAGGCCGCAAGATCGATGAGAATGGCCAGATCTGGAATGATCAAGGTCAAGTTGTCGGTCGCTGCGAACTCATTCCTTTCAACGAGCGTGAGGCCAAGCCTGAAGGACCTTTTGCTGGTCTTGAAGGTCTCGTCGTTGTCAAAGACGGATTCGTCGAGGATCACGAAGGCAACGTTGTCGGCCAGGTCGTCGAGGGCGACTGGAAGAAACTCCTCGGTCGTGGAGTTGACGAGGATGGTGATATCATTGACAAGTACGGAAATGTCAAGGGCCACGTCGAGCCATATGAAGTGCCCGAAGAGGAAGTTGTCGAGGAAGATCTCTCCAGTCTCGCTGGCAAGACCGTCAACAAGCAAGGCAAGGTCGTTGACGAACATGGTACCATCTTCGGTGAAGTGTCTGAAGGTGACGTCAAACGTCTTGTTGGTTGCAAGGTAGACGGCAAAGGACAAATCTGGTCCAACGATGGCAAAGTTATCGGTCATGCGAGACTCATTGAGGGCGGCGATGATGGTCGTGCTGAAGGACCCTTCTCCAACTTCGAATCCGCAACCGTTGATAAGGACGGCTTGGTCAAGGACGCCGCCGGAGAGATCGTCGGTCGCGTCACGGAAGGTGAGATTAAGAAACTGGTCGGTCGCAAGGTGGATGATGATGGAGATATCATTGACAAGAATGGCAACGTCATTGGCCATGCGGAACGATGGGAGCCAGAGAAGAAGGAGCGAGAAGTCTCGCCCATGGCTGGCCTACGCGTGAACAAGGAGGGTGAAGTCCGTGATAAGAACGGAGATGTCATCGGAAGACTGACCGAAGGCAACTTGCTTGCTTGCATCGGCAAGGAAATCAACGACAATGGCTATGTGGTGGATCAAGACGGCAACAAGATCGGAGAATGCACGTTGCTTGAGAACATCCCCGACGAAGAAGTTGATGAGGAACCGACGCCCGAGCAACTCAAGGAGGAAGAGGAGCGTGAGGTCGCAAAGAAGATCTCCAATATCATCAACCAGACCTTGGAAAAGATGGAGCCTATCTGCAAACAGATCACAGATGTAAGCATACTCATGTTCTCTTGTCTTAGAATCATGCTAACACATCATCACAGCTTGTCGAAAAAGCAGACCGCACACCCAAGGACGAGCTCGACGAAGAAAAACTCGTGCAAGATGTCAAGCCTCTTATTGAAGAAGGCTCTCGCATCCTAGGCGAATGCAACGGTGCGATCCGCGGCCTTGACCCTGACGGCCATATCGCCGCCAACGCCAAAGCCAAGGCTGCCAGCGGCGAAGCTTCTCCAGAAGAATACCGCGTGGCCGAAGGATTGAAAGAGCTCACCACTCAGGTTGTCAAGACTATCGACAACGCCAAGAAGAGAATCGCGGACATGCCTCATGCGAAGAAGAAGCTGAACCCACTGTGGGCGCTGTTGACCGAGCCTCTGTTCCAGATTATTGCTGCTGTCGGCCTGCTGCTGAGCGGTGTGCTTGGCCTGGTGGGCAAGTTGCTCAACGGCTTGGGTCTGGGTGGTTTGGTGAGCGGTCTTTTGGGCGGCTTGGGTGTCGACAAGCTGCTGGGTGGTCTTGGTCTGGGCAGTCTGGCGGAAGCCATGGGTCTTGGTGGTGGAAAGAAGAAGAAATAGGCGGTGGGCGGATTTGACTTGCCATTGCTGGTGGGTACGAGCATTGAGATGGAACCTGTAACACTACCTTTTCTTGGGTCTTGGGTATGTGGGATGTTGACTGGGTTTTCTTATGTCTCTCATATTGATGTGGTGGGATGTATATGTGATGGATAATGACGACTCTCTCGTAGCGATTTGAATGGAAAAAGTGTTCTATAAAAGAATAGTATTATGCTTCGAGGTCTATCCAACTCGTCAATTAGCTCATCTCAACCTACCCTGGCATCCTACTCAGAGCAACAGTGCGTCTCTTTTTTGTCTATGCTCATCACGTGAGCAGCTTCGCCAAGGCGTGAAGAGATTTGAATCCTCCATCGTTCGAACTTTTCAAGAAATAATAACAATTACCTTGATCGCCCACATTCTAGTCATAATCATGTCGACAGGGACGACCTCGCAAAGATGTCCTCCACCTTCATTGTCCGTCCGGCCGGCGCGGACAAGGATCCTTTTAGAATCGGGTTGACGGCCGTATCCATGCTTTCGCTGAAGCTCAAGTCCGGCGACATCTGCGAACTCCGGGGAATCACGAATGACAAGGACAAGGACAACAATGCTAACAAAAGGAAAAAACTCGCCGTGGCTTGGCAGGGGTTGGGGCCCGGCATGAAGGACTCGATTGTGCAGACGTCGAGATTGCTGCAGGAAGCGTACGGGTTGAAATTGGGCGACAAGGTGGCGATTTCGCGGTGGTCGCATCCGATGCAGAACTCGCCTTCTGTGACGCTGCAGAAGGTCGGCGATCCATCGGAGGATGCTGACGCCGAGGACTACAAGGCCTGGGCGAAGAAGATTGCCGCGACGATTTCCCCCGCGGGAGAATATATGGTTGTGTCCCAGAAGATACAGTGTCCGCCGCCAAAGTCAGACCACGGGGCCGTACAAACGGTCGAGTTTGTGGTCAAGGACGTGGGTGTGCCCGACTCGTTGTTTGCGCGCGTCACGAGGGACGCGACGTTTCGAATCATCAGCAGCTCGGAGACACTGTCAGACCAGCAATCTATGGCCATTGTTTTCCAACCGACGCACCTCGGTGGGCTACAAGAGCAAATTGCTCAGGTACAAGACATCGTAAGCGATCTCTGCTACCCGGTTGCGAAACAGCATTTTCAAGCATACGAGCCGGTCCAGGGCCTTCTACTATATGGTGCTAAGGGAACAGGCAAATCTGCACTGATTGCCGCTTTGGCCGATTGCGAGTGGCCAACGGTTCGTTATTGGAAACCAGGCACGGAAATCTACGCTTCGACAGAGCCCTGCCTGGTAATTGTCCGGCCAGAGTATCTCACTAGAAGCCCCAATACCTCTTCAACTTTGTCCAGCGAGTTGGACTCTTTGTTTCAGCGGATTCGCGGAAGCCCGACCCTCGTCGTCGCTGAAGCACGGCATCCCAATGATATTGACGAAAGACTGCGGACAGAAGGCAGATTTGCCGCCGAGATCGAGTTGCCCATTCCCTCGGCGCTTCAAAGGAAAGAGATACTGCTTGCGCTGAGAGGCAAGGACAGTGTCCCCACGGATGACCTTTTACAGGAAATTTCGGAGAGGACTCATGGATATGTGGGCGTCGACCTTAGGGCTCTTCTCCGGGTTACGATTCGCTTTGCATCTATGCACCCGCCACCTGCCGGCGCAGAGCATGACGAGAAGACTCAGTTGGTAGTCCAACACGCAGACTTTGAGACCGCTCTGCAGCAGGTCCGACCGTCTGCCTTGCAGGAGATCTTCCTTGAGACGCCCAATGTGCGATGGACCGACATCGGTGGTCAGCACGAAGTCAAACGTCAACTGCACAACGCCGTGGAGCGGCCGTTGAAATTTGCGGATCGCATGAAGAAGTTGCGCCTGCAGCCCAAGAAAGGAGTCCTTCTGTACGGCCCGCCGGGCTGCTCAAAGACATTGCTTGTCCGAGCTCTGGCCACGGAGGCGGGTCTGAATTTCTTGGCTGTCAAGGGTGCAGAGCTGATTTCCATGTATGTCGGCGAGAGCGAGAGAGCAACGCGCGAGGTATTCCGGAAAGCCCGAGCGGCCAGCCCGAGCATCATCTTCTTTGACGAGATCGATGCGATCGCCTCTCGTGGAAGGAGCGGCAGCGATCTCAACGTTCTGACGACGTTGCTCAACGAGATGGACGGCTTTGAGGAGCTCCGCAACGTCTTTGTGGTCGCTGCAACCAACAAACCGCAAAACATCGACCCGGCTCTGATGCGTCCCGGAAGATTCGACAACGTCGTGTACATCGGCCCGCCGGATCTCGAAGCAAGAAAGGAGATCTTCCACAAGCGCCTTGACGGGGTTTATGAGAGCCAAAGCAGCAGCAGCAGCAGCAGCCTCGATGACGACGTGCGCGAATTCGCCAGCTCGACAGAAGGGTTTTCCGGCGCCGAGATTGTCGCCATTTGCCAGAGTGCTGGGGAGAACGCCTTTGACGCCGACCGCGAGATCATCGTATCCGATGACATCAGGAGAGCTATCGGCCAGACCCCAAAGAGTATCACGAGGGAGATGCTGTTAGAGTTCGAGACGTGGAATGCCGCACGCATGCGGTAGGAGCGGGCGGCGGTGGGCGTTCTACAGCCGCAAAGAAAGACATCGGCCCCCACCCCCTGAGACGAGGTTTGTCTGTGTCTGCTGGGATGGGTAGGAAATCAAGCATGGCCATTTGGCCTGCCCCGTGTCTCAATAGCCAAATCATTCATCGTCTTCCAACGAAAGTATTTCTGATCCGGATTGACGACGTGGTTGTCATTGCCCAGCCCGCCCTCGTCTATGGGTCTGTAGTCGGCTCTCCCGTCGCCCATGATGAACCTCAGACACACAATGGGTCCACGGTCCTCGTACTGGCGCTGCAGGGCCCTTTCCCTGAATGTGTCCAAGTCGACGCTCTTGAGCTCGATGTCCCCGGCCCCCGCCGCCGTCATCATCATCCGGGCAATCTGGCGGAAACTCGCGTGCGTGCCGGCAATCCTCAATTCTTCGGGCACGTTTTGGGAGCCACCCTCGCGCATCGCCATCTCGGCGAGCCGACACAGCACGCGCGCAATGTCGCTTATGTCCGTGTAGCTGATGACCTGGTCCACGCTGCCCACGGCCTGGTAGACGTCCTTGGCCGTGTGGAAGCCGTACCAGGGCCCGATGCCGCTGTGGAGGAAGAGGCCGTTGAAGATCCGGCAGACGCGCATGTCGCTGCTGCTGCTGCTGCTGCTCTCCCCAAGGACCACCTTCTTGGTGTGCTCGTAATGCCGCTTTTTCCCGTCCCATTCCGGCACCCTGAAGTCGTGCAGTCGGTGGTCCACCCCGAACTCGGACGGAAAGTACAACTTCACACCCGTCCTGGGTAGCGCGCTGGCGATCTTGTCGCGCAGGCGGGCGCCGGATGTTGATATGCTAGATATATGTAAAGAGGAGTTTCGTGAGCACTGGGTTCCAGACTTGGGCTATCTATATTCCTTGCCAGAGAGGGTGTGGGTTGAGTGTATGCATGAAAAAGCCCGCCAGCTGGAGACTCGGAAGATGTGTTCTGAATTTTGTATGTCTGTGTGTGTGTATGTGCAAAAGGGTAGTTAAAAACCAGGTGTAACAGAAGGAACTCACGCGTTGATAAGCACATCAACCCCGTCCAGCGCCATGACCAGGTCATTTTCGTCGCACTCGTCCCCCCCGTCCTCCTCGACGATGCGCACCTCGGCGCCCAACTGGTCCCTCCACCTCTCCGTCCTGGCCGTGTGGCGACGAGCAAGCAGCACGAACCCGGACAGCCTGGGACGCAGCTCGTCTGAGAGAAACGTCTCGGTCAGCCGCATGTCCAGGTCGCCCGTGCCGCCGGCCACAGCGACGACTGGTTTGGTCGGGGACGGCGAGAAGGGGAAGGACTTTGCGGCGTCCTCCATGGGCGGCCAAACCCCAGTGCAAATTCTGCTTTGGGAGCGGTTCTTTTCGGCGCGGTATTTATTTCATGCCCTTGTCCCCAATATGATGGAGCTCTGGAAATTTTGGGAATCACAGTTTATTATTCTCGGGATTATATGTGCGCGAGGCTGCGGCTTGCGGGGCACGAGGCGGGGCGCGGGATTCCTCGCTCTGGAGGGGCTGCACGGCTGCACGGCTTGAATCCAAGGGGAATTTCTCCAGCGAAGCCTAGAACCACGAGCAAGAACAGAAGAAGACTTGTCTGAATGTGCACTGCTCTAGTGGCCGTGGAAGAAGTCTACATTTGATACGAAGACCGCTCCTTGCATGGTAGGAAAGCGAGTTACGACCACGGAGAGAGCCGCCGAGCGAGGGCGACTTTATATATGCACATCGCCACTGGCTGAGACCCGTGGGACAATAGCAGCAAGGTCGTTGCGAGGTATAAAAGACTATTTTTGTTTTCTCTGTCCAAATCCTCCAAATCCTCCCCCTACGTACAAGTGACTTGCGCCATCAGAGTTTGGCACTCGGCCTCAAATATCCTGCAGCGCTGTTCAGCACCTTGACCGCGCCATCCATCATCTCCGCCACGATCTCAGCTGCAGTCTGGTTCGGCGTGTTGACGAGACCAGCGACCTGGCCCATGGGTCTTTTTTTTAAGGAGAAAAAAAATCCCGTCAGTAAACCTTCCACGAACCTTATGGGGGCGGTAAAGGGGGCTTTTTTACTTGGAAGAACACATACCTGAGCGTTGACTGATCCTCAATCTCCTCGGTGATGCCTCCGATCTTCTCCAAATGTTCCATCTCGTGGTGCAGCGCAATGATGCCTTTACTTTGCAGTTGCTGGATCTCGTCTCGCCGGTTCGTCTCCCAGTTCCGCACGTAGGGCGTGGCCAGAGCGCGCAAGGGCCGCCCCGTCCAGATGGTGGACTTGATGGTGCTGTCAAAGTCGGCGGCGATGATGGCTCGCTTGGCCGCCTCGGGCGCACCGGATTCTTTGGCCGTCACGAATCGTGTGCCCACCCAGACCGCAGAGGCGCCGAGCATCAGGGCGGCTGCGATGCCGCGGCCGTCGTAGATGCCGCCGGCGGCGACGAGTTGGACGGGTTTGCCTGTGAGTGGGGAGGTGTATTTCTTGACCAGATCTGCACAGGCGGGGATCAAGACACTTTACGAGAGGGAAATTTAAAAGGTTAGTAAGTCATTTTGCGATGCTGGCGTGCAGGACATGCTAAATGATGAGGCACAAGCATTGCGACCCCCTCGCAAATAGATCGCGTTCTGACTCACCTCGTCGCAGTATCGCCCGTGTGTCCACCGGCTTCGCCTCCCTGGGCACAGATAATGTCGGCACCAGCTTGACACGCCTTATGGACATGTTTTGGGTGTCCGATCATGTTCATGTAAAGCACGCCGTTCTTGTGGAGTTTGTCGACGACATGTCTGGGCGCGACGCCCACGGCGGAGACGAAGAGTTTGGCGCCGCCGGCGATGATGATGTCGACGAGTTCGTCGAGGGTACCTTTTGTGTAGTCCAGCTATTCATTTGGGAGTTAGAAGCTTGAAAGAAGGGAATTGGGGTGTATACGAAGGTCGAATGACAGGCATGGTCTGTAAATGGAGATGGTAAGGATGGCACCAAAGGAAACAAAACTCACATTGGTCTTGCGCGCATTGCCGCCGACTTGAGGGATCAACAGGTCGACGCCAAAGGGGAGTGATGGGTCCTTTAGACCAGCCTGCTCAAGCAGAGTTCGCAAATGTTCAGCCACTTGCAAATTCCTTTGCACAACCAAACTTCGCATACAGCCTCGTCCGATCCGTCTCCCGGGATCCGGAGGGGTCGAAAACAGGCTGCTGCAAGGAGTTCGGAGACTGTCATCAGACTCACTTTCAACTCATCAATCATCTCCTGCAGCATCTTGGGCGTATATCCAACTCCACCGATCACGCCGAGGCCGCCTTTTATAGGATTTAGCATGTCCCCACACAGGAAGAAGTTAAACGAGCCCAAAGGACACAAGAGATCGAGAGAGTATACATATATGTAAGTATCTACCACGTACCGGCATTGGACACTGCGGCCGCGAGAGGCGCACCAGACGTCTGGCCCATGCCGGCCAGGAGGATCGGGTGCTGGATGCCCAGCAGCTGGGTGACGGGGGTGGTTATCGACATGGCTGCTGTGTAGAATAGAACAGAATAGATATAACAACAGGAGGCAAAAGACAAGACAGCGAAGATGAAGAGTAACAATATTCAGGAACAGCCCTCCTCGAACGAGTCAGTCTCGAAAATATGTCCGAGGCCCGGGTTGTCAGCAATTAGCCAGTGTGGACCACCTGCACCTTGGGTCACTGAGATGAGGATAAGCGAAGATGGTTGAGTATTAAATCAGGTGCTCAATTCGTACATATAGAAACTAAGGTAGTAATCATCTCTCACATCTCCACAGGTCTTACAATGCGACTTTTTTCTCGTAATATGGAAGGGGGTTTGGTAGATGCTTCGGCCAGACGAGCCTTGAGCCGAGTCCAGATGCGGGATGCCGAGGTCATTTGCTTGTTGCGACGACGCAGGCCATGGTTCTCTCTCTCCAGGCTTTCTCCACGGGCTTCAATGGGCCGGAGAGCGAGAGAGTTTCAATACTGGGCCCCGGCGATGATACTAGCTCTCTCTCTCGGTCAAGGATCTGATACGAGTCGTCACTTTGTTCTGCGGAACTGACTACTGTGAACCGGAGCCTTGCCATGCCACGCCTCGTACCGCATCAGGCTGAACACCGCCTCCCCCCGCATACACCAACCCATACCTAGGTATATAATCAATTGTCCACCCACCCATACGAAAATAATGCGCCTAACCGACCCCATCCATCTCACCCCAGAAGACATCGATGCCGTCGCTCCCGACATTGCAAGCATCCGACACTCATCCTTGACCACCACGCCGCTGGGCCAGCTGAGATACGGTCGCGTGCCCCACGCCGAAGCCCGTCGATGGCTGGAGTCGAGCACCCGGATCGAGCTTGAGAGCGAGCTAGCACGATACCCCCGGATTGCCAGTCTGGGCCGCGATGAGTTGGGCCAGCATGTCACGCGGATGGAGCACCTTGTCATCCGCGATCTGGATCTCGAATTATTGCCACCCGCGTGCCATTCGAAATCACAGAGCGTGGAAGTGTCTGGTGGTGGTGGTGGTGGTGGTGGTGGTGGTGGTGGTGGTGGTGGTGGTCGACGTGTCGTTGCCTTCGCAGAATTCATGTACCATCCGTCGACGCAGGAGCCGGCAACACAGAGCACGCACATCTCAGAAGATAATCCGCCAGCCTCCTCGTCAACGGACGACAAGACCACCCCACCGACCAGTCTCGGTCTCGATCTTCTCCCGTCATCCGTCCACCGCGAACTGCACGAACACTGGGACCGGACCGTCGAAGACGCCCTGTCGGCGCGGTTCGGGGCCATGCACTGCTTCGAGGTGCGCGGCATCGGCACGCTCGCGCCGTCGCACCTGCGGAAGGGCATCGCCAGCGAATTACTGCCGTGGATCTTCCCCTGGGCGGACAGGTTGGGCATTCCCGTTGTCCTGGCAGCCACGCCGGCGGGGTACCCGTTCTATCTGCGGCACGGGTTCGTGGAGATAGACGACGGGAAAGGGGGTTCCATCGAGTGCGACATGGCCGAGTGGGGAGGGATCGGGATCCATCGACATGTCCTGATGATAAGGTGGCCGAAGCACACGGAGCTCTGAAACCCGTGACGTGAGCCATAATGCTACCTACCAAGGGCGGGGACGCGACTGGTCTGCAGCGTGTAGCTCAAGCCAGGTGTGTCGGCGCCCCGGTAGAGTCATCGTTGAGGAGGAATTGCCATGTCGCCCCCCTGAGTCTCCAGGATAGAGAATGAACAACTCATGCCGCTCGCTGATATCTCAGATCCCTCCGCCGGTTTGAGAAGCAACACAGCCTGTGGTATATTCGCAGGACTAGAATATTGTTTCTGAAATAATGTCGGGTGGGAAAACAGGACCGGTCACTACAATCGGAAGCAGCCTGTTGTCAATACATAACCACCCACGAGGTGGCTGACGAGTTGGATTCCTACATAACTCATTGCAAAGACTCCAGAGAGTCTTTCTTGCCGGCACTCCGGGTGACCCTCTTGGTAAGGCCGGCGTCATCATCCCCTTCTCGGCCTGTTGTTCCCTGATTGCTGATATCAGCCATTTCTTCGACCTGTGAGCCTTCAGGGGTTTCTTCTCGAATGTCCGCAGCTCGTGGCACGCTCTCCCAGCCATCCCCATCCTCCGTCTTCGAAGCAGCAGCAGTGACTTCTTTCACAACTTTTGCCCCTTCGCTTTCGACGCCGTTCCAAGCACCGCAGCCACTGCATCTCCAGCGCCCTAATTCCTCTAGTGTCCTAACACCGGGAGGGGCTTGACCGTTGACCAAGCGACACCTGGAACATAACAACACCAATCTATTCTTGGCAGCGGTTTCATCCTCACCGAGAAGGACATCCAGTATGCGATCGTACCAATGCGGCGGTTGCTCATATGTGGTGCTGGAAGGAGGCGGCATGCTTGAGAAGGCATTTGGAGCGAAACCTGGAGAGTCCGGAGTTATCTCCACCGGACTGTGTGCCATCATAGGGCCCGCAAGTGATGGTGGGCCGTGAGTTGGCGACGTAGGCGCAGAGCCCGTCTGTATATTCGGCTTTTGCTGGGGAGGTGGGTTGGGGGTATGTCTTCCGGGAATATTTGCCGTCGGCGGAGGTGCAATCCCAGTCCTCTGTACGGGGCGTTGTTCTGTGAGATGGTTCACCTTTCTTTTGGACCCTTGTTGTGGCTGCTTCGAAGGGGACTTTGTTGGTGGAGCACCTCCGTATTTCTGTAGTAGCTCTTGAGTACTGTCGTACTTTGTAGCTTTCTTGAGATCTGCAATCTTTTGTTCCCGTTGCTTCTGCAAATGCTCCAAGTATGCTTGCTGTCGGCTTATCCTCCAACTGAAAAAGGCAGCAACGGACCTTCGAATCACGTAAATGAGGACTGGTGCTCCGACGAGGCCGGCATAGTGATACATAGACCAATTCTGTGGCCCAAGTACGAGAACGATGATCAAAGTGTAGAGGAGGTATGTGACAGACGTGTAAATAGTCCAGAGGGCCTTGATCCGGCGATCTCGACTGCGGCTTGTGTCAAGGGCAAGGTTCGCGGCAGTGATTTGTGAGGATAGCTTGGAGAGGGCTTTCTCGAAGGACGCAGGGGAGTTCGCATCTCCCTTACAAGGTAGGTCAGCAAGCGTCAGGGTGTTTTGGTGACCGCGTGCTCACCTTCCAAAGCCACGACATGCTGGCTCGCCTCATTCTTGAAGCTGAGAATCACAGTTGAAAGGGTTTTATCTCTGAGCAGCTGCGTGCCGTCGAATGATCATGGCCATCGAAAACAACATCATGCGCAGAGTTCAGCGCATCTGTATGCAATGACCATGGACAATGAATTGATGAACGCCTGCGTCACAAGGATTTGGCGCAACGTGTTGTCACCTCCGTCGGCGGGTCGGCGTCAAAGAGGCGTGAGAGGCTGGTGTGGCTGCGCTTGGGCTTGAGCCTTGGAGAGCATGATCCGAGAATGCGGGGAGCGCCGCGACCATGATATAATTCCTGCTTCAGTCCTTGCGCTTCAGTTTCTTGCCCATGTTTCCGTTGGGTTCTCAGTCACCGCCGCCATGGCATCTCCTTATTATGTACGGAAATGTCTCCAAGAGACGTCTCGGAACCTGTTCTCAGTCACTCGGTCCATAAGCTGCGACTGTCAACATCCCATCAGATCTCGCATCGACCAGAGACGAAAGATTAGCAGCTATGGCTACACCCAAGCTAAAGCCCTTGTATACTCCAAGTATGGCGAGCCGCAAGATGTCCTATCGCTGCATGGCCACTCCATTTCACCCGCATCGGGGTCCAGCGTCGTCCTCCGCATGCTCGTGGCTCCTATCAACCCTGCCGACGTCAACCAGATCCAGGGTGTGTATCCTGCGAAGCCAGAGATGACAACAGCTCTTGGGACCTCAGAACCCTCTGCGGTGGCTGGAAATGAAGGTGCGGCGGAGGTCATCAGTGTCGGTTCGGGGGTGAAGAATCTCAGTAAAGGAGACTGGGTCATCATGAAGACTACCAGCATGGGCACCTGGCGCACACACATGGCAATAGATGAGAGCAAATTGATCAAGATTGACAACAAGGAGGGATTAACTCCACTTCAGGTCGGAACAGTGTCAGTCAATCCCTGCACGGCATATCGCATGCTTCTTGACTCGGCAAAATGGGGCTTCCGCGGAGACGAATGGTTCATCCAGAACGGAGCCAACAGCGGGGTGGGAAGAGCTGCCATACAGCTTGGGCGCGAGTGGGGATTCAAGAGTATCAATGTCATCCGGGGTCGGGAGAACAAGGAGGAGGAACAGAAACTTCGTCAAGAACTGCTCGATATTGGAGCCACCAAAGTCATTACGGAAGACGAGCTCCAAAGTCGCGAGATCAGAGATCAGATCAAAGAGTGGACAAATGGTGGACGAGAGCAAGTCAAAGTCGGCCTCAATTGTGTGGGTGGAAAACCCGCCACCGCCATGGCCAAATTCCTGAGCCCCGGAGCGACCATGGTCACCTACGGAGCAATGAGCAAGCAGCCTCTCATGCTGCCTGCCTCGCTACTGATCTTCAAGGAGATCACTTTTAACGGGTTCTGGGTGAGTAAGTGGAGTGATCGACACCCCGACCAGAAGAAACAGACGGTGGAGGACGTCCTTCGGCTCACGAGAGAAGGCAAATTCAAGGATATACCGGTGCAAGAATGCAAATGGGGGTGGAAAACGGAGATCGATCTTCTGAAGAAAGCTGTTCAAGGAACCCTTGGTGGTTTCCGACCTGGTAAGGGCGTTTTTGTGTTCGAGGAGACGTGAGCGGCCTCGATATGCGCGCCCTTTCATCTATGAGATGGATTCGGCCTCTCGCCCATGGCTGACCATTGGCTCCACGCTGCCGATGGCTCAGCGGAATGGGTTCTCGATTGGGTAGTCTCTGTGTTGGCTGCGCCCTTCAGCGACAGACGTTCCTGGAGATGTATATTTCATGTCTATATAGTCGATGGCGGTGGCGGGTGTTGCACAAGGTAGCACTGACGATAATGAATCAGACTCATGGCCCTGCCTTCTAGACAGCACCAGCCGTTTCACACAGCGACGTCTGACGGAGATAAGACCATCAGCACAGCTTTGCCAGTCAATGTTGTATATAGCGGAAGCAAGAGCAGCAAGGCTCCGCACTTCCGCCAATCACTTTCGCCAGTTGCCATCTAAGCGCAATGAATTCCGCCCATTGGAAAAGGGAAAATTCCAGTCCTTATTGTAGGAAAGCACTGCATCTGCTACGACTCTGACATTACCGCCCTGTCGACAACACAAAGGGCGCGCATAAGACTTTCCATTGGGCTTTGATAGTATTCTGCTGATTTCCAGAGCCATCTATTTTCGGGATTCTGACTTGAGTTTTGAGCCTTTCGCTTCCTGGACCTGTCTGTCACTCCTTTGATATATGTACAAGGTCTCCTTGAGGAAGAACCTGAGATTACAGAACGCCCCAGCATCTACATTCTATCTCTTGAACACAAGGTATCGGGGAATTAGCTCCTCGAAAAGATTAAACATGGACTCGGATCAATTCAGAAAAGCTGCTCACGCGGCCATTGAAGAAAGTATGTTTCGAAGGACGTTTTTGTGACCTAGTCTACATGGAAAGAAAGCCCCCAGCTAACACATTGTCTGCCCCAAGTCATTGCCTACAACCAGGAGCTCCCCAATTACCCTGTGCTGCCGACCATCAAGCCGGGATTCCTCGCACCACAGTTGCCATCATCAGCACCAGAGAAGCCAGAAACATGGTCAGAGATCCAGTCGGACATTGCGTCCAAAATCGTGCCGGGTATCACTCACTGGCAGTCGCCCAACTTCATGGCCTTTTTCCCTGCTGGCGTCACTTACCCGTCCATGCTCGGGGAGATGTACTCTGCCGCGTTCACGGCCCCTGCGTTCAATTGGCTGTGCAGTCCCGCGTGCACGGAACTGGAAACTGTGGTGATGGACTGGCTGGCCCAGGCCTTCCAGCTGCCCAAGGAGTTTCTTAGCACGGGTGAAAGTGGCGGTGGAGGCACCATTCAGGGCAGTGCGAGTGAAGCGGTCGTAACCTGCATGGTCGCTGCGAGGGAGAGGTATCTGCACACCAAGTGTGATGCCGAGGGCCTGAAACCTGGGTCTCCAGAGAGAGAGGATCGCATCGCTTTCCTGAGGGGACGGCTGATTGCCTTGTCGAGTGATCAAGCACATTCCTCGACCGCAAAGGGGGCTTTAATCGCGGGTACTCGGTATAGGTCTATTCCGACAAAGCTCGAAAACGAGTTGTCCTTGATGAGAGAAGAGCTGGAAGCTGCCTTGGAGCAATGCAAGGCTGAAGGTCTCGAACCCTACTACATCACCCTGACGCTGGGCACGACCTCGACATGTACAGTTGACGACTTCGCGGGCCTCGCACCAGTTCTCAAAGCCAACCCAAATCTTTGGGTTCACATTGATGCGGCCTACGCTGGAGCTGCTTTGATCTGTCCCGAATACTCCTCAAAGTACTCTTCACAAATGATCATCGCCGATTCGTTCAACATGAACATGCACAAATGGCTCCTCGTCAACTTTGACGCGTCCTGTCTGTTCGTCCAGAATAGGAACCATTTGACCCGTGCACTGTCCATATCGGCAGCCTATTATACGAACAAACATTCGGACAGTGGCCTGGTCACGGATTATCGAGACTGGCAGATCCCGCTGGGAAGACGATTTCGCGCACTGAAAATCTGGTTTGTGATGCGGAGTTACGGCCTAGAAGGGATGAGAGAACACATCAGAAAGTCGGTGGAGAGAGGCGAGGTCTTTGCTGATCTTGTCCGTGGGCGAAGTGATGTGTTCGAGCTTGTCGCAGCGCCGCGATTTGGATTGACCTGTTTCCGTGTCAAACCATCCGCTCTGGCAGAGCAGGCCAATACAGCGGAGACGAATGCAGACTTTGTGCCCCAAACTGCAGCCATGCAGCAAAGAGAACAGGACGCAAATGAGGTGACGAAGCACATTGGAGAGTTGATCAACGAGCGAGGTCAGATTTTCATCACCTGCAGCAGCACGGCGGGCAAATCCTTCATGCGAGTTGTTAGTGGCAACCCGCAGGCCGAGGAGAAATACATAAGAGCGGCGTTTGAGATTATCGCGAAAACAACGGACGAGGTCATCGCCTCGAGGAAGCCGGTGAATGAGATGAATTGATGGTTAGGGACTGTACTGGATATGCAACCCTTGCCTTTTTTGGGCGACCTTCCCCTGTCGATATTCTTGAGCCCCTCGAAGATATATTTAAGAAGACAATTCGGATAGATGATAGATCAGGAATGCGACATCTTAATGGCCATCGAAGAACAACATGCTTACTTGTGGAGGTGGAGCTGTCTGATCACCCAACAAGGAACGGAATTGATGGATGACGCTGTCAGCTGCTTCTTGCGACTCCAAGTCTACGACATCCTGCTCTTGTATTGTAATTCAGTACCATGTGTGAAGAATGCCGCTGTGGATGGGGAGGGGAAGTATTTCAACATGTGTGAACTGTGGATGCTGAAGCTGTCGCTGGCGCTGGCTCGGCGCACGACGCGTCTATTTGAAAGCACGCGTAAAGTGGTAAATTCCCCCACCAGGCCCAGAGGTTCCTATCCTCACTACTCGGTACAGTCCGAACTTCTTGCCTCGATTTATCGGCGACCATTGTACCCGAAATGGACAGATTTGGAGCCAGTGCTGGCTACAATGATGCCAACAGAGCGTTCCTACAAGCCTTTCTCGCCCGCAGCGTCCTCACACTTGAAACGGCCAAGCCTATCATTGCGGCATGCTCAACATTCAAAGAACAACGCGAAGTCCTGCCGCAAGATGTCACGGTCGAAGACCTGAACGACTACATCGCAGACGCAAACCGCAAACTATCCCCTCTCGACCTCGAAATCAGAAGTACCTTCCACCAGCAGACCCGGGAAAGGGTGTATGCTCTGGTGAACACCACGAGTGACCCTCTTACTCAACTCGCCACAACGTACACGGCTGACGAACTCGTCTATGTGAAGAAGCTTCTGGACGCGATTTTTGATGGACAGAACAACAAGGGCAAAAGAGAGGCCATGTGTATAAGCGGTATCGATGCCATCCAGGTCGGGAGGGCTCCTCTTCGACGGCAGACATCAGATGGGAATGAGAACGCGACACAGGCATCTGCTGGCGTGCTCGGTGCTAAGGACGCTGAGAATATGCTGCACAGATTGCTGGATGAAGGGTGGCTGGAAAAGAGTCGGGCTGGGTTTTACAGCCTGAGTCCTCGTGCACTGATGGAACTCAAGGGCTGGTTGGTGGACACCTACAATGACGAAGACGAAGACGGCAACAAAAAAGAGAAGATCAAGTTCTGCCATGCTTGTAAGGAGATTATCACAGTGGTAAGACACTGTCCCGCAAAATGCTTTCATTCTCTGCCTCTTAGCCAAAGCTGACGGACCCCTCAATTGCCAGGGCCAACGATGTCCTCGACGTGAATGCCCTTGTCGAATACACGATATCTGTACCCAGAATTTCTTTCGAGTCCAGCGATCCTCAAGGTGTCCACTATGCAGAACTGAATGGGATGGCGAACATTTTGTGGGAGAAAAGTCCATCACAACCTCAGAAAGCTATCAGACTGGAAGGAGAAGGAGCGGTGCAAACAACAGACCGAGACAGAGCACCAATGCTAATAATGAGGTGGAGGAAGAGGAGGGATGACAGGTTGACCGTCGATTATGGATCCTCGAAAGACCATACCACAACCGCCACCCTTGTGGGTTACTGCAAGCGCTCGGATGAACAACGAGCTACCTCCCCAGGAAGTTTCGGGTACCGAATCCAGGTGACGACTTCTGATGCAGTGGGCAACAGTTCCTTGACATTCCAAGCAAGTCCAACCCAAGCGGCGCTCCACCAGGCACGCGGCGACGGCAATCCCCCAGCTGGGAAGTTGGGTGGCACTGGGGCCATTGGGACCTTATGACAATGGTGGCGCTCCTTGAAGCCAAGGAAGCGCCCCGAGCTCTCCAATAATGCTTCCCCAGGCACAGGATTTCGCCATTCCCACTTCCCCACACAGGAAAAGCGAGCTGCGACGAAACTCAATCTAGCAGGTCTATGAGCTTCAAAGGCTGTCAAGCCACTCGATCCTTTGCGGCGAGGAGGTCACCCGCTTTACCTCCGCATCCTTTTACGTCTATCCCACAAATGACGTCGTATTCGGTCCATCGAACCGCTCAGCGATCGTCCTATGATGGCGACAGGCACCGATGACCCTGGTCAATGTGACCACAAAGACCGGCAAATCGAGCAAGATACTGCTTGGTCGAATGTAACTGTCCCCAAGCAGGACTTTTTACCGGTCTTCCGCGCCCTGCCTGCATTAGATGTAGTCGTGGACAAGTCACTTCCACAGCAGGTAATTCCCGTACCTGCCAGTGAAGTTGTTCCTGCTGTCACATGGTCGACCTATTCCTTCGCTCCTGAGGTAAATAGTGGCACCACCACACCACAGGCTGGAGGATCCCCTGCCTCACCTTGGCGTCGTCGTAGCTTTAGTTAAGTAAAAGAAAGCTCCTCGTTAATCCTCTCTCCCTGTGCGAACACAAAGAAACAGCTACCGGAGAAGCCAAGGTACGTGATGATGATGGCGACAGTGAAAAGAGAACCTAGGTCGAACTAACTGCATCAGATGGCTGGGTCAAGTCTCCTGCCGCTCCATGGGCTGCTTCTGACTCTCACGTTGTTCTCCTTCACATCAGCGCAATCTGGAAATGCATCAACAATATACAAGACTCGATTCGAGGGTGTCACTTGGGACGCTGCCAACTGGGTCCTCACCACCACCAACCTAGACCAAGGACATTATCAGTCTCGAATGGTTGTTGCGAATGGCTATCACGGCATCAACGTGGCATCTCTAGGTCCATTCTTCGAAGCTGACACTCCCGTCGATGGTGACAACATCAATGGATGGCCCCTGTTCGAAAGACGACAAACCTTTGCCACAGTTGGAGGTTTCTGGGATTCTCAACCTACGACCAACGGCACCAACTTCCCCTGGTTGTATCAGTATGGCTGGGATACTGCCATCAGTGGCATTCCACACTGGAGCGGCATTGTTGCAGACTTGGGAGGGAGCAACTACTTGGATGCCTCAACCAACGATTCGACGATCAGCAATTTCAAATCTAGCCTTGATATGAAGCGAGGGCTGATGAATTGGGCTTTCACTTGGTCTCCAAGCGGTCATGGGTCATTCAATGTTTCCTATCAAATGTTCGCACACAAGCTCAATATCAATCAGGGCTTTGTTATCATGAACATCACGGCAACCAAAGCCACCAATATTACGATCGCAAATGTGCTTAATGGAGACTGCGCCGTCCGTACAACTCCTGGACAGAATGGCATTGATTCGGGGCTCATTTTCACCTCTGTCCAGCCGAATGGCGTTCATAATGTGACGGCGTTCGTGTATGCTGGTATGACGAGCTCTGGAGCTACGGTTCGCTCTGTTCAACAAGCCACATGGGACCGGCCGTACGTGGGCAACAATGCATCCTCGGTGGCATCTGCTTTGAATGTCACCCTCCAGGCCGGCCAGGTTGCGACCTTCACCAAATTCGTTGGAATCGCCTCGTCTGATGGATTCCTGAGTCCTCGTCCTGTCGCAAGAAACGCCGCACTTAACGCAAGACAGGCTGGCTACGCCGCCTCACTGCAGACCCACGCAGCAGAATGGGCCCAACAGTTTCCTACAAGTTCCGTGGACGATTTCTCGTATCCGGAGAATGGCACACTACCGAACGATCAGTTTATCCTCGAGGCAGCGATTACAGCGGTGACAAATCCGTACCACCTCCTTCAAAACACCATTTCGCAGAACGCAATCAACGCCACTGCCAATGCCGGCAGTTCAATCAACAGCCATAGCATCTCAGTGGGAGGACTGGGATCAGATTCCTACGCTGGCCAGGTCTTTTGGGATGCTGAGGTATGGATGCAACCTGGTCTTGTAGCAGCATTTCCATCGGCGGCCCAGGGTATTGCAAATTATAGGCTGGAGAGGTTTCAGCAAGCGAAGGAAAATATTGGCACTAAGTTTGTCTCCTCCAAGAGAAACTTCACATTTAGTGATGCTGCAGCAATCTTTCCCTGGACGAGCGGACGTTTTGGCAACTGTACAGCCACAGGTCCATGCTGGGACTACGAGTATCATCTGAACGGTGATATTGGCTTGGAGTTCATCAATCTGTGGATCTCGTCGGGAGACACGGCGATGTTTCAGGAGAATCTGTGGCCCATCTACGACTCCCTTGCCACAATGTACTCGGAAATCCTTGAGCGAAACGGCTCTCACTGGGTCCTCCTGAACATGACTGATCCAGACGAGTATGCCAACCACGTCGACAACGGAGGTTTCACCATGGCTTTGATCTCGACACATCTCGACTATGCCAATCAATTCCGCTCCATGTTCAATTCCACGCCCAACGCAACATGGACGACCATGGCTCAAAACGTGCTGATAGGCCGTGATCAAGACGCGGACGTCACACTAGAATACACTGGCATGAACGGCACGACCGTGGTAAAACAGGCCGATGTCATTCTCAATACTTTCCCGCTCTCCTTTACCGGGCAGAACTATACGTCCAACGACTCGCTCAGCGATCTGGATTATTACGCTGCCCAGCAGTCGGTGGACGGTCCCGCCATGACATACGCGATTTTCTCCATCATCGCAAACCAGATCTCGCCTTCCGGCTGTTCTTCCTATACCTATCAACAATACAGCACGCAGCCGTACATCAGAGGGCCCTGGTTCCAGTTTTCAGAACAGTTGGTGGACGACTGGAACCAGAATGGCGGAACGCACCCTGCATATCCCTTCCTGACAGGCCATGGAGGAGCACTGCAGGTCGTGCTGTTCGGGTACCTAGGATTCCGTTTCATTCCCGATTTCAATCTGCACATCGACCCCAGTCTACCGCCTCAGATCCCACAGATCAGATACCGCACCTTCCATTGGTACGGCTGGCCGATCTCGGCGTTCTCGAACCAGACTCATACTGTCTTGACGAGAGACGGCAGCCTTGCTCCTGGTGAGGGCGCCGTTCCAAACGCTACGTATGCTACCTCGGCCATTCCGGTCGTGGTGGGCCCAATCGGCTCAGCACCCCTTGCCACCTACTCTCTGCTGCCAAACTCCAGCATAACAGTCCCCAACAGACAGATAGGCCTCATCCCAACGACCGAGAACAACGTCGCGCAGTGTCTCCCCGTCTCCTCCCCGGACGACTACCTGCCGGGCCAATTCCCGCTTGCGGCAGTCGACGGAGCGACGAGCACGAAATGGCAGCCCGTGTCTGCCAACAAGACGAGTTCCATCACCGTGGCAATCCCTCCGGGGTACAAGGTGACAAGTATGGTACTGAATTGGGGACAAATCCCACCGTACAACTACTCGGTGCTATTCCACAACAATTCGCTCGCGAACCCATCCTCACCGACCATCAAATCCAATAACGTTCTCACGGTCGCGTCGAACCAACGAGTCCACATCTCCGACGCGTACAACCTGACAGCGCTGAACTCGATCGAGGCCGTGCAGGACAACATCACCACGTTCGACATCCCATCCACAAGCCCGCCCGTGTACACGGCGCGCTTCGCCACCCTGCAGATCTGGGGCTCGCTTTACAACGGCAGCGTCACCGCGAAGAACATGTCCGGCGACGGCGCCACGGTGGCCGAGTGGAGTATCCTCGTCGAGGGGCTGCAGAGTGCCACCAACAACGCCACTGCCCCGGTCAAGAGAGCTGTGGGTGGCAACCTCGACAACGACTTGTTGATCAAGCTGGGCCATGTCGCGAGATATATGAACATGGATGGACGGAAGATGGCGGGCCGATGAGGAATATGCGTGACTGAAGAGAGCGAAGCGGAAGGAACAAAAAAGAGAGAGGAAGGGTTACGAAGAAGATAATGTGCTTTATGAAACCAAAAACCGATAGTCCATGAGAAAAAGTCCCCAATGTGCAAGGATTGGTTGCTCCATTAATGCACAATTATGCGTTTGCGTCATGCCGCATTCAAACCATGCTTTATGGCTTGTGTTTCGTCCTGAGATGCCGTTCTCTTTATTCATCGTCCATTTCCTGTTGTTTCTGAACCGTTCCCATATTCTCCAGCTCCCATTCCGGCCAGCATTCAGGTCACTATGCTCCGAGATTTGCGGCCTCGGCTTTCGCAGTTGCTGCCATGGGAGCCGTTCGCGCGTCCTGCTCATGTCGAAGGTCCAAAGCGGCTTCAAGTGGTCGCGTCGTCCGGCAACCGCAAGAAAGAATCCGAGAAGGAGAAATGGAGTCGAGCATCGCCAATCCCGCCAAACATAAGAGCGAATACTCCTTGATCATCGAAGGAGCGGATGGTATGTTCTGGCAATTCCAGCTCGGGGTTCGGCTTTGAAAAGCTATCGGTTTCGTGGCGTGTGCTCAAAGCTCATAAGGCGCTTTCTCAGCTGTTCTTCTCCGTGAGTTAAGATCCCCGAAGTGCTGCATTGTAGTCAGGTGTGGTGATCTCTCGCTTCGCACGAAAGATGGCATGGCTATTTGGGGCTTGCCACCTTAAGAGTTTTGCGTAGGTTGTCGTGGTGCGCAAGTCTTCATGCTGTGGTTCTCAAGAGCTCGAAGCAGCCGGACGGTACAGATATCCATACAAATGTTGTAATGTTTGCTTGTTTGAGTCAGTACAACGCCAAACCCCGATTGAGCTTGTCGATCTGTGTCTGCTTCTTGCTGTTGCTTCTCTCAGCCAGGCATGTCGACGAGTATGCTGGTTTACTGACGGCATAAATGGAGTAGATCCCACGGCAAGGTCAGCGGATTCCTTTGGCGTGAACATTTCTGTACTCCCTCCAGGAGGTGCAATGATCAGTCCAGCAGCACCGTCCCGGCTTGCGATTCGTTTAGCGACTTTAGGGCGTTAGCCTACTGCCCTTGCTGCATGTCGTTTTGTCCGGCACCACCGCCCTCCATCCTTCCCCTCGCCTCGCCCAGAAGTGCTTCCTGCATCTTCCTGAGCTCCTCTTCTCCCATCTTATCAAATCCGCCGAAGTTGCGCATTTTCTCGCCTCTTCCAATTCTCTTCTTCTGCACCTCCTGCCACTCGCCAACGACACCACGGCAGTGTTCAATGTAGCTTCCAAATCCCAAGTCGGTCAGTGCTTGTTCAACATGTTCAACACTGATGGTCTTTTTGGACTCGCGCTCGGAGATGTCGTTTGACTCGGAGGAGAGCATGCGCAGGAACTCGAGCGAACACGAAATTAGAAGGTCGCGGGCTGGACGGGTGAAGGTCATCTCGCCTTCCTTGCCGGCGCTGGTGTCGTCATGAGGCAATTGAGGCAGGACTTCAGAGATAATCTTTTGGACGGTAGCTTTGGGGAGAGACAGGTCGTCATTGTCTGTAAATAGGTTATCAGCAGCTACGGTGATGAATGGGTTCCTAGGTCTTCAGGGGTGCGACATACTGCCAAAATCTTTGTCCGACATGATGACAGAGTGTATCTACTGGGAGCAGTAGTTGTATGCGTTCCAGGGTCTTGGAGTCTCACGGGTCCAGCCCAGGTGAGCGCGGGGAGGGACGAGGATGTTAAATAGTTGTTGCGACATGATGCGCGACCAGGCCTGCCTTCCGAAACGGGCAACGCGTAGATCATGTCTTGGCGCAAACTAAATTCTTTTTCCGAAGTTACGGTTGATTTTCACTTTTGATTCTCTTCGTCGACACGATGATATTCTCTTTGCTGTTTACCATGCCCCATGTGATTCCACATTCATGGTGCCATCAGTATTGACATCGATGTTTGTCGCCGAAGAGTTTGCGGGTTCTTAGAATAGAGCCAAGGTCCTTCTACTGACGGACAGAGGTGATGCATGCTGAGCTCCCCGGGGGAGCCCCTGTCACTGTATGAGCGTGCCAATTCCTGCCTGGTAAGTGGTCCCTCTCCCTGTCTTTCTTTAAAAATCCTACATGATGAACATTCGTGTCGCCCCTATCTTACCAAATTATGGTGATTACCTGTCCAAACCAAACAGGACCTACTGAACATCTCCCATTCCCCATTAGACTTTTGGCCTCCATAAAGTGTACGCGGTCACTGATAGATTACAGGATAATGGCACGCCCCCTATCGTCCAGCAGCTCAAAATCCCCTCTGGTGTATGTCTGCCTTCCCCCTATCGATTTCCTCTCCATTTCCAAATGATGATCAACACTATGTACTATCAAATTCGGAAATGCAATTGACGAATACACTGGTTCGATTACCTGAACGACACTCGACAGCATATCATCTTTTGGACCTCTTGTTGTTTCTGGGACATTTCCTAACTGCGAATCAGAAGTCTAGGGTATGCATTGTCGGTGGACGGTTTTGCAATGTCATAATGGTGAGTCCGACCACCGCTTCCGCAAAACCACTACATGATGAACACACCACTCTTCCATGCTAAGTATGAAGGTCCGCTGGATTCTAATGCTTAAGCTTGTGTATTCATTTTTCATCTTTCGCCTGATCCAGTTTCTTTCCACGACTTGGCTTGCTTCTATTTTCCGCAATGCCCGCTGATTGCGCGAGAACAGGTGCTCTTGATACAATTCCGCCCATGATCACGAATGTTCAGGAGCATGAGCTTTTGCAAGAGCCACGCACACCGGTTTCGTACCGGTCGGATCACAATCGCCTGATAGAGCTCGAGCACTACTCAACCTGGTACTCGGCTAATTGTGGGTCATCCCAACTCGAGGTGTGTCAATGAAGATTCCGTGTAAATCATCATACTCATGGGCTCTTACCTCAAAAACAACCCCGAGAACTCCTTTTTTGCCCTTACAGCCAGTTCTGCAATCACATTTCCAGGCTTCTCCGGCGGCAAGAGCTTCCCGTCCTTTTTGGCGCTCAGAAATTTCTGTTGGTCCTTCTCGTCCATATTGTGAAGGTATTTCTCCCTGATATCCATCTGCATGGCTGTGTCAACGACACCGGGACGAATGGACACCGTGGTGACTTCAGGCTCTTCATTCTTCAACGTCATGGTCAAGTGGTTGATGGCTGCTTTAGTGGCTCCATAGACACCCCATGAGGGGTATGCGTTCGAAGCGGCGCCTGAGGATGTAAAGATGATGTGGCCCTTGTTGCTCCGGAGGAGAGGGAGTGTTTCTTTGATCTGTTCGTTTTGCAGCAAAGAGTTAGACTGTGCCGACGCCACTTTAACCGTTCGGCGCACGTAGGAAACCTCCTACGGCAAACATCATGATAGATTGAGCTTACCAAGACAACGCAACTGGTTACATTGATCCTAAATGTGCGCTCCCACTCATCGCCTTCCATCTGCCCTATCCTCAAGCATTGTCCCAAGGTACCGTGGTTCAGCACGAGCGCGTCCAGCCGACCGTCACACTGCACGCCTCGCAACATTCCTTGTACAAATTCAAGGTCAGCCATATCTCCGGCCCGCGTGACGACCCGATCTGGAGTTGTGGACTGGAATTTGTTCAGCACATCAACCTTGCGACCGGCCAGGATAAGGAGATGCTGATCGCTTGAAGCTAGGAGGTGGTTTGCGATGGCGAGCCCGATCCCTGCCGTGGCCCCAGATACGAATATGGTACGAGAAGAAGGGTATTGGATCTGCAGGATGAGGATGGTTAGAAGATTAAGGTCCCGCAAGATGCCATATATTATATTTCACATCCAGTACGTGGGCTTTATGGAGACTGGGTCAAGCACATACTCGGTGCTTGAATATATAGTCCGGTGAACTCCCAAAGTAATTCTTTTCAGTCGACATGTTGCAAGTTGATGCTAATGGTTGGACCTGCCGCTGAGACTTCCAAGCTCCGACACTGCACTGACAAGACCAGGGGAGACGAGAAGAGAATGGGCTGTAGTTAGTCAAACAACGCCCTAGATACTGCGGCATCAATTATGCGGTAGAGATAGATGCTTGTTCCGTATATCGCAGGCAGATTTTTGCCGGACATGTCCATAAGCTATCCACGTGTGACGTCAATTCCCCTGACTTCTCCTGCCCCTATTTAACCTGCTGTTTTCCTTCAACTCTTCACTGTCCACAAGTACCGGCCAACTGTGTTGGAAAAGGCATGGCCATCACCAAACCTATCTAGAAACCCTTTGAGACTGGGTGTCTCACAGCCGGTGAGTACGTGTCCCACGATTTTCGGCCAAGTGAAGACTCCGCAGTCCGAGAAGCGGGGACGGCGCGATGGGGTTTGCCGTTTTACGGGGTGTATCACGTCCCGCGGGTGGAAGTCTCTTCTGCTTAAGGCCTACTACTTATACCAGGTGCTTCTTGGCCCAAGATGCTGATTGTCAGCACTGGTTCGTGTCTTTGCTGTCAACTCAAACGGTACAGAATACGTTGTGCTTGATCAGAGACGCTGAGGCCTCATTTCATTGAAGTCGGATTGGCTTCTTGAGCAGCGGAAAATATCATCAAAAATCTCAGTAAAAGATCCGGTCGCCATGGCCACGAAATTCCAAAGGCTCGTGAGGTTCAGAGCCTCAGACGGTCAAATCTATTATGGTGAAGCCGGTTCTGATTGGGAATCTGACCTCAAGGGCAAAGAAGTCCAAGTCTTTTCTTGCCCCGACCCGTTCGACAATAATTTCCAAGCCTTGGACAAGAAAGTTGTCATCTCTGAGGTTCGACAATGTCCCCGGAAGAGGCGCCACATTCTTTACAGGATGCTTACCCTATCATCCCAGGTCCTTTGCCCTTTGGAGAAGGTGCCAATCGTTCTAGGCATTGGGCTGAATTATAGAAAGCATGCTGAGGAAGCGGGCGTGAGTTTAAACGAGCATTTCTGGGATCGCAGCTCATCTCACGGGTCCAGTTTCCGATTCCAACCTTCCCAGTGGTTTTTACCAAATACCCAGGTTAGCACTTTTGCTCGTCGTATTTTGATCACCGCTGATAATCCGCAGATACCCTAGCAGGCCCTTTCGAGGACATCCCTATTCATCCTGAAGCAAAGGAGCTAGACTATGAAGGCGAGCTCTCGATCGTCATCGGCAAAGACGCAAAGAACATTTCCGAGAAAGAAGATCCCATGAAGTACGTCCTAGGCTTTACCGTGGGTAATGACGTTTCGTCCCGTTACTGGCAAGTCGCACCAAGATCAGGAGGTCAGCACGGCCCTGCCAAATCCTTCGACAAGTTCGCCCCAATTGGTCCCGTCATTGCTTCACCCGAGGCCGTCGTAAATCCAGAGGGCCTCAAACTACGCACCTGGGTCAACGGCGAATTGAGACAAGATGGGAAGACGGATGATTTGATTTTTGGCATCAGCGCTATCATTCGACACCTAGCCAGAGGCATGACGCTCAGAAAGGGGACGGTCATAATGACAGGCACTCCTAGGTAAGTGCTTGAAGAAAAGACGCTTGGTGCATCTCTCGACTGACGCTTGCCAGTGGTGTGGCCGCTTTCATGAAGCCAGCGGCATGGCTGCGTGATGGCGATACGGTAACAATAGAGATTGAGCGCATTGGCAAGATCTCGAACAAGATGGTCTTCGAAAGCTGATCATTGAGACTCAGCTCGGGAGTGAATGATTCACAAGGATCGCACTCTTGTCTGATCTCTGTTGGAAGTTTAACTCCAAACCTGACATATACGATCTTTTCAAATTTCCTGGTTGTTTCCCCTCGTTCAAATTGACGGAGATCACTATGGCAAACTTTCAATGACTAATCAGCTGACTCCAACGATTCTTCTATACGAAATTCGTTACTGTATTCATATCTGACTAATAGGAAGGCCTATATGGATATTCAAGGTGAACTTTTGTCCCTTTTCCAGGTATGGATATAACGTCATCCGGTGTTTCTCCTCTCATCTACGAATACCACCTTGATTTCGATGACTCCTTTGAATCAATCAACACGAGATGTTCTTGCTCGTCTGTCTCCGCTCTCTGACCGGTAGCCTTACGTCCAAGTGGGTACTGCACTATTTGGGCAAAGGCAGGCTGATTTGGGCTGGACAGGCGTAAAGGGCCTGAATGGCGACGGCTTCATCGAGTTGACATGGCTGACACGAAGTTGAGCTCAACCAAGTGTACAAAAGCATTACGACTGTCGGACTGTGCAAACATCAGTCTTACACATGTTCTGTGCAACCGACATGCTACCGACCATTGTTGCCTACGTGTGGAGATTGGTGGTGGGAGCACTTGCTTTCGCATTTGCATCATTCCTTGTGTACTATGTGCCTGCGAGCCGTCGCCCTCGGAATTTCCCTCCAGGTCCCCCTGGGCTGCCAGTGATAGGGAATCTTCATCAACTACCTTTGAAGAAACTTTTCCTCAAGTAAGATATTCTTGTGTTTTTGCTAGTCGAACGGATCATGGGAGCTGAATGAGTTAGATTTCACGACTGGCAAGGGCAATATGGCCCGGTTGTCGGATTGAAATTCGGCCCTCTGAACGTCGTCGTCCTCAGCAATTACAAGCCTGTCAGAGAGTGGGTTGTAAAGTCAGGGGTAGAAAGGGACATGGTTAACACCGCACAGGCTTTACGACAAGAGAGGCAATGTCTACTCCAGCCGGCCTGACAACTATGTGGCAAACGAGCTCATGTGCCCCAATGATGTTCACATTCTCTTTCAGCCATACGGCCCAGCATGGAGAGCGCTCCGAAAAGGTGCTGCAGGGCTTTTGAATGTTAGAGGTTTCGGCAGCATCCTCCCACTTCAGCAAGCAGAATCCTGTCAAACAATGTACGAGATAATGCAGTCGCCTGAACAATGGTCCGATCATGTACGCCGCTACGCAGCCGCCGTGGTTCTGGAGTCTGTATACGGCCAAAGAGGAGCTACTTACAACGATCCGAAGGTTAAAGGATTCTACGAGATACTAACGGCATTCCTGGATACACTGGCGGTTGGAGCAACTCAGCCCGTCGACGCTTTCCCTTTCCTCAAGCACATTCCGGGCTTCCTCGCGCCATTCAATTCTCGAGCAAAGGCAATGGGCCAAAAGCAAAAAGCATTTTACAGTGCCCTGCTTGACAAAACAAAAGCCAGGATGGATCCGCAAGCCACAGATCCATGTTACATGCAAAGGCTTTTGGAAGGAAGTGATAAAAGTGGGTTGAGCTACGATCAGCTTGTCTATGTCGGCGGAACTCTGGTGCGGCCTCCTCGGTCACGTTGGAATGGCTCAAAAGTACTGACTAGGTATATTGTCTTAGCTGGAAGCCGGCTCGGAAACCTCGGCGTCCAACTTGCATCTCTTTGTTTTGGCTATGATATCCCACCCTCAAGTGTTGAAGAAGGCTCAAACAGAGGTGGACGACGTCTGCGGCGACGCCACTTCACCTTCAGCTAACCATATCAAAGACCTTCCTTATATGCGAGCTATAATGACCGAGGTAAGTCGTTGAAGGGTGTTCCTGAGGCCTAGAGATTGACGGGGACTCGCCAGATCTTTCGATGGAGGCCGCTCGCTCCGGAAGGAACGCCTCACATGTCGACCCAGGATGACTGGTACGACAACTACTTCCTGCCAAAGGGTACAATCGTCTTTGCCAATGTCTGGTCGATCCATCATGACGAAACCGAATACGACAAGCCTGCGGACTTTATTCCCGAGAGATGGCTGAACAACAAATTCGGAACGAGGGTCAGTGAAGACACTGTCGATGGGGACAACAGGAGGACCACCTATGCTTTCGGCGCGAGCAGGAGAGTCTGCCCAGGCCAAGAGATGGGTGAGAACTCATTGGTAAGTTCGACATGACCTCAGTACTTGAAGATTTATGTCTTCCAGGACGAAGCTGATATGGGTTCGCATATACAAGATGATAAACATGGCCAAGATGGCGTGGGCTTTTAACATCACGGCAGAACCAAACTCGCCTCCGAATCTCGACCCCCGTGAGACATACTCTGACAACTTTGTGGGAGGGCCACTTCCTTTTCCCGCCGTCTTCACAATCAGGTCTCAGAGGCATCGAGAGGTTCTTGAAAGGGAGTACTGCGAAGCGCAGGAGTTTCTCCGGAGGTATGAAGACTAGCAAGAATGAAATGGATGGGAAGGCCCTCGCGAGTAGCAGTTCCTGAGCAATCTTTCCGACTAGGCCTTTCGTTAATCTACCTTTGTTAATACCTGATGAAGATCTCGTGTATTACGGGACACCTCGTCTGTCGTTCGGGTGGGGGCTTTGGGTGTGTCTGGGGTGGCAGGCGTTCTCTGCAACTGGCCGCGAGGAACTCAAAGATGCACGGCTTTCCTCTCGCCCAGACTTCATATGGCTATGTAACGCACGTATTGAGATAAGAAGGATGATCACGCAACCACCAAGAAAAAACTTGCTCGGGTCTACCAGTTCGTCCAGCTTCTCCCGACAATGTCGAATCAGGAAGCTCGGGCCTTCGGAGGCGTGTTCATGGGCTCTTATTCATTACCAATCATGCTCATCTTCATTTGGAAAGGCCAGCCATAATCCCGATAGAAGATGTGGATGTCTCGTATTCCTTGGGGGTGGGCCACGTACTTCTTACAGGCTTCTGCAGCATCTTCAGGCCAACCGCAGCAATGGCAGATTCGCCATTCGCCATGGCCAGGGGAAAGATGCAGACGAGCAGCCGTTTCAGCCTTGGGGAAATTCACCAGCAGCCCGAATCTCTCCATCAACCAGCGATGACCCCGCAGACAAAACCGTGCCGCGGGATCGAAGGGCCAGCTTGCCGACTGCCAGCTTTCCGGCATTGCGAGCGACCAAAATGGATTCCTCCAGCACTGATTCGTCCATGCCTGGAGCTTGTCACTGCTTGCAGGAAGCCCACTGCTTTGGGCATGGGAGGGGTTTGAGGAAAGCATGGGCATCCTATCTCATGCCGTCATGCTATCTGCCGCCAGCTTCGTCGACCTGTCATGCTCCTGGCTTCAACTGCCTCTCATTGGGCACGATGGTTCGCAAGTTGCGCCGTCTCCCAGCTCGGCGAATGGTATCATAGCTTCCACCCAAGAAGGATTCCAGCATTCTACCCCTCTAGCGCTACTGTAGGTCCAAGGGTGTGTGTGACCACTGACCAGAACCTTTGCGAACGGACATTCACGGCAAGAAATGAAGTACGATTCCAGGTCTTCACGATAACCATCATGGGTTCCCAGGAATGGCATGCGGCCATGTCTCTTAATCCGCTCCCTCTCTCTCCCTCTGCAAACCTTAGTTTCCCACCTGCAGTTCCCTTGGGAATATCTGCCCTTTACATCTTGGTGGCGTCAATCAACAACACTTCATGATGCTCCAGAAATTGCTCCCAGCTGTCGTGTGTATATGTCTTGGCCTCGTCACGGCGCAGGATGAAGGCATTATCGAGACGCTCAATGGCGTGGCCGAGCTCTCAGACCTGGTGACTTACCTTGACAGGTTTCCTGATCTGACCGTGTGGCTCCAAGGACTGTCCGATATCACCTTCCTGGCGCCCAACAACGATGCATTCGCGGCACTGGCAGATTCCTCGACGATCCCGAGCATCCCGCTCGACGCGGCGGACGCGGAGGCCCTGATGAGCTACCATGTGCTGAACGGGACTTTTTATAGCTTCAGCTCCGACGAATACAGCCTCGTCACGACGGCATTGTTATCTTCGACGTACGAAAATGTCACTGGAGGCCAGGTCCTCGCTGCCAAGGGGTCGCCATGGTCTGATGCGATATCATTCACTTCTGGAAACCTCCAAACGTCAGAGACCGAGGGAAGCGCACTGGACTTCACTGGCGGCATCATCTACATCATCGACTCCTTCCTGACTCTTCCCGGGTCCTTCAAGGAAACCGTCGAGGCGGAGGATATGCTCGGGGGATCCGCATTCGCCGAGGCCGTGGTCACGACCGGAGGACAGCAACTGACCATCGACCAACTGTCCGACGTCACGGTGTTTTTACCCATGAACTACTCTCTACAGGAGATTGGCAGCGTGATTGAGAACATGACCTGGACCGAGCTGGAGCGGCTGGTGTCGTACCATGTCGTCGATCAGCTCCTCGACATCAATCCTGACTCGCCGCCCAGCGGGAAGTATGCGACGTACGAGGGCTCGGAGGTCACCATCTTTAGCCAGAACGGCTTTGTCTTCATCAACAACGCCCGCATTGTCGGTTCTGCCGACTGGTTGTTCAGTGGCGGCATGATCTACACTATTTACGGGTATATATCTTTAAACATTCTAAGAAAGCCCATCTATTTCTCTCCTGTTATCATCAACCCAATTTGCCGGAGTTTTTGGCTGACGTCTACTTTTTTCATATATATCCAGAGTGCTCAACCCGGACAACACCACGGTTGATCCGAACATCAACGACGCCGAGATCGCATTTGCCAATGCGTCCTTCACGCTAGACTTCACGTTCCCCTCGCCCGGGTCACAGACGTCCCCTGCGGGCTCCTCGACAGGCGCGAGTTCGGGAGGGCTGTCCGGTGGAGCGAAAGCAGGCATAGGCGTCGCCGTCGCGATTGCCGCCGCCGCCATCCTCCTCGCCGGAGCATTCTTCCTCCTTCGCAGGAGACGTCGGAGCCCCGCGGGGCTGCCAAAAGGCTTCCAGTATCCGATCCAGTACCCGGTGCAATATCCGCTGAAGGACCTTGAGGTGTCGATCTCGCACAGCGAGCTCGTGGCCAAAGCGGCCGCGCCCGCAAGGGGCCCTCTCAAGGACCTCACGCCCAGTGTCAGTGTTTACTCGCTGCCACCCCGAGGCTCAAGTGGCTAGCGTGAGGACTCGTCTCTCGGCGGTCCTGGTTCGATCATTTGCACGGCAGCAATGCACTGATCTTGCTTATGAGCTAAGTTGGGCTGACAGGGGTGAGGTGAGCGAGATGCAGCGAGAGGAGATGCAGGCTCTGGAGGTAGAGGGAGCAGGTCTCATGTTTTCTGAACGAAGTAACGTGTTACGACTGAAATATCTATCAATATACCTAGGTGGCTAGCTAGACAGGAAGCTCCACGAAGAGCTGAGTTGCAGGATACGCAATATATATACAATGAGGACATACCTGTATACATAGCAGGTAGAGGATATAGCCATATATACGAGGCACTGTGGTCAAAATTGACCTTTACAAAGTCCATTTCTCTCCGCGTCTGGACTTGAGCATCTCGTTGCCATTTGACTTGAGGCGCAGCTACCTAGGTGCACAAGCCAATATGAGGTGAGGCTGTGCCATGTATCCTGAGCCCGGTTTGGCAGGCCTGATAGGCTATGGCAACTGCGACCCACCTAGTGTAGCCTACGTGCCTACATACCACATTTTACGCCTGAGAGGCTTGTACCCTCACACATCCCACAATGAGGCCCCCAAGGTCCTGATTTCTGGTGTTTCACCTGCTCGAAAGGGCCAATACTGTACGGAGTAAGAAGCACGGCGGAAGGAACTTTGGGTGTCCCCCATGCATTCACCCTTTTCCAAAATCGTCACAGAGCCTCACAGCTATCATCTTCGTCTTGTGGTCATCGTCCGTTTGGGATTGATTCGAACAGAGCCGCGTTTCGGGTGGATAAGAAACCCCTGACCTGGACTGGGATATCCGGCAAGCTGGTGAGTTGAGCCAGTAATTATGGAACTCAAGCACCTAGACAGCCATACAGCCATACAGCCTTACCCTTCGCAAACAAGGCACCCAAGGCAAGTTTCTCAATTGCGTACATAAGTTGCCTACGACGTCCAGCCTGATGGCGCACTCTGCAACATGCTCCCACTTCTCCTCTGCCCAGACCAGCATCTTGAATCTGAACCTCGATTACGGTCACAGATTTCTGGCTTTGGGACTTTCCTTGATTCCTACAGTACTTTCGCTCCCAAGCGACCTCCTCAACGTGCTCCCGAGGCACCATGCGATTGCTCAATGTAGAGACATACGAGCTCCAAACCATTCATGTCGAAAACGTCACATACGCGATACTCTCGCACCGTTGGTACGAAGAAGAGATAACATTCGAAACCCTAAATGCCGCCCAGCTCAAAAACACCCAAGAACAGTCGCCACAACTGGACAAGATTAGAGGCGCCTGCGCGCGAGCAAAAGAAGATGAGCTGAAATGGGTCTGGATTGATTCTTGCTGCATTAACAAGGCTAGCTCTCAGGAGATGAACGAATCGATCAATTCGATGTTCCAGTGGTATCAGAAAGCTGCCGTCTGCTACACCTATCTGCCAGACGTTGTGAGTACAACCCCGGGTACCGATCTGTTCAGGCCTCATGAGACTGAAGATTGGCCTGCGCGAAAGTATTCGGAGTGGTTTGAGCGCGGCTGGACACTGCAAGAGCTGCTCGCGCCCCGCAAGATGAAATTCTTCGACAGAGACTGGCAACCGATAGGTACGAGAGCAGATCTAGCCAGGGACATCTCGCGCATCACTGGCATCGAAGCCCGGTACCTTACTGGGACAGTGGAATTTCTAAACGCCAGCATTGCAACGAGACTAAGCTGGCAAGCCGGCAGAAGGACGACCAAAATCGAAGATATTGCGTACAGCCTCGTCGGTGTGCTGGACGTGCAGCTTGTGCCGTTCTATGGAGAGGGCAGACAAGCGTTCCAGCGTCTGCAAGAAGAAATACTCAAAAGACATCTTGACGAGTCTATTTTCGCTTGGACAGCGCCTGTAGGAAGTCTACCCAGCCACAGCCGTCCTTGGGTTTCCGATCAATGGGGCCTCTTAGCACCTTCCCCCGACTGCTTCAAAAACTCTCGAGACATAGTCATCAACGGACCGTCGACGAGCCGTCCTCCTGGCCACATTCAAACCACAGTAGAAGGTGTGACATTTCCAATTTCTATAAAAGACCTAATGGCCTCGAAGTACCCACAGGCTTGGTTCGCCTTCTATTTCTTGTCGACATTTACCCTTATTGGACCATTTGCCGTGCAAGCATATGCAAAGCATCGCCACGCCGATTGCAAAGTCTTTCCTCTCACGCTCAATTGTTGGCGTAGGGACGAGTACGGTCAGCGCAAAGCTGTACAAGTCTTTATCAGTCGAGATAGAAAGGGCGACCAGCTGTGGAGGCGATGCAGGTGTGATGAGCTAGGATCTACGAACGAGAGACAATCTAACGCGACGTACGCGGACAAGATACTATACAATGTGACGCACAATAACGCCGGTCAAGCACCAGATTGGCTTGATATTACGATTCTTCAACCAAACGGTGTTAGGTGGCCTGTTTGAGTCATAAGGGAATGCTTCAGAACGGCGGTTTCGGAGGCAATTTCGTGAAAACTGAGAATTTTGTTGATACTTGGCAGAGTCTTCTGCTGTGCTGGAGTTGGGAAGAAAGCTGTCTATGGGACGACGAGTCTGCAATAAAAGGTCTGGACAGTATTCAGTACCTTGGTTTTGGGCTGTGATTGGTTAGTTTCGATCTCACACAAGGCTGAGTGTAGATAGAGTTCTTCATCCTCGCTGGCGGGCCTGATGGGAGAGGGAACGGGAGAAGGCTGATGAGAGAAACATCTCGTCTCAAGTATAGTAGCCTCCGCGAGGCTTACGACAGGGAGGTTATGGCTTGCGTCTTGGACTCTCTTCTGACAATGGTTACCCTTGACAGAAGATGCTCTTTCCCCTTGCCTATCAAAATGCCTCCTGGGCGATGCGCGAAGGAGAAGCCTATTCTCTAATCTTCACTGCGCCAGCCAGTCTCAAACTCTTTCAAGCATTTCAGAAAGGCCCAAATGGCACAAGGGGAAAAGCCGAGAGAGAGACACACTCACGCAAAAGCGGTCAAGAAAAGCAAACTACCAGATAGCAGAAATATCAAAAGCAAAAAAGGATATTCATCCCCTCCCTTTGGACTAGGTAACTACCTCTCCGTATACCCGCCATCGACAAACAACGCCGTGCCCGTAACGAACGAGCTCCTCCCGCCACAGAGGTAAACGACCCCGTCGGCGATTTCCTGGGGCTGTCCCGCGCGCTGCATGGGCACGGCGTTGGCGACGCGCTCGGCCATGACGCCGCGCACGACGGGGTCCTGGTTCGTCATGGGCGTGTCGATGTATCCGGGACAGATGGCGTTGATGCGGAGACCCCGGGCGGCGTAGTCCTCGGAGGCCGTGCGGGTGAGGCCCAGCACGCCGTGTTTGGACGCCGTGTAGGCCGTCGACGTGGGCACGCCGACGTGGCCCAAGATGGAGCCGAAGTTGACGATGGACCCGCGCTGCAACGCCCTCCCGTCGAGGGATGACACGATGCGCTCCTGCTTCAACATGATCTGCGCCGCCGCCCGCAGCACAAAGAACGTGCCCGTGAGGTTAATGTCCAGCACGCGCTGCCAGTCGTCCGTGCGCGCAAACGCCGCTCCCCCCTCGTGTTTCTTGGCCACACCCGCCGCGTTGACCACGTAGTCGATCCGGCCAAACGTCTGCGCCACTTGGTTCACCGTCTGGTTGACTTGGTCCTCGTTCCGCACGTCAACCACGTACACCTCGACCCTGCACGCTTGGAGTCCTGGAGGTCTCTTTTCCTGCTCTACCTCGGCCTTCACCGCCAACAATCCTTCGTGGTTCACGTCCAGCAGTGCCACTCCCGCGGCGCCTTCGCGCGCAAACGTCTGCGCACATGCTCTGCCGATGCCGGATCCGCCGCCGGTGATCAGTGCGAATCCAGGCACGTCCATTGCTGCCACCAAATGAAAAGTCGAATGCAACACGATCAGGGGGGAAAACCAGAGACAAAAAAGAGAGGATCTTTTTTTTTTCTGGATGTCGAGAGACGCGGTTACATATGCGGAGAGATCACTAGACTTTTTGAGCATTATAAGGCCCCTGGCTGCACAAACCATGCTCTCTCCGCAGATCTGGTCCGACATACCTCGGGTCCCCCCGCCTGATGGAGAGCTGAGTTCGCAGAGGAGGGAAGTTCGACAATGTAGCCTCCACTGACGTTCGGCCCGGTGAGTGAATAGAGTACTATTGGTTCTAGTGTATAGGTTGTTATGTCTTGGGTCGGGACCTCGGTTTGGAAGCATGATGCTCGGCGGTGCTAGTAATGCCAGGTGTAAAGTAACAAACTCACGGCCAAGAACAGAGAGTTCCTCGTTCAAAAGACGTCAATGGAGTGGCATTATTTACAGCGAGGGAATTGTATAACCATGGCCAAATGCTGGGAAAGGTATCTCACGTCTTAAGCCCTGCATGTCGCACAGTCCTGGTGGCTTATGATGTACACCGATTCTGTCCTCCATGACAGCAATCCTTCTTCTGGCTTAATGGTGCGGTCATCAACATCACGACTGCAACCGCACGAGTCACTGCCTACACGCATCAGGTCCTCCATCCAGCCTGGCGTCGAATGCAAAAGACCTAAAGACCTGAAGACACGGACTCCCTCCAACATCCTCACCAGCCCCCTGATTGCTGAATGTGCATAGAGCCTGGTCAATCCCCATCCACAATAGTCCAACACGGTGGAAACAGAAAACAACACCTGTAAAACAGCGCCATCGCTCAAGTCCAATACTTCGTGTCGGGTATCGCTCGTCCCTTTGCTGAATCCAGATTATGACAAGTAAAAGGGTATCAATTATCGTGTTTTCCGTTGCAGCAGTTGTCCTCCCAAACCCCCAGTCTATCAGTGTCCAGTTCTTATGCGCTGCGCTGCGGTACCAAGGTCCCATGTTGGTTGCTCTGGGGCATGGAATTCTCAGAACCGATCCTCCTGTCCGGAAATCCTGACGTGATCTCTTGCTCCAATGATGATGCATGGTGGAAATGCAGGTTCGGGAGTAGCGGCCTTGATGCTTCTTTCTGTTTCCCTGGGGCATTCAGCACTTGTTCCATCAACCGAGCCCCAGACCTGATGGAATCGGTGCAGAAATTGTTTCTGAAGAGTAGATCATGGTTGAGTTGCGGCTTTGGCCAACTCTGGGGTGTTCCTGCTGACTGTGACCGCGCGTAGCCAGCCTGTAGCATACGAGTTGCGTATCACGCAACCTTCTCGTGCTGGGTGGACACGCGATTCAACGACACAACTGAGAATGCAGGTTAGTCAAGACATGAACACGCTCACAACGGTCAAACTCACGAAAATCCTCCATATCTCTCTTCTTGAGCACCTTATTGCTCCTTGTTTTCCTTCCATGAACAATGTCATCAAATGTGACACTGTCTTGCAACAGGTAATATACGCCAGCCATGACACAAAAGACACCGAAAGAATATAGCCAAATCCTTACCACTCCCACAATACTGGTCTGTTCTCCGCCGACAAACCAACCGAAAAGACAAAAAAATGTGGCGAGAATATCAACAAGTAGGATCGCTCCTACTAGCTGCCAGGAAGGGATGCTGGACCAGAAAGGGCCATTAGCACGGGTGATGAAAATCAGCCAGTTTTCCGAGAGGCAAATCTGAAGGAACAGCACAGCATCCGTGTGCCCAAAATTCTGAACGATACCACCGTCATGGCCTCCAACAATCATTGTAGTCAGTGCAATCCATGTGCCTGCAGCTAGGACGATCCCCAACAAAATGGACATGCCCCAGAGTTTAGGCAGGTTCCATTTGACCGGCGTCTTCGAGTAAGGGGCGTTGTCATAGGCAATGGCCAATGTGGCGATGTCGGCAAATATAGCAATGAAAACAACCAGTTTCAGGTTGAGTGACTTGTTGAGAATGGCGATCCACAGGCCTAGGAATATCTCCAAATGAAGTGACAGGGCGATCCGATAAACGACGTATGCGTACATGCGGTGGAAGATTTGACGCGAAGTCTTCAGGGCGTCGATGATGGCCGACAGACCGGGCGCCAGGAACACTATGTCTGCCGCTGACCGTGCTGCATCGGTTGCGCCTTGCACCGCGATACCGGTATCTGCCTTCTTCAGCGAGGGCGCATCATTGACACCATCGCCAGTCATTGCCACAAGATAACCTCGTTGCTGTAGGATCTCCACGACGTTATACTTGTGTTGTGGAAACACTTCAGCAAACCCATCGGCAGCCTCAACAAAGTCGTAAACTTCTGAACCCGGCATCGTGCCACCCCCAGCAAGCCCAAGACGCTCGGCGTTGAAGACGTTGGTTCCGAGTCCTAGCTGTCGAGACATCTCCCGGGCGATCCCGACGGCATCACCAGTCAACATCTTGATGGACAGACCCAGAGATTTGGCTTCGTTGATGGTCTTTGCTGTGTCATGTCGAGGAGGATCTGCACAAGGCATGATTCCCAAAATTTCCCAGGAGTTGTCACCTCGCTTTCTCGCAACGCCCAGAGAGCGAAAGCCTCTAGCCGCGAACTCTGCCACCTTGTTCTTGTATGCAATATCAATCTCCTCGGGGATCGGGTGGTCGTCTTCCACTGTGCGGAGCACGAATAAAGGCGAACCTTTGACGCAAATTATACGCTCACCTTGAGGTGACTCAACAACAGTGCTGACCTTCTTGGAAACTGGGTCGAATGGATGAAATTGGACGACTTTGTACTTGGAAAGGGCTTGCTTGGCTCGAGGATAGTACCGCAAGGCTTTGAGAAAGGCCTTGTCAATAGCATCCATACCCTTTTTCTTCCGGGACGCAGCCAAACATGCGGTGAGCATCATGTCCTCGGGATCGACACCATGCACGGTGTATGGCTCGTGGAGAGAAAGTTTGTTCTTGGTCAGAGTGCCAGTCTTGTCCGAGCAGAGTATCTCCACCCCTGCGAGCGACTCGATGGCGGATAATTTCTGGACAATGGCCTTCTTCTTTGCCAGATAGGCGGCGCCAACAGCCATGGTAGTGGTGACCACGGCAGGCAAACCGACAGGAACTCCAATGATGGTGATTGCCAATGTAAACCTCAGAATAGTGACAATGTCGTTAGATCGATAGAAAGATGATATCCAGACCACGAGCAAGGTGAAAACCACGAGGGCGAGCAGGACTGTACCAATTCCATTGAGGACTTCGGTGAAATGACCTGCACCACCTGACGCGGCATTGACTAAAGCAGCCGCCCGACCGACAAAGGAGTGATCGCCCGTTGCTGTGACGATCATGAAGGCCGTGCCTCGTTTTACTGCAGATGAAGCATAGCAGGTGTCGCCCACATGCTTGTCCGCTGCGAGGGACTCGCCGGTGATGGAGGATTGGTCAACCTGGAGAAAGGCGTCTTCGGTAACAAGCCGGCCGTCAGCAGGAATGATTGTGCCTTCTTCAAGTTGTAGAATATCTCCCGGAACCACCATAGGGGCTTCAATCTCGATGAGGTGTCCTTCTCTGAGGACGACAGCCTTCAAGGCCAAGGTCTTCTTCAACTCTTCGACAATAGAGCCAGCTTGAAACTCCTGGATGAAACCGACACTGGCATTCAGCAAGAGCAACGCACAAATGACACCGAAGTCGACCCAGTCCTCAAGCCCAGCGGCAAGGATCGCAGCAGCCTGTGGGACAAAGCATCAGTATAAGCATCGCCGAGATGGGTATCGGTTTGTGTCGCGAGGGGTGCAGCCATACCTCCATGACAAATTGAATGGGACCAACAAAGTATCCCAAGAACTTCAGCAACAAGTTCTCTTTCTCCTCTTTCATTTGGTTGAGCCCGTACTTCTTTCGCCTGGCCACGACTTCAGGCTCTATCAAGCCGACACGCGTGTCGGTCTGCAGCATTTCCTCGGGCACATTTCGAGCACCCGCCGCCGTCTCGATCTCGGCTTCGATCTCAGCGTCTGGGTCGAGTGACTCCAACTCTTCAATGAGCGCGTCTAGATCTTCCTCCTCCTCGTCATCGTCTTTGTCCATTCTGGAAGCCTTCCGCGGCGTGAACATGACGTCGGGTTTCTCGTCTGGAACAACATCGCTGACGCTGACTTGCATTTGAGAGTGAGGTTTCTCGTGGACGGAATGGGTCGAACCCGAGGAACTAGCGTCGGATGGTATGTCTACCATGTTGAATAAGATAAGGAGAGGTTAACGGTGTGTGCTATATCGACTCCATTGGGAGAAGGACACGGCGTGAGGATGCGGGCGCCGGGAGAAATAGTTGCGGAATGGCGACAGATCTGGGGATTCTCAGGCGGGGAAGGCGTCACGCTCGGTCGCTGCCCCCAGTGTCAGGTCGCACGAGCTCGAGAGGAAGGATAGAATGATGTCTCCTCGTAGGCTGCAAGAAATATTGGTGGGAAAGTGCCATGAGCCAAAAGATGAAAGAAACAAAGTGGTAAGAGAAAGTTCGGGAGTGGGAAGGGATCAGGGTTCCAAGTTGCACCCCCGCAAATCCTGCGCCAATCCCTTCAACAACAGAATGGTGACCGCTTGCCCTGTCGCTCTCATACGCTGATCAGGCGAAACCAAGCCCTCTGGAGCTCCAGACCCAGTCGCCCGTGTCGTTCATGGTCCGATTTTCCATTCTCTACACTTGGCAGTGCTCCTTCCAAGACGCAGAATTGTCGGGTGACTGAGGCGGTGTCGGGCGTGGAAGCCTTGCCTGTGGGGCTTGGGTGTCTGATGATAAGATGGACAAGAAAAAGGGATCCATAGCCTAATGAGACAAGAAAATATTGGGCGAGGGGGATTGGTGCAACGTCGCATGGATCTTGTCTACAAGTACAGAACAAGTCATCTCAAAGCCGATCCACGTGTCGCAGCACGTGGGAAGAAGAACACGTTGAGATCAATCCTTGTGGGGAGAGTTGTCGGTGTAAAAGCGTACTTCCATTATCCTGACTTATGCCTTTGTGCTTGAACCTGCCTATGTAAATCCCTATGCGGTGTCTCGATCGTGCTGTCAAAGCATCAACGCTAGCGACACCATAACGGCCTTACAAGAGCCTGCATTTCCAATGCAGGACAGAGGTCGAATAAGAAAAACCGTTTCCATCACAACCGCCTCCAATCAGGGCTGTTCTGTCCTGGTGACCAACTCCTGAATATGTCTTAAATCATACACGTAGATTGGGTATCATACCTCAGCCATGAACTCTTTGTACCGGTAACGAGATAACGCCTTTTCTGCCTGTGGGCCACTTCGATGGTGCCGGTCCAAACTGCCCGAGCATGTGCCTTTAATCCTGCTTGCCTTGCTGGAATGCAGGCATCTGAAATCCAGGTGGGAAGCTGGGCATTCCGTTTGGCATGTTGCCGAAATTCATGGGGAAAGGCATTGCCGGCATGAGACCAATGTTATTGGGGTTGCCCGAGCCTTGCCGATCATCTCGGTCCATTCGGCGGTCATTGTTGCTGTATCTGGTTTCATCACGTCCCCCATGCTGGCGAGAAGATTGAGGACCACGTCGTCCACCCTGGTCGGTGGCAATGCGTCGACTCATGGCTGCGTTAGAGTTAGAAGATGTTTGCCATTGTGCGGAGGGACCAGTCATACCTTTCGAGGAAACCCCTGCACCAATCTCAATGTCGGGCTCTTCAACAACCATGCCTTCTTGGATCGGCGCACCGCCAGTGCCCCCGTATTCGGCGGTCAGGAGCCACTTGCGGTCGGCATCCGTGAGGCGTTCAATCGGAATGACGCTAATTCCTGTTTGATAGTCGCTGCAGTCACGTGGTCCAAAACCCACGCCCCATTTGGTCTGCAAGGCAAACGCCAGTCAGTTCTCTGTCCCTTTGCAATTCGCTGCCAACCTGCATTTACTTACGCGGAGTTGCATATCGCCCACCTTGTGCTCTTCCATGCCTTCACGCGCACTTTCCGCATCGTGGCGATTAATCATCTTGATAAAAGCGTGCCGTTTATCGATGTTGACAATGCAGGTTTGAACCACACCGAATTTACTGAACAAGCCTCTCAAATGTGCTTCAGACGAGGTGACTCCACCCACGAAGAGTGTTCGACTGAAGACTTTGATGTGACCTTTTGGAAGCATCGGATCCCATTGCACGTTCTTTGGGCCCGGTGGTGGGAGCTTGTAGTCACTTGGGGGTGTCGTGCTTCGTCGTCTCCTACCCATTGGGCTGCGCTGACGGTATTCACCTCGTCTGCCGTCGCGGTCATTACGATATCCATCAGCCCCCGGACTATCTCGGCGGCGTCTTGGGGACAGATCTCGGCGTCTATCATACCCAGGGGAGCGTGAGCGGCGTCGATATTGACCAGGAGGGGAACGGGTTTGGGCATCACGTGACGGCCCGGGCACTTGAACCTGGCCTGCCCAATTGCTTGCTGGTACAGGAGGCGGAAAGGAAAGGCCACCGGCACTCGCACCGCCACTGGCACTACCAGCACCACCTCCTCCTGCCGCCTGCATGTTCAACAGCTGTAGAGCAGTCGCCCATTGGTCTGGTGGGACACCTTGACTAGCCAACAGCTGCAAGAGTTGCAATTGAACTTGAGCTTGAGACTGAGCATCTTGACCTAGAGGAGCAGGGTTTTGTGGCACTGCTGGAGCAGGAGCTTGTTGTGGAAGAAAAGCAGCAAGTGGGTTTGCAGGTACATTTGCAGGACTCTGACTTTGCGCACCATTACTCAATCCAGCGAACAGAGCTCCAAGCTGGTTTACAGCCGGCCCATTGGCGGCTGCGGGAGCAGGGCCGGGATTTACGGTACTGTTCGTCAGGGGGATCCCATTCTGCGCGCCTAACAGATTATTCAAACTAGTTTGAGCGGGTGCTGGAATGGCAGGTGGCGCTGCAGTATTCTGCTTTGCCATGTTCTTGAGGGCTTCCAGGATAGCTGATGTGTCTTGCTGCTGTGGCGGTTTTGCTGCCATACTGTCAGTAGCTGTTTGACCGAGTGGCACGAAGCCGGGTGCTGGCGATCCTTCGGGTGTGGTTGAGACTGCACAACAGTTAGGATGACATGATTTCGAGGAATAAAAGACAGAAATTGAGTGTACCTTTTGGCGCGTCAAGCTTTTCTTTGAGTGAAGCAAGCAACGGAGCCGGAAATGTGTTCGACCGCTCCCAGATTTCTAAGAGCTTTCTGATTTTGACCTAAACAAAAAGGGTCACACATGAGTCTCAATCAAAGCAACCGGATAAACAACAGGACTTAGGTTAACGTGTACGGGCAATCTGTGCCTGTGCAGTGTTCATCGCATTTCAGACGCTTAGGAGGTACGACGGACATAGAATGGCATACCTTCTGGTCTTCTGGGGCGGTAGCAATAATGTCGTTCATGAGTACGGGGAGCAATTCAGTCACTCGAGTCACACCAGCGGCAAAGGTTCCATCAGGAGCTCCGCTACCCAGTTGTTGACCTGATTTTCTGGCTTGATCTACCCATTGTCTCGTCACGGAATCTATAACGTAGAGAACCCCCAATTTGTGTGTTCCTGGCGTCTTCTTGAAATGGGTATAGATCTTTTGAATGAGGACTGATTCGGACTAGAGGTCACGTCAGTTACAGGAGACGCGAGCAGCAGCGCTGAGATATCGACATACTTGGATGTTTGCGGTACAAAGTGAGGTGATGGCCGTGATCTTTGAGCCTGAAACTCCTGGAGGTTTGAGGTTGAGCATGGACTGCAGGATAGAGTCCAGCTCCGCTACTGCGGAAGACATGATGGCCCAGCGAGCTTTCCTACAGCTGGTGATGACACAATGTGTTGAAGGTAGGAACTGGGCCTGGCTAGGTGGGAAGATGGCGTGGACAGGAAAGTTGAGCCGATCAACGCATACGGAGTCTTCGAAGGACAAAGACGTCTTACAGACTCGAGGTACAGGTGAAGAGAAGATGATGCGCGGTGCAAGAGTGTAGTTTTTTCTCCTGAATTCTTCCTTTTCCTGCTAAGTGTAGATTGCGCCCACAAGACTTCTACAGCGAGGTGGCAACTGCGGCCTGGCAGCGGCAGTACTGAGGAACTAGCGGCCGTGTGCAGAGAAGAATACTGGTAGAGAGGCACTTTACGAGCTGATGACACTATGTGCGTGATAGAGGCGAAGAAAAGGAAATCAGAAGCGATGGATAGTGCGTCGGTCGGTGATGGAAGAGTGATGAAATGGTGGTTGGAGTGAAGACAAGATTTGAGCGAGAAGTCGAAAAGCGTCGCGGACAGAAAAGCGGAGGCTTGAAGGAAAAAGCCAAGGCGGCCGGACGGAATAATATTGTTGCTGGCAGGCATGGCACGTGAATTCTACTTGGGGGCACCCAACAGAGCTTGGGGCATCTACGACGTAATTTTCTTCGGACTGCGAATTGGACCCTCTGGGGGCTTGCTGGGCTTGCTTAGGGGCCCGCCCGTGCCGCTGTTGGCTGGCCATTGAACCCCAATTGGCAAACATGGATTTATTGAAGGGGAGGGTGATCCGACCGCCCGAAGCCTCGCCGGGTGGCCCCAATTGGACCATTTCCGTCATTCAATAACCCAGCAGGGACAGCTCTCTCCTCCCTGAGTTTCCTATCTGCAGCTTTTTTTCCCGCACTCCTTCAAAAACCTCCCTTGACGTAACGTTCTTCTTGACTTCAAGTTTCTTTGCTTCGACTTCCTCGTGTTGTTACTATCATGGCTTCTTCTCTTCGCTTGGGGAGCACCCTGCTCCGTTCATCGACCCGGCCCTTGGTCCAAAAAGCCGCCTACAATGGCGTCCGTTGCGCAAGCACGCAGGTGAGCTCTCCGAGCGGATTTGTTGGGAGCTTCTCCGCTAATATCCCTCTCCTCTCTTAGTCCCTGAAAGAGGTCTTCGCTTCCAAGGTCCCTGGCGAGATTGAGAAAGTCAAGAAGCTGAGAAAAGACTATGGCTCCAAAGTCATTGGCGAAGTCACCCTGGACCAAGTCTACGGCGGTGCTCGAGGCATCAAGTCGCTGGTCTGGGAAGGCTCCGTTCTTGATTCAGAAGAAGGTATCAGGTTCCGTGGAAGGACTATCCCGGAATGCCAGGAAGTCCTTCCCAAGGCTCCTGGCGGCGAGGAGCCTCTGCCTGAAGGCCTATTCTGGCTGCTCCTCACCGGCGAGGTCCCCAGTGAGCAGCAGGTCCGAGACCTGTCTGCAGACTGGGCTGCTCGATCAGATCTTCCCAAATTCGTCGAAGAGCTCATCGACCGTTGTCCTAGCGATATGCATCCTATGGCCCAATTTTCGATTGCCGTCGTCGCGCTCGAGCACACCTCCGAGTTCGCCAAAGCCTATGCCAAGGGCATCAACAAGAAGGACTACTGGTCGTACACTTTCGAGGACTCTATGAATCTCATTGCCAAGCTGCCCACAATTGCCGCAAAGATCTACCGCAACGCATACAAGGATGGCAAGGTTGCTCCTATCCAGAAAGACAAGGACTACGGCTTCAACTTGGCCAACCAGCTTGGCTACGGCGACAACGCCGACTTCGTTGAGCTTATGCGTCTGTATCTCACCATCCACTCCGACCACGAGGGTGGCAATGTCAGCGCACACACCACTCACTTGGTCGGCAGCGCTCTGAGCTCTCCTATGCTGTCCCTTGCTGCCGGTCTCAACGGTTTGGCCGGGCCTCTCCACGGTTTGGCCAACCAGGAAGTCTTGAACTGGCTCACCAAGATGAAGGAGAGCATTGGTGATGATCTCAGCGACCAGAAGATCACCGACTACCTCTGGGAGACCCTGAACGGTGGCCGTGTCGTTCCTGGCTATGGCCATGCTGTCCTCCGCAAGACCGATCCCCGTTACGTCTCTCAGCGCGAGTTCGCTCTTCGCAAGCTTCCCAATGACCCCATGTTCAAGCTGGTCAGCCAGGTCTACAAGATTGCCCCCGGGGTCTTGACCAAGCACGGCAAGACCAAGAACCCCTACCCCAATGTTGACGCTGTAAGTCGATTGTTTGACCCATTTCATGATTACGCTGACTGACGAATTAGCACTCGGGTGTCCTTTTGCAATACTACGGATTGACCGAAGCCAACTACTACACTGTCCTCTTTGGTGTCTCTCGCGCTCTTGGTGTCCTACCGCAACTCATCATCGACCGTGCTCTTGGTGCACCCATCGAGCGACCTAAGTCCTTCAGCACCGAAGCATATGCCAAACTCGTTGGTGCTTCATTGTGATTGCAATGAGAAAGAGCTGGAGCTGTACAATGCAAAACATACTTGTACGTCTAAAAGGGAGAAGGTGATAGGGCAATACGAGGTCGGTTTTAGTCGGGGGGTTGAATCAGTTTCGCCATTCAATTGCGCTATGATTTAATTGACGAGCGTCGTTGGATGCGAATGCCATATTTTGCTTTTTCCACAGTTGCCTACAATTTGCGATAAGTTCTCTGCGTATTTGAATACCCTGACTCCTCCCGTACTCCTCCCGTACTCGTCGAGCCCCGTGTTCAGGAGACATGGGGGTGCGCCGCGGTGGCTTTGCGAGACACGGTTGCATGGACCGTGCAACATAAAATTTCTTGAATTTTTTATTTTCGGATGTTGAGAAGCGCGTTGGCGGCGTTGGGTGGCCCTAACAAGCTAAAAAGAGGCCGTCGACCCACAGTTAGGGGAGGCGGCGTCCGAAGCCTAAGGGTGATGCATGGTTGTGAATGAAGCTTGGGGGGCAAGGCACCTCAGCAGTCTCAGCTCCAGGAGTCAAAGTCCGCTCAACACGCCGAAGCAGAGCCACTAATCTGCTTTTGGCCCGAATGGGGGTTACGTCGAGGCGCCTGCGCCGACATTCTACGATGGCCATCTCGTCCTTCTTCGCCGAGGGAGCTGAACATTATCGATCTCGGGCTTTTTGTCACTGCCATCACTGTCAGATTGATCGCTACTCTTATGTGGTTTTAATCTCCGCTCCTGCTTTTTGGTCCCCTATATTCCGTACTCGGTACAATTGTGTCTTTATCTTGCCAGCATTCACACCGACGCAACCCCTGTTGCCCAACAAAGCCTCCCTCGTCTTTTCCTCCTCTAATCCTCAAGGCGACGACGCCGACCTCCTCCCTTGGTCAGGGTAGACAATCTCGCAGATCTGCCAACAATGTCCGCTCAAGCAGTCCTGGCACCTGCGCCTCCGGCGACCAAGATTGAGAAGAAGCCCGTCAAGTTCAGCAACCTGCTGCTCGGTGCTGGTCTCAACATGTTCGAAGTCACTACCCTGGGACAACCGTTGGAAGTTATCAAGACCACCATGGCTGCTCACCGAACTGACACGTTCGCTGGGGCCATGTCGAGGATATGGGGACGCGGTGGTGTTTTTGGATGTAAGGCAAAGCGCACACAACTTCCCTGATGAGAAGACCTCGGCTGATCGATTTCTTGTAATGTATAGTCTACCAAGGTCTGATTCCATGGGCATGGATCGAAGCTTCCACCAAGGGTGCCGTTTTGCTCTTCGTCGCCTCGGAGGCCGAGTACTACGCAAAGACCTTTGGTGCCAATAACTTCGTCGCCGGTATCTCAGGCGGCATGGTCGGCGGTATGGCCCAAGCCTACGCAACCATGGGTTTCTGCACGTGTATGAAAACCGTGGAAATCACCCAGCACAAACTCGCAGCGCAGGGTGTGAAACCCCCGTCTACCTTCCAGACTTTTGCAGACATCTACAAGAAGGAGGGCATCAGGGGTATCAACAAGGGTGTCAACGCAGTCGCCATCCGTCAAGTCACCAACTGGGGTTCACGTTTCGGTCTTTCCAGACTCGCCGAGACCGGCATCCGGAGAGTCACTGGCAAGGAGCACGGCGAGAAGCTGAATGCGGCAGAGAAGATTCTTGCCAGCGGCCTCGGCGGTGGTTTGTCTGCCTGGAACCAGCCCATTGAAGTCATCCGAGTCGAAATGCAAAGCAAGTCCAACGACCCCAACCGACCGAAGAACTTGACCGTCGGGAAGACCTTGAACTACATCTACAGCACCAACGGCCTCAAAGGTCTCTACCGCGGTGTTACTCCCCGCATCGGTTTGGGTATCTGGCAGACAATCTGCATGGTTGCCTTGGGTGATATGTATGCTCTTCCCGTTGTCTGTTTTAGTCCACGACTACATGCTAACATTGGAATCAGTGCCAAAGAAGCCGTCGAGAGACTCACTGGCGAAAAGGTCACCGCGAAGCACTAGCTGACACAAGAGCATTCTGGATTTGGGGATCCACTTGAAACTGCTTGTGTGGATCCCATCGAGTCGGCCGGGGCTAAGCTTGGGCTGGTCATGTCCTTTTGACAGACAGGGATGCCCTTCTCAAGCAGCATGATTCATCCTTCTCTTGGGCCCCTTTACATGCATTCGCTTAGACGTTCCGCGGGTGGAAAGGTGGGAAGATGGATGACTGATAGAAGTTTTCGGCAATATGGCGTTGTACTGGCGTTTTCCCCTTTCCTGCCCTGAACGACACCAAAAAATCTTAGCCGGTTTTGGTTTTTGCTTCTTTCTCTTAGTGTTTGGTATCTATGCTTGTCGATTGCCTGGACACACTCGCCACAGCATCAGCTTTTGTCCTGTGAGATTGGTCATTCAAGAAAATGGATGGGGATAGAAAGGTGGTCAATCATGAGGTTTCTCTTGGGCAGCTGCCAGATCGGAAGCTCGAGGTCGCTGATTCTATTACTATGCTACCCACAGAATGAGCTTTTTCGCCGGGGAATTCCCCCTACCTTTGCACAAAACACGACGAATACAAATCTCATTTTGCTTTTGGAAAGTCTGCGCATCTAGGACCGCCGTGCTCACTCGCTCTTCCCGCCTCGCCCTCACCCTCGCCCTCACCCTTAGATGTACTCCACCTCATCTTTGGTACGGAGGGCGGAGAGGATAGAAAGGATAAAAGGGGGAGGATTGTCTTGACTTGAGGGGTTTACGCGTCTGGCTGGCCGAGCTGTGCGTGAAGTGACATTCAGGATGGGCAGTGACGACGACAAGTAACAATGTGAGGGTCTGGCAGTATATGTGTGGTATTTTCACTGCACTGTGTGCACAAGAGTACCTCGTGAGATCCTGCCTCACCGCGTCCTTTTGTTTTCCCTCTGTGCTTGGTTTGTTTCCTCACTGCAAAATAACACCTCGTTGCCCGTTCACATTTTCGCTCTCAACCAAACCATCACCACATCACCATCAACGACAACAATACACAAGACAAGGTACCTAGTCAGTTCATCATGACTCTCGCGGCCGTAAAGAACTTCCTCTTCTCCTTCCTCGCCGCGCTGACTGTCTCGGTGCTCGTCAATGTGAACCTCACCGCCGCGATGCCGCCACCAACTGCAGACTTGTCCGCCGTTGGGAATGCTATTCAACTTCTGGCGCCGCGCAACCTCACCCAACAGGCTACCTGTCCGTCAACTCAACCTGAAACCCAAGCTGGCTGGTAAGTACACACAACTTCGCCCCTTCTTTGTCATATCTCACGTAGCTAATCTTGACACTCGGACACAGCTCCACCTGCACCGAGTGCTGCATCTTCCAATTCAACGACGCCGGCTGTGGTCAACCTTCTGTCGGAGAGTACGGCCTCAACGACTTCGACTGCCACCCTCTCGAGATCGACATGAATAACGTCTGGATCACCGAGTGTACTGGCGTCTTTGCAGAGTGCATGCTCTGGAAGAATCAAGACTGCACCGGTGAAGATAGCTGGAGCATCGATAACACGGCAAACGTCTGTCATCATACGCAGTATTGGATCGGGGCGATACAGTGTTATCAGAGTGACGAGAAGAAGAAACTGGCAATGCGCCGGCTCAGCGGGTCTTGAGCGAAAAGGCTGTACGTGAAAATGTGCGCTTCCGGGTGATCGTGACCTGGACAGTCATCAAGACCAGAGGGGGTAGCATATGCTTTGTGTTTGAGTTGAAATCATTGTGACAGTCTCTCAGAGTTGATACGGACCCAGAGTGGGAAAGTCTTTTTCGAGGAGCTGAGATGACAACAAGTAGACGTGCTCGAGCCAGTCAGATGCCAGGACTTGTCTCTCGGTTCATCGACGAACATAGCAACCGTCCATAGAGAATCTTATGGATCGATTCTGCAAATGGCGTTTATCGAATACGTGATACTGGGAGAATGTTCATCGCCAGACGAGTTGGGCTTTGGTCCCGTGTTGAGTCCGACTGTTCTATGGCAACACAATGTATTTCTGTAAATGTTGGGGTATCGCTTCTCTCAAGTTCTTGCTCTTGAGCCACTTGTCGCTAAAGAGCCGATCCGCGTATCGGTATGCTCCGTCGCATAAGACGGTAACAACTGTATGGTTGGGTCCCAACTTCTCCGCGACCTCTTTCGCGGCGACCACATTTAGTGCGCTGCTGGCTCCGAGGTATAATCCTTCTTCATCCAAGCAGCGATATACCATGGCAATAGTCTTCTCGTCGGAGATATGTAGTGCGCCGTCAAGCTCATTGACTTCTTGTTTCAGATTGTCAGTGACACGACCTTGGCCAATGCCCTCGGTGATGCTGCTGCCCGTTCTCTCCTTCAGCTGGCCGCCGGAGGTAATGTAGGAGTAGAGGACGGAGCCAGGAGGATCTGCCAGGAAGCACTTGACGGAATGATTACTGACGTCCTTGAGATATCGAGTAACGCCGGCAAGTGTCCCACCAGTCCCAGTCGAACAGGTAAACGCGTCGATTTTGCCTTCGGTCTGGGACCAGATCTCTGGGCCGGTGGTTACAATGTGTGCTAGGCGGTTGGCTGTGTTGTCGAACTGATTTGTCCATACAGCACCGTGTTCGGGATCTTCCTTTTGCAGCCTCTCCGCATGTCTTTTGGCTTGCCAGTTATAGTTTTCTGGGTTCTCCCACGCAACAGCCGGAACAGGATATACTTCGGCGCCTAGCAGTCTAAGGAGATCGATCTTACCCTGTGACTGCGTATTTGGCATGTATATGACCAGTTTGTATCCCTTCGCGCGGCAGACGTGTGCCAGTCCAATGCCAGTATTCCCAGCGGTCCCTTCGACAACGGTGCCTCCAGGCTTCAGCAGGCCCTTCTCTTCTGCATCCTTCACCACATACAGAGCCGCACGGTCCTTGACGCTACCACCAGGGTTTTGGAACTCGGCCTTCCCCAGGACATTGCAGCCGGTTTCGGCGGAGAGCTTGTGTAGTCTTATCAGAGGGGTATTGCCAATGGCTGGATCTGGTCAGTATTGGGATTCCTGGCTTGAAAGAGGGCGAACAAAAGATACCTCCTGTAAGCGTGTCGACGACTCCTTGAGCTTTGGAGACGCGGATCCCATATGCATTGACCGAGTCGGCAGTCGCTGCACGAACCGCTGTGGTCGCAAAGCGTCGGACCGATGACCTCAGAGCGTTGGCCATGATTGAAAGCAGAGCACCGCCGCCCGAGACCAGAATGCAGGAGAATAAGATAGACGCTTCAGAGGAGCATGTATGTCTAGATCGTGCGTCTCCCCAGACCAAGAGCAGGTGGGATGATCGGAGCTGCAAAGAAGAAAAAAATCTCCAATTGCATCATTGAATGGCCCGAGGCTGCTGACATAAGTGTGTGGACTTCATCTATTATTAATGCTTCTACCAGCCCGCCCGGTAGGAATCGTAAGACAAGGCTACCACCTAGATGCTAAGGGGATCCTAGATCTGTCCGCCTCAAGCTGATGGAGCCGAAGCCCAGAGATGAAGTGCTAATATCTATTTTCCCATCTCGAGATTCTCAGACAATGCGTGATAGAGGGAACCCTCAGAAGGGACATGTATTCAACCATCTCTTCACACCATCGCTCTCTTTATCTGCCTCGATCCATCTATCCATCCATCAGGGACCCGGGAGTTAATATACAGTATGTGGAATGGGGAGATCTCTCACACCAAAAGCCCAACATTGATCTCCGTCGGCAATCTTTGTTATTCCCGGAGAACACCACGACATATCGGACTTATCCGCTAGATACATATAGATTGCAACACTGACCTATGACCCTGCGAATGATCTGGAGCCCAGCTCAGGATAGTGACTCGCATTCCCATGGTCTGGTAAGTCCTACAGCTCTAGTCGGCTTTTCCCCTGAGTTATATTGGCCTCCCTAGCTGGGCTGTTACTGCGAGCCCGTCTGCTTGCCCTTTACTCTGGAGGCGCAGGCAACTCTGTCAGGGTGATAGAGTTGGTTACAATAGCTTTTGTCTTGGTCCAGAGAAGAAGAAGAAAATCTTACCTATAGATCAAAGCTCGGAAGCCTGACAGACCATGGACCTTGACCTCATCATCAAAAATGCTACAATCGTAAGTCCTTCCCTATCCCGAGGTCTCTACAAGGCTGAATTCCCCCTTTTTCCCAAATCCAAAGGTCACAGCCACAGAGATCCTCCAACCAGGTCTCAGCATCGGAATCAAATCCGGCCAAATCGTCGCTATTGCCTTTTCTCTTCCAGCCAATGCAGACACTCAAATCATCGACGCAGAAGGCGCGTACGTGACCCCTGGTGGAGTCGACTCCCATGTGCATCTCCACCAAGACAATGCTCCCACAGGCGACAAATGGCTCTCGGGATCCCGCTCGGCGCTCTGTGGTGGCAATACCACGATTCTGGCCTTTGCAACGCAAAAGCGAACCGATGAGAGTTTGTTTCCCGTGCTGGAGGAGTATCATTCCCGCGCAAGGGGCCAGAGTTACGTGGACTATGGATTTCATCTGATCCTCACGAGGCCGAGTCCGGAAATCTTGGGTCGGGCAGTCAAGGCAAAGGTCGACGGTGAGTCTGATCCCGGAAACGAAGGAGAGTTGAAGAGGATGGTCGAGGAGGAAGGCATCACGAGCGTCAAGCTGTACATGACATACCCAGCCTTCAGACTCGGGGACAAAGAGATGCTAGAGGTAATGATGAGGTGCAGAGAGGTGGGCATGACGGTCATGGTGCATGCTGAGAATGCAGATATGATTGATATGTACGTCTCTCCTTCACTTCCTGTCAGAGAGCTCGACAACGAATATGTTGAGCATGGACAAACTGACACATGGCGTACAGGATAACGTCTCGTCTCCTACAAAACTCTAATACTCTCCCGAAATACCACGCCCTCGCACGCCCTCAGATCGCCGAGTCTGAAGCCACACATCGAGCCATCTCGCTTTCTACCCTCACATCCACGCCAATCCTCATCGTCCACATGTCGAGCCCCGTCGCCCTTTCCCATGCAAGGAAAGCACAATCCAAGTCCATGCTGCCGATCCACGCCGAGACGTGTCCACATTATATGTATTTGTTATCGGACAGGCTGGCCGTGACCCGCTTCCCAGTCATCGACGAAGCCAATGGTGTTAGTCATAGTCATGATGAACATGAACATGGGGATGGAGGTCAGGATGAAGATGATGAATGGGCAGGCGCACGGCATGTCTGCGCCCCTCCTCTCCGCCACGCCGACTCGGATTTGCAGAGCGTCTGGGACAGCGTGAACAACGGGACCATCACGGTGATATCCTCCGACCACGCTCCCACGCTGTATGACGACCAGCAAGGGAAACGGAAGCCACTGGTCGAAGCACAAAAGACCAACTCAACACCGACTTTCGCCCAGATCCCCAACGGCCTTCCGGGGATCGAAACACGACTGCCCATTCTGTTTTCCGCCGCGACCGACCCGGACCCGTCACTCTCCCCCGCGAGGAGACTGACACTGCCCAAATTTGTGGAACTGACCTCGACGAACCCTGCCAAAATGTACGGCCTCGCGGGCAAAAAGGGCAGTATCGCCCCAGGATACGACGCCGATTTGGTCATTTGGTACCCCCCACCACACTCACGCCTCTCATCAGGCGATGAGAACATCAAAATCACAAATGACATGTTGCACCACAGTATCGATTACACCCCCTTTGAAGGCTTCCGGGTCTGCAATTGGCCCCGCTACGTCCTTTTGAGGGGGCAACTTAAATGGAATCGTGATCTCGAAGTCAGTCGCGGTCCGGGCGCGGGCATCTTGGGAAAACCTGGCGACGGCAAGTTCTTGAAGAGAGGACGGGGAGAGGTGCTCGTGGGAAGGAGTGGGTTGGGCAGAGAGCCTGAAGGGATGAGGGTTGGGGAGAGGAGTGCTTGGATGTAGACCGTTCCTCATCCTCGGAGTTGGTTGTTGGCAAATGCAGACAATCAGAGGAGCTCGTTTGGACATTAGAACATGGAGCAATAGAAGGGGATGCGTGTACTAGGCGCGTTCAAGCAGGATGGGAAGAGAAAATAAACGAATCTTGTCTGAATACCAGCAATATCAGAAAAGATACAGGAATACAGCCAAGTTCAAGACTCTCTGACAAATGTTTCTCGTGACCCTTGGAGCAGAGATTCAGCATCGAGAGTGCAGGAAATAGAGCTCACGGAAATTCTTCACTTTTTCCTCATCATCTCATTCTCAATTGCAGCATGCAATCTCTTGTGTCTATTCATGACAGGCACGAGAGCGATGTCTATCTAGCATGATCAAGCTCGAGGAGGCACCGCAGCGTCCCAGATAGCGATCAGGGCGTAAGCATTGTACGCTCTAGCACGTCAAGTATCTGGCCGTAGCCGATGATTCCTTTCTAGCCTCGGAGTCATCACTCATTGTCATTCTTTTTGCATTACTCTTTTTCCATTTCCCCCTCTTGGTTTATTCCTTCCCCGTTGGTACCTTGAAGAAGACGCCCTGGGACTCCTTGGTCGGAGCCTTGTCACATCGATAGTAACCCTTGCGATCAAACTGAATTATATCATCCTCCTTGACGTCCCATACATTGCAGTCGGCCAACGCGGTAGAGCTGAACTCGCTCTTGGGTGTCAGGAAGTCTTCCCAGTGAGTCTCTTCCTCCTCGGTAAGCTTGTCCTTGGAGAGTAAATGATCGAAATCTTCCAGTTGGACGGGACAGAGGTCCTGGTCCTTGGAAAGCCACGTGATCTTCTTCTTTGTGGCTTTGAAGTCGCCGTCGAGGTGGAGTTCGAGCTCGAGGGAGGCGACATTACCCAATGCGTTCACGCCATCGGTGATGTCTGGTTTATCGGTGGTTTTCTCGTACTGGATGTCCCGGACGTATGCGTTGCCCCAATTCATAAGCGTGATTTCTTCGTCTTTGGCGAATGTCCGAGCGTCCTCTTGCTCGATGATGACATTAGAGCTGTACCAAACCTTCTTCTCTCCTAGATCGTATTTTGCGTGTTTGGGTTTGACCTCCGAGTAAGGTGCTTCTTGTGGGAGGCCTTTGACTTTGCAAACGACATGGTTGTCGTCAATCGCGGTGTATCGCGCGCTTGTCAGATCAATCACTTTCTTGTTCATGGTCCAGATGGTATGCCAGTCCATATTGACTACATTCTTGCTTGGTCCCTGACTGACCATGAAATCCCGTAGACCTTCAACAGTCATGCCACGCCGGCGGATACCTCTCACGGTTGGGAAGCGGGGATCGTCCCAGCCCTTTACAATACCGGCATTGACCAGCTTCGTCAATTTTCGCTTCGACATCAGCGTGCGCACAAACTGAATCTTGGAGAAAGTCCAGATATAAGGGCTCCGCAGATCGATGGCCTTGAGAATCCACTTGTATTGGGCATCTTGATCATTGTACTCAGTTGTCCTCAGAGCATGAGTGACACCTTCAATAGAATCGACAATCGGACAAGCAAATTGGTAGGTAGGATACGCCTTGTATTTATCGCCTGTGCGGTGGTGGTGTGTGTTATTCTTAGGACATCGAAAGATCACCGGATCTCGGAGGGAGGCATTATCGTTGGCGTAGGAGATCTTTGCTCGGATACACCATCGCTTTCCCTCTTCAGTGCCTTTCTTCATCTCCTCGTACCTTGCCAGATTATCCTCAACGCTGTCGTCTCTGTGGACACTAGGCTCACGTGCCTGTCTTTGCGCGCTCATTACATCGGCAGGTGTGTCGTCTGCGTAGGCCTTCCCGACCTTGATAATCTTGACACAGTACTCGTCGATTTGGTCAAAGTAGTCGCTCGTGTAAGAGATCATGTCGGGCTGAATACCCAGAAGAGCAACGTCCTCGCGAATTGCATCTTGGTACTCGACGGTCTCTTTCTCAATGTTTGTGTCGTCGAACCTCAAGATCATCTTGCCACCAGGATATTGAATGTGAGCAAAGAAGTCATTGAGGAGAGCAGCTTTCGAGTGACCTATGTGGAGGTAACCCGAGGGTTCTGGAGGAAATCGTGTGACCACGCCTGCGGCGGCATTGGGTAGTTCCATTTGCTTGACTTTTGGGGCCTTTTTGGCCTTGGGGGGATTCTTTGTCGCCATAGTGAGACTTTTCTTGGTCGAAGAGAAGGATATCTATTGGAAAAGTTAGAAAGGGGAGTAGTGACTGTCTTATGGCAAATATTGAGTCATTTCGACTGCGGCGTCTGAATATTTCTGCTGAGGCTTTGAGCGGGGAATGCGCACTGAGACAGCCTTGCACAAACCTGACAAATCTGCCAAGCTAGCCTTTCTATTCGCCAGCCTTCTGCACCAAGGTGATGGAGCTGCAGAGACTATTATTGACTAGACATAACTCGCTCTTCAAAGCATTTACCATTTCTCTGGCTTGATCCTGTTTGATCATGGATGTTTCTCGAGGCCTGTCGATGGCTACGAAACAACTCTGTCGGTTCACGACATCTTCCTTCCTTGCTCCATTCTTCACACGCGCATCGGCGCCATACACAGCAACCGCTGCACGATGCTTCTCTTCCGCACCAATCCTTTCCGCGACGGGTGGTGCCCGGCAACTATCAGACAAAGAAAAGGCTGCAAGGGAGAAGATCAGGCGGCGAAGAAAGAAGCATAGAGCGTACAAGCAACATAACCTCAAAGACATGGAGCAATTCACTTTGTGTGAAGCAATGAGGTACGCTTCAACAATCTGTCCAGAATGATCTCAACATAGCTCACAGGACGTAGGTATATCAAAGCATTCGAAATTGGCCACGACCCAGACTCGCCGAAATATGACATCCATATCAAACTCCGCACCAAAAAAGACGGCCCAGTGGTTCGCAATGCCATCCGCCTCCCCTACCCTGTCAAAACAGACATAAAAATCGCGGTCATCTGTCCGCCTGATTCCACAGCAGCCCAACGAGCGCGTGAAGCCGGCGCCCACTTGGTTGGTGAAGAGGAAGTGTTTGAACGCATCAAAGCCGGCAAAATCGACTTTGACCGGTGCATTGCCGTGCCCGACTCCTTGCAGAAGATGAATAAAGAGGGAATACCAAGGATCTTGGGACCGAGAGGTCTAATGCCGAATGTCAAGATGGGCTCAGTTGTGTCAAATCCCGGGCCTGCTGTGAGAAATATGATGGGCGGCAGTACCTACAGAGAAAGACAGGGTGTGGTGAGAATGGCAGTAGGGAGATTGAGCTTCACGCCGGAGCAGTTGAGGGATAATGTGAAGGCGTATGTCAACGCAGTGAAGAAAGATGCGAATGCGCTGAGCGATCAGATTGTCAAGGAGATGTATGAGGTGGTTTTGAGCTCGACCAATTCTCCTGGCTTTTCTTTGAATGGGGACTTCTACAAGCCAGCGCCGGGAGCTGCTACACCCCAGCAACTGGCCGTGGTTTGAAGGAGCTTTTCGTTTTTCAATGTATTTGATAGTGGGGGTATATGTCGCTCAGCCTCGGCGTACAGGCACAAAAATGGAGAGAGAGCCGTGCCGTTGAAGCAAGAACCTAGTCGGAGAAATCACTCTTCGATTGCTCCACGTATCTGCATCAGTTGTTGTTTGTACTTGACTTCGGTTTCCTGCTTGATGGCCATTTCTAGGTCGGACAGTAGGATCTCTTGAATCTTGCGGATTCGTCCTTCTTGGGCCAAGAGAAAAGGGTGCTGCGGACTGTGTTTGCTTGCCAGGTATTTCAAAATGAGGAATTCTTCAGTCCTTCGCTGTAATCTGGGAGGGACTCCATCGACCCCATCCGAGTTGAATTCCTCATCAACGTCGTTGGCAGTCGCTTCTTCGATCCATTCATCTCCCCACTGCTCACCGCCACCGTCTTGAGGTTGGCTCTTGATCTTTGTGGATGTCGAGATTTCGAGCTTTTCTTCCAGCAAATCTAAACGTTCCGCAATTTCGAGCAACGCCTGTCCGACGCTCGTCTCTTGTCTCAGAGCCTTTTTCTGTCTCAACAATTCAGCTACCTCGTTCCTCCTTGTGTCAACTTTGTCTCTGACTGCTTTGACATCTCTTTCAAACCCTAACAACCCCAGTCGGATGTCTTCTATCTTCTCTTCCCCGCCATACAACGTGCTTCCTAACGACAAAAAATCCTGATAATTGTCGTTGACAAGATCAACGAGCTCTTTGTTGAGGGTCTGGCTCAGTTCGCGCAGCTCTGCCTGTAGGTCTTCAAGCGTCTGAAATCGGTTTGACAGACTGGACAGAAAGGTGGCGGCATCAAAGTCTGGAGCTAGGAAGGCCGTGCGCTCTAATGGCTTGGGAAAGGGAAGCGAGGCATCGTTGTCATCGGCGTCTGAGCCAGAGTCAGAGCCGCCAAACTGGTAGATTTGTCAATTCTTGTCCGGAACTTGGACGTACAAGCTCACATACATAGAAGCGATTGCTCATTCTGACTGTCTTAGGATGGTGGCCGGAATCCTTCTCCAAGTCGCACTAGGCATTCTTCAACTGGTTTCCCTCATAATGTGCGGTTTCTCGAGCATGGAGACATGAGGATAAAGGAGATCATACAAGCATGACGGTGAGCCTGTCGACAGTATTGGCTACCACAGTGGACGCTTGTCTTTTCGTGTGTTACTTGCACACATGGAAGGGACAGTGAAATGTGAAGACACATGTGCAAGGGCGGGAATTGTGGAGGGGATCGACCTGCATCGGAGCTAAGGAAAAGTATGCGGAGTTTAGCTGCAGTGACAAGAGGCGACATTCTCGGACTTTCTGTGTCTCGAAGGTGTACCCAGCTTGCCCAGGTATAACCACAGTCCTGCACGTGTATCGATTTCACCAAGAAACTCAAAAGATGGATCTAGCTGCTCGAGGCGCCGCTGCTGTCGAGTCTAAGGACTTTCGGTCTGCTGTGTCGCTCTACACTCAGGCTCTCATCGACCACCCTCACTCCCCGGATTACTTCAACCAACGGTCGCTCGCATTCGCCCGTCTCTCACCACCCCGCCATGACCTGGCTCTTAAAGATGCAGAGTATGCTGTCCTCTTCGCCCAGAAGCGTGCAAAGAGGGAGAAGATCCAGGCTGCACAACAGCGGCGAGTCGTCGCCCTCCATGGACTCGGACGTTACGCAGATGCCAAAGCGGTTTTACAGACCATGGTGAAATGGAGATCCACCAAATCTGCGAAGATGGAGGGTGACATGTGGCTGGCAAGGGTGGAAAAGAAGTTGGCAGAAGCTCCAGAGGCGGAGAGAGTGTCCTCGGAGAAAGAATATCCACAGATCGACCTCCCCAGTGAGGCACAAATGAAGAAGTGGCTCGAGACACAATTGAAGGCAGACGGGTCTTATAAATTTGATGAAGAGAAAGATGCCGACACGACCGCCTCCGACGCAGCAGCAGCTACATCTGGTACCACCAAGTCCAACGGACATGGGACGTCGACAAAACCTAGTTCATCCACCGCTATGCCCACATCTGCTCCATCAAAGATCCGACACGAATGGTACCAATCTCCTCAAGCAGTCACACTGACCCTCTACGCCAAAAATGTCCCCAAAGACGCCTGCGACATTGATATCCAAGAAGATTGCATATCCATCTCCTTCCCTCATCCCGCCAATCCGTCCTCCACATTCACATTCACAATTGACCCCCTCTTCGCTCTCATCGATCCGTCCCAAAGCAAAGCTGCGATTCTGTCCACGAAGGTCGAGTTGACGCTCAAGAAAGCGCAGGCGGGAAAGTGGCATGACCTCGAAGGTGTTGCGCCTTTGAACACACAGTCATCAAAGGCAAGCAGTGAAAAGGAGAAAGAGAATGCTAGGCCGACATCAATGTCCACATTGACCAATACAACCCCATCAGCTACAGCTGTTCCACAAATGGCCGTGCTGAAGGACAATCCCCCTTCCTATCCAACCTCCTCTCGCAAGGGCCCCAAGAACTGGGACAAACTCGCCAACGAACTGCACGCGCAATCGAAACCCAAAACGAAGACAAAATCCAAGGAGAAGAGCAAACCAAAGGCAGGTGACTCTTCCAAAGACAACAAATCCAGTCCTCCCGGCTCCGACGCAGAAGAAGGCGGTGACTACGACTCGGACTTCGATAGTGTTGACCCTGTCGATGGCTTCTTCAAGAAACTTTATGCCTCCGCGGACGAAGACACGCGTAGAGCCATGATGAAGAGCTTCTATGAGAGTAATGGCACCGCATTGAGCACGAACTGGTCGGAAGTCGGGTCGAAGAAAGTCGAGGAGGTTAAGAGTTCCAAGGACTAAGAGCATCGAGGCAACACAGTGTACTATTGGGGTGTTTACGATGAGGTAGATACCGTTGGCATGCGGTGTTTGTACATGCGACAGCTCGGGACGGGTGTATTAAGACTGAGGAAAAGGCATTTCTAGCATGCACAGGAGTTTCTGGGACACGGGGCTTGCGGGTTCAATGCACGAACTAAATGAAACATACTGTACCAACACAATGAGCAACGGAAGAAGAATGAGCGCGAGCGTGAGCGTGGGATTGCGAGATTGGCAAATGAAGATGGGCTCAATGGCCTCGATGGGCTCGATGGCCTCGATGGGTGTGAGCAGTGCGAAGGATGCGTCGCAAATGCGTAGCAGATGATGGATCAGACGGCAACGCGAGGTCGCTTTGCAAATGCGAAAAAGTTTCCGGGAAGACAAAGAGACAAGCTCCGAATGACTGGACGAGTCTGCGCCATCCATACTATTAGAATGCAATAAATACAGTAGGCGCGCATGCAACTCCAAGCAAGGGAGGGCTGACGTGAAAGAGAACAAGGAAGAGAGCTCCTTGTGTACCTAGGTATCGCACTGCATGCGTCAAGTCCTTTCACTGATTCATTCATCGTTTCTCTCTCTCGCAGATCTCTAAAACCATCTACCCACCCTCCATTTATCTCGGGTTCCTTCGTAATAATTTCGAAATCGGCCGGTGCCCTCATTTCCTAAATTTTATGAAAGGCCATCCCTTGTGCCAGCCATGGAAGAGGATACCACCCCTTTGTAACCCCATGGCGCCCCCTTACACTACACTAAAGACGCCGAAAGGACCACTTATCCCCTTCCATGCCCTTCCGGGGTGGGGTGTGTTCAATTAATCTCGACGCCCCTTCTTCGGTGTCTTACTTACTGCCGCGTTGCGCCGGCAGTGTCAGGTCTGCGGCTCGCATGTGGAGCAGCAGTGGTGGTGCTTGTGCTGGTACTACCCCTTGAGGTCGTCAAGACCGATGTGGTCCGTTCACTTCCAGTCCCGTAGCTGCTGGCCGAGTAGATGCTTGAAGGATTGGTGCTGTTCTCGCGCCGCCAGATGCGTTGGTGTTGGTACTGCTGCAATGGCAGTGGCAGCGGCGGTTGGGTCTGGCTGTGGCTTGAACCCATACCGTGTGCGTACTGGTGGTGGTGGTGATAATGTCTGTAGCGGATGGGACTGGGCCGGCGGAGATTCGCACGAACTGGAGCAGGAGCGGTCGAGGCCGATGCTGAGGCGGATCTTGATCGAGTCGTGGGCCGTGATGTCGCTGTCGCTGTGGGACCTCCAGGTGTCGTTGAGTGGTGGTGGCCTGGTGCGCGGGCAGGTATAGCTGGGGCTGCTGCTGCTGCTCGACGCGCTGCTGGAGGCTGTGTGGGCAGAGGTACAGGTGGAGGAGGCACAGAGGGCATCGGCGTCGGCACCTGCTTTCTTGGTGATATTGCCTGCTCTGTGGTGGTGGTGGTCTTCTTTACAAGCTTCGTCGACGTGACGCTTGGCCCGGACGACGACGAAGAAGAGGAAGAAGAAGACTCAGCCGCCTCACGCTTAGCTGTCGGAGGGCCCGCTGTGAAGGCGGTGTTGATGTTTCCACCAGCTTGGGCAACTATTTGCGAATCTGGAGACACTGACACCTTTGAATACAGCAGCGATTGGAGTGTCAAGGCCGACCCGGTACTAAGTGCTCGAATGGTAGGATCGGCACTCAGTGGCGTATGATGCAGCGCTGGAGACCACGTCGGAGCCGGAGCGGTGGGAAGGGGTGGCACATCAGATACCACAGCAGCAGGAGTATTGTCATTTGCGGATATCGTCCGGCGCAGATCTCCTCTCTCTGGGTTACTGTTAGCTCGGCTCCGCGAGCAAACGGTGGATGGACGAGTCTGAGTCGACGGCCTCGAGATACCGACCGAAGTAGAGGAGGATTGCGACGAGCATAGGGACGAATTCCGGTCACCCAGGTCCAAGCATCGGCCCTCAGAGACCGAGCGCAGGGTACTCGAGTATCGGCTGCTGCTCTGTTGTGAGAAGGTGTAAGGTTGGTAATGGTACCTGTTGCGATGGTCGTGGCAGTAATAGTACTTGTGTGGATAGATGGCCTTTTGAGACGATAAGCTGTTGCGGCGCTGTAGCCATTGTTCGTGCTCGATTCTGTTCGGGCGCCGTTCGGGGACGAGGAAGAGATGGTCGTTTTTCTCAACTGACACACCAGAACGGCTGCTGGAGACCGATAGAGCTGGGGTATGGACTTTTGAGGGAGCTTTGCGAGATAGACAGGTACAATAACAGTTCAAGACGCCCGCCCCACGACAAGATGATGGATGTTGTTGGTCCAAGAAGGAGAGGCAGGCCATGAAGATGCTAGTACGGACACACAAAGGGTCAGTGAACATTGCCCATAACGGTTTTGTAGATACGCTGAAGGGCCAACTTACGCCATCAGGACCGACAAGGCTACCAGAGCGCGGTGCAGCCGGCAAGACAGCCCGTATCTCCAGTTCTGCTCTTGCAGTTCATTCTGCCATGCCTCCAACGGTTCTCTCAGACACGTGGGCGCTCGCAGCGCAACAAGGAGATTGACACAACCCAGGATCATCCACAAAATCACCAGGACCTGGACACAAGTCGTACAAGCCGACTCCAGCCTTGGTGATGCGGTCGAGGGTGATATAGTCTGCAAAGCTTTGCTCCTCTGTTGGAACATGAGGTAACATCGGACTCCCATGATCATAATGGTAGGTAAGGACTAGGGTAACGGTTAGGGACCATGCCTGACAAGCGTATGAGTAGCATTGATGCGTCCACGCAAGACTCACAAAGGCAATCGAGAGGTTAACTCCCGAAGATGTTGTCGAGCACACAGCTCCCTTTGTTCTCAGAAACACAGCTATGGATAGGATACTGTAGCCGAGTGTCAGGATGATGCAGACATTGGTGATTCTGTACGCTGTCACGGTCTTGTTGCCCTGGCCCGCCATGTTGATGAGCTTTTGGAAAGAAAAGGTAATGCTTCGCCATCAACCTGGAAAAGAGGATAGTAGCCATCTTGAAATCCTGACGCGTGAGCCAAAGGAGATCGCGAAAAATCCACGACTGCCATTTGCAAGAATGCTCACATAGAACGGCAGGTAAGGGCGGGCTGAACGTGGTCGAAATGGGGAGCTTGTGGCTGGATAAATTCCTGCAGGAGGAGTTGAGGGGCCAGGACAAAGAAATAGGAAGAAGGGGGGTTTGCTTGACTGCAGGGGGACCAAGTGTCGGTTGAGGAATTTGCTTCTCCTACCTGTCCCTTCCTTCATCCAACCAAATAACAACTAAAGGGGTATCGTAGAATGCAATCCAGGGTATCGCCGCTCTTCAACAATCGCGCCTATCCAACCATCAGTCCATTTCCAATCCAACATCGTCATCCATCAAGTCCTCTTCGTCAAAAACATTCTCCTCGTCACCTTCCTCGTCGAGACAGCCTTCCAACAAGGCTCTGGCATACTTCGTGTCCACTTTGTAAAGGTCGTGGATCTCTGACACAATGATTCTGTTGTCGCCTGCGTGTTGCAACGCCTTTAGATGACAGAGCTCTCGTCCAGCAACGTACCATACCCAATTCGGGCAATCTCCCTTCGAGCACACCTCTTTATGCAGGCATGATGCTTTGAGAAGGTCCCATTCGGAGAAGCGACGGCCCTTTTCTGCGTCGTAGCGACGAACCAGCTCATGATCAAGTCGCTTCGGTCGGATGGCTCGGAATTCCTCGTAAACAGTTGCAACAGCAAGACTGTATTCCCCCCAGTCCTTGTTTTCGTTCGGCGTCGGTTCAGACCTAAACTGAAAGGTCGACCATAGCTCCTTTATTGCTTTGATCTGCTCGAGCAGACCTTGCTTGCCTTCCAACACGTCGGTGAGTATCTCTAGGTCTGCTGCACCTGGCGCTTTGTGGGGCTGGCGCAAGGATCCTGCCGTATGAGACGTATCTTGTTCAGACCGAGATTGACCTGCTCGCCTGTTCTCCGCTTTGTCCTCTTCTATCGGAGACAACCAATAATGCCATCGTTGACTTAGATCCCTGTCGTAGTAGAGGACCTTTTTGTCCTTTTCCATTCTCACAAACTCTCGCAGCACGTGCTCTTTCAAGGTCTCGGCAACATCAAACTTGAGATAGTCTATAACGTTCAGGTAAGCGCCTGGCTTGCTCGAAGCAGTTCTGGCTTTGTAGTCAGGGTCTCGCAAGCGGCTTTTGCCACTGGCATCCCTGCGGACTCCATGCCACTTCGCCTCGGTAAGTTCCCAACCCTGCTTAACGCTATCAACCAGAAAACCTGCAAGCGCTGCTAGTTTTACTGCCCCAGAATTCATTAGTTTGTTGGGTTCTCGTGTTCGGCTCAGAGCATAAACCAGCTTTTCATGCTCCGTAGCGCAATAGCCAAGCAGGTTGGGCCGAGCATTGAAAGCAATACATTTGCGAAAATAGTCTTCGAAAGCTTCATCATGCGGACGTCCTATCTTGAACGTCTCAGATATTGGTTCCGAGCACTGAACCATACCACACTCAATCTCTTTCGGTAATTGTGGCATGTCAGTGTTACGAAAATGTCGAACAATATCTGGGTCCCAAATACATGTCACAACATCACCTAGATAGCTCGCCAGGGAATATGTCAGTGCTTCTGTACCTTGAGCTGCAAGAGAAGAACGTGATTGCCGAAGTAACAGAAATGTAGGGCATAAACCAGGAACTTACCATCATAGTCGCCGCCTGACAACAAGGATGCGAGAGGGATAGCACCTTTCACAGAGAACAGAATGACATTCTTATAGTGACGTAGCTCGTGTTTGTAGACAGCTCTGCATCTCTGCATATCAGATGCCAGGTGCGCCGGATTTCGAGCCACGAGTAGTTCAAGGCCTTCAAGCGTGGTTTCCCTGAGCCCTGTCACCGGATGTGTTATGGGTGTTGAAGAACCAAGAAACACTTCGCCTGGAGCAAGCACACCTAATGGGTCTGGTGCACAAAAGACAGCCGTAGAGTGTGGTATCTGGATCCACATTTTCTCCACGTAGTTGGTCATGTAGTCAAGGAGCAGACGATAGGCGTTGGTGATGAGTTTTCTGCATGTCTGCGGATGAAAGCCAGATTCCAACAGGAATTTCATTTGCTCTTTGTTCGAGCAAGGAAACGAGCCCAAGACTTTCTTAGCCTCGAGTCGGGATGAATGAGCATGCTCTTGCATCCAAAGCCGGAGGCATCTCGGATCTTTCATCGCTTCTATGAGAGTCTTTGAGAACGACTGCACATCCGATTGCAACGCTTCTTGAAAAACTTCACGTGGGACTCCCCTGTCTTCCAGGATATTGATTAGTTGAATGTTTAACTGCGCCTGCTTGCATTCGGCGGCAAATTTCAACACTTCAAATGTTCGCAGAGCAGCATCGTCATCTGCATCATCACGATCGCGCGGGTGTGGCTTAATCTTGAGCTGAGATTCGGAAACTTCAATCCAGTAACCCCTCTCACTGATGTGGGCGTACTTGTTCTCGTAGTCCACCAACCACAAACCTTTGCCACCTGAGATACGCCCTTGGACAGCCGAGGGTGGCTCACCTTCGCCGCCGTACGCCGCCCAAATGGCTTTGGCGAGCGAGTAAGACATCAATGCACAGCCGTCGTTCATCACTTTGCGTTTGGAACCGTCGCTAGATTCGTCACCAAGTTCGTCATGCCGGTACAAAAACTCATGCCGCTTCAGTTCTATTGTCGGAGTCGTCCTTGAGAAGCCAATGCTCCATCTGGAGAATAGCTTGAGGTCCATCGAATCGGCGTTGGCATTCAGAGGCATATGCCATTGCATCAGTTCTTGCCGCGTGATATTCTGGTATTGACCGTTAAGCTTGATATCTGATAACTTGAGTCCCGAGAGAGGTCGTGGGACTATGTCAAATCCAGTCTCTGCAAAGAGTATGATCCTTGAACGCCGCGTTTGCACCTTGTTGCGCCCTGTTTTATTTTTCGACTTCTCGACGAAGCATATTCTCCAGAGACGTCCTGCAATGAAATGGGAGTTCGATGCCAGAAAATCGATTACTTTGTCGTACGATGGCACAGATTTGGGGCTCAGTCTTCGCAACCTGTCGGGAAGTCTGAATGGAGGTCCGTCGAGCGCAAGAAATCTGTCGGCACCAAATTTTCGGTAGAAGCGGCTGGACTGCACCAGCTGTATGGGGTTGAGTCGAAGTGTGAGTACGCTTGGTGAGCAGTCCTCGTTCCAGTCCAAGGCAGCTGTGAAGTGAGCGACCCTATGTGTTTTTTCATCCATGTACTTGTCATCTTGCACAATCCAACTGGGGAGGTCAGACTTATGAGGCAGCGGTTGCAAAGCCTTTGCACGACAGAACTCCTTGACCACGCGCCAAAATTCCTCCGCAGAAGCGGGAGGTTTCTTGTGGATTTCTTCGAATTTCTTGTACAGTTCAATTGGTCTCAGACCAAAAAGAGGTGCAAGCCGATGCAGTTCCCAACAGTACCAAAATGGAACATGTGATGGCAAGATTGCTTGTTTTCTGAAAGGGCCATTAGACTCGAGATCGGTCGGGTCGAATGGAGTCGGAGCCTTGCTCAGTTCGCTGAAAGAGGTAGAGAATTGCTCGTCTTCGAAAAGCTCCATGCACTCCTGAGTTGGAAACAAGTCCGGCGAGTCTTCGGCCTGCGAACTGACCATAGAGGTATCATTCGACTGCTTGCCTCCAATCCCTTCATCGGCGGTCGAAAAGATGGAGGATACAGCGGGGGATATCACACTCTCGAAGCTAATTGGGTCAGGCACTTGGAGACTGCGAATTTCTGGTGGAGGAGGTGCCGATACGGGTCTGAACTGGCGGAACTCCGAGAGTGTTTGCTGTCGCTTGTTTTGCTGTGGCAGAATGTGAGCAGACTGAAACTCAAATTCAGGTAGAAGACTGACCCCATTCGGAGAGCCAATTGTGCGCTTTGAAGACACTGTCAGGGGGCTCTTCAACTGGGGCTCATCCCGCGTGTTGTTCTGGTCGTGAGATTTCCTTAGGGTGTTTCTCGACGGCGTTGAGAAGGACTCCTGCCTTGTGGACACTGCCTCCCTTACAGGGGTTGTAGGAGCTGTCACAAAGGGGGCAGCTGACGTAGAGCCTGGCTCGGTAGAGTAATCAGACGATAGTCGTGCTAGCTGATAATTCTCCTCCAAGATGGTGTCCAGAAGTTTTACAAGCGCACATCGCTGGGAGTCGGTTGGTCGGACGAGGCCAGCCTTGCGTGCCACGAGACTCTTGACCACAGGCAACACAGGCAAAGTGCCTGGTACTTGCGAGGTTTTGAAGACCCAATCAGAGTAAACATGCCGTGCCCTCTGCTCGAAGTCAAGCAGAACTGTTTTGGTAATGTCCGTCCTGAAGCAGAGGAATCTGATTTTGTTTGAGCAATTGGCAGCCAAGCGTTCGGACTCATCGGCCGGAGCAGTTTGTCCACCATGGAACCTTGGAAGTCTCAAGTCCCATTGTGCATTGAGACCGTCAATAGCCTGGTCAATGTTGTTGCTGATCTCCTTCGGTGTGGGTGGCATGGTGACTCTGACATTGATTAGACCATCAGCCAGAGAGCTATCCTGGTGCGAGCGAGCTGTGAGCAGCTGTCAATGAACACTCAGCTCCTGTTCAGTTGCCTTCTGGACCCGGGGTAAGGCGGCACGCTGATGTTATCCCAGGAAGGGCCGAAGTCGGTCCAGTGAACGCTCAAACGCAGCTGAAAGAGAGCAGTAGAACAAAGCTCAGGAGTGCACTGGGCTCTACATGGTCGTCTGAACCAACAGGAAGGATATATCAGTGCCTGAGGCACAAGGAAGAGGTAACGGCAGAGGTAGTGATGAAGAGGAGGAGATTGGTTGGACTCACAGGTGTTGGTACCGGCAGCGATGCCAGCGAGCAGCGAGCCAAACAGGCGCCCGGAAGATGGAGCGGCACGACCCCGGCGCTGGTGGCGTCCCATTGGCGCCCCCGTCGCCCCAGTGCCGAATCAGCTCGTGCATCTCGACCACCGCGTCCACGCGTAAAGTTTTTTCTGTCACAGCCTCACAGGGCTTTGGCCGTAGTCAAACTCGGTACGGCGTTCGAAAATCGCAGAACAGGAGGAGTCGACTTCGCTTTCCACCCAGTTTACTCGAGGTTCTCCTTGATAGTCTCGTACCATGGATCTGAGCCCTCGACGACTTGTTTCTCGCCTACAGCATCAGCCATTCTGCGCTCTGGCAGAAGCATGAAGCTTACCTAGGTAGGGAAAAGTGAGTATACAAGTATAACGAAGAAAAGGAAGTAAAGTCTCAGGGCAGGTCATGGGCCTTTTATTTCTGCTCCATGAATAGAGTTCAGGCACCGACTCAGGAGAAGCATCGGCAGTTTGATCAATGCCGACAGCACGGCGGCGCCTGGATGCTGCCAGCCAACCGTTGCTTGCAACCACACGTCCTTTGCCTCGCGCTACACACCGCTTCCTTTCATACCACTCCACACAACACCCCAAGCACTTCCTGTCGCCCAACTTGTTCCCACCACTCGTAACTGCTCAAGCTTATGTCTCGCCACTCGTCCACCCTGAGAGAGTGGGCCGGAGTCGTGGACTCGTATAATCATCATCAAGAGGACATCATTTGCGATTCTTCACTCTCGTCATATTCAGATTCTCATTCCTTTCGACGATGGCCACGTGGGTTGGAAGAGCCACTGGATCATGTTAGCCTCAGAACATCAGTAGAATTGTATTGTATCACTTACAAGCTGATTCTCCTTGCCACGCCTTGCAGGTTGGTGTCATTCTCTGCTTCAGTGGCCGCTCTCTCCAAAGCAGCTCGCCTGTCTTCGGCACTGCGCTTCTCAATTTCCTCAGGCGAGGGGGGGAGGCGCTCATTCTGGAGATCGACTTTACGGGCGTCCTCAAAGTTGTGGATGGCCTGCTTGATGCCTTCGGCACCCAACATTAGAGTCCCTGCCGGCAGGCGACCTCCGGATTGAGTCTTCAGCTCAGTGACGCGTTCGGATTCTTCACGCAAGACCTGGAAGACCCGGGAAAGCCGCCCAATGGCAAGGATCTTGTTCTTGATGGCCCGGCGCTTGGCTTCTGTGGATTCCGGATCGGCGCCAAATGGTGGCGTCTCTGGCTCCATGCTCGAACTCTGCGTATCTTCCTCCAATTCTTCCTTAGAGCAGGTGTTGAGGATAGCGATAAGCATGTCTGTAATCTTTTCACCAACAAAGGGTAGAGACCAGGTGAAGACATCCATGAAATTCGGAAGCCAGTATGGGTGGGGGGTGCAGTTGAACTGTCTGATGTTCATAACATTGTTTTCGTACTTGAGCACCGCAGCTTTGTTGTTGTAGACATCAAGGTAATTCGGCGCGCTGAAGATGGTCATGACACTGGGAAAGCCAGTTGTCCGCGTCTTGCGGTACATGCGGTAGCCCGCATCTTGAGCTTCGTGTGCACGGATGATGGAGAGCAGATTGTTTTTCTCGAGGAAATTGCAGGCGGCCGGGTAGGAGAAGAAATAGGAGCAGCCCCTGACGTGGTTATGCACGTAGTATTCCCCGGTTTTCTCTTGGCCAAATTCCTCCAGAGGATCAGCCCAGAGGATGTCACACATAAGGCCGTGGGTGGGAGGCTCGCGGAAACGGTCGATCTGACGGCATTCATTAGCACAATGACAATGACCAAATTGGAAGTTTCACGTGGCATACGCTCTTGATGTCCTCCAGAGTGTGTAGTTCTGGGCTTAAACCACCGTGTATACACAGAAACTGCTTGTTCATGACAGCGGCCAAGGGCAAGGCACAGAAGGACTCCATGCATGCGTCATAGATCTTTTCTGAGTATTTGTGTTTGCACTCGAGTTTGAAGGTGAAATAATCTGTCAGATGCCTGCACTCGTGGTTCCCACGGAGAAGCCACAAGGTGTTTGGGTACCAAATTTTGAGGGACCACAAGTAGAGCACGCACTAAACAGGTTGTCAATAGGTGAAACTCTGAGCAGAACCGAGGAGGTCGTACCTCAATGCTGAAGTATCCGCGGTCAACATAATCCCCCAAAAAGAGATATCTAGTCTCAGCAGGATCTCCGCCTACTTCAAACAGCTTCATGAGGTCAAAATATTGTCCATGAACATCGCCGCACACGGTGATCGGAGCATCCATTTCCAGCAGATTTGGTTCAGCTTTTAGCAGCTTGGTACCCTCACTTATGATCCACAAGGCTTGCTCTTCGGTCAATCGCCCCTCTCGGTAAAAGTGTTGTTTCAAGAAGGACAAGTTCGGCTTCGATCGATCGGTTGGCGACCAGAATTGTTCGTTCGTGGGAGGTTGCATGGCGGGAGCCTGGACATCTGCCACCGCATCAGATATGGCCATGGGAGAAATCTCTCTTGGACAACCTACCCTTGCATACTCGTTCTTGAGTGCTCACCTGGGAGCCATCTTCCATTATATGTAACGTGAAGTCGATCTCAGGCACGGGCTTCTTATCCACCACTGCTCTGTGTAACGGACCATCCATCTTGATTGTAAGGTGCGCTCCTGGCGCAAACGGTCTCTGAGACGATTGAAGTGTAGCAGCGCTGAGGCTGAGGGGTGAAAGCAAAGATACCAGCGAGTTCGTGAAAGTAAATGGTCAGCAGAATTGGTTGTGGCAATGTTAGCGCCGGGAGGAACAATCGTCGGTGGTGCTGCTGGTCAGGAGGGGGTTGAATCGGGCTTTTCGAGGCGTGACGGACTTCCCAGAAGTTGTCGCGAAGGAGGTTAGGATGCGGTGAGGAGAGATCTTGGACGCCGGCAAGGGGACAAGAGCTGAAAAATAAAAGTGGGCAACAATTGAAAATCGGGGGCGGCTGAAGCTGTAATAAGAGTCGGATTGTCAAGCAGTTTCAGGAGGATGAGGATTTTAGGGTCCAGATCCAGTTCAGGCACTTTCAGGCCAGGGCTGAAATTCTCCAAGAAACTAAACACACAGTACATACGCAGCTCGCCAGTTCAAACGGCGCCGATGCAGCTAAATGCTGAGTGACGGATGCAAGTCAATCGAGCCTAAAGAGAAGCTTGGACGATAAGATTGGACTTGAGTGACCCTCATACTACTACAACGGTAGGTAGAGAGCAATAAGGACAGCGGGTTCTGGTCGAGGAGGGGCAAAGGTGGGAGGCTTCCCTCACAATATGGGACGATATGGGGTCCGACATGGAAGCGAGGCACGCGCCTCAGCTTCATTCGCCGTATCACTTTCATGTCTTTGTAAACTTTACTCTGCTTGTCATCATCATAGTCCCCAGCTTGCCAGGCACCCATGTACCGAGTACCTTGACAGCATTTAGGCACCTAGGTACGAGTGAGTTCATTCTCCAATCAGACTGAGTTGACCCGCAGTCGGGCCTGGAGGTTGTTTCCATTGCCCAAATTACCACAGATCTCACCTCCAAGACAACCTCGTTGCTCTCCGGACAACTAGTCGAACACGGGTAGAGGCTCTGCAGAGACATGTTTGACACACACAGTATGTGCCCGGGCGTAACTCCCCAGAGCAAGATTCGTCAGACCGCTGACCGCAGGAACAGAGCCTCATCCGCTGCTCGCGCAGGTTCCCTTGACTGTCTCTCCCTTTCTGTCGTTGCCGACTGCTGTGACGCTGCCTTACACCTTTCGATCTGTGCCCACGTCGCTTCCTCCTTCCATCATTGCTGAAAACGGGCCCGGAAAGCCTAAATATGTCACTTCTTCCTCCGGCCACACTGCCCACCCAGATGATATTATCAGTTCCTGTAAAGCCCTCCAAGAGCACCTCAAAAAGACCGTAGGTGCTGCAGAAAAAGCCATCAAAGAGTGGGAGCAAGATATAAAAGATCGAGATCTCGCAGAGAAACGGAGAGTCGCGCCCGGCTGGTTGGACCGTGAAGAGAAGATACTGGAGCCCACAAAGGCATCCTCGAAGACAGGGACAGATCAGAATCTGCTGGATGGCCAGCCCGTAAATGTCATATCCGCACCCGCAATGTCACCCAGTCGTGAAGGTGAAGAACTAGATCGAGCTTTTGGTGGTCTCGGTCTCAAATGAAAGAATTGGAGCACTTGTGCCACACCCCGGAAACCTCTTGGTCCTTGCAAACCGCCGCTGTGACAGGCTCATATCGGAGTGATGGAACTACCAAGACTCTTGAGCGCCCTGTTGGCAACGTCCAGTACTATCCAACAAGCGTCATGATGTTTCATCCCACCAGACGAGACGCTTGGTTCAACTCGACCTCTGTGGAACCACCGTTCAAATCCGACACAATAACGCGGCTTCTAGAAGATCCATTTGGCACATGGCACACAACTTTTCTCTTCGTCATCTTGCTCGTTGCATTGGGCAGCTGCGCCATCTTTCTAGGCTCTCGATATGCAGAGATACTCGGATTCGGCACACATAATAACGACGAGCTCCCATTGACTCTTGAGGGCCGACAGCCGAATTGCCCAGGCGATGATGCGGGCAAACCAGGATCTTCATTCGATGAGACTGCGATATCCCAAGTCACCCACCCACAATATGACCACCATTTCGACCTCAGACGATGCCCAGGAACCGCGAACGTTCAGCCCAGCTACGTTGCGATCGGAGAAGTTCGGGAAGGGAAGATCGCGCAAAGAAGGGCATCATTGACGAGAGGCGCTGCACGAACCACACACGTACCCGACCACGCGGCACTGAACCTCCTTCCAGCTTAAGAGAACCAGCCTATGGTGCGAAAGGGCAATTTTCAGGGTACGATCGGAGACAATATCGATCCATCAAATCACTGTTCTTTCGAGAGGTCATGGACCCCAAGACTCTCCTTGGTTCGACCTTCTTCTCTGGTATCTCCAGAACTCACCATACCATTACGGCACGTTGAATTCCTACATATGGATTGGCGAATCAATTCTCGTGATGTGGGAATTTTCCCCACGGCAAAAAACCCGATCGATATTGGCGTCGATGACATTTCGACAATGTTTTAGCCGGCCCTCAATCATGGTGGCTTGAGTCTAGGAATTCCTAGTTTTAACGCTGGGAACACTCAGCTGGTTGCCGACAACTACTTGGGAACGGTTTGCACGGGTCTTGGAACGATGGAACGGAGGGTCATCGCCAGCCGTGGCGGACGTCCCAGCTTCAATACATGACCTTTGAAGAATCGCATTTCTTAGTTGACAAATCCATGTCCTTATTTGCTCCTTAGTTCGACCATTACTATGTTCCGTTCCTTTGATGGCGCCGAGACAAAAGAATCACCCGATACACTAGCCACGGTCCACCGAGCTCTCCGTGCTCACGTAACGCGGTTGGCATAATATAGTGCTAGTTGGATATCTTGACAATCTTGCGAATGTTCCAAAGTACCTGACGCAAACAAGACTCGAGTGCAATCATTGCCCCATGGAAGCTGTAGCTCGCGAGAAGAAATTCATAATGGCCGCCTAGACAGAACACTGTATATGCCTTGGCCCTGAGCGTTCCGCTTTCGGCAGCGGGGCGGAGTGGAAGTTCTCAACCAAGACTCTTGGCTTGTAATCCCGCTCCAAACAATCTACGAGTACTTGGTACCTTAGGTATATAAGTTGCTTCAAATTGTAAAGGTCATATAGGGCTTGGCATGCACGTGCACGAACGTACAGATCATGATGCCTATAGTTCTTGTATAAGATTTGGTAGCTGCTAAGAACGCCTGCCTAATTCGGTATAATCTGATATGAGCGGACGTTAGAATGCTTGACAATGCACGCCTTGCCTTGTCTGTGCACCACGCGATGGTGCGAAAACCGAGATCCCATCGCCGTTAACCATAAAAAGAAATTGAAAGGACGATTGACGACCAGATCTCTGCCCATCGCCTTCCAGATCGGCTCTTGTCTAGCGATGTTAAACCTCAGCTAGCAACTAACCGAAGCGAACCCACACACTCCTACCTGCTTAGTACCCGCCTCTTATTTCTCCGCATCTCGAAGCCTTGTTTCTGTTATTTACTTCTCTTCTCCGTGCTGTCGCGCTGATACGAATACTGACTGCCTCTTGGGTTCCTTGTTGCTGCTTGGTTCGTTCAGGACCGTCCCCTCGTTGTGGTGACATTCGTCGCCGTCCATTCTTTTAGTTGACTTATACTCTAATTCGTATGATGAGGATCACGTCGTTGTCTTTGGCCGTTGCAGCTGCTGTTTCCATCGGCCATGGCCAGAAGCACGACGAGTGGAACGACTCCAATGTTGTAGTCACCACTACCATCACCAACACACACTATGTGTGTCCTTGTACTTCTGGGTTTTTACCGGCATCCCCCCTCTCCTTACCAACGTCACACCCCTCGGCGCTCAGTGAACGTGCATGGCATCATTCTCCAGGCGACATTGCGAAGACAGAGGGGACGACCCCCTATAGCTGGCAGGGTTGGAGCACGACAGAACCGCAGAGCACTCCCGCTGCTTCGTGGACACATTCTCACTCGACGAGACCGCAATCGAGCATATCTACACATTCCACTACATCACACTCAGGGCATCATACGAGAAGTTCGTCGAGCCTGCAAAATTCTCCGAGTGCGACATGGCCGACCACTTCCATTCCTTCTCTTTCGCATTCGCCTCCCTCAACGAGTTCGACTACAACCTCGAGCCGTCCAGGAACAACATACTCGCACCCTACCAGCACGAGCGCGTGTACCACTTCTTCGACACCATTGACGAGTACCACCATCTCTAGGACAACATCGACAAGCTCTACCACTTTGTCAACCACGAGCAGTTCTAGCTCCTCCATTTCCACAAGCTCAACTTCATCCGTGACCACAACCAGCAGCAGCAGCACCACAACTTCAAGCATAACAACGACGACAACAACCACAAGCATACCTACTACTATTACGACCACCACAACCACAACGCCTTCTACAACCACCAGCACCGCCACAACGGTAAGCTATTCTATATCAATTATTCGTCTCCTTTAGACTTTCAAGCTAAGATCCTCCACAGACCACAACGACAACCACCACCACAACAGTAAGTACCATATTTCCTCCCCGCATATAGAAAGCCTAAAGCTAATTTAACATCATCAGACCACCACCACCACCACCACCACTACCACCACCACGACTACAATCAGCGCCTCCACGTGTCCGACAAGTGCTTGTCCATCCGTGACATCGACAGCACGTTTCTCAGCCATACTAACTCTCCGAGTATAATAGTCCCAGTGGATGCTGACTATTGATTTCTCACAACAGGACGTCATAACCGACGGCAGCTTCGAATCGGTCTCTGCCGACGCGATACGAGTCCCGGACGCCACGAGCGGCGACTGGACCGTCTCCGGCGGCGCAGTTTTCGCTACCAATAACGGATCGACGTACGACACGCCTGACGGATCTCAATACGTGTATGTATATTATTCCTTGATGCCTTGCCCTTGCCACATTTTCGCCGCGAAGACAGACAACTTCCTAGTAGTCTCCAAAGAGTGGGTTAATAATTACTAACTTTTTTTTTCTGTACAGCTACATCCAAGGCACATCGGCCGTGCCCATCTCCTCCGTCTCCCAAACGCTCACGAACCTCATCCCCAACGGCCTCTACACATTCACCTACGACTACGCCGTCCCCTACGTCAACAACCCCAACCCCAACCCCAGCACCTTTTCCAACTGCCAATTGACCCTCCGAGTCGGCGACCAGTCGTACACGGACCTCATCGAGGTCTACGGGTCCGACTCCGGCAGCCAACAGTCGTGGGGCCAGGGCGTGCCGCTGGAGTTTGAGGCGGACTGTTCCGAGCTGCTGTTCTCGGTGGTCTGGGACTGTTCGGGCTTGAATAGCGGGAATGAGATTGATCTTGCGATTGATAATATTGGATTTACGGGGGGGCAGTGCGTCACGGAGGAGGTAGTGCCTTAGGCCGCGGGCGATGATTGGTGAGTAGCCTTTTCGCTAGGTACAGACCTCCTGTGCGAAAGACGGTGTGGAGTCGGCGTCGAGGACTGTTGGGAACACGGATTGCCAATAGTCGCATGCGGCAGCATTATATATACCCTCGTACGAACTTAATGTTAGAAGACATCTTGATAAGCTTTCACAGACAGACCAGACCGTGCCTTGTACCTCGTACTGATCTCCTCTTCTTCGACCTGATACGCAGCCCCGGGAGACACAGACCCCGAGTCCCCTTGACCGTCTTGCTGAGTGACCAATGAGGAGAGAACAGGTCAATTCGCAAATGATAAGCGACAAAGTTTATACTTGACGGATCTGGCTGTCAGCCCCACCACTTATAGCCGGCAACGACATTCTCGGTCGGCACCGAGCGTTCCAAAAAGTTGGCTTGTGTTGGGAAAAGCATAATAATATTTTTATATCCATCTTCCGTTTCCACGGCTGACCTAAATGGCAACAACCTGCTTATATTACATATACCTTACCGACCTGATAGGACATAACCCAGACTCGCTCTTAGAGCTACTCGCCTTCTCGAGAGCAAAGTGACCATGCCGCCAGTCTCGGTAGCCAATGGCGCGGCTCCCGCTGCCGAGACGTCGATCGATCTGCCCTTGTTCGACATCTCGCACGAGTCCGCGGAGCTGGGGAGGGAGATTGTGCAGGCGGCCGCAAAACACGGGTTTCTCTGGATCTCTGGATCACCGTCCTCATCATCGAAAGATGGCAATCACGGCAACGGTGATTATTCTTCTTACGACCTCGACGCCGCGATGGTGCAAAACGTCTTCGACATCGGCAGCCGCTTCTTCCGGGGTGCCAGCGGGGCGGAAAAGGCCGCGTGCAAGATCACCAAGAACCGCGGCTTCGTGGACATGCACGTCGAAAACCTGGATCCGAAGGGTCACAAGCGCGGGGACTTCAAGCAGTGCTTCAACCTCCAGGAGCCGGATCCAGAGACAGGCGCGTGGCGGCAACCGATGCCTCCGCAGTTCTCAGAGCCTGCTGCCGAAACCGCGCTACGTGACTTTCACGCCCGCTGTAGAGCCATCGCGGCGCGGATCCTGCGTCTGATCGCGCTGGGCTTGGACATCCAGGACCCGGACTGGTTCCTCAGGTCGCATGACGACCCTCACAAGTCACCCTACACCGTGCGCATGCTCTATTACCCGCAATTACCCCCCGGCACCGACTACCGCGCCGAAGCGGACATTCGCGCCGGCGCGCACAGCGACTACGGGAGTATCACGCTCCTCTTCACGCGGCCGGGCCAGCCGGGGCTGGAGATCCTGCAGGACGACGGCACCTGGGCCCGTGTCCCTGTCTCGCCGCCGGGCTACCACGACCCGGATTTCCCTCCGATTGTCGTCAATATGGGCGATTTGCTGCAGTTCTGGACCAACGGCCTCCTCAAATCGACGGTGCACAGAGTCGTGCTTGTTGAGGAAGAGCAACCAGAGGATAGCAATTCTGGCGCAACGTCGACGTCCGTGCATGGAAGTGACAGGTACTCAATAGCCGTGTTTGTCCAGCCAGCCGATGAGACCGTGCTGGTGCCCGTGCCGTCGCAGGCCGTGGCGGAGCGCGCGGCAGCGTTTCAAAAGGCCGAGATTGGCCGCGGTGGTGGCACGGTCACGGCCGAGTCGTTGAGCCAGGTTACGGCGGGAGAGCATTTGCTCGGAAGGCTGAGAGCGACGTACGGCATTGCGGTGACCGGATAGTGCGAGAAGAGAGGAGTGGGTGGGTAGATGGTACTGGAGGAGAGGATGAGAAAGGAGGACGATGTAGGTCTTGATAGGAGCTTTGAGATTATGCCATCTCTGTGTGAAGATATATAAAGTATTTGCCAAGGTGATACGATTGACGTAGAGAAGGCGAGGTTTATTGAAGGGCAAATGTCCGCGCCTAGGACGACGAAATGAGCTAGGAGATTGTCTCGACATCCATATCTCCTGTACATACCTACTATCATTGTGGGGCGGCTTCAGCGCTCTGATAAGTGCCGATCATCAGGCGTCACAGGTATTGGTCTGAAAACCGAGAGCCAGTGATTCTCTGGATTGAGCCTTCTCCAATCCACCCCGAGTATGTAATCCGCTTCTGCCTCGACAATAGGCAGCAGAGTTTCCTTCAACTCAGGCGACTCTGGGTCCACGGAGACACCCTGGCGTCGCTGGTTATCCATGTAATCTGTCAGGCTCCGCAGGCCGTACTTGAGACTCCATTGGAACACCTCGCGGGGCGAGAGTCTACGGAACCCGCCTTCCCGCCGTATGAGGATTGTGTCGCAGAGGACTTCTTCGCAGTGCTTGCGTAGCCGCGGACCTGAGTAGAACTTGTGCCATAGAAATCCTAACCCGGGAATAGGGCGCAGAAATGGATTCACGTGCAAGCGGTACGCTTCAATGAATTCTAGTTTCCAGTGTATGTGGTTGGCGTCACGGGTCATTGGGTCTTCACCCAAAAGCTTATCCACTTGTGCTGTGTACTTTGCTTGTATTCGGACTGGTCTGAGGAAATCGTGTTGTTCTTGTTTGGGGATGCGACAGGTGTATGGCACTGCCGCAGAGCCTATCGCCAGGATGACCAGCGGAGTGAATTCGCCGCATACGGCGAATACAATGGAGAAGGGCACGAGTTTTCCGAGGTCATGTCGCGTGCGAAGAGCCATTTGGTATTCGTCTCGCGTTATGATGAGTGCTGGCTCAACGTCAGCGTTGCCTGCGCTGCCGCTCCCGCCATATTTCACCACGTCCTCAAGCTTGCGGCTTCCGAATCTCCCACGAATCTTCCTCAACTCGTTATAGTTGTGCCAGATGTTTTTGAAGCCTGTCTTGTAGAAGGCGAGATAAGACTTTCCCAGACGGAAGTACCATCTCACCCTATCACTAATGGGTATGGGTCCATTATAGTCTTGTTGATTTAGAGGTTGCGGCGTGTCGAGCTTTGCAGGTGTTGTGCTCGTAAGATCGCAAGTCGATATCAGGGTCGATGGGACACGGCCTTTTAAGGGTATCGATGGATAAATGGGTTTTTCATCGTATTGAGAAGTCGCTGGGTTGGGAATGGTCCGTTCAAGGAGGTGTCTTCCATGACTCGTGGACACGGCTCGGTGCTTGACAGGAGATATCGACACTCTGAGACATGAAATCTGCGGCGCGATTTTTGATCTCAAGCAGTGTCCATGTGCGCTGAGCTGTCGCTCTCCAAAGCCTCTCATCGAAAGCTAGAAGCACGGCGCTGCTGGTTACAGGGTGTGAAGAACACTGAGAACCTAGGGTCACATACTGACACATTTTCAAACAAAATTTTTGTGGAGACGCAGGGACACGCGATCTATGTATGACGCGCATGGATGCGCTGGGTGAGTGTTGATGGGCAACTCCCACCCACCAGTGCCACGCTTGGGTAGCCTAGGAGCTTAATGGATACCCCGCGAGCCTGGTACCAGGTATCGACCACTGACTCTGTCTGACCCCATGACCTTTGTCGCTACCATACCACAAGTCACTTTTCATGCATCTCTCCTTTTCTAGAAGACTTGAGTCTTCGCCAATCACCGAAATAGACAGGACATGCCCCAAATCAGGCACCTTTGTCGACATTAAGTCAGAGGGTCTGCTGGAGCATTCTCCAAGTAGTGCTCAATGGTCCTCAATGGCTTTCTTGGGCGCATAGAGCGACAGAAGGAGGCTTCAGCCCCAAGCCTTGACAGGGATTTGCATCATGTCTGAGATTCGTCCTGTAGACTCCCTTTACTGCTCTCGGTCATCGATATCACATTGATAGAACCATTATGAATTCCAATTATTGCCTTTGACTCCAGTATTCTCGTAATTTTTGCCGACCATACTGACGGCACATTTGCCGCTTCCAGCAGTATCGCCATCGCTGCCATGGGAAAGCATGATATCGACCGGCGAGCCTTCGTTGATGATGATGAAGTCGATGGTCTGCTGCCTCTCGAACTTGCGACTGTGTTCTACGCCCCAGGAGACTTTGGTTGGTGACAGCAACCAATCGGCTGGTTTGGGAGAGTCGGGATTCGCTTGTATATAGGCCGACGGGCGTCAGTAGCACCAGTTCAGCCCAGTCTGAGTTGACAGTGAAACGACACTTTGTTCTGTGTGTAGCGGGATTCTTGACGATCCATTTGTATGCGTTTTCGAAATCCGCTGCACGCGCAGCTAGGGTGGGGTCACTAGCCACGGACAACATCTCCCAGATAGCGACTGTTTGCATGGTCATGACACCAGGGGCCGCCGTCGCTGACCGGATCCAGGCCTGGTATACCTCATAGACTTTATCATCGTTCGTACGCCGTATCTCCGCCTTGACACGAACAGGTCTTTTGGACGGACTTTTGGAAAGTTTTGTATTCGTCCGTCTTTTTGATGTCGCCGTCAAATTTGCCTCCGTTGGTCACACCATTATACTTGAAGTCATATCCAGTCCCCAACCAAGCCATGTTCCAGGCGTGAATTCTGATGTCCCTGGCCCACTTCCCGGAGGAAGGGTATTGGCAAGTGCTCCATTGGTACTGCTGCGCACCGTGACCGGCAAGGAAGCAGCTTGACTTGGAGACTGAAAGCCAGTCATTGTGATATACTATCTTGAGGATTGAGAAGGATATCTGAATCTGAGACCGTACCAGTTGCTGGTTCAGAGAGTGACTTGATGAGATGACTGACTGTGTGGCAGATCGACCGTAATATATAGACTTCGAAGAATGAGAACTGCGTCTTCCGTCTCATCTGAACGTATCAAATCACTCGGTCACATCGGACGAATCTACCACCTTTAGACTAACACGCACACTTGGGTGATTGCAGGGTTCTATCAAGCTAAGTCCATGCCGAGATATTATTGGCCTGGCGAAGAGAGATGCCAGGCGTATGCACAGACGTAGTTCCATGCAATGCCTGCCTGCTCAAAATGTAGGCTTGTGGGTCTTTACATACAGAGTTCAGCGGACCTATGACTTGAGCTGTGCTGCATGTGAGTCTTTGACGGATCCGGACTTCAACTGAACACATCGTTGAGTGCAGGCATTAGCAGCGTGGACACCGGCACCAGCGAACTTCAACCACTTGCTAAGCGAGGTACTGTGAGCTGAGTGTACGCTCAAGTCTGGCCGACGTGGACTTCAGCTGCAGTGTCTTCTGAGCAGGAGTGGCTATTTGTCCCAGTCGCAATATACTTCCTCGAACCTCTAATATCCTGAATACTCCTCATGTTTTTAAATATCAGTTCAAATTGTCCTCTTCACGAAACACAGATATCGTTTTCCATATGATTTACAGAACTGCTCTATATCGTGAAGTCTACGGGCGTGTCAGGGAGCTGGGCAATGCATATTGATTTTGACGGCCACAGATGCATGTTCGCTCATGTACTACGTAGTCAATTCCATTGGTCAACATCGATGCAGATTGGGCGAATGGGCGCATCTCTCAGACATCACTCCATAATCTGTGAACCCAGTTCAACCTGCTGGCGGCGGAAACTCTCATCCAGGAACACGTCAAGGAGCTGCAGGGCTTCACCGTATCGTTCGAAGTAGTGTCGGGCCGTAGCTACCCTCGACAAGTGCTGGTGGTCTTCGCCATATCGAGGTACGTACGTCTATGCTACCTTCTTAGTCGGTATTCCGTGTGATTATGCAAGTCTTTTTCCCATTCTCCTGACCGCGGAGTGTTTCTGTTGAGACTAGCGTCATGCCAGCCGTATCTACGTACGTAGCTGAGCGTTTCACTTCTCCCGCACCGGTCAGTCTTTACGGCAAGCAGCTTCCATGATTAAAGTACGTACGAACGAAGCTAAGCCATCTTGGTTGAATAATTCATTTGGATCCGGAAACCTTGACGATTGACAGGCATCTGTAAGTTCTGGACGAAAACAACGGGTTCGTATGCTGAGATAACTTAGCTCGGTTGGATGCGTAGAGATGAATGCAGCTTTTCAGCTCGAAGTCTCAGATGTGGCTTCTACCACCACGAGACACGCTCCGGCGTTCGACAAAAGTCCTCTCTGTAGCCCCGTTCGCTTCATGAGTCGGTGGGATCTGGGCACCCTGTGAAAGGTTAGTTCGTGGAAGCTACACTCGCCACGCTCCATCTGACTTCTGAGTATTCCAAGGATCTGAAAAGGGGTTTCAAAGGCACTTCGGACAAGACCCGGAGGGCGTGCAGTATGCGTATGCAGACGTCCTGTGTGAGCAACAAATTCAAAGCCAGGCGCAAAGTCCCATCTTGGTGTTGCCTTAGCCTGCCCGGTTTCTCCACAATTTTCGGTCCGGAACGCCCCGGTGCGACGTGCAGTCCACAAAGCTCTCCAAGAAGTATGCAGGTGGTTTGTTGTATCAAATTCCTTCAGCTTAACAAATCACTGAGCGAGCTGAAGAAAGTGCGTTGGGCTGCATGAGCAGTACATTGGATGTTATCCAGGACCTGTTCCTCTTTTCAATCAAAAGTCAATTTGACGAGGCTTGCCGAGTTCTAGTGTGTCAGTTCAGCTCCCGCCCATAATATGCCGAACTTTGTTGTGTACTAGGTAGCTTTCTCAATCAAGCGAGCAGTGCTTGCCTTGTCTGACTCTTCTCAACAACAGCCTATTCTGCTCTTGCATTGACTTGCCGCTTCCCCGATCGTCTGCCTCACTCGATTTGATAGCTGGCAACCTTGGAATGCACGAGTCGTATGGACCAGCCGTACACAAATGGGCGGTCAGGCTTTTCACAAATGTCTACGAGGCCGGTCGCTACGGAGAGCTCCGTACCGCTAGCTTTAACCATCGAAGATTTCGCATCTTGTATGTTGATCAAATGCTTCTGGCCTACAAAGCAAGAATTCACGAAGACTTATGCTCAGGCGGTGTAAGTGCCAGCCATCAACTGTGTGGCCAAGGTCTAGAAGAGGCTGCAAAAGTACCCCGGCAGTAGATACGTACGCGATACGTGAACTCAACGACCCACGCTCCTTTAATGGAATATTTATCCCAGGTATTGAAGTGTCCATCACTTGCACGACTGAAACCTACATGAGCCCGTGCATCCACGAACTCATTACATTCGTGCCATCGAGATCGGTCCAGACCACTTCAAGCCAGGGTCGCATGACTGCTCAAGAATTCATTCTTCGTAAGCCTGAAGGAAGAGCGTACCACAAGAAATATTTCCCGATCCTCTATAAAAGTTATTAGCTCGCATCATCCTTGATCTCCGTAAACCCCAACAAGTCATCCTACATCTCTTTGGCAGCGAATTTGGGTAACGCGAACATCTGTCGTGATCAATCATTCGAATCATACTCGATCCAACAGCTCTTACTATGGCGCAACGCAACATCAAGATTTGGTTTACGAACAAATCACCCGTAAATCAGCTCTGGTCCAGCAGTATCAGCCAACCTCGAGAATTAGCACCTAACACACAAGTCAGATACAACACTACGGTGATAGGTAAGTCACCCATCTACGATAATTTTTTCCCCTCATATTCTGCTGATATTCTTTCCCTTGGAACACTTGCTTTTCCTACGGATTTTCTAGAGCCTCGTTTTCCATTCCCATGCTAAATCTCTCAACTTTACTTCATCTGTTGCCCTCCTTTGGAATGGGACATGTTGATTAACTATTAGAAAATCGCAGGTGATAATACTATTCAGATTGTCCTTGACGTGAATGATAATCACACGGGCGTCTCTCTTCGCTACAGTTGGGACGACGACAAGTTCTCCTTGAATCCCGAGTCGAATGATTTCAAAATAATCTTACAGTTCACGGGCTCAGTCGTGGTGCGCAGCACATATACCGGGGCAGATGCCGTCCCGAAAGGCCTCGAGGTCAACTCTATCGATACCGAACCGCTTCCGGAAGACATGTCAAAGGCCAGTTCTTAGGAACCTAGACCGTTTCCTGGCTGAGTGGGATCCAGAAGGATAGAATACCAAATCTCCAGTTAGATACGTACGTACCACAAATCAAGAGGGATGCCCCAGCTTTCTTGAGAGCGTGATCTCTCCTCTACCATCAAGCTTGAATTCGTACATTTATTTTCCATCCTTTGCGAAAAGTGACCAACGTCACCTCTTAGCATATGCTCCATTTTCATCTGAGATTGGCGCGCTAGTAGGTACCCTTCATCACGGCCAAAATTAGCCGCATAAGTAGGTACTTGGTGGATGATTTGATCAGTAGCTTCCCCCGCATTTCAGCTCATATCAAGCCGCCTCTTTATGCACCTACTCTTTCCAAACAATGCTCAGTAGTGCAGGCACAAACCGCCTTGCATAAAGACGGTGAGAACTCACCACTTGCTACTGCACTTCTCAGAGATGTTTGATGAAATGACCCGTGATCTTTTGACACTCCGACCTCTCCTCCTCATCTCCAGACTGTGGCTCAGCTGAAGCGTGGACATATCCACCAACTAGTTTTTCCACCTAGTCCTGGCTCTGGCCTATTTCCGAGACTTGCAGTGCTCGAAGCTGTAGTCGAAGCCATTCGGGCTGTGATGTTCACGAACCGCAAAGAATTTACGCTTAGGTACAAGGACGGTGTGGAATACGTGTAATGTACGTTCCGATTTGCGAAGAGGATCAGTCATCACACCACCCGACTAGGCGATAGGCATATGGCCTAAGACAATGGCGGGGAGCTCACCTCGCTCCGGTGTTCGCCAATGATGATCCTGACAGCTATGAGATGGAAGCAAACCGATGTGTGGTGGTTCAACCTCCATACAGTAATCCGCATGCCACCGCATCCTCGAGGCACGGGCCTGGATCACAATGTTGACACATTGAGTACGTCCTTGATGACAGAACCCACCTTTTCAACTTTGCTTCTGCACAAGCACTCACCTCCTAGCTTATCTGTGCTTCCTCGCGAGCATCATGCATCCGTACAACTTTGTGCGTTCTCTATCCTTCTCCGTAGCCACTCTGCAATGCTGACAATAGGCATTAGATAGTTCGCCGGCCGAGATCCGCCAATGAATGGCCACTGTGGTATGTCGGGTCCAAGTACGTAGGAGTCGCTCATACGCTATCTCGTACATTTTTCTGGTCCAAAATTATCTTATGGAAAGAGGATATTCTCAACCACCGATGCATTGTATTCCTTGATGAGAAAGATTCCGTTATCAATGCCTCTGACATCCTTGCGTATCTAGAGGAAGTGAAGGAGGAAAGCTGGTAGCCCGAGAGGGCCGGGAGGGGGGGTTTTGTACTCCATTAGTAAGGAGGGAAGTCTCTGTCAGAACGAGAGATAGGGACGAGAAAGTGGTCGAAGGTCGAAAAGACGTCAAAGAGGGAACGGGCGACGCGCCGCCAATTTTAGCTCCTGGCTGGCGCTATATACGGTAGAGTAGGGCCAGGATGAAGGGTGAGTGTGAAGGGAGCGAGGAGAGTGCGAAGGTGAGAGGGAGGGTGAGTGGTTATAAAAGCGGCACGCTCGGGGTGAGTCGCACGTGAGCTCCGAGCAGTTTTTACTCATCTTGAGTCCCCAGTGGTACACGTTCTGGCTCGTGTTAATCGTGGGAGGGATCGGTATTGTGCTTGCGACGGCTTCTTTGGCCGTGACCATTGCGCAGACCGTGGCAGCAATCCAAGCCCTGCCTCACACGACCGCTAACACCTCCAATTCGATAAATTCGACTCATTCGAGACACTCATCGACTACTGCCCAGAGTGCGACTCTGTCTGCTCGAGTTACATTGCTCGCCTATTCTCCATAGATCTGGTGGCGTCGCCTGTAGCGTAGTTGTCAATACTGTGTATTGTATCTTTGAAATAACGATCTACTGGGAAGGGACAAAGGGACAAGTTTGTAGGAAATTCAGCCACTGGAGTTGCCTCTTACTTTTCGAATTGTAATGAATAATTACATAACGCGGATATCTGGGTATAGAACCCCTGGAGGCGGAGATCTGCGACAAGGCGAATGGACAGGTTTTCGAGCCAAGCGCGTCGATCCCTTGCATGGTAGGTACATATGATACACATGCGTGCAGCACGTGGAAAAAGACAAATTTTATATCAGCGCTACGTCAAGAAGCTTCCGTCTTGGATCCCTCCGCTAACCAACGGCTTTGACTTGATATATCCAACGAGAGCAACAATCTAATAGATTAGTTGAGGCCATCCATCAAAGACCCAAAAGAATGTCCACGGTGATCCTCGGTGGCGGCATCATCGGCCTCTCGACGGCATATTACCTCTCTCTGGCGCGGGCATCGTCGTCATCGTCGTCGACGTCGATAATCCACATCGTCGACTCCGCGCCCTCGCTGCTCCTCTCGGCGAGTGGCTTTGCGGGCGGGTTCCTCGCGGCAGACTGGTTCAGCCCGTCTGTGGCGGCACTGGGCGCGCTCTCGTTCCGCCTGCATCGCGAGCTGGCCGAGAAGCATAGTGGGTCGCGCAGGTGGGGGTACGCGGGGAGTCACACGTACAATCTGAGCGTGGATGAGCGCGCGGCGGCGAGGAAGGGGCGCAAAGGGAAGGGGGAGGATTGGTTGCGTGAAGGGACGAGTCGAGCCGAAGCGGCGGCGGGGGCGGGGTCGGTGAGTTCTGAAGCGAACGGCGGAAGTGGTGGCCGCCAGGGCGACATGCTCAACCCGGACGGATCGCCCGCCGTATGGACACCCCAGCCGGGCGGGACGCTCGAAACGATGTCCGGACCAGAGACCACCGCGCAGATCGAGCCGCGCGAGCTGTGCGAGTTCCTGCTCGACGAGTGCAAGAAGAGAGGCGTCCAGGTCCGCCTCTCGACCGAGGCCACGGGCATCATTACCAACGAAGACGGGGCTCTAAGGGCGATCAAACTGCAATCCGTGACAAGCAGCACCACCGAGGAAGTCAATGCAAGCGACGAGCTCGAATGTAAGGACATCCTCATCTCCGCGGGCGCGTGGACACCCAGAGTCTTCAAGACGCTGTTCCCCCAAAGTAAGCTGCAGGTCCCCATCGAGCCATTGGCGGGCCACAGCCTCGTGGTCAAATCCCCGCGATATAAGACGCCGTTCATCGACGCCGCGAAGCGAAACCTGGGCGGCGGGGCGGAGAACTGGCTCTGCTACGCGATCTACTGTTCCCCCAGCCGGCACTGGTCATACGCGACGGAAGCGTTCGCGCGGCTCGCGCGCAACGGCGAGACGGAGATCTGGCTGGGCGGGTTGAATGACGGTTCGCTCCCACTACCCGAACTGGCAAGCGACGTCAAAGCTATGATCGATCCGGAGAGTATCAAGTCGCTGCGCAGGACGACCATGCAGTTGACGGGTCTGGCGAACGAGGGTGACGAAGTGAACCAGGACGACCTCGAAACGGTCAGGGAAGGTCTCTGTTTCCGCCCTGTCAGTCAGAGGGGGGTTCCCGTTCTGGGGAAAATACCAGACCACTATCTGGGTCTGCGACCCGGTGCCGGTGGTGGCAGTGTCTGGATAGCATCGGGGCACGGTCCGTGGGGTATCAGCCTGAGTCTGGGGACGGGGATGGTCATGAGCGAAATGATTTCAGGAGAGAAGCCGAGTGCAGATATTAGAGCCCTTCTCATCGCCTGATTATTTCGACTATTACAATCTATACTGATTGGCTCTCCATCTGGATGTTGTCCATACCCTGTGTTCCTCTCTCAACCCAGCTTCCAGTCCACCAAGAGTAGCAACTCGCTGACTTGGGCAGAGGAGCGCTCCAACTTGTTCCAGGCACCTTGCAGGTCAGCCAAATCAAGTGCTCGCCGGAAATGGAGGCAACGTCGTCGTCACCGGCGCCGCACTGTTCGGACAGACACACCCTCCGTTCGTGGCCGTACTAATACTGGTGACGGGCGGCACCGTGCAGTGCGGGCTGGGCGTCCAAGCTTGTGTGGAGATCGTGCTCACTCCTGCGATCGTCTCGGCCTTGACCAGCACTGGGATGACGGCACCCGTGTTGAGAGAAAAGTCTCGGTGCCCGACCACTCTCAAAATCGAGCCGAGCTCTCCAGAGTGCGAGGTGAACGACAGGTAGGTCGAATTGTCCGTCGAGAAGATGTTGTTGAGCAATGTCAGGGATCTCGCGTCTTGGGCCGAGTCGGTCTCTGCTGTGACGCCGGTCCAGAGCTGATCCGTCTCCGGGAAGCCGGGCTCGAACTTGTACGTAGGGAACTGGGAGTGGATGAATGTCTTGTTGGAGCGGCGGTCGCAAGTATGCTCGGAGATGGACTCTCTCAGCAGGGCTTTGATGGTCGGGATGAAGGGTTCATTTGGTGGCAGTGGGAGGCCAGAGAAGGTCAGATTCGCGGTCGACAGGCACCGGTACAAGGGCGAAACATAGTACTTCTGCGGCGTCGGGATCTTCTGTTCTTGAATGCGAGACAGCCAGAACTTGTTGGCGACAAGGGCTTGAGCAATCCCGTTGTTCGTCAAGTGGGCGTCGTCCCATGTCGCTGTGGCGTTGCCGTCGAGAAGGGACCAGTAGCAGTTCCAGGCGGGAGTGCCGTAGTAAGATTCGGCGGCGTTGTGCCAGCCTTCGCCATGTCGGCCCATAAAAAGCAGTTTGTATTGCACATTAGAGGGCGCGGTCTTGGTCAGATTGGCAATGACCAGGGCGAACCGCTGCCATTGGGTCAACGAGGCAGCGTCGGAGGGATCGGTTGGGTAGCTTTGGTTGATGAGGCCAAAGTTGGTGGCGGTCTGGAATAGAGGGGTCGTTAGGAGGGGATTTCCTATTACTCTCTCTTTCTCGTTCTTCCTAAGCTGAAGGTGGTCTTGCTTCACTTACGTAGTCAAACGTGGTGGCATTGGTCGAGTTGTCGTCTTGCAGGAAGTAGCCTGTCACAGTCGAGTATTTGATGTAGGCGGAGACAGCAGTGAAAGCGCTGCTGAGCAGCAAGGACGTTGTAAGACAAACCATAGTGGGAGGTTATACAGAGGGGATTGTAGGGAGAGAAGGAAGTACCTTTAGGAGTGTAGTTGACCTGACTTTGGCATCTGGGTGACGAGCTTGTGTCTGTTCCCTTTATATTGTCAGCCCACTAGCTGGTCGCCCTCCTCACAGCTTTATACCCGCGGTACCTGGGCCGCAGGAAGCTTCTCAGGCCTCTCATAGGGTCCATGATCGACAGGTCATCTTGTGTGCATTAGCCAATGCAACCTCAGCGTTGCTGTGTTTCGCAGGATTGACGTGCCAGGAACTGGATTGGAAGCAAGATGCTCAATCTTGTCGGTCAAATACGCGCCAATCACACTGCAGCTTCAACGGGCGTGCTTGGAGGTTGTCCCAATTCCAAATTAGGCCTCTTGAGCCTGTGCCAGCCCCGAGTTTCTTGTTGTGGCAGGTTTGTCGAGATTGGAAAACTCCGAGTCGTCGACGACGTCCACGTACTTTCCTTTCCAAGATCACGAACTAGATTGTAGAACAAGGGGGGATGAAGCGGAGACTGGCCTTGCTGACAACATCAAAAGGCTTTACTTGGTGTCAGTCCGTGGCTAAGGTGAAGGTGAAGTTCCACATTCTGAAACCTTTCAGTTGCGCGAGATGCATTTAAGGTAGATCATCCATACCTAGGTAAACAACTATGAAAGACATCCGTCACATGTCATGATACAAAAGGATCAAGCCAAGGGCTATTCCCTTCTCACCTCTAATCCAGGTCGGAATTTGCAAGAGTTCTCGTGGCGATCCCGGTTATCGGTTCGGCCCACGTATGTACATCCGTCGTTGCGGCAGGATACCTTTTCTTGTTTTCCGGTTGGACACTTGTATTTGAAATGCCTGTTTCGATTGCTCCGCGTCGAGAATATCTCCCGGCAGCCGAGGCAGCGGAAGGTTGTGGGTCGCAGAGGCTCTGGGAAGTCCGGTCCCCTTTCATCGAAGGATGGCAGTCCAATCATAGTTGACGCTGGGTCTGTAGAGGTTGGAACTGTCAATGGCGAACAAAATGTATCAGGGGACTGTGCACCACTGGACGAAGGGAACAACTCGAAGTCGAATGGAGACATAGTGCCTAAACTTGGGAGATCGCTGAGATCAAGCGTTCCCAAATCTTGGGGTGTGTCGTCCCACTGAACACAAGCTGGCTGTAGGTTGGCTGTAATTGTTGTTGACAGGTTACCTGTTGGGAACCCTCCAGACAAACTGCTATTTGTGTCCGACCATTTCAGGCGAAGATAAAGGGAGAGATATGCGCAGGTTAATTTCAGAATTTGAGCCGTGCTGCGCAGTGTGCCTGGCAGTGTTGGGATAGTAGGAACTGTAAGGATAGCAGCAGCGCCGAACCGCCACACTAGAAAGTGTTAGTCTGGGATTGTAGGCGTGGAAGGTTGCAAGGCCAGCGCTGAATCCAATGCCAGTAGAGCTGAGCTTGCCAGACGGGAGCCTGCCTACTCAGATACCTATGTTTGCAGCACCTCCTATGGTTCTTGGTAGACTTACGCAGTAGAAAGGCCACGAGGATGGTGAAGACAGGTCCCCAAAGAAGAAACTCAAGATCCGGTGACAAATCCTTAGTATCTCTCAACTCTATTCGTCGAGTGCGCTCTGCATTCCAATCTCTAGGCTGTCCATCAGTCTGAGATTGAAGGGTTGGGTCATTCGAGTCGAGTGGAGTGAATTGGTGACTTTCTGTCAACGAGTACTGTTGGTGGATCGCCGCTAGCCTTCGACCGCTAGAAGACGAACTGTCCAAGCGTTGAGTAGCCGTCGCAAGTTTCTCGATAAGCGGGCACAAGTGCTGTCTGAAACACAAGATGTCTTCTTGAGGAGGGTATGTAAAGTCGATGTTCTCAGGATCAATCGGAGAGTAACCCCAGACAGTTGAGGCGATTTCATCAAAAAGTGGCTGTTGTTTGATTGGTACATATTTTCGCCACCGGCTGAGATCGGCAATGAACCTGGTAAATGGTTAATCATGCACCAACATTCTTTAATGCGAGAGTGGATAAAGTATTGACAGAGGGGTCTTCATAGCGGAACTCACTCTTCTGTTGTGCATATTCCCTTGAATTCATTGTCAAAGCCAACAGCAATGCCAGCATCCTGCATGGCTCGGGTGAGCTGAAGGCAGCAGACGATTTCTTTGAAGCTCGTCGGCAAGCGATTCTTGTTGATCTTTCTAATTGCTGCAAATCCCCATTTGGAGATGTCTCGGTAATCGCAATAATTTTGAGCAAAATTTCGGAATGCCGTGGTTACTTGAAGCAATCGACTCTTCAGCAAGAAGTCCAAATGAGTGTCTTGCAATGATTCCACGAGAGCAGATTCAACTCGCTGTGAATCCAATGCCGGTCTGTTGAAGGACGAAAGATTGCGAGTCTCGGATTCCCAAGTCTGATACCATCGGTCTGGTGTTGAATCTATTAAGGACCCCTTCCCAATGTGGAAGACCTTGGACTTTGGAATGATATTCCACACTTCTTTGACCAGATTAAAATCGCCACTTCGTATCGCGACTCGTAGCACGGAATCCTTTTCGTGGGGGTGGAGTGGTGCATTCAACTGCAGGAGCCAACGCACCATTGGGATGTGGCCCCGGCGTGCAGCGCCTCCTAAAAGGGTTTCGTAAGGTATTGTACTCTGATAGATGTCTTCCCAGGTCATGAGGCCTTCGGATTCGCTGAGAAGACGTTCGAATAGAACTTGGGCAATCTCGACGTGACCATGCTTAACCGCGAATTGAAGATGCTGAGTCTCCAAAACCCGTGAAGGTTGGTCAAGAAGGAGCAAAACAATAACTAGATGGCCGTTTTTGATCGCGGTAGCCAATGCAATATCCGTGAAGCTGACAAAATGTCTTGGAAGAAGTGAGAGCAAGTAGCGGACGACATGCTCATGGCCTTCCGCAGCGGCAGCAGCTATAGTCCGGGAGCTGAAGACGTCCGCACCACGCATTGCGAGAGCTTGAACAGCCTGAAGATGCCCTCGTTTGGCAGCTACATCGATGGGCTGCTCGCGAATTGATTGGTCGACAAAATCTGAATCTTCCAGCTCTACTCCATGTGCAAGCAACAACCAGAAGATGTCCAAGTGATCTGCTGCTAAACTTGCAGATAAATCGTAAGCGGCGACTCTGACTTGGGTGTCTTCAAGCAGGCCTTGAATTGAATTGATATCACCACTTTTGATAGCGAGTGTCAAGGCGGATTCTTGACCCTCAGAGCCTGCGGGAGGATGATCTCTCCACCGTTCTGTGGCCACAGGTTCCACAGAGAGACTTAGAAGACGGTCAAGGTAAGCGAGATCATTTTCGAATTCCCATTGTTGCATGTCATTCCAGTGAGCGTAGGAGAGGAGACCACGGCTGTGGAGAAGGTCCAAGTCGAAGCAGCCGACATAGATTGATCGGTCCAACAAAAAATCACAGGCCAGAAGGCGTAGCTCCAATAGGCTCCAATTTTTCGGCCTTTGGGCCGCTTCTCTCTCGAAGAGTGATCTGAGAGCCGTGTAGTTCTGGAGCAGTGTAGGAAGATCGAGAGTGAGGACATGGTCGAGGGCGCTGGGCCCATTCAACTCGGCGGAACGAAGGGCTTCTAAGAGCAAGAATCGCAAGGTGGGACTGTGAACGCGAACCAAGATTTCTTGACTGGGCCGATTCTTCTCGACCGAGAATGCAATATTCTGCAAACCAGCCGTTACGTCCTGATCGGGATCTGCGTCATTGAAGATACCACCACCGGTTGTAGTCCCTCTGTAAACGCGGTTGCTGCTCCGTGTCAGAGAATGCGGCGAAAACAGAGTTGAATACCTACTCTTCAAATATTTCCTGGTATTGAAAACGAGGTGCTTCTTTAACACTGTCAATGTCATAGTCCCTCCAGTAGAGGATTTCATCGTAGGCCATTGTTTGCCTCACCAAGAAAACTGTCAAGGTGGTGCAGCAGAGCAGCCCCGCGGAGAAGATCTACTCCCAAGCTTGATGCATACGAGATAGTATGTAGCGATGGCATCCGGTCTCATAGTGAGGAGAAAGAGAGTACCTAAGAATTTAATGGACTCTGGCTAAGGCTATAGAGACCCCCGTGCCCAAAGTGCCCCTCGCAACTAACACATAGCACTGATCCTCAAGCAGTGACTGACTTGTGGGTGCCTGAAGGCTGCCAGTGAGGGGCCGATCCTCACTAATCCCTTCCTAGCACTAGTGCATCCTCACCCGCAATCCTCACTAATCCCTTTCTGGCACTAGTCAATCCTCACCCACAAAATCCTCACCAGACAACTCCAGATACACACCGCCGAGGATGCAAGAAGACGACGAAGGACCAATGACACCGGCGGCTGCATTGTGCTTTATGTCTCCTGCTTTTGAGGATCGGGCGCTGGTCTCCCCTGGCCTTCGATTTTCAGGATTCAACCCTAAACCCACACCTCATGCCCGTTCCCCTGAGGATTCATTGACCACGGTTTGAGGATCCCTTTGAACTCCATGATCGTCATCTGTGTTCCTACATCGCTCACTTCATCAGCGAAACGTACTACCGATGCCTCATCCGGAGGGGCCGACACTTGTCCTGGTGCGTAATTGTGTTGTGACATTCGCTTCTAGCGAGCAATCCTCGTACAGCCTCGCGGGCTCGCAGCCTTGTCGACCATCCTCGCCGCCAGCTCATTAATCCTCAATCCTCAATCCTCAACACTTCTATTCTCGATTCTGTCTGAAGACTACGGTCTGTACTTGACCATGAACCGGATCCTGGGTCGTACCAGCTCTGTGACCTCTTCGAAGCATATAGTTGTCGAAGATCCCCCTGTGAGAGAAAGGGTTAATTCAGACAACACAGCATATGACCAAGTTCTCACCCAAGTCACAAAGCCAGAATCTGCTCCAGAACACCTATACACGCTACGCGGCTGTTCAGATTTCTCCAAACCATGTACATGAACGGTAGATCTTTCCCACAGCTTTGTCCCCAACACACATCATCAGTTCCGGTCTCTGACTGCTTCCTAGGTACCGCCATTACCAAGGTGGCTGAAGCCGCATTCAACTTGACTCTTCCAACCTCCTCTCTACCTGTCATTTGCAGCACAGGCCGAGTGACCACCGACGGGAAGATTACGTTGGCCATTGGCATCACCCAGATCGGCGTTGCTATCGGGTTGGAAGTGTTCCGTCATTACTATCCCGGCCATTAAAAGCGTTCCACAGGATAGACCTTTGGTCGGATACCCAGTCTGTACAAGACTAGGAGGAGTTAGGGGTTGGAGGTGATGGCAGAGCAAGAAGGGTCCTGGCATCAGAAATAGTGGCTTTGTTGCATTGCATCTACTCATTAATAATCTGAAGAGGTATTGCATTTACATGGAATGTGCGAATCATATCAATCAACCAGCGTTATCGACCTCAAGATATATATATGGCAATTGCTAGTGCTACCAAAGAGTATATTCCTCTACCTGCCAAAGCGACCATCTTGACCCTCTTTGATGTGTATGTGTATACCACAGCATTCTCCCATTCTGACTCTTTGTTGTCGGCAAAACTCCAACGCTCTTCGCCAGTTGAAGGACTCCCCTGTCCCGTAACGGTTGAAGGCATACTGGCCAACTCCGTGCCTGCAACCCGGTCTATTAGTCAACCTGTTCCGCTACTCATCACTAATATCGCGATATTGGCTAGTAAGAATGCATCGAATGCAATGTGGACAAACTGTGGTGGAGCACGGGAGTCCCGCCAGGACAAACTTTCACAGACGCTCCAGCCGTTCGGCCGCGCGGTCCTTCCCGCGGTGAGCCTGCGACCATGTGGCTGTGAGGATTGACTTCAGGCGTGTGTCTGTGCAGATCTGGGAGCAGCTTCACTACCCAAAGTGAAAAGCTCTGAAGAGACGTATGTAATAAAGATACCGCGGGCTCTGGCGGGCAGATCAGATCGCGGTAAGTTTGATGCCCGGCGAGCGGGTAGGTACAGGTGAGACAGTAGGACAGCACCGCGACCCGCGACAAATGTCTTCTCTCTGCTGAAACTGGAGTGAAGCGGGTATCTACATAGCCTTTGTTCTCTTTCTTATAAATATCTCCTCGTCCCCTCTTCAACATTCCATCTCTTCTCTCCTGAGACCATCTCCCCACCAACTCCTTTACCCACCCACACCTATCTCTCTCTCTATATATATCATAAGCCTCCTTGGTTCCGGAGACCTGACCAGGCTGCAAGACTTCCCTGCACAGACTTTCTGAACCAATCCTGCTCTCAAGATGAATGCGCACACCGGGCACCGTGCGCCGAGAAACAGACCAACAGTCCCTCGGTCAGACCGCCCGCAGGTGGTGCATTCGAGTTTCCAATTCCCAACAGCGGCGATAAGGTTGGGCTAGGGAGGGTTGGATGAGGCGGACCGTGACGAGCAAAGTCGAAAGAAGGTGCCCTCCTTGAGGAGAAGAAAGAAGCGGCCGCAAAAGAAGCGAGCGCGCTCGAGGCAATCAGCCATCGCCTCACGCAGCGACTAGATGAGGCGAACAAGGGGCTGCGGTCTCTCAAATCGGTGCTCGCGAAATCCAATCAAATCCATCTCCAGGCTATCACAACGTTCAGTGCAATACAGACATCTGCTGGAGCGCATTAGCTTTGTGCTGGGAGGTTTGTATGCGAAGGAAAGGGAGCTCATGACGATGAGGTGGCCGCTGCGTTGAAAATCACTGTTCGTATGGACAAAAGGGGGGAGAACATCGTTTCAAAGCGAGGCAGAGTCTCCTTTACAGACCGTGGGCTCTCTTACCATCTTGGCTGAGTTGTTCCAGCCGTCTGACATACAAGAGAGTGTTGCATGAACAAGCCAAAGCCATTCTCCTGGCCACTGGCAAGGTCTTGAAGCCTTGACCGCAGAGGAACAAGCCGCCGACGATATTGATCCTGACCAAGACTACCAAACCTTGGTTCAAGCCCATAAGGACAGAGACCATTACGCCGTCGCCAAACAAGCGCAAGCGTCGTCAGGAGACCGTCACACCGTCGCCAAAGAAGCGTAAGCGCTCAGCCAGTGTCACACCGGCGCCCAGTCAAGAGAAGCCTGAGGGTGTTACATCTCCACGAGGCAAGAAGAGCCGTGAGAGCAGCATCATGTCCTCTCCAGGCAGAGGCAAGGGTGATCGGTCATCGTCTCGTGGGAGCCGTAGCAGTCGGTCAGCATCACTTGTATCGCCCCGACGCAATTCCGATCTTACAAGACGCCGCACCCCATCTGATCAGCGTCGTGTCCGTTTCGCGACCAAGGTGTCCACAGTGAACCGAAGAGACAGGGGAGGATCTTGGAGGTCAGAAAGTCAGGCAGTGGGTGGTATGTGGCAGCTCCGGTCCGCCCTCTTAGATCAATTGGGTTGTGAATGAGACCTCCTGGATTCAATACAATGATTTGATCATATGAATCTCGTACCCTTATCCGACCATCGTTGCACTTCATCCATTTTGGCTCTCTGGAGTTCGTCAAGGAATTTCTTTCTCGATGGAACTCGCCTTGACGATCGCCTGGATGACTTTTGACTGCGGTCTGTCCGTCACGGTGATAGAAGTCAACCCAACAGCACCAGTAGGCCTGATTCTCCTCTATCATCCATAGGGTGCCTGTGACCAACAGGATTGACGACGTTAGTCGTTAGTCGGGCTGCTCAATATATACTGTGCGTCTCCGGCTACCATCTTCGGCCAAGTTTCCAGGATGAGAGAGAAGTTCTGGTGTCGTCGAAGTTGGGAAAATGAAAGCGATTTGAACATGGCCGTAACCTGAATGCGTGCTAGGCGATCTCCCCGCAAACAAGCCATCGGCTAACCTTCCGCATCCTCACGTCTTCTCCAAACATCGCAAATCGAAAAAGTACCAAATCCAACCTCAAGCAGAGCAACAGCCACAAAACCATTGTACTTTCGCGCCAAATGGCTCTTTCGAAAGGTGCCGGTGAAGCACCGTTAAGAACAAAGACTCACACAATTGCAGGCGCATCAGAAGCCGACATCGCCACAAACAAAGCCCTCCTTTTCCACGCCGAGGCTGCGCGGCTGGCGAAATCATGGCTCCGCGGCACAACAACCACCGGTGACGGGCGTGACGAGGACGAAAAGGAGGACCAAGCCGAAGAAGATCTCGAAAGGGAATTCCTGCGGAACAAAGACCTCTACTCCGAGACGGGAGGTATAGGATACCACCCTCCCACAGAATCCACCTCGTCGACTGCCGCGACGCCGGGCTTCACTGATCCCGCGACGACGTTCTTGAGGAAGCAATTGCTGCGCGGCCACCAACGCGGAGGACGAGCCACAACTGGCAATGCACACAACCACAGTGCCGGAGGCGCTCGACCGAGACCACAGATACAGGCATCCAGGCGGGTAAAGGGTGAGGAGGTCTCGGACGAAGAAGAATCCCGCTCGAAAGGCGTGGGAAAGAGGAAACGGAAAGGCAATATCGTGCAAGCAGCGGTCGAGAGTGATGACGCCGCGGCCGCAAAATCGGCACCGCAGACAGACCAGATGGAGACGGAACATTTGTCTGAAAAAGCCGGCGCGATTTCTACTCCCAGTCAGTCGCATGGAGGAGAAACTGACCGCACTGTCCATGCACCAGAACCCAGCACCACCCCAGCGATACCGCCGAAAACAAGCAGGAAACGTGGTGCAGGCAGTTATCTAGACGAGCTCCTCGCCTCACGAGCCGCGAAGAAACAGAAGAAGAAAAACAAGCATAAAGGCAAGAGCCTTGCCGAGTCCGAACCGGGATAGTCGCATCCGAGAATGACGACCGATGTGACTGAAGAACCAAGAAATCATCATATCTGCATTGTGAAGCCCCAGCTTGGGGGCTTCTATATATCCGCCTCTGCTCCGAACGACCAGTTTCTCCATGAAAATGCGAGCAGATATTCGGGCCGTAGTTCCATGGCGCAAACCCGGGGCCTGGAGAGCCAGAAGTCAACAACCCAAAGATGAGCTGCGAATTGACCCAAAACCCCAGACAAGTTCATGTCATCTGGTAATCGTGACTCTATACCCCAACCCTTCCTGTCACCCTTCACTCGTCTGTGCTTGCAATACCATTTCAAGATCCATATCTCTGCCCATTGGAAAGTGCAGAACTGATGACAAGGCCGCCGGAAAATGTACACCACAGGCGTGTCGCTAGAACCAGATTTCTTACCAAATCCACGGTCAAATATGGACTCCAATAGATTACCATCCATTCCCCTGTCGGTATGTACAACATGATAAACGTTATGTGAACACATCCTCTCTCATCCAATGCTTCCGGACAAAAATTTCCCCGGGGCCTTTATAGAAATTGACCCAATTCAGCAAAAGAAAAATGGCAACATTTTCTGCAATCATGTCAGTCGTTTCCGTTTCCGGTCGTCATCGCGGCCATGGCCAGGCCCTTCATCCTCGTTTTCTTGCTCCGCTGTCTCGGCGGGGTTCAGCAATGAATGCAAAGTCGCCATACTTCCTCTCCGCGTTGCTGGAGCGGAATGGAGCTCAAAATTCGGCCGCGGGAACTTGCTGCCTCCCAATGGCCACGGCACGTTCTCGACTCCCAGGCCGGCAGGCGGTGCCTCGGAGCTAGAGGTGAGCGGTGGTGTGGGCTGGCTCGCCTGGGGTGCCGCAGGTGTCCTCCTCGGACCATTAATCTCGTATTGAGCCAGTTGATCACGAATCTGCTGGTCTCCAGCAGTCTGAGGTGGCTGCTGTGGTGAAGACGGCTGCCATTGCACTGATGATTGTCCAGAAGCATAGGGCGAACCGTTTCCATTGGCAGGCGGCCAGCCGTGTTCTCTAATATCAGCTGACGTGTGCCTCCTCGCCAAGTTCATCGGGGGCGGTGTCACCACCGAAGCCAGCGGATGCACGCTGGCCGGCGGCTGTGGTGGGAGGGCCGGACGACTGAATCCCGGAGAGACATGTGGGATGCTGATTGAGCCAAATCGACGCGGCGAGGAAGCAGAAAACTGAGGTGGTATCGGCGGGACAGGCGGACGTAATCCTACATGCTGCGGCTCGATCTGGACGGAGGATCTTCGGCTGTCTGGATAATTGAACCCCCGTGGAGAAAGCGGCGGTTCCAGCGTGGAACTGCCAGGGTAGAACGACTGTCTGCCATTTTGCAAGGATTCCTGAGGAGCCTCTAGGGCGCGTACATATTCGAGTTGTCGCGCAATCTCTTTTTGCATGCTGGCGATATCCGCGTACAATGCTGATTCAGGGGAGGACATTGTCTGGACAGCGCTCGTGACATTTTGGAGCCATTGATGGCATCGGACCAGTCCCTCGGTCAGTGCTTGACACCTCGAGCTCATCAGTGCGTAGCTGTCTTCGGTCCTTTGTAGTCTTGAATGGACATCGTAGAAGGCTTGTTCGAGGCCTGCAAGACGTTGGTCTGTGTCGGGCATGACCTCGGCGGGCGTGCCTGGTTGAGAGACGCCAGGTTTGGCATTGGAGAATGAGTCTCGATGTATCAGCGTGTGCCGGGAAGCGCGCCTTTTGATTTCCCGTAGGCCCATCAAATCGCCCTTCTTGAAATTGCCGTTTCCGTGCTTGAACTCCCACAAAGCGGATTCGGGAGACCCGGTATGGAAAACATCGCTGACCTTGTGAAATCCGTACATGTTCAGCTGCCGAACAAAGGAGGAGATATTGGTGTGTTTGAAATATTGTGCCAGAACTTTTGAAAACTCGTTCGAAGGGGACATGACAAAGCTCTCGTTGGTGTTGGACCAGGAGATGAGATGCTGGATGCTCTTGTCCTCTAACATACTGTATAGCTTGTGAATGAAAGCTGTTTGAACCACCTTAGGCCCCTGAGAAGCTCCCACGGCCCCTGCCGCGGTACTGTTATTTGCACCAAGCGACATCTGCTCCCGAGACCCATTCAACAGATTACTGCCTTGCCCTTGTTCCACCTCGGGACTTCCTCCTGCTCCTGGCACTGGAGGTCCCATGTTCGGAGGAGCGGGAGAGGTCATGATCGAGTCCTCCTGGATCGACTTCGGCGACGGGTGATTGTTAGTGGCGCTTTGAGGCAGGATAGCCATCGATCTAGGTCTCGGTGAAGGTTCGATAGGAGAGCCGAAAGGATTTCTGAGAGCGGGTTGAAAAAGGGTACTCATGATGCTTCTTTAAGCACCGGTCTTCCGTGGCGTCGAGAGGCCGAGTGGAAAAGGCGGTGCGCGTAGACGGTGACGGAGGTCCTATTTTCAAGTCATGCAAGGCATCAATATCTTGCACCGAGGGTGGAGCGGTCCACACATTGGAGGAGGTAGGAATGGCAGAGGGGGTGGGAGGGCCTTGGATCTTGTGGTGGTGGTGGTGGTGGTGGTAGTGGTCGATGCTCTCGAGGCTTGCGGTCTAGTAGTTGGGCGCAGGTGGATTTCGGGAGAAGGAGGACGTCTCACGAAGAGTTGCCCAGCCGATAAACAATCGTTGACGTGACCTGGTTGATGTCGGATCGGAATGTCTGGCTGTCAAAGGGGGTGGTAGGGTGGAGGGTGGAGGGTGGACGAAGAGTTGGAGGTGGGAAGTTTTCAAAGTTGGAGATGGGTGGGAAGATGAGTGCGGCTCTCGGGAACTGAAGGAAGTTGGATTCTAGAAGGGACGTTCTGAAAAAGGGACGAGGTTAAAAACGCTGGTCGGTGGTGACCCTGCAGTGCCTGCTTAGGGGGTATCGCGGACTGCCGGCAGCAGAAAATGCGATCGCGGGGGGCGTGCAAGGTTTGCTGAGTTAACCGTCGCTAATGCGCATTTAGCTGTGAGATGGTGGACTCGGTCGAGACGCGCGTGTGTGATATAGAGCCAGGGGGGCTTATTGTACAGTTGGATTCGAAACGCAGAGATGGTTTCGCGGAGGAGGGAGGGTCGAGCAAGAGCTTAGAGGGGAGAGTGGAAACGGGAGAAGAAGAATTGCTGGAAAAGAAGCGAGTTTGGAAATTAGTGAGATATGCTTTTTGGGATGATTGCGAATTCGCTTCTGGGAGAGCGGACGATCACGGCGAGGCGGGAGTGCCGGTAAAAGTGACAGCGCCCACAGCTTCAAGAGGGTTTTCCCAAGAGATCGGGATGGGATTGGCGAGAGATGGTGGAGGGTGACAGAGGAGGAGAAGGATCGATTGCAGAGCACGGGACGGTATCTGACGATGGATGAATAATGTGGGTTTGATGAGGGTTTGCTTTTCCTTGATGGCTACGGAGGGGCCGGATTTGTGTCAACTAAGGATTGCAGGTGACAAGGGGGTGAGATGGACGACAGCAATGGCCACGGTGGCGGCGACAGAAAGGATGGGGAAAAGAAGGACGCAGTATGGTGATAGGCGAGTCAAGGGTGCGAGCCATGGCGCTTAAAGAGGGCAAGGGAAAAGGAGAAGGAGAACCGTAGACACCGAGATAGAGTAACGTTGTGGGATGGTTGAAGTGTACTCGGTCCTGGGTACCTAGTAGCTATCAGATGATGGAAATTACCAGCCATACTACCGGGTCCAACGTTGGACCAATACGAGTTATACGGAGGACTGGATGGAGGATCTGTTGAACCGAACTTGAAGGGAGGGAGAGCGGAGGGGATCTTTTCCAGAGCAACAAAAGATGGGCAAGCCGAGTAGGAACAGCTCCAGGCCGGCAATTTCATGGATCAGCGTACATGAATCAGGGTTACAAGCGCAGACGCGAGAAGGCAATGTAAAGGAGCAAAAGGATGAAAAGGCGTAGGAAAACCGCAAATGGTGGCAGCTGGTTGGAGGAAAAGAAATGCACGATTTGATAACTAACAAATTATTAAGGCCCATACTAGCAATCGAAGCTGGGCTCTCAACTGGAGGATTCTGTCTGGCAGCCTAGGCGGTGGCCATCATTACCCGGAGCTTGCCGGATTAGTTACAGGACGAGGGAGTGGCACCTCTAAAGGACTCCGTACCGAGCCCGGAGGGAGCCAAGTAGCACTAGTCCAGCTAAGAGATTTTAGTTAAGGTTACCTGTGCTTGGTTAAGCTGCCGTCCCCCTTACCCCAGCCCATGCTGATAGGTGCCTGCAGCGCCCGAGATAAAAAGGGTCTCGGGGCTACATCTAGACTTTCCTCACGTTGCCTTCTCTCCCACTCCTTGCATGTCACCAATCATCTCTCGATCCTTCAGAACGGACAAGATCTTGGAACGGAGCGAGGCACGGCAGCTTTGCATCTTGCTGGACATGAAAAAAATAAAACAAAGAACAATCCATACAAAGAGATCCACGAACTTGGTTGAGCCGGGTCTTTGGCACTGGTTGATTGACAGTCGCCGAACTTTTGACAGCGGACGCCGGCATCAGTTTGGTCCATTCTTCTCCATTCACCTCCAGCGATTTGGCGATGGGTGTGAATGCCATGGCATTGCTTTCTCCTGATCTCCATCTACCTGCACGTCGACCACGAACCGATACGAACTGGTGCGCTAAGCCAATTCTTCCTCCACCGCCGTCATTGGGAGCACCCTCTTTCCCCGTCTTCTGACCTGTGCCTATTCCACCTGGTCCGTGGCTATATCTTCGGCTTGGTCCTATTGCCAATCTGTCCATGTCTCCTCGAATCTTGTACTACCGTGACTCCTGAATCCTCGCTTCAGGCATGCCTTAACGGTCTTGAGTGCCGGCCGGCGGTGAGCCAGCATCTTCTCCTCCCAAGACCTCTTTCAATTACCGCCTCTCGCAATCGAGACCTTTTGGAAATTGTGTGCCAACCGCCGTGTGGCTCTTTTGGTGACTGACATTTCGTATAAACCAATACTCATTTGCACATTTCGGTGGAACTGTGTGTTATTGGAAGTTCGGACTTGACTTCCCCAAGAGGATGGTGCTTGATATGTCGATGATGACGCTCCGGACCAGAGGCCTCACCGCCGCATGGAGCATAAGTCGCTTGGTGGCCAAGACTGCTACCATGCCTTGGTCGAGCTCCTACTATATCCGCTCTGGTTATGCTCACTTACCTAGGTAGTCAGGCATCCAAACATTGTTTCGGACTTGGAGGGATGGTCGATAAAAGGTGTTCTTCAACTCTAGCTCCTCGACCCGGAGCCCAGAACCACTCAGACCTCAGGACGCAAGGCAAGGCGAAGCTTCATCCACCTGGCTCACCTCGATCCGCAGGTCATCATAACCTGATTCACCGTGTTGGGTAGGCGGAATTGTCGTATTCTGAAGCCTCTGAAGTCTCCAACTCCACGACTCCCGCTGATTGGTCACTATCTTTGCTTCCCTCTGATCTTTGAGCAATTCGTTGGAGGGATCTGGTCGGTCCATGGGGTCAAGGTCACGACGCATTATCGCGTGGATATAACCCTGAATATATCTGTTGTAAGTAGCCTGTTCGACGGCATCTCCCATAACTGCTGTAACGTATATTCAACCAAGCACTACATAAAAGTTGCCGGCAGGGGCCGATTTCACCGATAGGGGGAACTCTTGTTGGACCCGGTGGTGCTTTTCTTATATCGTGCTGCATACAAGGAAACTGGGGATTCTTGGGGCTGCAACTTTTAGCGAGAATGACTAATCAGAGTCTCGCGTAAAATTCCCCTGCACACCCTGATCCGGTGGCATCGAAATAATTTTTGTTTTCCTGTGTTTGTGCCCGACGACATTGTCTGCACTACCTCTTCAACCCCACCGAATTTTTGACCCGGCTTCACCTTCCAAGTATTGGGCAGCCAAGTACTTCATAATGTCCAAAGCAGCGTCCGCTCGCCGACATGCACCTCTCGAAGACGATATCACTGCTTCTGGAGGCCGACTCCGAACCAAATCAATTACTGGGAAGAGAAAGTCAAGATCGGATGAAAGCGCACAAGGAGATGGTTACATCGACTCTCGGTCCTCGCGAAAGATATTGGCAATAGCTCAAGATCTCGTGGACGAAGACGCAGCAGAACGCCGGGCTACCAGCGCAAATTCCACATCCCCCACGAATGGAGCGTTCGGCTTCGACTCTAGGTTTGCGGTAGATGACGAAGATGGGACTGGAAACGTGCACGGGGAGAGTCGGTTCGATGACGAGGAGGAATGGATACCGGAAGACGACGAAGCCGTGGCCCCTGAGGATGACATGGATCCGGAGGAGATGGCGGTCTACAAAAGGTTCCTCCAAGATGGCGAAGAACTGGCCGACTTTGCACCATCAATTGCAAATTTGACCACGAGCGACACCTTATCGGCGAATGGGAGGCGCAGGCACCAGCAAGCAAGAGCCAACGGGGCGACGGAAGAAGGAGAACAAGAGGAAGACGAAGGTCAAACAACAAACCTTGCAGACTTGATTCTGCAACGTATCGCCGAAAAGGAGGCGTTCGAAGCTTCTCGATCCGCCGTGCAGCCACAAACGTTCATAGGCGGTGGCTCTATGGAAGATGCCGTCGAGATCCCCATGAAAGTCGCTGAGACATTTACCAAGGTCGGCCAGCTCCTGTCACGTTACAAGTCCGGTCCTCTGCCCAAGCCATTCAAAGTTCTCCCAACGCTACCACAATGGCCAGATCTTCTCTCTATCACAAGACCCGAGAATTGGACTCCACACGCGGTCTACCGCGCGACAAAGATTTTCATCTCTGCCCCAGCGGCTACGGGTCAGCACTTCTGCGAAACAGTCCTTCTCGACCGCGTGAGGGAAGACATCCAAGAGACCAAGAAACTCAATGTCCATCTCTACAATGCCCTGAAAGCTGCCTTTTACCGACCATCTGCGTTTTTCAAGGGGTTTTTGTTTCCGCTCGTGGAGTCGAGTTGTACGCTGCGCGAGGCGCACATCATCTCTTCCGTGCTGGCCAAGATCAAAATTCCTGTCCTCCATTCTGCAGCCGCTCTGTTGCGGCTGTGCGAGATCTCGGCGGAACAGACGGCAAACGTGAACAGCGAAGCCGCTGGTGCTGCCAACATCTTCATCCGCGTCTTGCTTGCGAAGAAATATGCGCTGCCGTATAAGGTTGTGGACGGCCTTGTGTTTCATTTCCTTCGGTTTAGAGCCTCCAAGGAACAGGACCAAGAGGCGTTGGGATCCAAAGAGGCCAAATTGCCCGTCCTGTGGCATCAGAGCCTCCTAATATTTGCGCAGACATACCGGAACGAAATCACCGAGGACCAGCGAGAAGCACTACTGGACCTGCTGCTGGTCAGGGGCCATAAGGATATTGGACCCGAGGTCAGACGTGAGTTGCTGGCCGGTAGAAACCGAGCTGGTGCAGATGGACACGGTGGTGGTGAGATGCAGATTGATGCACTAGAAAAGAGGGACGATGGGGATGATACTATGGACATGAAGGGCTGATGATTATGAGACTTGAAGGCATGATGAGCAGCAGAGGCTCTCACACGAGATACGTTCTCTATGAAAGGAATCGGTCAATCCTCCGGAGCAGGTTTGATGTTCCTTTTTACTGGCTGTCGCCAACCAGGTCCTGTTCTCGATCACGTGAAGCGGATGATTCGTATTTCTCGTCCAACTTGAAACGCTCGTGTAAAATCCGTATCAAGTCGCTTTAGTATGTGAACCCCTGAAATGTCCCGGCCGATGCGACGATTGTTGGGGCCAGTTGCTGATTACCCACCGTCGCTCACTGTGCCGTCAGCCTCTGTACTCGTTCCATAATTCACATAACATGTATATCCATCAAGAGGCTCAGCCATCATGAATTGCCACATCTGACTTTTGCGGGCTTCAAAGCAGCCTTGGAACTGTCTCTTCCGTGCGACCGGCTTATGTACGCAAATCGTTCTTTCTATGACCATGAATTGCAATTTTGTAACATGTCCTTGATACATTGTCACGACTACCAGCAATAGAAGGAGGCGACGGAAAAGGAAAGAAGGGTAAGAGAAAAGACGAAACCTACGGAAGATGAATCTTACCGACGAATTCCGCCATGAGCGCCTCAAGCTCTACGGCAACTTTATGCGTCTCCTTCAGATTCAGGGCGGCACGAAGAAGGACGTGATCAGTCTCCGGATCACCCAGTACGCCATCCATCGTCGCCCTCCTTACGCCGCCATCTCCTATACCTGGGGCCCCAATCCGCATGCCAACAATGTGAGGCACCACCATCACCAGCACCAAACTGGGAAAGCCAACGCCCAAGCGGCGGCGGTGGAAACGTACACGCGGCAGATCCGGGTCAACGGGCGTCCATTTCGCGTGCGCGTGAACCTGTGGAATCTGCTGTATCACCTGCGTCAACGCGGGGAGTCGAGGTTCCTCTGGGTCGACGCCCTGTGCATCGACCAGGAGAATTTGGAGGAGCGCAATTTCCACGTCCAACGCATGTCCGAGATCTATGAAAAGGCCGTCCTGACTTTTGTGTGGTTGGGCCTGCCGTCGGAGGACAGGAGGCAGGCCAGGGCACTCGAGTTCATCAGCGAGATGGCCACATTTTGCAGGAAACATCATCATCACCATCAACATCAGCCGGACCTGTCCTCCTCGGCTTTCCGTGCAAAGTACTTGGTCGAGGCCTATGCGCACCGCTGGGCAAACTTGCTCGAACTCTGCAGGGGCAACTACTGGACCCGCACCTGGATCATCCAGGAGTTTGTCAGGGCGAGCAAAGTCCAAGTCCTTTGTGGCACTGCCAGTCTCGATTGGATCGACTTCGAGGACATTGTCCGCGCCGTGCGCTCGATCATCTCCTCGCCATCCTCAACCACAGCACCGTCGCTTACATGTTCACCTGCCATGCCGGCATTCGTGCAACAATTCACACAAACAATCCCCTTCCGTCTGACGTCGCGGCGCGCCTCACACACGGCCTCGACGCTTGAAGACCTGCTCTTGGAATTCTACGATTCGAAATGCGCCGAGCGCCGCGACAAGGTCTACGGCATCTTGGGCATCGCAGACGACTGCGGCGAAGACCCCGAGGGACCACCAGGATCCTACCGCGGTCCTCAACCGGACTATTCAAAGCATATCCTCGAGGTCCATTTCGAGGTCTTTAGCTATTTGATGCAGCCATCATTAGCGACGCCGAGGTCCCGGTCGCCGATGCAAGCCATCTTTCTGGCTCAGCGCGCACTGGGCATCACCCAGGCCGACGTGGAGAGCTACATGGCGCTGCAGGCTATACAGAAACCCGGCAATGGCCAGGGTGTTAGTCTGTTGACTGGGAGACTGCGCGACTTCACCTACCCGCTGGTCCCGGACTACGTCAATTTCATCGACGAGGTACTTCCCGGGTGGACCAGCATCCGCGATCTGCGCCAGCGCCTCGAGCAGGTCGACTGGGCAAAGTACGTCGGGCACGAAGTGCGGAAAAGGTCGTCGACGAGGCCGTCTGCCGGTGGCACGCAGAAAAGCTCGAGTTCGACAACGTCCGTAACGAGTACAACGTCGTCGTCGACGGCGGGAACAGGTACCCCAACGGCAACTGGGGCGGGAACGGGGACAGCGTACATACGCGCCCCGCTGCCGCCGGACATGATTGAGAATGTCGTCCACGCCGCGTCGCATAGCGAAGAGATATCGCATTTGTACAACTACTCTCCACCACCACCATCATCAACTTCTTCTTCAGCATCGTCGAATACTCCTACTGCTGCTGCCGCTCCTCCTCCCATGACAGGCCCTGGGAACGGAGCGACAAACTCACATCCACTTCCAATCCCCATCCCACACATGCTCAAACACCCACACGACAAACGCCTCCACAACAACCCTTCGCTCCTCAAACCCCGCGTCATCATCGAAACCAACCCGCCCAGGGCCATCGAGCCCACACGCATCGGCTTCGCCTGCACCGACGCCCGCCCGGGCGACCTGCTGTGCCAGTTCTCCGGCCTGGACGTCACGCTGATCGCGCGGCGCCGGGGGTCGGGGAATGAACTGGCCCTGGTGGGCCTGGGGAAAATGTGCACGCACCAGGGACTCAAGGAGAGGAGCGTGCATCCGGCGTGCAGGACGGGCGACGCCGGTCAGGGGAAGTGGTCGGGCGTGCCACTGCAGGTGGTCGCTGCAGGTGGCGTGCAACATGGGGATCAAGGGGATCGTACGGGTATGGCTATTCTTGCAGGGGGGAACCCGGATGGTTGGTCCATCATGGTGGATCCTATTGGGCTCTGGGAGGTCTTGAGACGTAGTTAGGAGGAAGTCATTGCGATCATTGTCACTCTTGAGGGAAGGGGCGGAATATGTACATTGATTGCTAATTTCAAAAGGCTCTATCCACATCATGCCATAAGTCACTCGTACACACGGCGTTGTCTGTTGGGGTACTCTGTCTCTAGGTATTCCTGCCTTGAACGCGAGACCGTTTCTGACGCCTGTACCGACATTTCCGTTCGCAAAGACCCCGCTAGAGGACTAAATACACACGGATTGACGCGGTGCGTACCATGTCTGTTTCAAAGTGATACTTTTAGTCGGCCAGAGGTGTGCCTCGCCTGCACTTAAACCGATTGCCGAGTATGATGGAAAACGACCATGGCAAAGCCAACCGATTCGAGCTCGACCACTGCAAAATGGGAAAGTGCAAGGTCACTGTCCCCTTTGGTAGAGACTTCAGTGAGACCCATTGGTACCGGTGAGTCTGTGATTTTGCGAGAGGAAGGCCGTGGCTTTTGATGAATGCAAGCGCAATGCTGTGTCTCTTGGAGCCGTGTCAAGTTGCGACCGGGCCGGCGAGGATGAATGCGATGTCGTGGAGACATGCACTTCGCAATGTATCTTGACTAGCTTCTGGATGCGAGCGAGCAGCGCAGCGAGGTTCTAGCAAAGAACGATCAGTGGACGCAGCCAGTTAGCAGTAGGCGTGGTGGGTCGTGAGTCTGAACAGGTTTTTCGCAGAGAGGATCACAGCCAGTTTCCGCGCCTGTCGCATATGGCCGAGATGTGCTCTGTATAGCTGGCCGAGCTACTTCGTCATGAGTACAAGATTGTACGATCAACCGGTAGTCGTCGAAGCATCATTTCCTAGCCCAAGATCTTGGTATCAACTAGCCGTCTTATGTCCTTTCCGTGAAAGTTTGACAGAAAGTTCTGTGCAAAGTAGATGACAGAAAAGTCATCCCCATATTGTCCGATAGCCTGCATGCCAATGGCCACATCAGCACCCCAAGGATGGTCAGGGTGTGCTGGCGCTGGGACCGATATCGCAGGAAGGCCCGCTAGACTTGCTGGCACCGTGAAAACGTCGTTCGTATATCGTTCCACAGGTCGAGAATACTCCAAGCTGTTAATAAATGGCGGCGGGCTTGGCGCAGTAGGGACAATGATTATGTCGACGCCATTAGGGTTTGCCTCGCCCCCGTCACGGAGGGGATTTGGCATCCTGAAAACAGCGTCAAAGTCCTGCTGCACCAGCCGACGGACCTTTTGGGCCTGTATGAAGTAATTTTTCATAGCCCCAGCGCTCAAGGAATACGTTCCCAGGAGAATTCGCCTCCGAACCTCAGGTCCAAAGTTTTCATATCTGTAGGATGAATAAAGCCCATCCCCATCTCCATCTGCCGGGGCTGTGCGCTTCCGGCCATACCGAACACCGTCATATTTCGCAAGGTTTGAAGACGCCTCGGCCGGGGCCAGAACGTAGTAAGCTGAAAGTGCATGCTTGGTAGACGGAAGGGAAATGGGCACGATTTCAAACTTGTACTCGTTTTGAAGATGGCTCAAGGTTGCCGTCCAGGCCCAGCGGACAAGGGGATGCATCTCTTCAATGTTGTACTCCAGAGGCACTCCTATTCGTCGAGTCTGGAAGTTTTGCGACGTTGTAACAGCAAGATTTCTTCTTCTCGAAGCCAGAGATGCTAGACCTTGTTCTTCTAGCAAGCCCTTTGCAGAAGGCACTCTGGCGACGAACAGCTTGGAACCAAGGACCTCCCGTCTTCTCATATGCTTTGCAGCTCTGATTCGCTCTCGAGATGACCGATCCAAACATGTAGGATCCGAGGCGTCTGGTTGCTGCAGTATGTCTGCACCCGTAAGTATAAGAAACCCAACCTGCAGAGGTCTACTAACCAAAGGTCAACCTAATGTCAGTCGCGGATTTGGCGAGTATTCCGACGGTATCCAGAGAGTGTGCATAAGGTATCAGCCCCGTGCGAGATATCATTCCATAGGACGGTTTAAAGCCTACAAGGCTCATATAAGCTGCGGGCAGTCTGACAGAGCCTCCCGTGTCGGTCCCAATAGCGATATGAGCCAGATTCTTGGCCACAGCAAGGGCACTCCCGCCAGAGCTTCCACCAACCGACAGATGGTCACTCTTTACCGCACCGCCGTTGACCACGGGGCCGTATGCGGAGTGGGTAGAGTGTGAGCCCATTCCAAACTCGTCCATATTAGTCTTTGCAACCAGAACCATTCCCGCCTTTTCAAGCAACTTCGTGACGGTAGCATCTTCCGCAGGACAGAATCCTTTGAGAATTCTGGAGGCACATGTCGTCGGCAAATCTGCTGTGACAATGTTGTCTTTGATAGCCACCGTGAAGCCATCATTTGCAGATTTCAACCTGTCTTTTCACGCATTAGTTCTCGAGCTTTGACGGGTCCAGACCTGACTGACGGAAGTTCTTCCAGTTTCTTGTGCTCTTGTGAACGCTATCCAGCCGCTCCGCACGCTTGAAGACCGCATCCTGCAGCCGGATTTGATCGTGAAGCGAAATATATGGGTTGCCGTAATGGGCGGAGTTCTGTGAGCGCTGCAGGATACTCCGGACTTGCGCTTTGAGGGTGATGTCCCTATAATCGCGGTGGCCCCGACCAATACGCATCAGAAGTCGACTTGAGGGGACGGAGGCCGGTCTGCTTGAGTGCGGCCACTGTCGACGAGGCAGTCAGTTACAACCAAGACCGAGCAAGCGGAGATGCAAATAAAGAACGCAGGACGTAGCTCGCTCAATGGGCAGCCAATCACGTGTATGCCTTGGCCCGGAGCAAATAATCTCCGATCCCGCTTCTGCGATCAACTCGCCAACCTACAATATACCCGAGAACTTCGATGTACCGCGGTTGGTGTATTCTATTGGAATTTTGTTGAATCATCTGATGTTATATGTCCCATATTCAAGTCTCTTATGGCTGTCGAATCCACTCATCTATGACCGGGACTTAGACTTTGCCTGCTTTCTCGGTAGACGGAGCGGCAGAGGTCTCAGTTCGCCGTCAGCTCATTTCAAGTGCTATCCTATATATGAATAATCATCTTCACACCATGAGCAATGCTTCGCAAGAGATAAAAGGCACTAGAATCACAGCCTGCACCGAATGTCGCCAGCAAAAGGTTCGCGGACTTGATCAACCTCCACCCTTTGGGCTGTCTCCGAATAACAAGCAGCTAGCTTCGATGTGATGCGTCTAAGGACTATTCTCAGCCATGCTCGCGGTGCAAACGGTTCAAATTGGACTGTGTTGTCTCCAAGAACTTCAAACGAGTGAAACGGCGCACGTGCGTCTGCTGACCCGGGGGAAAGTAACTGGCGCTGAGTTTGAACAGGAAGACCGAACTGCAAGCCGAGCTGGATATGCTGAAGAAACAAGTCGAAACCGGCACGCCTGAACAGAAGAATCACTCTCAATCCGTGGACATTCCATCTGCACAGTGGAATTCTATAGGCGCGCAGGCCGCACCAACAACTACAGGAGCATATGCGTCGCCCCAGCTTGCAGGTTTCAGCCCTCATTCCCTGGATGCGTCGACAAATGCTTCCGCTCCTCAAGCGCCAGATCAAAGCCATGGGAACATCGCACATGGTAATACTAAGTCCTCTACAACCCGGTCGCAGACTATCCAAGATGTCATTGTTGACGCGCAAGACATCGACGAATGCTTTAAATTGTGAGTACTTGACCCAATTTTGCCCTTCGACCTATTACGCACTTACATCACGCCTAGGTTTTTCGAGAAGAATCTATCCTACCTCCCTATTTTCGATCAGAAACTTCAGCCGAATGACTGTTTTGGCGCTTCCCCATTTCTGTTTTGGACCATAGTCGCTATCGGCTCACGAAGGTACTCGAAGGATCCTACCTTGATCCTTCTTCTTGCTCCTAAGGTCTTGGAACTGGCAAAGGTCGCAATCTTCTCCTGTGAGAGGGTCCTACCAACGATTCAAGCTCTTGTGCTTCTTTGCACCTGGCAGATGCCTATCGACACATTGCAGAAAGACGTAACGCCACAATTGGCGGGAGCAATGATACAGCTCGCAACAAACGTCGGCCTTCATGTATACGGTTCTGTTCAGGATTTTACACGAGTACCACTTAAATACGATGGTCAACAGAGAAAATTCAGAACCCGGTTGTGGTCGATGTGTCTATATACCTGCCAAAGGTGAGAAGAGAGAAAGATCCGGCATTCTGAGATGAAACTAATGACTTGTTCCAAGAGTCAATAACTCACGAGGTCTTCCACCCTTGGTGTTGACAGACACTTACAGCCACGAAGGCTACAGAGAAGACCCATTAGCCGCCTTGCCTCCTACGATACGGTTCCAAAGGAAATTGAATCATATGCTAAGCGAGGCCATTTTGCAAATCGATCGGGATGCCTTGTCAAGAAAGCCAGATGAGCGTAACACGATGCTGGGGCCTACAATTAATGCTTGTCTCTCCAAGCTAGCTGCTTTAAGCGCAGAGTGTCCTACCAAACAGGGTTTGTGGAGTTCTCACTGCACCTGTGGTCTCTGCTAAAATTCTCTAGATCAACTCACGCTCCTGATCGCCGAGTTGCAAGTCTCAGCCTGCCACTTGATTGCACCGTCATCGACCATTGGCCAAAGCCACCTCATAAACATGTACGCCCAAGCGTGTGCCATGATTGAGCTTGGTTCAGAACTGGACCAGGAGCAAGAAATGGCAGAGTACGGCTCGACGAATATCAATATGAACTGGAATCTGGCGGCTTTCCTCATACTTCGCATTGGAAAGTCGCATGTACGCCAAGCGCTAGACTTGAAGCGTGGTCAGAGGTGTTACTTCTCCGCGATCAACCTGAACAAGAGACAAAGTGTTCGGTCAGACGACATATCGGCAAGGGCAACGATGATCTTGTCACAGTTGTGGACCAGTAAGGTAGTTATCAAACAACCGGATGGCACTCCTGACAGTCTATGGCTTCGTTGTCGAAATAGGCTTGGAGTAAGCGTGACTTTTGATTGTTTCTGGTTGTGGCGACAGGAGTTTGGAGGACAACCAAACCCATACGAGGGAGTCGAAGGTATATTGTTTATGCGTCACTGCTCTGTGAGACCGTACCGCTGACCAAAGTGGAAGACGAAAAAGCACCCACCGCTGCTAAACCTGTCTTCTGGGGCTCTCCCGACTCGGTTAACACGGTCAACATGATGATGGGGATCGGGTGGTCTCCAGATACCGTGTTCCAAGACTTTCAGTGGCCGATATTCGACGAATTCTTGTATGATGGCTGGATGGGGGGAGGAGGCAGCAACGAAGGTTCTCTGACACAATGAAATACGCACCGTTGTTGCTTTGAGAGGAGCGCCTGAATGCCAATCAAATGGCTTTGAGGCCGGAACGCTAGATTCGTGTGTGGCCACCGCGAAACTCGATTGACAAGAACGGTTCGTTTCGACCCTGTTCTCGACACTGCTCTGACATGCATGTCAATATAACCGTTTCACTTGTCATGCTTCGTTGGACCCAGTCTCCAGCCGGCTTCAAGATTGTTTTGTGCTAAGCCGGGTTATCTCGCTTGGATGGCACGGATGCACCACCTCGCTGATTGCGCCGGAGCTCTGTTGAGTGGGCTAACTAGCTGGTAGAAATTTTTATCGTTTTTGCAGGGGGCATTGACCGGAGGTTCACAATTAGGAGAACTAACGCCAATTTTTTCACCTTGAGACACCCAAAGGCGATGGGGCGACCTCTACAAACGATTCGAAACATACGGCCAGAGTCTCGTTACCGCCGGTTATTCACGGCTTGTCTTCGCAGAGAGCTAGCCGGACCGGAGGCGTATGGATCGATCCAGGGTCGCGCATTGTCATTCACGTGCCTGGGGATATTGTTGCCGCGGGTACAGTCATTCCGGATGTCTTCCATTTCTCCGTTTCAAACCCATCGATATAGATGAGGAGTGAATTGAGACCGTCTCTCAGGAGACTCCAAAGGACCGCTTTGCAGGTGTAAGCATGGCTCCCCGACTCAAGTATGTGGATAAGATGAGAATGCAGAGGCAAGAAGCAGCGTGGCGAGCACTTTGACTAGGTGCTGGAGAGGGCAGGAGCAATCAAGTGTTCTTACAATCATGAGCTTGAATGGCGACCAGCAGAATCTTGAGATTGGCAAAAGGTTCCCGGAAACGTGGTATATGAGTCTCTCGGGTCCATCCCTAGATCCTATGCCTCTGAGTTGTGACGGAACGAGCAGCTCAGACGATCTTATCAGCTCGAGCAGATTGCTTACACAGCAGAACATCGGCAGTGGACCTCGCCTTGCTTTTGGGGTATTGCTGCACTCCTTCTACTTAGCTCGAGCCGGCAAAGGGATCCAGCATAAAGGTCTTCATGGAGCAGGTGGATCTCGCGACCACGTTTGACCTGCCACTGGCCCCTGCGATGGAATATCTGAAAAGATACCCTGCCTCGGCCACCGAGTCGGAAGCGAAGCCAAGTCCGTCAAGGCAGATATGGTGAAGGGAAGGAAATGAGAGCTGCGTCATTGAAAGAGGTGCACGAGTTGATGCAGGCGTCAGATGCGTACCGTTGAACGGAGGTTGCCATTGCCGCATGGGGGAAAAAAAGGATCGAACAACATAGGTTATGGTTCCTAGTACCTGCATAGAAGTGGGGAAGATTATACTTTCATAACGTCGGATTAGTGGTTCCTGGCTCGATCTATACGCTGTGGCCTATCATCTCACATAGCAGATAGGGAGGTGATGCTCAGTCTTGTCCAACCGCGTCTAACCGCACGATCTTGCATGCCGACCAAGGGCGCGCTGATGTTGAGTCTCGAGACTTCAGAGGCAGCGGAGCAATGAGCCGTTGCTTCGGGCTCCGGTTACACTCTCCGGTTCGCTCGTGGTCAGTCGAAGGGCGTAGACGTGAGATTTTTGCCATTTTCGACCTTTGTAACTTGTTGATATTGATGAATGAGGAAATCATTGGAGTACATAAGAGTGAGTTTTGTAATTCCCACCAGCGGCACCGTTGATGTCTTCTCAGTCTTGTACAGCACTTAAGCAGAGTGTGTACCAAGTATAAAATTGGACTACCATGGCGAGGCTCACGGATTTCCGCCTCCTGTCGTTCGATGTATACGGGACCTTGATCGACTACGAGACGGGCATTCTCGATGGCTTGAGACCTCTGACTGCCGCGAAAGGGCTGACGCGGGAGCAGATACTCGCGCTGTACCATGAGCTGGAGGTCGAGCAGCAAACCAAGACTCCCGACATGCCGTACTCGCAACTGTTGGCCACAGTCTACCCGCAATTCGCCGCGCGAGTCGGTATCGAAGCAAAGCCATCCGCACAAGAGTGTGAGACGTTTGGTCAGTCCATAGGCACATGGCCTGCGTTCCCGGACACAGTCGACGCCCTGCAACGGCTTTCCAAGCACTACAAACTGGTGGTGCTCTCGAATGTGGACAGGGAGAGCTTCAAGGCCAGCAATGCGGGACCGCTTGGCGGGTTTCGCTTCGACAAGATCATCACGGCCCAGGACGTGGGTTCCTACAAGCCCGACCTGCGCAACTTTGAGTACATGCTCGACACGGTCAAGAAGGACTTTGACGTGAGTAAGAGCGAGGTGCTCCAAACGGCCCAGAGCCAGTTCCACGACCACCACCCCGCGAGGAAGATGGGCATCAAGTCCGTGTGGATCGAGAGGAGAGGAACCATGGGTAATCGCGATGAGAAGATCTTTGACTGGAAATTCGTCACGCTGGGTGATATGGCTGACGCGGTGGAGCGGGAGGTTGCAAGCAAGGGGTTTTGAGTGATGCGGTAAATAGACTGCTTCATGAAAAAGGAGAGTGAAGCGATGTAATGGAAATGCAGGGAGACAATGTGATTGTGCGGATCGCTCCTTGCTCCGGCTGGAAGATATGTAAAAGCGAATAGAGAGTGCTTTCGTGCGTCCATCCTCTTTTGACACTGCGCTCAAACCTACTCTGTGCAGATAAGTTGATGTAGAGGCTTAAAGCGGAATGAAACTCAGAGACATTGTTACCTAGGTAGGTTGAGTAGCCTCCTAAGAAGAGGCAATCACTGAATGCGATCAAGATAGCATGGGGAAATGTCGTCTGAAGCAAGTTTGTAGCTGTGTGATCAAGTCGTCACAGTGTTGTCGTTGGGGGAGATTCAGCCCGGCACACTGTCCATTGCTCTATCTCGAAAATGCAGAAGAGCAGATTATCTCCCAGTCGTAACGACAATTATGAGAGCGCATCCGCGGGTTGGATTAACTTAGTCTCCCAAAAAATGCCTTTTAACTGGTGATAAATTGACTACTCGTCGAGTCAAGGCTCGTTTAGTCAGTTCTCCACGCGCCTCTAGAGCGTTCGGAATCTTCCGTGTTACGATGACCAAGCCGGTTGGCAGTGCTGAGAAGGTCCGGAATAGAAGAGGCTGAATACTCCGTGTTGTGCTGCAAGGTCATTATCGGGCACCCTATCCTCTCCTAGTCACTGAGATATTGGTGTACTCTCTGTCTCCTCAGGAGGACTTTCCTCGTTAGCCACGGCGGTTCCAGGACTTTACTCGTGATGTAGTCGAGCGCATCTTCTGCATGGCAAACGTCTTCTGCTGGGAATCGCAGCTTCAGTACAGTCAGTCCAGCGGAGGACGTGACAGACACGAGCGGATATGAGGCGCGAATCACTCGTTTGCGGCTCTCTTGGTCGTACAGGAAGTCTCTTGCGACTGTTAGACGCCAAAGTCATTGATGGCCTGCTTTGAAGTTGGTCAGGAACCATCAATATATACTCTACTAGTACTGGGAGAATGCAAGCTCCCGGGACTCTCAGCAGCAGGTACTTTGTATCTCGTAGTGTCTGGCGCGCCAGGGCCTCATCGGGTAGAATTTCTGTGTGGCGTTACTGTGGCGTTACTGTGGCGTTACTGTGGCGGTGCTCGGCAAAAGCTGCTTCCAAGCCACCAATCAGCTCCGAAACCCTGACCTGCGAAGCTGCCGGCGATCTGTAACGCTGTATCTGGTCCAATTCTTGCTACGTCCCCATCCCCAAGTTACTCTTCTCCAGTCCTGTGGGCAAGATGTACAAACTGGGTCGCCGCAACTTGGGCCTGGCCTTGAAGGCTTTCAGAGTAGGTGTTGCAATGCTTCAATTGCGCTGTGTTCTAACAGGGAGCGGTAGGATACCCCAGTGCGGAGCTCAGTCCAACAACAACAATTGAGGCATCTCAGCATCCACGAGTATCGATCTGCCAACCTACTCAGATCCTACGGCATCGGAGTTCCCCAAGGAGAGGTTGCTCGAACCCCAGAAGAGGCTGAGGCTATTGCAAAAAAGCTCGGTATGCGCAGGCAATGGAAGACGGGGATGCGTGGACAAGACTGACGCAGCCGTCACAGGTGGAGATGATATGGTGATAAAAGCCCAAGTCCTCGCCGGCGGTCGAGGCAAGGGCACCTTTGATAATGGCCTGAAAGGCGGTGTCAGGGTGATTTATTCGTATGCTCAATCCAACCGCCGCCGAGCCATGGCCAGAGCTGACTGACCGAGATCCAGACCCACGGAAGCAAAGATGTTTGCAGGTCAAATGATTGGGCACAAGCTCATCACGAAGCAGACGGGGGCCCGAGGCCGCATCTGCAACTCAGTCTACATTTGTGAACGCAAATTTGCCCGCCGGGAATTCTACCTTGCCATCCTCATGGATCGCTCGACCCAAACGCCCGTCATTGTTGCGTCGTCCCAAGGTGGCATGGACATTGAAACCGTGGCCAAGGAGACCCCGGAAGCCATCATCACCACGCCTATAGATCTCAACAAGGGCGTGACAGACGAGATTGCGCGAAATATTGCAACCGAGCTCGGGTTCAGTGAACAGTGCATTGAGGACGCAAAGAACACAATCCAGAGACTGTACAAGGTGTTTATGGAGAAGGATGCTACCCAGATTGAAATCAACCCGCTCAGCGAGACCAGCGACCATCAAGTGTTGGCCATGGACGCCAAGTTGGGCTTTGATGACAACGCCGAGTTCAGGCAGAAGGAGGTCTTCGGCTGGAGAGATACGACGCAAGAGGATCCTGATGAGGTGAAGGCTGCAGAGTATGTCACGCTCGCCGAGGGTCAAGCATCTACTGACAAGACTATAGGCACGGTCTGAACTTCATCAAGTTGGACGGCGACATCGGGTGTCTGGTCAATGGCGCCGGGCTGGCGATGGCCACTATGGATATCATCAAGATCAACGGTGGCTCCCCTGCAAACTTCTTGGATGTCGGTGGTGGTGCTACCCCGGAAGCGATCAGATCCGCCTTCGAGCTGATCACCAGCGACCCGAAAGTGACAGCCATCTTTGTCAACATCTTTGGCGGCATTGTCCGATGTGATGCTATCGCATCGGGTTTGATCCATGTCGTCCAACAAATGAACTTGAGACTACCGATTGTTTGTCGTTTGCAGGGCACCAACATGACAGAAGCGGCCGAGTTGGTGAGTCCTCTTTGTGACACGTGAACCTATGGATATCACAGCTAACCAACGACGACACAGGTCAACAACTCAGGTCTGAAGATCTTCTCCATTATCGACCTGCAAGCCGCCGCAGAGAAGGTGGTAGACCTCTCCAAGATTGTCAAAATGGCACGAGAAATTGACGTGGGCGTGGAGTTTAGCCTTGGTATCTGAGTCCCCAATAGTTGGCTTCACGGTTGAAATGGTTGATAATCACTCAGGGTCTGATCCGTAGGAGGAGGCACAAGTGTGTGACTCCTTTGGTGCGCCAAACAACGATATATCCATTGTGCAACAGACGACCTACCTGTACGAGTATTATTCTCATCCATTCCGTCGAAGCTGGGTTTCTGTTTTACCATCTGCCACTTTCTTGTGGCCTTTTGGGACACACGAGTGAAATAGATGATACTGTTCAATTATGAGATGAGGTCGTCTGGGCTGTTTCTAGTGTCACTGGTCGACCCCTGCTCGCTTTCTGTCTCAAGCCCTTCAGTCCTCACATCTACCATCTCCGTTGACCTATTTCAAATCGCGGCGAGTGATTCCGCGGCGCAGTCCGGTCTTCCCGTTGGCATATACTCTGTACTCGAGGCGTCAGAAGCTGCCAGCCAATCAGCTCCCCTCCCAATCGTGTCGCCCAATGCCCCGCCCGCACCTCAAAAACAGAACCAAAAAGGAAAGCCCATGGATGACCCCATCCCTACGAATGCTTCTACACCCCCCAAAAAATTGATGGACACACGGGGATTTGAACCCCGGACCTTTCACAGTCACATTGCGAGCCCTTGCGGACATGGATGCGAAGCGAAAATCATACCCCTAGACCATATGCCCCCCAGCTTGTCTCTTGAACAAGATTTCTTGGAGAATTCTGGCAGCGTCATTCGCGACCAATTTCCTGAGAGATTTTTGCCTACACAGTATATATGGTGGACATACAAGACATCAGTCATTGGCCTGAAGATAGTGTAATCGGACATGTTCCGACCCGCTCTGTCCGAGATTTGACTCTCTGCGGCCGATCGACGCTGCAGGCTTCATGCTTACACGACACACCCGCTCCCTGCCCGCCTCCGCATCGCTCAAAAAAGCCGCTCACTAACCACGGAAACACGGCAAATGGATTCCATTTTTTCTGGCTTTTCACACCGGAAAGGTGAAATAAAGCCGGCCCTTCCCTCAGACGGCATACCTCGATAGCCTCTTTCCGTTCGACTCAATATCTCAACCTCCAACTTCTGTGAGCGAGGCTGCCGCCTCAGTGCTGCCGCCTCCATCTGAATCATGGATTGCGACAGTCGCCACCGGTGACGACAGATTCTCTCCGCGAACTCATGGACCACCTGGAAACTTGATGCTCGTCCTCTTCTGCGCCTGGTTGGTGGAGTCGGAAGGAAAAAGCACACGATCCAACTTAAATTGGAATAAAAAGTCAAAAATGTCGTTTCCGGCTCAGTCTTCTCGCCCGTCGTCGGTCGTTATACCACCTCAGCGCTATGGCTCCACGATGGCGCGAGCCCGCCCTGTCAATCAGCGGTACCACCGCGATTATGATCTACACCAAGGGCCCGAGACGAGGTCACCTTACCTTCAAGACGGCTGGCGGACGCCTATGGTGGAAGACGCAGAACACCGCGCCAATCGATCGAGATTCTTCAACAATACGTCAATCAGCGAAAGCACGACTGAGCCCCGGAAGGACTCACAGACGGCAGTACCAGACGAAGGGAACGGTGAGGCGAACAAGGCCGAGGATAGTGCGGATGACCACCCAAAGGTCCTCTCCTGGTCGCAGCGAATGAAACATGTTACCTGGGCGTGGTTTACCCTCACAATGGCGACCGGGGGCATCGCCAATGTTTTACACACTGGTACAGTCTGCCTTCTCCTGCAGCCTTCCCATGCCTAGCTTGAAAGAGTTGTCTCTGACTACCGACCTTGTGCAACAGTGCCGTACCGCTTCCATGGTCTCTACACGATCGGTGTTGTCGTCTTTCTGTTCAATATTTTCCTGTACATCGTCATCTGGGTCATGATAATAACCCGATTCACATTGTACCCGTGGACCTTCCGGGCGAGCTTTACTCATCCCACCGAATCACTCTTTGTGCCGGCTTTCGCCGTCTCTTTTGGCACCATCTTGATCAACATTGTGCAATACGGGTCGGGCTATGTCGGATTCTGGCTCAACCGCACCGTTTTGATCCTCTACTGGTTTGACTGTGGCCTGGCTATCGGTCTGAGCATCGGCATCTACCTAGTTCTCTGGTCCACGCAAACCTTCACCATCGCCCGAATGACCCCGATATGGATTTTCCCGGCGTATCCTTTACTGATCATCGGCCCGCATGCTGCAAATATAGCCACAAAGGCACTGAGCTCCAAGGAGGCTATTCGGATTCTGGTTGGCGGCTTCACCATACAAGGCATTGGCTTTCTCGTCTCGCTCACCATCTACTCGGCCTTTGTGTACCGGCTCATGACGCAGAAACTGCCCGCCGAACCGCTTCGACCGGGCATGTTCGTCTCCGTCGGTCCTTCGGCCTTCACGGTCAGTGGAACCATCGGCATGGCCGATGACCTGCACCGTGTCATTGCCTCCTCTCCCACATCTACCTTTATGGATGTGCCAGGGTTGCTTGCCGCCCAAATCTTGAAGTTGGTCGGCACCTGGATGTGTCTCTGGCTCTGGGGTCTGGCGTGGTGGTTCTTCTTTGTCAGCTTACTCTCTAATATAGCCTGTCTGCACCAGAAGCACCGCATGCCGTTTGCCATGACGTGGTTCAGTTTCATCTTCCCTCAGACGGCCCTCACGACGGCGACCTTTTCGGTAGCCGACGCGTTCGACGTCGGTGCCATTCGCATCCTCGGCTGCATCATGACAGTCTTGTTGATCATTGTGTGGTTTGTTGTCGTTGGCTTCATGATCCGGGCCATCGTCAACAAACAGATCCTATGGCCTGAGAGGGGAGAGGACAAATCCGAAGGTGGGTTCAAGGCCAGAATGGACGAGACGGGTGATAGCGAGATGACGCTGCTGAACAAGGAGATTCCACCCATGTCCAACGGCGTTGGAACCCCCGTTGCTGATGGAAATCGTGCCCGGGATCAGAGACGTCGGCCTGGCGATGCGGCGACGAGGAGCGTATGATTAGAGGCCAACTGATGGGATGGGCTTGGAGACGCTTGTGGTTTTCTACCGATCTGTACATAATTACAGCGCTGGTCCTCAAGATAGGTTTATTCCGATATAGCGTTACAATATCACTGGTAGGAACCCAATTTCAGTTTTCCCTGCAGTCTCGCCCTGACTTCTGTCATGAACTATGGGAATGCAAAGTAAGTCTGGGACATCATTCACCGATCTTCCTACTAGTAGCGGGGGTCTTTATCCCAGTCCCGAGTATAGCAGATCAAGTTCCCCCCCGCCTTTCCTTACCCAGCCCCAAAAACACTGCAAACGTTAACCGACCAGCCTCAGATACCCGCAAAAGACACTCACAGGCAGGGGCAGAGGCCACCAGGTCCATGTTTTCTATTATTATGATTATTTACTGGGGGAAGAGAAAACCTGCCTCAGTTCAGGCGAGACGGATAGCCAGATCGCCAGCGCGGCCAGGGTGAAGCCGTCCACCAAGTCGCCAGAGACGTACAGCTCTCTGAACGCCGCGAGATCGACGGTCTGGTACGCCGAGACGCCCTCATACTCGGCGGTTGCGTCTGCGTCAGGCTTCGGGATGATACGCGGATGGTGAAGTAGCTGCTCGTCGGTGACGCGGGCTAGAAAGACGTGGCATTTCTGCGCCGACATGCCCGGTAAGGGGTGGTACGTGCCCAAGAGCTCCATTTTGGAGTCGCGGTCGTCGGAGTCACTCACTATCAGGCCGGTCTCTTCGGCCAGCTCGCGTCGCGCGGCATGCTGGGGGGATTCGCCCGGGTCGATGCAGCCCATGGGGAATTCCCATGCGGATTTGTCGAGTGGGGGGCGGAATTGGTGCTGGAGGAGGACGCGGTTGCTGGTGGGAGAGAAGGGGATGGTGATGACGCTGTCGGGCCGGTCGAGGATGTAGTAAGGACCGCAGGAGGAGGAGGCAGGGCGGAAATCAGGTGTGGACCGGATCTGGAACCATGGTGTTTTGAAGACGACGTTGTTGGTTTCAGAGTCATCTCTCTGGGGAACAGGAGGAGGAGGAGGGAGGGGAGGGGGAGTCTTGATCTTCTTCTGCATGCCATCATCTGCAACCGACGTGAGCCATCGCGCGTCACCGACCCGGTGGTATGAGACCCCAAGGCTCCTCGCGTCGTCGGCCAATGCCTCCCAAATGCCCTGGTTGTCAAGGATGCGTTGTCCGCGGCGCATGAAGGCAAGCACCGAGTATATCCTCTTGCTGTACAGTGCATGGTTTGATCCCACGTAAATCAGGTCAAATGCCTTCAGGTCGTTAGGAAATTGCAGCGACGAGCAGTCCGGGGCTATCTCGCTCAGCTCGTCTGCCGAGTAGTACGGGTCGTGGATGCTGACGGATACCCCAAGGCGGGCAAGCTCACGCGCGAACTTGAGATGCGGAGACTGGACGTGCACGCGAATGTCGCCGCGATAGCATATTCCCAGTACCGCGACGCGATCCTCGATGTTGAGTTGCTGCTTCACTTGGGCAGCGACCTCCAAAGAGGCGGCGGTGTCGATTTCAATTGCTGCCGAGGCGATGGTGAGCTTGTCGGGATGTGGAGAACCTGATATCAAGTACTTATTCGCCAGTGGCACGCAGGGCCCGCCAGTCCCGAGGGATGGAAAGTAAATATGATTCCCGAGTCGCCAGTGGGTGGCTGCAAGTCGAAGTGCTTCGGTGGTGTTGGTGTCTGGATAGGCCGATGCCATCTGGCAGGCATACATGGCAACAGTATGAAATATTCCGTTGTCCACGCACTTTGTCAATTCGACGACTGTGCATGATGTTGCTCGAGCAAGCTTCCTGCAAACCACGGAAAGAATCACTTCCATGCGCTCGCTGATCTCGGGAGTAATGCCCGCATAGACTCTGACGCAGTTCTCGAGGTTGTTTTCAGTAGTTGTAAACCAATCCCGTCGTGTTGCTACCCCAAGGGGCAGCCCATACCTCTTGCCCAGCGCTTCTGTTTCTCCTGGAATTACGGTGCTCTCGATGATGCAAATGTCCGGGGACATGTGTGCGATCTGGGCGAGAACGGTTTCAATGGCGACCATATAGGGCTCCCCATTCCTTTCGGTCGGTACCGCGACGAAATGGACCTTCACTGATGCTCGACTAAGCTCTGTGGGATCGGTCGTTGCCCTGACTTGGCCGGACGATATGAAGCTTTTGATCGGGAAGCCAACCCAAGACTCAAAATTTGCTGGGAATATTCCACGGTTGAGCTGAGAAACATGGGTTGGGTTGATGTCGTACACGATGCTTCGCAAGCCTTGTCTGGCAAAATGCACTGCGGTGCTCATGCCAATGAGCCCACCGCCCCAGATGCAAATTATCTCAGGGACCGTAAAATCCGACATGTTGATGTCTGGCGGCAAGTCTCAGAAATGTCTCGAGTGTTGAGTTGAGGACGCTTTAGCTGACTCGTTCTGATTGTCCGCAGCTTGATCCTCTACACCCCGACTGTAGAGACCGCCAACGGCCCGAAAGAAGTCGAGGAAGAAGTCCAGAGGGTCATACTCCAGGTCCTGGACGAACTTTCGTGTTCCACACGGTATCTGATCTGGCGAAGCAAATCACATGCAACTTTCTGGTGAGGGTGGAACGATGATATGATTGCCAGCCGGTCATCTCATTGCTCCGACGGGGTCTTTTGGGCGGCATACCATGCCGATAGAAGCTTTGGGTATGTAAGAACGAAGGCAATGAGCCTACACGGAAGAATGAACAGAAGTGAGCAAAAGTTGAAGTAAGGATGAGGCAGGAGGCAGGAGGCGTGAGGCAGGAGGGGAAGTCGAACCGGTTCCGCTTTGAACAATGCCACACTTGTGTAATATCATTGCCAGCACCTTCTGTTACACCGTGTTGACCAGTGAGTCAAGTGCCCAAGGCAATCAGCGGGTCATGGTCTTGAGATTTCTGGAACCTGATCAGCCTGTGAAGCTCGATGAAATCTATCACGGCATAATTTGTGATGTCAAAAAGTTGACAAGGTTGGCCGACAACCAGCTTTCGACGGAATTTTCAGATCGCTCGCCACCATAGAGACTTTTGGCACACGCCTCTCTCTGCAATCTTCAAGGGGCTGGCCAAATGCGTAAGCCTTGTCCTCTCATATCGGTCAGCCTGGATCAGACTCGAAAGTCTTTCCCAGCAAGCCGAGGGAAAGTCGCGAGCCAAATAGCTTCACGTCGAAGGTTTAGATCGCGACGTTCTCTGTCCTGAACTACCCTCAACGTAATTTAGGCCCTGTTGCCGCAGAGACATCAACATCTCAAATGGAAAGAGTGCTTATCGGAGATCTCGCAGTCAAAAATCAAGACCAGAATTCGCCGTTTCGAAACAGGGGAGATCAAGTAGCATGGCACGGTCTAGGTCGACAAGACAATATCCTAACCTGAGGGTTTCGCTTGAACGGCTATGTCGAGGCAGACTATGGCCGCTGTCCCACTCTTGGAGCCAGTTGCAAGGGAATTCCAAGATTTCTCACATTGATCTGGACAGTCAGGGAATGCGAGACTTTTTGTGCCTCTTGCGGCTAGCGGGCTTGCGTGATAACAACTCATCTCATATGAAAGCTTCTGAAATGGCTCAGCATCCGAAGCTCCTTGGGAGAAAGGAGACATCTGTACCACGAATGACGGTCTGAGGAAAGCCCCGAAGGAGAACGGTAGCTCATGTCTGCGGTATCCGATTCGTCCTTTATCGGAGAACACATAAGCGACCCTTCATTGGTTCAAGCCCTCGCTCTTCAACGAGCACGTCATCGCCATATTGGGATTGTGGCATCAAGGACGACAGGAAAGAAACATCTTACCCCTCCCTCACCATATTCCGGCCTTGTCCCTTATACCTTTGATGGAATTTCTGCGTTTTCGTGGGTCTTGAGCACTGATTCTTGTTTGGCGGAACACGTGCCGGGCAGTCATCTGATCCCAAGCATCCGATTGAAGAGAGTATACCGTAGCAACCACAGCCAACATGTCTGCGATCCAGAAGAACGTTGAATCAGCCTCCGAAGCATATTCCTCCTCGTTTACGCAGGGCCATCTCGCACTTCCTCCGGCTAAGAAGTATCTTGTGTTGACTTGTATGGATGCTCGAATCGACCCGGCGCGAGCTTTCGGTATTGATCTCGGAGATGCTCATGTCATTCGGAATGTGAGACACTCCCGCTTCATCGACATATGAGTTGCACGTTCCATAAGTGCAAGGTAGACTTGGCCGCGATGAACGCGAAAGCTAATGTTCTCAATAGGCAGGAGCATCCGCGCATGATGCCTTGCGAAGTATCGTCATATCTGAGCAGCTTCTGGGCACCCAAGAAATTGTCCTTGTCAAGCACACTGGCTGCGGTATGCTGACTTTCACCAATGACGATGCCTATGGGTTGATCGAGAAGAGCCTAGGGTAGAGAGATCGCAAACTTGGGAAAGGAACCCTCACTTACAAGATACAGGCGTGACGCCGTCGCTGAGCTGAAAGCCCGCCAACTGGACTTTCTTCCTTTTCCAGACCTGGAAGAGGCGGTTAAGAAGGACGTGCAGTATATCAAAGACAGCAAGCTGGTTCCAGACAACATAACCATCAGCGGTTGGATTTATCAGGTAGAGACTGGCAAGACCATTAGGGTTTTCTAAAGTCCGCCACGAGGGACAATCGAAGCCCAAAGTCGTGGAGATGACGAGCAGTCCGGTGATTGCAATCTGCGAGATGATTGCGTATGTTTCCGAAACAAGAAGTTTTCCTGAAGAATGCTGTTTCGGGAGCCTCACGCTCCTTCTTGGCTGATGGAGGAATAGTAGGCGAATCTGGCATATATCTCGAGATGACAGCCCTAGCTCAGGGCAAAAGGAACATATAGCCATCAAACCAATGACTCGGGCCAACTTTCACTCCATTTGTGGCCTACAGGGAGTGCTATTCAGAATTCCAGCAAGAGCCTCGTAGCCGCGGGTCCGCAGCTTTACCAGAGGGCATCTCGGAGAGGCCATGTCCATGTTGAGGTCACGCTGATGTCGAGAGATCGACATTAAAACTGACACCTGGACCAGGATAGAATCGGATGGCAACGAGTGGCTGCACTTCCATCGAGAACGCATCATGTTGGTTTTCGCGAAGACACACCGGGGTCGACCTGCCGAATCCATTCAAGTGCTCTTTGGACGTATCGGTCTTCATTGGTCTCGACTGGTGCTGCTGTCGTAGCATTCATCTCTGAGATAGGTCGAAGCACAGACTCCACCACCTCAATGGTTAGGGCTCGAGCTTCGCCTGCCTTTTTAAGACATAATTCAAGATCCCCAAGATACATGCCTTCGGCCGATTCGTCAATCAATTCGGAAATGTGGCGGATTCGTTTGAGGAGCGTATCCATTTGACACATTTGACCAGCCGTGTTGGCTGTGTCTGTGGGCATTCGCTCGAGCCTTTGCTTGATGACAACGTGAATGCTTTGCGGGATGCGGTTCAAGACCTTGAGTGCTTGTTCCTTGACGCCGGCAGATATGGCAGCCCGATCGTTGTTGTGTTCATTTTCATTCGGGTTGTCGGAATCTTCATGATCGCTGTGGTTGATACCGAACGGATCATGCTCATCGATATCATCCTCAGGATCCCAATCTTGCAATTCCTTGACCGCGTCTTTCATGAGATCCAGCCACTGTTTCGACTTCCGGACGACGTATCCGGTCACACCATCAGCAGCCAAGGGAAGCAGTTTATCACAGTCGTCCCACACCTTGCCAGTAGCCTCCGTGAATCCCGCCTTTTCCCTTTCGTCCAGTTCTGTTGTATGATTTTCGGTTTGACTTCGTGCCTCTAGGAGTCGCAGGAAAGTTTGCATATCACGCAGTGCTGTCGCAGCCAGATTGCGGCACTCGGCAGAGAAAGCAGGTATAGTCTTGTCCGGTGTTGTGAGTAAGGCAGCCGTTACTAACGACGTAAGGATTGATTCGTTCAATGGGAGCAGACAAGTGGTCGCCGCACTCGGAGTAAACGGAGCCGTGATTGCTAAAAGAGACAACTTGGTCACTTGCGCCCTGAGAGTAGTTGCGGCCGCATGTAAAAGGACCAAAGGAGAAGGTGCTGTTGATTCGCTTTGAGGCACTTCAACCGGGGAGTTTGGAGCCAGGGACGCGGCGAATCGCTGGCAAAGGACGATCGACGTCTGCAGAGCAGCAGACAGCGATACGGGCCGCGCAGAAGACATCTTTCTTGTCTTCCCTGGGGGCCGAAGGACTTGGGCATCAAAAGAGCAACCTTTCAGCAGAGGTCGTTGAGCGTACGACTGTCACATAAATTTCTCGGTGCAGAGTGCGGAGACACCAATTTTCGGGATTCCCTTTTCGTCTAGTTACGCACGTGACTGCGCAGCCAACCTCAGCCTTGTGGTTCGGAACTTGAAGCTAATGAATACCTAGGTAATTCAATGAATCTCCACAACAAGGCTCCTGAGGTCCTTTCCGCCTGCCTTGTGCCACCCTTCCCTCTATTGTTGTGGTTGTCACACACTAGATTGAGGTACACCACCCTTGGCATAAGTTGTCCAGAGTATCAGGTAGACCCGTTCCCTACTTACTTGGCTGCTCTGTCAGTTTCTCTTGCTTCCACGATAGGTAATGCCGAAAAGCACTTTCGCCGTGCTGGTAACAGCGTGCCGCTTCGAGATGCGGAGGAGGGAGGCGAGGTTTTTTCTACCTCTCGATAGGTCTACCCTTGTGGCATTCTCGAGACCGACAGTATTTTACAAGTAGTACTTTGACGCTCCTCGGACAAAATGGCCGGAGCTGGAGACGAGTTACCAGTCCAAACCGATCTCGAAAATCTTGACTTCAGTGAAAGCCAGTAGCTTCCTCACGCACTCTTCCTGCCCATTCCCGAATCCTTTATCCCACCAAGAGGCTCCCCTTGGAAATGTCGCCCAACTTGGTTGATTCAGGTGAGGCTGCGTCGGTCCTTCGTGCTACCTTGTGGGCCAAGCCTATGTCCAACGTAAATATCCCGGCTGTAAGTCCCAACGGTGACGGATCAAGCCGGTTAAGTAAATCATCAACATCTTCCCACTCCAGTACTGCGAGAACTGGACCAAAGATCTCTTCTCGTGCTATGGTCATATGCGTTGTGACATTTGTAAAAATGTTGGTTCCACGGAGAAGCCTCCCTGAATTGCCTGAGGTGTGTCTGGCTTCCCCCACACGATCAGGGGCTTTGCTTCTTCCTCTTTACTGTCACGAGGTCTGGATTGAGATACTGATATTATTTTCATTGTTGATATCAATGGAATTCATCCGTCGTGACTGTGAGCTGCAACGTGACCGTGAGTTGCTTGTTCGCGTCAATGATTGGATCGACCTTCGCCTTGATCTCTTCGTGAACCGCTGGCAGCCAGATCTCTTGCATTTCTCGACGAGTAGGCGGTTTCCAGGCAGGATTGATATCCCGGAGAAGGGCCTTCCATGCAGGATGGTCAAAGGCTGACAGCGGCATTTCGGACTCCAAGATCGCGCGGGCATAAAGGCGACAGATGTGGTCATGATGCTCCTTTGAAAAGCCAAAATTGAGCGTTGTCTGCGATGATTGAGAGGGCCCGGATGCCCGAGAAAGAGGCTTCTGCTCAGAGCATTTGAAGTGATTTTGAGCGCTGAGTGAACGCATGGTAAGGAGAGTTTGGAATTGATCACATTTAATGAGGTGTTCGTGCTGGCGTGAGGTATTCGCAGCCAATTGAAAACCACAATGGCGACATTGAACGCGCTGGCCTTTTTGGCCAGAAACCCCAGGAACAGTGTGATATTCGTTGTGAGTAGCGTGGTCAGCTTTGCGAGGCATTCTGGGCAGAGATCGAGCAGAAAGAGACGTTTGAAGTAGTAATTAGTCGACTTTAAGTTTGGTGTTGTAAAAGATCCAGACACATGCCATTTTACGCGTCCTAAAGGATTCATAGCGTGATAATCTCGCGTTCTGCTAGAGGAATATGGTCATTTTAGCGATATAGACTAGGTGCGTTTCCCATACAAATTACCAGGCGTTAGCACTATTCGTTGCCTTGCCGAATTCCACCCGAATTCCATAGTGGGTTCAATCGGCTAGGTGCCACGCAGGAGAGGGTTTGAAGTTGATATTCGGTAGTTCCTGTTCAAAGCTCGACCCCGCACTGCTGAGTGCACGGCCATATATCTAGAGCCGCTGGGATTTCAACCACTTCCCATGTCGACGAACACAGAGACCATGTCGCGATTCTTCTGAATTGCTATCAACCAAAGCCATGACTTCGGAGCAAACATTCACGTTCCCTGAGTTCGAAGATCTACCCACAGTCCCCGGCGCCCCACAAGGATGCATTTGGGGCATGTATGACCGAGATGGGCAGAAAGACCAAGTCGGCGGTGAGCAGATTCAGATGCCCGCCGAGAAAAGGAAGAGAAGTTTCGAGTTGACAAGAGTCTTACAGCGATCAATCTGCTGACTCCAGCGGTGGTTCGTGCTGCGAGCCTGGAGATCAAGACCGGTAGCCATGTGCAACTGGACTGGGCTTTGAACAACTTGGAATTTCCATGCTTCGGCAGAAGACCGTTTGAGCAGAAAGTTATGGATGGCTCCAAGACCGTGGGCGTCTATGGATTCGATGACGAAATCCACATGAATACCCAGAGCGGCTCGCAGTGGGACAGCTTGAAGCATGTACGTACGTGCTTGAGGGAGGAAAGAGGACAACGGCGGTGTATTCGTCCTGAGCCGTGGCGGAGTTTACTGATTCTCGTCTCCAGTATGCGTATCAGGTCGGAAGAGTCTTTTACAATGGGTTAACCTTCGAGAAGGCACTCGTGTCCACCACCAATGGCATTCACAGTAGGTGGTTGAATGTCAGGAAACGTGCAACTACCAGCGCTCTGACCATCGATATAGATTGGTGCGAACGCGGCGGCATCGTCGGTCGTGGCGTACTGATCGACATGGTGGGCGAAGCCGCTCGCTCCTCAATTGAATTGTCGCTTTGAACTAATCCGTGCAGGTTCGGTTTTACGAAAAGCGAGATGGCAAGGCTCCGGATCCATGGAAACGATTTGAGATCTCGGCGGCCGATTTAAAAGCCGCTTTGGCTGACCAAGGCACGGTACCAAAACAGGGAGATCTGCTCTTGATCCGATCAGGCTATGTTCGTCGGCACGATCACGCCTCCTCGGAAGAACGCAAGCTGGGGACTTCTGGTACGGACACAGAGGCGATTGGAGTGGCCAACAACGAGGAGACGGTCAAGTGGTTGTACAGCCAGCACTTTGCGGCTCACATTGGAGACACACTCGCATTCGAGGCCTGGCCACCACCACATGGCGGCAAATGGATCATACACGAATGGTCCCTAGTCTGGTGGGGAGCTCCTCTCGGGGAGATGTGGAATCTGGAAGGTTTGGCTGCCGAATGCGAGATTCAACAGCGGTGGACTTTCTTCGTGACCAGTGCGCCGCTGCACGTCAAGGGAGGCGTGGGGAGTCCACCAGGAGCGATCGCTATCTTTTAGCTACATGTTCAGGCTGTTGGCTGCAGAGCAAGAAGAACACCAAGGTATGTATCATGCCTGTTGTTGGCTTACCAGGATAGAAACGATGTTGGCTCTCCGACCCCAAAGTAATTGGGAAACATGGCATAGTCCGTCGACAACGGAAACGTCTCCTCACCCTGTGACATGTCGAAGAAACCCAGGGTCGGGTGGTTTTGCCAGTTAACATAGCCGTCAATGCCGTCCAGGACCATGCCGTTGCCAAGGGAAGGCCCTCCGCCCCCAGTCATGTTTTTTCTCAGAAGATCCACTTCGTTCGACTCGTCTTGATTTCGACTTCCGATTAAGTTGTCAAAGAGCTTTGAGATCCAGGGCGCGGCGTCCCATGATTCATAAATATCGTGCCAGACCATCTGGCAGCTATTCAGGGCTTGAAACCCTAGCTGAGACACCAGAGGAAGCGGGCTCTTCATCTGGGTGTAAAAGACGGCTTGTGCGAGAAAGAGACCTTGGAAAACTTCATGCGGCATGACAAGGCATTCATTTCTACGGGTGAATGTGCAAGTCAAAGAAGAGATACGCTGCGCAGCACTCTCGGTAATTAGGCGCGAGGATGAAGTTCTGCTCAGGGATCCAGTATCGCCCGGCGTGATTGTCGCTCCCGTCGTAGGCCGGCCCAGGTGACTCAAGATCAAGTGGTGGTCGTAGAGAACGGCGAGACATGTAGCAAACGGATTAGAACTCTTGTCGTTTGCCGAGCACCGGAGACTGGACGGAAGAGCGTTGCGCCATTCTTGTAATGTGTCGTGGAGATTGGCCATTCGAGCATGGGCGCGGTTGGGATCGAATCTAGTCGAGATGATCTCTCGCAAGAGTAAAGATAGCTTGGACATGTGGATCTGATATTGGACGCAGACGTCGCGGAGAGGATGATTGACAAAATCCGGACAATGAATGTCGTTCTCGAAATCTTCGACCGTCAGCATCTCGGTATCGGAGTGGTTGATGTTGACGCGGAAAGGGTGGCCTACGATAATGCCACATTGAGCATCCCTGATTACCAGAATCCACCAGAGTCTTTTCAGTAGGCTCCGGTCGTGAGGATGCATGTTTGCCCCCGCGATGGATCGGTGAATACCTAGGGCCTCCGCAATCGTGACCCCAGTTGAGATCCAACTGTAAAAGTTCCAGTAGTTGTTGGGACCTCCTCCCCAGAATGTCAGGATGATGACACTCTGCAGGATGGTGATCTTGTTGGATTCGTAGCCAGTATCGAACAGTGCTTTGGCCTTTCGGTAATACGAGACTCTGGCTTGCTTCCGCCCTGTAAACCCAGCACGGTGCAAAATCGCGAGGGGACAGAAGGTGGCCGAGATGTAACACAGGGCATGCATTAGAATCCACGGAACCTTTTTGGCCTTGTACTGTTGCAGAAACTCTTGTCGATTGACCACGGGATAGATAGGCCATACTCGGTCCAGAAAATTTGCAAGTAAGGCGTCGAGGATTTCCTGTGGGGGAGCGACAAAAGCATCTTTTGCTTGAAGAAAGGCTATATCTTCCGGGAGCATATGCGAAGGGTGAGTTTCACTCGTAGGTTCATCCCTTGCCTGCTCCTCCATAAGCGGCGGACCAGCATGGTGGAGGCGCGGCCTTCCCCCTTCTTTGAATTCTTCGAGCACCATAGCTAGTGGAAATGATTCTCCCAGATAGGTGATAGAGCATTTGTCTATTGTGTCCTTTTGGTCTCTTCGTCGTCCGTCCAGGAAATGATCGAACATGGCCGCCCAAGAAATTTCGTGATATGACTTTGCGCTGGTCTCCGAAAATACTGCTTCTGGAGACGCCAGGTCTGTGCTGGAACCAGTTGATGTCGACGCCGGGAAACAACTTGGGGCAGCGGCGGGAGAGGTTTGCATGTCGACATCAGTGCTTTGACTTGCTTGGTGGAGGGGCGGTGATCCATTTGGAGGATTCAGATCACGCAGGGGACGATATGCTGTCGCTTCTGACAATGCGGGCGCGAAAGCGGCGCTGGCGCCCTTGTCAGCATTAGCTCCAGCAGTGGCTTTCGTGCGCTCTCGTACAGCGGAATTTGGCTCGGACTTCTTGCGTGGATGGGTGCCTCGCCTGGACTGTATCAAAACGCATCCCTCACTGTTGCTCTGTCGACACTTCGAGCAGGGGGTTCCACATTCGAAGGCGTCACATTTGATTCTTTTCTGGTTACAGCGTTTGCATGCTTTGAAAGCACGTGTCCTGTTTGAGGAGGTCTGCTCTAAGCCAGGTGCCATATTCCGAACGCCACTCGAACTGACGACTTCGACAACATCTAGTTGCGACAGGGACGACGATGAAGGTATGAATAGGTGACGACGACGGTGGCTCTCTTCTCAGTGTCTGAGAAGTGGAAGCGCCAAATTTCGAGAGCACGCTGATAGGAACAAACTGGGCGGAAAGAATGAGGGCCCAAGTACTTCCTTACCCTACCTGGAGCTGTTCGTTGGACGCCACCATGCTTCTCCATCCTGCGATCTAGCAGCGCAAAGCAAGGCTCCTGTGGGGATGACGGAAGCTTCATCAGTTGCCCATCCGGGGTCAATTGGGACTCCACGCTCGGTGAAACCAGCCGTGGGGATGGATACACAAACACGCACGAAGGCGCAAACACGCACACAGGCAGCGGTCATGCTTGCTGGGCCGAGCTTGTTGAACCGAAGGAAGAGGACTGGCGGGCGAGGACTTATGTTCCTGGGGTATAGCCGATATCTTGGGGCACATCCGAATACAAAATGATTCGTTCATAGATACCCCGAGCGGCGGAAAGTTACTATGTATGCGGCTTGACCGCCTTTCTTGCATGCCTTTCGACCGGTCATCCATTATCGGTGTATCAGCCAGCTGGCTGTGTACGGAAACTCTGCGGACTCGTTCGTGCCATCCTGCATGGTCAATCGGAAAGAGGGAACTTGGGAACTTGAAGCCAAATGGGTGGCATCAGACTCATTCGCAACGCGATTTTCCACATTGATCTCCTTGCCTTGTCCCGTGCTATATGTGTGGCAAGTGAGTCGACGTATATCCATTTGGGCCAACCGTCGAACGCGCTAGCTCAAGGTCTCTTTACAAGGTCTTCTGCTTCAACAAGTCCATGACGGGGCTAAGGATGTGGAAACTTCTTTTGAGTAGAAGCGGCACAAGCACCCCAAAACTCGCCAAAGTCGCGGCCACCCTCCATGCCGGGTGCACGGGGTGCGTGCCTTTGCCGCCGTAGAGATTGAAGTCCTTCCACACGGGCCAGTAGAGCTGGTACCAGAACTTCCAAGTTTCCTCGGGGTAATTGGTGGTATTGCGGCCCGCGGCATCGAGGTTCCAGTTGCTGCAGCCGGCGTTCCAGACCATGGATTGCAGCCGGGCCTGGACCGCGTTGACGTCGCGGTGCTCTGCGGCCTCCTTGACATCGATAACTTGGAAATCTCCGCACAGGATCGGCTTCACCATAGCTTTGATGATGAACTCCACTTGCACCTCGTGCGTGTAGATGACCGAGTTGTGGGCGGGGAAGGCATTGGGGCCGAACACGATACCGAAATTGGGGAAGCCCGTCACAAACGTTGCCTTATATGCCTGTGCGCCTCCCGTGTCCTTCCAGTGTTCGTTCAGGCTGATGCCGCCAACACCTTTAACCGTGATAGGAGACAGGAATTCCTGGATCTTGAAACCTGTGCTCAGGATGATGGTGTCGACTTCAAAGCTTTGCTGGGCCGTTCGCAGACCAGTCTCGGTGATTTCAACCACAGGCTCTCCGAAAAGTTCGATATTCGGGCTATGGAGACTCTCGAGGTAGCCAGGGTCGAAGATTCGCCGTTTACAGCCTAGCGGAAACTTGGGTATGAGCACGTCAAGATATTTCTCCGGTGCCGTCGACTTCATGTAGGCCTTGGCTTGTTCGGTGGCCGCCGCGCGGTTACGCAGTGACTGGACTGATTCGGATTGGTAGAGATTGTGAAGGGCGTCAGTGGTCTTCCACAGGTAGAAGCGGTAAATGCGGTTCCAAAGAGGCACATATCGGAAGCACCATTTCTGAAAGTCGGTGAAGTCGCGATTAGGTCTTTCGTTTATCCATTGAGGTGACCGCTGGAACTGGTAGACCTGCGCGGCTTCTTTAGTCATATACGGGACGAGTTGCGCGGCCGAGCATCCATTGCCAACGACAGCGACGCGCTTGCCCTTGATAGAGACATTGTGATTCCAACGCGCAGAATGCCACATGTCGCCTCGGAATCTCTCATGACCAGGGATGTTGCATTCTTTGGGAATGGATATTGTGCCCACGCAGGAAACCAGCATTTCCGCTTCTTTGTGGAAGACATGGTTATCATCGAGGTCGCGAAGGGTCACGCGCCAGACTGACTTGTCTTCGATCCAAGCTACCTCGACCACCTCCACGCCGAGACGCACATGGTGCCTGATGCCAAACTTGTCGACCGTGTCTTGTAGATATTGAAGGATCTCACTTTGCTCGGCGAATCGCTTCGACCAGTCGGGGTTCAAGTTGAAGGAGAAGGAGTAAAGATGAGAATCGACATCACAGCCAACACCAGGGTATGTGTTGAGGTACCATGTCCCACCGATGGATTTCTCTCTTTCGTAGATGATGAAGTTGTCGTATCCCAGCTGTGATCTGAGCCGTGCAGAGAGGGCAATGCCAGCAACTCCGCATCCGATAACAATAAGCCGCGGCTCTGCTGTCCGTCTTGAAGGCATGGCGTATAGGTGTATGTTGGGGATCCGGTGCGAAATATCTCAACAAACTCGGGGTTCCTGGGTGAGCTCTGCAGATTTTATACTCGCACAGTCTAGCAGACTTCGCATATGCTGGACTATTCACTCACCCATGTAGCCTCTAATGCAAGCTCTCAGCCGATGAATCGGCCCAACGCGATTCCGGTTATATGGAGGTCGCCTGAGATTCCCGGGCCACAACCTGCCAGCGGCATGCTGTGGTCCTTCGTGCGGACAGGCGCCCATTCTGGTTTCGGGGGGCAAATACCCTAGCAGTAAGTACTCACATATCTAGGATCGTTACATTTGCTCTCGGCTCCTTTAGAAAAGTGCTCGAAATGATGCAGGTAATGGCGTTCGAGGTCTAGGCGGATGGCAAGTTGTTTGCTGTATGCCAACCTTGGAAGGCATTGATGTCAAACATGCCAAGCATTAAGGTGGGACATTCCGCCGCGGTCAATTGTCTTGACCGACGATGAGCAAGCAGTGCGGGACGGTAGAACTCATCATCAATGCCTATCGCCAGAACAGCAGTGATCATGGAGGCCTGTCCACGGCCATGGCACAGCTGCGAGTGGCACTTTGGCGCCATGCGATGAGGTACAACCCAAAGAACGCTGAAGGTTTTGATCAGGGTCGGTCGGTGTTGTCCAATGTCCACGCTGCCAGGTATGAACACTCTGCTAAGACCCCACGGCCTTTGTCCCATCGAACAGCTTTCGGCTGGCGACTACGGTCTGGTGCAACTGGGCTAGACTCCAGCAGAAATGCCATAACCGAGAGACTCTCTCGCCTTTATGCTCCCCACACCGGGTCCTGCCAGCGACTCAGATTGAGCAGCGGCCTCTTGGATTGTGAGTCGGGTAAACCGATTTCGGTGCATCGGTTATACTTGATTTCTAGCAAGGCAAGATAATTGGGGTTACAATCATTCCAACGCTGATCCTTGCTGGTTACTGCATCGTTACTTCTACACAACGGTCGCATACAACAACACCCAGCCCACCACAATGGGAACAATGGCTGGATTACTACGCAACAAAGTCATCGCCATCACAGGGGCATCACAAGGTATTGGACGAGCCACAGCACTGGCATGTGCTCGACAAGGCGCTGGTCTGATCCTGCATCACCTGGGGACCGAGCAGACGACCTCGGACATGGGAGCTTTGCAGGCAGAACTCAAGGCAATCGACCCATCGCTTCGCCACACCTCCTTCAGCGGCGATGTGGTCCTGCCCGAGACTCCAGCCAACTTGGTGGCCGAGGCCGTGGGCAGTTTCGGCAGGCTCGATGCCCTGATCAACAATGCGGGCATCTGCAAATTCGCAGACTTCCACAATGTGACACGGGCCCTGCTGGACCGTCACATGGCGGTCAACTTCACGGCGGCGTACATGCTCACGCAGGCCGCGACGAAACAGATGGTGGCCCAGGGAAAGGGTGGCAGCGTCGTGTCCATCGCCTCCATCAGCGCTCTCCAAGGCTCGTCGACTTTGACGCACTACGCCCCAACCAAGGCCGCCATCTTGGGCATGACCGTCGCATGCTCCAGCGCCCTCGGCAAACATGGCATTCGCTTCAACAGTATCTGTCCCGGTACCATCGAGACTACCATGAACAAAGCTCATCTGGACCACAACAACCAGCGAGAAGTGATGCTGGGCAAGACAACGCTGGGCCGCCTGGGCACTCCCGAGGATATCGCTGGGGCCGCCGTCTTTTTCGCTAGTGATCTCAGTTCATATGTCACTGGACAGTATCTGGTAGTGGATGGTGGCGCATCCACCCATTATGAGTGATGACGATGCAATTTTGCTGCTGCTACGGGTCGCATGAAACACATCGAAGGACACGTCGGGCATTGGCCGTATCCTACAAATGGGGGTAGTTTACAAGTAACTTCCCAAATGAAGATTCCAAATCTGCCTCTTCCTCTGATTCTTATTACTATGATGGCATTTTGCCCTGCAATCTCGATCTCTCCGCCTCCAGTATGCCGTCCGCCTCGTCCTCAATACCCTTCTCCTTGGGCTCCCAGCCCAAAAACCTGCGTAACCGCTCGGCCTTGCCCCGCGAATTCCAGCCCCAGCTCACGGCCTCGAAGCCCGCCACCTCGAAAGCCTCGTCTTTACTAAGCTGCTTCTCCGCCGGGTTGGCGGGAATGTAGCCCTTGTCGGCTGCAACGGCGGATATCTTCCGGGCCAGGTCGGCCCAGACATGTTCTCCGCTTTCGCACAGATGATAGCCCCTGGCGCCCCAAATCTGGTCGGACAGGTTCTTGGACACGGCAGCTTCGGCCAGAAGGACAAAGGCTGCGGCCAGGTCGTAGATGTGGACGTGGTTCCACCGCGCTTTGCCGGCGCCCACAATGGGCGTGTAACCCCTTTGGAGAATGAGCTTGGTCAGTTCGTAGACCTGGCGAGAGCGCCCGGATACAGGGCCCCGACCGTTGCCTAAGCGGAAAAGCGAGCCAGGCGAGTCAGTACACCCTATACTAGTTGACAGTGGGGGACATGCAGAACGGAAATCAATGACGATCACACACTTTCCCGGGTACAGAGAGTCAGAGACGTACCGTAGATGGTGGGCGGGCAGACCAGCGCCGTCTTGACTCTGTCGGAATATTTGGTTCCCGCTTCGAGGACGATCTTGTCGACGTTGCGATGAAACGCATCATCAGGGAGGTGCGTCAGCTCATCCACCCCGCTGAGGTCGTTGTATTCCTTGGTCGACCACTCGCCCAAGCGATTGTTCTTGGAGTCTTCATAGGTCAAGATACCCGTGCCGCCAGTATGCAGCCAGAATCCGGGGCTAGAAGGCGTGTGGCCCTCAGCGAGACCGGCGGCAATGGCTCTGGCCGCACCTTCGTGATCCGACGCATCTGCCGTGTCTGTAGTCACAAGCGGATCAGCGAGCCCGTACGATCTAGATTTCAAGACACTGAAAAATACTCACGCAGGACTATATCAGCCTTGGCACTCTCTTCCTGGAGGGTGGCGAAGTCGTCCAGATCTCCCAGGACGATGCGAAGTTTGGGATACTGTCGTTGGACCTGGTCTGCCTTTGCCTGCGTCCTGACCAGAGCACCTACCGCAATTCGTCAGCAACTTTGCTTTCCCCGTATCAACTGTGAAAGAAGACACCGGCACTTCAAGTTCAGAGAGAATGAAACAGGCTCCGGGGCATCTGCAAACTCACAGTATTCCCACTCCGGGTATTTCTGGTACAGTGCGTATAGGCTGTCACCACCTATGTAGCCTGTGACACCCGTGCTGTTTCAATAGTCAGCCTGCCTAGCTTGTGTTTATGAAACGCTCCGGCCTCATACATGAAGATTTTAACCGCCATGAGGTTCTTCTGGAGGGGTAACTGTGAAGGGTCACTCAGAATGGTGAAATCGAGTCTGTTAGTTAGATAGAACGGGCTAGGGTCTGCAAATCACAAGTTCCCTCAAAACTATGTTAGCAAAATTAGTTCGCAGTAACGCTCGCGGAGGGTCTTCGGGGTATAATTTGGGGTTGCGGGAATCATATTCCACTACCCACATTTGTGGTTCGGGAGTCGATTCCCTCGGTCTCATTTATTAGGCTGGCGTTGTACGGCTTTCTCCCATAACTTCGCCGCTCCCTCCTTCGGCTATAAGCATCGTTTAACCTCTGCTCTCGCTCTCTCCCGAGCCAGTTCGTGTCAATCTATGATGTTGGCTGCGTTATAAATTCGGACCAGGTGCAAGCCATGTGAAAGTGATTAGTATTCCCAACTCACACGAGGCTGACACCCCCTATTAGTTGTGGGAAGACAGGCGCCTCCTTTGTGTGGGTCGCATGTCTCAACGCACATCGGCTTCTCGTCGACGCGGTAATGAAGGAGGTTGCGTGGCTCAAGTCCAGCAGCAGGAGCATGGTGCATGAATCCAGGAAATAACTTGTACTAACATACACTTTTGAGTTAATGTGTGTGCGCAGTCCACCGCACATTCCAATGCAGGGGATGAAAATACCGCAAGGGTCGCCCAAGCTCAAAGAAATTGCCCCTAACTACAACTTGCTGGATAGGTGGCCCTCCTTAAAGACCTTGTCTTCCAACCACTGCCCAAGAATACGATTGGCCTCCGCTGGTTTCTGCCACAGAACCCAATGTCCAGCCTCAATCTCATGGTGCGTCAGCTTGTCGACCTTGGGAACCATGCGGGCAACCATGTTGTCACTGATGGCGGGATCACACGTGGCTCGGACGTAGAGAATCTCATGCTCCGGACCGAAGCGTAGGTTCGACGGTCGGGGAACTTTACCATTGTCGAAAAAGTAGGCGTATTCGTCGGCCCAGTTGACTTCGCGGATGCGATACCAGTTCACGGGGCCGGTGAGGCCGTTGCGGGAGAATTCCGAGGCGTAGAAGTCAAGCTCGACGCTGCTGACCAGGCCGTCGTCGTTAGCAGGGATGGCGCCAGAGAGGATCAGGTCGAGGTTGGCGCCTGAATGGACGTCGAAGCCAGCCAGACGGTTGGGTTGCGCGGTGTTGAGTGCCCCAAAGACGGCGCTCAGGAATTTGCGGATCTCGGCGCGAGATTGTACCCTGTCCTCAATCTCGCCGGAGACAAGTTGTGCTTGGTACGCCAGCTGTGGCAGGTAATTGCCGATGATACTTGCCAGAGGCTCAAAGCGGGATGATGGTGGAAAGTAGGGCGCGCCGAAGATGAAGAGTGCCTTGACAAGCTTGGGGTAGTACTGGGTCATGCGCCACGCAACGGCTGAGCCCCAGTCGTGACCGCCCAGCACGATTTGTGCTAGATCGAGTTGCTGGCACAGCGTGGCCAGGTCGTCGGCTGCGCGCTTGTATCCATAGTCGGATAAGGTGTGTCGAGGAGAGTCCGTCCGGCCATATCCTACGCAGTCCGGTGCAATGACAGTCAGACCTAGCGATGTCAAGAATGGAATTTGATATCTCCACCCAAATGAAAGATCGGGGAATCCATGAACAAGAAGGACTGTTCCTCGTCGAACGACAGACGGAAGAGGTTCAGAGTATAGATAACCGTAGGTCAGGCCATTGAGGACGGTTGAACGAAGCTGGACCCGGGGGTCGTTGAAGGGTTTGATCTTGTCAACAGCCATAGCCTTTTTCTGGACGAAGGGATAGAATGGTTAACCGCTTGGAATGAGGGTGAATGAAGTTGATCTTTGCCACCGGGCTGGACGTCGTCGTTTATCAACATGCGCAAGTGAATCCATCTCTACCCCTTTCGGCCAGATCCCGATTGCTCACTATTCAAAGCCGAGCTCTGCATTTCCTATTCTTGACTTTTGCCGTCGAAGGGTTCGGCCAAATCGAATCACACCAAAGGCCACACGTGTTGCCATATTTCTCCATGATTTGAGGTAGCGAATTTTCGAATATGCGGAGAAGGTAATTCTCTGGGCTTAACCTAGAATATGTCCATGTCAACTGTAGGACGGCGCGTTGGTAACCGACTGCCCTGGTATTTAGCTTGGCTTCAACAAATCTTGACCAACCACGTTGTGAAAGGCAGATTTGCAGTCAGCCTGGGCCGCTTGGGTGGGCTGGAGCGCCAATTATGTATCGAAGATGCTATCCCGGCCAGCAAGAATTAAGCGAAAATTGTCAAGGGGTGGACAAGAGGCCCCTCCTCCGCATGTGTCGACGGCGCTTTGCGCTTTTCGGCTCATTCTGCGAATGTTAACTAGTAACAGATGAACTCTCTTTGCAGATGTATCCTGGGAGCATTCGTAAAAGCTACAGCAGACCGACAGGGTGCTGAGAGATTGTCTGTCTCTTTAGACACAAGAGTCTAATGGATGGTCATTTGTCCATGGCCATGGCACTTGAGTGCCTTGCGACGCCCATGGCGATTTGCCTCGCGAGGCAGAATCTCGTCACGTATTCGGATGAGCAACGAGAAGACGAATACGATTGCCAATTCTGACACACATCCATAATGGTCACTCGACGTAGGTGAAGCCAGCTTTCGTCGACAATATAAACGGCAGCTCAGGTAAGTGCCCTGTTTCCACTTGGCCAAGGTGTTCTTCATCAGACACTTGAACTTTTAATAAGCATCTCTTCACCATGAACCCTCCCCTGTCTCGGGTGTGTTTGATGGGTTTGCTGTTCTTTCTGGCCTCCGTGCACCAGGCTCTTGCTGGACCTGCGATATATTGCAAACCCATTCCGTCCTCGTCAAACTGGCCTGCTCAGTCCGCGTGGCAAGAGTTGAACAAGACTGTGTCTGGCAAGCTCTTTGCCGACGTCCCTCCTGGATCTGTCTGCCACCCAGGAAATGCATTGTTCAACAATGCCACCTGTGACTTTGTCCTTTCCCAATGGACGAACTCAAGCTTTCATGCCGACAATCCCATCTCGGTTGACTACAATGATGATGGATGTCTGCCGTCGCCTCTGGCGCCATGTTCAGCGGCTGCTTATCCTTCGTACGTGGTACACGCCACAAAAGTCTCTGATGTACAGGCAGCGGTGGAGTTTGCCGCCAATACAGGCGTGAGGTTGATAGTCAAAGGAACTGGTCATGATCTCCTGTCCAGGTAAGAATGGAATGCCTTGCCAAAGGTCATGATGCTAAGGGGAGTAGGTCGTCTGGTGGACAGTCTTTGTCTATATGGACACACAAGCTCGTGGGCATCTCGGTGAATACTAGTGACACTAGGGCTCTCCCGTATGGTGGAGTTGGCTCAGTCAAAATTGCCGCTGGATCCAGGATGATGGAACTCTACCAGGCAGTCGCTGAATACAACCTTACAGTCATCGCAGGTGGTGACGTATCAGTCGGCATTGGTGGATGGGTCCTGGGAGGGGGCCATTCTCCCATAAGCTCGACATATGGACTTGGAGCTGACCAAGTCCTCGAGATGGAAGTGGTGACTCCAGACGGCAAATTTCTCACCATCAACGAGAACTCGTATCCTGATTTGTTCTGGGCTATGCGAGGGGTGGGTGCAAGATGTTCAACAGATTTGCAGAGTAAAAGCACTGCTGACCAGATTCGCACAGGGAGGAGGCTCAACCTTTGGCGTCCTCATCAGCGTGACCATGAAGGTCTACCCGACCCTTCCCGGCAGCCTTACAATATTTACTGCCAACACCACCTCCAACAGCGACACCTTTTGGTCAATATCGACATACTTCACCTCGCAGGTGCCTAGCCTGTCGGACAAAGGAGCAAACGGCTACCACTATTTCATCCCATACGCTCCCCCCAATCCTCCGGACCAAGCAGGCATTATCATCGGTGGGTATTTCTTCCCAAACAAGACTCCTGCCCAGGTCAACGCGATCATGGGTCCGGTCATTACCAAGATCAACACCACGAACTGGGGTGACCCGGTCTTTGTTGCAAACGAAACAATCCCGATCCCAGACTTCAATAAATTCTGGATGACGAACCAGCCCGAGGCTGTGGGACCATCAGAGCGTCTAGGTTCACGTCTCCTGACCCGCGGCGCTCTTACTGGCAACCAAACGGAGCTACAGAATGCACTACGTACAGCATCAAACGGTACCTGGACACTGCTCAACCACCTTGTTGCGGGCAAAGGGGTACGAGATGCTAAGATACCCGGTGGGAACAACTCAGTGTGTCCTGCGTGGCGGAACGACACATACATTCACTTCGGTAAGTCCATGATGGCCTTTCCACCGCTCGTACGCACGCAGAGTGTTGACTCCAGCCCCCTCTTCCTGTCAAGTCACTTATCGAAGCTGGACGCCCTTGAACCAAACCGAAAAGACGGCGGTAACAGACGAGCTGCGCAACAGCGCGGTTGAAGCACTGCGCATCCTGGATCCATACACGGGCGCGTACGTCAATGAAGCCGATCCGACCGAGCCCAACTGGCAGACAACCTTCTGGGGCTCGAATTACCCGCGCCTTTTGGCCCTGAAGAAAAAATACGACCCCAAGGGCGTATTCTGGTGTAAACCCTGCGTTGGAAATGAACTCTGGAATGTAACAGGCAGTTCTGTATACCAGGACGGTATCGGCGAGGACGGCGGCATGATCTGTAAAGCTCAATGAAGGAAAAGCTGTATCGGCGAATTTGACCTCTCCCCGAGGGTCGCTCTCTTGACATTGATGGCGCATGCTGCTAGTTGAAAGACATTTCGCGCGGCGAGTCTTATTCTCCCCGCTAGTTGGAGGCTGGCGAATTACGCATCAAATGGGGTGTCTCCGAATTCTCCGAGAGTATGCTTGAAAGATCAAAGCAGAGGATGAGCCCGAGGCAATTTGCATCCATCATTAAATGCTAGAGAGTCTCGACTATCGCCGTTTTCGTAGAGCGCTCTCTTCAATGCTAGGATGCGATACAAACTGCTTCGCAGCTCATCCTGTGTCTGCCTGAGGCTGATAACAATCACCCATTCCGGGAGGTGGGCAAGAAGATATGCAGGTTACACCTTGACAGTGGGACTTTGAAAGCGCGAGACAGAGCAAGCAGCTCGGCCAGATTTTCGCCTTGGTCACTGCTAATTTGCATCTGTACCGCTTGGTAGGCCGCATCATCACACCAGGCAGAGACATGGTGGCAGATGTCGGTGTAGGCATTTTTCAATTTCGATTGGGTGACCCAGAGACCCGGGAATTGTGCATTGAAGCGCTCTGACAGAAGCTCGCTGTATTTGGCTGCAAAGAAGTCGCGCTCTAAAGCCAAGGAAGGCACAGTGAGAGAAGAATAGAGATACGAGATACGAGGTGTCGATGTCTTCCTAGCTCACTTCGAGCTGTAGCCTTCTGATGCCCGTTATCCCTGCTAGTCGGCCCATGTTGTACTGTATCGCCGCTTCACGCAGAATCGAGACCAATGAAACTTGGGTAAGAGACAAATGCATGCATTCCATTGTTTATTGCGTCGAAGGTACTCCGTATTCCTTGAGGCCTTTCAGTCTGATATCGCGACCTCGGAGAAATCTTAATCCCATTCCGGTTCCGAGGCGAACGGCGTTGGCAACACTTCATCATCCCCGGTGGGTGCCCGGGTCCTCGTCTGCCTTCTTACCATCCTGCGGTCCGTCGATCGTACACACCTTTGAAGCCCATTCGCGCATGGCATTTCGCTCCTGCAGACGCGCATGCAAAGGCGGACTTCCACGATCGTCGACATCCGGTGGGCTTGATTAGAGAGTGTCCCCGCATTCAGCTACGCGTACCTCGTACCGTTTGTCGTTATCGGCTGCTCATTTGCACTGACCAGCAGGACTTAAAAGATGAGCCGTAGTACAAGGCCAATCCATCAGCGCTTCTCCCAAACGATCATGATTCAGTTCACCTAGGTGCCAACACTTTACCTCCCCCCTCTCGGCCCATAATGGCTGAAGACTGGCAAGTGGTCGCGTCAAAGGCGCAAGCAGATCTTTTGAACTCAATACCCCCGAAATGGCGTCTGCCCGAGCCGGTCGACCCTTCTGTGAAGGACGTTCGAGCCATTCCGAGGACTTGTGGACTCCTTACGGAGAAACAGCTGTTGATCACTGAGCAGACGGCCAGCGAGCTCGTAGCCCAGCTGAGAGACGGCAGGCTGTCCTCGGTGGAAGTGACCGAGGCCTTCTGTGCAAGAGCCGCGATTGCACATCAGTGTGTAAGTATGATGGGCGAATATCTGCTTTATACTCCATCTGCGAACTGTCCAGCCTACCTAATGTCAGAGGCGTGGACTGAGGTCTGTTATTGACGGCCCTTTTAGGTAAATTGTTTGACCGCTTTCTTTCCGGAAGAGGCTCTAGCACGAGCAAAAGAACTTGATGACATCCTGGCAAAGACGGGCACCCCGGTTGGCCCTTTGCATGGATTGCCTGTGGGAATCAAGGATATCTTCCACATGAAGGATAAGAACCTGACGATGGGCTATGTGGCATGGTACAACAATCGGTGCACGTCTGATGCGTCGATTGTGCAAATTCTGAGGAATGCTGGAGGTGAGCATCCAAACCTTTCTACAAAGCTGGATGAGTTCCTGCTCATGCATCTTCCTGGACTGTTACAGCTGTCTTTTTCGTGCGCACAACGATGCCACAGACGGGAATGTTCCTCGAAACCTGGAGCAACCTGTGGGGTCGCACTCTGAACCCTTTCAACAGAGATTTCTCTGCCGGAGGCTCCTCTGGCGGGGATGGGAGCCTTGTGGCTATGAAAGGAGCGCCGTTCTGCCCATCAACCGATATCGGCGGCAGCATCCGGGCCCCGGGCACTTTTAACGGGCTTTATGCCATGAGGCCTACTGCTGAAAGAACTGCAAAGAGGGGCATGGGGACGGCTGCGCCTGGCCAGATCTCTATCAAGGTCTCTTCGGGTCCGAATTGTCACAGCATGACAGATGTCAAGCTCGTAGCCGAGATTCTCCTCACCCACCACGGCTTGCCGTTTGAGCCCACTGCTGTCCGGATGCCCTGGAAACAATTACCTACTAAGACGGAGAAACTGTGCCTTGGCTTGCTAACCACAGACGGGTGTGTGACTCCGCAGCCACCAATTGCGAGAGCCCTTCAAGAGACTGCGGTAAGCCTGCGAGAGGCTGGTCACGAAGGTACGAATTATGCTACAAACGTCTGGCACTCCCGGCTTCTGACTTTAGGCAGTAATCGAATTCAAATTGCCATTTGACTGTTGGGAAGTTGCACAGGACACTGTACGTACTATCCCACTCCTGCGTCTTTTGAAAACCCACACAGTCTGCTAACCGGTCACCAGTGGCGACTATGGTTCCAGACTGGTGCAAAAGAGACCGTGGATCTAGTCGCATCGTCGGGCGAACCGCTCTACCCAACCTTCAAGTGGTATCTCGAGACGTTTCATATCAAGCCCTTGAGCGTGCCAGAACTGTTCAAGGTACCATATACAACCCTCACTCTTTCATTTCTTCCTCCATCATCCTCTACACAACGCCTTTTAGAAGAAGACCAAAAAAGAACATCAGAGCTGACGGACGCTACCTCTCCAGCTCAACACGAAGCAAGCAGAATGGCGATACCAGTTCGCCGAGGCGTGGTACAACACGAGAACGCAGACCAATTCCGGACGCCCCATCGACTGCTTAATCTGCCCCTGCGCGCCGTCCGCGAGTTTCCCGCACGGCTTCCCGGTCTGGTGGGGGTACTTTAGCCTGTGGAACCTGCTCGACTACCCGAGCATTGTGCTGCCGTTAAAGAAGATGCATGTCGACCTTGACAAGGACAAGAAGAATGTCGACTACGCCCCCAAGAATAACGTCTTTGACAAGATGAACTGGGAGATCTGTAAGTGATCTATTTACTCTGCCCTTTTCCGTCAAGAAGATTATATCGAGATTCCGACGCGGTCTGTGAGATTTCGGGCACAATTAGCCACCATCCCACGACTTAATTGATTGAATGGACTGGCTGACCACTCTGCGAAAATTCACAAATAGACGACCCCGAGCGCTGGAAGAACCAACCCATCACGATCCAGCTTGTGCGGCCGCAATTCAGCGACGAGGAACTTATAGCAGTCGCGGCATCGATAGACGAAGTCTGCAACGGGTGAAATACAGCTGGGCTAGAATACCTTACGGCGAGATTTATCTATCTCTATATATAGTACATGTCTACCTCCTCACATCTTGACATAACTTGGAACCTCCCACCATTGCCATATACTTGAAAGCGACACGCAGCCCCGCAACAGCCAGCAGGCTTTTCGTGACTCACGTATCTGTCAACAGCGTCCATCCATCAACCTATCCATCCATCCATTACCGACCGCGGTTGTTGATACCCTGTTCCGGAAGGGCGGCCAATGGAAATCACCTAGTCAATGATCCCCCAATCAACTATGTTCAAACTCTCTTGCCCGATCAGGCACCGCGGTTATCGTCTTTCCACCGGGAGTCTTGAAAGGTTAGACTGAGGGATGCACATCTCCGCACGCAGCGTCGTACCCCGTACTTCGTATGGGGGAACTGGATTGATTTGATCGGTGAAAGGCCTGGCCTTTTCGATTTTGGACACATACATACATACCTACATATGTGCATATATTCGTTGTTGCAGGTATTGCTGCGAGTAAGCCAGACAGCCAGCAAGCAAGGAAGTGAGACTCTGGGAGCGCCGTCGAAATCCGTGGATCGACTCGATATATATCCCCACAACATCTCCATATCTGGTGATCTGCTGCAAGTGAAGAGTCGAGATAGCTTGAAATAAAGGAAGGCAGCAGAGATCAAAAGTGAAGGTCTAGATCAAGAAGGGTGAAGTAACCGCAAATCATGTCGCCTGATCCAAAGACGATGACGCCGCCCAGCGTGCAAACACTCGATCCCCACAAGACATTCGACTCTCGCCCGATCTTCTCGCACGTCGCCACGTCCAGCGGACCATGCCGCATCGTCGCGACGGCCGGACAGGTCGGAGCCGACCACAACCGGGTGGTGCCCAAGGACCTTGACGAGCAGATCGCCCTGGCCATGACGAATCTGGGCCGCTGTCTCGAGGCCGCGGGGGCCAAAGTCACCGACGTCTTCAAGCTGGTCTACTACATCGTCGACTACGACCCGGCGCATCGTCGGCACACCAAGCACCTCAAGGCGTTCTTGAACGGCCATCGCCCGGCTACGACGCTGGTGCCCGTTCCCGCACTGGCGGATCCGGATTTCAAATTTGAGATTGAGGCGTATGCGGCTGTTAGGCAGGAGCCTTTGAAGACTGTCGAAGTGGTGGTCGTGGGAGCCGGCCTGAGCGGTCTGCAGGCAGCCTATGACCTGCAAAAGGCCGGCGTATCGTGCGCAGTTGTCGAGGCTCGTGATCGCGTGGGCGGAAAGACTTGGTCCGTCGATCCGTTGGGCCAGGAGAAATTCATCGACGTCGGTGCAGCTTGGATCAACGACACGAACCAAGCGAAGGCGTATGCACTGGCAAAGTCCCTGGGCCTTGAACTCGTGGTCCAAAACACTGTGGGCCATATCATCCAGGAGGATCTCGGCGGCAGTACAGGATTGTTTCCCTATGGCGGAACACCCTCCAACGCGCCCGAGTCCAACGGGATCCAACACATGGTGTACATCCGTGAACTGTTTGAGAAGCTGTGCCAACAGGTGGATATTCGCGACCCGGTAGGCTCAAGCGGGCGCTTTGACAAAATGACTTTGGAAGAATGGTGCAAGTCCGAGACCCAGTCCGAGACAGCGCTTGCAACGGTCAAGTTGTGGACAAGGGCAATGCTCGGCCTCGAGCCATCCGAGATAAGTGCTCTCTACTTCTTGGATTACTGCAAGAGTGGCGGAGGCCTGCTCCAGATGAGATCCGATTTTCAGGATGGGGGGCAGTATCTCAGATTCATCAAAGGTGAGCAAAGCAGACCGTGGGCGAATTCTTTGAGCAACGCACTTACATTTTGAGGGACAGGGACCCAGTCATTGTCAATCGGTCTGGCGAGTCTGATGAAGCCAGGTTCCATCGTCCTCAACTCACCTGTTCGGCACATATCACAAACTCCCGATGGGATCTACGTCTCGGCGGGTAGGGGAGACTTCAAGTGCCAGCGAGTCATCGTCTCTGTGCCGACGGTCCTCTATAAGGAGATCGCATTCGACCCGCCCTTGCCTGCTGCAAAAGTCGAGCTTGGTAAGAACAACATGCACGGATACACACTGAAGGTGCTGGTCATGTACTCTGAGCCCTGGTGGCGCAAGAAAGGACTGTCCGGGGCCATCATGTCCTTCATCGGGCCCATCACCACATGCCGCGACTCCAGCAACGACGAAAAGGGCCAATTCTCCCTGACGTGCTTCACCAACGGCGATTTCGGTCGCAAAGGATCTCTTCTCCCGCAACAGGAGAGATTCGGTGCGATCTTGGCCCACATCAAGCGCGTGTTCGGGCCGTATGTCGACGTCCCGGAGCCGTTGGCGGTCACAGAACATGAATGGGCAAGCGACCAGTGGGCGCAAGGCTGTCCGTGTCCTGCCGCTCCCCCCGGAATCATGACAAAGTACAACCACGCCCTGAGGACGACTCACGGGAAAGTGCATTTCGTGGGCACCGAGACCGCCTATGAGTGGAAAGGGTATATGGATGGTGCACTGCGATCTGGAGAAAGAGGAGCAAAGGAGGTGATTGAGGCTCTCAGGAGGGCAAAGCTGTGAGGGAGGTAGGGTGACTGAATGATGCAAATGTCATCATCTCGTATTGACAGCCTTCAAATTCTCTCGGTACTCTCGCCTCGGTGTTGCCTTGTATACACAGTGCCACCTCTACTGACCTCTTCGCCCTCTTCGCCAATGTTTTGTTCTTTATCCACGTCCTACCTGGTTTGGCGGGTACCTGTCACTCAGTATGGCGGTGTTGTCAACTTTGCTCTGCTCTTGGTTTCCTGGACGGAGGGTCGAGTTAACACATTCGATGAAGCCGAGTCCGGGATCAGCCCCCATGTGCCTGCGATGAATCAATGATGCCAGGTGTTCACTGCTTACCTCTTGGCGATTTCCTATTGGCGGCAGCCCGATTCAGGGGCCCTAGGCCGCTATGGCTTGCAGCCTTGGCCCTGAATGACCGGGGCCATTAGGGGCGCCCGGAGCCTAGAGATCGATCCATTGGGCACCCGTTGGGCGAGGGCGCCTTAACCGGACTCCGCCATTAGCTTGGGTGGAGTTCAAGGTTGGCTCCCTGCCCGCAATGTCCTTCGCGCGTTCGTGTTGCTCCTTTGCCCAATGCGGCCTCTTGTATTTTCTGACGCCCGCTCCCACTCCCTATTTTTGTCCAATACTCTCCTGACCGCAATACTGTGTACGACAGACACTCGTTTTCTTTTCTTCTTCTCTTCAATCTGTTAATTTTTCTGCAGTGCCGTGACGATTCTTCTTCTTGGAACGCAACAAGACTCGGTGACCTTCTGTTTCTGTTTCGCAGCGAGTAGCACCGACAAGATGAGTTACTATACCAACCTCCAGGGCAAATTTGCCCACAAGGTCGGCGAACCTGTCCCTGAATTCAACACTGAGTATGTTTCTCTTCTCTTGTTTGCCGTTAGGCTTGGAGTGTAGAGATGGTTTGACGGCGGTTGCTAGAACTTGGACCATCCACCTCCGTTTGCATATCTTCAGCACTGACCGTCTTGTTTCTCAGATTCCCCGCCCACCCAGGCCTTGTCCACTTCCCCATCGCCTTTAACATCCTCTCCTGGGGCCTTGACATTTTGTATGCCCTCACCGCCATCTATGTCAAGCCGGACTTCCTCACCAGCCGTTTCGGCTCCGCCACGACCCTCTTGGACATCACCCGACTGTCCTACTTCCTCCTGTGCGCAGGGTTGATCACCACCGTGCCTGCAATCATGTCCGGCAACATCCAACTGGTGGGGATGATCAAGAAGAATGGCGGGCCATGGGAAAAGGACGCGCAGGGAAAGCAGAAGAGCACAATGGTGCCGCGGATCAAGGCCACCATCACGCACGCCATCGTCAACGATCTGGTGTTTGTGGCCAACTTGTACAGCTGGTACCTCAGGAAGGACAAGGAAGGGGCCGTCAACGTGGGCAAGACCCCGACTCAGACAAACATCATCATCAGCATGGTCTTGCTGCCGGCTCTGATTGCCAGTGCAAAGATTGGCGGCACGCTTGTGTTCAACCACGGCGTCGGCTTGAACTTGGGCCGCAAGAAGTTCGAGTAGATGTGGCTCGACCAGAGAAGAATCTGCGCGGAGCATTGGAGCCGGAGGCGCTTTGGAGAAGGTCAAAAGCCGGGGGCAAGATAGAAAGAGGCCAAGGTGAAAGAAAAGGGCTTTCAGGAGGTTGAAGGATGCAGGACAGTAGGGGCAGCAGCCCATGTATGGCGGACAAAAAAATCGGGCAAGCGATGGCAAATGTGTTTATGAACTCTGGGGATACATCTTGTTGCGGGAAGGGGCAGACCATTGACTTATGGCAGGGGGCAAATGTAGAATCTCTAGAGGTGTTTTCGACTACGTTGCTTTTTTAATCATACACCCATTCCAGGAAGATCAGGTCTCCGACAAAGTCACAAGATCACCCTCCCTCTGTGAGCTAGGGCCCGTGGATCGACTAGTCGACTGAGCGAATGCTCAGCTATTGATAGGCTGCCTTTGATAAAGCTTCGCTCATTTTTAATATCCGTGGCGGGAACCAACCTTGAAGCAACCTCCATCATCGCCAGGCTGTCTTGGGCTCTGATCGAGCAGAGGGAGAGGAGTAGCAGTTTTGGCGCCCTTGACGCTATCCAACAAGCTGAGGGCTGACGAGAGCGCGGTCTTCGACTTCTGAAACCTTTCTCACCAGAACCCATTTGCGCTTTACTCTCTAGAAGATGGAAGCTTCGCGATAAAGGTGGATTGGTATCTCTACGACCCGAGCAAGAATCAACATATCGAATTCGACGAGCATGAACTTTTACAAGGACGACACCCTTTTTTTGTGACTGAAAGGGCCGGAAGTGGTACCTGCTGAAACAATTCGGACACAAAGTACGCGACTCAAGTTACTTGCACTCTTACTCTTTCAATCCCGTAGTGTGGAAGTGGAAAGACGAAAGACCGTTTTGCAACAACAACCCCCCTGTAAAATCAGCCAGCCACAGGTGTGTGCCATTCGCTTCCGCGCGCAGATCTGTGCATGTAAGAGTTCGTTGAGATTGAAGATCTCAGCCTGCGTCCCACGGTCAATTAGTACTGTGGTATCTCGCACGAGACCTGGCCTGCAGGTGGACAAGACTGGCAAAACTGCAGGGCCTCGACAAAGATGTCTTCAGCTGTCAAGTGAAGACGTTAAGTCATTCCCGAGTCCAGATGCCAATGAACCAGCGGTACACCAGATTGACAATCTCAAAGATGCGGGCTGAGCTGAATTCTGAAGTGTTGCCTTGAGATAAAGGGACACATTTCACGGTCATTTGCAAATATGGGACAGATCATCGTCAAAGTAATACACGAACACAATCACATGAACTCATTCAGCTCAAATGCCTGCTTTTGCGCGGCTTTGCTTGGACGGCGGAGTGATGTGTGAGCCTTGGTCAGCACCACCAAATAATCCCAGGCTGCCAACCTCGTATTACTTGCAGCCACACACGCAGTTGCGTGACTAGGGTCACTCTGATTTGTCCTATTTGGTGACTGAGCCTGGGATTCGACTTGATGGGAATAAACGAGGCTGTTGTGTGCTCTCTTCCTCAAAAGAAACACTTTCAAGTAGACCTTTCGCGGATCAAATACACTTAGGAAGTCCTTGTACTTGATAAAATTGGCAAAGCCTTTTGGTTCAGTTCGAGCTGGTGCCTTCTGTCGAAAGCCGGGCACCTGCGTGCTGTGGGACGGTATTTACCATTTACGCAGAACAAGCGTTGGCACCACGGAATGCTGACGGGCCACATTTATCGAGGTCATTTGCTGAGGCCATAGTATACGGGAGTTTGTGATCGATCGCTAGCACTTTCAACTTAACATGCGTCGCAAGACCCCCTTCTGGTCTTGGATGCCGGTGAGCACTTCCAGTAAGGCTGGACGGATGCTCGAAACACCCGATCATTCCACTGCTCATGGCTGAAGACTGAAGTCCCTCGGAATCGTGACCATTTGAGATTTCCGTGTAAAATGCCCACGCTGTATTTTCGGAGGCCAGTGTGGCATCGCCAGGCATTGCAGAACTTCATGAGAGGCTCAGCGTCTTCCCCGGGGCAATGACAGTGAGGCAGGGTCGCCGCTTAGAGTGTTTCGAACAACGACAACCAGATTTTCTGCAGCCACAAGCCCATCCATTCCTTTTTCCGGCGCCTGGCTCAGGATAGGGAACCCGAATTCGATCGTGGCAATAACCATTATGCACTTATCACCTGCGCAGCTTCCTGTGAATTGGATCTCTTCACCGGTTGGGTGCATTGGAGCAGTGAAACAAGCGTGGTTACTTCGGGGAGCTCACAGTCGAAGTGAGGACGAAAAAATTCCATTCGAAAGTCTCACGTCTCTTGTAGGGCCGAACAGGTAAGGGAATATGTCTCACGTGGCCGCCTGAGTCATCTACGAGCAATATCCTTCGTGTCACTTGGGGCGAGGATGCCTTTGTTGCCGCCCGATGTATCAAGGAGTAAATTAGGTGTTCATCTCAATCAAACGTGCAGGTACTCAAGGTGAGCTGGATCTGGCGCTAGAGACTACTAGTTGATTCTCGGGGGGCCTTCTCCGATATTTTGGAGAAGGATCAGGTATGGAGAAATCCCAGGAAAGGCATGGCCAGAGCCTGGGAGTTTGGGCGTAGAGTCCACGGTGGCGTCTGGCGGCACGACTGGAACAGGTATTCAAAACTGAACCAGAGACGACTCTTGCTCTATTGCGCTGGGTATCATGGGTGTCCGGAATACATGGCCAAAATATTGCGCTCGGGATTCTTGAGATGGACCTCACGAAGTACCAGAAAGGCCGCCGTAGCTTGGATAGAAACCGACAATCTCGCAAGGATAGTCTAGCGCTTGGGCATGTGGCATCCCGAACCGGGAATCGACGCGAGATTAAGGTTCCCTAAAAAGCTTGATGCGACTCCACCTGGCCGAGCCTTGACGGTATCTAGTCACCTAGTCTAACGTCTTCCTTAGTTGGCGTATCCCTTCCTCAAATGGGGGACCTGGGGTTTCCGCCAACAAGCCAGAATTGGTAATAGATAGCTCGCACATAATTACATATTCCTACATGATCAGGAGGTGGCACGCCAAATGACGGGCGGTCTGTCAGCTAGGTGGCCGTCGAGGATCGACGTGTTTTACCGGCGCAGAGCCCGCCCACTCTTTGCACCCCGTGCCGGGCACTCATGCTTCATTATGAAAACGGAACCCTCATGAGTTGATCTTTTGGAACCGTCATTCTCTCCTTCCTGCATCTCTCAGCAGCACTTGCAATCTTTGGTTTTCTTCACCGGTGTCATTCTTTTGAACTTCCCGGATCTTCTACTTCGCTCGTTCTATCCCTCTCACATTCTAGCCAGCCATGGTTTCTACCAACATTCTCCGACTCACTCTTTTCGCTCTGGGAGTTCAGAGTCTAGCTCTTCCTGATCTCTTCGGCGGCCTCCCCGGGTTCTCTTCCCCAGGACAAACAGGAGAAAATGAACCTTCTGCTCCAGGCTTTGCTGGAGGCGACTCGCCCAGCTGGCCCGGTCCTCCTGAACTTCCCCAGCCTGGACCTCCGGGAGGCAATTCACCAGGTTGGCCTGGTAATCCGGGATCCCCCCAGCCCGGGCCTCCTGGGAACCAGCCAGGCTGGCCAGCAACAGGATCTCCAGGTTGGCCAAGTTCACCCATTCCTCCAACGACTACTTCTCATGGGACCTTACCCTCGAAGACTAGCTCCAGCCCGAGCCACACCACCACAGTGACTACGTCTCCGACAACCACGAGTAGCCCAAGCATCTCGTCAACAGCTTCAACCAGCACTTTAGAGCCGTCTACAAGCACCAGTTCTTCCAATGTTCCGACCAGCACCACGCAGTCAACAACCCTGACCTCGACGACGACGTCACCAGCGGCGCCTCCTACGACTTCCACTTCCTCCACTAGTACAAGTCCCACGACAACGACAACCTCGCTCTCGACCACAAGTTCGACTACTACTTCGACTACGACCACCACAACTACAACAACCACGACCACAACCACAACCACGACCACAACGAGTGCGACTACTCCTCCCCCTAGTTGCCCAACGCCTAGCCTTGCAAACGGTGGATTCGAGGACAGCGATACATCCATCTCTCCTTGGGTATATTCGAACTTTGGATATTCTGTGGACGAATTTGTTGGAGAAGCTGGCAGCGGCACCTTCGTACCACATTCCGGCAACAATTACTTGTAAGTAAACTGGCTTCTTATGCCGTTGTCGACCTTTTTCTTCCCTTCGTCCCAAGATGTGCTAATAAATGCTTGCCTTTTTCCAGCGAAGTCATCAGTTCCCAGTCAGATCCAATCGAGGTTCGAATCGCACAATCTCCCGATTTCTGCGCAGGAGCGACCTACACAATTACCTTGTGGGCCATTGGGGACTGCTCCGGGGGCGCCGGCCTAGGACTTTGTGCCGGCGAAAATGTCGACGATGTATACATCCAGATTGTGACCGGCGTTGGTTTCAGTCCAATGTTCTACCCTCAAAACGTCGGAACATCTGACTGGCAGGAGTTCACATACACATTCACGTGGACCGGTGGAGACGGCCTGAACCCTATTGATATTGATATCTTCATAAACTCCGAGGGCGATGCACTGGCCCTAGACGACATCTCGATTGCCCTCGCTGAAGACACCACTTAGGTTGTTCCTGAGCAAAGCTAGACGGTTGTGGGTTTGTGTGGCTTACTCGTACGCTGTTATGGATGTGGTGACGAGCAGGTATCTGCTGGGATTAATGGGGGACTAGGGGTTGTCGCGCATGAATCGGAGGAGATCTGAACTGCGTCCTTGCCTGAGGGCTACTAGTCAACATCCTAAGGGGGACTGGTTCACGTTTGCAGTCGAGTTGGGCTGCCGAGAATGTAGTCCCTCAAGGACATAAACTTTGTTTTACTACAATTCAGTCAATGCCCCAGCACTGATCCAATTACCCGGTCGATTCAGGTGGTAAGTGAACCTGTTGAACCGGTTGTACTATGAACTTACCAATATGTCCTGCGACCCAAGGATACAGAACGCATTATCCTAAACCACGTATCCGAGAACTCTTGTCTTCGTGGATCGATCAGAGGGTAGACATGATGATGGAATGGTGTGGTGTACCATTTTCCCATTCACGCCATCTTCGTTTGATATAGGACCGAACAAAGTACTGCTCAAGCGAGGCCGTTACTTGTTATAGAGGGCACCGGTCTTATGTAGCTCGAATTGAGATGGACAAGGTTGGGCGGACAAATTTCGATAGATTTTACATCCGAATAGCCGTCTTACGGGGTTTGGACTTAGGATATGTCTTCGCCGCCAATGAATACTGAGTGACAAAACTAACGTCAAGGGTGATACTGTGATCCAGCTCCACGTCAAACGTTGGGTGGAAGGCTCGAACTTGGAGGGCTTCTGCAAAGACCCGTGAATCTCGTGACGTGTACAGCGCCGGGCAGAGTAGCTAGGAATTATTAATATGGACTAATCCACAAATACTGGAACCGTTGATGAGCGACGTCGACAACAGTATTGAAGCCTATTGAAAGAAGAGGGCATCGTGGTAACCTCGCAACTATCCAAGCTGGCTCCAAAGTAATCTCGCTAGATCAAATGAGGCTAGCAATGATTCAATACTAAAGCAGCTATCACGAAGAGGAGCAATAGCCGGCGGTAGATGAGTACACATTAGTAATACGTCTGGGGTCCAACGTCGTCCGACATCTAAAAGCAGCGTCGAACCGCTACCCCTATTCTCCCGGCATTTTACCTGACGAATCCGGCAGTCACGTACTCGGTACATGGGAATCAATTCTAGTCCGCAGTCGCGGTCATGGGAGCTCCATCGACGTTCCGACATAGCCAGCTTGTAAACCGGCGCAGCTCAAGCGTCCTTGAAGACCAGGATTTGCCGAGGTGATCGCAGGTTGATTAGTGGGCGAGATGAAGACTGCAAGCTGGTAATTGAAGCAAATTGCGAAATGCTCATAGTAGCGGGTAGGTTCGCGGGTTGCCCTCGACCCTCAACATAGATAATTCTGGATCAGATCCTGGAGCACCAAGTTTTTCAGCTACGGCAGACGCGCTGCGATCTCACATCACAAATTGAAACGTTCCTCATAGGATTTTCCTTCAAAGTTCACTCAAAGCGAAATGAAAGAACCCCTCAGCCTCATCGTCCGTCACTTTACAGTAACCTCTTGGTCGAAGAGGCCTGAAAGCCTTTTTCTGAACGAAGATGGCCACGTTGACTTCACATCGGACGATGTTGAAAATCCCAAAAATTGGTCGGCAGTACGCCGCTGGTACATCGTGATAGCTTCGTTGATGCTTGCGCTCAACGCGACTTTTGCTTCGTCAAGCCCAACAGGATGTCTCGAGGTGAGGCGCTCTCTGAGTATCTACAACACCTTTTTTGATGGCTAACATGACCAGAGTATTGCAGAAGAGCTGAACGTCTCTGTAGAGGCATCGGGGCTCGTCATTACGCTCTTCTTGTTAGGATACTGTTTCGGGCCACTGATCTGGGGCCCGCTGAGCGAATTCTACGGTCGACGCGTGGTCTTCTTGATCTCCTTCTCTCTGTACCTCGCGTTCAACTTTTTATGCGCTTTTACGCCCAACTTTGCGGGACTATTGGTCGGAAGATTCCTCACCGGCTCCTTCGTCAGCAGCACGTTGTCAGTTTCACCTGGCGTGATGGCTGATATTCTGGATCCCGCTGAGCGCGGAATCGGCCTGGCACTTTTTGCGGTCATCACCCTGGCAGGGCCCGCCCTTGGTCCGGTCATCTCAGGCTTTCTCCAACTGAAACTCAACTGGCGATGGAGCTTCTACGTTCTTCTTTGGCTCGCTGGAGGGACATATCCATTTTTGCTCTCGCTCCCCGAAACCCATCCACCGACCATACTACTGGCTAAAGCACGTCGGGCAAGACGCAACAAGACCCCTGGCTACGAAAACGTGATGACGGCCGCGGAGGCTAGTGGCCGTACGCTGAGAGCTATACTTCGGGTGGCTCTCATTCGACCTTGGATTATCTTGTTCGATCCAATTTCTTTCCTCTTCGCTGTTTATACGACGGTGGCTTACGCGCTGTTATATATGCTATTTGTGATCTTCCCTGTGGTCTTTCAACAAAAGCGAGGCTGGAACAGTGGGGTCGGTGAGCTCCCTCTCCTCAGTGTCATTCTTGGCAGCTGCCTAGGTGGCAGTGTCATCTGTTGTCAATCGTTGTGGGAGAGGAAGAAGACGCTCGCAGGTTGGCAACGCGTCCCAGAAGACCGGCTACCAGTCACGATTGTTGCTGGCATCCTGCTCCCTATCTCCATGTTCTGGTTTGCCTGGTGTGGGGCGTACAACGGAGTGCCCTGGGTCGTCGTTACCCTTGCAGCGGCATCTCTCGTGTTGGCGATGACGATGTTGTTTGTTTCATGTCTTTGCTATCTAATTGATTGCTACCTTGTGTATGCGGCAAGTGCGATAGCAGTCAACACAGTTTGTCGGGTAGGTCGACTCTTTCAAGATGACTTTGATCATGAAGGCTGACCAGCATTCTACGCAGGCCGCCGGCGGGGCGGCATCGCCTCTTTTCACCCAGTACATGTACGACAGATTGGGGGTTGGAGGTGGTGGTTCTCTGATAGGAGGTTTGGGAGTCCTGCTTGCCGCCGTTCCCGTCTTGTTGTACAAGTACGGCGAGCGCATTCGCCAGCGATCGAGATTTTCGCCAACCGGAGAGAAGAGGAAATGAAGCACCATTGTCACACGGCGGATTGCAAGCCCGCCCAGTGCTGGAAGAGAATGAATACTATTGGCAAGGATTGTAGTGATTATTTCCTTATATCTTTGAACTATAGCCCTAGCTTGATAGGACTTTTCCTCCCTCCCGTACTCGGCTACTGTTATAACCAGGTGGAAGGGTAAACAAACTGAAAACAGTCACAACCACCACCACCACCACTCCTCCAACTATACATTGTATTGCAGCCGCCTCGGCAATCAACAGCTAAGGAATTCGTGTTCCCGCTGATAATTCGTTAAAGAAATCCTTACAGGCTGTGTAGGAACAAATCACTCTTCGGGCGAGTTAAACCGACGTCGTTACTGATGGGTGATTCCTTCAACGCTCGAATGGGAAGGGGTTTTGTCGAGCCCTTGCGTTGTTTGGACCGAGCTATGCGATATGTGTCACATAAATGGGCCAGCGACCAGGAATTAATCAGCAAATAATTAGTGAAAAGAAATTATAATCAACAAAATATTAGTAGGAAATGCTTTGTGTGGGCGGCGCCCTTTTTGAGGATAAAAGAGGGCCCCCCCTTTCCTCTCCGGTGTTCTTACCTTTTCTTGGGTGCGCCCTCCTCTCGACTGCTCTCTTCCTCCTTATTTCAAGCCATCATCATCATGCCTGAGACCAAGACCATACTTGTCCTCGGCGGCGCAGGAGTGCAAAACTCCGCCGTCGTGCGCGAGCTTGCCAAGAACGAATCCTTCCATGTCAAGCTCTTGTCGCGAAACACCAGATCGGAAGAGTGTCTCTCTCTCGCGTCTCTCTCTGCTGTTACGCTGGCGGAGGGAGACTGTTACGACGAGGATACCCTCATTTCGGCCTTGCAGGGTGTTGATGCCTGTTTTGTCAACACCAACGGCTTTGCAATCGGTGAAAAGGCTGAACTATACTGGGGGATTCGGATGTACGAAATCGCATACTGGGCCGGTGTGACTCATTTCGTCTACAGCTCACTACCTTATGTGTCCAAAAGGTCGGGGTTCAATCCAAAGTACCGCGTCCCTTTTGTGGACGGTAAGGCTAAAGTCTGCGGTGAGTTGTTTTCTGTGTATCGACTTTATAGGTCTCTGTCGCGCTCATTCATGCTATACTCCAGAGTATTTGAGAAGTCAACCAACGAACAAGATGAACTGGAGTATCCTTGAGAGTGGCCCTTACCCAGAGTCCTTCTTGGGCAACTGGGCTCCCACAAAGGGAGAAGACGGCACTTACATATTCAAGATGCCGATCGGTCCAAACGGCGCTATTCCTTTTGTGCCGCTACGTGATCTCGCCTGGTACGCTCGTTACATTTTCGAGCACCCGACGGAGTTCCAAGGCGACTTGCTCAGCGTCGCCATGGCCCACGTGAGTGGTGAAATGGTTGCCGCTGCTTTCACCGCCGTAACGGGGGAGCCAGCTCGCTATCAGCCGTTGGACCTTTTGGAAACGGCCAAGACGTGGCCCAAGACGAAAATAGGCCTTGCTGGATCCCCGGGGTTTGACGATCCGACGCTGAAGACAATGGCTGGCCAACTCGTTCCGTGGTATACTATCTGGCAGGAAAGCGGCGGCAATAAGGGACTGTGGACAAAGGACTATGACAGGCTGGATAGGATTCATCCGGGACGCATCAAGACTATTGAGCAATGGATGAGGTTGTACGGCTACTCCACCGAAAAGCCGCCTCCTTTTCTCAAAACTGGGATATTTGGTCATCGTCTTTGAGAAAGTGAAAAAGGTATTGGCAGCTCTTAATGGGTAAGAATCCAAGACACGTTGGATTCGGTGGTCAAAAGGTTAGACCTTGAAGGTTTCAGACCCAGGAAAGAGTAATGTGCCGGAACGCCGCTGGTGTACATATGGTACATAAAGGGGGGTCCAAGGCAGTCATTAAGCCACTTGCTGTACAGTTGAGCAGTTGTATACACACAGAGTGACGACTCGACTGAGTGCGTCAAACGTCACGTTTGATTGACTGTTGGGACAGTTTCTCTGTGCGTCGACAGCAGCGCTCTTGTACCTATCGATTGAGGATTGTATTGATTGTAAAGATTCATAGGGGGGTTGGAATGCTTAAGAAAGTCACAGCACCGCCCACATACCTGCTGGTTAAAGAATTGCTGCATCGTAACGAGGCCGTCAGGGTGCGGGGGATATACACGGGATCACTGTTTCCTGTCGTTAATCATAATCGTCCTCCTGCTGTTTGTCGGTGGCATGATTCCTGCATGCAGTGTACATCAGCCTTGGTCGAACTTCGTGTACATCGTGATTGGGCTCTCCTCCTCGGAGTATACATCAACGAAAGCGAAGCCTTGGCCTTTGGTGCCAACAGGATGTTGATGGCGATTTTGAGGAGAAAGGCGATGTTTCTGGTTGGCAATAGCTAATTTGCATGTTTTTAATGCGTATTGTTTAACGCGAATCGGTTGTTTGGTACTAGCTATTAATAAAATAGACCGTGAGGCGTAAACCCCCTAAGCCGGTTGTTCACCACAAGCGGAACAAAATCGGGCGCCGTGTTAATGGTAACGTTTCCCGTCCGAAGTAGCACATCCTCGCTGTAAACAAGGTCCGACAACAGACTGAATACCGAACAGACAGTCAAATACCCCTATGTAAAAGAACCCTTTCAGTAAGAGACTGAAGGTTGATGTTGTTGCCGGTCATGAAACAAGACCCCATGGCCTAATCTGCTTTCGTGCAAAAGACCGTAAAAATAACCCACGAAACTTGTGTTGATGCGAACTTCCGACATCATGGAATGACCTGTAGGCCTATGGCTACGCCTTAGGCTCTGGCTTCTTTCTTTCGGATGCGCCCTTGAATTTCGTACTCAAATCACCCGTTGGAAGCCGGAGCGGAAAATCCACAGCGAGGAGCATCATTGTGAAAAACAGATACCAGCCGAATATACAAAAGACAAATATGAACGCTCCAGCAGCCTTGTCACATATGTCAGAACTTTCTTCGTGAACGAAAATATCAATCAGGAGAAAAAGCAAGGTTGAAGAACAGGATAGGCTTCTGGCTGAACTTATATGGCGAGATCCGCAAAGGGTACCCGGTGAACTCACCTTTTGACACTTTCCAGAAACTGCCGTCTTTCCTTCAGCCGCCGACCAATACGTGGCCATCAGCATGATAAAAGCGAGATCGATGAAGAGAAAGACCAGAACGAATGTGATGTTGGTTCGGAAGGAAGCAATGAGGAAGAAGAAGGTGACAAGGGCCATAACCATCCAGAAGAACGCTAAATAGATAATTTCATCAGTGAGTCTCTGTGACCGGGACAGATAGATATACTCACAAAAGCTCGAGTAAAACTGTTCAGTACCCCCAGGCTTTGAGGCGTAGTAGGCTTGTGCGTTGAAAGCGGGCTGGAGTGTTACTCCCATTGCCAGCCAGAAGGCACCTTGGAATCCTGGCCGTCAGTATTCATACGCAGGATCAATGGGTGTATCCAGCGGTGGTACTCACCGTAGCAAGCGAAAACGACGAATGGAAAGGTGTTGCCGATGATCCATTCTAAGACACATCCCAGGATTTGGAGCATTCCACCGAAGAAAAAAAACAGTCCGCTGCCGATATAAGTCGTGATTAGTATAAGGGTGGATGGAGCATACCCAATCGCAGGAAACAGTATATTTGTACTCACATTATAGCTGCTCCGTCACCACCGGAACCTCGCCAGCCCATCAGGTTACATCCCAGCGGCATAGACGCGATCAAGAAACCCATCAATGGCCTGTAATTACCTGTTAGTGGATACAAATGCAATGGAACGCGTGTTGCAGCACGTATAACTTACATAGGCGTTGGGTTTCCAAACGTGCTGCGTAGATGCCCTAGTCTCTGTGTATATGGAGAAAGGTACATTGACTCGAAGACTTCTCTGGGGATGACCACGCTGGAAGCGGTCTGGTAACGAGTCAAATACTCATTTTGCATGTCAGTCGCTTTGCTCCCTTCAACCGGGTCGCGGTTTTGGTTGCCGTTGGTAACGCCATCGGACCATTGGCCATCTGTCGCCATGTTGTTCGAGTATAGCTGCTGAAATATTGCCACGTCGTTTAGAAGAGCAAAGCGGGCTGCGAGGAAGATCGAGAGGCTCAAATTAAAAGCATACTACAAGTAGCCCAGGGGCTTCTATATATTTCCTCCTGGGTTCAGTTGACCTCTTCCCCCTCATGAGTGGAAATGGTTGGCATGACTATTTCCGGTCGTCCTTGACGTCTTTGGTAAATGATCAACCAGTTATCTCTGAATCTGTCTATCACTGCAAATGGCAAATGCCCAAGCATTTTCCCCATATTCTGGCAGTTCAAAACTCAGGAGTGCGCCCTTAGTATTCTTGAGTGACCTTGACCACCGAGTTGCCCTTTCCCCGGGAGTAGCGGAAATGGCGGATATCCCTGTGGAATTTGTTCGAGCTTTCCCGTCCCAACCGTTACATCCATTCTTGAAATTCCAGATTTTTGTTAGCTTTAGCGTGGCCCGTCGATCAGAACGACAGATTTAGAAAGACCCCGCAAACTGTATTAAACCCTGGAAAGTTAATTATGAAATCAGGATCTACATTGACTGAATTCAGTCTTCCTATAGGACAAAAGCTGAGGTAGAATACCTGGAGTGGATCTTTGAGATTTCTACTTTCCGATGCCAGACTTCTTCCTATTCCCGACTTTATCATAACTTCAGGACTGACTGTGATCCACGTGGAGAATAGACCCGGACTACGTGCTCTTCCAGGGGTGTTTGCGTCGGACTCGAATAGGACGAACAGCCAAGGCATGGCGAACGAGTGAATTGCCGAATCTTGTGAAGGCGCCCACAACCAAAGTAACATTCCATCGGTGATCCCAGGATCAAGTTCATTCACAGCACCGCCATCACTAGTAGCCATCGTCATATATCATTCTGCGATTTGCAGAGATCGAAACCTGCCTCAAGCCTCAAGCGATGATCGAGCGTAGACTGTTCAGGTGACATGCAACATTCGCGAAAGACAGGGTGGTTCCCGACGACGGTCAGAAAGGACGCCGTATGACCAAATGGTCGAGTTCACCGTTGCTCCACGGTCATGAAGGGCGACGATCTTTTCACCCAATCTGTTCCGTCCGGCTCTTACGGGAAGGAAGTCCTGTTTTTCTGGGACTTTGACTGCGCCTAGATTGGAGAATAGCATGTCATGTTCACGTCATACGGTCTGTCATGTGGACAAGATACAGTATTATCACCACAGTTCATGAGAGGATGCGATGACTTCGCATAATCATTGGCTCAGAGATGGAGGCATGTGGTGGATAATTGGGTTGACTGATTGAGCAGCACTGTGCATGCCATCATATCTTCTTGGGATGTTCAGTTTCTGGATCCTCATTTTCTTAGGGTGTTTCTCCAGGCGTAGATACCTCATGTTCAGTCTTCGCCTTGACAAGACGTGAGAGAAGCATCCACAATCATATTTCGAAGATGATTGGGACTCAGCGCTTTGCCTCACTCCTTCTTCGGCATCGAGTCCGCTTTCATGCTGCCGTGCACTGTCACTCAATGAGTGGTTACGAAAGAGGGCATTGTTGTGCTGCAAAGTCTTGTGACGCTCCGACTTGGCCGTTTCGTTGTCCTCCGTCTAGCGAATTTGAGGCTCTGTGTCAGGCGCCGGTTTGGTGGGCATTTGATAAGTTCTGTTCTTGATCTGTAACCAAAATATGGCTTTCATTGTTGCTTTTTATTGTGGTATTCTGAGGCGCTGTATATGGATCGGAGATTTGTACAACTTCCTCTACCGCTCCGTGTGTGTCTGAGATGAAGTCACTTTCTTGTTCTTGATCTGTTCGGCCCCGTCAGCTACTGTCGTGGCCTGAGGCGTCTGATCCACGTGACAGGACTTACTCAACCCAGGTTTCAAGCCTCTGCTGGTGAAGGATTTTACCAAGCAATTTCCCCTGATAGTGTGGCGATCTTGCCTTGTGATGAGGGCAACAACGATTACTACTGGTGACCTGGACAGGAGGCGGCATGGGAAAGTTGCGCTTACATTATGAGTAGCGTTGCCTGTCTATCATTTGACAGAGCGCTAGCCAGCAAAGGGATACCGGCAGTGGCTTCGGCAGCTGTGTTGTTACATGAAAGACAATCAGAAATTGCTGAGGACGTCACTCTTTTTGGCCACTGTTTCAGAAGATTGAGAAATACACAGTTTGAAGATGGGAGAAGCAGAGTCCCGTCATTGTACCAGCTAGTGTCCGGCAGTGTCTCGTAGAACATCAAAATCCACTGAGGTCGGCATATTTGTGACATAATCTCTGCCAAATTTGCATCACTAACAAGCTCTCCTCGTAAGAATACGCCTCAAATTAAGACTGAACCGTTCTGCCCGGACGATCCGAGGTAGACTGTTATGTCGCTGGCAACAAGGCTCTCCACTCATGCGTGAAAAAAAGAATCTGCGTCAGTTTCTGACAATGACGACCACGTTTGTTCTGATCTATGGGAGTCTGGAGGACTTTTGGACGATCCCGTTGAACGAGCATAAGGCAAGGTATAACAAGCCCTGTTACCCGTCTTCAGAGTAGATGACTTCACAGTACAGAAGCAAGAAAGACCTAAGGATTCATCACAGTCAATACCATATATTAAGATGCAGCAGGCAAATAGAAATGGGAAGAGACGGCCCATCCAAAAGAGAGCACGGAGTTTCCTTCATAATATCAAGTTCCGGAAGGATTACAGGGCCGGTCTGCCACTCATTATCACCCGGTTCACGGGTTATCGACCACCAGACGCTGAGCCTCCATATGAGCCTTTGCCATTTCCGCCTTTCACATGGTTGAAGAAAATCCCACTCCGGCTTGAAGTTTGGATTTTTGCCTGGATTGGCGCTTTCGGTGGTATCCTTCTCATCGAGGCAATCATGTCGACTAGCACGGCTTTTCGCGACACCTATCACACGCCAACTATCATCACGTCTTTTGGTGCGTCGGCCGTTCTGCTTTTCGGAGTTATCGAGTCCCCAGTAGCACAACCTCGGAATTTCGTCTTGGGTCATTTCATCTCGGCCTTTGTTGGAACCGCCATCACCAGGCTATTCGTTTTAAATGGGAGTTATCAAGGCTACCTTGACAATACGAACTTCCACCCATCGACCTTTATCAATGGAGGCCTCTCAATGGCAACTTCGCTCCTTGCGATGTTGATCACGGGAACCGCCCATCCTCCGTAAGTGCCCCTCGAAGAGGGATCAAACGGGTACTAATTATTGCGCAGCGCTGGTGCTACAGGTCTCAACGCTGCGGTTGAAACGCAAGTGGTAACGCTATCCTGGCGATATCTACCCACTGTTCTGGCCTCATCCCTTATCATGCTCGGATGGGCTTTGATCATCAACAATGTCGGGCGCCGTCGGTATCCGCTGCACTGGTGGGCCCCTGGCGCAACATTCGTTCGTGTTGACGATAACCCAGAGCTGGAAAAGGCGGAAGAAGGAGAGATTGAAGTTGAAGAGATGGAGGAGGGTGACCTTGAGCGAGAAAGTACTACTGCTGCTAGTGAAAGGCTATCTGAGGATAGCGGAAAGCACCGAGAAGGATTGTACCGTGTTCCCTCAAGAGAGGTGAGGCGTGAAAGCGTCCAGGCAGAGCCAGCGTCTCTGCCAAGTGCGATAGACACAACTCCGGGAGAATATTCGAAGCGCCGGCTCAGTTCCAGTCGAGAGCGATATCGATGGGACTAGAGGGTTATCCGAAAGAGACACGCTCGACTGGGAATGATGCGACTGCTGTTGGTGTTACTATTGGGAGGTCCACGTTGGGAAATATCCATTTCCTAATTTGAGATCTTTTAAGACATTGTCGAATTTTGGGAAATGCAATTGCGCTATGTATGATTTAAGATGAGGCAGAAGACGTCCAGGACGTGAATACCGCTGAGGAATTCTGTATCAGGAATAATTGAATAATTAGTGCCTCAATCCTTACCTGTTAAGCAAAAAGACGGAATATCGCACCAGTTGTGGCCGATTATTAGACACTATAGTAGATAAGGATAGCCTATCAGAGTTCCCTGATATTCTGTCAGCTATTGACAGATTCGCTGTTGTTAATCGCTGTGAATTGGAGTCGGCAGATACGGTGTCCGTTAACCATACCACGCTTCGCTGGCCATTGGCGAAGCGGTGCCGGTGTAAATCTCAACGATGGCATGGGATGGTCACTTGACATAGAAGAGGTGTCTGTGACTCAAAGAAGTCAATTAGGCAGCCTTATTTACATCTCATCTAGATGGATCCCAACTGTGACCAACTGAAACGCCATGTGCAAGGACAATGCTTTCTTTGAGGAAGTCCCAAGACCGTCCTTATTCTGTACCGGTAAAGTATCCGCCCTCACTCGCCACTGCATGCCATACCATCGTAAAAGAACCGTGTGACCTTTGTTGTTCCCGCCGTCTCACGGCACAGTCTTGTTAAGCTCGATCAATTTCAAGTTATTCCCCAGAGCTTTGAGCACGGTGACGGTCAGAAGGGAGACGGCGAAGTTCCTGTGACTGCCTTTTCCTTTCCTGAGAATGCTCCTTCGCGAGCTCCAGATTCTCTTCAAGAGTGTGGGGGCAAAAGAGAATCTCATCTTCTGGAGTCTCGGCATCAATGTCTTCGCCCCGTAGACTTCGTTCAAGATCTTCTTCTAGAGTGTGGTGGTGATAGATGGCGGAGTCGCTTCGATTCTCAATAGCCGCAGGCGCTGCGACTTCACTTAGATTTCCAAGCGGGTCCGATTGACGCCGATGTTTTGACGGCTGCGATGATCGATCGCGTTTGAAGAAAGCACGGAGTTTCTCCCACATGATTCTGCTTTGTACACCGTTTCCCTATTTCCAAAATTATCGTTTTTGACAGTTGAAAGGTGGGAATAATGCTCGAAGAGATGATATTTAACTTAGTATCTCCTTTGCAACCAACTTGTTCCGATGTGGTCTTGGCGTAATTCTAGCATACATAAGTATGCTGGAAGGGCATTCATAGATATACGACATTCTATACTATTTTAGAGTAACGAGTTGACTGCGGAGGAGATATAATAACGGTTGGAGTGTCGAGTTTGCTCGACTTCGAGTAAGGAAACCATGCTCACCTGATGAGTATCATGAGTTTATGAGACTAAGTTACGTTTCCGCGCGGTCCGGGTAGCCAGGTCCGGGTAGCCAGGCCCGGGAAATGAACTCGCCTGGCTGAGTCGGAGGACGCCAATGTGATGTCACCACATTCGGTGGCATAAGATTGCTCGAAAGAGAAATTCGCCATGTTCTCCTCCTCAGCTTTTGGTTACTGTGTTTGTACGCTCTCAATCGATATGAGTAAACCACATTCAGATCGTTATACTACCAGAGCGGTGGGTACTCCAGACTCGTTGGAATATCGGTTATATTTCGAGAGTAATGGATCAACCCTTTCGATCTGGCACGACGTACCGTTGTATGGTGATGATGACAAACAGGTCTTGAACATGGTGGTAGAAATACCTCGGTGGTCCAACGCCAAGTTCGAGGTGCGTCGTATAGACTCAAATTGCTCGCCCGAGCAAGCCACATAGATATTTGGACCAGCCACTGACAATAATGAGAACAGATTTCCAGGAATGAAGCCTTCAACCCGATAAAGCAGGACATTAAGGATGGCAAAGCCCGCTTCGTACGAAACCTGTTTCCTTATAAAGGCTATATCTGGAACTATGGTGCTCTTCCAGGAGTAAGTGTCGGCTTCTCCAGCTTAGCACCTGAAAATTTCGAAGCATTGACGCCACTAGACTTGGGAAGACCCCTCCCACGTACATCCAGATACCAAGCACCCCGGTGACAACGATCCTCTTGATGCCCTTGAAATCGGCGAACGGATCGCCTACACTGGCCAGATCAAGCGTGTCAAGGTTCTTGGAGTAATGGCTCTTCTGGACGAAGGTGCGACAGACTGGAAAATCGTCGTTATCGATATCAACGATCCTTGTGCAAGCAAATTAAACAGCATCACAGATGTACAACAGCATTTTCCGGGTCTCCTGGAGGCAACCCGGGAATGGTTCAAGTTCTACAAGGTTCCCGACGGGAAGAAGCCCAATACGCTCGCCTTGAATGAAGAGTTTCGAGATCAAGAGTGAGCTTCTTCCCGTTAAGACACCAGAAATTCCTTTGTCCCTTTCGTGACCGCCACCCCAACAAAAAAACAAAAGCACTGACGAGCTATTAGTTATGCCATGTCAATAGTCCAGGAATGCGAAAAAGCATGGGAAAAGCTGATCAACGGCGAGGCGTTTGCAGAGGAGATAAGTGTGGTCAGGGGAGACAAAAGCCACAGATTGTTGGATTCCGGCAATTCTCTAGGTGTCGATGGACATCAATCGGCAGACGAAAACTTGGATAAATGGTTCTTTTTACCGAAGTAAGTAGCGTAGATCAGCTCTAATTTCTCTTTCAACCAAATAGTCCAGGTCAGCCTCTATCCATATTGTCGGGCAGGATGCATAACGTCCTGAGTTTATCAAAGACCTGAAGGTCGACCAATTTCTGTAATCGATTTATTTCCCAGTTTGCCGAAAGATCATTTGCTCTTAGCCTGGGAATAGGCATACCGAAACGACTCCCCTGCGTAAGAAAAGCCAACTTTCCGTGCCTGCAATTCATCCTCGATATCCATCAGCCGGTTGTACTTGGCCACTCTCTCGCCCCGACAGGGTGCACCAGCCTTCAAATGGCCACAGCCAATGCCCACTGCAAGATCGGCGATGAAGTCGTCGGTCGTCTCCCCAGAACGATGAGACACAAAGACCGCCCAGCCAAGTTCGTACGCCCTTTCTGCCGCTGCCAGAGCTTCACTGATTGTGCCGATCTGGTTGACCTTCAGGAGCAGGGAGTCGCACGCGTCAGCTTCCGCGGCTTTCTCTATACGTATGATGTTAGTCGCTAGGAGGTCGTCGCCCACTAACTCAACTTTGTCGAGCTTTGTGACCGCATGGAAATGTTTCCATGAGTCCCAATCGTCTTGCGCAAAAGGATCTTCCAATAAGATGATTGGATATTTGTCGACGAGAGCCCTGTATAAATCTGCCAGTTCCGTACTGGCGAGTTTCCTTGGCTGGTCGGACTTAAAACCCAAGTCGTAGTGTCCATCGCGAAAGAATTCCGATGAGGCAGGATCAATGCCTATTTTAATCTTCCCTTGATGTCCTGCGGCCTTGGTGGCGGCGATTATAAGATCCAACGCTTTACTGGGTTGAGTTATGGGCGGCGCGAATCCCCCTTCGTCGCCGATACCAATAGCTACTTTGCCAAACTCTTTGATGATGATTGATTTCAATGCCTGATACACCTCGCTCGCCCATTGGATACCCTGAGTGATGGAGTTGGCACCTGTCGGCGCGATCATAAACTCTTGAAAAGCCATTGTATTCCCCGAGTGGACACCACCATTGAGAACATTGAAGAAAGGCACCGGAACGACGTAAGGTCGGGGTGACGATTGAATCTGGCGGGCCAGAAACTCGTACAATGGGACTTTCTAGCCAATGACTCGTCAGCAGTCTACTTGAAAGTCTTTCAAATCTTTGTCGGTTTACCTTCGCGGCAGCACATGCTCTGGCACAAGCCATGCTGACACCAAGAATGGCATTTGCACCTAAGTCACTCTTATCGGGAGAGCCATCCAACTCAATCATAAAGTTGTCGATCTCTTTTAGTCCCATTTCCAGATCAAACTGCCGACCTAGGAGCGCAGGACCGATAATCTCTCGCACGTTCTGCACGGCTTGCTGAACCCCAGCTCCTCTGTATGCGTCACCGCCGTCGCGCAACTCAATCGCTTCATAGTCTCCTTTAGATGCGCCCGACGGCACGATGGCACGGAATTTTCCGTCTTTGGTTTCCACCTCGACTTGCACGGTGGGCTTGCCCCGCGAGTCGAGGCGCTGAAACGCTTTCACAGATGTCAATGTAGTCGGCATCCTCGATAGGGTGAACACAAGCGTAAATTCTAGAAAATGCAGATTCTAGATCCATTTTGTGCGAGCGTTAGCAGTTCCATTTAAATTGATCAAAGTGTGCAAGCATCGGATACCTGTGACGTAGCTCCATACAGTACGTGAGCGCGATTTCATCATGTTATCAGGTGGAAAAGACCTCACTAATGTCTAAACGGGAACCACGGTACGGGCGGGATGGTGGTCTGACTTCCACTCCCATGGCTAAGTATACTACGATATGGTTGGGGAAGCGGACCGCAAGAAGTGACCTCATGGAAACCCATCCCGAGCGACGGCGGGATATTTTCTACCAACAATATAAGACGAGTAGTAATGTACTGCAATTTTTCTCATCCGCACTATTCGTATCTCGCACCGGAATTGTGTACCAAAAGACAAGAATAAATTTTCTGTTCTTCATCGTGACCACAATAGCCAGTTTTCAAGCACCCGAAGAATGCAGGGAAGGATTTTATGCTGCATTTACGAATTGCGGCGAGTCTGCGAAGGCATAAAGCGTTAGCCTAGAGTACTTGCGGGTGGCTATGCCATGCATAGATCGAAAGAATTACAACACGATAGAGACCCGATTTCGTTCGAAGTGAAATGCCTTCGTCGTCGTCGTCTGGAAAGTTTGCGGAGAATGACTTACACATCACCGGCTCTGAGACCTCGTAGGGTATGGTCTGGAACATGAAGTTGTAAGACTCTTGACTTGGTCCCGTAGAGTCAAGCTGTGACGGCATTGTGGGCTGAAAGAGATCACTGGATGGTAGTATATCTGTTATATTGTCGGTCCCATTCTCGTGCTGCAGGCGCAGTCCCCATTGCAATACACTTCATCGTCATTCCTAAGATAAGAAAACATTGACGATTCGTTAATCATAATCGTTCTCCTGCTGTTTGTCGGTGTCATGATATCGACGTGCAGTGTACATTGGCCTTGGTGGAACTTCGTCTACGTCGTGATTGGGCTCTCTTCCTCGAAGTATACAGAAGCCTTGGCCTTTGGTGCCAACAGGATGAATGTTCTTGGTTGGCAATAGCTAATTTGCGTGTTTTTAATGCGTATTGTTTAACGCGCGTCGGTTGTTTGGCCCTGGCTATAACCAATCAAGTCCCTGAAAAGTAGCTTATTACGCGGTCTGCCCTCCAAGTCACTTTGTTCGTGATCATTAGCGGATCTGACCCTTGGCGTCCTCTTTGGCATCCTCTTTGGCATGCTCTTTGGCATAACCATCAAACACGAACATCGGCATGCATCTCAAACCAACAACACCATAATCGTACAGAGAGAGAAAGCATAAATCCATCTTATTGCTCCTTTTTCACTTATTGATATAGGCATTGTGATTCTATCTTTCCGGTGCGCCGCGTCCGTCATGGGCGACGAGGACGACTTCGTATCTTCTCCGCCCCCAGGACCCCCTCCGCTGCTGTCGAAGGAGCAACTGCTCCATCTCGCACGGCAAGGCTGGCTATCGCTCCCGCTGCCGGAGACCCTGTCGAGCACAGTTACAGACCTGTTCGAGAGCTCCGCACGGTTCTTCGATCTTCCGGACCAGGAAAAGGCGGACCTGTATCCCTCCAAAGCGGGGACGGAGTTCGGCTTCTACACTGTCCCCAATGAGAAGGACTATATCACCTTTCGCTGTCGCATTCACTCGACCGACAAGGAGTCAAGGGTGTCATCACCGCGGTTGCCTCTCTTACGGACCCTCGAGGATAATGCCGCTAGAGCTTGGCAAGAAGGAGCACTTCTGTTGTGGCGCATTCTATGTGATATTACGCGGTGGTCTGATCTAGATCTATCGATATGGAATGACATCCTTGACGGCTGTCGGACAATGCCAGAATCGGAGGAAGAAATGGGTTATACTCTGCTGCGCCTGTTTCGGTACCTGCCAGCTACTGGATTCGCTGAGAGGCACACCGACCTGGGGCTGTTGACCATCTGCATAGGTGACAGTGGCGGCCTTGAGGTCTTGGATCGGTTCAAATCCACAAATGAGAAGCCCCTATGGATCGACAGCGGAGCCAAACCGCAGACAGCGACGATCTTGGTGGGACAGACACTCAAGGCGTTGTCGAACGGAATGCTGAGCCCCGGTGTCCATCGCGTCGTCGAAAACCCAAACGGCAGGAACAGCGCTGTTTTTGCGCTGCGCCACTCATCAAAGCATGACGTTAATTTCAGCTTGTTTGGGGGACAAGGGCTGGTCAGCGCAAGTGACTTGTGGAAATCTATCCAAGTCGGCAAAGTAAACATAAACTCCATCAAAGAAAGGAGAGATGCGCAGAGAGTCAAATTCGCAGCCGAGAGGTTGGCGGCGCAGGACCACCAGGGACGGGACATAGCTCGAGGCTAAGACCATTCGAGGACTGGACAAAGCCTCGTGCTTGTCAGGTCAGGTAGATTGCGCAACCTCTCTTACCAGACTCACAGCCCGCTTCGCAAGTGCTTCTGAATCGGGCGGAAACCTCGCCGACAAGTAATTATAGTTGGGATCCTCAACAACAAAACTGCCCAGGTCAGCACCAAGAAGTTAGAAATCGTCCATTCAGACTTACGGGCTTGGGCTCTTGCTGTTCTTGAATTGTGCCCTGTCGTCCAGCCTCTTCTTCACAACTTCCTCCACAGAGTCAGTGCCAGCCCCGTAGGTTTTGTAGTAGGCGCCGAGGAACAGTTTGGTGGCGTGATAAATGCTCTCCTCCATATAGGCCGGCAAAGCGGTGGTGATGGCATCATGCATCACGCTTTTCCCATCACTCGTTGAAGCCATGGCCAATACCTGGACGCCGTGGCAGATCGCCACCAGGGACTTTGGAGACGGCTTTCTCGTCTTGGGGAAGTAGCTGGCGAGCAGTGCATGGACGCGTGTCGAGTCCATGATCTGCCTAACGCTCTTCTCGTGGCCGCCGGGAAGGAAGACAAGATCGTAGTTGTCTAGGCTGAACGCGGGGTCCTTCCAGGCCAGAGGCTTCTTGAACGCTTTACACGTGCTTGACAAATCTTGGTACGCCCCTTTTGCGGCCTTGTTCGCCCCGAGCAAGGCTCCGGTCCAGCCAGAGAGCATTTTCTCATCGCACTTGGGTGTATTGCCATCTTCGGTGGCGAAATGGATATCGAAGCCGGCATCCTGGAAGACCTTCCACGGAATAGCAGTTTCTAGATGAGGGCAGTGAGCAACGAGAATAACTGATATTGCGGGGAGGGCCGACCGTACCCGTGGGGTCATGGCCGTCATCCGCCATCAGGAATATGACCTTGAGTGGCATTGCGAACTTTTTCTCTTTCACGGGAAGCCTGCACAATCCGGTAATTGTTGGGGCCTTAGTGTGCAAGCGTAGCGTAAGGATTGCGGGATGTGAGAAAAGATGAGGTTCGAGAAATGGTCTGGACCTTGAGGCTTGAGCAACCGACAAGCAGCTTCTGAGAGAAATTGCACATGTCAATATGCAAACATCATGAGCTTCAAAACATAGTCTCGATTCAGCTGAAGCAGATCAGCCACCGTTCGTATTGGAGTGTCACACGGCATGACGCAGATGTAGCCCTGGTGCAGTTTGCTGCACTCGGTGTGCTTGGTTGTGTCGTATTTGGGTGGCCGTAGAAAGCGAGATGATGCGGGGCTACGGTGGCATGTTTTTCCGGTCCGAACCCGCCTCATCTCTTCAGCTCTGTGAGACTTCGTCCCTGGTTCCTCGTATCGCGTCTCCTCTGATGGTGGTTCAGCTGCGCCCCTTCATGCCGCGAGGCATGTCCCTTTCCTTGCATGATTTTCACATGTCGCGGGTTGCCTGTCATACTGACTTTCGCGCCATGGACAACTGTTGTGATACCCCACTCAGTTTTCCCATGAGATTGAACGACTGTGTGCTTATGGATCGCTCAGTGGTCTGGGCCTTGTACTCAAGACATGGTCCCTAAGTAGTCCTGCATGATATATACCCTGAGCACTTCACGGCGAAGAGATGCCCGTGACCTCCCCCTTCAATTTCATTTCCCCTCAAGCTCGTATTCTTGCTGGCTCTGTGCCTCATCGCCATGGACCAGGAACTTCAGAAGGTCTCCGAGACAGGCATCGAGCACAAAACTACCAGTGATTCAAGTTCAAATGCCACCTCGTCCACTCTATCCCACTCTCCTTCTTATCAGGTACCCCCATATCAAGTTGGTGTTACCGAGCCTGGTGGGCCGTTGCCAAGGTCCCAGTCTAAGCTTGAGGCGAGGGACTACAATGAAGGCAACCGGTTTCCCCGGATCTCGCGCCCCGTGGAGCTCTTACGCCATACTTATGATGTCGTCGTGATTGGGTCAGGGTATGGTGGCGGTGTTGCGGCATCGAGAATGGCACGTGCCGGCCAGTCTGTGTGCGTGCTCGAGCGTGGAAAAGAAAGGTGGCGTAAGTCTGGGTATCTGGGAACGTTTCAGACGCCTACTAACTATCTGCAGCCGGAGAGTACCCTTCGAATCTTGCCGAAGCTGCACCAGAGATCAGTGTCTCTGGTCTTTTTGCCCCAGGGGACAACCCGGGAAAGCCAGTACAGATAGGAGACCCGACGAAGCTTTACCAGCTGGTCATGGGCGCCGGGCAGAATGCATTCGTCGCAAGTGGTCTGCTTACTCTGAGCAACGTCGATCTGCGGCTGCTGACTGCTCTTGTAAGGTCTCGGAGGAACGAGCCTTTTGAACGCAAACGTCTTCCTAAAAGCCGACCCAGGGGCTATGAGCCTACCAGAATGGCCGAAAGATCTAAGACAGCCTGGTGCTTTGGACGATTGTTCGTCTCCTTCGGATTATCAAGTCCTCGTGGCTGACTACATCCGTCAGATTACGAGCGTGCGGCTCACATGCTGCAGCCGGAACGATACCCTGAAGACTTCCCTCCTTTGTTGAAGCTTGAGCTTTTGAAGAAACAGGCAGAGCTCCTAGGGCTATCAAAGCATTTCTATCGAGTTCCGCAGACAACGAGATTCGAGAATGGCCCAAACAATGCTGGCGTTGTAAGTTGCACCACGTTCCAATACTTTCTAGACCTATTAACCAAGTATAGCAAATGCAAGCCAGCGCACTCACGGGCATGGACTGTACCGGTGTCAATGATGGTAGCAAGTCAACGACCCTTGTCACATACCTGAGTGACGCCTGGAATTGGGGCGCTGAGATGTAAATCCATTCCTTCATTCTGAATTCACAATGTCTGTGCTGACCTAGGAAGCTTTTGTGAATGCGAAGCTCGCTACATCAAGAAGCATCCCACGCAAGACGGCTACCTAGTCTTCTTCGCATGGCACGGCAGCAAGCGGGGCCTCTTCAAGAACAACATCTACAACGATCTTATGTGGGTACACGCGAAGAAATTTGTTTTCATGGGTGCTGGAGCCCTGGGAACTACTGAGATCCTTCTCCGAAGCAAAGCCCTAGGCATGAAAATGAGCTCGCGAGTCGGCAAAGATATGAGCGGAAACGGAGATATACTTGCTTTTGGGTTTGCAGCATCGCTCAAATCTGGCTCTGTGGAAAGACTGACAGGGACAGGTACAATACCAATTACGAGGCAAACGGGCTCGGGAGAGTCTCTCCAGACCCTGATAAACCCATTGGCCCCACGATTGTTGGAGTGATCGATTGCCGTGAGCAGCAGAATCCGCTTGATGGCTTTGTCATCGAAGAGGGGGCCATTCCGCAGGCACTTGTCCCTGTTCTTCAAGCAATGCTGGAATCGCTGCCCGGAAAGATCATCCCCAAACCATACCCATTGAAAGACCAGCTGATGCACTTTCTCGCTCGTCAGCAGAGCCGGATCTACCCATATGCTCCAATGGGCAGTCTGGAGAAGTCGCAAACCTATCTCATCATGTCCCATGACAGTAACCAAGCAGTAATGAAAATGGGAGAGAATGACAGGCCAACATTGACCTTCCTTGGAGTGGGAAGAAGTGACCATGTGCAGTATCTCAACGGAATTCTTGCCAAAGCAACCAACGCTGTAGGAGGAACGTATGTCAATTCCCCTTTCTTTGCAGCGCTGGGCCAACAAGAGGTATGGCATTCCCCGGCATCTCTCAAGCTCACACTAACCCTACCCGAGATCACTGTTCATATCATGGGTGGAGCGACAATGTCTAACGACGGTACCGGAGTCAATGGCGCAGTAGACCAGTTTGGTCAGCTATTCAAAGGACCAGGAAAAGACGTCCACAACGGAATTGTAGTTATGGACGCAGCCATCCTCCCCACTGCCCTTGGCGTCAATCCATTTGCGACCATCAGTGCACTTGCGGAACGTTCTGTTGAAGCAGCGGCCAAACGCGAGAATCTAACGATCGATCTTGCTACACAAAATGGTAAGGAACCGCCCTGTCAGAAGACTCGAGTGAGCTGACACGCCCGTAGGGACTTTGGACTTGTTTGACACGCCAACACATTGGAAACCCATGAGCAAAGAGCTTTACAAAGCAGAGAGAATTGTTCACATGGCGATGGAGTCAGAAGCAGAAGGCATCGAGTTCACCGAAGTCATGACTGGCTACATCAACACTGAAGATCAAGTAGACACGGGGAACGTGACATCTGATTTCGCGGTGGCCACAGATGCAGCTCGAGCAGCCGGTAGCACTGCAAGGTTCTTCCTCAGCTGTCACGCGTGGGACACGGACGAATGTAAGCTTTCCCCATGGTTCTATATGACCATGACTGACCTCCCTAGTGATCGGACGATCCGACCATCCTGCAATGCTTACAGGCACTTTCACTTGTGCTGGTCTCCCAGGATCGCCTTTCATGGTGCTGCGCGGCGATTTCAATCTGTTCAACGAGGATAAACGAACGCCAGACACCACAAATCTGACATACGACTTTGACATGATCTCCACGAGGGGTGAAGTGATCCATTTCCATGGCTACAAGGTCGTGGATCGATCCATTGCATTTCGACCTTGGCAGACATGGAAGGCCACTTCCACACTCTATGTCACACTCACTAAAGAAGGTCAAACCATTGGTAGAGGCACCTTGCACATCGAGCCACAAGATTTCGTGTCTGAGCTGTCGACATTCACACCGCATGGCCCGACCATGCTCTCAAAGGCATTCTCCACCGGCAAGTTTCTGACCTTCTTTACCAAACAGGTCTTGGCCAATTTCTTGGGCCCCTTGGGCATCATGCAGTTTCCCACAACGACCTACCACGGCTATGAAGTGAATAAGAAGCCGCCAATCGAGACCAGAAAAATCACATCGGTGGACAAGGTCGTGTCTACTCTCCAGCGTTGGGCTCCCAAAAATCCATCGTCAGGTGGGCGCAGAGTGCTTCTGATCCCTGGTGCTTCTGTGGACCACCAGATATTTGCTCTCCCTACGATTGATGTGAATGCCGTAGAGTATTTTCAAGCAGCAGGCTACGAAGTATTCTGCGTCACTCATCGCACAGGCAAGACGCCCAACGCTCAGAAGGGATTCACCACGTACGATGCGAGACTTGACATTCAAGCGGCTTTTGAAGAGATACACCGCATCCAAGGCTCTGAAGAACCCATCTATACCGTGGCTCACTGTGCTGGCTCAGTCGCATTATCGGCCGGGTTGCTCGATGGTACAATAAAGGCAAGTTGGATTCGAGGTTTAACGGCTTCACAGGTTTTCTTCAACCCAATTTTTGGAACTGTCAACAAGCTCAAAGCGTCTATGCCCGTCTCCCTTACTCGGGTCTACAAATTGCTGGCAGGAAGTTGGTTCTCGTGCATTTCCACGGAGCACGATTCTTTGATCCAGCGCCTGCTGAACCAGGTAGTTCGACTATATCCCGTCGGGTCGCCTCGAGAACTGTGCAATAGCGTTGTCTGCCACAGGTCTGAGCTCGTTTTCGGAAGGTATGTTGGCCAAACTCCTCAAAGCTGTATAGTGTGCTAAACAGGACCAGACTATGGTCTCATAAACGTTTGAACGCTGCGACCCACGACAACCTCTCCAAGTTCCTCGGCGGTACCAGTATGAACGCGCTCAACCAACTCATGTACCAGGGGACGCACGGTTATGTGACCAACAACATTCTGGAATCGCTCGTCACGCCGGCAAATCTTCAGCGTCTCAGAGGAATTCCCATTTTGTTCATCTCAGGTGCTGACAATGTCGTCTATACTCCGGAGAACACCGATAAGTCCTACACCACGATGACGACGACTTTCGGACAGAGAGGTTACGAACGGGAGGTGTTTCCAGGCTATGGACACCTGGACTGTTGGATGGGCTCAGACGCTGTGAACGACGTCTACCCCACAGTGCTTGCCCACGCTGAAAAGATCTATAATGGTGGTTCGGATAATTAGGTAGCTTTCCTACTCAAGCCCCAGGGTGCACTGGCTTTCCGCAGGTTCTAAAAGCTTAGAGTCTATCTCGAGTGCAGAAGTTCTAGACCCGTTGATCCCTGTGAATCTGGACCAGCACCTTTCTGCCTCTGTCTCGTGGAATAATTCCATGATAGCAACTGACATGTGCGTTCCCCGATGCAATTGACAATGGCTGCTCAGCTGCTCCTGCACCTCGCTCGTGTCTGCAAGAAGTACAGAAACCATCACGCTCAGCTCGCTTCCCACCTGATTTGCTTCAACGCAGCTTCTTCGACATCCTCTGCTTGCAAATCTAGAGTCTTGGCCAAGTATATTTCAGGAGCAGAAGCATCTGGGGGCCATCAGGCGTTCTCGCCTGCTGACGTTATATACACGCTTCCCAACCCAATCGGGACTAGCGTCTCTCTACAGGACCTCTTGCTGCCCGTTTCGTTTCATCATCCTCGCATGTACCTCGTACTAAATATCGAAAGGTAGTCCTCTGCTGGAGATAAGTGACCGCTCAAGCCGCTTGGAGAAAGCACACTTGGAATTCCCACGATACGGATCTTACATTTGATAGTTCAACGAGCATGTTGCGCTGGCTGCCTGACAAGAGCGTTTTCGGTCGCCCAGCCTCGTATCCAGCAGCGCCACACTCTCGCTTGCACAGAAGCTGAAATTCTGCCAGAGCTCTTGCTGTCGTGTAACACGGACCTTCACAGCCCTCTTCACATTGCTTGACATGTGAAAGTCAGAAACTGATGCCCTGGGATTGAGTCATTTGCATGTGCAAACACTGGACTTACGGTCAGCCTACCTTCTCAGGCGTATCAGGCCGCCGGGTCTGAAATAGGTCACCATCGCCTTCTGACTCCCTCGAAAACGAGCAGCCTCATCTTTCTCCCCCTCCTGTCTTCTACAACACGATGGCGACAGCAGCAATGGCGACACCGGCATCAAAGCCAATCCCTTACACCGCCAATCCTCTTCTTCTCATGGTCAATGACTTGATGCTCTTTGCCGAAATCACATTCACATGGCCCATTACCGCCGGTCTACCAAGTATCGTCTTACCGTTGTTTCCAACGAGGTCGGGGTCTCTGGACGAGTTGGCGTTCACTGGGCCCAATCTGTGGGCGGGGCTCTTGCATGTCGTTCTCATCATCGCTCAAACAATCTTTCTAGGGTCTTTGGTGCCGTTGGCATTCATTGGCTTACCATCTTTCTATCTCTTGTACATTGTCGGGTTCGTCATGGGCAATCAATGGTTTTCGGTTCTGTTGAACGGTCCAAGACACCGAGGGCTGTTCGAGTCAAATCCGGCTTGCGTTCGGGGCAGGCCAGCGCACGACCACGAGAAATGGGTATTCATCAACGGTGTGGCTGTAGGGTATGTCAAATCTCCTCAACGTGTCTTCTCCCAGAACAGAGCAGGATCTCCAGCCTACCATTCGATCTGCATAATTAACTGTCTCCCAGGCGTCATTGGTTGCAGGCAAATCTCGACCGACTCGCCATGACTTTTAGACGGCCTGTCTTCGGGATCCATAATCAGACGTAAGTTGCTCACTACTTCTGGCTACGGGCATGAGATCCGAAAGCCAGTCGATCTCCATGTTTCGGCTGACAGTGTTTGCAATTTCTAGCCGCGGTATTATCTTTGATGTTCTCGAATGTATCATTCAACGCGACCTGAACTACGCCACCCTGGATATTCGGACTGCATATGCAGCGCTAATTGATATTCTCGCGGACGACAATATTCACAAAGTGGTCTTGATCCTCCATAGCCAAGGTGCTATCGAAGGTGGCTTGGTGCTTGACTGGCTCTATGATACAGTACCAGCAGACCAGCTTGGCAAGCTGGAGGTGTATACATTCGGCAATGCCGCGAACCACTGGAATGCGCCTGTCATATCATCGGGAGCGGCCTCGTCCAATGCAAATGGAGACGGCATGACGGAACAGAGAATCGTGCCACATATCGAGCACTACGCCAATGAGGGCGATTATGTCTCGAGATTCGGTATCTTACATTTTCGCCCTGATCAGCCATTGCCGCCAGCATTGGTACCCCATAACACACCCTTGGCTCCTAGCTCTAGGAAAGCATACCCAGACACGCCCAGAGCATTGGACAACGGAAGCATTACACGAGCTAATCCTCCAAAGGTGGACACTCGGGAGAAGGTAGTCGCGGCATCTTCGAGGTCGTTACTCTCTCCCAAGACGCCAATCGAAAGGATAAATCTCCAAGAGGAAGAGACGAACCTGTTCTTCGGTCGTCTTTTCAAGCGGGTCGGCTCCGGCCACCAGCTGAATCAGCATTACCTGGACAACTTCTTTGAGATGGAGGGCATCGATACCAGAGACCTCTCGCGGGGACGCGTGCGAGATGGCAACGCCTTCATGGACGCCGAGGCCGACATGATTGTTTTCGAGAACTGGGATACTGTGCAGGCTGCTGGACGACGCCTCGGCGGACGCCCCGCTGATGGCAGATTTCTTGCTTATGGCAGACCCACCACTGATGGCAGACCAGCCGCAGGGATAAGACGGATCAAGGAGCTCAGCCGTCTGTGGGCTTATCGGAATGGGGGGAAGCCAACAGATTGAGAAGCGAGGAAGTGAAATCTGGGACGGAGGCACATAAGTGCCAGGATCAGTCCAGTTCAGTTCATGTATCAGCGACACGGAGCCAAATGAGACTGATGCACAGCGGACTTCTGCTGTCGGACCACCAAGGGAGATCGCACAGGGAAAGGCAACGTGGCAGGGGAGAACAAGAGGTGGAAGCTCGCCGCCGAGATGCAATGGAGGGAAGAGGAGTGGATATGTAGGAATATGGCAGTACGCGAGATGGAGAGTTCGCGTGGCTGTGTATTTCTATCGTGACTCTGTATAGGTCGAGACCTGGAGAGGCGCTGCGCGCTATCCTCGATCCTAACAAGTCTCATTAACGAGGTATTCTCCATACATTCATATTTCTACGACCAATTACCACCCTTTTCAGTCTGAGCTCTTCCTTCAGGCTTATAAACTGGGCGATACATCAGTTTGATCATTAGAGTATTACCTAGATGACTATGTACTCTTTACCCTCGATGCCGAGGAGACATCAGTTTCAATTTCTCAACTTTTCCCCAAATTATCCCCATTTAGCATTTCTTTCCATGCAAGTATGGGCCTGCCTGTGAGGCGAGCTTTGCTAGTTAGCCCGCTGGCCAGCCCAAGTATGTAGCTCAGCCGGCCTGAAGCAGCGAGGCAGGTAGCAAGCTAGACAAAGCCAGCGACGCCGGCGTCGAACTTCTGGAAGACGGACAGGTCGAAACTATTGGCCAGGATCTGGTAGCCGGCGTCGTTGGGGTGCAGGTAGTCGCCGGACTGCAGGGCGCCGGTCAGCTGGCTGGGGACGGACTGGTTCCTCAGGAGGGCGTCGAAGTCGAAGACGGCGTCGAAGATGGAGCCCACGGCGCCGCGGATGAAGGCGTTGACCTTCTGGCGGGTCTGCTCGCGCAGGGGGCTCGTGTAGGGCTGTAGAGTGGTGTTGTCGTTCGGGGCCGAGAAGGGCGTGATGGTGGCGGCGAACAGCGGGATGCCGAAGGCGTGGATCCGCGTCGAGATCTGCCGGTACGCCGAGATCAGTCGGTCGTATGTCTCGGTCTGGTTGGCGGTCGTCGCGTCCGCGTCGCCGATGTCGTTGACCCCTTCCCAGATCATGGCGTAGCGCACCCCGTTGTGCGAGAGCACGTCGCGCTCGATCCGGGAGAGGGCGCTCGGCCCCAGCCCGTCCTCGAGGATCCGGTTGCCCCCCGCGGCCTGGTTGATCATCGAGATGGACGTCAGGAGCGACGAGTTGCTCGATTGCATCCGCGCGTAGACGAGGTCGGGCCATCTGTTGTGCGTTGGTTTGCCCATTGGTTAAGATTTAGGGGAGGAAAAAGAGGGGGGGGAACCAAACAGGTTAAAATGCTTTCGGTAGGGAAACACAGGAAAGTTGGTAGAGGTGGGAAGGGGGGTTTTTGGGATAGTTGGACAGTACACACCTGTCATTCTTGTCCGTGTCGCTCCCTCTGCCGTCCGTGATGCTGTCCCCTATGATCGCCCACGTGCGGTAGTTGGAGGGCGACCACGCCTCGACCGAAGACAAGAAGTACCTGTATTTCACAGTTGAGTTCAATGTGATCTCTCTGGGACTTGATGGAGATGGAGGGAGCCTGAAGGACAGAAGTGGTGATGGCACAACACCTACCAATGCTGCGTGCTGTTCAAAAACGGCCCAGTCAGATTCGTCGCGCCCACCTGGTTGCCCAGCGTAAACCACGACGTCGCCCTACTTCCCGGGTGGCTCGTGATGAATGTCCCGTTCTGGCCCGTAGCGAGATACATGGTCACCGTGATGGTCGAGAGCGGCTGGACCGGGAAATCCAGGGGATCGGAGACCGCGAGGGCGCCGTCGGGAATGATGATGGACGACTCGCCACCGCTGAACGTCACCTTTTGCAGTGTCGAAGGTTGGATCGCACTGACCCCGGACGACCCGTTGAAGGGGAGAGCGACCGTCATAGCCGTTATGGGCAGGTCGGTAAGCCCAAAGGCATTGGAGATCCGGATCCGGATCTGCGATGCGCCAGTGGACATGTGCATGGTCTGGCGGATCGTGCTGTTGTAGAAAATCGGCCCCGACGTGGTATTCTGGATGCGGCACATGATTTTTTAGTTTGTACAGTTCGAATTTGTGATTGATTGGGCTTCTTCTGACACAGCTCTAGGAGGATGGCTTGGCTTCCTTACATATGGAGGTGGAGGCAAGTTTGTGTACTCGGTCAGCTGTGGCATTGCCGCCCAGGTGTCAATCCAGTGGCCATTTGGAATGCTTGGTGTAGTGACAAGAGCTTGTCGTTTGGGCAAGGCATTGCATGTTGCGATCAGGTGTGCAATAATGAGCAGAAGAACCGGACGGCAGAGAGTTCGCATCCCCATGATGGCTGCTGGCGCGGGCAGTAACAATTAGAATCTCAGACTGCCGTGCTTCTTGGTATGCAACCATCAGAGCTTCCGAAAGCTTGAGCATCCTCTGATTAATATAGCTCCAGCATATCCCCAGCCCCATTCGATCGACCGCCGTGTGGAAAATCCGGGGTACGATTTTCACAATGGGCGACTTTAGGCTAAATCGTGTTCATGGTGACCTGTCGACTGCCTTGATTTCCTTGCAGGGCTCAACACAGATATTCGGCATGAGCTTTCAGGCGTGCGACCTCGGAGACATGGAGCTGTGTTGCATCGTCATGGCCACCGGCATGCTGCCCTTCTGTCCCTTTGGACCTGCCGTAATGGGCTTGAGAGCTCTCGTCGGCTCAATGTCGTCGAGGAACTTCGAGAGGGCAATGATCGTCATTGAAAGATCGCAAATAGCCGGCCACGTACTTGAGCTGCCGATATCCGTCAATTTTAACTCCATTGGATCAGTCATATGCCTCCGCACCCAGAGAGAGATGCTGCTGGGGCGGGGGATGGGGCGAAATGTTCGTGAGGCAATGAAAACGTTGAGATTCGAAATGTCCGTCGTGAGCGGCAAAACGTGGATGAGCCGCAAAAATAATTATCCGATCATGGCATTGCTTGAGCCTTGCAAATGGAGCCTTGCTGGACAGCCTCGTCCCAGAAATGGAGTTCAAAGCGATCGTGGGACGTCAACGGCAGAGATGATGGCATAGTACAGTGAGCCTTTTTAGGATCTCAGACTGAGCTTGGGCGTCCTTTCCTGGAGCAACCCGTCATACATAAAAATACAGGGTTCAAGCCTTAGACTAGTATCAAGCCTTTTGGGCACACAGTATGTCATCAACCAACTTGCTCGCTGCCCACGGCTCTGTTTCTTGAGTCTTGAATCGTAGTAATACAAGGTCGGATTTCATGCTTATCACAGGCAATCACCAGTCGAAGATTCCTTTCTCGCCTGCGTCAGATCACACATCCTCCTTGTGATAGACCTTCTCCTGCTCATAGTCTCCATGCTCAGTCCTTCCTTCATATTCTTCCTCCTGCTGAAGTTGCCCTGCGGCAGCCAGTTGGGCTTGTCTCGCCCTGGAGTAACTGAGACGGCTTCCTCGTCGGAAGGCCGTGGGATCCGCCGATGAGGCTCTTCTAATTTCCTCCTCTTCCTTGATCTTGTATTTTTCCGGTCGCTTGCTTGAGGTGACGTCTTTGTCTCTGAAGACCAGCAGAGGCGGATTGGTCCGGTAGTAGTCATCTATATCTTCCAGAGATCTATCTGCCGTCTCGGGATAGAACAAATATATTAATGGAACAAACGATGCGTTGAGAATTGTCCAAATAATGTAGAATTTCCATTGGAGGTTCTGGATGCCAATCTGTATCAACGATGAGCAGTTGTCCTCCCCTAGATAGGTAGCCCGATACATACCGGCGTGATTTCCACCACCATGAAATTGAAGATCCAGTTCGTCGCAGTCCCGAGGGCTGCGCCCTTTGTACGCATGGGCAGCGAGTTGATTTCCGTTGGATACACTTGAGGGAACAGGTTAGCATCGCATCCTTAGACACAAGCGCTTAAGCTGACTCACACCAAGGCACACCCTGCATTCCGATCCCGAAGAACACATAGTAGAGGAAGAAGAATGCCACCGAGGCAGATGCCACTTCGTGGGCATGAGCAAACCCGGGCTTTTCATTATACCGAATCAGAACAGTGATGATGAGGTAGCAGAAAGATTGGCCAGCTGCGGCGAAAATCATCATGTTTCTTCGGCCCCATCTTTCGACATTTGGAATTCCAATCAACGAGAATAGAAGATAGGAGACACTGTTGCAGGCTGCCAGCAACCTCGCCATTTTCTCGTCCAGCCCAACAGACTTGATGAGCACCGTAGGGAGATAATATGAGGTGACATTTATGCCCGATAATTGCTGAAAAGCCTGTGTTCCTGCACCGAGAATCAGACGTCGAATAGTCTTGGTTCCAGCCTGGTTGCCAGTTCGGCCACGGAGAAGGTCAACCCATCTCACGGCATTCTCGCGCTCGTACTGGACCGTGTAGACGATTTCTTTGTGCTGCGCCAGGATGAAGGGATCGTCTTCCGGTTTATTCTCAAGGTCTGCTAAGATTTTGAACGCCTCGTCTTCGTAGTCATGTGCGATGAGCCATCTGATACATTGTCAGTCGATGGGGTGGAGCGGATAGGGAGGTGTCTTTACCTTGGTGATTCTGGCAGCCAAGGCACGGTTGCGAAGAGAATAACGATGAAGAGAAACTGGAAGGCAAGAGGCAATCGCCAGGCAACTGCGCCCCCGACAAAAGAAAAGCCATAGGTGACCCAGTTCGACAACGAGAAACCAGCAATGTTCAAGATGAGCTCAATAACGACCAGCTTGCCTCGCCATTTGATTGCTGATGTTTCGGTCTGCCAGACTGGTGCGGTGGCCGTGTTGATCCCATTGCCAATACCGGCAATGATGCGTCCAACTATCATTTGAGCTGTGCTGTAGGAGCAAATCTGCAGAATAGCTCCAGCGCTCATGATAGTTGACCCGACCAGAACTGACCTCCTTCGGCCTAGCTTTTCGCCCAGCCAGACAGCGATGATGGCCCCGAAGAAGCATCCAACGTCATAAATCGCCGTGACGGTACCCAAAAGCGATGTCTTCGCGGGCCCGGCCAGGTTATGAACTTGGAGAAAGTCCTGTGTAACCACGACGCCGCCAAAGACACCCTGATCGTAGCCAAACCTGCAAGGGAGCGTGTCAGAAACAATAGAGAGAGACTTGCACATACGCCGATAACTCACAGCGTCATGTCTGTTGCGCAAGCAACGGAGATCCAGAAGGTCAACCATCCTCCCTTGAGGCCAAAGTACGGCTGCTTAGGATTTAGGAAACCCATCCTTTTACTTCAGTCGATGCTTGAGAACTGAAGTCAAAGACTTGTTGCAAGGCAGACGCTTAAGCGACGCCAGTCGCGCCGCCATCGAGCACAGGTCATATATGAGTTAATCATTCTCCCCGTTCGACGGTCACTCGAGGCACGGATATCCTGCGACGTCATTGCTGTTCGCGCCCGTTAATCCAACGCTCAGAAGCTTGCGAGAAAAGAAAAGTTAAATGCGGCTCTCGTCCAGTAGACGATGATCTGGGGACAGAGCCATGGCAGGCTTTTAGGATGGGGGATTGTTGGTGCGTTGGGAACGCCGATGCCATGCTACAGATGTCGATGATCTGCTCGCCACCAGAGGGTTGCCCATGCGTTAGCGAGCCACATTTACGGAGACTGCCCGCAAAATGCCAGGGGGAAACTTGCGGGGTTTCGCACAAATGCGTGGAGGAGCTTGAACCGCCCCTGCACGATAGCGTCACAGGGTCACCTTGGAACACAGGCGAGCGTGACAGCCGCTTCTATTCATTGGCTTTGGCGGGAACCAAGGTGTAAAAGGGTGCCTTTTCCATCAACCTAAGGTTGACTGGCTCGGGTGGTTGTAAGTTAGAGAGATGGGCATCGCTACTTTCCACTGTAGATCTGGAATCGACTTGCCCTGTTCGGTTCTGAAACGGCACGCGACACTGCAGGGGTCTTCAAAGCTTTAACAATTGTCTCACCTGGACAGTTGCAGTTGTGATTGACCTTCCATCTTGGAGATTGATATGTCTCAGGGGAAACACTGTTATCATTTTGGCGAAACACAGACAATTCCTCCTTCTTCGAAAGTGGCATTGGTCAGCTAACCTCTGCTGCGGGGTTGCCTTGTTCTTATCGTTGAACATGCCGTACTAGCCAACTGACTACATCGTTCTATTGCTTCATTCGTAGCTGTAGAATTCCGGGGGACTTCCCCGAACCCTGCCCAGGGGAAAACCCGTCTAACTCCCCCTTGTGACTCCTGCGCCATTTGCCTTTGTAGGAAGAGGTCGTACACATTTCCGTTGCATTTCAATCGTGAGCCCAACCCGCCCAATCCATCCGATGAACCCAAATCTTGTACTCCAAGTCGTTTCGCTTCGCGCTCGTTGGCGACGCGTTCTTAAGGACATCGTAAGAATAAATACATCCAATATGGACTTTTCTTTCCAGTTGAAATTTGTGGTGGAATCTTTAATGGGAATCAACCACGGAGCGGTCGAGCGCCATCGGAAGAGCGACCATGCATCTCGTAACCGTCGATTCTCGGCCGAGGCTTTTCCCCTGAGAGGCTCGACTGCGGGCTCTGCGAGTCTCGTGGGAAGAAGAGCACGACGAGGTAGATGATGAAGACGACGACGGCGAAGACGCTATAGACGGCGACAGAGTAGGTGGGGACGTCGTCGCTGCCAATGTTTCCCGCAGTCTTGAATCCCAATCCACCGTTGATGACACCGAGCATGATCATTGCGCGGCCGAGCCAACGGTGGGTTTGGCCGTAAGCACTCCGGGTGCCGTACCTGCGGAAATGGATGTGCTGAAGGAGACCGAGGGTAGGCTGGAAGACACCCATCCATGCGACGAGGATGTATCCAATGACCATATGGTAGCCGTCCAGGTTGTCGACCTGTTTGCCGAGTTGGACGCCCAGACCCAGACCGACAATCATCAAGATCAAGCTGAGGACTTGCAACGGGGCATGGATGTGTCGGACTTTGTTGCTGTAGGGGAGGTAAAGCGTCAAAGCCGCCAAGGGGAACATGACCACAAAGACCAGGGGCATAATAACGGCGTGGGCGGTCCGGATGTTGTCGTCAGAGTCGTCGCTGACCACTGTTCCGCTCGACGAGGACGGGTTGGAGCTCACAATAGGATTTGACACCCCTCCAGTCGGAGTGACCACGGTGCTGGCGGTGGCTGTGCCCGACTCCGTTGTGGTGGCAGGCGATGCACTCGTGGTTTGAGAACCAGAGGCAGATGGCGTTGCTGACGAGGCTGCGGAGGACGAGGCTGCGGAGGACGAGGCTGCGGAGGAGGACGAGGACGAGGACGAGGACGAACCACTCGAAGCTGCCACGAATGGGTTCGATGAGCTGCCGCCAGTACCTTGAGTCAGGTCCAAGCTGAATGTACCCTCGGTGTCGTGCTGCGTGATGGTGGCAGATGTGTCTGTCGAGTCAAGAGCGTCTCCCGTTTTGAAGGCAAAGATCCAACTGCTGGAGGAATCGGTGGGGCTCATGCTTCCACCACTCCAGCTGAGGCAACTGTCACAGCGGATGTTGGCAACGAGCGAGCCGTCTGATGCAATACCGCTTCCTTCTAGCACCGAGATCGAGGCGTCCGAGTTAAACTTTGGTTGAACGTGGCCGGTGCCCAGTCTGGGCGACACGGTCACGTTGTTGCTGTCGGCCGCATACACCACCATCATATTGGCCCCCGCCATGGCAGAGCCCTGGCCAAAAGCGACCCATTGCGTGCCACTAGGGGCACTGATTTGCCAAAATAGTGAGCCGCTCCCGGATGATGCCGTGTCTGAGGGCACATTGACAGCTAATGCGTAGTCATTGGAAGCAAACTGTGCAAACTGTGCTGCCGAGCCAGCCACTGCACACAGGGGTCAGTAATGTGGACCGTTTGAAATATGGGGGACACAAAAAAGGCGTACCTAAGGCGGCCGTAGCCAAGACACTCTTCTGCACCATGGTGCTCAGAACAAGGGCGATAATATCTGAAATCGATTGAAGATTTGGTGACGAAGAGCAATACGAACTTGTCAATGCTTGTTAGGAAGTATATCGTGGGGTCAAGGGAGTTATAAGCCTTTCCTCCCTCTCCTTTCGACGCGTTGTTTGCAAATTCTTGGGGATGAATCGCGCGACGGGAGGTGGAGGGGGGCTTTTTAATCTATTTCTCGTGTTCAGGGAGTCTGAGGCATGTTCAAAACCTTGGGCAGATTGCACGTCAGATAGTGGACGGCTGGATTGCGTGTCAAGTGGCTTGCCAAGGGGCTTCAGGAGAGCCACAACACTTGCCCGAAACGCCAGCCCCTGTTTGAAAGGATGCCTCTATTCGGCCCGCCCATGGTTATTACGTGGCGCGCCTCGCAACAGAGTTATCTTTTCCATGCAGAAGAATTGGCTGTCGATAAGCCCAAATGCGGTACTTGCATCACCTCAATGTGGACCAGGGAGGCGGGAGGCGGGATGCGCTCACAAACACGACCCCAGAGGCCTGCACGGAGTGACTCCGGGGAGGCAAGCGCACAAGGCTGGGATGACAGGGCAATAAATAGAAATTATCCAACAGGGGTAGAGGGACGGACTCGGTCGGGAAGGGGGATCAGTGACCCACTCGTCTAACCGGATATGATCATAGGGCCGCATTGACCGGGGCTAGCCCTCCGTCTATCGGGCTAGTGCAAGGCTTGGCTTCCGCCTCCTCCACAATGCCGGCCCTTGAACAATGGCAATCTGATAGAGACCGATTGGCTGGGCCCAGTACCGAGTAGTGATATATTTGTGATGGAGGAGCATCTGGCAAAAACACATGAAATGAATCTGGGCTGGAAGATTCCGTCCTGGGTACGGAGAGTCGTTGGGTGAGCACTGACGCGACACGAGATATTGCATCATATTACCCGTCAGCCCATCGAGCCTGATCGACGACTCTACCTCGTACACCTACCTTCACATGTCCAAGTCTTGCGCCGGCTAAATGTTGCCAGTCTGTCATGGTCGTGCATTGGGACAAAGCAAGAGGCGCAGCGTAGAGATGCGCAATAAGGCCCAATTCCTACATACGGCAGCTACAAACAGTTATGAGGTCAGGAAAGGATTTATGTGTGGCAACTGTCCATCCACCTCCCCCATTGTCTTCGGGATCGTACGGTCCGTGGCGGCTGTCCAGTCTCGATGCTCATACTCCCAACGATCGTGATACAGCCATGGCTGGTGATTCACAGTCCGCAAATCACATCGCCATCTCGCTCGCTGATGCTATCAAGATGCACGAAGAGGTCTGTTCTATTCAGGACGACGATATCAGTGCAGCAATGGTCTGAACTCTTCTGGAGCTTTGAAGATTCCTCCTCAACCAATCGCTGTTGAAAAGATCTGAGAAGCTAATGCAATACATGCAGCGTGTGTGGCCGGCTAAGGAGGATATACCCCCTCTTTCAACCCGCGTCTGAATGTCAAGTCCATTATTTTTGGCATCAAGGATTGGGTCTTTTTTGCTCGATTAGCATGGCCGTTGAGCGAAAGTATTTTCCCCTTTGACCGAGCCAAGGCTTGGTCCTTCCGGATCACCATTCCTTTGCCGGCCCTTTCCCGGACAACAGCATATCATTCGCCTTCGAGTATCGGCGTCATTGTTGGCCTTATATTGCAGGAGTTTCACTGGATCAAGCAATGTGAGTTTGATGATCCCAACTGCCTCAACAATCCCCACACCACTCTCTCATTCGCCGTCGGCACCATTCACCCACGAGTCAGTTTTTGGTCTTGACCATGATCTCTTGGATCATCTCGTTCCCCAGTCGAACAGCGTCGGGAAATCTTGGAGCAAAGTACTGCTGGATATACTCGAATCGGCTTCGATATGCTTCAAACGCACCGAACGAGACGCATTCCGACCATGCCTACCCCCAAGTGCACTATCGTCAGCCAATGATCTGGTTCATGAGAATTTTGCCAGCTTCCAGATCCGATCAAGTGCGGAGAGAGGATTTGAAATATGAGTACGCCCAACCGCAGGGTGCATATCCTGGACGACATGCATATAGAGAACATAGAGGATGCAATATTGGACAATCTTACCCTTGCCGCAAAAGTGAACTCAAGGTCGTCGGAACGAAAAGTGTCATCTTCGATTGCCGTGTTAATGACTTCATCCAGCAATGTCTCATTGCGAAAGAGATACTCGGTGACGCCCAGCCATATTCGGAAGAGCTAGGAGTTGGGTTGTCAGAAATAGTAACAAAACGAGGCCAAGGAACATACTCACAGGCGTGGAGCAAATCATATGGTCGTATGGGACGATGCCGAGTTTCCACCAGCAATCGACAATGCCCAACAAGCTGAGGTGATTGTTCGGCATTCTCTCTTTGGGCCTTCTTGAGAGCGAGAACTTGTCCAACACATCGTCCCCAAGCAACAAATCCTGGTCAACAGCATCCTTGGAAAAGACTGCCGCGCCAGCCGTCTTGATCCGGCGGGACAGCTCTTCTCGATGGCCACCGAGCATGAGCTTGAAAAGTTCCGTCACTGACTCGGCATACTGTCGAATCTGCTCTTTCGCCGCCGGGTTGAGAATGGCCAGTCCGGCATAGACATGCCACTTGTTGGCATAGATGCGCAGTGTGATGTTAATCTTCACATTCTCGATTCCACCAATGTATCGATCGATTTCCCACGGAAACTGTTTGTTCGCCGCCCATGCCGTTCCCATGCTCAAAAACGCCGCATGCGTGACTGCCTGCGTGTCTGCGGTGATACGGTCATGCTTTTCCCCTGACAAGAAGACAAATTTGGAATTCAGGCAAGAGAGGATTCGGACACAGAGATCGACACTTTTCTTAGACGCTCGGTGTTGGATGACGACGAGCGGCTGGCCTGTTGGGTCTACAGCGGGGCCATGCAGGGAATGGCAAGAAACAATCTCAACGTCGGCGGGCAGATACTTGTCAAAGGCAGCCAGCTCAGGGGCTTTGCAGGAGGTCTGCCCACCGACAATGGCGCCGACTTTGGTGGACGGACCATACTCAGCAACAATCTTGTCAATGAGCTCGGCCTCCACACTGTATATGATCCAGTCGCTTGCTCGGGAAACAAGATGACCATTAGGCAAGATATTTATTCCTCTCTAATCTTGGTCAATCATGTTCATCAACTCTGCTGACGACACAAACCTCATTCTCGTACTCATGGTGTAGAGCTTGGAACTTGTCTGGTCGATCGCAAGCGTTGACTCTGCATGACTAACAATCAGTTCTATCATTGTGGCGGCGGACAATAGCAAGTGTTCATATCTATCAAACGAAAAGGTCAGCTAGGGGCCTTATGTGGACGTTGATGTGGATAGTAGCATTGGATAACATAACCATCAGACAAGAAAAAAGTAAGGTAGCGAGGGTTTTACATCAGTGACAGCCGGTGGGATAAGATGCAACATCAGAATGATGAAAGCAATATCACGCCGACCATGCTCGAGCCAAATGCACTCAGAGTCATCCTTCGATGATAGAGAGAGGAGGAAACAAGTCAACATACCTTAGCAACAGACATTCAAAGAATGCTTTCTTTTCAAAGAGCACGCACTGCAATTTCGTACCTCCATCCAGCTTGACTGAACCTTCTTGCGTACAAGCGGCCCATGTCACCCATACCAATGATTCCAACCGCGATGCCCTCCATGGCTCAGGGTAAGGACGACAGGGACAAATCGGATGTTGTTGACCTCTCAATGTCAAGCTATCTCTGCTTGAGGACACACTAGGGAATTAGTAGAAAAATCACCATAGCCGGCCATCGACAGGATGATCGATGTATCAATCTGACGTGAGGCACGCAGCTGGGTGACAGCATAGAACACGAGCTGTTGAACTGAAAACTCGTATTGAAGATGAGACTCGAAGGACTCACAACCTGGAAGTTTTCTCAACTTGCCAAGCCACTAATCTACATATGGACTTGACTCTTGGCACAGGTTGACCACTGCATGGCACTCACGCTGCAGCAGTCACGCGACCCAAGTCGCCTTCTTTTGATGCCAAGATAAGGTTACTAATTCGGACTAGTGGGCAGCTCGCCGGAGGACGCCCCGGTCCCGCTCCCACGCACCAAGCGGATTCCCCCTTCGAAATCCCAAAATCATCGAAAATATTCCTTCCTTTCCCTTTGCCAGTCCACTCCCAAAGTCCACGACAACAGGTTCAAAATGCCTCCCAAGAAGAAGGTCGAGCGCGCCGCCACCGAGAACATCTCTCTGGGCCCCCAGGTTCGAGAAGGTGAGTGAAATGAGCCAGCTTGTGCATGGGAATATTGTGCTAATTGTTTGCGCGCAGGTGAACTTGTCTTCGGTGTCGCCCGTATCTTCGCTTCCTTCAACGATACCTTCGTTCACGTTACCGATCTCTCGTAAGTGAAAAATTTTGAAAATAAAACCCACAATCAAACAATGCATTGCAACGGGGAAGCGCAGATGGTTCAAGAAGGCTAACATTCTGGGTGATTCCAGTGGCCGCGAAACCATTTGCCGTGTCACAGGAGGCATGAAGGTCAAGGCCGACCGTGACGAGTCCTCTCCCTACGCTGCCATGTTGGCGGCACAAGACGTTGCTCAACGCTGCAAAGAACTCGGCATCACCGCTCTGCATATCAAGATCCGGGCCACCGGTGGAAATGGCACAAAGACCCCAGGTCCTGGTGCTCAATCGGCTCTTCGTGCATTGGCTCGCTCGGGCATGAGGATTGGAAGAATCGAGGATGTGACGCCCACACCATCCGATAGCACAAGACGCAAGGGTGGTCGTCGCGGTCGTCGTCTCTGAGCGTATACCCCGGGTGCTGGTGTATGGTATTTGCTTCTACTGCTTCCAGTAGCTTGCCCGCTGAGGTAACTACCACCAAAAGCTGCTGGATGGGAGGAAGGGTAGGATGGACTCAAATACGCGAAGAACGGCTCTTGTGCCTGGTCTTCAAAGCTGCTACTTCTCAGCGGTCAGATGATTGCAACGAGAAAACCGTACGCATGATGAAATCAATCAATCAAAAGACTTGGAACTCCATCGGAACTTTCCAAATTTGTATAGACTTCCTTCTCTCGTAGTCTTTTCGTTTTGTTTACTCACAGCCTCGAAACCAACTAGTCAATGAAATAGTTATGGATTCCCAAAATTCTTCGACGTTGATCATACTGTCCCTCCCACCCAAGACTTTCGTCGGCTTGGACCTAGTGTCATTCAACTCCTCCCCTCACTTTCAAGGCATCGCCACAATTCCTTTTGGCATTCATTTTCTGTACACCGGCACCGACGCCTCTCTGTCAATCCGACATGGGCGATGGCTGAACCTGACTTCCGCCAGTCCAATCCAGGTCTTGAGATGGAACAGTGACGGAGAAACCCTCCAGGTAGTGGAACAGCAGAATGATCAGACAGCACGAAATGCGATCGCCGGGGTGGTCTCAAATAACGGGCGCGGACTAGTCGACTACGCCGCGCTGCAGAATGCGACGTCGGAACTATCTCTACGAGACGGGTCGAAGGAGAGCGACGGTACGTCACGCTCAGCAGCAGGCGACAATGAGGAGGACAGTCGCGCAGAGAGCACAGACTGGCCCTCCCTGACGGCGCATATCTCTCCTTCGCTTCTGACGCGCATCCTCTCTCCGGACGACTGGATCATCTCCTCCATCTCCTCCGCACCCATTGACACCGAGACCATCCCGGGCCTCTCGCACCTCGAGGCCTCGAACGCCCTCCATCAACTGCCCCTGGACCTGCTCCCGATCAATCTGAAGCAGACCTGGGCCGGCGGGGACATCGGGCGTGTCAGGACCGACAGGGCACGAGACCGCAGCTGGTACCTGGGCCAATTGATCGAGCAAGCCGCTCGCTCACCCAATAGAGACAAAGCCGCCGGTGCGCGCGAGGTGCTCGGCGAGCTGCAATTCTGCTTCCTGATGGTCCTCACGCTTGCAAACTACAGCTGTCTCGAGCAGTGGAAGCGGCTGCTCAGCGTGTTCCTCACCTGCCGCACCGCGCTGGACGAAGTGGAGGGATATTTCGTGCAGGTGGTGAAGGTGCTGCATCTCCAAATCAAGCACGTGGACGACGTCGAAGGCGGCCTTTTCGAGCTGAGGGACGAGTCGGGCAGTGCCTGGCTGAGGACGCTGTGGGCTCGGTTCAGGACCCTGGTAGACGACGACGCGGAGAATAAAGGAAAAAAGGAGTCTCTCAGAAAAGAAGTGGATGCCTTGCAGAGGCTGTTTGAAGAAAAGTATGGATGGCAGAGCGAGAGGGACATCTTGAGAAGAGGCATGTTGGAGCTGGAAGACGGCGAGCGGGTCGAGGTCACAATGCACGGGGTTGACGAAGATGAAGAAACCGGTGAGTATGCGCCAGTGATTGTCGAGACTTGATGCCAGAACAGGATGAAAAGGAGGCCAACATGGAATCGACCCCCAAAGCAAACATTTCATAGCAACGTCAGATCCTTTGAACGAGAAATTTTATTTCTTGGTTTGCACTTTGGCTGCACTTCCCGACCACAAGCCTTTGCGCCCTGATGAGTGACCCGTAACAGGCGGAATCAAATCTCACCAACTTGACCAGCCATAAGACGCTCCTTTCCTATGTATGTCGGGACAGGTTCAATGCCTTCCACATTCGCACCATTCTTTCTCCCCACCAAGCGGCGGCAATTTTCTTTCACGAATCAGTGAGCAGCACAACCGCAAGTATCGCATGGTACAACCGCCACCACCACGGTCGCTTCGAGCAAAGTCTCCCAAAGCCAGAACTTTCCTCCACTTAACGATATGACTTTTGGTACCGCGCTCTTGCACCTGGACCACCAAACTTCTTCGGTTCACACCGTCTGTTATCGGCCACCAGTAGTGTACGGTCGTATTGCACGAGGGCTTGCTTCAATTGGTTTTTCGTGTACTCGTCGACGAACTTCTGGTAGTAAGCGACGATTGATTTCGAGATAGCCTGGCGGATAGCGTAGATCTGGGAGGTGTGACCACCGCCGGTGACACGAACGCGGATGTCGACATCGGCGAATTTGTCGAGGCCGACAATCAGGAGCGGCTCGTAGACCTGTGAGTTGAAACAAACAATATGAGCCACTGTGTGCATTCCTGATTTCTCCTCGACGGTTTCGGTGTGACTGGGAAGCGAGTGTAGGAGGCCAGAGACTAGAGTCATACCTTGTAGCGCAGGATTTCCGGTTGAACGAGAGAGAGAGGTCGGCCGTTGACTTTAATGAGGCCCTTGCCTTTCTGTATATCCCAAATGACCCGTCAGTTCTGCATCTCAAAATTGTAGTCGTGCATCGGAATTTTCTGACCTTGCAATGGGCGACAGCCGTGGCCGTCTTCTTTTTGCCGAAGCACTGTACACTCTGAGGGGCCGACATCTTGAGGACTGGCGGCGATTGCACAGAGCTGATACAGTTATGGTAGATTGCTCGATTGTGAAATGTTCGTTACGGTCGTCGCAGGTTGATTTTCGCAGGGAAAGTGCGGGCATGCGCCAAGAATTATGGCACTAAGCCTACTATGGTGCTAGTGCAGCTTTCCATGCTCGAAGCTCAATGCGGACTCATTTCTGCAACTCCGGACTGTGGACGACATTACCATCAACTTCAGTATTCCCAAAACTCCCTGGCACCGTTGCAGGAATTCTCAACAACCTCTACGAGACCACTTCCACTTCCCCATGTCAAGATAGCGTTAAATCCGCCATGTCGCAAACATTAGGCAAGGTGCGTATTCCTGATCAATCTTTTCTCCGTACCATTGCATGCCATGGGTCTCATCCTAACCTCTGTGTTGTGATGTTAGACCCGTCTTGCCTACTCCCGCACATGGCAATATATCGATGTAGGCTCAGATTCTCGCTCCCTCGGTCGGATAGCCTCCTCCATCGCCGTCTTCCTGATGGGTAAGCATAAGCCCATTTACGATCCATCCACCGACTGCGGCGACTACGTGGTTGCTTGCGGCTGCCACGACATTCACGTTACCGGCAAGAAACGCCAGCAAAAGCAATATTACACTCACAACACACGCCCCGGTTCGTTAAAACAGATGAGCATGGAGAGGATGATCGAGAAGTGGGGTGGTGGAGAGGTCTTGAAGAAGGCTGTAAGGGGGATGTTGCCCAAGAACAGATTGAGGGATAAGCGACTCGCAAGATTGAAAGTTTTTGAGGGCACCAGCCATCCGTACAAGGCCAATATTGTGAGGTTTGCAGGGAAGCCGTTTACAGGCGATGCGCCCGGGCCCGTCATGCAAGCCATCGAAGCGAGCAAGGAGACGAAAATGAGCTCCTGAAAAGAAAATGTAATTTACACTTTTTAGGTGTCTTCAGGAGAGCATGACAGGGGTTTTCAGGACGCCAATGGATACGTGTATCATTGTGGGTATATATGTACAAACTATTTATTGTTTATCCGGCGATACCTGTCCCATGGTCCTAACTCCAAACTCCATCGCCGAAAAATGCTCTAGCAAGTTTGGTCTACAGCTTCGAGGACAGCGCAGCGTCGTCCCGGGTCACAGTGCACTTGATGAGCCCATTGGGATCTGACTGGGGCGCGTAGACTTCGGCATCCTTTCCGGTATTCTTCAGGCCGTGATGCCAGCTCAGATCGATCTCGAAATAGTGCTTGTTTGGGAGCGAATAGTCGACTGCTTGAACCAATGGCTGAGCAGCCAGGATCTGTTCGCACATCTTGTACATGGTGTTTTGCACACTTGGGCTCTCCTCGAGGGCGAACAGGCGGAAAGTGACCTCTCGAGCCTTGGCCCAGGTCTCGTCGAACTTAGCAACGTTCTTCTTTACTGCATCCAGGCCAGAAAATGTCGACCATTGCCAGTTGGCGTCGACCGATGTGCTCAGGATCCGATCCCAGACCTCGGGGAGGGTGGTGAAATCGTCGCGGACAAAGTGATGGAACTCGGAGCCAGTGCTCTTGAGCACCAACAGATCGGAGATGCCCGACTTGATCTCAATGCCCTTGCCCTCAATGATGTCCGCCTGTACCAGTCTCTTCTCATTCCCGTCACGGAAAAAGGAGTGAGGATGGGGCTTTCCGTCAATGGTCATGCGGGTCCATCTGTGTTGGACGATGGTAATGTGAGCAGTGTGAATGTGCTTGTAGGTGTTGACGAAGTGGGTGCCGAGAATAGACGCAAAGAGTTCGGGAGGGTGAACTGGATTCTGCTTTGCCATGATGTACGTGGTGTTCTTCATCGAGTCGGTTGCAACGACGACACTGTTGTCAGCTTTGGTGTATCTAGGACTATGTCAGAATGGAACATGTGGTTGGGAGTGAGGCAAGATCACTGACGATACATCAATCTCTCCTTCCAGCAAAACGCAGACGGTCATCTCGTAAACGGTGTGCGTCTTGGTGGCTTCGTCCCTCTCCACCTTGTACAGGCGAATGTTGTCTTTGCCATAGCGAGCTGCGGTGAGTTTGGCCATCTTGAGAATAGGTGTATTGGAATCGTCGACGTGGTAGATCTGGGATTTGGAAGCTGCTAACCTAGCTTGTTTACGCTGCTGATACTTCAACGGTACATGTACGAGGGGAGGAGGAGAAGGGAACGGAGGTGCTTTATATCAGCGCTTCGACACACGTCTTATCGGGGAGGCACACAAAACAGAGTAAAATTCCACGACCAGGATCACCAATTGCACGCACGGCGACACCAGCGATGAGCAAAGATCTTGTAAAACTGCTGATCCTAGATTCATTGAGCATAGGCGATTGGTGTCCTCAGCGTCGGGATTGGGCTGTTGTACGAACTCGTAGAAGACGGAGCTCGCCGACAAGCGCACCCACCAAATGGCAGCAGGAAATGCTTTATCGGTGGCTAGTGTCTGGATAGGGATGACGAGCTCACCTGATAGATCTGCTTGTGAATGTCGATGCGTTTTGCTTTCTGGAGATCCGAAGACGCCATATCTATTGCGGTGCGCTACTGGCTAGTTAGGTGGCTGGGCGAATGCAGGATTTGGCAACCGTTTAGGTAGAAGCCGACATGATGTCAGTTTGGAGGTGTCCGAGCAGTGATATGTTTTCTGCCTGAGCAACCAGGGGACGCCCAGAGGGCTTGAAGAGGGGCCAGGTTGTCGCAGAGAGGGAGGAAATTCGTGGAGACGGTGTTGTTGTGTCCAGATGTTCTGTCTGCATGCCCAAGTGGTCTATACCTTCCTAGGTACCTGGGTAGCGAGTGCTCGACTGTTTTCATGAGGCTGGTGAGGCTCGCTGGATGAACGGCGAGACGGGTAGAGGGGTTCAGCATCGAGTCGTGACCATACCTAGGTACCTAGGTACCTAAGGACCTAGCTTAACCGGAACTTAGGTCCCCTAGCGGGCAGGTACTCGCCTGGACAAGTAAAGCACCCCTGGCGCGTCCAAGCAGCATTGCGGGGTCAAGTTTTGGGGAAGAGACGCTCGCTGATTACGAGGTGCAAGTCTTGGAAATCCGATCACGTTGTGACCTTGCGGGTTGAACCTAGACCCCAACGACGACGAGGTACTGTGCATCCCGCGACTCGCTACATGTCAACTGTCGACAAACTGAACTGAATTTCGCTCTTTTGTGTATCGAATATCAACACGATATCGCTTGACAGACTCGTTGTGTCTTTCTTGCAGCCAAATTCTCGCAACTGCGTTCCCATCCCGTGCCACGCCGCTCAGACGCCAGTGCTGCGCAACTTCATCAAACACATACCACTTACAAAAGTCCCATGAACAATCCAACCAGAATTCGGGCCACAGCTAGACCCATCCCTCCTTGAAATCGATATCCTTCGAATCCCCGACGCCCCCTCATCGTGTTCCGGCTAAACCGAGCAAACATACCTATGGGTGTCTCCTGCGCCGGTACAAATCACCCAACCGCCTAGTAGAGGGTTGATTCCCTCCATGGCTCGATGGCCTCGTCGGCCTCGTCAGACCAAGCTTCGGGCTACTCGGTGACACCCACTCAAGGCCGCTTCAATATCCGCCATGGATCGCGGAAAAGTGATGACTTCTCCACCTCTCAGCGACCCTTCATGAAAGATGGCCGCTCGCTATCCGGCGGAAGCGCCCAGTATGGCCAGAAGGCTTTCATGCCCGCTTTCACTCCTGCCAACCCTCCAGGAAGTTTTAGCACGGATATGAAAAACACCACCCATTCGGGAAGGACTACTCCGCAGACGGAAGTGGCAGGCGTCACCTTTGCCCGCCTGCAACCGCAATACAAGGATGCAGACGCTCTTACTACCTCGGAGCAGCGACAAGCTGCGGTTCGTGATAAAATTGCAAAGGAGATGAAAATAAAGCTGGGCACGGAGAACATGCTCGAAGCGTTGCTGAGCAAGAACAACAAACAGACCAAGGAACAGCGGCAGAAGGTCGAGATGGAGTTGGGCTCTTCCAACAGGAAACTGGCCGAACTGAAGCAAGAACTTGACCAGGAGATCATGCGTTCTCAGACTCCGACCACCCCTCCAAACAACCGGCTTACCAGTTATTTTCGAGGTAGCCCCCTGAAGTCTCCTCCGCTGGGACAAGATCAAGCCCCTGACCTCACCGAGTCGATTGACAGCGAATCACCCACGGTCGTGCTAACAGAGACGCTTCAACAGCTCGAGGCGGACGGAATGCCACCGGACTATTACATCGAACGCGCAAATACTCTGGTCGACCTTTTGAAGCGCAATCCTGGCCTGAAGTATGACCTAGCCTGGAAAGTCTTCAGCGAGAGAGTCCAGATGATGCTGCTCAGCGAAAGCTCTGATGTTGTGGCGGCAGGTTACAGATTGACTCGACACGCTATCGCCGATCGGAAATCGCTGCAGACCATCCGGACACTCCATACGGACGAATTGGTCATTCTCTCTCTGGTCAAGAAGGCCAACGCTGTGCTGGAACGCGAGCAAGCAATCAAATTTGTGCGTGCTTTTTTGGACGTCAAAGACGGCGTTTACGAGATTTCGCGTGCCGTTGTGCGGAGTCTGGTAGCAGTTGCTGAAACATATGAGGACCGACTGAGAGATATCTGCTTGGTGACGTTGGCCGAGCTCCTTATGAAACATACCGAACTGGTCGTCGTAGCAAACGGCATGAGCACTCTCACGGAGGCGCTTGCAGATGGCTCTTTCCCTGCGCCCGAGGGCCTAGTCGCAAGCTTTCTTCACATCCTGGACCATCCACAGCAACGCAAGTTCTTGCACACTGGCCGAGAGTTTGAGGCAATGTTCGCTCCATTCACGGATCCCTTGTTGCTGAGCGGCAACGAGGAGAAGTTGAAGACATGCGCCCAGGCCATTGCAGCAATGCTCAAGACTTGGCCCGGCTTCCTCCTTCTGTCGATGAATGGCGCTTCTCCCCTTCGATCTCTAATTGATTCGCTGGTCTATCCCATAACGCAATCCCGAGATATTGTGTTGGAGCTCTTTTTCGACATCCTCCGCATCAAGCCCCCTTCCTGGTCTACATCATTTCTGGCTGGCCGTAGGTTGACAACCTACGGGAGAGTCAACACTTCGCAGGTGGAGCAACCGTCCCAGAGACAACTAGCAGAATATAATGCAGAGGGGAGGTTTGACCTGACGTATCACTTCTCGGCATTCGTGCTGGCGGCACTAGTGAAAGCTGGCTTGATTCCTGCCCTGGTGGATCTGATCAAAATCGAAGAAGACCTAGCACTGAAAAGAAAGGCGACTCTTTTGCTGACTGAGGTTCTGAAACTCGCACATCATTCCCTACCCGAGAGCATCAGTTCAAGCATCCAGGTACTTGGGGATCTGGTGCCCAGCGGCTTTGACTATGACTCCGAAAAGACCGCTCTAAATATGAGTATGATCTACCAGATCGAAAGCATCAACCGAGCACTTAACAGGGCCTCAGCTTCCACATTCGGAAGAATCGAACAGGTCGACGAACTAGCTGTCGGCCCCCAGACTGTTGAGAGAACGAAGTTTACCGCCATGATGGACGGAGATCAGTTCCGACAGGCCATGGCCGATAGCCAGGTCACGGGTCATTCGCAATACATCAAATGGAAATGGGAACTGATTCAAGGCTTGGTCGAAGGGCCGTTGACCAATCCAAAGAGACTTGAGGAAGCCATCAGGTCCCCGAAATTCATGAAGAGGCTGGTAGGGTTCTTCCGACCGTTCAAATACCGGTTCTCGACAATTAGAAACACAAGACCAAACCAGCGATATATTCGCACTGGCTGTGCTTTGATGCGGACACTGACCCAAACCTCGCTAGGCGTACAATACCTCGCCGAGAACAAATTGTTGCGGCAAATCGGTGAATGCCTCGCCCAGGTCGATCCGCATAGCGGCATCACTTCATCCAACCCATTGTTCGAACGGCACAACATGGCCGAGACACTCAGTGGGGGCTATTTTGCTATGCTTGGTGCCCTGAGCCATTCTGCGGAGGGCATGCGTCTAATGGAACAGTGGCACATGATGGACATTTTCTACCACCTTGTTGAACTCAAAGATCGAGACGACTTGATCCGGGCACTTCTTGGCAATATGGACTACACACTGGACACGCATCTTCGGGTTATCCTGTCGAAAGCACTGACCTCTGGCGTCAAAGACATCCGGCTCTTCGCGACCAAACTGCTTCGACGTTATGCGGTAGGTCGCGTTCAGTATTCATCAGGGCTACAAGATCGCTCAAGCTCGCATTGGGCTCTTCGACTGGTTCTTACGCAACTATACGACCCAGACGTCGAAGTCGGCGAGGTAGCCGTCAAAATCCTCGAAGAGGCCTGCAATCAAAGAAGCCATTTGGAGTACGTGGTCAAATGCAGGCCATCACTGGATCATCTCGGCGAGATTGGCGCTCCTCTTCTATTACGTTTTCTCTCGACCTCTGTCGGCTACCGATATCTCAGCGGGCTTGACTATATCACACAGGAAATGGACGACTGGTTCCTCGGGCGAAATGATGCATATGTGGCTTTAGTGGAGGCTTCAATTCTTCGAGCATACATGGACGGCAGTACCAATAAGGTACATTTCCACGAAGATGCGACCGTCGATCTGCACGAGGTTGGAATTGCACCTCCCCACTTCTACCGAGAACTGGCCCGGACACACGAAGGTTGCCGACTGCTGAAGCAGTCTGGACACTTCTACGAGTTCTCATCCACGATCCGGGATTTCCACCTTGACGAAGAAGATCCAGAGACACTGATCAAGGTAAAAGGGTGCATGTGGGCAGTTGGCAACATTGGTTCGATGGACCTTGGTGCACCGTTTCTGGAAGAGGCAGATGTGGTTACCACTATCGTCAGAATTGCAGAAGGCGCCCAGGTACTGTCGATGCGCGGTACCGCATGTTTTGTTCTGGGCTTGATATCACGGACTCTTCATGGTTTCGAGTTGCTCGCCGAAAATGGGTGGGACACCACGGTGGATCCCCGAGGACGCTCGCTTGGTCTCTGTCTGCCTCGTAATTTGGAGGTCTTGTGTCTGGTAAGTTTTTGCCCGGGATTCTAGAGTATGCTGCTGACAATACAGAAATCGGTTGGTTCTGCCACGGTGCCGCAATCACCATCCGCCGAGAACGACGCCAAGTACAAGGCTGCCACGACGGACGAAAACCCGGTTAGGGCCAAGATTCTCAAATCCATTGTCGAGATGGGCAACTCAGTCATGTACAAGAAGGCTGCGGGAGACCTTCACACGCTGAAAACGAGACAACCCAGCCACTTCGGCGACACGGAGATGTTTCGGAAGACGCTGGTCATCTTGGAGAGCCATCATTACCGGCTGCAGGCACGTCACTACATTCTCAACCTCTTCAATAAGGGTCTGATGCGAAAGATTATTTTTGACGAGGAGATGGGAGACTCGACCGAGTCGGATACGGGGTAGCCACGCCACGCCACGCCGTCGTATGGAACGTGGACTGATGATGGATTCGGAATTCACGACAGCGTTGCTTCATTTGTAACTTTCCGATGCCTGTGATGTCTGTGAAGCAAAATTCATGGGTCGGATGTTGTTAAAATATAAAGGTCTTAGGGGGCCTAGAACGAATGCAGGATGGGGACATGTGTGCCGCAGGACCAGTTCGGCGAAATAGCGTGGCGTTTCAAGGTTATGTCTCCAGCAGTTGTGGACGGACGTATTGGGTATGGTTTTCGGCAAGACACTTTGTGGAACGAACGGAAACAACGGTATGGCGGGCGTTCTCCTGCATTCGGTAGTCGGTTTGATATGCTTTCAAGCGGTCTATCTCGCCTCGCTGTGGGTATACTTTCCGGCTAGAGGTACCTATCTCGCTATCTAGCGTGGAATTGATAGACTGTGCGGCTGTGGAGAAAAGAAAGAACACGATGGGGTTCAATGCCTGGCATGGACCAATTCTCTCAGGGCCGAGTTCATGGGATGTACTCGGGGGTGCTCGGGGGTTCTCGGTAGCAGGTAGCCAGGTCGCCAGGTCGCGAGGTGCGCACGCTCTATCAAAAGTTGTCAGCATCACGTGTGGGCTTCATGTAGGATCTCAATCACGTGATACGAAAACACGGGGATCGATGATGACGACACTCGGCCCACCAATCAACGCACGCTATTATTGAAGTCCCTGCTGCTGGTCGGCGTCCACCGGTCGCCCACCTTCAAGTTCGCTTCGTTTTCGGGCGCCTTTTCCACAGCTTCCCACACAGTTTCCCACACACAGTGCCACACACACATTCCAAACTCGTGTGAGGTACCGAGTAGGTCCTGTACCCTGCTTGCCCGCTGGCCTGCTTGGCGGGCAAACCCATGTCACCCACATGTGCCCATCGAGGCCATCTATCCAGTCCGAAGGTCGCCGTCACCAGTGCCGTGGGTGCCTCGATGCCTGCTGGCCGTTTTCTCGATCCCTGCACCAAATCCAGATCTCGATATCCCTTGACTTTGAGCAACACATCGCGCTACTGTGGCGAACAAAGTCTTACTGTTTGTCCATTTTCCCTTCCCACCACCAATCACTCCCCCTAGTTCGTGCCATTAGTGAAGATGGGGGCCTTTGCTTTGCCTTTACTCGCTCCCGGTTGCTTCTGTTCCAGGCCCACGATCTCCTCCTCCCACAAGCGTGGCTCACGCCGAAGCCCTTGATGTTCACTGTTTCCTCTTTCGCCGCTGGCTGACATGTCCTTGCGGTTCCTGACAACTGTGCGGGTCATCACTTTTGACCCCGTATGCGAGTGCATGGCATCTTGTCCTACCAAACCTCGGGCTTGAAATCTGCGCCAAGTCAACGACGTCGTTGACTCCTCGACTCCATTGCTTAGTCGAATTCCCTTTAACAGACCGCTGACAGCCTCTTGCTATCTACTCTGAAACGTCTCGCACTGGGAGGTCCTATTCAAGTTCACCCATTCCACCGCATACGGCCAGACTAACACCTGTCTGCGCGACCTTCGAAGCCTCCCTCAGACTCAACTCCCGGTTCCCCCGCATCACCTCCCTGATATTGACATTGATAGCCATCCAAAACTACCTGTCGCTATCCTTCAGAATCAGAACCGGCGACCTACGGGGGAAAGTTTGGATGTTCAGTCAAGAGACGCAGATGCGACCGGGCTCTACCTATGGATCATCCCTATAGGCTGCATTGACTGGTTCATAAGCATAAGGAGGGCCGGGATTCCCAGGACAATTCTTGACCCATTGCGCAGATGAGTGATGGATCGCAGTCGGCGACGACACCCCAAGATGGGTTCGACGCTCACAGCAATGCCCGGGATATTGTCAAGTTGTTCCAGTGTCCACAGTGTTCTCTAGCCCTCTACGAGCCCATGACCTTGCCGTGCGGCAATGCTCTTTGTCGGCGATGTCTTCCACCTCTATACAAACGGGAGAACATTACCTACCCTATTGTCCAGGGCCGATCCGAGGGTTTCTCGTGCCCATTTGATGGCTGTGGCTCGGAGCACTCAGTCGGTGACTGCGGGGTTGACGTAACCCTCAACAAGATTGGGCATATTGTGAAAGCCTTCTTATCGAAATATAAGACGGAAGGCCCCCAGCTTCCGCTTCTGCTGGAAGAAAAGCTGAACCACCCTGGCCCTGGCGACAATCCCACTGAAGTCAGACCACGCTCGCGCGTGCTTTCAGGGGGTCGAATCGCAGCGACTTTTGTCTTGGCAGATATGGGCGAGTTGAACTACCACTCCGACGTTGCCTATACGCCTGTCAACGCCAGCACCGCTGATCTTTTGCGCGCAGCCGACGAGGCCGTTCTGGAAAATCTAAGGGAAGCGATTCGACCCGAATTGGAATGTCAGGTCTGCTACCAGATCATGCTGGATCCATTGACCACCTCATGCGGTCATACCTTCTGTAGAAGGTGTTTCTGCAGGGCCATGGACCATACCAACCACTGCCCTATGTGTCGTCGCCTACTGCCACTGGTCCATACACAACAGATGACGCCCAGCAACAAGAGAGTAACGCGTTTGATACAACACCTATTGCCCGATCTTCTCGTGGCGAGGAAGGTCCTCGCCGCACAGGAAGACATGGTAGATGAAGAGACGCAATTGCCGCTGTTTCCCTGTACCTTGGTGTATCCCCAGATGCCCACATTTTTGCATATTTTCGAACCGCGATATCGGTTAATGGTCAGGCGAGTCCTGGAAAACGGCACACGCAAGTTCGGCATGTTGGCATACAAGCCACATAGTGAATACCAGCAAGGCGGCCCTCATTGGCAAGAGTACGGAACAGTTTTGTTTATTGAGCGAGTGGAGATGCTGGCCGACGGTCGGAGTCTCTTGGAAACGCGGGGTTTATACAAATTTCGAGTCGTTGAGACCGGGATGGTTGATGGCTACCTCACTGGTCGAATACAACGCTTTGATGACATTAGCGTGCACGAAGAGGAGGTGATAGAAGCCCAGGAGACAACTATGTTAGCACAGCCCGAGGACGACGATCTTGCCAGACTCTACCATTCGTCTACACAGCAACTCCTGGAATACGGGCTGGAGTTTGTTCGCTCAGCTCAAGCGCGTTCAGCACGATGGTTGCACCAACGGGTGCTTTCCGCCTACGGACAACCACCAGAGGATGCGTCAACGTTCCCTTACTGGCTCGCGAGTGTCTTGCCAATCGCAGAGACGGAGAAGTACGCTTTGCTTCCTGCCTCGAGCGTGAGGGAACGCTTGAGAATTACGGCCGGTTGGATCTACCGACTTGAGCAAGCACGTTGGTAAGTCCTGCATTTCTTCGCCCCTTTGCGCTGAGCCCACCTTACCTGACATGGTATGCCTGAAGTGAGTACGAAGCGGAGCTAGCCGCCAAAGCGCGAGAGCAACAGGATCGACGTGGGCCGGAGCCTCTTGAGGCTATCGCAACTAATCAGACCGCACGGCTTGAACCTCAGTCGGGGACAGCACGCGAAGCGGAGGTTGCCGAGGCTGAATCACATGAGCTTGAGAATTCAGAGGCTGGAGCAGGGACAGCCGAGCTCGATGAAAGTTGAACCTGAGACGCAGACTTGCTGTGCATGAGATGTGGCTCCAGGCTAGCAAGAGTGCTCTAAGGAAGCTGATCTCATGCATGACCTCACAAGCGCTATTCACTGTTCGGGCATTCTCGCTGATGCGCTCACTCATACCAGAAAGAGACTTTGAATACTAACTTCTTCCAACTCGGACAGGCACCAATCATCCTCCTGTATTGTCTTATGACTAGTTTCTCTGGTGGGCTTTACGACGGTGGGCCTGTTCTTGTGCATACTTTTTTTCAATGGGCCATTCATTACATGTGCTTCTATCATGAACGAAAGCGATCACTGGGTTGGCTGTATGGGTAGCATTTCCAAGGCGTTGATACTCACCGGTTGCATGGTTCTTTTCGGCCTCAGGGTCATGATACCCCTTTTTCCCCTTCCGGTTGTGCATCCTTGGGAGGGATTGCTATAGTTACTTGCGCGAGCATAGCGAGGTTCCACGGCGATAGATGGAGAAGAAGAGGGAGTTCTTAGCAAGCGCAGTGATATGTGGCGGAGAGTGCTAAAACTTATTTGCAAAGTGTCTCACAAGATCCTGTGGTGAATGCACACATTGATCTTGAGTTGACCGAGGCGGTGCCTTGAGTTGTCTCTCATCAGGCCTCTCTTAGGAAGACTCAACTATGAGTTGATGTACTTGGAAAGCCTTTGCTTGATTCCACCCGAGTTGGATTCTTCCAACGGAGAGAAAGAGGGAGGAAAATGGAATAGCCATATACTAGGTATCTAGCTCCAGTTCGATGTATACCAGATACCTGGCATGGTCGTTAACTATCTAGGTAGCCCAGCGGGGCAAGGCCCATACTGATAAGTCGATCTACTACTATATCGGCCACATCTGGAACTTGTCGACAATATGGGCAAATAGAATCTGTCGACTTCCACATGGTGTGAGCAGACAAAAATGGACCTAGTATAACGGCAACACATGCTGCGCACCATTTGACTTCATAGTGGCACTGTGTGTGGAATTGATGCTATGTAGGATTGATGGTCAGCTTTAGGTCCGTTGCTATCTTGTATGGATGAATGCCGGCCAGTGGGCAGCCGGGGATCGCTCTATCAATGTGCCTGCCGCCCAGAACATCCACACCTTCGGACCTGAACCTCGACAGCAGAGAAGCACTCAACGAGGTCCATCAGCAGTAAGAAAGCCATTCCATAGATCCCCCCCCCGCCAGGCGCCCATACCGGTCCATTACCTTCAGCCTCGTTGTCTTTTTTGTTGCAGTCATTTTAGCCACCCGATGGCATTTGTCGGCCGACTCACAAGTCCCAGTGGCCATGAAGACACACGCCACGATGATCAATCCTCTGACGGCCGACTTGCGAGAGCTCCAGAGCGCACTCGATAGTGGAGCCTTGCAAAGTGTTGATCTGGTGCGGTTGTACACAGATCAGATCCTGAAACATGACGGCTACCTGAAGGCCATGATCAAGTTCAAACCGTTGCAGAGAGTCGTCAGAGCTGCGGAGATGCTTGACAAAGAGCGATCTGAAGGGAAAATCCGAGGGCCTTTGCATGGCATCCCCATTGTCATCAAGGTATGTTTCGTGCAAACTCTTTGGACGACCCTGATCTAACTGCGCTCCAGGACAACATTGATACTCACCCTGACCTTGGCTTTCAGACGACTGCCGGGAGCTACGCACTGGTGGATTCCTGGCCACGACAAAATGCCAGAATAGTCGACCTGGTACACTTCTGCTTTAATGCCATGGACAGGAAACAAGGGCCCTGCTGACAGCCTCTAGCTGATTGCCGCCGGAGTCATCATAATTGGCAAGACGAACCTGAGTGTATGCGATCCGTGTGCCATCGTGTTCTCAGCCACTGACGTTGTCTAGGAGTTGTCAAACTACAAGTCCGTACGACCAGGAATGCCTGTGGCCGCTGCGACACTGACACTGGCATAGAGGCGAAAACATAATAAGTGGTTACTCTGCTGTCGGCGGCCAAGTCCAGTCTGCCTATGTACGCGGCAAGGTCGACCCAGACGCTGGTAAGGACAGCCACAGCGTGAGTATTGTCTGTGGGAAGAGATACAAGTGGCTTTTATTGACCGACACCTATCCAGAATCCTTCTGGGTCATCTTCTGGCTCGGCTGTTGCAGTTTCGGCAGGCTACAGTCCTTTCTCCATCGGCACCGAGACCGACGGCTCGCTCATTCTGCCTGCTGGCAGAGCGGCCCTGTACACGATCAAGCCCACAATCGGCCTCGTCCCACAAGCTGGGATTGTGCCTATTTCGTCCAATTTCGATTCAGCCGGTCCCATGGCCAAGACTCCCTATGACATGGCCGTGCTCCTTGATGCGATTGTCGATCCTGAGCGTAAACCTTCACAAAGCTACACTTCTGCACTGACAGGGAGCTGGAGTGACATTTCTGTTGCGACGCTGGACCCCGAAGTGTGGGACTTGCCGGATACCTGGTTACGCCCAGTCGAGAATGCTACGCAGCAAATGGTTCGGCTTTCCCTTTCATTTCGGCCGTGGATGCTCTCGATAAGCTGAGCGATGAGGCAGAACCGAGAGATCCGCCAGGCATATGCCAAAATTGAGACATTGGCCAAGTCGTACGCAGGCAGTGTGCCTTTGATCCGTCCCGATGCCTTTAAGCTGAACGGCCAAAAGAGCGAGGTTGTGGTTGTAGGTATGTGCGAAACTGACATGCACTATCCTCTCGGCCGGGCATTCCCAGGCTGACGCCACTCGCAGCAGCCGACTTCGTGCGGAATATCAATGCCTATCTCGAAACCCGAGTCAATTCCACGGTTCGCAACCTCCAGGAGCTCATAGAGTTCAACGAACGACATGCCGAGATGGAACTTTCTCCCTGTAAGGCTTTGACATTTGACTGCTATAACCACGCTCTTTCTCTCCTCCGGTGCCTCAATAACAACAATTGACATTCGAAGCAGATTCTCCGAACCAAGAACGACTCACACGAGCGTATCGACAATCAATCACCGCGGACGAGTACAACGCGCACTTCGAGCACCTCCGACGTGTGGCGCGTGATCAGGGGATAGATTTCATCCTCGACACGTATGGAGTCGACGTGATCATGGCACCGGCGGACAGCCTGCTGATTTCCTACGCGGCCTGCAGCGGTACGTAAATCCTTGCTCTGGCACCGTGTCACATAGTCACCCCCAGTTCAGGCTAAGAGTCTCTCTCCAGGATATCCAATTGCTACATTGCCACTGTCATATCTCGACTACAATGGCAGACCGTTCGGGCTTTCGGTAGTGGCGCGTGCTCACCAGGATGCGCTGTTGATCAGGGTCCAAAGTGCCTGGGAAGCTACATTTGGCCCCCGAAAACCGCCTACAGACATGAATGGTGCATGATTGAAATTCGAGGCAGGCAGAGACGTTGCCCTTCTTGATGCCTACTGCCGAAAGTTGTGACTTCCAGTGACGGTAGGCCAATGCAGGCTTTCGAGCGGCATTTTGCTTGAGTTGTTGCGCTCACCCAATGCATGCAGAGCCATTGGTGGTGCATAGAGTGAATAGAATTAGACAAAGGAATCGATTAACCACTCAATTTCGCTCTCATTGTTGTCAACGAAATTAGGTCATGATACACAAGATGTGATCAAAAGGAGAGTTGACCATAATTAAAAGCAGCAGCCGTCCAGAACGTACTTGGTGCCGGCTTTGGTAAAATGGCGGGTTCTAGAGTCTCAAAAGGGATGAATGTTTCCATCTCCAATTGATGTCATCAGCTGCGCTACGAGTAACGGAATATAAGTGCCTCGTATATATCGCATTTTATTCCCACTACTATCTCGCGCCTATTTCACCTTACGCATGAAACTGCAACATGAAGCAAGCTGCGTCGTCCTCCGCTCGCCTCTGGACCTCTGTTCTTCATGACGTCCAAGCTTCCTCTCTCGTGAGGGTGCAATGTTGGCATAGAAGAGCGGCATCCCTAGCTCAACCGTTCAGCACAACTTCCTCCCTTGCACAAAAGAACCGTGTTCTCACTTCATTCCGGACGCCGCCTCAATTCCACGATGCCCTCCGCCTCATCTCCGCAAACAACACGCTCATGCTGGCCCTCTTTACCACCTCTACATGCACACCCTGCCGGACAATAACGCCCCTGTTGACGTCCCTTGTTGAAACTCGACCGCCGTCGCCGGAAGACAAGTACTCGTCCCTTGCTTTTGCAGAAATAGAGCTGGACTCTCCAGACACGAGCAACGGCAACATGATGGACCTGGGAGTGGAATACGGAGTCAGGAGCATGCCTACGTTGATGGGGTTCGGGGGCCGCAGAGCGGAAAGAGTCACGGAACGGGTGGTGGACACGAGGATGATGAGCGATGAGAAAGCCATGGCGGAGTGGATCGACCAAGAGATGAAGAAGGGTGATCCATTCCCGAGCTCTGACCAAAGTGGCGGCAGAGGCGGAGGGTTTCTCGCAAGGATTTTCGGGTCCTAACCATCCAGAGCCTTGTGGTTAAAGAATTCGGCTTTCGAGCACTATCCAGCAGACACGGGGGACCTGCCTTGTTATTGACTGGATGATATCCTCTTCTCGACGAGATACGCGGACACATACTCCCGCGAGTCGGCCGGGAAACCACCGTCAACGGGGCATCGCACGGGTTCCACCAGTGCACATAATCTTCGACCCAGGGGTTAAGATCTCGTCCTGGATCAAGTGGTGATCTTAGCCAGTCGCGCCTCTGTTGAGATGTACGAAATCGATCGCTCTATCCGTTTCCGGGGCGTGTTTGGTGCAAGGACTGATAAGTGTTGCATGGTCTCAGGTTGAGATGGTCAGGCATCCGAAACCTTCCAAGAAATACCAACTGTAAGCAAGCGGCAATTATTCCTATGAGATCTATGTGCTAACAGTCGGCATCTAGTGAGTGGCCCATTGGATGAATAGCTACCTGTACGAACAGCGGAATGCCATTTCCTCTCACCGGAAGAATATAGCCTGCTTTGTTACGCACCTCCTCTTCTGCTTGAAAGCCACACATGGTCCTTGCCCATACCACTCCAACTCGTCAGGGAAATCAAGACATTCCTCTTGGATCTCCCGTCGCCGAGCTGATTGCCATATAGAATTAGCGCGAGTGAGCGACAGATGCGGGACGAGCCTAGCGTAGCAGATCCTGGCTGCCAACGCCACGCACTGCCAGCGCTGAATTAGTACCACGAAGGAGCCGAGGCGCGTCATGCTCGGCCTCATTCGGAGGCTGCATATCCCAAAAGGCGCAAAACAAGCCGGCTTCACCATTGGGCAGCCCAACATATGCTCCTGGTTTGTGATCTCTATGAAGAGAGGAGCAGACACCGCTTTCCATCTCTGACGAGAGCACAGCTTATGCAGATCCACCGATTCCGCGTTTCGGATACAACCTCGCCGCTCACGCTCACGCTCACAGCAGAGGAATCAAGCTTTGCGCAAAGTTTAAGTGAACAGTAACAATCGGGAGCTGCAATTTTCTTTTCTATCCAGGAAGCCCCTCTAATAGTAGACCGAATCGTGTCGCCCTTCGCAGGGAAGTACCTCGACACACCAAAAACAACCATGTCGACGACCAACGGTGTCTCAACACCGGCATCGCCGACGAACGAGCAGTGGGAAGAGTTGTGCAAAGACGTGAAGGAGTCGCTGCTCGAAGAGATGGGCCAGGAGAGCTGGTATATCATCATTGTGAGTCCAATTCGCCCTTGGACCACTAACTGTTTTCTTCGCGTCCCCCTTGATTTCGATTGCCCTTCTTCGCACTTGAGGAAAGCCAATACCAGGCCTCTTCTCTACATTCTGCCTATTCACTGGGATATAAATAATCTGCATGGGACGGGAATGGGGTGGAAGCTGGTTGCAACTCTTTACCCGGAGCGCACTGCGCCACCCCAGCCTCGTCGTTCGTGGGAGTACCAAAAGCCCTTTCTAGAGTCTCTCTCGTTGGGATTCGCAGAATCAAAATTTCATTCCGTTCTTATCGATTTCCACTCGATGGGGAAAACAATGCATGTCTCCCGCCGCGACTCTCTGCCTAACATGTCACCTTTTCCACCTAGGCCACCGTCATCACGGTCTCGCCACGACCGCAACTCCTCGCCGACTTCTGGACGTATATCATCACCCACGACACGGCCTTCTCGACGCCTGAATCGCAAACCCGCCTGTCGGACCGGCTGCGAGACACCCTCCTCAAGCAGATCGTCTTGATTGGCGCGCCGCAAGTTCTCTCGGCGCTGATTCCCCTCGCGCAGAGGCAGACCGAGGGCAAAGGGGAGCAAGAGCGGGGCGAGTTGGACCTGCAGCAGTGGTGCGTACCTACCGAGCAGGATGGTGCTCCTTTTCACCCACCGCATTAGACTCCCCCTTCTTGATTTCGTTCCATTTCCCTGTTAGGTTGCATCAGTTGAGACCACTGACCACAACCGGCTACAAACGGCCCTTTCGTGTATACAGGTCCAACATCACGCTCCCGTCCCTACACGCCCGGGGTATCGAAGCCATCACCTCCATCTACGGGTCCCTGTGGCCGCGCATCTTCCAGACCTTCGGCCCGCACCGTCCCCAAATGGGCATCCACGAGATCGCCATCGTCTACGGACTTTACCTGGGCGACTTCTCCTCCCTGACACCGCTTGAAACGGAGCTCGTGGCCTTCACGAGCATCACGTGCCAAGGGCTCAGGGGCCCGAGCCTGTGGCACGTGCGTGGACTGGGCAGGGTGTTGGGCGCGAGGGGCAACGATGACGAAAATCCCAAGATGAGGCGGATCAAAGACGTGGTGCGCGGCGTCAAAGTTGCGGTTGCGAGGGGTGTTGAGTTTTGTGGTTCTGAGATGGTTGTGAGGAGTGGGTTGGATGCGAGTGATGGTCGGGGAGGGTGGCCGAATGTTGGAGATGTCGGAAGGGAGTTGGGCGGATGGGGCGATGATGCTTGATAATTGCCTAGACGACGAAAAGTGCCCAGCGTGGTGTTCCGAGAATTGTTCCAGTCAATCATTAAACAATGAGTCGAGGCTTTCCCAAGATATCGAACAAAATCACACACAGAGAGAGAGAGAGAGAGAGAGAGAGAGAGAGAGAGAGAGAGAGACAGAGAGAGAGAGGAGAACCTCGAGTTTCCCATTTTCTTGAATCACTACGGTATGGCATAGCATGGCATCATCGAAACCCGCATACGGATCATATCTGATATAAAGGTACAAGCTCGACATTACAGGTGGCTAGAATAATAAGTCCAGATGATGGAGAGGAAGAGATCCATAAGGCCAGCCCATCCACCTATCCATGCGACGATTCGAGTGGATGGGATAATTCTGAAATGTTCAATTCACACCGTCCCCCTCGGTCTCAGGACGACCCTCAGTAGCCTGCTTTTCCCTTTCCCCGATTGCCTGCCTGCCTGCCTGGCTGGTGCTTCCAAGACTGACTGATTGACTGATTGACTGATTGACTGAGTGAGCGCAGAGCAGCGCAGAGCAGAGCAGAGCAGAGGAGGGACCGCCTTTGATACACTTCTCCCATGCAGGTCAGGCCGTGATGTTAGCGCCGGGCGGAGCGGGATCCTGTCCTGCACCATTGATTTTTTGTTGGGTTCCCCTTTGCAGGTGGGTTCCAACAGGATTAGCATTGTACAATAGTCTGGGGCAATTCGATTCGATGAACTGCAGGTAAATTCCTCGCTCCTTTAGAAGCAGTAATACTGGAATGAACTGCTCAAGCGCGCTTTTGCGGAGCGGAATGCCTGACCAAGGTATCATTGCTGGACTTTGCGCGAGCTTCCCAGGACTCCTAGACATTCAGGTGTTGTAGGGGCGTCGTGCCGGGTCAAGCAAGCGCTTTTCCAGTCGTCGCACATCCATATCTGCATTGAACTAAGCCGCAAGCCCGCTCTTCTCGGACTCGGAGAAGAAGATGAGCATGCGCCAGAGTTTGCGCACCAAAACCTCCGCTTCTTCATCGAGGGCCTATCAACAAAGGTTTGTGTCAGTCAGCCATTTCTGCAGGTTTCGAAAATGGTTTCAAAGGACAAGGGAAAAAACTCACCCCTTCTAGCTCTCCTACCAACTCTTGCGGTTTCCCCCGGGATCGAAGAGCATTGACAACCACATCCACGAGCATCTGCTCCTGCACACCCAGGTACTCGACGATCTTCTTCTCCACGAACGGCTTCAACCGCTCCTCAATGATACTTTCATCCACAAATTCCCACTTGACATCCCACGCCCATAAGCCCTCCTTGTCATTGGGAATATCTGCAGCGAGCTGGCGAGCCGCTTGCGCCCGCTCTTCTTCTGACATGCCTGCAGTTGTCGAGGCGTCGTACTCAATGGGTATGAGTGTTCTGCGCGTGCCGGTCTTGGATTCTTCCTCTTCGTCCTCAAGGAGACCCTCCACGTCCGCAACTGTGCGTTTCGCCACCTGAGAGGCACTTTGTGCTGCCGCTTTCTGTGCCGCAGCCCCGAGGGACAGCTTGAAGCGGGCAGGTTCACGGCGCGAAGCCTGTGCGCGCTCTTCCTCTTCCCTATCTTGTTCCCTGCTGAGCATTTCTCGTTCTTGCCGACCCAGGAAATCGTCTGCCATGGCATCCACCCGTTTACGCTGGTGTACTTCTCGGGCTTGCTCTCGTTGTTCGGCCGCACGATCTGCATCGTCATTTGCCATCTCACGCTGGCGAAAACTCGCCCGGTTCCGGATCCACATGCTCCGGTCAGCGTAGTACTCCTCGACCTTACGGGAGGCCTCCGTGTCGTCGTTCCAGTCGTGCAATCGTCTGCGCATTGCTTCCTTCTCCTCCTCTGAACGGCCTGACTCGTCCTTTTCGCGCTTTTTCACCCGTTCAACGGCTTCTGTGCGTGATCTTTCCCGGTTCAGCCATCGACGCTCCTGATCCAGGAATTGCTTCTCAAGTTCGGCATCTCTCTTCTCCTTGCGACGTCGTTCGAGCTCTTCATCGCTGGCATCGGTGTCTTCGTCTTCAAATGCAGAGGCTCCATTGATTGCCGTTCCATTGACCAGCACAACACCCTTCTGGTATTCTCGTGGTATTTGCACACCAAAGCCTTTTGGTCCGGCAGGTGCCCCTCTTGGGCCAATCGGTATGCCGTTTGTGCCAGCCGGTCCTGCAGGTGCGGAAGGAGGTGGCGAAGCGAGACGGCTGAAGCGATCACCATTCATCATGCGATTCCGTTCTTGTTGTTCGATCTCTTCTTCACGTTTCATGCGCTCCAGGTCGCGACGATTGCTCCGATCCCGGAACGCGGCGATTTCTTTCGCCACTGTCTCGCGCATCTCTGCTGGGATGTCGGATAATTCATCGTCAATGGCAATGGGAATGGTGACCACTTCTCCAGTCGCTCCATCTGTTTGTGCTCCGTCCGCCATGTTGACATCGCCTTCTCGATCAATGTTTGACATTTCGTCTTTCTGTGATGAAACTGCGGGGTCGCGAAGATCTTTGAGGACGGCATCCAATGCACTACGGGCATGATCAAGTCGCATTTCTATCTGATCTGGGTCCGCGCCACCTTGGGATTCTTGCCACTGTTCAATGTAGCTTCGTGAATTGTCATCAGCGACAATCTGCGTTGGCGTCAGTATAACAGCGCCCAGACTTTCTTTCATTTGACGTACCACTAATTTTGCCATCTCGACCTCGACATCCTCTTCGACCTTCACCTCAGCTGGAGTCTGCCGCTTGACAGGAACCTCAATATCCCTTAGTACTTCTATGGCAGTACTGAGGCTTTCGGGGTCTTCGTACTCTGCAAAACCAAACTTGCAAGGCTTGCCATCGGCATCCATGGCACGGACCCATCTCCGTAGACTTCCTGCTGCGTTCAAGATCCTTTCGATGCCTTCATCTCCTCCGGCGCCCTCGGTAATGCCGCCGACGTAGATGGTCTTTATGATTTCTTCTTTCGTTGGTGGCTGGACTTGGGTAATCCGGTCCCTATCTCCACGAAAATCCGAGCCCGCTCCAGCCCCTAGGCCAGGTCTTCGTCCGCCTCTTTCTCGATCTTCGCGACCGCCGGGAGCGTCGGGTTTGGAGGGTCCAGAGGTTCCTAGGCGGATGACAGGAGCCGAGAAGTTGATGTTTGGCATGCTAGGTGGTGGCTGGAAATTCGGAGGAAAGGAGCCAGGTCTGACTGGTTGGTGAGCCTCTTGCTGTTGGATGCCGGGCGGAGCGCCCATGCCTGGAGCAGCCATACCAGGAGGAGGACCTGGCAAGAACCTGTCAGTACCGTAGCCATGATTGTGCCTCGGACTCGAGGGCGGTTTACCCATTCCAGGCGGTGCGCCGGGGAAACTTGCATAGTCTCCCGGCGCGCCATACTGCCCTGATACTGTTCAGATGTCAACTTCTGTTTGCACGAGGGGGCTGTTGCGCGACCAACCTTGGTAAGGCGGGTTGTACATTTTTCTGTCGAAGATCAAGACTTCCTCGGACAGTAGAGAAGTGCTTGCGGTTGATTCAGCTAACCCTTGATTTGGGCGACGTCTGTGTAGGACACTTGCATCGGAAGACTAAAGAGCGCAAAGGCAGAATCCTAGAGAATTTGTGGTTCTGAGACAGAATGTTTATTTGTTCACTTGTGAGTTCGAGCAACTCAAGCCTGCGACGATGGTCTTCGGGGTTCGGAAATACTATAATCCGAAGAGATCCAGACCTGGCCGTCATTTCAATTGGAACTTGGTTCACAAAAAGTTAACAGCGAGGACAGATTGAATATCTTGAAATATCAGCTCTTGGACATGATCTTTCTAGTCAATTGATCGCATCTTCGCGTCCAAAACACATGTCTGTGACGCTTCTTCGCAGAGGCCCAGGTTTGTACTTTGGTCTACATTAAAAAGCGCAACGGAACCCTAATCCCCATCAGTTCATCACTTTACAGCTTCGTGAGCACTTCTTACCCATTTTTAGGTCCGTACTGCAGTCGATTGAGAGCAAGATCAGTGCGTGAATAGTTTCCCCAATGTCACCGCCAGCCTTTGTCCTTTCATTCTCCAGAGATGCGTTTAGGACAATTTCGGTCAACGGTCCGCCCGAAAGAAGGAAAGGCAATTCCGGCACCAACTACGATGAGGATGTGCTTCTCCTAAACAGCAGTAAGAATATTCTATGCTAGCAAGACTTGTCATACAGATTCCCGATTAAGATCCAATAGGTCTGGGCTTTTCTCGCGGGTGATCTCGTCTTTCACGTGTTCCTCCAATGAGATTAACATGCTATTTGTCGGCCTCTTCAGCCCGGGCTTGCTTCACGCAGGTACGCGTCTCTGCTAGGGAGACATCGGTGAGTCAATCCAGCTGGAGACATCGGACAGCTTTGTGGCCCCGCTTCTGAACAACCAGATACCATACAAATGAACACATACCATGAAGAAATCGATCAATCGATTAAGGATGGAAGGCTGCTTCAGTCGTCACCGTTCCAACAGTGGTCGAATGGATATTTGGCAGAACTGGGGGACTCATTCCGAGGGCCTTCCTATGGCGATTTGCGTCTCTGCCACAGCCATCAAAAGTTGGGCGTCATCTGATAGCATCAACTATTTGGTCGCCGCTTTCGCGGATCTCGTCATCTACTTCAGCAACCTGTGATGGGAACGCTTTCATCGTGTTAAAACCAATGATAAGGGAATCACGGTCAAATTGTCTTTGAAGAAAGGCCAAGCACCCCGGAGACCTGGGAGCGCGGACTTTATGCCTGCTAAGGGAAAGCCCATGTTTTTACATGCTGTTTGTCGGAATCGAAAACTTGCTTATCTGAGGGGATGTTGAAACAGGGTCGGATATCCGGCCAGCTCGTATCCTCGTTCCCCCTGCGCTTGGCTCATATGTGCCATAGGTTACGGGCAGGCTCTGTACCGAAGCACTATTGGAGCACCAGAAGCATTGTAAGTGGACTGAAGGGACGCTGACTAGCTCCACGACCAGTTTGAATCCAAAGTGCCTTCCGTTGACACAAAAGCACCCCATGACAAGCGTCCAGAACATCTGCTCGGTCCGGCTAAGCACGGTAAGACCAGGAAGACTGCAGGATCGACCCGGCTTCCAGCATGTGGACTTTGCATTTCGAGAGAAGGATAAAAGTTCCTGCATGTGGTAGTCTGCTGGCCACACAGGTCTGCTTGCAGGTATAGTTAGGGTGTCGCTAAGTTCATGCAGAGGGGAGCGATATCCGGAGGGTCCAATAGCCAGTGGAGTCCCCATTCAGCCCGTTGCCTCGAAATCTTTCTTGCTAAAGGGGCTGCGTCCTCTGAAGATGGCAAGGCTAGGCTTTCGAGAGTTGGGGGTCCGAAAGGCGCTAGAGGTCGCTGAGTCCCATGGAACGCATGTGCCGTTTGCCAATCTTGACGTTAGGCAATGTGTTAGCTTGTCCCATCAGAATTGCGGGTGATTGTCATTCACACTTGCTGCGATTGGAGGAGCACACAAGGCATGTCAAGACTTTTGGCCTCTCTCGTGCCCTTGTCGACATGTCGTTTATGGTGGTAACCAACCGGAGCAGCTCTCACCTAACTCGAAAGGCTTACCACGAAGCCCAACCTGCATAGGTATGCACAGGCGGGCTCCCCTTCAAACGAGCGGAAGATGCCTGGCCTGAAGTCCTTTGAAAAGAGACTGGGCTGCCACGGTAGGGTGGTATTGGCAGTCTCATTCGCAATTCAGGTCAAAGGATGAGAGTGGCTATCTGACCTGTCAGTGTGGCTCTTTTGTCCCTTTTGGGGGCAATTGTTCCCCTGAAGTGGCTGTAAACAATGATACGAGGTACTCATAGATACAGTTCGGCCAATGAGTCCCCTTGCGGCATTGTGCATAACGGGGCGCACTTTGAGTCTTTGACAGCATTTGACCATGGCCTAGGCACCCTGGAGCCTGGAGGCCTTTTTCCGGGGCCAATTGACGCCTTGTCGTCCGCCAGGCCAGATATTGACTACCTCGTATGCCGTGGCGCTGTTGGTTCTTCTCTCGTTCTGGAATAGGTGGACGGCAGGAGGACAGGGGAGCTCGCCTAGAAATGAGCCTCCTTACAAGGGACGACTGTGAAGGTTCCCGAGACCCTCCCCCACAACTCGGCAGCTCCCATGGAGCTACGCAGTAGTTACTAGATACTCATACAGGTGTTGTTTTGTTGTCCGCTGGCCGTGGTGACGCCCTGAGAGAAGGAGGTGAGCCGGGGCACCTCTTGAGCTGTCTGAATACCAGTAAGCAATCTGTCAAAAAACCAGCCAGTGCTCCTTTACTTATGGCAGCGAGAGCTAATCATCTTACCGGACACGGCCACCCCTCGGGGGAATGAAGGGGCAGATTAATTATGGGGAAGCTTACCGAGACATGGGCTGTGGCAGGCCGGCAGTTAGTGATGCTGAGCCCTGAAGGTGCCTGGGATCGTCGCAGGCTGAACAGGCTCGGGGTGCTCGTGTTCCGCCCATTAGTCGCCCAACTAACGGACCCCCCAGTCAATAACCTTGATGATTATTGCACTTGGCTATACCCCAACCAGCTGAACAGGCACTGCCAGGCACCACCATCCCATCTTCAACCAAGCAGAACCCATCGCAGCCCACCAGAGCCTGCCTCATCATCGATTCATCCCTCATCAGAATCATGGCAGCCGGAAAACCTCATTTCTCGACTCCCCAATTCCTCGAGCCTCCCCACCTTCGACCTCTTTCGATACACACGCCCCCCGCTCCCAGGGTCGAGCCATCCTCTGTCCATCCCTCCTCGCCTCCAGGCTCCATCCCATCAAATCCCTGTCCAAGGGTCACACAGCCAGAATGCACAAATCCTCATCGAGATAACCCGGCCTGCTCTGAGACCCTCGGAGTGTTCCACCTTCCGTAATTCCAAGAGTTAGTGGCGGTTCAGGATGCGGATTGCGGCTTGCCATTCGCCCTTCAGGCCTTCCCCAGGTTGCACCGTGCCCACCTACAACGCAACAAGTTCGCATCCTTGCGTCTGCTGAGCTTGTGGTGGTCACTGGTCGCCGAGCCGTGGGCTGTTGGCCTCTTTGGTGGAGAAAGAGTTGCGAAAGAGTTGGTCTGGCCTTGGTTCCGATCTGTACAACTCCGCTTTTGAAGATGCGACAACTGAACCTCGCCGTTTAATCTTCTGTCCATCTCCCACCGAATGACACAGAGTATGTTCCTTCCTCGCCATCGTCGTCATCGTCATTTCCAATGGCTACAGTCGTCGCCTCCGACAGTGCAGTTCACGCTGGCGGCTCGACGAGTTCTGCTTCTGGATATTCCAAAACCTCCCGCCGACAGTACCAAGCCTGTGACCAGTGCCGCAAGAGCAGGAGGGCATGCGACGCAGGCGCCTTGAGAGTTGTCAACTTCCCTTTTCGTGAAAACGACCAGCTTGACTCGTCTGCCTCGACATGTGAAGCCTGTTCAAACTGTGCAAGGACCAGCAAGACGTGTACATTCGACTGGCTTCGCACCCTTCCTCTCCAGGGCTTACCGAAAGGCGTGAAGAGGAAGTTGGAATCAACTGGTTTACCTGAAGGCGTCACTATTCCGACAGGGACATCAGAGACCAGACTTCAAACTCCATATTCCAATGGCTATCCATCATTTGCAGATTCCATTAATTATCCGCAACTCGCACCATCCACTCACGCCTTCCAAAACGCTGGACGAAATGGGGTCCCCGAGTCCTACGTTTCTACGTATGTCAGAAGCGGCGCTTTCGCGAAAGGCTCATCGGAGTCTGAAATGTGTTATCACGGAGACAGGAATGGCAGCCAAACTGCACCTTCTATTGCCTCAGTGCCCAATGGCGCGCCAGCCTCTGTCCGGACTGTCGCCGGCGACGCCGCCCTTCCGAATCATTCGACCTCTGGAGAAGGCACAGGCCACGATCAATGGAATGGCATGGGGCCCGTCCGTCGGAACTCGTCTTCTACTTCACCAGTCTCCAGTTCCAATGATTCCAGCAATGCAGCCTCCAAGACCGAGTCGTCTCCAAGTTTGACGTCAGTTACTTCCGAGACCAGCTGCGAAGATGAAGCCCCCAACCCTGATTCCGCGCCAGCACGCATCAAACGTGCAAAAAACCCACACCCCTATCTCTACTCGGCCTCAACTGATCGAGGGTCACCCGAAAGCACGCGATCAAAGGCACCATCACACAGTTCGGCCCTTTCGACGAATGGTGGACGGCAAAGCACGGCTCCCCTTTCCACTCGTCAGCTTCATTTTGCCGACGCAGCAATGAAGGCAATGATTGCAAGTGGCCTTTTACGCATCTACCACGATAGCTTTGAGAACTCCTTATCATGTTGGGTAACGGAGAACAATTGTCCGTACGAGATCGAGCTTAGAGACCTCATCCCGCACGCAAGTCCTACTTCGACAGCAGAAGAAGCTGCACTTCGTTTGAGCGACAATCGAATCTTCTCGCGCGTCTCCCGCTTAGATTCGGCATTCTCCCTCCTAAGGGGACGCGACTTGTCCGCCGTGGAGAACCGTGCCGCCAACAAGGCACTTAATGCCGCAATCATGGCATTTGCTAGCCAGTGGTCACATAGCTCCCACAACTCCTTCTGGAAAAGCAAGGAAGGCATGTCGCGAATGAAGGCATGCCAAACTAACACGGCGGGCTTGTTTTCGCGATCAGGCGAGCCGATACTGTCTAGCGAATGTGAACGAATCATCCAAAAGACGCTCTGGCATGAGGCGAAGATGGCTATTCAGTCCAGCGCTGAGATCGACTCCTTTAAGGTGATTCTTGCGTACATGATTTTTGCCCTAACGCAGAGACCGATCGATGGGAAAAGCAAGCCGACCACAGAGAGGCAGACTTCGCCGGCAGACTCTTCTACGAACGGTCGCCGAGGCTCTGACAACTCATCCGTTTACGAACCTTCTACGCAATGCGCAGACCCTGCCATGGACAGCATCGTCAATGAAGAGTGGAACCCCTTTTACGCGAGCGATCTCGAAGCATTGGCGTCCCCACCCATCTATCTCGAGACGGCAGTTCGAAACTTGTTCTCATGGAGGCGCAAGATTGAGCGCTACCGCAAGTTGCGATCGAAAGCGAGCGGTGACTACGGCCATGGCTCTATGGGAGTTCTTGCCCTCAAGGATCACCAGACGTTCAACCTTCTGTTCTGGCTGGGCATCATGTGCGATACAACTTCGTCAGCTATCACCAAGCGTCCGCTGGTCATTCCGGACGAAGATTGCGCCATGATCCGAGAAGACCTGGGTGATTTCGACGCCGTCCCCCCTAATAATGACGAGCAGCATTCGTCCTTCTCTGAAACACATGACCGCGACAAGCGCTCTCTGTGGGGAGAGTACCTATTAAGCTTCAAGTCGGCGGGGCCTCGAAACACGCAGCCCCGGTGGCCCTGTAAGCTTGAGGAGGCTGCCCTGGTGCTTCAGGAAGCCATCCCGGTCAAAGTTCTCATGTTTCGCAAAGTGGCACAACTACAAACCCTAGCGTTCCGCAGGACGCCTCCACAGGAGCTCGAAAAGTGCATTCAAGAGGCACTCAAGGTCTACGAACAGTGGAATACAACATACGGCCTGTTCATGAACGACTGCGTCAGCCAACACAACTTCCTCGAGCCGGTCGTGCAATCATGGTACGTCATTCTGGATGGTCACTGGCACTACGGTTGCTTGCTGCTGGCAGATACGATATCTCAAATTGACCGCGAAGAGAAGACAATGGAGCCTCAACGGACGCTGCGAACAACCTGCCACCTGATCAAGGAGCTACGGCACAACAACGCTTGCGCCATCGCCAAAATTGCACAGGCATCCCTATCTGAACACAAACCGTCTGTGCCTGATAACTCGGAGTTCCACTTCGCCTGCAACGGCAGCGCCATCCTCACCGAGCCTTGGACAGATATCCTTGTCCGGGCTATGGGAAGTGCTTGTCAAGTCTTCATCGCCTGGCTATCGAGCTGGGACAATCCTGTGGATCCCAATCACGAATGGGTCCACGCGCGCACAGAGTACCAGGATCTGTACAACCAGGCAGAGGCTTGTGTCCAAGGAATGACGCTGCTAGGTCGGAAATCTGACGCAGCGAATTATACGGCGGAAATGTTCTGGGCAAAATTGAACCAGGTGTGCTCGAGCCGGCAGTCTTCGGCAGAACTGTTTCAGGATTCATGACAAAAAAGCCGTCCTTTCCAACCACCCAGCCCAAGGCAGAATGGGAATTGGTGAATTCACAAGCCCTCACGACAGTGGCGTCTGAAGACCGGATGCCACGTTCGATGTCCTGCCCATTAGGTTGTACGTGTACCTGGCGAAAACGAACCTCAAGGGAGGAATTGAATATGGGCAGGGTCGGACCAAGGCCAAAGGGCCGGTACTGAAGTCAACCTAGCAACGAGTAACTCGTGCCGCAGCTCCTGCAACATTCTTACCAGAGCATGGCAAGGCAGGTTAACGAGTCTTGGGCAAGAGGAAAGGTGAAAAGAAAACACGAGACACCAAGAGACAGAAAACATTCAGTTTTCCTGTATCTTCGTTGTCGGCGTTGAGTTTCTTGCATATTTATTTCGACACCATAAGTTGGATGACACTGGAAACGCCGATTACTCAGAGATCTTGGGTCGGTCACAGCAGTCCGGGCCAAGGCAGGTCTGATCGAATCCCAGGCAGCAGAAGGATACCCCTGTAAGAAGTAAGGATGAATGCAAACTGTGGTGCCATGGTGAGGTCTAGCAAAGGCTGGCAAGACAAAGGGATACTGCTGCTGCACCACTACGTTCTTCAAGAGGAGGGTATGGGGTGTCGGCACGATGGCCGACAAGAGGTAGGTAAGCAGAGAAAGCAAGCCAGCAAGCGGCGTGGCACAGATCTGCATGAAGCGCTTAATCAATATTGAAGAGCGCGGTCAAAAAGGAGGGAATGCGAGGGAGGCTACTGGAAAGAAACGGAGGACAAAGGAAATGGGCAAAAGAGCGAGGGACAACAAGGGACGCGGTGGAAAAGTTTGGATACCCGGAGATGAATGGCCCTATGTAAGCGAGCGAGGGCTGTCTCCAAGTCATGCCACGATACGATGAACATATTCTGTAGTTGGTTGCTTTTATATCTTCTCGGATCTCAGGCAGTTAGTTATTTTTGACGGCTGTCTTTTTTTGCTCTGGTTTCGGTGGTGATGGTGATGGTGATGGTGATGGTTGTGGATGAAGCGAGCAGCGGCTCGCAGTGATGGCATGGCAGTGTAGGAGGTACCGACTTCTTTTGCTACGACCACGGTACACATCGTACAAAGTACAGAGAAATACTCGGTACCTGGGCAAAGTTGTATCTCACGCACCATCATATATGCCAACATCAACACCAAAACTTATAACTCTGCCTCTATCACTCTCTCATGCGGGGCCCCTTGTCCCCACAACCGTGGGATATCGTAGGATCCGTACCTCATACACTACCTCATACATCCAACACACCCCCTCCCCTCACGTCACAGCTTCTATCGTTCATATCTCATTTCAACCACTTCGCATAAGCCCACTCGATCCTCCTCACGACCTGAATTTGCCGACTGACGCCCTGCTTGACATCGAGCAAATCGTCCAGGTCCTCGAGGAATTCTCTCCACACGGCTCTAGGAAGGACTTGGGCGGCGCGTTGACGCAAGAGGTGCGTCTCGCAGAGCAGGAAGCCGTGGTTTTCTTCGGAGATTATACCACTGTCCATGTCGACGTCCGGTGAGGGAGAGGAAGAGGTCAATGTGCGGTCGATGTTCCTATGGCAGAATCGAGAGTCAGAGACGACGCGTTTGGCGTGATTGGAGATAGAGAGGGCATGTGTGCAATTGGGGGACGTACCTGATCAGACGAATCGTTTCGCCCTTTTTCATGCCTTGCCTTAGACCTTTGCGGCCGCCGAGGACAGTTGTCAACCACTGCAACAGAAAATAGGAGATGAGCACTCCCGGGGCAATGCCGACAAAGCCAAACAACAGCTCCTGACTCTTGAGGATGGAATCTATTCCACCGATCGCGACCTCGACGTCGACTTTGGTCTTCTGGACTTGAATGAGTAACGTGCGCACGAGATCGCCCATAATGGCGTTCTTGATGGGACTTTGCATCTCTCTTTCATACGCCCTGAGGACCGGCGTGAGGTCTCCTTCCTTCACTTTCGCCCTGAGTTCCGCGATCTGTGCCTCTGTGAAATTGGCCCCCTTCTCATCTGGATGCTGAATGGCAAAGTCAACCACCATACGTTCCAGACTTTCCCTGTCCGCTCGGAGGCTGTCGCGGCTTTGGATCGCTATTTCGCTTTGCTCGTCGTGGCGGATCGTGCCGATGAGTTTCTTCGTCGGCTCGATGACCCAGTTTGTCCAGAAGTCGATGCTCGTTTGGCCCAGGTCCCGGAACCACTGGGCGATTTCGGCTTTCCTGTTGACAAGGATCCGAAGCAGGGTACTTCCTGAAAGCAGCAAACCCACAGCAGGAATCCAGTAGCGGACCAATCTCGACGGTTTGCCGTACTGTCGTCGCAAGTCGTAGGCCTCTTTTTCTTGTTTCGGAAGGCGCTCATCGAGAATTTTGACCAGCAGATTCGCAACTTCTGTCGACGAGGCTGTTTGTGGGTCAAAATTGAACTCTTCCACATCGTCTTGACTCCTCGAGGCACTATCGAGCAGATACGCCGCTCGAGCTATCGTGGTCTGCCAGTCATCTTCCTCGGCTTCCAGCACTTGGAGTAAAGCGCCATGCCTCCGATCTTCCGGAGATCCACCAAAGACAAGACATTCTCTAACAAGTCTGCCAATTGTTCCGGCACTCGACTTTCGGAGATGTTGTATGCGCTCGAGATTCCGCCGTGCTTGCATACGGGCTATGGAAAACGGTGACAGGATCTTTGTTTGCGCTTGGGCCAGGGAGCGCTCTCGGATGCTGTTTTGAACCAGGCCATAGAATTCACGCCAACCCTCGGTCACGGTTCTTGTAGCTTGTCTTGCGGAGGTTGTGAGGTCATGGCCTTGCACAAATTTCCGTCGTGCATCCGCATAAACCTCTTTCGCCTGCTCCCAGAACCTGATCGGCGACGTTTGAATTGTGTAGAGGAGGATATTTCCATAAGACCCCAAGATATCGTCCCAGTACCAGATGGACTCGCCCAAGGGTATTGTCCGATCTAGAAGAGAATTAAGGATCAGCCCGTAGACTTGAGCTGTTGCCTTCCCTGTCGCAATCCACTCCAGATTTGAAATGTCTGGTGAAGTTGTCTCAGCGACCGCCTGCTCCCCCTCTTTTCTCCCAAGTTGACGTAGCAGGCTGCGCAATCTAGACCGACGTAGAAGGGGCCTCGAGCTTGAAGTTGTCGACAACGCTCGGACTACTGCTTTGAGTTCGGCAGTTCGAGCATCCTCAACAGGCGGAGCTACTCTTTCTCCTTCGGTTGTCGCGGCCGACACCCTTTCCTCCGCCTCCTTCAGTTGGAACCTGTCTAGGGCAGCGTCGACTCGGCGCAGGTCACTAGTGAGGAGTTAGATAGGTTTTCTCGGCAAGGTGTCAGGAGAGAGCTCACTCGTCAATGAACGACATGTTTGCAAGCAGATACCAACCTAATCTTCGTCTAGGATCACAATGGCGATGGCATAATCAGTCTGAACAGATTCCGAACCCCGCTGCAATCATTTTGAGCGCTCCATCTAGCAGTCTGGTGTCTTGGTAGATAGTCTTCGGCAGGATGATGAGGTATTCTTTCGAAGATTGGAGATTGCCTTTGAATGGAAAGAAACAGGGAGGCCACAAACCATGGAGCTGGGTGTGTTCCATCCCAGGCAATCAACTGATGGCGCGAAAGCCAAAGGTCAAGTGTTGCTTGAAATGACGTCACGTCAAAAACATGCTGCCGTCTTCGTTGTATGGACAAGGCTGAAGCCTGAGGGCTTGCCGGCAGCCTTGCCATCCTTTCCCTCCTACCTACCTAGAGAGTAGGTAGATATTCACCTTTGGGCATGGCTGACCAACCATGGCAACACTTGAGACCTTTGGGCTTATAGCAAGGCTCCAATTTTGAAGCGCACGAGAATATGAATTTCTTATGAATATCTATGCCTTTGGTAAATTCAGGCTGCATTAGCTGACGGAATGTGGTGTGTGTGCATTTCCACGTCTCATTCTGTGAAAATGGTGTATGGGACGGCTGTCCCCTATTAGATTGGGTGCTGAAGGGGGGGTTTGGTAGGGGCCTTTGGGAGCCTATTAAGGCTTTGGGGGGCATCCGACACTCTCCCAGCTGGAGCCACGAGTTACAGTAGTGGCCTTTGCGTCGAGCTGCTTGCCCCGGGCGCTAACCGGGCTATCGAGTAGGCGGCCTCTTTTCCTCGCTTCCAACCGTTGCACCCCAAGCCCACCCATTGCATCTCGGGCACCACGGGAGGACCTTCTGACATCTCGCCGGCCTTGTAAACTGCCTGCGCTGCTCCTCCCACGAGGCATTCTGCCTTCTGACTTCCAACCTCCATCATCCGAATCCGAGCCACAATCCGAGCGACATCATCTGTCGCATCTTTCCGCTTCCCGCCTATTCCTCCTCACTCTTGACAGGCTACATCTTCGACCTAGAGCTGCCTGACTCCCGATATTCTGGTTTGTGTTTCACGGTCATTATTCCAACTTGCCTTCCTTCTCAATCGCTTGCTCGACGCCGCCGACCTGGGATAGGCGCGCTGAGTTTCAGCGGGACACCTGGCGAAACGAATCCGCCACCTCCAAAGGCGACTGACTGATCTGTCGTGGTCATATACGGGAGTGTCACTTAGTCAACTCTTCATCCCCTTATTCAATCCTCAACGCATTCGCAATGGCGGGCCAACGGAATTACGACTTTCTAGTACGTCCCAAAAGCCTCGTTGACTGGGTGTTTGGCCCGATCCGTCACCGCTCTATATCTCTCCGTGCTAACCGATACCTTCAGATAAAACTCCTCCTGATCGGCGACTCTGGCGTCGGCAAATCATGCTGTCTACTACGGTTCAGCGAAGACAGCTTCACTCCTAGCTTCATCACAACCATCGGCATAGACTTCAAGATCCGGACTATTGATTTGGACGGCAAGAGGGTGAAACTTCAAATATGGGACACAGCAGGTCAAGAGCGCTTCAGGACAATCACCACCGCATACTATCGAGGCGCAATGGGTATTCTGTTGGTGTACGATGTGACAGATGAAAAGAGCTTCAACAGTATGTTGCAACCCATACACCATGATTTCGTATCGCATATTCTAACCTGTCATTGCAACCAGACATAAGGACGTGGTTTTCCAATGTCGAACAACACGCCAGCGAAGGTGTCAACAAAATCCTCATCGGCAACAAGTGTGATTGGGAGGAGAAACGTGCTGTCTCCACGGAACAAGGCCAAGCGCTCGCGGACGAATTGGGTATCCCCTTCCTAGAGGTCAGCGCCAAATCGAACATCAACATCGAAAAGGCCTTTTACTCGTTAGCCTCAGACATCAAGAAGCGATTGATTGACAGCTCGAAAGACGCGGGTGGGCCTGCAGTTGGTGGCCAAGGTGTTGGCTCAGGCGTTAACGTCGCCCAGAATCAGAATGGGGGTATGGGCGGAAAATGTTGTTAATGGAAATAGTGAAAGAGAGAGTACATCAAAAGGATGTCCATTCGAACAAGGGCCTGAGACGATGTGGAAAACGAGTCAGTCTGGAGGCTAAGGTTCGGGGAGCACCACCTTTGAACGCACGGCTGAAGGTATCCGGCACCGTCCTCCGACTGACAAATTCAATCTTCTCATGACTATCTATCTCTCACCAAGCGACGATCCCCCTGGTCTCACCAACATCCCGGTTCCCTGGCCTACTGCGCGCCCACTTCTGTGCATATATGAGCGGAGCCGCGATTGTCAGGACATTCGAGCCAATTCTTCCTTGGAGACATTCACATTCAATCGGTGCTTTCGTTGTCCTTGCTGAGCGCTACCCATGCCATGTGTTCCAGCTCACCATAGGACGGATACAGCCTACTGCGGCGTTTGGAAAGGTCTATTGGGACTGAGGGAAAAGGAGTTTTTATGCAGGAATCGGGACGGAACCTCTTTATACAGTCCTTGGCTCATTGCAGAACCGTAGAGCTGTGCCATGCAAATGAGACTTCGCTTTTGGTTCTCCAGGAACAGATGCTGATTTGGTGTTGGATTGCCCTCGTATATTCTTCCTTTCTCATGACTTAACCGGAAGAACATATTGAGAAGATGGGACAAAAATAGGAGAAAAGTCCAAGGAATAATATTTCAATACTCCATGTTATGCTCTTTGAAATGTGGGCATGCCCCGCCATGAAGACTCATTCATCATCAGCCGATTCGAGATCGGTCCATCCATCCTTGTATTCATGTCCGTCGTCTTTGCCGCGTCCAAGCCACCGATCGGTACGTAGTGGGAGAGTCGGCGGCGGTACCGAACGCAACATCTCTCGCCTCGCCTCGCCATTCATTCATTAGTTTTTCCTTTCCCACAGCTTCAATATCCCACACTGACGAGATAAGCGGCGAGTTTTTCGACCGTGTTGGCCGCCGTGCCAGGCTGTATTGTCTCCGGATAGTGTGTGATGAGTAAAGCCTGTTTCGTCTTGACAATGACGACGCCTTCTCGACCCTGTGTATATCGCCGAATCAGAACAATTAGCCCATGTTCAAACCCCCTAGGTTTTTGACCCTCCTCCTACTCCATCACTGACAGTATTCCTCCAGTTGGCGTGGGGTGAGATGGGAAATTCAGAAACCCACCTTCTTCCCATACAGACTTGTCTCGTCCGCCTTGATGACAATGTACTTCTGGCCTGCAATGTGTAACCCCGTAGACTGCACCTTCTTGGGCACCGAGGTATCCTTGTACGCGCCAACAACCTCTTGCATTTCTTGCGGGCTCACGTTGAAGTTCGGCGACGAGGCCCATACGGAGTTGCCATCGGCGTTGAAGATTGCGGCCTTGTCAACGTGGCCGGTGCCGACGAGACTGTGAATTCAGATAAAACGAGTGTCAGTTGAAGTCCATCACAGAGCCCATGTGGATTGAGCACAAAATTGAGGGCGCCTGCGGGTTGCCGGGATGTGAATATACCTCGAATCGACGTAGGCTGCGATGTTGATTTTCGGGTCAGCAAGTCCACTTCTGTGTACTGAGATACGGCACAGCCCCTTCAATGCAGCTCACCTTGCCAAGACATTGCTGTGGAATGGTGTAGTGATAGAAAGGGAGCAGACAGGGGAGAAGCGGAAGATATGCGTCGCTGGAGAAATCAATCAGGATTGCGTTGATTGCAAGTTCGGAACAGGGGCCCGATCCGATGATCGCGTGGCAGAGGGAGATCCAATATAGGACGAGGACTTGGAATGGGATAAATCGACCTGCGGAGGATGAGGGCAAGGAGGCTGTAGTGCAATGAATAAGGACCAAGGTAAGTAGGAGAAGGACGATGTCGTGAGCCAGTCAACAAAGTGACTGTGATAGTGGTTGGTGGGGGTTGGATCATAATTTCAAATGACAGAGATTCTCGCTGTCTGACAACGCTCAGCTGCCCCGCCATGTGCCACGCCGCAGGCACGAGAATCCGGTCGCTTGTTGCGTTGTTCGTTCACTCCTCCGACCGGACAGCATTTGATCCATCCTCCCACGAAGACAACATCACCGGACGCTCTGGTGCCACATGTGGATACTACGCCCCTGAAACCAAATGTGCGGTGAAGGCAAGTCTGAAAAGTAGCGGCAATAGACACATCAAACCTGCGTCTTTTTCTCGCCCCGTCCTCAGCTGCCGCTCTGCCATCTCCGCCAGTATCTCGTAATGCCAAACCAGAGGAAATCAGCCACCAAGGATGACAACATCTTGCAGCGAACGTCCCGAGGCTTGGATGAACACGTCAAAGACATCAAAGATGTCGAAAAGAATTCAGTCGTCTCGGGCTGATATAACCGCAGTGCAGACCCCTTAGGTACCGAGTACAGCTTTGGACATTTCCACCTTCAGCCCGTGGCCCAGTCGATCTTCGGCTTCCATGGGTCATTCGAGGAAGTCTGCAAGACCGGCACAAGCTGCAACTAGAGTCATTTGTTCCATGTACCCTTTGAAGCATGGAAAGCTTGCCTTCTAACCTGAGTTCTGCAGTCAGGCTGAACCGACACATGTTGGGAACGTATGCCTGGAGCACTACATTCAGCAGACAATTTTGTTTCCCTGATATAAGCGATATAACGCTCATTGAGGGCCAGACAAAATCAATGATCAACGTCCGACAGATTCTATGTTGTCATCCACGAGTGATTGGAGAAGAGCAGAGCGAGCCAGGAACTTTTTCCTTTTATGCAGACTCGATACCGCAGAGATCCTGGCCCAACTAGCCTCACCGGGCCGTTCCTTCCAGGCCTACCCAAGCTTTTCCCGGACCGTGCGAGCGTGGTTCAAATTCGTTGCAAAATCTACGCAATGTCGTATTTCTCATGTGCCATGATGGATTTGCTGGGTCTATTGATTTTGCATGATTCCTTCTAGCACTATCTATGTATAACTGAACAGCGTTCTAAGAGCAAGACACGACACACATTTGGAACACTCGGTTACGACTCTGGACCACCTCAATTCGATCATCGGACGATTTACTTCACTGCTCTCTGCTTCGACAGTAATCACTCCTTGAATACCTTTGGCAACCCCGTGGTCTAAGGCTGTCTTCCCTCTTTGCTTAGGTAGTTAGCATCCACCGCGACCCCATCACCGAAGAGTCTCCACATGACCTCGTGCATCAGAAGCTTCGTCCCGAGTTATGCAAACGTGAATGGCCCGGTTCGCGTGTATATCATGGCGGCAGTGAACAGACCGATATACTGGATTCAGTGCCCTGGACCGGAGCGGAGTCGGGAAGAGCTCATTCCAAGACACGTCCGGGGTAGGATGCATGTCTCCGCTGTAGAAGACGACAACGAACAAGCGGAACAATCCGAAACCGTTCTCAACCTGGTGCATTGTGCCCGCGAATGCCGCGAACACGGCATTGAAGCAGATCAATGAATAATCGCGACCAATCAGCACGATGAGCGTGTTCCTGATCCGGCAAGTCGATCAGCCACATCCTGAGAAGAGTCCATTCTTAACCCCGGCGATTTGATGTCGTCGAGGCCAATGTTGAAGCATTGGAAGGGCGTCGGCGTTACGAGGCCCATGATGGCACTGCTCAATCCATAGCTGAAGCCGCCTAGCGCGACCAGGAGACTATGAGACTGCCAGAACGGACATATCGCCGGTCAATGCGAGAGTCTTTATCATATTCTCGCAAGTTGGAGACTAGATCCGGTGGGGTTGCCTGTCGATACTTCGGACCCGGCGAGGGAGCTCAGGGGACCCGGCTTCCCCAATTCCTCCAAGAGTCAAGGAGCTATGCAGGTGGTCATCTGTTATCAAATCGCCCGTCCTTTCCAAGCACTGACTCGCGTACTATTTGCAGGTAGATGGAGCTTACGGGAAAAGAATCGCAGTATTCGTCTCGGCCTCCAACTTTCGCTAGCCTCGTCGTGACGTGCAGCCAATCGGAATTCCCCAAACCCATCTTCTCCGCATGGACATCAGCCTCGGGCACTCGGGACGTACAATACATGGAGAGCTGATACCCCTCAGCGCTGCGAAGTCTTTGAGAACCCAACACCGACATCGCAAAGCTTCTCGGCACAGGAAACTTAGAGCAATGGGATCATCATCCCCAAAATTTTGGAGATCTTCCGATCTTATGACTTTGGAGATTGATATTTGGCGACGCTTCTCAAGGAACCACTATTAGCCCCCTTTACCGGTCGACTAAACTATCTAGCTAGTCATGGGAAGCATTCAAAACATGTCGCAGAAATTGAAGGACAAGGTGGCCATTATAACAGGCGGGGGCCATGGCTTTGGAGAGGCCATGGCAAGGCGCTTTGCGGCAGAGGGTGCTAGAGTGGTAATCGCCGACATCAATCCCAAGACCGGATCCAAAGTCGCGCTCGAGATCAACGAGACGCATGGTGAGAAAACAGCGCTGTTCCAGGAGGCAAATGTCACCAGTCAGGCTTCATGGACCAAGATGCTGGAAGCCACACTGAAGGAATTTGGTAAGGTTGATATCGTGGTGAACAATGCGGGCACGACGTATCCCAAAAAAGCCTCGCACACTGTCACCGAGGAGGAGTACGACAAGGTCATCGGTGTCAATATGAAGTCTATATTCCTCAGTGTGGCCGTGGTGGTGCCGTATTTTATGGAAAAGAAGGCAGGCACCATCCTGAACATCAGCTCGGTCGGAGGTATCCGTGTCAAGAACGGACTGGTGAGCACCTCGTCAAACATGCTCTCGGGGTCTGGATCCTGACAATGGCCGCAGGTATGGTACGGTGGAACCAAAGCATTTGTCAACAAGGTAACTTCCCACCTAGAGTGCCGTGCATTACTTGCTAATTCCTGGTCAGATCACAGAGGGGCTTGCCTCAGAATACGGCCATGCTGGGGTCCGAGTCAATGCTGTCTGTCCAATCTTGGCATATACCGACCTGTAAGCTAAGTCCTGGGATAGCCCCCTAGTCGAACAAAATGAAGTGACTGAATTATTACACACAGAGCGGAATCCTTCATGGGAGTCGAGGATACACCAGAAAATCGGGCTAAATTCGAGGCCTCGTTCCCCCGAGGTGAAGCTTTGAAGCAGAACAGTTCGATGGGTTATGTCGCCAACGCTGCGCTATACCTTTGCTCCGACGACGCGGCATTCGTAAGCGGAGTATGTCTGCCTGTCGACGGAGCCGCAACTGTATTTGCCGCTGGAGGTATGTGTGCAAAAGTCTTTGGGCATTTCAGGTAACTAACATCCAACCAACAGTTGGCAAATAGTCGCAATCCCGTTCGCACTTGGGGAGGAAGTGGGTTATGTGACTGTGTCAGCTTCTTTGACTGCAGTGAGATATAGTGCTTTGTCGAAGCCTTGATAAAACACCTAGCGGCCAAGGATGGGAAGTTGAGGACCGACGTGATCCAGACCTGAAAGTTTGGAAAGGAAGGTCTTCAGGAGAATGACCATATGATGCATCCCAGGGTTGGTGTGTAGTTAGCAAACTAATGGGCAACTCCGTGGCATTCAAACCTTTTCCCAGTGTCTCACCAACTTTACATTCATACACTACTATATGCCAGCCTCGACGCTTCTTCTAAGGTGCTTGCATTGTCCACGACTGATACCGAGCTCATTGCAATATATCCTCAATGCTTTGTGCACATTGGAGGCGCGAAGACCATGTGATGGGAGAGTTCGACTGCGGATCAAAATCACGGCGGACGGAAACCCTGGTCGCTCGCTGTGAAGTCAATGAGACAGCGAGAACAAGGCGCAATCCTGGTCACTCTGGCTTCATAAATAAAAGCAAAGTTACTGTTGCACGTCCAGCTCCTGTGATTAGATTTGTGCTCTGATGTCGACCACTGCTGACATTGTGTGCATCCCCAAAGGGGTTACTTTTTCAGTGCAATACACAGGGAGTCGACAACCAAGTTCTGCGCATATATCATATCAGCCTTATGTGCCATGGAAACACATTCCTTGTCTTTGATGAGCGAGCTGGATAGCGAAGTGAGATAGTAAGCGTGTCCGCAGGATTCATCCACACTGCCCACATTTCATGGCTAACTGCCAAAAAGTATGGCCCTGATACAACTCCATCCATGTGCGCGAGGATTTACGCATCTCAACAATAGGCCGAGAAGGTGATTGGAGTCACCTTTTGAGTTCACGAAGGCTGACCCTACCCTATATCCATTTCTGGAGATTTGCAAGGATTACCGTAATCACTTCATGGGATTCAAACGTGAGGACACTGGTCAAGAAGAGCTAGCAGCAGTCGCTAGCCGACTTTCAGCTTCGCAGCGCAAGGTGAGAGATGTCAGCTCTTCTGATAGAAGATCCAAGCATTCGGAGATCATCCTTTCGCGTTTCCACAGGTTCGGACGTTGGGATAACACGTTTTCGAAGTGTCAAAGGTGTCTTCCATGGTTGATACCAAGGCGCTAATGGAGGACAATAGCCAAAACCGGATTAATGTACTATCAAAAGGCCACTAACGTATCCTGCTGACATCCAGGGGCCACTGCCTCCACATGTTGGAGCATTGCTGCCTCGTCCGGGAAAACTGTGCATAAAGTCAAGCAACTTCTTCCGTGGGATCGACCTGGATTGCTGACCTTTCCAACTGAAACCCTGTTTCCCATTAGCCTCTCGCCATGCTGCTTTTGGGTCGTGGCGCCTCAGGAAGAGCATCATGTTGGCAAGGCGGGCGGTGGAAGACCAATAGCAAGATCTCGGACATGGGACCAAATGCGGCCCACCAGCGAAGCTCACTCAAGAGCAGTGTCGAGTTAAGTATCCTGCGGCAGAGCGGGTCTACTGGTTTATTGACATGTTTATCTCCGTCATATGCTTGACACTATTCTCAACAGAGCCTCAAAGACTTCGACAATGCTTTGCAAAGCTCCACCCCGCGCCAGGGTTGCTTCAAGGAACTCCCTGTCCTGATAATCTGGGCCGGTTTCTTGAAGAGTATAAGAATCTTTCCCCTGCTTGACGCACCCTTTTCAACCTGTCCGCCACAATTCCACTGACAGGCTGCTGTGGCATCCTGAATATCAGCTTCCAACCAACATAGCATCCGAGACCACAATATGGGGAAAGTCTGGCTCATTACAGGTGCCTCTCGAGGTCTTGGGAAAGCTCTTGTCGAGTATGCATTATCTCAGGGCGACCTGGTCGTCGCAACTGCGCGGGACAAGGACACGTTAGCTTTCACCGGCAAAGCGGGCGCGGACAAGGTCCTCGTACAGACTCTCGATGTCACGGACTATAATCAGGCCTTGGACGTCGTCAAGGCTGCGCACCTGACCTTTGGACGTATCGACATCCTCGTCAACAACGCAGGCTACGCCGACACTGCCTCGGTGGAGGATACTTCGATCGAGGATTTCCGCAAGCAAGTCGACACCAACCTTATGGGCGTGGTCAACGTGACCAAAGCCGTTCTTCCTATCATGCGTCAACAAGGGTCCGGCTACATCGTCCAGATCTCCTCGGTGGGTGCTCGCCTGGGCAGTCCCGGTCTCGCGGCATATCAGTGCGCCAAGTGGGCCGTGTCGGGTTTCTCAATGGCCCTGCACCAGGAGGTCCAACCGCTGGGCATCAAAGTGACCGCGCTCGAGCCCGGCGGCATCCGGACCGACTGGGCGGGCTCGTCCATGAAGATCCCCCCACCCAGCGAGCCTTACCAGCAGACCGTCGGCGCGTTTGCCAAGTTCATAAGAGAGCACCACGGGGGGGAAAAGTCGCAGCCCGAAAAGTTTGGTCCCATCATCGACAGGCTCTACGAATCACCAGACCCGCCCGTGCGCATGCCCGTCGGCCCCGATGCCGTCGGGATGGCTCCCCAGCTTCTTGACGCCCAGAAGAAATCTGACGAGCAGTGGGCGGAGCTGGGCAAGACATCGGCCGGATGAATTGGCGCGAAAAGGGAGTGGAATGGCCAAAAGGGGAAATTGTCCAACTCGGTCATACAGATCCCGGGATGTGCTACTCGGCTGTTTGTGGATTAATTGTTGTCGGTCTCTCTTCGATCAATTCCCTTGATTACAGTTTGGCAAATTTCTGGGACTGCTTGATATAGGATCTATCAATCTAGTCACCCTCCAGGCTCCAACTAACCATTACCGAGTCCATATAAAACCTCAGTCTTCTGCCACGCTTAATCGCTTTTAAGATTCACGCAAAATGACCCGAGCTCTTGACGCCGCTGGCAAACTTCGTTCAATTGTAACGCCGAATAGAGAACCGTCATGAGGTATCTCAGCATATTTATATACCGCCATCCTAGTCATGCAATTGTCCAAACATTTCAACCGTCTTTCATCTCTAGATAGCATACTTCATATGCGCCGTCTTCCTTCAAGCATCCTGATGGGAGCTCAGACAATGATACCTTCCTGGTACACGCGGGATAGGTATCTGGATTGAACCAAGCAAGCCCCGACCCGCCGGTACCGGTCATTGCTAGCATCATAAGAGAGCAAAATACAGCAGTACTTCCAAGGCTCGTCTCGGAGTCTACCCACGACAGCGCAATACTGCGGCGGTGTGTCAGTCCATGAATCCAGCCACAATTCACCGTGTTCCCGTCCATCGCTGCCGCCATCTTCAGCAAGGTCCAGCTCTCTGATATGGGCGTGCAATTGCCGTTCGACGCCAAACCGAAGAATGTCGGTCGTTGGGACCTCGATACTACCATCCGGGAAGAACTTGATATGATTGTGTGTCAACCAGGACCAGGAAGGAAATTGATCGGTCGTGGCGTCGTGTTTCTCGGTCACTCGCCACAGAAGAAGGCGGGCGAGAAATATTGTGAAAGTCCCATATTCGTAGTCGGAGGATAGGACTTTCTTGATTCGCTCCAGCAGGCCCAGAATGGCAATTTGTCTGTCAGATTCGTTCGTAAGCCCAGCGGACGCGTACTGGCTGAAGAGAGTCTGGATGAACTCGACTATACGATAATAACCGGCGCGAGTGAGATGTTTGGGGAAAACAGGATCCAGAAGGAAGTATTCCTTTCGATTTGGACTAGAATTTTTTTTGGCACGAGTCAATAACAAACTCATGATTTTTAAGTACCCGATAAATCAAAGGCTTACCTGTCCAAAGTTGTGAAGTCCTCACATCTAATGTTGCGGCCGCAGGCAAAGTAGGCGTGGTTCTCTGTGAAATGAAGGGTTCGGCAAGACAAAGTCCGTTCCTGCAATACCCATGCTCTTTTATTGAGATTGCTTTGATTGACATCCCTTTCAAAGTCATGCTTGGTAGTGCAAGCATACATCTTGCGGCCGAATTTCCCCTTTACTGGGAAATGAGAAGAGCTTTGCCGCAAGAAGCCTTGTGTCCAATCGGTAGCAGAGTTCGCCGCAATGGTGCAGTAAGCCGAACTGAAGACTTCTTCCATTCGTTTTGATTCAATATCCCAGTCAGGATCGCCGCATTGGATGATGCATACGGCGTCAATCCAAAGATACCTCTTTCCGATCGCTCGCGTAACTTGAACGGCATCTTGGAATGTCTTCGGTAGGTCGCTCATGCCGAAACCCTTCAGCCGATTCTCGAGGTTGTCCCTGGTTGTACAGAACTTCTTCTTTTCCTCGTCCCTGGGGCCGCCCCAACAATGAGAGAGCGCGACATATGTATCGCGATGGTGCTGAGATAGGCTCTCATCCACCAGCTTCAATTCAGATCCGTCTGTATTGCCGACGTCAATGACCCTTGTCGGCCAAAACTGCATTTCAGACTTGCATTCCTGGTGATGACGGTCGCAATCGCGGAGCCATTGGCGTAGTATCTCGAAAAGCAGACCCGACACATGCAAACCGCCCTTCCTTGTCTTTCTCCAAAGAAGCATGGAAAAGTAAGTATCGCGACTTTTTAACCAGCTGTCCCTATCATCATCCCACCTGTTATCCTCCCAATCATCCTTCGCCCCCCTCTCCCCCTCCGAATTCCAATGCTCTAGACCCAGCTCATTCAGATTATTTCTATTCTTATCAAACGAATTCAAGAATTCACTGTATTCAGACTGCCAGTGTGTAGGGTCTGGCTCGAAGAACTCCATCTGGACCGAATTATGCCTGATGATAAAAGCTTTCTACCTTGAGAAAAAGCCTTGGCCAAAGTTGGTCGAAAGGCTTGCTGTTGCTGAAAGATTCCAGACAGTGAGGCTGCTTCGTAACAGAAAGACAGAGAATGCGGGTATCTGACGACGCGAAGACCCAGGGACGGTGATGAATAACGGCTCAGACAGGCTGGGATAACTTTAGGCAGTCAAGCAGTCAGCCTTGCCTGTGTCTGGAGGTTGCCCTGTGAGGGTGCCGAGGCTAGAGTCGGCATGTCCTAAGCTGAGGGTATGTGATAAAACTGAGAGACGGCAGCTATCAGGCAATCCATGGCGACAGTTGATGACCGTGGTCCCTGGATCTGTTGAGGAGGAGAGAAAAGGAAGGTCTCTACTGACCGAGACATAGCGCCTCCGGAATACGAGCATCAGAGAGCTTGGCAGACTCTGATAGGCTCCGTATATCTGTCCTCATGACCTCCTGTACATAAATGTGCGAATTGCACGGAGAGCTGTTGAGTCGTCTCCGTCTTTGTTGTCGTCGATGAAGTTAAGAAAAAAGGGTCAGGTTCCTCGGTATTTAAAGTTGAGATCCAGTGCAAAGACATCTCTGGGTCTGCGGGATACGGATGACGGATAGAACCGACGGTGTGGTGAGACTGTCCCACGGGAAAGGCAGCTACAGGGCAAATTTATTGTTTATGACTATGTGCGTGAGGCATTTCCAGCATAATATCTGTGTCTCTCAATTGGGAAACAAATGTGCCAATCCTGTCCGAAAGAGGATGGATACCTACCTAGGTAGGTATTTTTCTCATTATCTAGTTAATTTCAGGGCCCCAAAGACTCTCATTTCGGATTCCCATTGAACAACAGGATCTCGGAACATCGTTCTTGCTTGCCGACGATTCATAGGTCCCTCTTATACTACCCAAGGAGCCGAATCCTCCGCTCCTGCTCTGTACTCGGCTCGTCGGTTCTCTGTGTATTAGTCCCTCCATTCCGGACTCTGTACGCTGACATCAACTCATCCAAGACTTTTAGCATGAGGTTCCCTCGGAATCCCTCCGTCCAGATGGCGGCGCGGATGCTTCTCTCACCCACCAAACTAGCCTGAAAGAGCCAACGTCTAGCAACCTCGTCGGGCGGTGGAGATGTGAACACTCAGCAGAGCTAAACTGCAATAATATTTCGTATTTCGCACCGCTCATCCAAATACCCTGGATTTATGCTAATCGATGCATGACATTCCAGCAGTTTTGGGGTGTTCCATGCCAAGCAGATCAGGCCCTTCACTTACAACGTCCAACACTCGAAAGTCGACAAAGACAAGAGTTCTGCTTCCAGTACCGGCAGCATCACTATTGGCTTGGGGATTTCTTGGGTCCGAGCTTGAAAACGACGCCGTTGTGGCTGACGTCGCATCGCCCAATTGGCTCGCTAATCCCCAGAATTTTGTTGCCTAACGAGCACCGCTTTTATATATTGGAAGAGTCAGGACATGCTTGCGATAGGGTCTGGCTCGGTTATCTGTCACCGCTAGATGTTGATCTACTGCACTCCACTGTATCGGTGACAATGGTCTATCACGGCCCTAGCACTGGCTGCAGGGCCTGTCGAACCCGCCGGGTGAAGGTGAGTTGGCGGCTGTCTCCTACCACGATTATTGCATTGACCGATGTTGAATGCTCATAACGCAGTGTGATCAAGGCAAACCATCGTGCAATAACTGCACTAGACGACGCCAGACTTGTCCAGGTTACGCCGATGTCTTTGATGGGGCACACCGGAATCAAAATCATGTTGTCATCCGAAGGATGGAAAAGCAGAATGCTGCAAGGGAGGTAGAGTCTTCCACCAGCACTCCCAGCAGTGAAGGTTCTTCAGACCTCATAACGACGGCCACCAGCACAACAACCAGATCATCGATAGAGAAAACCCAGGGCCCGCTTCAATGGGTGATATATTCAGCAGCTACAGAAGAGAACCTTGAAGACCAAGACGACCCCCAGCGCCTCGAGCGGGTGCATGCCTTTGGATCTAGCGGTTCTAGATCCTATGATACTCGACTCACAATAGCTGAGTCGATTAAGCCGGACCCTCAGGATGCTTCCATCAATTTCTTCTTCCGCTATTACACAGGAACGATTTACGACTCTCAGCTTCACAATTCTTTTGCACTCATATGGCAGCCAATGTACCTAAAGTCGTCGGCGAATTCACCTTTGAGACTTGCAACGGCTGCAGTGACAGTCAACGTTACGATGATGTGGAATTTTAGAGGTTGCGACGCACGGCCAGCCCGACAGATTTTCACCAGGGCCCTCGAAGCAACGAGAAAGGCAATTAGTGATCCGGCGAAGAGTAACATGGATGAGCTCCTCATGACAATCTTGATCTTTGACCTTTACGATTCATTGGTCCTGCACTACGTACCGTCTATTTTGGCCTCTGGCAAACACAAAGATGGAGCCGTTGCCTTACTCAAGCATAGAGGACATGACAACTATATGACCGATGCAGGTCAGGGCCTCACTACTGCCACCAGGCACGCTCTTATCAACTATGCATTGTCCCAACGAACCACGTTACCCGCGGAGTCGGCGCAGCTGTTCGAGCACCCTTCGATTACAGGTCGCTTTGCCTCACAACTCGACATGTTAGGGATGCAGATTGCCAATACGCAAGTCCGTCTCTGGACTCTGAGACGGCAAGGTAACTCAACAAAAAACCCTGGACAACGCCGCAAAGCTTTCGAAGAAGTCATTGCCGACGCGATTCGGGCCGATGAGCAGCTCATGGATTGGAAACGAAAGATTCCAAACGCCGTCTGGTTGCCACAATTCGTGTCTCGTGAGGATGTGGCCCCTTCAGTCCTTAATGCAGGCTTCTACGGGAACAAATGCGCTGTCTGGGCGGACCTGACTTACGCGGACGTGAGCAATCTCTATGCAAGTCGCCGTATCTATGCGCTCCAGTTGGTCCGCCAATCTCTGGCGGACGAACCCAGCCTGCTTATGGACTCGAGATACCGCGCCATCCTTGCAAAGGCAAACTCGACCATCCAGACCCTCGTTGACGCTGTGCTGGAAAGCATTCCCCTCCATCTCGGTGACACGGTGGTGCCAACAAACCCAATCTACTCTGCTGGGGTTTCGTTCCCTTACAAGATCATTCGAGACCCAACCACTGGGGAAATGAAAAGCATTCCGGATCTGATAAGCCGCGACTTCCGTATGAGGGCTGCGGCATCCGGGGGATGGGTGATATATCCTTATCTACTAGAGATATACCGCCTGGCAGAGCCCGAGGATGACGCCCACCCGGTTTTGCTGAGACCAGGCCAGTTGGATTGGGTCAAAGGGCAGATCAAACGCTTGCAGACGATCTTCTTGTTTTGTGACCCCGTTTGGTGAGTCTGGTTTTCTTCTCTTTGCTTAGCATCTTCTTTCCCCACCCAACAAATAGGGAGATCATCACTCTCGTAAACCCCCATCCCAAGGACATTTGTAATTCTGACACAAGCGTCTCGTGTGGCACAGGTTCAAACGAGGCCAGGGGACAAACACGACGGCAACTCCGTGCTCCGAGACACGTTCCACAAGGGTCAGCAACTTATGAGTCAATTTCTCGTCCATCCTCGAGGGCACCCAGAGGGAATCCGCACATGAAGAAACCTCAACCTTGGCTTGCGACGTGACAAATGATTCAGTCGGGAAGGGGTTGACGTCCAGCCCCCTCTGAAATCATGTGATGACATGTATATTAGTATGGCTTCCGCCCCAAGGTAGTTGCAATCCTCTCAAGGGACCTTTCAACCTCAGTTTGACAGGGAAACCATCTAGTGCGCAATGCAAACTGTTATCCGAACCCCCCCCCCCAGCTGCACCGTTGATACACAGATCTCTTAAGGACCGAGGCAGGCACCAGAGACAAAGGAAGAAGAGGAAGCGAATCCAGTCTGCAGGGTGCGCAGCTACCCTGCAAGCCGGCTTCAGAAATAAATGGGCACAGTCTGACACACAGTGCTGAAATAACGACCAGGGGACCACCTAATTTAGCCATAGCTAGTGTCTAGTAATAAGTATAAGGATCCCGCTGTGCTCAAGAGTAGATAGGATACCCCTATATAAGTGAAGATAACCTAACAGCTAATAGTTAATCCCTTCTACTTTGCTACTACCGTGCTCTCTTCTCGTAAGACTTGTGCACGACGCCTAACCTCGACTACTCCGATGCTCCAGATCGCCGGTACAATGGAGATATGTAAGGTGGAGCCGGAAGTCGCGCTGATGAGTGACTACGTAGAAGTCTGCTTAGGGTCGCCCACTGGCACTGGCACTGGCACTGTCGTCCAAACGGCGAGCTTGTTGGCCGAATGAGCCGGTTATCTGAATGAGTATGTGAGGCGCGTGAACAGGCTTGGGCACCAGAGGGACGAAGCGCATGTCCATCAATGAATGGACTGGAAGGACATGAATAGACATTTCAAAGGGACTACTCCGTGACGGAGATTTATTGGAGAGGGAGAAAGGAATGTGGGCATCCCGCGGCTGATGTTTCCTAATTTTTGATCAAATGTACATTGTCATTCATGTACATACGATTCCTGACTTGATATAGACGTAACACGTCCTCTTATTACTTCTCATCTCGCACTCCTCAAAAACTCGACAACACCCCTTGTATACCCGACCAACTCGCTCAGCCTCGTCTCCTCCTCGACCATGGCCTTTCTCCACTCGACAACCTTCTCCCTCAGATCCTCGACCTCGCCGACAAAATCGCCATGGACTCTCAAAAAGACGCTCATCCACGTGTTGACCAGTTCAAAGGCCTTCCTCTGGCGGAGCTGATGGGTGAGGAAGTCGACGAAGCCGGGCATTTCGGAGAGGCTGAGGGAGCGGATTTCCAAGTCGGCGGCGGAAGGAGGTAGGGAGGAGAGGTGGGCTGTTAAGAGGGACGGGTCGGGGGAAGGCGATGAAGAGAAGGTTTCGAGAAGAGAAGAGAGTTGTAAAGACTGCTGGTGGGAGAGAGCCTGACTCTGACTCGTGGACGGCGCCAGGCGGGAGATGCGTGAGCGCTCGGAATCTTCAACGCCTTTTTGGACGGGGACGAGAGACGCCTCGGGATCTGGCTTGCTCCCGTTAGTGAGATTTGCCGAGCCCAGGAAGAAAGGCGCGGCTTTGGGCTTCTCTGGTGGCTGGATGGGTTTGTTTCTCGCGCGGATGCTGTCAAGGTTCAGCAGTGTTTGCCATCGCGACTGAGGTTGGAGTGACAATGTCAGCAGCTGCTTGTCCAATTGCTCCAATGCCGAAGAATCGTCAAACCCATCGACGACGACAGCATCTTCCTCCAAGACTGGATCTTCGATGGCAAGTTGGGTTGCAGCGTTGAACGCGGTCGTCGTCTGGCTCAGATCAAGGATTCCATGGACATCGTCAATCTGTCTCGTGGATACATGACTGAAGAGGGTCTTGTTTGTCCAGACGAATATGCCCGGGCTTCCGGCATGCGTAGTGGCCAGAAACTCCCCCGTACTGGAGAATGCCATATTGGTACATGTTGCAGCTGTCTTGAATGCGTCGATCAAGTGACCTGTAGCAAGATCGAAGACGCGAATAATCGAGTCCATTGAACAAGCCGTGATCCACCGCCCGTCGTGTGAGAAGCAGAGGTCGTATATCTGACCAATGCAGCCCCATAGCTCGCGAACAACTTTGTGTGTTTCAATGTCAACTATGCGTATACATAAGTCGTCACAGGATAGGGCCAGAAGGCCGGAGACAGGATTGTATCGAATCGCAGTTGAGACGGCAGAGTCAAGAGTTTTCCGTTCGAGTATTTTGCCGGATGAAAAATCCCAAAAGATGATTGAGCCGTCCAAGCTAGTAGTGACCATGGTCTGATTCAGGTTGTCGACCACAATACCCGTGATCGCGTCTCGATGGCCACGAGGAGGAGCAGTGAGGACCTGATTTGGGTCGGCTTGTTGCAATTTCAACTGTTTTAGCTGTGCAGGGGTGAGTCGAGGCGGGTACCTTTGGCGATGGGCGCCAGATTGTAAGTTGAACATATCGAGGCTGCCTCCAGCGGAGCCAACAATCGCAAATGTACCGCAAGCAGTGATAGCAACACTGGTTACCGCCCTGTGGTCCCCCGTTTCCAGGGCCCATCTCCCTGCTTTCTTCCTACCCCATGACCACGTTCTTGCAAATTTATCATCAGCATGGGCCGTGATGACACTTTCCCAGCCAGTTGTACTAATTTCTTCTGCATTGACATTTTTTGTATTGGACCAAATGGGGCCACTGACCGAGCCCATTCCACCGTCCCGATTCAGTGAACACGCCATATCAATAATCGGTGGCGCTTTAAAGTCCTCCACAGCAGAGGCATCGTCGGTAAGGAGACCTGATTTTCGGGCCTTGTGTTTCACAGCGCCTTGACTTAGTTCTGTACTTTGGCCATCTTTGCGCAGACTGAAACCCCATAGACTGCGGTCCTGAGCGGCGGACATGAGCCACTTCCCAGCGGCGTCTGATCCGTCTGAAGACGCAGGCAGAAACATGAGTCTGGTGATAGACGCAGCATGTCCGCTCCTAGAGTGGAGGAGTCGTGGAATTGGTGAAAGGGGATTCTGATCGAAGACCCATGATTTGAGAGCGTTGTCCAAGCCAGAAGAGACCAAGACTGGCTGTCCCGCGAGGAATTCGACCTTGTTCACGCCGGTGCCTTGGCCCAGACTGGAAGTTTCATGAGCGCCTCGCACCACCCCAACGACCTTTCCACCACGATTAAGATCCCACAAAGTGATGTCGCCACTTTCGGTGCTGGATGTAGCCATGATGCCCTCCTTTCGACCATCGTCGCCTGCGCCCATTCCGTCCGTTCGAAAGGTGATTGAAGTAACCGGTTTCTTGCTGTTTGCCAGCCGCAGTTCCAACACTTGTTCATCGGCTTCGACATCAGTGATGTTGAGGGAGCCATCGGCATATGCAATCGCCAGCAAGCAGACGGCAGGAGCCGGAGCAAGTGCCGTAACAGCACCGGAGCGTGCGGAAGAAGCGAGAATGGTGTGGACCAGTCTGCACGTACTGATATTGTAGACCTCCACTGAGCCATGCTTTGTGCCGACGAATACCTTGTTCAACAGTGTCGGTAGAGTACAGACGTGGCCTGTAAATGATCCGCCATCTCGGGTACTGGTTGAGGTTGAATGGGAAATGATCGAAGTATAGTGCTCAAATGAATCGGTCTTCCAGACTTCGATGCTTTGTGTCCCGCAACCCACGATCCATGACCCAAAGACAAGCAGTTGCCGAATCTCTTGTGCGCAGGTGTCATCGATGTCCAATTCTCCCGTCAACTGCCCTCTCTTGAAGACCCAGACTCCTCGAGGCTCGCTAGCTTGCGATCCGCCCCAAGCCACAAAGATTCGATCTCGGTAGGCATATGTGGCAGTTATCGTGGCAGGACACTGAGGGCGAGTAAGGAACACGAGATTGAGGCCTCGCCGTAGGTCATACGTGTGCAGCGTCTCGCCAACGGAAGTCGTGATTTGGAAGGTTATCTTGCCCAGCGGAACAGAAGTGAAGGGGACAGTGGTTGGGGATACTAGTCCCAAAGTCTGTGAGGAGAGTGAGCAAGGTTGACTCAGTCGTGACGGACAGATAGAAGGTAGGAAATCCGACGTACTCTAAAGGGTGCAAACAGTCTGGAGCTGGTGGACTTTTCTTTAGTAGCGGTGAGCTCCCTACGCTGCCTTTTGGCGAGGGGCAGCTCAATCGCTTCATCCATGGATATAACGAGAAGGCCTTTTGACCTGCCTCGCCCTGCAGGTATTTGTTGGTGGTCGCGCGTGGACTATGACATGGAGGCCATGATACTCGGTACCAAGGTCAGATGTCGATGGTCAATTCTCAATAATTTTTTTTCGCGTGCCACTCACCGCCCGGCAGAAAGTGCCACTGACGTGGGCCTAGTGAGCGTTAGTTGAGGGTGCTTGGGTGGTTAAGCCCATGCGCCCACTGGTACCCGCTGGCTAGTTGGGATTGCTCCCACTTCCAGGCTGTGCAGTGCCGTAATGCCCCTCACTTAGGTGCACCTAGCTCGTTAAACCCTGCATATTCTAGGCTCTGGCACCACTGGAGGCCGACGCTGTGCAGCAAAACCCCCACTTACTCATCCTCACACACCCAAAATCTTGGCTTGTTGTGGCTTCCATCCAACCATCATCGTCCATATCGACGCTGGCTCTTGCCTACCTTCGCACTTGTAGCATGATGCCAAAGGTTGCGAGATCTCATTTTTCCACCGCGCATCGGGATCGAATTCGTCTCCTTGTCTTTCTCACTTATAAGACATGTAATAATCTAGAAATCCTTCGTGGCCCCCAATTCCAGCCCGTCATCTTTTCTTAATATCATCAATATTTGAAACTCCATCCTTAGGGAAGGACTCGGTCTCTGATCAAGAGAGATCGTAGTTCAACCCAAAGTCTTAAATCTTTCTTCTCCACAGCTTCAGCTCGGATAAGTCGGGGCATTTTCCCCCTTCCATCTACAGTAAGAACTTCTCGGCTATTTTATTCTACTCCTACATCATAGATCATCATGGAGATCTCCTCTCCCCTCCGTCGAACCACTACCAGCACCTCTGAAAACGACACTGAAGATAACGCCGCTCTCACTGCCGTCTACTCGACCAGTGCCTCTACTACCTCCAGCTCTCGTCCTCCTCCCAGACTCAGTGGCCGGACTCCTTCAACCCATTCCTTGTTGGCCGCTCATAGGAATCCCGATGTCCGCAAAGGCGCCCATGCTGAAACTACCAAGGCCTCCGCCGGCCGTTCTAGCATAAGTATGCCGCCTCCGAACACCAAGCCTAGCGTTGATAGACGTCTGTCGACCTCGTTTTCTTCAATTCGCTCCCTGAGGAAGTCCGAGGAAGTCGCCAGGAGCCCACCTGCGTCCGTCAAAAGCATTGAAGGGGATAGGACACCTTACAGCAGCTCTCCTCCGACCACTACAGCCCACGATCCCACGGTGGTGACCACCACGTCTACTTCCCTTGCTCCAGGTCTGCCAGTGCTTTCGCCTCCTGCCTTCAATCCAAGCATTCCTAATCATTCGGATCTAGTGTCAAATATGTCTTCTCAACTTGCGTCTGCAACAACATCTGCTCCTAAAAGCGACACGGCTTTGCCTTCTTCGACTGCCGGCCAATCTTCGGGAACCACTGGGAAGTCCGATGGTGCAGAGACCGCGTTCCCTGCTCGCCCGCCCCGAGTGTCTAAGCCTCGTTCATCCTCTGGTCGTCGCCTGAGTACCGCTGGATCTTCCAGGAATGAGAGCATTAACTCTGAGGACAAAACACCTTTAGGCAGAATCGGCGTTTGTGCTCTTGATGTCAAGGCCAGAAGTCGACCAAGTCGCCAGATATTAACCCGCCTTCAGGGAGAAGGAGAATTTGAAGTTATTGTTTTCGGTGATAAAGCCATTCTCGATGAAGGCAAGCCTCCCCTCCCTCCTCCCACCATCTCCACGAATGCTAACATCGGTAGATGTCGAGAACTGGCCCATATGGTACGTCGAAATAGCCAGTGTCCGGTCCCTTACATCTGAATGCCACTCTTCTAACTCTTCAAAGCGACTATCTTATCTCATTTTTCTCAGATGGCTTCCCCCTCGACAAGGCGATTGCATATGTCAAGCTACGGAAGCCGTTTGTCGTCAATGACTTGTCCATGCAAAAGGTTCTCTGGGACAGACGCTTGTGTCTCAAAATCCTGGACCAAATGCAGATTCCCACTCCTAAGAGGATAGAAGTCAACCGGGACGGTGGCCCAAGGCTGGAGTCGCCGGAGCTTGCTCAGCATGTGAGAGCTATGTCGGGTGTCGTTCTGGAAGGTCCGGAGGACGGTACCGGAGGTGGCACCCCAACTACAAAATCCGTTGAGCTGCAGGATGACGGAGACACTTTGGTCGTTGATGGGAAACCATTCAAAAAGCCTTTTGTCGAGAAGCCTGTCAATGGGGAAGACCACAATGTCATCATCTATTTCCCCAAAAGCCAAGGCGGCGGCGCTCGACGACTTTTCCGCAAGATTGGCAACAAATCTTCCGAATACGATCCTGACCTGATTGTCCCAAGGTGCATGACAGAAACGAACAACAGCTACATCTACGAGCAATTCCTTAAGACCGAGAACGCGGAAGATGTCAAAGCCTACACTGTTGGTCCGCATTATTGCCATGCTGAGACGAGAAAATCGCCAGTCGTGGATGGTTTGGTCCGACGCAATACACACGGTAAAGAGCTGAGATATGTCACGAAACTTAGCGAGGCGGAGAAAGAGATGGCTTCCAAGGTGTCGCGTGCCTTTGGGCAACGCATCTGCGGTTTCGACCTCTTGCGAACCGGCACGTCGAGCTATATCATCGACGTCAATGGGTGGAGTTTTGTCAAAGACAATGAGGACTATTACAACGATTGCGCAAAGATACTGAGAAATATCTTTCTGGCTGAGAAGTGGAAACGGGAGAATGCCCTGGAAGAGGCGCAGGCCGAGAATGGGGGAGAGGGCCCTCAGAGTCGTCAAGGCACAAGCCATTCAGCTCGGTCGGCACTCAAGACAATCCTCAAGTCCCCCAGTATGACGAAATTGTCTCAACATTTGCCGCATTCATCGAGACACCATCATTCCGGCCTTGCTGGCTCTCCCAAGACTTCTTCTCTAACCACGCCAATGAGTTCGCCACCGAGCATTGAGAAGAGCACACAGGCGTTAATTCCTCCGACCGTGGCTGAGACGGACAGCATGCTTCCGTCCCCACTTCTTGTGCCCCCAGATGCTGCCGATTCTGCGACGAGTCCTGCGGCACCTGCCAAGGAAGAAGGGCCTGCAGCTCCTATGCCCAGTTCTAAGCATTCCTGGAAGCTCAAAGGCGTTGTCTCCGTCATCAGGCATGCCGACCGGACTCCAAAGCAAAAGCTGAAATTCACAGCCCACTCACAAGTCTTTGCCGATCTACTCAAGGGCCATCACGAAGAGGTGCTCCTGAAAGGCGAAGCTGCATTAGCAAGCGTGCAGGCGGCAATCAAGGTTGCACTAAGAGACAAGCTCGAGGATCCAGACAAACTACGCAACTTGCAGAATGCATTGTCAAGGAAAATACACCAACCGGGCACCAAGGTGCAAATCAAACCAATGTTTCGCAAGAGGAAGCCGGAAGAGATGCCTCCAGCCTCGGATGACATGGCCGGTATAGACCCGCTTTCGACCACAGAAGCTGACCAGCACCTGCTTGAAGCGGTGAGCAACGAGGAGAGGAAGGGATCTGTATCCAGCGCAAAGGAAATACGGCGGGTACAGACAAGAAGCGATTCTATATCTGGCGCCACCTTCTCGCGTTTCTCGGCCGCGGAAAATGATCTCGTTCTGGACAAGCTGCAATTGGTCATGAAATGGGGAGGGGAGCCTACGCATTCGGCTAGATACCAGGCGCAGGATCTCGGCACCAATATGAGGGACGACTTCAAATTGCTCAATAAGGAAGTGCTCGATGATGTCCGGATCTTCACGAGTTCTGAGAAGCGTGTCAAGACAAGTGCACAAATATGGGCCGCGGCTTTCCTAGACCGTCAAGATCTGCCTGAAGATTTCATCCAGGTCAGGAAGGATCTTCTGGACGATTCCAATGCAGCTAAAGATGTGATGGACAAGGTCAAGAAGAAGCTTAAGCATCTCCTTCGGGAAGGAACTGTCCCGGACTCGTTTGCCTGGCCAAAAGACGCTGCAGAGCCATATATGGTCATGCAAACTGTGGTTGACCTACTCAAGTTTCATCGACGGGTTATGCGGCACAACTTCAAAAAGCTTTCAACCGGCGCTGTGGCTTCCCTCAGCGCGCTCAATGGTTCTGGAGATGGCAAAGAGGGAAATGGGCAGAACAAAGAAACTATTAGCGTCGCCTCTATCCAGTCGCGATGGTGCACCGGCGAAGACGCTGAACTTTTTAGAGAAAGGTGGGAGAAGCTCTTCTCGGAATTCTGCGATACCGAAAAGGCCGACCCGAGTAAGATCTCTGAGTTGTATGACACGATGAAATACGACGCCCTCCATAACAAACAATTCCTCGAGTGGGTATTCACTCCCAGTCAATCACTTTTGGATGAATTTGCCAAAGAGGAGGGTTTCTCGTCCAATGCATCTTCTGAGGCCGAAAAACCGGACGAGATCTCACCACCCACCAATGGCACACGCCACGAGAGCGTTGTCTCGTTCAGCGGAACGTCTGAGGCCAGGCATAGTCTCGCCCAGAAGATTGGATTGAGACGACAGTCACTACTCAAACCCACCATGCAGGCGGCTCCTCTAATGTCATGGGAACAAGGTGCTTCCTATTTCAAATTATTCAGCGGATCTGGCGACAGTCGGCCGAAGCAAGATCAAAAGCTCGGTCGACTACGAGAACTGTACCGTTACAGCAAGATCTTGTTTGATTACATTGGCCCGCAGGAATACGGTATCAGCGATGAGGAGAAACTCGAGATCGGACTTTTGACATCATTGCCCTTACTTCGCGAGATCGTCGATGATCTAGAGGAACTACAGGCCTCCGGCGATGCGAAGTCATTCATCTACTTCACCAAGGAATCCCACATCTACACTTTGCTCAATTGCATCATGGAAGGCGGCATTCACACCAAAATCAAACGCTCCACAATTCCGGAACTCGACTACCTCTCCCAAATCTGCTTTGAATTGTACGAAGCCAAAGACGCCGAGACCGCGGAATCCACGTACTCGATACGCATCTCCATCTCTCCTGGCTGCCACACGATCGATCCCCTGGACGTTTCCCTGGACTCTAAGCATGCGATTGGAAGCGCACCGCGGCGGTCGCTGACAAACCACCAGGATTGGAAAGAGGTGATTTCGACCTTGAAAGCGAAGTTCAACACAGTGCAACTCCCCAAGAGCTTCCTCGCGGTGAATGTGAGTGAGAAGCATGAAGAGGAAGCGCAACGACGGGCCAGTCTGTTGCAGAGCGAAGCGGCGAAGGAGAAGCATGGACGTAGAGATGGAGATGACGATGCTGCTGCCGCGAACGATGCGGATGGCGACGAGGTTGGAGAGGTACTCGAAAATGCGAACGCGCAGGGCAAAGAACTATCCTTGCAATCGAGGTCCGGAGAGCGACAATCGGTGCCTGTGCAATTCTTGACTTCAGAGGACAAGGTGGATGCAGACGCACGTCCTGGGAAGGAGGAGGAGGCATTTGAGTGAGCGACTCAGATGTTGCGGCTTACGGGACAGCTAATTTCAGCACCATTGCCCAAGAACACTAGAAAACGGTACAAGTCCGCCTTTGTCGAACACTTGGACTGAGATTCACGCGATGCACAGGCACAGATGAGTAGGGCGTTGGGCTGGTCGGTTAATGACACAGCACCCCAAGAACCAAGAACATGAGAATATGAGAATAGATTTTAGATTTAGAGTAATCGTACTAGAGTCGAATGATCACTTGAAGAATGAGAGTATCGACGGCACGATGAACATGGATTGCTGTGTGAGGCCATTTCCCAACCAGAAACCTATAGCCGAGCAATCAGGGGCCGCGTCTGTACACGGTATGCCTGTCTCTTCCGTTCAGGGACAATTATCCAGGATATGTCCTGTCTACCCACACCTCCTCACTTCAGCTCGAATTGGCTCTTCACTTCATCTTTATCGCCTCACCTCGTGCTGACCATTTTTGATTCGTATCGAGACCACTCATTCCCATCCCACAATGTGCCCAAGGCGCAAAAGATGGACGAGGAATGGGGTGGATGGGACCTAGGCTCAAGCATCAGGAATGCGCGTGGCCCAATGCACGACCAGCTCTCTGGCAGCCATGGCGTCCTCGTAACTATCATGGCCCTTTCGGCGGCGCTGGGTTTGAGTCTGGGTCTGCACTCCAGCCCCATCATCACGACGACTTTGCGGACCGCTGACTTGCACGGCAATGCCCAGCTTGACTTTGCACAGGTTCTGCAGGCTGCGGCCGCCCTCGGTCCTGTGGACGCCCGTGTAGCCCTCGAGGATATAAGTGTCGATGATGAGCGGGTGGATCCAGCGCAGGGCCGACAAGTCGTTGGAGCCGCCGTGCACCACGACGACGGTGTCCGGGCCGAGCAATCTCAAAAGAGCTTCGCGCGCGCAGTCACGGCCGAAGATGGCCGTGCGGGACTTGATGGCCTCGCGCATGTCGCGCGCCGTCACGCCCGAGTACCGCGTATTGTAGTGCATCATGGCCACCGAGGGCGCCACGAGGTTGTCGATCAGCACCGCACCGCTGAAAAAGTCGACGGCCGTCAGGCGAATGAGCTCCGAGTCCCCCGTCGCGGAGACGCCCATTTCGCAGTCGAGCGCAATGGCGTAAAAAGGGTGGGGGTTGTTGTATTGCTGCTGCTGCTGCTGCTGCTGCTGCTGCTGCGGCTGCTGCTGTCTACCCTTCTTATGGCCCTGTCTTCGAGATCCGCGACCAGGGGAGACAGGATTTCTGTTGGTAGCTGGGGCACTTTGGGTAGCAAGTGACGGCGTGGGATGGTATTGCCAGTACTCTTGAAGCAGAGGATCATCCGGTCGAGGCATGGTGTGCTCACGGGCTTCCATGCAGCCCTCTGTCGAAACATGTTTGCCACAGCACGTAAAAGCCTAGACACTGGTCAGAGACACTGATGGAGAATGGTTCGAGAGCCATTTGTTTTGATACCTTGTTACTAACGACACCTGTATGATATGAGCATGGAGCAGAAGCTTTCTTCTTGAGTACCGAAGTGGATGTGCTCAAAGTCTCCTCACTGATTGCCTCCTCGGTGTGGACGCCGGTCAGACCTTTCGGCCTCTTGTGCTCTTTGATGGCATCGGTAATGACCGGCTTTGTAGACACTCGACGTCTGGGTCGTTCTGTCCACAGTCCAGTCAGCCAAACCCGTCAGGATTCCTCAGAAAGACCCCGCGCGCAATCAAAACTTACTTCCACATCGCGTGCATCTCGCCTTCGACTCGATCTGAGTTGCATCGAGAGGTTGGGTCACATAGCCCGCCTTTTGCAACTCCTTCTGACTGTGGCACAGAAGCCGGAGCTTTTCCAGATAGGATGTCGAGATTCCGATCGCAGACCATGTGAATTGAGGAGCGTTGGGCTCAGTGGCCTCGTTCGAGGGCCATGCAGAAGGGTTCGGCAGAGCCATGGGCAAGGGCCTGATGATCTGATGACTTCACCTGCTTCTGTGAATGATGAGGCTGTGAAATGGAGGTGAAAAGCACAAGACGCATACCTCAGTCTTGAAGCTGGGTTCTGTTTTCCAGTCGTACAGGAGATGTCTGGCCAGGCTAGGAACAAAAGACTGCTGCTGGCGAGGGAGGAAGATGCAAAAGATACCAGCGCAGCAAGTGACTGTGAAAATCCCCAGCCGAGCACTCTTTACACTTCGCATCGACGACGGTGAATTGGGCTGCGGGGCAGGTACATCTGTTCAAGTCAATCGCAAAACGAATCAGGTCCAGGTCCATTGTTACACAGCTTGGTGACTGGTTAAGAAATGTCCGTCTTCGCAGCGCTGCAGCAGCAGCCTCACCGCGGACGAAAACTTACTCATCGTAGTGGCCTCACGAATCAACGGCAGGGTTTTGCTAGAATAAGTCCATTGTTCGGTTTGTGAAGCATTGTCAAGCCCATACTGGGATTGGCCCAACAAACTTCAGTTTCTTGTCTGAAGAAACAAAGCATCAAATGGACTGAATCGTACCGGCTTTCGTCTTAGGATCTAAGACAATGACCTCGCTCCTGAGACTGACAGGTCCTTCCCGGCTGGTTTTGACCTTGCGAATAAGTAAAGGAACACAGAAGCTGGAGGGAGTTGCTAAACAAGTCTATCATGAAGATCCTAGACAGGCTCTCCTATTCGAATCATGGCTCTTGTGGTGAACTGTGTTTGAATGCTTTTCTCATATCATGTGTCATACAGGCTCGTAATGTTACGGCAAATCGTGTCCTTGGTTGTCAGCGTCCGACGGCCATTACTCTTTCACCTTGACAATGTCCCCATATAGAACCAGGAAAGTGTCTTGGATTCGGCATTTCTCCCGTGAATCGGTCAGCCGCATCCCACCTCATAAAGCTTCAATCTGCAAATCATTTCAGGCCATTCTTAGCCTTGAAAGCAGCAAGCAGGCCAGCAGTGGACGAGTCGTGCTCAGATCCAGCGCCTTCCGTCTCAAGTTCTTTCTGGATCCTCTTAGCCAAGACCTTGCCCAACTCAACACCCCACTGGTCGAAGCTATTGATGTTCCAGATGGCGCCCTCAGTGAAAACCATGTGCTCGTAATAAGCAATCAACGCACCCAGTGTGCCGGGCGTGATCATCTCAGCGAGGATGTTGGTAGTTGGTCGGTTCCCGAGGAAAGTCTTGTGCGATACCAACTCGTCAGGAGCACCTTCGGCCTTGACTTGATCGGGTGTCTTGCCAATCATCAAAGCCTCAGCTTGAGCCAGGAAGTTAGATGCCAGCATTCTCTGGTGGAGACCTCCTTCCACCGGGTTGTGGGATCGGGCAGCGATGATGAAATCGGTGGGGATGAGTTTGGTACCCTGGTGCAAGAGCTGGAAGAAAGAGTGCTGTGCATTGGTGGCTGGTTCTCCGAAAAAGATGGATCCAGTTGTGTACTTAACGTAGTCGCCACTTCGAGTGACAGCCTTGCCGTTGGATTCCATGGTCAACTGTTGCAAGTAAGCCGGGAAGCGATGCATGTACTGGTCAAAAGGTGCGACCAGGTGAGTTTGGGAGCCGAAGAAGTCTGAGTACCAAACGCTCAGTAGACCCGCAATGACGGGAATGTTTTCGCGCAGAGGTGCAGTTTTGAAATGCTGATCCATAGCATGGGCACCAGCGAGGAATTGGTGGAAGTTGTCGTAGCCAATGTAGATGCAGACCGACAAACCAATGGCGGACCAAACCGAGTATCTGCCACCAACCCAGCTTTCAAAACCGAACATGTTCTTGGTGTCAATGCCGAACTTGCTGACTTCTTCAGCATTGGTGGACAGGGCGACGAAATGCTTTGCGATGTCCGACTCCTTTGCACTTTGCAAGAACCATTTCTTGGCTGTGTTGGCATTGGTAGTGGTTTCCGCAGTCGTGAAGGTCTTGGAGGCGATCAGGAAGAGAGTGGTCTCGGGGTCCGAGTCCTTGAGAGCTTCGGCGATGTGGGTGCCATCAATGTTGGAAACGAAGTGGAGCTTCATGTTTCTGTCTCCATACGGTTTGAGGGCCTCTGAGACCATGACGGGGCCCCTAGGTGAATGTCAGTCTTGCAACCCAAAGCTACCCCAGGACGAGGTCAGACTCACAGGTCGGAGCCACCAATACCGATATTGATGATGGTGGTGAGCTTCTTGCCGGTGTACCCAGTCCACGACCCGCTGCGAATTTGCTCAGAGAACTCCTTCATATGGTCCAAGACGGAATTGGTCTCCTCGACCACGCTCTTCCCGTCCACGGCCATAGGCTGGTTGGTGACATTGCGAAGAGCGACATGGTAGACAGCTCGCTTCTCGGTGAAGTTGATCTTCTCGCCAGCGAACATCTCATCGCGCAATTCCTCGAGCTTGGCCTCCTTTGCAAGGTTCACAAGGAGGTCAAGAGTCTCCTCGGTCAGGAAGTTCTTGGAGAAGTCGAAGAGGATCTCAGAGTTGTCTGCAGAGTTCTTGAAGACCCGCTTGAACTTCTCGAATCGCTGGGGATCTTTTTCAAAGCATTCCTTCAGGACAATGTTACGGCCCACCGCATTGTGGTGGTCAACCAGAGCTTGCCATGCGGACAGATCGGTAGCCTGCGCGAAGCCAGGCATCTTGGTTGTATACGAGGAGAAAGACTCGAGACTGTTTGTGCGGAGGGATTCTGCGTCTGTAAGGGTCAGTGGGAAGCTATGCTTGAGAGATGGTGGAAAAGAGCAGCAGAAATAGCTTTATTCTGATGCAAAAATGAAACAGAGGGGGAGTGGCAGGTATAGGTAGGGAAAGTCGGAGACCAGTAAAAGGTGCTTCCTTGGAAAAAAAAAACTTACTCAAATATGAAAGAAATTGAGGAGGGGAATGAAAGCAGTCAAAGAGAAATCAATGAGTTGGCTGTATGGTGCAGTGAGGGAAAATGTTGAACGTGCAATCGAGGTCTTGTAGCAATCAGATGTTTTGATGGAGGGGCAGTTCTCAGTTGCATGCAAAATGTTTTCGAGGACCAACTATGATGCAAGTGAGCTCCCACCACCTGCTCCCACTCACTCCAGTGGCTGGACGAGGATGAGCTGAGCAACGACTGACTACACTGCCACCCACTGCCACCCCTGCCACCCACTGCTGCCCCGCCGTTGCCGCCATTGCTCCCTGCTGCTCCGTATTATTATATCGAGCCACCAATGGCCCTTGTCAGCACCTGACCGATGATTAAGCGACCAACCTGCAATGCCAAATTCAGGAAGCACCCATCAACAAATGGAATGGCGTGGGCTGACGGGTCGACGAGAGAGACAGACATTCAGTAACAGGAAACCCAATTCCATTAAATATCTCTATGCTATTCTCTTCCTAGAAATTCGAAATACCGACGCCCTCCCACCAACCATATAGGCTTCTGCCTGTCTAGATCAACAGAGTGGCCATAAACACCAAGGAACCAAGAGCGAACAGAGATGTTGAAGATTGACCCTGCAGATCCGTGGCAGCCCCCGTGTACCCAGTGATGGGAGGGACAATGCTCTGGGTGGCCACTGTCGCGTTGATCGGAACGGAGATAGAAGCAGGGGCGGTCGTGGACACGTTTGTCACCGACAGGGTCGAGGTGGTTGTATCCAAAGCCACCGTAGTAGCGTTGCCAAACGGCGCCATCGACGTGGTCAGGGGTAGACCGGTTGTTGCAGCACTGAGAGAGCAAGCATCCGCAGAAGAGGACGTCGCGCTCACAGTGACGGTACTTGTGGTTGTCGAAGTGACAGTGGTGGTATAGCTGGTAGTTGAGTCGCTGGTGATAGACACAGAAGTCGGGTTAGACGAAGTTGACACCATATTCATGCTTGTACCGTAGTCTTGATCGTCGTCAGAGCAGTCTGCATCACGGCGGGAGTTGTGCTTGGGAATGCAACCTGTGCCCGTAGAAGAGCAGGTGGCGCCTGCGGGGCAAGAATCTATCTTCCATTAGCACATTCTATAACTCAAGTAATGGGCTGTTGGCTCACATTGACTTGAACAACAGACTTCGCCGGCAGATGGGTTATAGCAAGTATCAGGACCACATTGGACGTAATTTGCACCGCAACTTGCGCACCCGCCAGCGTTTGAGGGCTTGCAGGTGAGATGATGAGGAAGAACTGAATGGTCTCCAGAGGAGCTGGCAGAGCCTCGAACAGCAGTAGCCAAAAAGGCACCGACAATGAAAGGAATGTATGAGTGCATGCTTCGTGTAATTCTGCCAAGTCGCTTGAGGTCAAGGAAATGGAGGAGAGTGTCTCAGGTGGCAATTGTCAAAAACAGACGTAGAAACGAATGTTTCAGGCTCCAGCTCGGTGGTGGACAGGAAACAGAAGTATCTGGGAAGAACCTGAACTCTTAAGGCGCTTGCAGAAATGGTAAGAAGAGGCCTTTGTGCCAAAAATGGAGACTGAATAAAGCATCATTGCAAGCTGGACCATAGAAGCCGTTTCTAGATTGCATGGTAGCACAAACAAAGAATAGACTGGAGAAAAGAGGCACGCGCCTTGTCAATCTCCGACACGCAGACCATTTTGTAAGAAGGATCGATCTCTCAGGTGATCTCCAACGAATGAGCCGTGCAAGAAATCTCTCGATGCTGTGTAATTTCAAGGGTGCCTGTGAACAAGGGTTTACGTGCGCAATGCAACAGATTTCTGGAAGTTGGCACTCGTGAGGAAATAAAGGGGCCACAGTGGAAAGTCAGGACAAAGAAAGACCAATGCTCAAGCAACGAAGCTCGGGCTTCAGCCACGAAGTCATTGTCCGCCGAGACCAAAGGCAAGGACTGGTCTGTGTTTGCTTGCAGACGAGTTGAGAATGGGTAGCGGGAAATCCAGAAAAAGAATATGGCAGTAGTCGAGGTTGAAGTTGATTGCGAGCTTTTCGAGGGCAGCACTTGGGGAGGTACACGGCGCTCGACGGGATGTCCAAACAGAACAAATATGCCAAGCGATCCGGCTTTCTCAAAGCGGCCTAGCCCGACGGCGCAAATGACGTTGGGGACGCAATTCTGCATCTTTGCTCCAACTTTCCCATCTCAAGTGTCTCTGGACCAGAGCCCCCCGTCGCTCATCTTCTCCCAACCTGTCATGGCCAATCTGCAGCTCTGTCTCCAATTGGAGGCCATGGGCGCGATAAGCAGCGACATCAGCCTTTATCGTCGCCAGTCAATCGAATATGCACCCCTCTTCTGTTGCTTGCTGCAAGCGACGATGACGACTGGGATCCTTCCAGCCATCTCCCAGGGTGCCCAGCTTCTTGAGCGTCGGTAGTGCATGTATTTTTGCCTTTCGATAAGATGTCGGCCTTTGTCACTTGTCTAGACTGGAACCAGAGAACATGAGCGCCACATAGCTCCATGTACTACGACAAGATGGCGATGAGCAATCCATAGCCCGCCGGGTCATACCTGAGCGAACGTCTTCGTGTCAGCGACGAAAATGTCGATACCGCCTCCTCCGCAACAACCTAACGACCTTGTTCCACCAACTCGAGACGGACAGCTACTTATCTAGGGTAAATGGCATTCTCATTTCGCTCCGGTATGGGCAACAAACAAAGACGTCGTATACTAGCCTTCGCTCTGTGCTTCGCCATCTTGATTGTCACGGCCGCACATTACCGACTGCAGCGACATAAGACCCATGGCAGGCTTATCTTCCCGGTCCAAAGGTCTGTCACTGCCTCAACCGACGGCCTCAGGGTGACGGGATTCGACAAGCCTCATGGGCTCAAGATCATCGGCCTAGTTTTCTTTGGTCGCAGAAATCGCGTTGAGATGTTACGATGCTTCCTCGAGCGCAACTTAGTGGACAATGGTGGCTGGCTCGACGAGATTCACTGGGTGAAGAACACCGACAATCGCCGGGATCTAGCGTACCTCGACGAGATACTCTCCTCGTCGCCGCGGTATAAGAAGGTCGACGTTGAAGGCATCGGATTTGTGGGCTACGGACAGGCTTGGTCTCAACTGGAGCCGGGAAATCTGTATGTCAAGGTCGACGATGACGTGGTATGGTTCGCGGATGACACGATACCTCGCATTGTAAGCATGAAGCTTGCACATCCTGACTATCTGCTTGTGAGTGCCAATATCGTCAATTCACCTCTCATGGGCTGGGTTCATTATCACACGGGCGCTCTACATCCTTATATACCTGAGTTGACCGACTACGAACCCAACATATTCACTCTGCGCCAACCATCGCGAAAGCCGTGGACATACTGGTCATATCCCAACTGGACAGGTCCAGATGACTACTTCTTCGGGCCGTTTCAAGGACCGCCCTATGCCGGACACCGCTGGCTGCGGCTGCCGAAGAAATCAGACATCTATCGCACTCCCGTGGCAGACATCGAGTACAAGACCTGGGGCACAGGCCTAAAGTCCTGGGCAATCGCCGCACAGGAACACTATTCGTTCCTGGAAAACCTCGCTGACGATCGTCTCGACACCTACACCATGGGCAGAAGCAGCCATGATCGCGGAGGCAATGACAAAGTCTGGCTCCCGATGGATCAGCGACTGAGCATCAACTTGATCACTGTCTGGGCCGACGACATTCTGGATAACCTGCCCATGGACGACGTTGACGAACAGTGGCTCACGATCAACCTGCCCAAAAGGCTCCAGCGCCAAGTCGCCGTCAACATGGACGCGTTGGCGGTGCACTTTACGTTTGGCACACAGGGAACAGTCGAAACGACGGATTTGCTGGCCAGGTATCGTGACTATGCCATGGAAAACGCGTGCGCGAAATGGACTTGATATCGGGGCACGATTTTCTTGAGTCGTCGCGAGATAAGCGGAGGGAAACGAGGGAATTCTTTCCAGTGTCCACTCCACTGAGCGTACGAGTGGATCGTCCGAAGTCGGCAATAACGCAGTTTCCTTTTGCTCACTCTAGATCACGTCAATACAGGACGGGCATGTATGCACCATCAACACCCACACTGACAGCGACTGGGGGAAAGTTACATGCGAGTTATTCATCAAGGGAATTTTCATGTCGATCAATCATGTGGATATTTGTAATTCAATCTGCAGGAGGACTGTTGGGGGAGGGTTCCATGCTACTCCTCCTACCGGACAGACATGGACGGGGGAACGTTGAGTGAATGTGGATGTGAAGAGATGACATATAACGCCCGAGTCCACTCAACCGAATCAATCCTCTGCACACATTTCCTTTTTCTTTATTTCCGTAAATAAGACCTCCCAAGACAACCGGCCGCTTACTTTGAGAGTTTGTTCAAGGCAGCATAATCCCAATCCTCCTTGATCATATCAGCGGCCTTCTCAGCAACCATGTAGACGCTGCTGACGATATTGCCGCTAACATTGTTGGGGAACACGCTGGCGTCGGCGACACGCAGGTTCTCCACGCCCTTGACCCGCAAACGTGAGTCGAGCGCGTCGCCCATGGCGCACGAGCCGCAGCTGTGGTACTCGCCCTGGACGTACTGCTGGACAGCCTCGTGGAGGGACTCCGTCGAGTCTAAGGGATACTTTTCGGGTGCCGGGGCGACGCGGTGGGAGAGCTTGTCCTTCAGGGGTGGCGACGAGGCCGTCTTCTCGAGAAACTTTAGACCCGCAGCCAGCACAGCGACGTCGGCTTCCTGGCCCAAAAAGTTGGGGTGCACTTCGGGCGCGACGGTAGGATCGGCGGATTTGATGTGGATGTAGCCCCTCGAGACCGGGTACTGCACGCCCGCGACGAAGGTGATGCCATCTTTGGCGCCTTCGGGAGGAGGAGGGAATAGTTTGCTCTGGTCACTGGCGCCTGCGTCGAGATTGGCTGACGCGCCGATGAAGACCATCTGCAGATTCGCCGACTTGTTGCTCTTGAGGTGTGAGATGACTTGATCCCACTGTTTCCTCTGGAACGGCGTAGCCTTCGCCTTGGCGCTTTCGATCGACTTGATCGCCTGGTCCAGCTCGCCTTTCTCCAGGAACAAGGCGGCAGGGAAGAAACCCTGAACGGATTGGATCGCTGTCAGGGGTCCGCCTTGTTCTTCGGCCAGAGCCTTCTGCGCGGCGGCCATGACTTCGGGCTTGTAGATCGAGTCGCCCGACATTTGGCCATCGGCCAGTTGATAGACTTCAGCGGTAACGGCGTGATCTTGGTAGTTTTCTCCGACAGATGGCAGGTCGACCAGACACTCGACACCAGCGGCCCGGAGAATCTCTGGGTTGCCAATGCCAGACAGCTCAAGGATTTGGGGAGAGTTGATGGTTCCGCCACAGACAATCACCTCTCGTTTGGCCTTGACGGCATGCTTCTCGCCGTCATGGATGAACTCGACACCAGTGGCTTTCTTGTTTTCGAGAGTAACTCGCGCGACCACCGACTCGGTTGTGACTTTGAGATTCGGGCGGTGTTCGTTGGCCTGAAAGTATCCTCGGGCCGCGTAGCTGCGCTTGCCCTTGTCAGGACCCGTGCGTACCACGCAGCCCAATGTGTTGTAGAATCCAATGTGATCTCCACTCCAAGGATCGAGTGGCTTCTTGTCAAATCCACTGGCATGGTCCGCGGCCTTGATCACGTCGTCCTCGATGGGGAGCTTGAAATCGTTGAAGCCGGTTCGCACAGGACCGCTTGTGCCATGGTTCTCTCCAACGAAGGGCATGGTGGATCGATCGGTAACTCGATCGTCAACAGGCTCGAGGGTTTGGTGCTTCCGCATATATTGCTTCATGTTGGCGGATGACCACGATGGGTCATCGGCTAGTTCGGCCCAGTCGTCATAGTCTTGGTCTGATCCTCGAACATACCTTTGTTGACGTTAGAGCCGCGAGGATTGATCATCGCCAGGAGTTGAGAACTCACATCATGTAATTGATTGCGCTCGAGCCACCCAGTGCTTTCCCCCGGTTAACTTGGTGGATTCTGTTCTTGTTTCCTGGCTGGACAGGCGTTAGGTCATGGTAAAAAGGCAAGGAGATTGGGTCGCTACCTGAGGAATGGTTTCCCAACCCCAATCGTACTCCTTGTTGCCCAGCATCTGTATGAACAAAGCTGGGATATCAACCAAGGGGTCACCAAGTCGACTCTTCCCAGCTTCGATAACGCCCACGGTGACATCTGGATTCTCTGTTAAGCGGGCAGCAATGGCCAGTCCAGCCGTGCCACCACCACAGATGAGATAGTCGTAGTCTTGCCGAGCAAATTCTTCGACAGTAACAAGGGCCGACTTCTGCGTGCCGTTCGCTCCATTGGTGGTCGCCATCTTTCGAAATCGGATTCAATGGAATGCAGAATCTGTAGGTGAGCCGGATGATGTGTTGAAGCAGTGCTTGCAGCTGAAACACGGGCAGGATTTGATCGAGGATAGCAGAGGGCAGGAGCAAAAGTTAAGTACCTATTTACTTTCTGCCTTTTACCTACCTTGGTAAGAGGAAGCAGGTACCCCGCATTCAATAATAGTGACATTTTCGAGGACAGCATAGCAATATATGGTCCCAAGGATGCACTATAGTTCGGCGCCGGCCGTTCTGCGCAAAGCAGCAAGGTTCTTGGTCTGTGAGATATCAGGAGAGGTCAGCTAGGGTTAGTAGCAGCCCCATTAGATCCAAACGGTCCTGAAGGAGTCAGAGCATTGCCTCGAGAATAAGACTGTGTACCGAGTGCTGAAGCACTGATTGGTGCATAAACGCGATGGCCAATCAAATGCTTTTACCTAGACCAGTCTGGGATACGGCTGTAGGTGGATGAGCCCACCAGACGGTGTCAGAATTGCTTAGCCATGTGCTATCGTAAACTGCTAAATTTCCTAAACAAAGCGGCCGCGGAGTCCTGACGGCCCATGGTGAGAGTTCTAGAGTCTGATTCGTTTCAGATGAGTTAGCACAACATACTCTGTCAGTCTTTAGATGGAAGAGGAAGTTGCCTCACGGTGTTAATATGACTTGTACGCGGCAGATTGCTCCACACCGCCGCAGGTGGAATTTGTGCTTGTTTTCTTCTTACCCCCGGACATATGATGGCTAGGCAAGCAATATCACCCAACATCTGACTGGTTTAGTTGTTCCGAGGAACCGCAATTCCTCTGTTATAACGGGGGCTACCCTGTGTGAGGAAAATAGGGACGCGGGCTGGGTTATCCCGGAATGACCCAGTACCCGACTTAGGTGGTCACTCCGATAGTCGTGTAGGGGCTTAAGGGGCCAACTGAGGATGCCCGGTATTGTGAAGGTTAGCAGCAGGCGAATACGAGGTACGAGGTAACTTTACCTAGGTACTTACAGTAGGTAAAGCTTCAGCGAGAGCTCCTAACTAACTTCACCATTCTGCGTATTGCTTACCCAAGGCTTACCCATTGCTACCCAACAGACGGAAAGGGAGATAGCAGGTAATAATAAGCCCATGGCCGACAGAGAAGAGCTGGCATAGTACTCGCCATAGTGGAGCAACAGAGGCAGACTCGCTCTACCTTCCAGAACAGCTCAGCAGGCGTTGTATCGACTATCGAGGTGTCCCACTATCATCTAGCAGCAAGACTAACTAGGTTGGTATTTCTTTTCTTTGAACATCTCTTGTCTCCACGTACGTGCGTAGGGCACAGTCCAGTAAGCCGTCCATCATCTCCAAGATTGAGCCCGCTCATTCAAAGTACTAAGCTTGATCCGCCCGCAAGTCTCTGCTTCGAGGCGACCTTCATCCGGCGTTCTTCATCCCCTGACGCTTCATCCATATTTGGACCCCAAACACCGCTACGCCGCTTACCTACCTAGGTACCTATAGCGTCTTCCTAGCAACTCGGTTGATCCTTCCTCCGCCAGAACTCCCGGTTCTGGTAGGGGCTACCTGGCTCAAAAATCTTATTATACAGGGCTTACTGTGATGACTCTGAAGTATCCACGAGCCAGCATATGAACGATTCTGCCGAGAGTATTACGCCCACTTTTTACCAAGTACAGAAACATACCCTGTTCACCAGATACCCTGTCAGCCAGTGATCGGCCATCTCCTCCGGAGAAGAATGAGTTGAACCCACAAGTCGGCCGAGAAATCCATCGCCAATGACCGGGTTACCTTAGCTGCCTCGATAATAGAACCCCCAGCCGTACAAGATGTCGTCACCGTCTCAACAATCACTGCCCGCGCATTTGCTCCCCGACCGTGAGATTCACGTGGTGGTGTCAATTCTGTCTGGTCGTCACAAAGCGAAAGAATACTATGAAGAATCCATCAAGCCATTACTCGACAGCCACGGTATCGTCTACTTCCCTCACGAAACCAAGTCTACTAAGACAATCATCGAGTTAACTGAGAGGCTTTTCATCGTGAACGCGCGACAAGGTGTCAAGCAAACTATCATATTGCTGTCAGGAGATGGGGGTATGGTTGATATCGTCAACACGTTTACAACTCTCTTGAATCGGCGGAATGATGACGTTCGAGCTCCGTCAATATTCCTTAAGCCTGTCATTGTTCTGATCCCCATGGGGACGGCGAATGCTTTGGCGTGGAGTTCTGGTGTGGCTCAAGACCCTCTCAAGACCATGATGCAAGGAAAACCAAAATCGCTGCCCTCCTTCAAGGTTTGTTTCAGTCGCGGCGCGGAACTGGTCGTCAATGAAGGCCAAGACCGGGAACCTATAGGCGACGAGGATGAAAATGGACCGATCATGTATGGCGCAGTGGTTTCTAGTTGGGGGCTTCACGCAAGCCTGGTGGCGATGAGTGATACAACGGAATACCGCAAGCATGGTCTCGCAAGATTCCAAATGGCAGCACAACAGCTATTGAAAGAAACTCACCAGTACAGAGGTAAGGTCAAATGGCGGAAATCAGACGGCGAATGGAGGAACCTGCCTGGAACGCAGCACTCCTACATACTAGCTACCATGGTTTCCAACCTCGAGGAGCATTTCCAGATCTCACCTGCCACGAAACCTCTCGACGGGAGCCTACGACTCGTCGCCATTGGTGCTGAATCGGCCTCTGAAATCATGCGAATACTCCAGCTAGCCTATCAATCTGGGAAGCACGTCACAGACCCGAAGGTTACATATGAAGATATCGAGGCCTTGAGGATAGAATTTGACGAGGAGGACGAACAGTGGAGGATGGTTTGCGTTGATGGGAAGATCGTGGCAGCAAGTCAAGGCGGCTGGGTCGAAGTCACAAGGATTCCCCCTACGGGTATGGACGCAAGAAGGGTCGTCGAGTTGGTGTGCTAGGGAGACGGGGGAATTTATGAGGTTAGACGCACAGACTACCGAGTACTTGTAGGGGGTTCTTGTCTTCCAGCGATCGGCCCCAGTGTCAGGACAATAATGCTCACTGGCTGGATGATGATACACAGCACGTGTGCTTGTGTGGTAATCCAGAGTTAGATAGGTACTTACGGAGTACTAGGTACCTAGGTAGCTCTGGGTATCTACGGCCGTCAAAATGTGTAGAAAGGGGGCGGGGAGCCCAAAACACGTGATGGCATGTGAACTTGAGGTCACCGGGCGCTTTACCTTGTTGGGACGCAGCAGCCGAGTATCCGCTTGTTGCGCTCACGTTCCAATTGAACGACGGTCTTGCTTCGCATCGGCAGCAGTCAAAGCAGGCTTCCCTCATCAGCCGGTACTACTACTCAAGTAACCAGCCTGGCCACAGACTTGTCATCACTCACACTAGTTCTGAGAATCAACTTTCCTCTCATCCAATCTATCCTCTCGGCATTCCAGTCGGAATACAGCGTGGCTGTGCGCAGTACGAAACAGCAGCAATGCCCGCCTAACGTTTCCAGCTGAACCCTTTTAGTGAGACGACAAGTCAGCGCTTTCATCTAACCGCTGATAGATCTTTATTGAAGAGAGGCGCTGTTGGGCGTCTACGGGTGTATTTCTCACCCAAAGAAACGAAGAAACTCAGAAGAAGTTGAACAACAATCATCAGCGATCGCAAAAATGCATGGTTGGGGTATGTGTCGCATGTTTCTTCCGCAACTCTAGACGCACTTACTAACTGACAATTCCTGTTGCAGGCCTCTTCTTCTTCCTCCTCTTCCTCCTTCTCATCTTCGCTATCGTCGGATGGGTGGTCTACACACAATACAGCGCCCGCAAACAAGGCCTCCCTGCCCCGTCCCTCAAGTCATGGAAAACTTATATCCCGTTCCTCAAGCCTCAAGCCTCCTCAAACTACCCTGCCCCTCGGCACGCAGGACCCTTGGAATGGGCCAGAGATCAATTCGCCAAGCTGACCAGAAGGCGCACGGCAAGGGGAGCCTACGAAGAAGCCGGAAGCGGCGCTGATGGACTGGTGTCCGGCAGTGGAGGCAGAGGCAGAGGGGGAAGGGGCATGGAGGACGACGCATGGGATACGCGTGTAGGGAACGAAGACCCCTACGGCCCAGGAGCGGGCGGATATTCCGGGTACGAAGAACAAGAGCTCGGGTTAGCCCCGACACCGGGATTGCAGAACGAACCCTACGGCGGCGGTGCCTCCCGTGGTGCTGGCGGTGCTGGCGGAGGAGACTACTTGGGTGCTACGGGAAGCGCGGGGTATTCCGACATCGACGTCAGCGGAGGCGGACGAGGTCGCCCGGGCAGTTCTTCCAGAGACAACCCCTTTGGCGATCAGCATGAAGCTCCAAGACTGAGGAGCGTGAGCCCCAGACCGGATGCAGAAGTCATCTCTACGAAAGGCCACACGAAAGGAAACCAGAGTCTGGACACCCAGGGCAGTGGCAGTGGAGACGGCAACTCGAGTCCCATCAGCACGAGGAAAAGCGTCTTTCGAGAAGGTATATAGCGGGCATGACGAGAACCGAACGATGACGACAAGAGAGCAGCGCAGAGGCTGGTGAGGGCGCGAATGATGCTTGTGTCGATGAACATCGCAATAATACCAGGCCATGTCGAAACTCATTTGGTGGTGTGCTTGCAATCTTGTATGAGCTTGGAGGGAAAAGACTGAAAGCAGACACGACGAACATGGTCAAAAATCTCTTTGTTGTTGCCCTGAGAGAAAGTGAGAGAGTCAATTGGATGCTTTGTCCTTGTATACACGGTCGTTTTGGGAAACGGGACAGACATGATCACCCCAAAAATCTCGGGAGTTTTGGTAGGTAGGTCCTGGGGGTTGTGTCCTTGGAGACTTGTCTCAAAGCCTTACTATGTAGGAAGGGAGGAAAATACGATTAATGACCAAGCCAAAGGTCCTGCATATATGCATGTCTACTGCCTTTTTGCTTTCGTCGCTTTTCTCCTTGAAATGCCGTGAATGGACCTCTCTGTACATAATTCCCATCTTATCCCGGCTTGCCTGTTTCGTTGCCGATGGCTGGAGATGGGTGACGGACTCGCCATTTTATCGACCGTTTTCTTCGCCCAGCTTGCGTATAACATCCAAACCTGTTGATGAAGTATGTCTACAGATTCACGACTCGGGGTTTATTCAACAACTGAGTCGTCGTCTGATACGCCAGGGCGCCATTGACCATGTAACCTCCCTGCCGTGCGCCTCCCCACAGTCGTGTCCACAGGAGGCCTACCACATCTTCAACCACGCAGTCGAGGCCCTTCCACCACAACCGTAAATCCAGCAGCTCGGCAAAGGGCATGCGATGACTGGCAGGGGTGTCTGCGGGCTTCTTGTACGCTGCGGCCAGAAATTCTTCGAATGTACGCTGGCTTCTGTCCCACCAGACGGGTTCAACGCCGTGACCAGAATGGATATGTCCAAAGGCATGCAGCGTAGGTCTGACACGCCATACCTCCGTCAACTCGAACTCATCGCCCATGCCTCCACTGGTTGGTAGGTCAAGGTGCCATTTCGGCGGGCCATGGGTGACTAGCACGTCCGTTTCGTCAGGGATGGTATCGCTCCAAGCATCTTTACCTCTTGTATATTGAAAAGCAAACTCCTTGCCCCCGCATTGAGGTATCTGCGGAGCGCCGTAGACATGCAAGGTGCGCGGGCCGGGAAAAGTGAGTTCGACCGACGAGTGCTGTAGGTAGTGGATTTTCCCCCAGTCTAGCTTGCGGTTGGAACTTCTCCTATCATGTACAGAACGGCTGCGCTCGTCAAAATAGCTATCGTGGTTCCCCGCCACCACCACAATATGGCGAAATCCATCGGAGGAGCCGGGCCAGGGCTTTTGAAGAGTTTTTAGCCAGTCTATGGTTTGCTGGATGGAGGAGAGCGAGCCGGTGTTCGTAAGGTCGCCGGAGTGGATTAAGAGGTCGCCCTTGGGGATAGCTGAGCGTGGGATCCGGCTGTGGGTGTCCGAGAGGCAGACGACGCGGATGGGGATTTTGTTTTTGGGTGCGATGTACGGGGCACCGCGGAGGTAGAGAAAGATGTGGTGGAGGAAGGTAAAGCAGGTAGTCATAGGGTGGTAGATGAGCTGGTAGATCAGAGAGGGAGGTGCGTAGGGAGAGTCAGGAGGCGAGAAGAGGCCCATCTTGTAGGTGGGTTGAGTTGAAGGGTAGGCACGAGCTTGTCTCTTGTCATAGAGAGAGGTGGCTGTGGTGCGCAGAGGCTAGTGAGGCTCGTGAGTCCATGTTGTGCGTCTTCGAAAATCAATACGCGCTGCGAGGCTTATTTAGTGAATGTCCAGCATGAGGACCTAGAGACACTCTTCACGGGATGTCTTGGGGCCGTCGTGTTCCAGCGTCCAAGTTGTGGAAATAACGGACAGAGTGCAGCGCAGGTGGTTGAGTTCCTAGATGGCGCAAGTGGCTTGCCCAGGAACCGCAGCTCAATCCATGTTGAAACGAATAGCCAGTACGAGGTACCGGAATCTCTGGATCTTACAAGGTACTCCTTAGTCATGGCATGGATAGCACGATAGCATAGAAATCTACAAAAGCCTTGGTTTGAGCACTGAAGCACTGCAGCACTGAACTCACCCCGAGTCACCGCCAGCCTCTCTACCGTCACTCTCCCTCGCCCTCGATCGATATCGACATCGATATCAAACGCAAACAAATCCACTCCAAACAAACCTTCCGAAGAGACCCCACCACCGCTGCTCCTTAGCTGTGATTATCACAAACTGGTAGCTTTGGCATGAATCGTCATTGGCAGGTTTCACCAACCTCGAAATCGATATCACCATCGCCGCCATCTCCGGCTCATACAGGCAGTGTGTGAGTGTTTGCCCAGCTCAGCAGCTCCTCATTCGTTCCTTGCCCTCCGACTCGATTCGATCACAGTCCAAAACGGGTCTCGTTCTCCCCCAGCGTTTGCTCATTTCTTGGATCCTTTTCGACACCAACCTTATAGCTTCCATATTCTCTGGATAGCTGTCCATGTTCCTCGACCCTATAGCGTCGCCCTCGCCCTCGCTTTTCATGTCCACAATCGAGTAACCGCCAGGCGCGTGGTTGGGTGCCCTGCAGTTCAGTCCGCGAATCACATCCGCCATCCCGCAGCACGCAGCACGCAGCACGCAGCACGCAGCTTTCAGCGCACGTTTTGTTCCCTTCGGTGCCTCTGCCCGACTCGATCCAGTCTCCAAGAGTGAGGCCGCCGCAGCCGCGCACTTTTGAGTCTGCAGGAAACGTGACAATTCTCAAACAAGACAAAACATACAGATTAGACATAATATCATCCCGCCGGCGCCGTCAGCATTCTCTCTTACATGACAGGGCGTGGTCCGACCCCCCGAAGCGAAGATTCCACCCCAGCGTGCCCAGTCTAAGGTACTCAGGGCCTGAGATCCACCGCCATCTGGGAACGACGGCCTCCACGGCTGGTCACTGCACGCCGCCGTAATTCACTGCCACTGCCACGGCCACTGCCACTGCCACGGTGGGTGAGCTGCGGTGACTGCGTCAATCCTCTGACGCTCGCCGCTCGCAGATCCTGTCACCATCACACACCAGGCCAGCTCGGGCTTAACCCTCGTGGCCCAACTGCGCCCAAAAGGCCCATCCCCTTCTAATCTCGACTGCAACCTCGAAATATCTTCCACAATTCCTCCATTATCGGCCGCTGGCCCTGCAAAGGGACCAGGCTCTCAATATTCCAATAACCTGTTGGCCGCAAACGCTGCCGTCTTCGCCATGATGAATGGCACCGACCTGAAGAAAGCCGCCATCAGCCAGGCCAAGAAGGTCGCGACAACCGCCGCTCTGGCAGCAAACGGAAATGGTCAAAAGAAACGGCGGAAAGGCGACAACCTCAAGCCCATCATCACAAGCGAGAACGCGACTGCGTCGAGTCTTCACGATAGCCCCACTCCAGCAGACCCAGAGTAAGTCACTTGCTCCAGTCACTCCTCGCAGCCCTTACAGCCCTCACCTTGTCACCTGCAATTCCTCGTTCACGTTCACGTTCACGCGCTTTGTCATCCCTTTGCACATGACGTCGTGATTGATCGCAGATGCAATGTCTTGTCCTCTTTTTCGACTAAATCTGCCTTTCAACTGATCGTCCTTTCCTCAGCGCTATGGATTCGCCTCTGCCTCACGCGAAGGTCCCTGCAAATAACTCACATATTGACAGATCCCCCTCATCTTCCACCTCCGAAGACGACCCCGCCGAGACCACTGCGGACGAAGAAGACTCCGAGGATTATTGCAAGGGCGGATATCATCCCGTCCATGTGGGCGAAACATACAACAATGGCAAATACGTGGTGGTGCGGAAGTTGGGTTGGGGTCATTTCTCCACCGTCTGGCTTTCAAGAGATACAACAACAGGCAAACACGTCGCCCTCAAGGTGGTTAGATCGGCGGCGCACTACACAGAAACAGCCATTGACGAGATCAAATTATTAAACAAAGTCGTTCAAGCGAACCCGAATCACCCTGGTCGAAGATATGTCGTCAGCCTCCTTGATTCCTTCGAGCACAAGGGTCCCAATGGTGTCCACGTTTGTATGGTCTTTGAGGTGTTGGGAGAAAATCTGCTGGGCCTCATCAAGAGATGGAACCATAGGGGAATTCCCATGCCGTTGGTCAAACAGATCACCAAACAAGTCCTTTTGGGGCTGGACTACCTACATCGTGAATGCGGCATCATTCACACTGATTTGAAGCCTGAAAATGTCCTGATTGAGATCGGCGACGTTGAACAGATTGTCAAAGCCTTTGTCAAGGATGAGAAAGAATCCACAAAAGACGACAACAGAAATGGGCGGAGACGAAGACGGACTCTGATCACCGGAAGTCAACCTCTGCCCAGTCCGCTTAATGCCAGCTTCACAAACTTGGATAAACTTGGGGGCCACCATCACGCCCCTAGTAGCCTGAATCAAGTTCTCAACGACTCGGTCGCGAACAAATCGTCAGACGGCCTGTCGATGATTGAGCAGCTGAAGCTGAAGGCGAAAGAGAACAAGCCGAACGAGGAACAGCCTACCGGTGAGAAGGGGAGAGAGGGGACGACAGATCCTCTAGAGAAGGACTTGGCTGGGGTATCCCTCGACAATAAGAAGTCGTCGGATGCTGAAAAGGTGTTGAAGGCGGCCAAGAATGAGGACGACCCTCTAGGCGAGATTATCTCGGTCAAAATCGCAGACCTGGGAAATGCCTGCTGGGTGGGCCATCATTTCACGAACGATATTCAGACTCGGCAATATCGGTCGCCGGAGGTGATACTGGGTGCCAAATGGGGCGCCAGTACCGATGTGTGGAGCATGGCATGCATGGTACGCTGCAATCAGTGGAAATCCGTTGCGCACACTAACAATCTCCAGGTGTTTGAACTGATAACAGGCGACTATCTCTTCGATCCACAATCTGGAACCAAATACGGCAAAGACGACGATCACATTGCGCAAATTATCGAACTGCTTGGGCCCTTCCCGAAATCGCTGTGCCTGTCCGGGAAATGGTCACAAGAGATCTTCAACCGTAAAGGCGAGCTGCGTAACATACATCGACTGCGGCATTGGGCCCTGCCCGATGTGCTACGGGAGAAATATCATTTCTCAGTGGAGGAGGCCAAGCGGATCAGTGATTTCTTGACTCCCATGCTCGAATTGCCCCCGGAAGCCCGTGCAAACGCGGGTGGCATGTCGAATTCGGAATTCCTGAAGGGGGTCAAGGGCATGGAGAATGTCAATGTCGACGTGCCTGTTGGATCCAAAGGTGAGGGAATTGAAGGATGGGCGTGTGAAGTTAAAAAGCGGTGATCCGGGTCCCGGCTTGTATGCCTTGAACGAGGGTATCGAGGCTTTGGGAAAGGGAAAGATTGCTGGGTGGCAATGATGAGATTTGTATCAGATTTTGGCACGCAGTCAGGGTGCTTCTCATCTGAAGGTGTCTTGTGAATGACGCGAATGAAACGAGCACGATCGCTGGACCAAGAAATGAGGCGCAAATACACGGTTTCACGTACAGAATAAATGACTTCTTCGGCGGGCTGGATGGCTTTCTGGCTGCCTTTCGACGACCGATCTACGACTTGTTGACCCTACTTTTCCCCCGCCGGTCTTGTTCTCTGCAATCCAGAAAACCTAGATCGTCCTGAGAACTGTCTGTCTGTCTGGGCGAAGTGCCTGGGCTTGATATGGTTGGGCCGCTTCACCATCCTGTTGCTAGTGGGGTTGCCTCCATCCTCGAATATCTGATTCACACCTTCTGGCATCCCGAGCATGTCCTGTACCTACCTAGGTAGCCAGATAGAAGATTGTATGTTGTTGTTCAGATACCGGTATATCCAGCCCCAAGTTTCTACCTACCTACCTAGGTAGTTCTCGACAAAAGAAAGAATGAAATGTGACGTGACTTTTCAAAGTTGTGTGGTGCATCGACAAAGCGCGCGTCGACGGCCTAATCAATGTCAATGACGGACGGGTCTCGCGGATCGAGGCCTTCCCCGTCTGCTCGCCTAAGCTGCAGGTGGTTTTTGAACCTTGCGTGATTTCATTTTCTTCTACTCTTAATGGCAGTGGTTAAAAATTCTATTTCTTTTGGTATTTTTCTATAGGTAAAAAGGGCTTTGGTTCCAATTCAGATTCGTGACAGGCGTCGGATGGTTTTGACGTATAGTTAGACTCTGTACATAAGTTTACATGGGCGGAGACGAGGCAGGCTCCTGTAGTTGGCCCTTTCTGTCTCTCTCTCTGTGTTGGGGGGGTGTGGTAGACCTGAGAGGCTCCAGTACACATACACTGCATGTTCTTCATAACCTAAAGATCGCCTTAAGACGGTGGTGACCCTAGCGACAAGGTCGACTTCTTCATCTTCAGAACCTGGGACCGCGGTGACGATAGCGTGGCGCCCACTAGACCTGGGCCCGCACTGTGGCGGTGCTGTTGCTGCGGCGGCGCAGTCCTTCTCTCCTCCTCCTCAGTTGATGCTGTTGTGCGGCCATTGACGCTCGATGAGTTATGGCTCCAGCGCGAATTCAAGACTGGAATGGGAGGCAGAAGCGCGGGCGAGAACGGGAACGGCGAGTCAGGCACGTTGGATATGCTCTCAGACGGGGTGATGGACTTGTGCAATCGGCGCGGTGAGTTGAAGGTGGATTCCGGCGGAGACGGGGTCGAGAAGTGCGCCGCCGACGGCGTCGATGGTGGTAAGGGGAAGTCCATGCCGAGGCCGCCGACTCGGAGGCTGGCGGGAGGACAAGGGATATCGGGCACGCGGCTCGTGGCTTCGGGTCCCTGGCTTGACGGCGTGGCCAGGGCAGGGTGGTGGCGCGACACAGGAGTGGGAGGATTGTTTGCGAGGCCGTTGGGATGCCGGAAGAGAGCATTATCCGTATTTCGAGGCCCAGCGTCATCGTCCCCGTCCTCCACGTCCAATTGGAAAGCATGACTCCCGTAGCCGCCCGAAGTGTATGCCGGAGGGCGTATCGGATAGTCATGCAGGCTTGGTGTACTGCTTTGAGAGCGGCCATGTTGTGCGGCATCTGGGCCGTGAGCAGGGTTGTTTCTCGAACCAGTGCGGTTCAGCGTCGGTGGAGGACCGCGTCTAGCCGTGACGGGAAGTGCTATAGCTGTATCCCTAGCCAGCGACAGTGTTGGACCGGCGGCCGCCTCAGACATTGGCGGAGCGGCTTTTGGAGCCGTTCCATCTTCTTCCTCTCCAGGTAACCTCTGCGCTTTCCGTGCTCGATAGACTGCCCATCTGGCCCTGAGTGGAGTGCAATAGCGGAAGAGAAGGTAGGCGGCCACGACAGCAGCCACGGCGCCCAGCAGTGATGGAACTATAATACCCGCTTTCGCGATGGGGTGGTCCGAAGCATTAACAGTCTCCCTAGAAGCAACTGGGCTGGTTGATGCTGGTGTCGCCACTCCGGTACTTCTATCTGGCTGAGGCACGACTTCAGTGGGGCTTGTGGTGAAGGAGCTGGGGAATGTTGAACTGGTGGACAGAAGTCCTGAAGAGGTGTTGATGCCTATTGTATCTGTCGAGGTCGGTGGGTATGCTGAGCTGGAAGTGGACGTAGTGGAAATGCTTGTCGTCGAATGTGTGGGGAATGGGTGACTGCGCGTCTTGGACGGCGCTGTGATCGATGACTGATATTGGGACCCCGTGGCTGTTGTGGGTTCAAACGGGTTTGGAGTGTCGCTGTCATCCTCGTCGCCCGAGGAATTATCCATCCCCTCGTCCTCGTCCTCGTCCTCATTCTCACTGTCGCCGTCACTAGACGTCGGATCCGGAGGAAGGAAGTTGTTCTCGGGTAGGCCTGAACCCGTTGTTAGCGTCGAGGGGGAAAGAAGTCACAGCGTGGAAGAAGCAGGTGGACATCGGTGATAGCAGACTGGATATCGGTGACACCAACTCACCTTGCCTCTGTACAAATTTTGGTTTCTCGAATCTATATGAACCCTTGCTTCGTTTTGCTTTCAATGGAGCGATTTTGGACCTGTCAAGCCGTCCACGGAGATTGGTGGCAGGCATCGTGAGCGGCCACTGCCTTCCAACAACTTCCAGATTGTTTATGTGGCCCAGGAATGAGATCACAAGAAAAGCATCGATGGAACAGAAAGGAGACCGCGAAATGAATTATGTGCGAGGAACCAGCCTCAGCATCGGGAAACCAACAAAACAGGGAACCAAGAGACAAGGAAATTGAGCTCGACCAGCGATATACGAATACAAGGAGGAAGAGAACGAGAAAGGACGAGAAAACGTCAAGTCGTCTATCAACCCCCGGCCCCTGTTGTGGACTTACCGACTCTGCTCCAGGTATGCATGCCCCGAGGGGATGATGCAGATTGTGAGGCACCATCGCGGGATCTGTTTTGCATACGTATCCCGTCCAAGCCCCGTATGTGTCGTACCTCTAGCAGTCGCAGTAGCAGATTGGAGCGACGGAAGTCTTGTTCGGCACTCGACTGCTGGCAATTCCCCACACTGATCGAAACCACGGGGCTCGACACAGGGCAGCGGTGAGTCTGAGACGACCTTGGCCCATGGGTCAAGAGTCAAGACTGAGCAAGAAGCAGCAGTGTATTATCAGCGTGCCAGAGCTCTGAAACAAGCCAGGGTCAGAGCCTGGTGGAGGTGGCCGACTTGGCGACAGAGGCGACGCAGGCGACGCGCAGTCTTTGGTCTCAGCTCTCGTAACCATCTTTGATGTGTTTGTAACAATATTAACCCATCGAAGCGTCGCTGTGTGTCCCGAGGAGATACACCTGATGTCCTTGATGTGCTTGATGTGCTTGATGTGTTGGGCTCGACATAATATGGTTGACAATGGCAGGGCGGATGCTAGCTAAACAGCTAGTCATTGACTATTCGCCTCCTTCAGTCTAGGTAACGTCTGGCTTTCCCCTTTTTCTCTCCTCATCCCGCAATAAGGTCATTTGCCAGGGTATGTACGAGGTACAGAGTAACGAGCAATTATTAATTAACATCCAGCAATGTTTCCCCATTGGAGAGACACCGACTCCCCAACTTCGAGTCCCAAAAAGGGCAACTTGGCCATTTCCATCCATCCGCCATCACCAGCCATTGGCAGTGTTGTGGAGGGGAAAAGCCCCAAGGTAGGATCTGCGCCATGACAGTCCGGGGTATTAATATTATTACTATCATGTTTCTTCTTTGAGACTCTGCTCTCTGCTGACGAAGGAGACGGCGAGTGTCCGCCCGGTGTTGTACCCGACCAGCTCAACCAAACTCCGGGTCTCCAGGCCGACTCGATGGGATTCCAGAATAAAACCCTTACACGGTCATAATAGCACCTGTTGCTGGGCACCTCCAGATCTGGCGGCTCTCGAGAAAAGAACAACGCGCTGCGATATGCTAGTGATGGAGCCTAAGGGCAACGGAGATGAGGGCGATCGGCCCCAGAGCATCGACGCAGCCGCCGACGACGACGAGGAACGAAATGCTGCCGCCATCTTCAAGGGTCCCTTAATTCGAAGCGCTTTCCGGGCTTTGGTCCAAGACTTCAGTCCCATATGGTATGTCCTACGCGCTACACCACACGGTTACTCTTGATAGGTGTTTTTTGGGCGAAGTCTCTGACAAAGTTATGGTATGTAGGTTCACCTGGTGTATGAATGCCGGCGTCATCGGAACTCTCCTCCATCAACTACCATACCAGTTTCCGGGCCTGCATGTGCTCTCGACGATTGCATTTACCATCGACCTTGTTCTCTACATCTTCTTCTCGGTCATCTGCATCCTGCACTTCGTCATGTACAGACAACGAGCGTACAATGAACTCGTCGACAACGTCTTGGACCTATGTCTGTTCCCGTGCTGGTCGATCGCCTTCATGACGCTGGTGTCGTTCGTCACCCTGACCGTGAGCGAGGCCCCGTGGGGCGGCCATCGGTTCACCATCGTGGCGTGTGTCATGTGGTGGATTGCCGCGACGTGGAGTTTTGGCATGTTGCTTTTCGTCTTCTCGATCCTCATCCAGCAGCACACTATCCTGGACCGCCAGCTCCCGACGCTCATCATCATCCCCGCCGTCGGGGTGGCCACCTTAGCAGCGGTCGGGGGCGTCTTCGCGTGCTTCGCGCACGAAGTATCTGCGGGACTCGCCGTCCCTGTCATCATCATGTCTCTGTGTGCGGTCGGGGCGGGCATTTTCCTGGGGCTGATCCTGTACACGTACCTGCTTCACCAGCTGCTCGCAAAAGGGTGGCCTGCTCCCCCAATGACCGCCACCCTGTTCATCCTCGTGGGACCCATGGGACAGTCAGCCGCGGCGCTCCAATTGCTGGGCGCGGCGGCCAGCACGCACGGACACTTTGGGAGCTATGACCGAGGAGTCTTCCTGACAGCGTCGGCAGCCGGATCGCTGCAGGCGACGTGCATCTTCCTGGCGCTGTTGATGACCGGTCTCGGCGCGGTCTGGCTCGGCTTCGCCCTGATCGCCATGCTCAATCGGCTCGTCCGCCGCGAGTTAATCTGGGCGCCGACGTGGAACGCCATCATCTTCCCCACGGGCACGCTGACGACCGCGACGTTGCTGCTGGGCACGGATCTCGACTCTGCCTTCTTCAAGATCGTCACCGTCATCCAGGTCATCTTCTTGATCCTCGTCTTCTTCATCAACGCCGCCTTCACCCTGCTGAAAATCTGGAGAGGCGAACTCCTCATCGTCAGAGAAGATCCCAGGCTGAAGCAGGTGCTCGGAGGGGGGAAACCGAAAGCGACGTAGCAGAAGTTGAATGTCATGCCATGCCATATAGAGCCGTTAATGTGTGTATACAAATATATATATATGTTTGAGTCATTTGTCGTCTTCTGACACTCCTCTACCACAAGCTTCATCCTGACTATTGTAAAACGCCCCCGTCTTCCCATGAGCACGGCGGGTGTTCATGCCTACCAGAGGTCACGTCTAATGAGTCCATGTTCAAATGAATAGGGGGGAAAGCTAGACTTCAAAGATCCCTGCACGAAGGTCATAATGGGAGGCCCTTTCAAAGGCAGGAATGTAAAACAAGAGGTTTTGAAGCAAGAACATTTGAGGTGCTGGGCGATGCCAACCGTACGCGCGTCATTTGCAGGGCATCAATCATCCCTCAACCTGAGATAGATACATGTGCGGCGTGCGCAGAAGTCATTCCCACCCGGCAGCAAAGGCTGCATGTGGCTGAAACCTTCTCAGCATTGTGGACCAGGATCCTTTTTCATCATCCACCAGTCTCATCACTTTCAATGGCCCTTCCAGTAGACATAGATAGAGGGGACCAGAAGGCAGTAGCCTCATCGACCTCGTGAGATCGTCTTGCGTGACCATGTCTCATCTCTCCATGCGTGCACGCGACGCAGCCTCAAGCATTAATGCCTCTCGGATACAAACATGTCAACCTCAAGCCTTAATCGCCCCTCCCAGCGCTCCCCCACTGAATTGCTGCCCACCGGGCCTCCTCGCTCCTTGCTGTCCCTGTCTCGGCAGACCGGGCAACCCGGTCCTGCCTCCGGTTCTTCCACCCCTGCCTGCTCCTCTCTGTCCCTGGGCTGAGAACGCGTTGACCATACCCGCGGTCCTCGTCTCCAGCACCTTCTCATTCGACTCCAAGATACCCATCGCCTTTTCGCTGAGGGTGATGACTTGGCTTTGCAGGCGCGAAAGCTCCACGCCCTTGCGGAAGACGATGGCATCATTGACCTGATCGAGTGCAGCGGCGAGTTCCTCATGGGAAATCATCTTGGACACCACCGCGGCAATTTTCTTCGAGTCGAGTTCGAACATGCCCGAAAGTGTGGTGATGGAAAGAGTGTCGTAGTACGGAGCGTAGGTGAACAGGTACGTCCGGAGGCCTTCTTCCTGGATCTGTTCCGCCAGCATCTTCTTGACCTTTTCCTTGTTTTCAAGGCCAAGGAGATCCCAAATGCCAATTTTGCTGATTAGTTCCTGACATTTCTTCCAGTCGCCCTGAGCAAGAGCCTTGGCAGCTTGCATGACATGGTCTCGAGTATTTTCCGGGGGGCCCTGGAATACTTGTCGCTCCGTGTACTCGAGCATGCGGCGGAACGTTTTGGAAATGACACGCTTGCGAACGTCCGGGGATGAGCCGGTTTGAGCGAGCAGGGGAATTTCCAACAACATGCTGCAGGTCAGGTAGACACATTCGAGCAACTCCAGATTGATGTGCATGTGGAAAGGAAGTTGACGCTGCCGCTCAAGGCGTTCTTGCTCCGGCGTTACGGTCGAATACCGCTGCATGATGACGCCCTGAGCGAGGAGTTCCTTCTGCCGTCCAGAACCGCAGATCTCCTGTAGGACACCCTGCGCCTCGTAGCAAAGACCTGCACGGAAGGCGCAAAGACCGATTTGCACGAGAGTGCGGTTGAAGAGGATCTGTGTCGAGACGTCGAAGGAAGAGATGTTCTCGGTCAAGTGGCTCATCAGTGCAAGATCACGGGCACGGTAGTAATCATCCTGTAGGGCCAGGAAGTAAATCTCGCAAAGCATCGCACGCGCACGGATGATGCCCTCGCTGTACTCGAACAGATGGTTGCAGAGCGTCTGGACAAGCGCAGCAACTTCGGTGAATTTTCCTCGTGGCGTGAGCTCTGAGTCTAGGGAAGACGGAATGGCGCCCCAGGTCTTCTCTTCGAGGATCTTAACCACCTGCGTGGGTTTGAAGTAGATGTGCTCTAGCCGTCGGATGGTTGTGCGATTGATGTTGTCTTGCTTGTTCTCGGACTTCTCCAATTTCTTGTTAATGGTTTCGATGTAAATGAGTGTCCGCACAATGTCGGTGTACAAAAGCTGCTCGTCACTCAGCCTCTCGATGTATTCTGCTGTGTGGGGGTCGGTCTGTTGAAGGGAGCGGGTCAATTCATCGTCCAGTCGTTCGACAAGGGATACAATGCTGCCTGGAATCTTGAAAATCTCGCCTGCGGCAGGGTTTGGTTGTTTATCATCATCTTCCCATTCTTCAGCCACCTCAGTCACCATGTACTGAGGCTCATCTTCCAGTGTTTGCAGCAAGGTTGAGAATTCGCGTTCTGCGGATCGCCACGACTCTTGTGACATGTAGGCCTGGACCGAGGATGTGGTGACGTCGAACCTTGTGGAGATCAGAGTCAAGAGAACCCGTATCCGTTGATATGGTGTGCTAGCAACGTCCAAAAGTCTCTCCATGATGCGGATTTGCTCAGACCGATCTGTGTTCTTCTTTCCTCTTGACTCGATGATTGTGCGGAGATGTTTCAGGATACTCTCCGGTGTGTAGACAAGAGCTTTGCCACCTCGACCGACCGTCGCAAAGCCTTCTTCATCTATGGCAGCCTCAATGGCGTCCAGTCTCTGAACCTTGTTCTTGCGAGTCCTCTGTTCCACTTCCAAAGGCTCTTCATCGTCCGACTCCATGAACTCCTCCTTGTTCGCGCGATATTTCTCAATCTCGGTGACGTACTCTTTGTTGTTCTTCCGAATCTTTTGTTTCATGGCATTGAAACCCTTTGCATTGATGGGATTCATCTTCTTTGCGCCGGATTTCTGCTTGTCGTTCGTCTCATTGATCATGTCCTCGAGATCGGCGATCATCTTGATGTAGAGTTTTGGAGTGGCGCCTTGTTGAGTGACCTTGACGACTTGTCGGTTCATTTTGTCAAACTCTGGGCGTACAGATCAGTACAGTTCCATTAAGCAGATCGGGCCACAAAGACGAACCTGAAGACACGACAGCCCAATCATTGATCTTCTCAGCATTCTCAATTGTTTTGATCGTGGCCTCCAATTCTTCAAATCTCTTGTCCTTCGCACTCTTGACCACCCTCTCACGATCCTCGTCTTCGCTCTCGTCGGATTCGTCGCCGCCAGGTCCTGAAGGCTTCAAGAAGCGGCTCGCACCCATACCACGACCTTCATCTTCACTAGATTCTTCCTCTGACTCCTCTTCCTCCTCCTCCTCTTCTGACTCTTCTTCCTCTTCTTCCTCGCGATCACTGTAGAGTTCTTCCTCCTCGGACGAACTGCTCTCGCTATCGGAGTCGCCTCCGTGAAAGAACCGCGACGACATTTTGATCAAATTTGGCTTCAAGTGTCAATCAAGGCGGAAATGTCGACGCAACAACCAAGGCTGAAGTGGTGTGGTTGTCGAAATGCTTCGGGTTGACTACGGTGATCGCAGGTGAGGCAAAGATTCTCAAAATTCTAGTTGAGTGCCAAGGCTGCCAAGCAAGTTGAAATGACGGGGGGTGTTAATGCTATTATAGCACTAAGCGAGTACCTAAGGTAGCGACCACTAGCCGTCAAGAGTAAAGACAGTATATCACTCTCTCACTGAGTCACCATGTACACGGTACTCGTATGGCGATTGTGCTCAAAGCCTCCTTTGGGGTCTATGAGTCACCGATGGCCCGTATCTACTGTAAAGATTCGAGTCTCCCTGGTCATTGTAGCTGACAAAATGATATGAGGAAATCCTACGAGGTATGTACAAGTCGTGTCATCGAACGGATCTTTGCCGGTATGCTTCTGCTTTCGAGTCCCCCCAGCTCGAGATGATGACCATACTACTACCTCGCAAAGGCTCCTTAGCTCTCCAGACTTTGTCCGTTCGCGTTGAGTCCCACCGTGGCATTGGGTAGAAGACAAAATACAGCCCCAACATTCCCTCCTTCACTATCTTGTCCAGTCCCGAATCTGCAACATCCTTCATTCAATGACTCTTCACCACGAGCCGCTCATGTCACACTGTGCTCACTCCGTCGCCCAAAGTCATGTCTCATTCATCATTGCAAATCTGAGAGGCATTCTGACGAGTTGAGGATCAAGTGCTTGCTATCCCTGAGAGCATTGGTTCCCATCGCAGCCTGCCGTACCTGGTCCACGACAACCCAACGGAGCATGATAGCAGTAATTTGTTTCCGGGAAGACTCAGATTCCCTTGGTTTAGTCAGAGCTTTGTTCAGAACTCACTTTCTCAGTCAGAGCTTCAGAGCCTGCTATTCCCAGCGGCGTCTTGTCGCAGATTTTTGTTTCTCTACGCTCGCGCGGCAAAGCTTGCTAGCTTGTTCACCAACGCTATTCTCTCACCAATCCGCGAAGGTGGTATTTGCATGTTGTTGACCTTCAGCGATCGAGTTAGATCTGGACGATCCCGCGGGCCCTCATGCTGCTTAGCTCAGTGCCATTGCGCCTTATTCATAAAGCTGTCACCCATCGCACCATCTTCCAATGTCCGGATAAAATCGCGATTTCTTTGATTTCGACTCCCACGTCTTCTGGCGGTCGATGGCGAATCGACGTACCCATCCGCTGGAGGTGGATAATACGCTGGGCTGGGTTGAAGTCTAATTGGTTGGTTCGGATCAAGATGGCTAGCAACGCGTTGAATGGCAGCAGGAATGCCGGCCTGCTGTTGATCCATGGTTGAGGCACGTTGACGGCCAGCCCTTTGCGTGGCCTGCGCGTATAGACTTTGTTGGTGATTGTAGTGACTCGGATTCATCTGCGGAGTTTGCTGCATCATACCCATTTGTGCAGGATAGTTTGACGAGTGAGTTGGATACGGTGGTGGTGCGCCTTGTGGATGGGCTGGGTACATATTGTTGTACATTGGTGGCGGTTGAGATGGTGGATAAGGAGTCATCTGCATCGCATATGCGTTCTGAGCCACTGATTGCGCCTGCGCTTGCGCCTGGGCATGGGCTGCCTGTGCTGCTTGTGCCTGAGCTTGAGCAGCCTGGGCAGCACGTTGCTTGCTGAGTGCTTCAGCTTGTTGTTGTTGCTGCACACCAGGCGCCGGGGTCTTGCTGGAGGGGGACTTCAGGTTCATGGGAGGAACAAATGGCTGGGTAAACTTTTGCTGCGTGATAAAAGGATGTAGCTTTGCTTGCTGAGGCGACCAGCGTTCTAAGGGGTTGATGGTGAGCAAGCCGCGAACAAAGTCGGTAAAGGCGATGCGATTGTTCATTTCTACTTGTGTCAGCAACTGCGTTCGTGTGGAATTGGTTTGCGGTCTTACCTCTTTCCACTTCGGCTTGTTTCATGTTCTTGCGGGGCATAGAATAGCTCCGAATGATCTCAGGAAGAGTGGTTGCTTGAAAGTACTTTTTGCTGGGCTGCTCTTTGACGTTGTGCTCACGAGAATACTGCTCCATGCTTTTGAGTCGATATGTACGACGACCGAACTCGTCTGTCGTCTTCTCGAAGAATTCCCCTGATTGCTTTCCCATCTCCAACATCCACGTCGGCGGCATCCCCAGCATTTCGACAATCCGGGAGACTTGGTTGTACTCGGACGAACCAGGAAAGAGCGGCAGACCAAGAAATAACTCCACAACAATGCATCCAAGAGACCACATATCAATGGCAGACGAATAAGGAAGACCCAGTAAAACCTCAGGAGATCGGTAAAATCGCGATTGTATGTAGGTGTAGACAGTCTGCCTTTCGTCGCAAGCAGAACCAAAGTCGATAATTTTGATGATTGGGCTTTCGAGGTTTTTCAGGAGGATGTTCTCCGGTTTCAGATCACAGTGGATCAGCCGCGCTTTGTTCAACAATGTCAACCCGTTAAGCAACTGTTGCGCAAAGACACGGACAAGTGTCGTGCTGAGACCTCGGAATTGATTCTGTTTGATCAACTCATATAAATTGACACTGAGAAGCTCGAAAACAAGACACAGGTGTTGCCGGTGAATGAACGTGTCTTTGAGCCGCAGAAGATGATGGTCGTCGTTTTTGTCGAGTTTCTGGTTTAGCAGATCGAGGACTGAAACCTCCATCATACTCTGATTGAAGTAGGCCGTGCGATTTTTGATGACCTTGACCGCAACGACTTCTTGGGTTCTCAAATTTTGACACTTGACCACTTGACCGAAAGTGCCCTGACCTAGGACATCTAGAATCAAGTATCTGTTCTTGTGGCCCGCCTCTTCACTACCCAGAATATCGTTGACGTAGAGAATGTAGTCGCTATCGTCGTTATCGTAGCCATCATTCTTTGTTCCTTTGCTCGGTTTCGTCAAAACCCGCCTCGGATTTCGGGATGACTCGTATTTGAAGCTAGGATTACATATTCTATACGTGGCTGGGAGATAGGTGGTGAGCGCTTGTAACGGGCTAATAAATCCGCCCTCTGGATTTGCCCGGCGGAAAGGTGGTTGGGCATTGATCTTGGGATTGAGATCTTGCATGGTTTTGACTTTTCTGAACTTGGGCACAGGTCCCAGTCCTTGATGCTGTGATTGTTGTCTTGACAGTGGAGCTGGTCGCGCGTTGCTCGCAGAGGCAGAATAATATGAATCGGGGCTCAACGTGGAGCTCTGGAGCGCAGGCCCATAATCGGACGGGTATCTCGTTGGGGTCGGGGGTTCAGTGTAGCGCTCGGCATTGTAGCTACTTTGACGAGGGGGAGACTGTCGCGTCGTCTGGGCCTGGTTGAGGTAGGAGAATGAGGGAGGATTCTGTGTTTTGGGACTGGCGACGTAGCCAGCACTTGTCGATTGAGCATTCATTGGGGAGTAGCGCTGAGCAGCTGTTGAGATTTCGGGGATATACTGGGTGGAGAGGCGGTGTTGGTGAGTCGGTCGTGGAGGATACTTGGTTCGGTTATAAGGATCTGCATCTTCCATAGGCACGTCGACCTCGCCGTTGTGCTCATAAGGATGCGATTGAGTCTGAGGCGTAGTGTTGGCGGACATGGCTGCTCGGATTTCCAGTTGTCTCTCAGTCAACTGTATTTAGGACAGTCCGTATTTCAGAGAGTTCCGTGCCGCGATGGGGCTGAAAGCTGGGCCGCAGTTATCTTGCTTGTCCTGCCGCAATCACACCGTCCACGCATACATCAAGCACGCACGATTGAGGCAATCAATCAAACTCAGGCCAGCGCGATCTCTTGCAGTGTGAGGTGAAGTCAGATCGGAAGGGCCCGTTGGACCTTCAGAGGGGTAGAGAGAGTGGCGGAGTGACGATGGTAAGCGCAGTCAAGAGAGACTGGTGGACCCAGGGCGATATTCGACGCATGGTAAGGGAAGGGCACGAGGCTCAACATAAAGCCATGGCGTTGAGAGTTGGTCGCTTCACAAGTGAGGGTGTTCTTCTCTAAGGATCGAGTAGAGGTGAGGGACTGGGAAGTGGTGAGCTGGCAAGGACTCGAGGAATTAGGTCGGCCCGAAAATGAGGATAGAGATGTCGTGGGGGAACAATGGGGGCGACGACAGGCTAACGTGAGGCAAGACAAGCTGTCTAGGTGTCTCAGTCTAATGCCACGACTATGAATGAAATCGGGTTGTAAAGAGGAAGTCTGGAGAATGTTTGGAGTTGTGAGAAGCAGAGTCGGTTGTCGAGTTTAGTGCCTGGCCTGGTGTGCATCAGCCATGGGTGCCAGGTATTGAGTCGCAGGCGGCTATTACCGCTCATTATTGGGCACCCAATAATGCCACCCATCCATTATTGATGATTTGGTCCGGGGCTTGTCACAGCCTAGAGCTGAAACTTGCTTGGGCACCCAGTCGGGGGTTCTCGATTTACGTAGTGGCAGGTTTGGGCAGGTAGGCCGATAGTGTCAAAGCCACCAAAATTTACGGTGACGCAGTGGCATGCTGAAGTGCCACCATGCACGAGGTATGGCAGCCTGAGATTCAAGTCAAAGGGCTTCCTCAGACATGATATAATATATGATTTCTGACTTCTTATTCCTACTGACGCTATTTAGGGAGACTGCACTGCACCTGCTTCTTCACTCCGAGCAAAGATTTGTGCCCGCCGCCCTTCTTTCCGCCGAGTCTTTTACCAAATCCCATTCCCGTCTAATCCGTATCCCAGATTGCCACTTTTGGGACTTCAAAGTGGCGTTTGATTTCTTGACGACATACAACACTCTATCTTACACCATACTCTCCTTTCACTTCCCTCTCTGCTAGTGACTTGACGCAAAAGTTATCGTGCGTAAAGATCCAGACTTCAAGCAGGATCTCTCTCTTTGCTCTCATGACGACATTCATTTTTCACATTCACTACTAAGGTCTTGACGCTTGTGATCATGGATGGTGAAAGAAAGGAGGATACCAACGACCATTCGATGGCTGAAGATGAGAAGACGGCCGAATTCTCTACCAGCGAGTCTGCCGAAACCCTTCGCCTTCGGAACCTTGACGCTCAAGTACGGGATCAGGATGACTTGGAACGGGATATCGGGCGGGAGGCAGATCGGCTCTTGTTCGAGCAAGCCCACCAGCGAGACCAACAGCGACTCGAGAAATCCAAGGCACAAAAGGAGAAATTACAGAACCAGATCAAAAAGACACGAGATGACATGCTTCGCCCCATAGGCACTACTCAACGAGCGCGTTTGCGTCTCGATGTTGATCGTATGCAAGGTCAAATCCAAGACCTGGACAATGACATTGCTGAGATCGAGGAAAGAATGAGGGAACGAGAAAGTAACGCAGGGAAGGCAGATCAACATGACGCAGCAGCCGCTGGACGCTTACCGAATGAAAGTCAGCGTGACTATCTGATCCGGACCGGCAAAATCACTCCTTTCTCCAAATTTGGCTTGACATCGCATGGAGAGTCTTCGACGACCTTGCAGGGGGCCCTTTTTGACGCTGAGGAAGAACCTGAAATCCCTGATGTCGAGCCTAGTGCAGAAGCTGGAAAGTCTATGTCCCACCGGAATTTGAGACAGCCCGGCTTTTCCACTGGTTTCACGGATTCAAGCGCAGAAGACGAGATTCAAGCCAACCAGTCCCGAAAGCGAAGACGTCTCATGAATCATTTGCCTACAAAGGACGAAGAGTCATCATATGACGAAGGCGGAGTCGAAGAAGAACCGTTTTCCGATTCCGAAGATGAACTTGATGACGAAATGCCGACTACGGCAGGGAAACGACAGAGAAAGAATCGGAAGGCAGTAGCCCAAGTCGAGGATGAAATTGAGGATTTCCGTGGTGTGGACGATGGCAACGAGTCCGTCTACAAGTCCAGGTTGCGAACATGGGCCTTGCGGAGACGGAGGGCACGAAAACATGCCGCGCGTAATACGACGAGAGAGGAACAAGAACAGGACGAAACAGACGAGGATGATCCAGATGCTGTCGCAGAGGAAGAAGCATACTTACCACATCCCGAGATTCCGGACACTCTTCTCGATGATGGCTACAGGTTACCAGGAGATATCTATCCCAGCCTATTCGATTATCAAAAAACTGGAGTGCAATGGCTCTACGAGCTCTACACTCAACAAGTCGGCGGAATCATTGGCGATGAGATGGGCTTGGGCAAGACGATTCAGATCATTGCCTTCCTGGCGGGCCTACATTACAGCAAAAAGCTGGATAAGCCCATCATTGTAGTCTGTCCGGCTACAGTTATGAAACAATGGGTCAATGAATTTCATCGCTGGTGGCCTCCTTTTCGAGTCACCATTCTGCATTCCTCTGGCAGCGGTATGGTCAACGTACGAAATGAATCCAGCAAAGAAGATATGCTGCTCGATCTTGAATGGGATCCAACTCGGAAACAGCAGCCGCTCACCACGGCTCAGAAGGCTGCTCGAAAGATCTTACGGCCAATTCTGGAGCAAGGAGGTGTGCTCGTGACAACGTACTCTGGTCTACAAACTTACGCACCTCTCCTGATCCCAGTCGACTGGCAGTATGCCATCCTTGACGAAGGACACAAGATTCGAAATCCAAACACGGCTATCACCATCTACTGCAAAGAACTACGCACTCCGAACCGAATCATCCTCTCTGGGACCCCTATGCAGAACAATCTTATCGAGCTGTGGTCTCTCTTTGACTTTGTCTTTCCCATGCGATTGGGCACGCTGGTCAACTTTCGCAATCAGTTCGAGATACCAATCCGACAAGGTGGATACGCGAACGCATCAAACTTGCAGGTTCAGACTGCATTCAAATGTGCAGAAACGCTCAAAGATGCCATCAGTCCATACTTGCTGCAACGCTTCAAGATCGATGTTGCCTCAGATTTGCCCAAGAAAAGCGAGCAAGTTTTGTTTTGCAAGCTGAGGCCCTTGCAGCGCGATGAATACAAGAGATTCCTTGGCTCGGGAGAGATGGACGCAATCATGAATGGCAAGCGTCAAGTTCTCTATGGGGTCGATATACTGCGGAAAATCTGCAACCACCCGGATCTAACAGATCACAAACGGTTGTCAATCAAAGCAGGATATAGATATGGGGACCCGTCAAAGTCCGGCAAGATGAAAGTTGTTGGTTCGCTCCTGGAACTATGGAAGGAAACTGGTCACAAGACTCTCCTATTCGCCCAGCATCGCATCATGCTTGACATTTTGGAGAAGTATGTGAGGTCGCTTTCGGGTTTCAAGTACAGGCGTATGGACGGAAACACGCCTATCCAGCTGCGACAGAGTATGGTCGATGAGTTTAATACCGACCCAGACCTGCATGTCTTTCTGTTGACAACCAAGGTTGGCGGGCTTGGGATCAATCTGACCGGTGCCGACAGAGTCATTATCTACGACCCTGATTGGAACCCCTCAACCGACTTGCAAGCTAGAGAAAGAGCCTGGCGATTAGGGCAGAAGCGCGAAGTTGCCATCTACCGTCTAATGACCGCTGGCACCATCGAAGAGAAGATCTACCATCGCCAGATATTCAAGCAATTCCTGACGAACAAGATTCTCAAGGATCCGAAACAGCGGCAGACATTCCACCTGAGTGATTTGCACGATCTCTTCAGTCTAGGAAATGAAGGAGAGCCGACCGAAACGAGCATACTATTTCAGGATGCGCAGGTCAAGTCTTCTAAGCCAGCTAAAGCTCCCGAAGTGAACGAAATGAAATCCGAAGGACAATCGTCGAGCATTGCAGGGGACACCACGATCGGCGCTTTACCAGGTATATCATCTATGGAGCAGTTTGCTGGGGAGATCGAAGAAGAGGAGCAGGCGAACAAGGATGGCGCCAACAATTCCGAAGACAGGATGATGGAAGGCATCTTTTCACGTGCTGGTATTCACTCCGCGGTCGAGCACGATGCGATTATTGACGGGAAAGCTGGAAAGAAAGTCGCGGCCGATCCGGCTTTGGTGGAACAAGAGGCGAGAAAAGTGGCTGCTGAAGCGGCTAGAGAATTGCGACGTGCTGGTGAGGTTGCCCGCACTGTTCCAATAGGTACGCCCACTTGGACCGGACAGTTTGGTATCTCTGGCCGTCCTCAAGAGACAACGGCACAGCGGGCATTCAGCTCCAACTCCCGGAGCAGAGGTAGTGGAGTTCAGTCGTCTAGTCTTCTGGCGAACCTGCAACAGCGCCAGGGAGGGCTTGCACCAAGCCGAGACAGCACTCCAAGAACAGCCAGTCCTGCTAGATCCACAGGCTCGACTGCTTCGGGTTCCAGAGATACGACACCAACTTTGCCTCAAGGCAAGGACTTTGGTAAACTCATCCGCGATTACCTCACGACCCATGGCGGAAGTGTATACACTCAGATGCTGATCGACCACTTCAATCGCTTCTGCACTACTCCACAGGCGACCCTGGAGTTCAAGGAGACCTTGAAATTGATTGCCAGGTTGGAGAAGGGGAGCCGGGGACGCGGGCGCTGGGTGCTGAAGGATGAATATAGGAGGTAAAGGGTTGGAGCCCTTTACAACCAGAGCTCAAGCCGCATTGAATAGAGCGTTAAGATCACCCACCTCAGAGCATTTGTCTAGCTCCATCTCGTAAGGTCAATCAGTCACTCTCGTCGAGTAGTCCTTGTGGTGACCAATACTCCGGCTCTGGACACTGATAGTCCACCCACACCAAAGAATCCGCTAGCAGATCTTGGATGACAGTCTCAGCGCGAGCCCGCTCCCATCCCAAGTTGAGTTGTAGCAGGGATACTGTCACACTGCCGAGTAGTTGTAGAACCTCCAGTACGGTGGACTGATCTGTGTTGAATTCCTTCGGCACCGACCGGATGAACCGCTTGTTGGCGATGGTGAGAATAACAAATCCCGACCCCAAGGGTTCCAGTGATTTAACAGCCCTCTCAATGTCATCCTCTGACACTTGCAGACCGCCACCAATAGCTTTTCCCCTGGCAACGCTCTCACAGCACTCCTTCAGTCCAATTAATCCGCCATTTCCCGCCCTCGTAGCCTGGCATAATTCCACAACCCTCACCGCGACCGAAAAGTAAAAGTCGTTCACATCATGACCAAGGACTTTTGCCCAAAGCGAATCCGCTTTTTTACCTTTGATGTTGGAGCCCGCCAATGGGTCGACGCCGATAGCATTACACATGCGCGCGAACTCGGCGCGGAACGTCGGATTGGATTTGATGGTCGCCGCATGTTCGAGAGCGAAGTTATGTAGGAGAGACTGAAAGACCTCCAGCTGAGCCTGGAGCGAGGCTGCGTTGGCAGATTTCAAGTTTGAGCCATGTGCGGCATAGGATTGAGCGGTGGCATTTCTATTTGTGAAGGCGCCCAAGCCAACACCTCTCCTGGTCGACATTGCTATAACTGAGGATGGAATAACATGACCTCGACGAGTAGGTATCAGGATACGTGGTTGAACAACGACATGGATGTGACGAGTTCTTTCTGTCAGACAGAAAAGGAAACCGCCGGCACCTGGTGCGTATGCCAAGACATTCTTTCGGCTCACCTTCCGCCTTAGTTATAGCCAATCACTAGCGGCGGCTGCAGCGTTTGCTTTTCGCCTTCCCTGGATTTCTAAAATTTCATCCTTCGCCCCTTCTTGACACAACAATCTTTTTCCACCCTCTTGCTCACTTTACTTTTCTCTCTCTCATACCTTCTCTGACGCCTTTACTCCATTTACGCGAAGGGTTGACTCTGTACAGTCAATCTTCTTCCCTTTCCCTCTCGTTCCTCGATTCTACACACAGGTGACGGACTTCGGCGCCCATCATGTCTTACGGCGGTGGCTACGGATCATCAAGAGATGGCGGTTATTCTAACGGGTATGTGAGAATCACTCATCTTCTTGTTGTCTGCGTCTCAGATGTTCTCTGCCCGACTTGCGCAGCGCAGGACGGACGAGCGCAGGCAAACTCTTGTTATTTCTGGCGTCATGACTAACAGTTTCGCAGTTATGGTGGCGGTCACAGTTATTCTAATGGCTACACCAACGGTGGCTACGGCGGATCCAACGGATACTCTGGCGGTGGCGGCGATAAGATGTCCAACCTGGGCGCAGGCTTGAAGCAGCAAACCTGGGATTTGAACAGTCTGCCGAAATTCGAAAAATCATTCTACAAGGAGGACCCCATTGTCACAGCCAGGTCACAGCGCGATGTCGATGAGTTCCGCAGGAAAAATGAGATCACGGTTCAGGGCCGCAATGTTCCACGACCAGTCGAGACCTTTGATGAGGCCGGATTCCCCAGCTATGTCATGTCTGAAGTCAAGGCACAGGGCTTCACCAAACCCACTTCGATTCAATCTCAAGGTTGGCCTATGGCTCTTTCTGGTCGCGATGTGGTCGGTATCGCCGAAACCGGGTCCGGCAAGACCTTGACTTACTGCCTCCCCGCTATCGTCCACATCAACGCTCAGCCACTCCTCGCTCCTGGTGATGGTCCCATTGTCCTTGTCCTGGCGCCGACCCGAGAACTCGCAGTTCAAATCCAGCAAGAAATCACCAAATTTGGCAAATCCTCCCGCATTAGAAACACCTGTGTCTATGGCGGCGTTCCCAAGGGTGGTCAGATCCGCGACCTTACTAGGGGTGTGGAAGTGTGCATCGCTACTCCTGGCCGTCTCATTGACATGCTTGAGTCCGGGAAGACAAACCTGCGCCGTGTCACTTACTTGGTTCTGGACGAAGCAGATCGTATGCTTGATATGGGTTTCGAGCCTCAGATTCGCAAGATCATCGGCCAAATCCGTCCCGATCGCCAGACTTGCATGTGGTCTGCAACGTGGCCCAAGGAAGTCCGACAACTGGCCTCGGATTACCTCAACGATTTTATTCAGGTCAACATCGGCTCGATGGATTTGTCGGCAAATCACCGAATTACTCAGATTGTCGAAGTTGTGTCCGAATTCGAAAAGAGAGACCGCATGATCAAGCATCTTGAGCAGATCATGGAAGACCGCAACAACAAAGTCCTCATCTTCACTGGAACCAAACGCGTAGCCGACGATATCACTCGATTCTTGCGCCAAGACGGATGGCCAGCACTTTGTGAGTTTTCACCTATTCTGCTCATATTGTCTTGGAATTTAGGCTAACGGTAAACAGCTATTCACGGTGACAAGCAACAGAATGAACGTGACTGGGTCCTGAACGAATTCAAAACTGGCAAGAGCCCAATCATGGTCGCTACGGATGTCGCATCCCGTGGTATCGGTATGAACAAACAGCAATCCCCTTCCTCCCACCCCCTTTTCCCTACTATATTTCGTATCTTGCATTTCTTACCATTGCCGTCGTGTGGAATGGTGCCGCGCTCTCTTCCCGCTAGTTACGCTCTTGCATTGCGTAACTTGTCCAGGCTTTTGTGTTCTCCTCGGTCCTTCTTCCGGAAATCCTGGATTTTGTTGCAGTTTGCCGGGACTCTGCTTCCTGACATCTCTATATCTGCTTTGTCCAACACGAGTAGGTTGTGGGACACATTTACTTTGACCAGATCAAACTGCAAATCCAGGATCTCTCACTTCCAAGGACCGTAGACGCTTGCCGATTTCCCGGACATGGACATTTGTCACCCAAAAGGATAATGCTCCGAGCTTCAGAGAGTGACATGCACCTCCGCTCACACGACCACATATGGTCCCCGACGCTTCGTAAGACAACCAATGACTGAGTTGCTAACCTATACTTGAAGATGTTCGAGATATCACTCACGTGTTGAACTATGACTATCCCAACAACTCTGAGGATTATGTTCACCGAATCGGCAGAACAGGCCGAGCTGGCAGAAAGGGCACAGCCATCACCCTTTTCACAACAGACAGTGCGTCTTTGCATTCCCCCCTTCGAAGGTTGTCAAATTGCTAACTTTTCTTCCCACAGATGCCAAGCAAGCTCGTGACCTAGTTTCCGTTCTGCAGGAGTCGAAGCAAAGTATCGATCCCCGCCTTGCAGAGATGGCACGCTATTCCGGCGGCGGTGGCGGCGGCGGCCGTGGATATGGTGGTCGTGGCGGTCACCGCGGAGGCCGTGGCGGCTTCACTGCCTCCAATGCTGCCCCCCTTGGCCGGTCCAGGTGGTAAAGCGTGATTCGAACGAATCGATCGCTCGAAGCGGCGTTGAAACGGTGAGAGCGACCACGATACGTTCAGTCACCTCGCAAGTCTTGTCACCCATCACCTTTCCTTCATCGTTCAACAGACAATAGACTTGTTTTGTGCATTACTGCCATGTCAGGTTCGGGCGTCAAGGAGCACGGGGAGGAGAAAGATAGATTGTGTCTGATACATGAGGCGGCGCCGCCTTCTTCCCTCGGGCGGCAGGTTTTATGCATTCATGGGATTTCCAGGGTCTTGGGAGCTGTCGAGCTCGTGAAGAAGATTTGAGCAACATGGTGATAGAGCTGATGTCTATTACGATTCGCATGCCTCAATTCCATATTTCCATTGGGAAGGAGATGCGATGCGGAGTGCATGACTTCGGCACAATCGTGCAGCATTGTGATCAGGGGTCCAAAAGACAATAGACATAGAGACTACTTGCTACATAGTTTTGAGTGTACAATCAGAGAGACGCGCTATTGCCATTGACGAGAGGCCCCGGACCCGTGCTATAGTTATTTGGGGAGTTGAGATCGACCAAGGTGATATCCAGTAGTTACGAGTGCGCGAGTATTAACCCCGGGGCATAGGGTAGTGCAGCGACAAGCATATACCTATGTGTATGTAGTACACGTCTTACGAGAAGAGGGTACTAGGTATGCAGCCAATAAAGTAGAACTGACTAACTATTAGCTATCAGATTATCTTTACAAAGGGTATCCTATCTGCTCTTGAGTATAGCGGGATCCTTGTACCGAGTACTTACCTAGGTAGGTATTACTAGCTACTAGCTATCACTAAATAGGTGGTCCCCTCGTCGTTATTGAGCACACTCTACGAGGACCCTCTCAGACTGTGCCATTGATTTCTGAAGTCGGCTTGCCCCTTTGCTTAACTTTTGGGGCCCGCGGGTGTCTACCTACCTAGATACCTGCACCACGTCTCATCATGTCAGGCAGGTTACCTAGTTGGCATTAAACTTTTGAAAGACCACCGAGCCGTTTCCAAAGTGTCGGTGAGCGTCCAAATCCCGCTGGCCCATTATTCCTGGGGGACAGTGCCACTGCGGCAGTATGTAGCAATTCCCCTCTCTCTGTTCACCACATTTTCCTCTGTAAAGGGCCCCAAGGGCAAACGCAGAGGAAGCTTTCCCCGTCGTGTACATTCATCGGGCAGGATGCAAGGGTGGAAAGCCCATCAGTCCTTTTAACCAAATCGGGGCTGGCAAGCTTGCAGAGGTCGTAGGTAGAAAAGGCTGGGAAAGACTATGCCGGAACAGGGAGTGTGTACCTCTCAGTAGGTATCGAGTCAACACATCTTTCGGATGTGGAGCAAAAGGGGGCATTCCCTTTCCTCATGGGAGCCCAGGAACGACGGGGCATTGCTGCAAAAGAGTTTGCTGCAGGTGGGGCCAATTTCTTTGATCAACGAACCTACCGTACCTAAGAAATGAGCCTTTGAGGCTTTTGGTTAAGATGGGACCGTTTTGAGTCGGAGAGCGCCCGATCAAGCGACCACAAGCTCTGATCGCAGGGACTAACTAGCCAGATCGCTCAAGGTCAGAGAACACTACTCTCCGCACCAGTCTACTGAAACCAAAGGGAAAGCCACTGCCAAGGCAGTCTGGTGGGCGTTGCTGGGGATCGGCGGTGTATCATTCACCTCGGAGAGTAGGTAGACGGCTTCCCATGACTGTGGAACCATGACTTGATCAAACTCAACGCCTACCGTATTTTCCTCCCTAGGTATCATCAAGTCGACAAGCATCGGTGGCGCCTAAGGCGGCAGCATTTCAGGTGACGGGCAGATCCCCTGAGCTGAAGGCAGCCCGAAACAAAAGCAAGTCATGCTCAGTATTCTTTGATTCGCCCGAGTTGGAGCTCTCGCAGGTGACAGCACGTCCACGATGAGGAGGTCTGTGGCCAGGATGAGAGGCTGTGATTGTGGTTCCCGAAAGATGGATGGTCTTGGTGGGCGGGCGCCTCCCACAAAAGTGCCGCAAATCAGCCTCCTGGTCTGCCATTGTTCCTTTACTCTCGGGGTCTGTCAACTCTACCTACCTGCAGAGACGTCAGTCAACCAAGCAGTTGACACAATCAAAAGGCTGTCAGTATGCTGTGTGACGGAAGAAAACGTATTCAGTTTTGTGTTTGCCCATCAGGTGGGTAAACGGGGTTGCATTGGCGTCGAATGACCTGCAAGCGACCCGGAGCTTTAGCTTTCCAGAAGCACGGGCCTCCTTTTTCCTGGTGGGCTTCCCTGCCTCCTTTTGAAGCTTTGTCGCCGCGTGGGAGGTTCCAGCACCATGGTTCCGGCTTGCCCGCCTCCCTCCACCCTCTGGCTGCTCAGAAGCAACCAAAAGTTCATCGGGAGAGCACACGGTTTTGAAGCCATTGGGAGTGCCTCCGAAGTCTTCTGCTCGCTGTGGCCAGCTTCATTTCCGACACTTATTGCTCTACCACGTGGAACACAAAGGCCGGTAATAGCCAGCAACACCAGTTTTCGACATGCAGGTACGCAGAGACCGGGAGATTCCTAACAAAGACGCTATCAGAAGTGCTAGCCGAAAATCGGAGCAGACGGCTGCTCGCCTGGTGGTCAGCGCGCCAGCTCTGGCTTGAGTTTGCAGCTAGTTGTGAGCGTGGAATTGTCCCACCGAGCGCTTCGCTTTAGATCGGTATATTGCATCCCATGGGGGTTTGGATATTTGCGCCTGCTGCAGAAACAGTGCTCGAAAGAGCCAATTACCCTGTGCTCTCCCCCAGAACGACACCATTCTGACGGGAAATATGCTTGTGTGCTAACATAGAAGTGATTTTCAGCATTGGCCCACTTTCCATATCAGCTGTCGAGAGCGTCGATGATTTCCTGTGAACAGAAAAAGGTTGATCCCCAGTCTAGTTTCTCGTTAGAACTCAGGAGGCGAAGTCGCAATGTCGCGAGCACGTACGAGGTACTCGGTACGGAATAAACTCCATGCTCAGAGCAAGCCGTCCCTCGCCTGTTTTTGCCCTTAACTTTGAATTTCAATGACCATGTTGGCCTCTGATTCGGGGCAACTGCAGTCATGGTGCAGCAAACCTGCATATGCAAGAGGCTGGGGTCTGGAAGGTCTTCCATCAACTGACCACAAATCTCGCTATATGCGAGCCCGTCGGAAAGCTGGTCATCCGCTCACGTTGATTTTGCACTTGACCTTGGAAGGCATTGTTTCTCACCTGCATGTACCTACCAAGTACTCGGTTGGAAGCCATCATGGTTGGCAGTTGCAACGATTTCCCGTTTCTTATTCTCAAAAGCTCTTCCCTGGTAGTGGCCTCGACCTAGCCGGCTAGGTCAAAATTCCTGTCAAGCTCTTCTAGCTGGCGGTAGCGTCCTTGGCACTTCTTTCTCTCTAATCTGAAGGCGTCTCTGTTGGCGCTACTGGAAACGTTGAAGGCGCATGCAGTGTTGCGGATTCGAAGCCTGGTGAAGGGAGGCTCCTATGCCGCTCGACCTCACCAACCAACGCCTGTATCGAGTCCCATCGCAGCGTCTGCTTCCCAAGAGCTGGTATTGCCGGACTTATTGCTGCTTGAAGCAACATTGTCTCATGGCATTCTAGTCGGTATCTCCCTGCCAATTGAGCGAAGTAGAACATGCCAATGACCAATATCTGCGTCCAGGGGCTGTACACATCGAAGACTCCTAGGCGCAGTCCACTCGGTAGAGGGGCTTCACAAGGCTGGCCCAATGCCCATCACCCCTGAGATTTGCAACATAGGATCGATGGCTAACTACAATGGATTCTGGCCGACAGCACAGGAGTCCACAACGTTAAAGGACGCCTTGCCCCTTTACCAAGCGTAGATAATGCCATCCAGGACGATCAACACCATCTCAGAAGGGTATGGCCAAGTTTCGAGATGATCGCGACCCCTGCACAGAGGCCTTCTGCTCGAATGTAAGTACCTGCGAGTAGGTACCTTTGGCGGTTGCTCCGTCGATTCCGAAGGCGGATGCCCGTGAAAAAGAAAAGCGGAAGGCATATGACCTGGGCCGTGAGAGCATCGAGATCTTTCCCTGCGCCTTCGCGCTGAAATGAACTCGAGGGAGATGATGGCCACCCACAGGGCCGTGAATTTGTCACTCTTTCCCGCTTTCGCTGGGGACGTAATATGTCCGTGGACGTCACCACCCAGACCAAACATTTGGATCGTCTAGGTACCTAGGTAGGTATGTTTGTCAACTACAACAGGCAACCTCAGACGATGAGTTCCACCAGGAAGATAATTGAGCAAACTCAAATGAGCGAGAAACGTGACATCTGAACCGTGGCTGCATCCAACGTCAATGGGAATTTTCAGGTTATCTCCGACATGGGTTGCCAATTGCAAGGGATTCCTGGTGGCATTCTCCGTTGTCATCCCCCCAAAATGGACCCACCACAGGCACGGGACCATTGCCCAGGAGGCTTGAATGAGTCCCAGAATGGACAGTGGACGGAGTATTCCCCGAAATCACCAAGTCGTACTCTGTATAGCAGGTACGGCTTCGTGACTAGCCAACTGGATCGATGTTTTCCCTCAACTATCGTGGCCGTCAATAATAAATTATAATGTGCAAAATCCAACTTCACCAGGGACGAAGTCAAAGCTCGATCGTCACGCTAAACGGTACAGAGTAGCAGGATCTTCAGGCGTGATTGGCGTATGAATGGAGGCTTTAGGCATCCTGGGGAAGTGAAGCTAAAGTGCCTAGAGAATTCGCTCCTCTTAGAAGGGTAGGCGCCGCAGTTTGGACTTGTCTAGCTCTGTGGTAGTTAGTCTCTGTCACCGAGATCCAAACCACAACGAATACCGGATTAGCGATGTGCGACTGTTAGGTAGGAACCTTAGCTTGTCTGCCGTCAACCACACATCATCAGAACATTCTGTTTGCAGCATTGTGAACGCAAGACAAGAGATCATAAGACACGGGCGATGCAGGGAAGAATTCAGAGTAGTAATCGCTCTGCATTTTCTGTTCTGACAGCAATGTGATCTCGCTCTGTAGCGGTCATTTTCAGGAGGGGCAAGGGCGACGGCTTTCTGAAGGGGTTCTGCATCGAAGGTGGTGTGAAGGCTCATGGCTGGGGCAAGATTAGCCTTGCAGGGCCACCACTTGTCACCGGCGACTTGCTACTACCTACTCGCACGAGAGGGTGCCATCTTCGTAATACCCTGATTCAATGCGAGGGAAGGATCATTCACCAGGAGGGGGAGAGAGCGAACCGGGTCCTGCAGTGTCCAATAAATCGACAAGGCCTAGCGCTGGAGTTTGGGGCGTGGTCTCGGAGGACGGTTTCAGGGGTGACTATGATTGGTATGGACAGACCGCCTTGGGGCAAAAGAAAGAGAGGGAAGAAACACATTCCCAAACGTTGAAGGGCTGTGAACAATGTGGCACTTTTGGAGAAGCGAGTCTCGTTTGCAGCGCAGCGCAGCGCAGCAATCGAGATAGCCAGGGAAGGAGTCGGTTTTGCCAAGGTGGCCCTAGTCTGTAACAGGCGTAGTAGTCATGCAACCTGTGCGTTGGTGCATGGTGACTCTGGCACTGGTGGCACTTTGCAGATTGTTGCTCACACATCTTCCAAGTTGGAGAAATACTCCGGTGACAAACAGATCGACTGTGTGAGACATGGGAAATGACAAGAGCCTGATTGGCGCAGCAGAATGCGCAAGTCCGAGAGCAACAGGCACGCGGAAAAAGTGAATCATCCCCCAAGCACCGAACAGGCTGGAGGAAGTGCTGGAATAATTGGTTGACTAAATGCAGAAATACCAGCGGCAGTGCCCCAGCGGGAGTTATTCTAGGCGTTTAGTTGGGGGTGGTTTTAGGCCTCTGGGCGGCAAGTAGGCTTGGTAGGCTTCAGTACCTAGTAGTACTCGTAGGTAGCGAGTGCTTAGGGGTCCCCAGGCAAGGTACAAGCCCGCGTGCGGCGTGCCAGATCCTGTGCTCCGCTCCCAGACTGGTGGCTCCTTGGCTCTCCTTCCTCTTCCTCTTTCCAGTTGTCGGCGTTGTCGCACCGCGTCCCATGTTTCCTTTGGCCCTCGGTATGCGGTCGGGTTGTCGGCTACTGCTGGAGCTGCTGCAAATCACCACCACATCCCACACTTGCGGGTGCTGGGATCTTTTGGCGAATCACGACGCCCACTAATTTGCTCCAACGGCAGTCCACGAGGCAATCTCGTCAGGTCAATTAACCTTTGGAGTTGCTGGCCATCACGACCTCATTCCTCTCCACCTAACCGCATCATCGACCCCATCCTCCAACCCTTTGATCCTCGCACTGCTCCCAGGATAGCCAGTCCAGTCCCCGTCTTTCTCCGTGCTGCTACTCCACCTGCAAACCTTGCTGTGCAGTCAAGTGTCTGGCACGTCTGGCCACCGTAGGAAGCGTCCCCGGTCGGCGACCAGCCATCTGCATGCCTGCATACCTGCATTTCTGGCCCCCCTCCACCCCCAAGTCCATCCAATCACGGCCTATGCCGCACCTGGCCTCTGCTGCATCATTATTCACCCTCACTGATCACAGTGTGCAGTGACCACAGCGTGACCGCGCTCTCACTCAACTTGGAACCCTTGGAAAAGCAGAGGCTTGCCACTACCGAGCAGGATTCCCACGGTACTCGGTCGCCTCGCTTCCCACGACCTCTTCTGCCTCTCCTTGCTCTCCTTGCTCCACCAATCGAAACCCCTCACTAGCCCTGCAAGTCCACCGACGCAACGCTCGTTGCCTTTTCCGCTCCAAGCTCGACCCAAACCCCAGTCCCAAGCGCAACGAAGCCACTCAGCAGCCAACCCACCAGGGACCCGGACCCCCAACCTTGGGGACCAACAACCAACATCTGACTTCTCACTCACCTCTTACCCACCTCCAAAAGCCACATCACCCACGTCTCGCCCATCGCCACTACCACTCTTCTTCTATCCGACGGTTTCTTCCCTCATGTCACGCGTCGCTTAGAAGCCGCAGAAGGAAAAAAAAGGACACAAAAACCAAGAGTCATCCCCCGACGGTCTTCCGTGAGCCATTGGACGCTTCGAGAGTCCTGTGGGCCCGCGCTCAAAACATCAAGTCAACACTCCACTGTTTCCCCTGCTTCAGAGCTAGTTACCGCACCTCGCGCCATCACTACTTGACACTAGTGGACGCTCGAAGCTTCGCACTATCACCAGAATTTCCCTCTAAACTCCACCTTAAGTCGACCTTCGAAACCTTATTTCTTTCTCGGCCTCGCCATCTGCCGGTGGGCTCAACCTGCCACTGTGCTGGGTGCAGCCTGCTCGCTATCGACCGGGGTCAGCATCACCTCCCTGCGCGACAACGGCTCGCAAGAAAAGAGTGCAAGTCAAGGCACAAACCCCCCATTCCTGCAGACTCCTCTCGCCCATTACCCAACGCATTGCTATTGGTCGCGAGTCTGGTGAAAAAGCCTGCCACCCTGGGCTACCTGGGTCCACTCCAGGAAGGCGGTCACCCTCCTGCACCTCTGATCATACTCCCTCCACGGACACAAGCTCCCAGTTGAGACGGTTGTCCGGCGCAAGTCGTCAAGGAACAAGAAAAGCAAAAAAGAGGAGACACACACTACCCTGTCACGTCACCTGGGAAGAATAACCGCTGTGGTTGGAGAGCGAAAGCAGACACAACGCTCAAAGGCAAAAAAAGCCACCCACTCAACTGCTACGTAGAACAGGGAGGATCCTGGGGCCAAAGGCAAAAACCTATCAGACTCCCCCGACTCTGGCAAGAGTTTGGCCCGTCTTGCCTTTGATCGCAATTCTTTATTAGTCCTCGGGGGTCCGCACCATCTCGAGGAAGTAACGGCTACTCTTCATTCAGTTCAAGCTTGCAACTAGCGCAGTGAGGATCGTGCTAAAAGCCCTCTTTTCCGACCCATCTTCGCCCCTCGGTTCGACGATACGGTGCCTTGCCCCTGGTCAAGATCAACCCCGTCCCTTTTGCTGCTCGAGGGCTGGCAGCAGCACCGATCTGGTGCCCGTCGCTCGTGCAAAAAGGCGCTTGTCGCTCCCGACCCAACCCCATCGAAGAGCACTTGTTACAATCCGCTCCCCACCGCGGCCCTTTCAGGTTTGGTAGCTTTCTTGGGCACCTTCGTCTAGAAAGCCTTCAAAATAAAGAATACGCCGGTCTTTGGCCTAAGGGTTACTTCAATCCTATCGTTGACTGTCCGTCCAACGTGTGGACTGGTCCTTTACTCTTGAGCGACCAACTGTCATCCGCAGCCTTTCTCTCGGATCAGTCACAATTATACGCCAGTGACATTCGAGTTACCTACCACATCACTACCTTACCTATCAACCGCGTCACTTCACGTGGGCGGAAGGTAACGAGAAACACCTTTGATGGACAGAGGTGGATCAGAATACGCGCAGTCAGGTTAGAAACAACGAGCCATCATCTTTACTGCGAGCAAGCTCTGAGAAAAAAATTCCGTGTCAATAGATCAGTCGTCTGTCGCGACCTACGCCACGCAAGACCCGCGCTCTGCTACCATATCGAGCAACAACACACCGCAGTCGGATTACGGTCTGACTCCGTCGTCGGCGCGTTCATCAGGATTTCCCCCAGAGCATCTGCGCTACAGCCAATATCCTCAGGCGCCGCACCATCCAGGTGCTGTAGGAACAATGGCACAACCAACAAGTCCGTCAAAGTCCCTGCCAGAAGGAGCACCCAATGGCAATCCAACTACAAGCTCCCACCATGTGAGGTCTAACTCGGATGTGCCTATAGATCCCTCGATTTCCCAAGCCAGCCCAACCTATCCTCCCTACTCGCCTTATCCGCAAGGACAGGACATGCAACATGCGTACCAGCCTCAGCACCCGCCTTATATGCCGCAGCGACCACCGCACGAGCAGTGGGGCGGTTATCCACAACAGCATGGCATGCCTGCGCCGTATCCTCATCCTGGCCCAGGTGTCCAAGGCCCGCCTCAAACTTCCGCTGCATCGCGTTCTGGTCAGGTACGTTGTCCTATCGCCTTGTTTTGCCCGGTGCCTCCAAAATGAGATTGAGTTGGTTTTAACAAATTTGTGCGCACAGGTGTACTCGTTTGTCCCTATCCCGGGTGCGCAGCAGCATAAACGACCGCGCCGTAGGTATGAGGAGATTGAGCGCATGTACAAGTGTGGATGGAATGGGTGCGAAAAAGCGTATGGAACACTGAACCATCTGAATGCACACGTCACGATGCAGTCGCATGGAACCAAGAGGACTCCAGAAGGTGAGTTGCACTCTGATAGCTCCTATCTTCTCTCCTAGCTTTTCGGCAAGACCGTATGACCGTTGCTTGGGCTTTACTGACCTTTCACCTAGAGTTTAAGGAGATCCGCAAGGAGTGGAAAGCCCGCAAGAAGGAAGAAGAAAACGCGCGCAAGGCGGAAGAAGAGCGCCAGAGGGTTGCTGCGCAAGCCAATCAGGTGGACGGTCCACCAGGCGATGCACATCCTGTTCCGGGACAAGGCTATCAGCAAAACGGAACTCGACCGTCACTCCCACCCATCGGCTATCAATCCGCAGATGGGCATGCTCAAGGACAATACGGACAGCCGCAAGGAGCTATGGTCTATCCACAAGGCAGCACCCAGATGAACAGCTATCCCAACTACCCGAATTCGCCTTATGCGCAGCAAGGCCAGGTTTACCAACAACGTCAATATTAGAACGCGTCGATGATCAAGCAGCTTGGCGTCTGACTTGTGGTGCGTACGCGGCATTAAGTGATCACTCAGTTTTGGTGGTCAGCGGCGCAAGAATGCTTCTGCTAAAGAGCTGCATGCGCTCTCATTGGATGATGCAGCACCTCATTTTTACCCAAGATACCCCAAGGTGGGAGTGGAGGAGATAATGGAAGAGCAAACGCGGGCCAAGTCAAAAGTATCGTGATGAGGAGCATGCTGGGAGGAGTTTGTCACATTTGCTGGCGGATCCCGATACTCATGAGTTTCCTTTTCTTCGTTACTCGTTTTCCTGTTTCTTTTTTTTCGTTTGACGGGTTTATCACCATTTGCACAGCAAAGCACGTCTCTTTCAAGGGTGATGAACGTTATGACCGATCGGCCGACTGCATGCATTTTTGTTGAAGAGGACCAGTGCATTTACGAGACCAAGGGGCTTGTTCCTGGCTTCACAGGCTACCCCAACTTCGAAGGGCTTTTGGAAGGAAGACGAAGGAAACACAGTCAACAGTATGGATTGTCAATGCGTGCGAGAGTCCAACGAAGGTAGAGCAAGGGGGGCTATCCAAATGCTGTTTGTTGGGTTGGGAAGTCTGGTCCCCTGAACCCCGTTATTGTACATTGATGGTATCCAGGGTCAGACAGGATATGACTTGCGCTCCGGTCAGTCGGTGCTGCGGGCCGGAACTCGTTATTGTTAGAACAAGGGGTTGGTCTTGCTGCTCATTTTCAGACAGAAGGCAGATCAGCGATCAATTCAAGCAACAGAGTGATTTATGGCGAATGAACGGATATTTCATTTTGGCAACGCTCCTTTGACTCACGACATTTTGTGCACTGCTTCTTTCTCTCTGGCAAAGCATTCGGACAGACAAGCACGATCCCTTATTGTTGTGCGAGGAAAACGTCGGTACATGACTTTGAAGAATGTAAAATGGATATGTGGTTGCGAGTTGTCGTGGGAATTAAGTTGGGCCAGGGGATCTCAAGCGGTGTTGTTGGCGTGATCTTAGGCCGTCCTACCAACCAGTGGATTTTCGAAAGCGTGGCGAACAAACACATGGCAAAGAGAGGACAAAAACCTGGGGAATTCCCTGGTTCGTTTTAGCATGCAGTCATAATGGTTACACAACGTTTGCGGACCAACTACTGTGAGGGAACTAAGATGGCGGCCGAAATGGGCTGGCCGTTGAAGTCTAGGCTGAGGCCGACGACATGCACGAAATTCACTGGTGTGAGGGTTGCGCAACCGCTGCAAGTCTGCGCCTTCCAAGCACCGGCGCAACCGCCAACGCCCGCGACGGCGCCCGGACTAGGGCTTAGAAGCTTCAGAGCTGGAGCCTGAGGGGGCTGAGATTGGGGGGTGCTGACTCTGCTGAGGCCCTGAGGGGAGTGAGGGGGCCCTTGCTCCAGGCCCCTAGGAGCCTAAAGCTGTTCTGTGGGAGCTAGCTGGATGGTGAATAGCGGGCACACTACCACTTAGTTTCTTGGGCCCTTTAAATGCGCAGTATGTCACAGGCGTGCCTGCGTTCGTCCTATCCAAGCACACACCTTACCTAGGTATCCAACACACTATTTTCTGCAGCCAGATCCCAACACTGTGGTTCACTACTCCTCCATACTCCTCCATCCTCCTCCATCCTCCACCAAATCCGAAAGGACCTTGCTCCACGCTAGGTTATAGCACCATACACCGAACACTTCGGTGTACCCTAGCTCAGCTCAACCTGAACGAGAAGATCCCTTTGGCACCTTCTCCACGGACGTTTGACTGGCTAACCCACTTGACTCCAGGGTAACCTCAACCGAGACAGTTGAAACCAATGTCTTCTGTTCAGTATTCTCTTGCATGTGAACTGAGCCTCGATATTTTGAATCCAGCGGAATCGTTCGCACTCTACCTCGTATTACCGCGACCCCTCAGCTGGGATCACCATCGTATCGCCTAGCATTCCTTCTCTTTGTTCTCGGAGTACTCGGAGTACGATTCTGGACCGGAACGCGAAAGAAGATCATGAGGTGCAAGGGCACAGGAGTAACATAACACAAATATTCCAGTCAAGAAAGCTGGTCTTGAATGACCTGCCGTGTCCGGAAACCAATTCCGCAGCGTGCATGAACAAAGTTCCTACAGGGAGGTGCCCTACAGAGTCTAATAACTGGATTTCCCTGTCAGCCAGAGGAGCTGAGCAAGGCAGGGTCCCGCGTTCTGGCAAAGTACCCTCTCCAGAGTCCGGCCCTTCCTTCTGCATGGCGGCCGGTTGGCGTAATGCCACGTTGGCTGACCAAGACCACACCATGCGATCGGGGCTCTGCATGAAATGGTCTGACGCTGACAGGTTCCGAGACGCAGACACGAGGTACCCAGTACTATATAGATGGAGCCTTGAACGTCGGCCCTGCCGAAATTCACCGCCGTGGGAGGCTAGAGGAATACGTGGGAATCTCCAAGTGTGTCGCCTCAGATGGAGATCATGCGGTTTGCTTATTTTCTTCTTCCCATGGCCGGTTCAAGGTGGACATCTTCCGATGCATTTCCGGCATCCGGTTGCCCCTTTATCATATGTTAGAGAGCGGATGATGACCGTGGTCTTTGAATGATGTTGTGGCCGAGACCTCAGGGACTCAAAGTACCGAGTACCTAGTACCTGTGAAACGAGATATTACCACCCTTCGACAGGACTCACGTTGTTTTGTCGAGGCCCGTCCTCCTATGACGTATTGTACGGTTATCGGTTAAGTTTCCTGACCTGAATTTTTTCGAAACCGTAGAGTCTGAAGTTGCGATTCCCATGCGCAGTCCTCATCGGAAGTCGCTGTAGTTGAGGATAGTATTTGTTCTTTCCTCCTGTCTCTCGTTCTCTCTTCGTCGTCTTCATTGGCTTTCTTTCTCATGTTCACCTGCAATGCCTGTCTCCGTCGGGCAATTTTCTCGCAGGGGAGCGGCGCCGGTTCCTCACTCTTCCCGTCTCCTTTGTATGGACACTCGTTCGAGCACGCGATCAATCCCACGGTCGCCTTCGCTCGCAATCATGCGACTCTAGAATCCATCCAGAAGGGCCATCATCGCCGAAGGCTTGTCAAGGACCTGACCACGACACTGCCCCCGCACAAATCCCGCCAGGTCACGGCCAAGCCATCCAAGGCTCGTGCAAAACTCTCAGCTAAAGATGCTAAAGCAAGGGAACGCAACTGGCTCCAGCGTCTCGAACCCTCCGGCAGGGAAGCATATCTGAAACAGTCTATGGAGAAAGAAGCCAGATTCTTGACAGATCCCCTGAAATTGGCTCAGGGCGTTGTCGAAAAACTCCGCGACCACAATCTGCAGGAAGCCTTGGGATTAGTCCGTGCCAGTGAAAGGGCTCATGACGGCAAGGGCGTGGACAATGTCGTCAGTTGGAACCACATTATAGATTGGTTGATGGGTCAGAAGTCTCCTGGTGAGGCGTGGAAGGTCTACAACGAGGTAAGATTTCGGCTCCCCCACCACATCGCTACTCCTGACTCACTCGTTTCGTTTCCCGCAGATGAAGAAAAGAGGTCATAAACCAGACTCCCACACTTATACCATTATGCTGAGAGGCTATCGTGACAATATCAAACAACCGAATGCTGTCAAGCACGCATTGGCCGTTTACGACTCCATCTTCGCTGCCAACTCGGCTGTCACTCCGAATACCATACATACGAATGCCATTATCAGTGTTTGCGCACGCGCGTACGATGTTGATTCTATATGGAGAATTGCTGGGAGACTTCCCGAACGTGGACCCGGCGCCCCGGACCACGTTACGTTCACCGTCATACTGCAGGCCCTGAATAGCGAAGCACAAAAAAGAGCTATAGAGCTAGGAGGTAGAGAGGGGCCTGGTTTTGACCCACAACCGATTTTTGAACAGGTGATTGGTGACGCGCGGAAGTTGTGGCTCGATATTACTGCGCGATGGAGGAAAGGGCACATCCAGCCAGACGAAGCTCTGGTCTGCGCCATGGGAAGGTTGTTGATGCTTTCCAGCAACCACGATACTCATCTGGATGTTCTCAACCTGGTCCAACAAACCATGAACATAGCCCCAATGCTCGAGGCTTCAGATGCCGATCCAGCAGATGGGACAGAGGCGTCGGAGAAGGGATCGGAATCCACAGCTGAGCAGGATGCGCCATCCTTCCCCTACGTCCCAAAGATTAGAGCGAGCCACCCCGCTTTGTCCTCAAGGCAGCTCAGCCTGGCGATCTTACCCGTGTATGCCACACCTGGTAACAATACGCTATCAATGCTCATGGAGACAACCACCGCGCTTCGGAAGCTGAAGCTGGGCAAATATTACTGGGAATTGCTCACATCCACATCCGCAGATGGCCCTTTTAAGGTCGTCCCAGATCATCAGAACATTATGGCTTACCTCCGTCTGCTTCGGGTTTCCCGTGCGAGTACAGCGACGCTGGACCTTCTTCGTGCTCCGCGGCCCAAAGATGTACGAGACAAACTCATGGTTCGAGGGACATTCGTCATAGCCATGAGCACCTGTCTGCGAGACAAGAAGAATCCGAGAGTCTTCGAGACTGCCAGTCGAATTATGGATTTGATGCAAGAGAGCACACAAGATATCAATGGGACCGAAACAGACCCTCAAGGCCAGAAGCTCAGGTTCTCTCCCAAAGTTCTCCGGATGTATTTGGAAGTTGCTATGGCGACCACCAAAGGAATTGGCGCCGGCCCGCTCGAGAAGACCAGCAATGGAGACTTGGATTTCGAGAGAGATCCCAGTAAGAACCACACGTTGCGAGCATTGCGGCGACTGGGCCCAGACGTGGTCAACGTCAGGCAACTAATCAAAGCCCATTTAATTGAGCTTGAACAACAAGCTGCTTTGGGAGGACGTACGATCAGAGTCAAGAAGCTGCTTGAGAAGCGCCAGATCACGCCGTACAGCGTCACCGAAAACATTGGCGAACTGGTCGAGTTGTTGCGGACCATGATTAGTGCGATTGACAAGATTATTCTGGTCAATGAGAGGTTGGAGGATGACGGAATGGGGCCTTTGGATAAGGCGATTCTGAGTGAGTGCTGGTTGCAGAAACGCAAGTTGTCGGCCTTTGTGTCCAGGGTCGCGAATGCGAATGTGGACCCCAAAGGTTCTGGAGAGCGGAAGGTGCCGCGGGTGGACGAAAGGGGTCGTCCGCTGGCGGGCAGACATGAACAGACGCACGAGGAAGACGCAAATGTCGGGGCAGGAGATGCTGAAACGCCAGGCGAGGAGATCACGGACGAAGATTTTGATGCTGGCACGCCTCTTGCCAGTCCGCGCATAACAATCATGAACGACATTAGGAGAGCCCAGGCCAAACAAGCCAAGAACAAGGAAGAAAGAGGCCTCTCGCGACGGCAGAAACTGGAATTGATCAAGGAAGAGAAAATCCGTGCGCAGTTCCCCAGCAGCGTCTTGAGAGACCAGCGGCAGAGCAGCAGCGAGCGGACGCGGGAATGGAGGAAGAAGGAGAGCGCATCGACGGCGGGAAGCCCTGAGGAACCGATTCTTCCAAAGCGGCTACCCGTCTGGAAGCAGAGGCAAGCGGAGATCAAGGAGGTGAGAGCAAAGAAGAGAGAGGCCGAGGCGAAGGAAGCCCAGGAGAGGACGAAACCGTACAAGGGATGGGGAGGGGGGTTTCAGGATATGTTGAAACAAGAAGGGAAAGCTGAAAGGGCGGGGATTGTGGAATTGGGTCCTTAAAACAATGTTGTACTTATAACTGCCGCTCTCATGTACGATACAAAGCTCAGGGAGAGCGTCATGGCGGCAAGGCGTGGAAGGTGTAAATTACTATCTACTTGGTACGGTTGGGAAAGGCGCCCTGCTGAGAATCGAGGGATCCCAAGGAGATTAGGCGCGGAATATTATACAAATCTCGCTCTCTCTCTCCCCTTCTCTATCTATCTACCTACCTAGGTACCTAGATATCAAATACAGGATTGTACTCGTCCCTTGGAAGAAGACGGGTTATCGTCTCTGAAACTAGAGCACACAACAAGAAAAACAAAGGGCGGGAAGGGCTCTACCAGGCGTCGTTTTTCAAGGGACATCTATCTAGGTAGGTAAGTAGATAGGTAGGTAGGTAGATAGGTCAAATGGGGCCCCGGAAATTGAATTCCGAAAGATCTTCATTACGAAAACAGCAAAAAGACAAAAGTACCAAGTACTTCGTCGACACACATAAAAACACCACATTGCTCACCATTTACTCTGTTCGACGTTTCTATCCGAGCCTCTCTGAACGCTCGCCATGCGTCATGGAGGCTCCCGTCATATCCGATTCGACCGACTGAGGGCTCGTCCATCCTTGTCTCTCCTCTGCCAACGCTCTTCTAGCCTGCGTCCAGAGTGTTTATCTCTCCGCAATAGCGACTGCAAAGCTACCTCACCCGTTCGGTTCTTTAGCAATGACTCGACAAACACCGATCAGAGCCCGCCCTCGGTGCCTGCACGGAAGTGGTCGACTCCCCTCGCGAAGACAATAGCGCAGGCGATTGAGGTAAAGGCTTCATGCCAGACATCTTGGTCATCGCTAACCCATGATCGTACCAACTTAGGTGACGGGACCCATTTCGATCGCCTCCTACATGCGCCAATGCCTCACAAATCCTGATGGAGGGTACTACACTACAAGTCGCCCCCCCGCGGAAGATGGAGACCAGTTCGGCGTAGCCGGCGACTTCATCACCTCCCCCGAGATATCGCAAGTCTTTGGCGAACTGGTCGGAATATGGTTCATGACGGAATGGATGGCACAGGGCCGCCCGACCCAAGGTGTGCAGTTCATTGAGATGGGGCCTGGTCGAGGGACACTGATGAGCGACATTCTTCGGACTATTGGACAGTTCAAGACCTTCGCGAGGGCCATATCGGCTGTATGGCTGGTGGAAGCAGGAGAGGGACTGCGGAGGAAACAAAAGGACCTGCTTTGTGGCGCAGAGGCTCAAATGAGGGAGGTTGCCGATGAGACGGGCAAGAATGTCTGGTGGGAAGCTACAAGCACTCAGGGAATCCCCGTCAGGTGGGTAGAGGACATCGCACTGCTGCCGGCTCAAAATCATGACGAAGGAGATGCGATGCCCTTCATCATCGCGCATGAGTTCTTCGATGCTCTCCCTATCCACGCCTTCGAGTCCGTCGCCCCCAAGCCCGAAGAGGCACAGCAGGAGGATGCCAGGACCCAGCTTCTCACTGAAAGTGGCCAACCGGTCGCGAAACCAACCACGGCTAGCAAACTCCCACAATGGCGAGAACTCCTCGTCGCGCCTACGACGCCGAAACTTACGACGCTTCTCGCCTCCGAAACCGAGGAATCATCGAGCCACAAAGAGCCTGAACCGGACTTCCAACTCACCCTGGCCAAGGCGAGCACTCCTTCGTCACTCGTCATCCCCGAACGACCTCGCTATCGAACCCTGAAAGCTCAAGTGTCGTCGCGTGTCGAGGTATCACCAGAAAGTGCCCGATATATCCAAGACTTTGCTCGCCGCATTGGCGGAAACACAGTGCCTTCCGCCATTTCGAAGGGGAAGCCTAAGCAGGCCCTGGCAGAAGTGCCGACCAAAAAACCCGCCGGAGCAGCACTAGTGATCGACTACGGGCCCCTGGACACGGTGCCGGTCAACTCGTTGCGGGCGATCCGCAAACACAAAATCATCTCCCCGTTCGTCTACGCCGGCGACGCGGACATCAGTGCGGACGTGGACTTTGGAGCTCTCGCAGATGCAGCCCTGGAAGCTAGTCCGGGCGTGGAAGTCCATGGGCCGGTCGAGCAGGGGGCTTGGTTGTCGCAGTTGGGGATCAGGGAGAGGGCAGAAAGGCTCCTGAGGGAATTGGGCAAGAACGCCGGCGTGGGCGCAGGCGAGGAAGCCGAGAAGAGAAGGCGAGAAACTGAAATGGGATGGAGGAGACTCGTCGAAGGCGGACCCAAGGGCATGGGCAAGGCGTACAAAGTCATGACGATCCTGCCGGAGAACGGCGGGAGGAGAAGACCTGTTGGCTTTGGAGGGGAGGTGGTCGCTGGGTGAATTCGACCACCATCATCTCTGTTCCCGTGCGGTACGGGAAGTGAGAACTTTGTACTCTATAGACTAATAGAATGTACCATCAAAATTTATGCCATCAGGACTGCCACCAACACAAGACCAAGAAGCGTCCAAGGACTGCGTCCTCAACTTACTCAAGAGGCCGTCTGTTCCTCGTCAGGGTGTGCGTCAAAATCCCAAAAGCGGACTTCCATCTCGGCGGACCGGACGAAGATGGCGATCAGCTCTTCGATTCGCGAGGGCGATTGTTTGACGATGTTTGCCTCGATGAGTTCTGGCGCCACACACGAGAGACCGTGGGAGTTAGCGTGCTGACAAAATACACACACACACACACACACACAGAGAGAGAGAGAGAGAGAGAGAGAGAGAGAGAGAGGGGGGGGGAGATGGAGGAGAAGAAAAACACTTAAGAGCACACCAGGGGTGGGGGGGAACTAACCTCTCCCAACCCTCACAGCCTCCTGATAATCCTCGGCGACATAGTTCTCGACCCACCTCCAATACCGATTCCCCTGGTCACCGTGGACGCTCTCTTTCTCCCCGAACAAGCGCTGGGCGGTGACGCCGTAGCCGATCAGACAGGGGGCGAGGGACATTTGCAGTGCCAACCAGTCCTGACTGGCGCCGACGTCGAGGCAGTAGCGGCTGTAGGCCACGCAGGCGGGGGACTCCTTTGACTTCTCGATGGAGGCGCGCGAGATGCCGAACTCGGCGCAGTACGACAGGTGCAGCTCCATCTCGCGCTGGATGTGCAGGATGATCTGGGCGCTGGCGGCGATGGAGGATATGGTGGTGGATTTGTAGGCGGCGAGGGCGTGCGTGCGCGCGAAGTGCGTGAGGTACAGGTAGTCCTGGACCAGGTAGTTCTTGAACAGGTTGGGCGGGAGGGTGCCGCGCGCCATGGCCGTGGCGAAGGGGTGGTGCGTGAACGATTCCCAGACGCGAGTTACCGAGGGGTGCGTCAGGAGGTATGTGTCGATGAAGTGGCCCGGGGAAAACGGTAGGATTTGCAGGCTGTGGAAGTGGTTGATGGGGCCCGACCCGTTGCCTATCGACCAGTCAGCCGTCTTTATACCGGTGTTGACATAGTGCACCGCGAGTCTTGTGGCGGTGGCTAGGGACAAGGGCTGTTGTGATTTGGACTTTTGCAGCGCCATGTTGGCCGCGATGGCGCTGGCCAGCGAGCACCCCGTCCCGTGCGTGTTTTTGGAATTCAAGTACTGCGATTCAATAACCGTGAACTCGTTGCCGTTGCCTTCGTACAGCACGTCGACCGTGAGGGCCTTGTCCTCGTCGCGCGTGGCTTTGACGTAGTCCTTGGTCAGGGGCATGTGGCCGCCCTTGACGAGCACGGCCTGCGGACCCAAGTTGTGGACCAACCTGGCCAAAGTCTTCAAGTCACCCAGTCCCGAGGGGGACTTGTAGTGGACATCGGCGTCGCGCAGGAGCAATGCGGCTTCGGGGATGTTGGGCGTCACCAGCGTCGACATCGGCAGCAGCTTTTCGCGCAGGTTTTTCACCGCGTCACCTGGAAGGAGCTGTGCGCCGCTGGTAGAGACCATGACCTGTTGGGAAAATCATGTGAGATCCGGAAACTCTTGGGGTAAATCGGTAGTAGTCATGAGCAGATAAAGATCATACAGGATCGAGAATAATGGTCGAGACCTCGTGGCGTTGAAGTGCTTCGGTAACCACCTGAACGGTCTCCGCCGAGGCGAGCATGCCTTTTCCGGCCCATCAAAGTCTCAGCGACCGACTCGTTCTGCATAGCAGGCGTAGCATTTTGACAGGCCCTTACCGATCTTGACAGCATCACACTCAATGTCGCTCAAACAAGCATCGAGCTGCTTGCCAACAAACGCCGGCGGCGTGATGTGGATGTCCACGACACCCAGCGTATTCTGAGCCGTCAGGGCTGTCGTGGCTGTCATTCCATAGCAGCCATGAGCCGCAAGCACCTTCTGGTCTGCTTCGAGCCCGCTGGGATGGGAGAGACTTTGAGTCAGAGCCAAAGGTTGCAGAGATGGGCGTGGATTCTGGAAACACTCACGCTCCACCAGAGCTGTCAGAGCCTGCAATTACCAGAACTCGGGGAGTGGTCATCTTGCACGAGAGGCTTCTATCATCGGGCAAGGATTGGAGTAATTTGGGTAGGAAACAAAGAGTTCTCCCAGGCTAAGGAAGATCCGACAGATGAACTCGGTCTAGCAGGCAGATGAAGTTGTGACTCGAGTATCATTGATATTGTCGTTTGTCTGAAGCCAATCAGAGAACAACGAAGGAGGCTACATCTCCACCGTGGCTGAGGTCATACAATAGTACTAAGTAGGTAGTCACATACTCGGTACCTCGTACATTGTGCAAATGGCATCTGGTAGAGCCAGATTACATGGTGCATACTCAGCACATGGGGCCCACTGGCCATATAGTCACTGCTATACCTCGATCCAACGCCCTCTTGTGCTTCTGCTTACTCAAACCACACGTTGCGTGTCAGCAGTTACGATGGATTGTCGTGTCTCATCTATTCAACGAATGACTTACTACAAACCCGTATCCCAACATCACTTCAGTGCGAAGCTGAACAACGTGTCCATCTCCACCCACTGTCGCCCACATTTCTTCAAATACCCATCCACGACAGCCTTGATCGCCTCAAATGCCTCTTTGTTCGTCTCCGCAAGCACCATGATCCGATCCTTCTTCTCCGCGTATTCCTTCTCGGATCGCGCCTTGTTTTTGGCCTTCTCCACATCAAACAAGGCCGCAAAATATAACATCTGGTTGTACAGCTTCTTCTCCGAATATTCATACGACATCCGTCCGAGACAGCCTTCAGCGCGTCCACTGGGTCCCAGACACCGATGCCCATAGACTGACATCTGTCGGGTCCGGTTGCCGCAGGATGGATCGTCACACACCAGCCAGCCTTCGTAGTAGGCACACGTCTGCGCTCGAATTTGTGACTCTAGTTGCATGACAATCCTCATTCGTGGAATGACCTTCCTGCACTCGGCATTGCCGCACAAGATACCCTCGGGTGTGCATGAATCGGTTGAATCGCAAATTCCTTCGAATATCGTCGCCTGCTTGCACTCTCTACACCTCAAACTGAGCCTCGCTGCATCCTGGAAGCGGACGCTGTCAGGGATTTGCGATTCGAGAGGGAAAATCTCGGTGCTTCGTTGAGCCGTCCCGTTCGAAGTGTTGATCTGATATTTGCGAACGTCTAGACCCAAGCATTCGGCCAATCTGACCGAATCTGTTCCCGGAATGGGTGCGCACAGCCTTTCAATCGGCGGGAAGATCTGCTTGTGGAGATAGTATTCGACGTCGGGGATCAGACCAGAATCTGGTTTCTGAACGTCCTGGGGCGTGTAAGATCGCTTCGGCGCTGGTAGACCCTTTGTCTGTTCGTCTCCCATGGTTACAATGTAAGACATGACATCGTTGACTCGCACAGTCTTGCCTCGACTGATCTCGCGAAGAGCAACCTGCACCTGAGGCATCGAATCTGCGTTGGGGTATTCTGTTGGATTCTTGCCAAGTTTCTGGCCGCATTAGCAGTGTCTCTCAAAGGGGCTCCAGCGAAATCTTACCGTGTAGATGACATATTTTTGCACGGGAACGGCGTTCTCCCTCATTTTGCTGGACAGCTCCCGGAGATATTCGTGAATCTTCTCGAGGACAACCTCTGAATCTTCCCCGGAAAGGATTTCATTCAGAAGCTTCTGAGACGCCTCTTTGGACAAGGCGCAGTATTCTCTTCTCTTCATGTCAAGGCCTTTGACTTCAAGTTTCTCAACGTACTTGCCATCTATCTCGGCCATGTTGATGGCAGCATACTTCTTCTTGGCATGCAGCAGCAAGCGTCGGAAAATGTTGTCGATATCAATCTCCAATAGTTTGTATCTCTCGTTGACCGAGCGCTTGAATTCTACTCCAACACTCAAGGCCTGCGCAATATTGTCTGCATTGGTATTGATCATAACGGAATCGGTGTCGCCATAGATGACCTGGAGTTGATTGCTTTCTGCGAGCTCCTTGGTGCTTCTCAGAATCTCTCTACCTTTGAAGGTGGTGAGCATGGCTAGCGGTCGTGCGTAGAATCGGGATTGTGTATAACCAAGGCACCCGTACATGGAGTTGGCTGTAAGCTTCAAGGCCATCTGTTTGGTGTCCCAGAGCGCCTGTTGCTCGGCAGAGGCTCGTTTGTCTTTCATCAGCTTCTTGACTTCTCGACGACGCGTGACAAGGTTGGCGATGAGCTTTGGTAAGATGCCTTGTGGTTGATCGACCGGGATCTCTGGTACCTTCTCTTCGTTCTCATTCTCGGCGGTAGCTGATCGATCTACAGTGGTGAAACAGATGTTGTACTCTTGAATGATGCTGGGGTACAGACTGTTGAAGTCCATCACAAGGATGAACTTATCGTACAGACCCTTCTCGGGCTCAAAGACAAGGCCACCTTTGTACTTGTCCTTCTTTTTGGTGTCAGCTCCATCGTCTTCGTCCTCATTTTCCTGCGCTTGTTTTGCACGACCTTTGCCATATTCCTTATCGGGACAGATGTATTTGTTGCGGTAGAACTCGTGGAGCAGAATGTACTCGTTCCGTTCAGCTCGTGTACCGCTTAGAGTACGAGCCCACGAGTTCCCAGCAAGTTCCGTGAGAACTTTGGTCAATGGCAGCATTTGCAGTTTCAGAGCAAGGGCCGCGATGAAAAAAGTGTCAGCGTGACAATGAGTGACGTAGTTGAGCAAGCCATCGCGAGTGGTTGCCCACGTCTTGAGGGCTGCTTCATTGTCTAGCTCACGGCGACGATTGTCTGGTCCGAGATAGAGATCGCACATCTCTGTCAAGCTCCATTGTTGACATTTGGTCATTAATGACTTGCCCATGTCGTTTGCCAGATCGCACATGAGACGCCCTGCCAGTAGCTGTCTCTCGGCGAAGAATGTGGCGCCTCTCCCAAAGGACTTTGGCCATTCTCCTCGTTTCAATCTACCGATCCGGTGCCACCCTGGAGTTTTCTTCTCTTTCAAGCGGCTGAGGAGAATGCTGTAATCGACTTCTTGCAGTTGGTGGCCCATCAGAACATCCGGGTCAACCCTTTCGAAAAGTGCGAGGAACTTGCTAAGAAGAAACTGTTCCGTCTTCTCAAGCATGAACGTGTCGTTCTGCTTTTTGGTTTCAGCTTCAAAGCCGACCGGATAAGCAGATCCGGATGGTCGCATCACTGTGAATGTACGAGAGGGCATTTCTTCCGGAGGGGTAGTGTCAGTCAGGGAGACGTTCTCGTAGACTCGAGCACTCGCAATCAAGATTTCCTGCTTATTCTCTTTGATATTGAGTTGAGTCCGGAACGCCAGAGACATCAATGTAAGGCGTGGAGCTTCGAGGGTCTCGGAGTTGCTCAGGACGGTAATGTTGGCCGGTTTGGTGACAGCACATTCCAGCTTGCACCACGAAGCATTATTGACCGCGCTGAAGTCGGCATCTTCAATGTTCAACCAGCATGGGCCCATGATGTTCTTCCATAGCACGAACTGTTCGAATAAGGCCGTGTTCGTGCCAAATACACGGGAAAATGTCTCTCCTTGTAGGTCCATTGGTAGCGGGTTCTTGTCGTAGGGGTAGAGAAGCTTGAGGTATTCGGCTTCCTTCGGGACATCAGGGAGCTCAAATGCGTACTTCCTTGTACATGGCTTGACCTTTCTGGTGGAAACCTTCATTTTGGACATCAACGAATCGACTTCGCCATACACATCGTCCATCTCGACCTCTTCGCTAGTTTCTCGGCCATTGACAACCTTGTACTTTCTCGGAAGGAAGAACAGCTTGCGGAGGACATTGTCGACCTTGACAAATGCGCTACGGTACTGTCCGCTAGTCTTGTCCTTGACCTTCCCAAAGAGACAAAGACTGCCATTGACCTCGGTATAGTCGAGCCAGAACATACGCAGACTGCCATCCTCTTCAACAGCATCTTGAGGCTTCATCTTGCCGAAGGTGCGAGCTTCCGAAGATGGACTACTCTGGATATTCAGCTTGCTAGTGATCTTGTTCCATGACGAAGCGTCGACTTCATTGACTGGGGCCAATGGCGGGGATGAGCTCTGAGGCGTTGGAAGCTGTGGAGACTTGATCTTTGGCGGCGGTCTGCTGCCAGTCATGTTGATACTCGTTGACTGAGCAGCTTCATGGCCAAAAACTTGAGCAACATCCATGACATCTTCATCCTCGTCCTCCTCTTTGATCTGCACCTTTGTCCTGCGCTCTACAGCTTTGACGACTGGAGAGGAAGGAAGCGGGTCACTCATGATATTGTCGTCATCAAAGGTTGGCATATGGTCGTCCTCTTCTTGTACAGGCTGCGGGGGAGGAGTGTCGACCAGCTCGGTAGGCGGGGCTTGGTACTTCTGTCGAGGTTGTTCGCGGGAAGGTGGAGGGGAGAGCACCCTGACTTTGCGTCGATTTTCAGACTTGACTGGCTTCGCTGGATACGTGCGAGTAGATAGGATATTGGCGTCGACTTCTCCAAGAAGATCGGCCATGAAAGCTTCGTCTTCGGCAGTGGTTTGGATCTAGTATAATCAGAATCAACCAGAAAGATCTGAGGCAGCGTCTGTACCTTAGGCTTGGGAGCTGCTGCGACGGGGCCGTTGTTGAAGTAGTTGAGAATCTTGTGGTTGGTGCGATCTTCCTTCTCGCGATCTTCGTCGCGTTTGCGCTTTGCAGCTTTCCCCTTCAGTGGAAGCTCCTCAGCATCGTCACTACTGTAGTATTGCCGTTCATTTTGCCATTCTTCTCGACCGTCGTCTGCATAACCTTCCCCGTTGTCGTCAACGACGAAGTCGTCCTTGTCGAGGCGACTTCGCACGACTTTCTTGTAACCATCTTCATCGACCTCGTCGTAAATAGCGCCTTGGTCTTCGATCTGGTAGGAATCGAGTCTTGACTTGCCGGAAGCTCGTTGAGCTCGCAGCTGAGCAAGTGCTGAACGATGCGACATTGTGCAGGCTCCGACAGCTGCAACAATGGCGGAATAAAGATTGAGAAGCAGCTACGAGGTAGCTGAGTATGCAGAGAAAAGACAGTGGTGGCTTGAACGGGAGCGGGCTAATTGAAGCAACCCTCGCGTCCCATCACGTCGCGCCCGACGCGTTGTGCGCGGGGCGGCGGGTCCGCGAAATACCAGCTCGCCAGGTACGTAGCTCCACCTGAAAGTTCGCGTCGTCACTTAACGGATATATATTGTTCCGCTGCACATTAGTACTCGTCTCGTCGTCTATATCAGAATGACCTCCCCCTTTACTCCCTCCAGCCATGCCAGCCAACAAGCAGCGATGTTCCCTAGTATGCTGGGTTGGGCTGCTCAATACTTCGTACGTCCAGTACAATGAAGCAAGCATTGCAATGACGTGTACGGAAGCAGACAAGCACATCTCTGAATGGTTTCCTGTCTAATTCTGTGAGCTGAGAAGTCGTGTTTACCAAACAAAAGGCGCCTGAGAATGGATGAAATTTTCCACACAACCTATACAAAGTAGGAAACACTGAAAATTCTCCACAATCCAAGATCATCACATCCACAGTTAGATACGATGATGACTCCCCGTAGACAACAACATTGGCGCGATTGGAATCTCGCCGCTCTAAGGGTATCCAGTTGAGATGGATCACTACAAGCCGTGCTTTCCTGCGACATCTGCTGCATTATACACTTTCACTTGACACTCACTTCAGACTATGAGACATGAGAATCGCCCCAGCTGAGAGAGGCAAAAGCACACAACCCCCTTTTGGTCGTCAAAATGCCTGTCTCAAAGAAGGATCTCGAGCCAGACATCCAATACATGGTCGTGGGAGTGTTGGTGGCAGAATTTGAGTGGCTGAGCAACAGAATCTGGTTGCAAGAACACGTAGACGACAAGTGAGTATGGCCATGGCGACTTGGTAAGACTTGAGCTGATCTGGAATAGACATCGTGTTCTCTCTACGCTCCTGTCCCTCAGGTTGACTTGCCAGCATCTCGGACAAGCCAACATCATCAAGGCTGCCGTGTTCAAGGAGGTGACGCTGCAGGCAACGACGCTCAGCATGAACCGCATAACCAATACCAACCTCTCGTCCATTGCGCCCTTCGTGAGAAAAATCAATTTCCTGCCCACTCCCTTCATCACCAACCTCGAGCTCGGAGATTTCACCAGAGTGCTGGAAATTCTGTCGGAACATGAATCCAACCTACCTGTTCGAAGTCGCAGGCACGTGGAAACGCAGTGGGGCGCCATCCCGAGAACAGAAGCTAGGGTGACAATTGCCTTCAACATGCACCTTAAACAAGCCTTGCTGGACCAGTCTAGTATTTATAGCGGTGAGCTGCTTTGTCTCTGGACTATAGCGCTTCGGATCTTCCAGCATACGACCGAATTTGAACTGTTCTCGATCTTCGGCAGGCACCCTCTGGATCCAAGTGAAGATTCAGGGATGACGCATTGCCCCTCGTGCCTGGAATCGAAGAACACTCTCTACGACCGCACTGGCGTCTCTGAAGGTCAAATGCTCAAGACGGCCATCCAGTGTCTTGTATCTTCCAACGCGCAAATCAAGAGCTTTTCATTGCACAGAACGCTCGCGCAGCACTTCAAGGAAGTGCCGTCTGCTACATGGGACCTTTTGGATCTGAGCAGACTTGAGACGCTCAAATACCCGGACCTGGAAATCGTGGAAGATGAGTACGCAGACGACATTGAGGAACGAGACGCGGCGGCACGAAGATGCTTGGTCCGGTCCCTTGAAAAGCCTCTCCTTAACCTCAGGGAGTTGAACGTCGACCACTACGTGGAAGTTCCTCGCTTGAAGTTGCCACATCTTTCGCTAATAGTCCTTCCATGCCTTCGCTCTATCACCCTCGGGGGCGTCCTGGTCAGGGTCCCACGCCTCGCACATACCGTTACCAGTTGCGTTGCGTTGGAAGACATTTACCTGAGAAACTGCCACCCTATGGGACCTGATGGATCTGTGGTGGTAGATCCGGAAGATCGGGAATGGGAGCCGTTATTCGACGCCTTGTCTCATCATCCGAACTTGGGACATTTCACCATCACCGACCAATGGGCGTTCATGACCAGTTACAGCCTAACTGCCATGCCCGACATCAACCACGTCGAAGTCCATCGGCTATTGCTTCGGACTGACATGTCGGCCATTCCTGAATACGGATATCGGGGAATATGGGACGCGGCGCTGCTCGTCTACCTTGGAGCAGAGGACTGAGATACACTGACATCGATCCCACCAGCGCCATTCAGGAACAGGGGAGATTGTGAGAGGATTATTGGTGACAGCTTATACGAACGATTATCAAGAGGCCTGTTGACAAGATAGGCTTTCTCTTGAACAGACAGATGGTGGCATGGAAAGGCCAAGGAAATGGGCGGAGCTCAGCGATTTGAAGCTCTTCCAGGACAAAAATGTGGTCACTGATCAAGCAATATCGGCCTGAATGCAGAATACAAGCTTGATGGGCCCCGAAAAGAAAGTGAATTGCTAGTGTTCTGTCAAAGCGACCTCCTCTTTACAGTCAAAAGGGGACTTATGAAATGGCTGGATTCAACTTTCAATCATGTTATAAATTGTCGTTGTGCTCTTCATTCCTGTGGAAGCTATGACTTGGACCCAGCTCCAGGGACTAGCGTCTGCCTTCACTTTGTGAATAAATCGAGGATATTCGTGACAAGTCCAACATCGACGGTGACAGTCAGTCAAGTACATCTCCTTCCGATTTCGCAGCCACTCCCCCTTTTCCCCTGAGGCATCCGGTGGGCAGAATGGAAATTCAAAAGCAGACAGGCAATACATACAGAAATTACCTAATGGTTGTTTGTAGGCGAAGAGCAGCAACCAAATCCCACTCACAAAACGCAGGGCCAGGACTTGCTCCATAAAACCCACTTGCTGGAGCCTAAGCACGTCCTCATACCCGCTTCGTCCCCCCTTTCTTCTGTTTAGAAAAATTCACACAGCACCGCCCGGCCAAGGCGCATCCCTCATGCCCGCGGCCCAATTATCATTCCTCCCGTCAACATATCTCATCTTGAAGGTACTCAAGTCGAGCCCCTCCTGTGGCTGGTCGAGGGACAGTGCATTGATGGAGAAAAACTCATGCACAGTCCCCGAGCCCGCGGGGAACTCGAACGATCCCTCGCCGCAGACGTGGACGCCGCACGTGCCGCAAAAGTACTTGTGCACGTCGCGCGAGCGGAATTGGTAGTCGCGCACGGGGGATGAGGACAGTGACGCGGGGGACAGCAGTGTGAAGTCCTCGCGGGGGATGCGGATGCCGGTGAAGCCTTGCTTCAGGCAGATGGTGCAGTTGCACCGGCCCGCGGTGGGCGGGTCGGTGAGGGTGAGGGAGGCGGTGTATTTGATGGAGCCGCAGTGGCAGGAGCCGGTGAAGGTCTTCTTCTCCGCCGTCGGTGGAACGGGCGTGGATTCGGCCATTGGCACTCGAAACGATGAGACAAGTTTGGCAAGGAGGGATGGCAAGGCTGGTTTGTGGGGAATGTCTTAGGGTCAAGAGAACGTTCACAGCTGAGGAGACAGGAAAATGCTCCTCATAGCCACACAGGAACACGCTTGGTATAAATACTTAATAAGTCCAATGAGTATCCGGCCCGTCTACTCGTATGTACCTCGTATTCCAAACTCTCATATTAGATCCGGTCTAGTCCAAGGCAGACACCCTCTTAGCCCATTGGTGCCTGAGACTTTGACTCGAAGCAGAATAACGTCGCCGACTGGGTTTCCGCGAATCGGGCAGTCCAAAGGCTGTCTGATTATCACTCCAGATTGGCCAGCCCTCACAGTCTGTTGACCTAGTCTGATCCTGATTTGCGTTCGCTGAGAACGACGTCTACACCGTCTTGCCATACCATCCAGCCACCGCGGACTCTCCATTCCAGGTCGGGACGGGCGAATGAGAACTAGCCGATGAGAAGATTGTGAGTATCGGACAGAACTTGGCAGATGTGTCGCGACAACACCAGGAACGGACTTACCGTGTACCGACGAAGCAGCTGCGGCACCAGCTTCAAAGTCTCCAACAAGGCAATATTCTTGCCCAAGCATCCACGCTGGCCATAACCAAACTGCAGAGGCTTGGTTAGTATCCCGGCGTGCGCCAGTTGCCAGCATGACAGATTGGAAAATTCCTTACTGCGAAGTTGGCTCTCTCCATGGCCGCAAGTTGTTCCTCCGATGCTTCCAGCCATCGCTCTGGCCTGAAACTGTCGCAGTCCTCGCCATAGACTTCTTTATTCCGGCTGTGGTTGGGTGTTAGCCAGCTCAAGAATTACTCGATGGGATCGAATCTGATGCAAATGGAGATTTGACTGACGCTGTGACCCATGCGTTCACTCCCACGGTTGTTCCTTCGGGAAAGTAGTGGCCGTCTAGCTTAGTGCCACCTTTTGGAACGTATCGTTCGAGAATGAGACCAATTGGGGGGTGCATACCTGTGCCGATTCACAATTGTCAATATCAGTCTCTGGGGAGACCAGGAGGAAGTAGAACTTGCGTATCGCTTCCTTTACGCAGGCTTGTAGATAAGACAGCTTGCTCGCCTCATGCCAGGTGACCTGTTCGCTCAGCCAGCCCTCCTTATCCGCAGACTCTATCTCGTCGACAGCCTTTTGCAAACACACCGGGCTCTTGAGGAGATAATAAAAGACCTGCACAGTGAGAAGGTCAGTAAGCAGCGGGGTCATGCAAAGAAGCTAATGACAAAAGGGCCAGGCCTTCTCACCGAAGTCAGGGTCAATGCGGTCGTGTCGGATCCGGCAGCAATGTTGTCAAAGTTGTAAAGCATGATCATCCTGTCCGTCACCGTTTCTGGGTATTTTTCTTGGGCTTCAAAACATCTCTCGAGAAAGTCGCGTTTTGTGTGACCCCCATTTGCTCTCCAGGCAGCCCTGTCTTTCATCCGATTCAGTGTGAATGTCACTATCGGATTGCTCGGCCCGTATCTCAGCACGAGAGGATTCTTCAATAGAAATCGGTCCACGATTGGGATCTGCCCGGCCTTTGTGAGTCCCGAAATGGTCAGTCTGCAACAAGTGTCATGGTAATAGGCTAGAATTAGCTTACGAACTCAAAGTACTTGGTAAAGAATCGGATGCCAGACATGATAGACTCTACATCGGTTTCCGTTTCGAGAAAGCCGATCTTCTTGCTGAACACGATCTCGCCTCTATCAAAACATGTAAGTAAAGATTCTCTATCTGAAACAGGAATCGCTTACATGACATCAAACGCGTAGCGGTGTAGCCACACTTCCAGATCCAGGGGCTTTTTGGAAGCAACGAAGCAGTCCAATTTCGATATGAGCAACGAAGTTGTCGAATCCACCGCAGGCTCAAAATCAAGTATTGTTGTCATACTGTAGGCATTCACGATAGGCTTCCTGATCTGGGCATGGTAGGCCTCATCGTAACTCTCAAACAGACCTGGTGTGCACCTGCCCTCATACATCAGTTCGGCGACTGAATAGAACTTGGTCTTCGTAAAGTCTGACTTGGTTCCATAGATGGTAGGTATGAGGTCAGGGTCGGATATAGACACAACCCGAGGACCAATTCTCACGAAACGAGAGTTGAACTTTCGGTGTAGCTGGATCTGTGTCTCGGTTGGGTTGGAGAGGAGGCTATTGAAAACACGCCAAAGGTTCGTGAAGCCGGCGAAGAAAGGACCTGGAATTGAATTTAGATTCCCCCCATATTTGTTGATCAAAAGTCTTGCAATGAGAAATCCAAGGAGGAGGATTGGCCACAAATGCTGGGCCAATTGCTGGATCTGCTCAAGGAGGACCATCGAGCCAGCGGAAAGTGTTTGGAGAAATTGTTACCAGACCCTGTTCTTCTCAGGCTGCGTAGCCAGATGCTATGATATTAGTATTGCTGGGAATCACAGATTGCAATGCGTACGAGTCCTGCGAATGGTTTGAAAATTCCAGATCCCAGGCCCCAGATTCGTACAGGCTGCGCTGCGGGGGACAGTATGCGTCGAATGCACAAGTGCTCCAATCCATCCTGTTGTCAGAGAATGCCACAAATAGCCTGGAATGCGAGGAGAGTCCCGTGTAGGCTGTCACTTGTAGTGAAGTGGCTGAATATCCTAGCTCCAAGTGGTGCCAGACCTACCTCAGCGTGAAATACGATGTCTGCCACACACAGACACTCCATACCTGGACTGCCACATCAAGACATTGCTGCTGTCAGTGACTAGTCACTCTCCTGGCGATAGGGGAAACACACGGTACGTTTGCGGAGAGACCTCCTATTGACTGTAACTTGCGGCAGCTCGGACATGTGATTACCTACCTGGGCTCGCTGGCTACCTACCTAGGTAATGACGTGCCAAACTGTCGCATTGCGAACCTGGAAATGGAATATGTCCTGGAAAGAAGACCCAGCAGGCCACCGAAATCCTGCTGTCCCAATCGTGCGATTCATTACCTGTTCACCCATATCTCGAGGACAATTCAACAACCTCAATGGAAGGATGAAAGCTCGAGACTCTGCATACACAAGTTGAGACTGCACGGTCCAGGCAGTGGTTCTGAATTGCGGAAACCTTTTCCATATTGTTGTCAGATAGAAGCACTTCGAGGCGGTCTGCATGTGATCGGGATGATTGCTTGGAAATGTGACCCTTAAGAGACAGCACAAATAACGTGTCATCTTTGGAATATTGTGATATTCTGACACTGCATAGCCCTGTGGTGGTGGGACAATGATCGTGGCCCCTGCTGGCTTGCCGTCCCCCTGAGATAATCTCGGATTCGAGCTACTCATTATTGTAGGCAGTACAGGTCAAGCACACGAGTAAGACATCATAGCAAGGAAAGAAGCAGAGCGGCAGAAGTTTGTCTCATTTCATTTTTACTGATATCCATCCCTGATGGGCCCGCTTGCCTTGGCATTGCATAACTAGCGCCGGTACCCATTTTCATCCATCGAACAAGTGCTGCTCGGAAGCCTATGAGCTTCGGGCGCGGATCGCAACTTGAGAATCTGGACTCTTGGCCACACCCCCGAAATCAAGCTGTCCAACCTAGTTCATCTGCTTGATCAGGGCGTTGATAGCCTCTTCCCGGTTACCGAGATCACCACCCTCGATGTAGTGCTTAAACTTCCTGGCCCGGAAACCACCGTTGGGGTTGGACAGTTTGAAGGGCCACAGGAAGTTGCTTGCCTGCTTGAAGTTGGGCCCAACAGTGAAGATCTCGTGGATCAAGTCTTCCATGCACACCATACCGTATTTGCCCAGGTTGTCCTCGATGAGTTGGTTGTCGGTGAGAGCAATGCGCTGCTTGTCGATCTTGCCATATCCACGCTTGTAGATGAGCTCACGAACAGTCTTGAGGTTGGGATAGCCGTAGGCAATGTACGGGTTGACGATGGTGAGCATCTCTTGAGTGGCTTTGGTCAACTTGACGAAGACACCATTGTTGATCTGGAGGAGACGAAGGAGCTGGAGGATTTTGCGAGGCTTGGGAGCGATCTTGTTGATACTGATGACGATGAGCAGTTGCTTCGCGAAGACATGATCAAAAGACTCACCCCTTGATTCTGACGACGAACACCAGCTTGGGTTGCTCATCAACAAAGAAGTTGCCCTGTTGCCTGCTCAGGCGAGCGAGTCTAATCTTCTCGCGCTCGGCATCGCGGTATTCCTTGACATACGTCTCCGCACGCTTGAAGATGACGCCACGCTTTTCCTTGTTAGCCTGATATGAAGTGTTAGCCGGCAAACGGTATCCCCAGATGATCAAGCATTGTGAAGGTGCCAAGAATGTTCAGCCCCGAAAGATGGTATAACAAAAGCGACAACATTGACCGGAGGTCTAGCCGCAAAAGTGGTATTTATCATCACCACATTATTTCCCATGCAAAGTTGGACGATGTACTGACCTTCTTTCTCTTCTCGAGCGTCGCAGCGCGCTGCTCTCTGGCCTTCTCCTGGCTCTTCCTCTTCTTCAACAAGGTCTCGGGGACGAGGACCTGGTCCTGAGTCGGCACAGATCTGTACGGGAGGAAATCGAATCAGTATAGTCCGCAGGTGAATTGATCGCCGAGTCGGAACTGCAGCTATGGCGCGGCATTCTCAAACTGGTGATTTGGCGTAAACTCGACGAAATAGATTTGATCAGTGAGAAGAGATTGAAGAGACGCAAGTAGTCACACATGGTCCTTTTCAAATCTCGAACTCTCAACTGACAACGCCCCGATCAGAGATCAGGAAAGTTTTTGACTCCATAACAAGTGCCCAGGTCTTGCGACCAAGCGAGCATGTCATACGAGCTCAATGTATTTCAAGGAAGAGGCGTTGACTCCTCTAACCTCAAAGCCCCGACTTTCTTCTCCAAGCGATGATTTCTCACACGTCTTCGGAGTCGAGCCATTGGGATGATCGAGCTGGAACAGCGGTAGCGAGACCAGCGAAAAGGGAGCGGACCATATCTGAAGATTCCAACTGTCAGCAGGATAGCAAGGGATACTTACGACTTCACAATTGGCTTCGTCATCTTGTCTGGTGATGTGGTTGAACGCCGGCAAGGTTGAAGGGCTGAGAAACATCAAAAAGTTTCAACTGCGCCTTCGATTAAATTCGAGTTGTGGGCAGCTCGGAGTCTAGTCCAAAAGAGGAAAGGCTGACTTCTCCGCTCTTGGCACTCTGGTGAGAAAATACATCGGGCTGTGTCACTTGGCTGTCTAATGAAAATTATTACAATATGCGATGTTTCGGCGAAAATTTCACAATGAGGATTTGGAGACTTTCTTTGAGTTGTGATACTATTCTGTCCTGCTCATCAAGCAGAACCTACGGCCATCAGTAATGCGTGCTTCCCCCGACCCCTCCCATGTTCCAAAGATCTGTGATATCAAAGTCAAACAGTGTCTCAGGAAAGGTATTGAATGGATCCGTGGTCGTCGTCACAAATGGATCGAGCTCTGGTAGAGGTTGGCCGGGCGTAGGCTGGGAACTCATTCCCACCAAGGTATTGGCTGTGCTCATGGTAACATCTTCTACGCCATTAGTTTGCGTGACGGACGAAATCTGCCGCGACATCATGAACCCCTGGAGAGTGGCTACCCGGTCAGCAGTCCCCTGTGCAAACTTTTCGGCGGGTTCCTCTGGAGAGAGCTTCGAACGAAGTAGCCCCAGGGCGCTGCAGGTCAGCCAATATGTATGAAACCCTTGGCCGAGGTTTTTGATGCGATCTTCCATCAAGTTGACGGCCTGTTCAATCAAATTCTCAGCACTGGTCGGATCCTGCAACAGTTCCTCTTTCGATCGGGTCGAGACGACTAGATCATGGCAAGTTGCTAGGCAAGCTCGGAACAGATCATCCCGGAGGTTGAGGTAGCTGCTCCGACTGCTGGGTCGTAGTCCGATGAAAACCCTCATTGTCGACAGTGCTGCGTTCCGCCGGGCGGCTCGTGAGTAGAAGTGTCGTGCCGGCGCGTCGACTTGAGTGGCAAATGGTTGATGCATGAGCAATAGAATCTCGTAAAGCTGCAGTTCTGAGAGAGCTTCCGCGATGGCAGTTGCTGCGTGATCAGACCATTTTGGGAGGTTATCCAAGGTCTGCCGGATCTTTTGATCAAGCTCGAGGGCGGTATCACTTTCAAGGCCCATACGAATGCTGTTGATCCTCGAGATTATCTCCAGGCGGAGCGGCAAGTGCTGATGCGCTAGGCAAAGGAATGATGTACGGGTGAACTCGGTCATAGCTCTGGCGGAGGGCATCTTTTCCGTCGTTTCGTCGAAGTCTTCATCGTGGAGGTTCAACGGGGGCAAAGTGTCCCAGTCGAATGGACCAATGCTTGCTCCCATCCCGCGGTCAAGGCTGTTTTGAACATCAAGCTCGAGTATTGTGAACCAGAGTCTCCTTCGCATCTCTTGGTCGAAGACTGAGATGGTATTGCTCAAAAAGGTGGGCTCGCGATGCAGTCCAGACGACATGGCTTCCCGTAGCAGATGTCCTGACACCGTGTATTCTCGCTTGACCTTGACGCAGTTGAGCTTCTTGGCAATCACCAGGAGGACGCGGACTTGGAAAACTTCCAGCGTCATGTGCTTGTGGCTTTGCAGCTCTAGCCAATTCTCGCAAACTTCGATCCATTTAACGGCTGCATCACGGCAGACAGTACTTCGACCGACAAATCCCGTGGGGCCGCCGGCTACGGAGCAATTCACGCTCGCGCATACAAGAAGGAGTTGCACAAGAAACCCCGAGGAAGAGTCTCCGGACGAAGCCCAGAACTCCTTGTACTTGCGGAAGAAGGTCGGTGCATGTAGAACACGATATGTCGTCTCCAGTGTCTCGAAATATTCTTGCACTAGGGCATCTGTACGGCTCTGGTCGGGAACCAACGATGTCAGAGTCTCGAGATCGGGAAGAATCAAGCTGGCGTTGACGTTTCGGCGTTGCTGTTTCCAAATATTTCTGGATTTTTCGAGTGTTGGCAGCCGCTGCAGGATATCCTTGACAAAGCGGGAAAGTTCCTCAAATTGTAAAAGTAAATTGGCTCCATGACTTGGACCGAAATATTGCGTCTTGAAGCTTTTTCCCCGGAGTAAGGCTCGTTCGTGGTCATGTAAGGCATTCTTGTCGGTGCTCGCGGCTGACCCAGCAGAATGACCGAGGCCAAGATACACAGCGGAAGAGATGGGACGCGCTCCCCCCGCCTTGACATGGGTCCCCAGTTCGAATAGTCGCTCCTGTAACTCTCGCAAAGACTTGACCTGGGTGCGAGGTTGCGAGGAGCTGGACTGTTGGGTCTCTTCGTGGTTTCGGGCACTCTCGTGTTCTTTTGACCGGGCGTGCCAAACGTCGGCGTGTTCTAGAGTTTGCAGCCCGTCAGTCCCTGCCCAAGATGTGACTTGAAGGATAACCAAACCAGCATGCAAGGATGCGGGGAAGGGTGATCCAAGGGGTCATTGAAGAGTGTATATCAGAGGGCTTACCGGTCCAAGAGGTAACCGAAGCCTCTCTGCGAAGCTGTGGGCTCTCCTCGGATGGAGTAGGGAGAGCACTATCCTGCTTGGTATAAGACACGTAGTCACAACTCACCCCTCCCTTCTGACACCGGACGCAGGTCGGATAGGTCCTGTCGCACTTGACCTTCCTCCGCCTGCAGGCCACGCAGGAGAGTGCCAGGCGACGGCGTTTGGGACCCATGGCCGTTGAAATCAAGCTTTGGGCGGCCGATGTTCTAAGGCCGAGGATCGATTATCGCGAGCTTGACGGGCAGAGGGTTCCTCGATGGCCACGCCCCCTCGGCTTTGGCCCAAATGCTCCTGGATTGATTGGTTTCAGACCGAGCCGCGATATGAAAATGGTGCCAACTTCCACCAGAATTCAGCCTAGACAGAAGATGAATTGTTCAAGAAAGCCCGGAGGCTGCTTATGGGCGAAGAAGTGCTCTTGGAACGGCACAATACTGTTATACACAATTCTAGATATGCATCAGTTCTCACGACACCAAGTGGAAATAGGCAGAAACCATTGTTGACACACTCGAGCTGTATGAAAGGAGCTTCACGGGAGAAATGTCGCCAAATGTCGCCAAATGTCGGCGTTGGGGGCCGTACGAGGAGGATGCCATCAAGGCATTGCCACTAGTGATGGCGGTGGTAGGGATGACAGGATGGTAACTGTACCTTGTATGGAGCAACTACGCGTCTCGGTCATCGTCTCGGCCGAATGTCGTCTAATATCCGCCCGATATGTCCGAGACACGCTGACGACAACTCCTTCCTGCATCTGCCCAGTACTTACCTCACTAGATACCTACGCACCTTAGGTACATACCAAGTACATCAATCCATCCATCCGTCAAGCAGTCCTTTCATCCATATACCTATGTACCTAACCCACTGACACACTCCGACGGCCTGCACCTGCATCCTTCTGCTTGCGTCACCCCTGATCTCTCCTTGACTCCACCGACATCACAACGAGACATCACATTTTACACCCAATTGTCCGAGCGCTCAGCTCTGTAGGCTTCACCTCGTTCCTTACGGACTCGAGCTGGCTTAACCGACGGCATCCTCACGTCACGCCGTAGCTCCCACGGATCGACCTCTCCCCTCTCTCTTGCCGTCTTACCATTGACCAGATTCCTCCGAGCTGGCAGGCGTGTGCTATAGTACTCACTTGACCAACGTCCGTTGTGCTGTCGACCATAGACTATGTTTGGAGGCGTCTCGTGCTTGCGACGGAGGCATGTTACCACGCTCACAGCCACGGCCACAAGGATGATGATGAGCGTAACAATGCCAATAGTACCGCCCGCGGAACCCATCTTGTTATTTCGAGCCACGAGGAGTTTTTCAGTCTTGTTGGAGAGGAAGCAACCAACGAGCCAGCGGGTCGACAGATATGCAGAATGAGACGATGAGCAACACGGTCTGCGTTTCTGCTGCCTCATTACAGCCCCTAACAGCCCCTGCCTCGAATCTACTTCTAATCCTTTGTTCCTGAGACACAGATGAGGCACCTTGTTTGGCGGTAGACAACGAAGGCAAAGGCCGCCAGAAGCCCGAACCTCGGACAAAGGGCAAGCGACATAGAAGACACAAAGGCCATGGACAGTATCAATGTTTCCCACAACTCCAATGCAACAAACTGCGTTGTTCGTTGAGCTGTTGATTGGCTTTGTTCGATTCTCGAACCCTTGTTTCCTCCGCAAACTGCCGCGCTTGTCATCGAAGCTCGAAAGGTATAAGATGCGGCAGGGAATGTGCAACACTGGTTTTTGGCTCTCCATCCTTCTAACACAATCACCGGCGCCCCTGAAAGGGTTTCTCAATCGATCGCGGATTTGCTCTCGTTCAAATTTGCTGTTTGTTCAGATTTGCTCTCGTTCAGATATCAACTCCGAACTAAGCCAATTCGGCGATCACCCCTTTCGACAATGGCGTCCCAACCTGAAGGGTCAACCTCATCTTCACCAATCAAAGGCTGGACCTCCCTCCATTCTGATAGTGAATCTGGATTTTCGAACTCTAACTCACTTGAAGAACTCTTTGAGCAGAATCGTCTGCACCTGACGGTCAACCCTCTTGACCCATTCTTGCCGACGATTCGTCCAACAAACAACCTTCTTGACAACCCATTGCTTCCTGAAGCACCTCAATTTGTCTCGTCCATGCAACTCGACTTGGACAGCCATGATGCAGACGTTGAAACAGATCTCAGTCAATTTGAGTTTCAATTTTCAGAATTGAACACTGCCGTTCCTGATGTCGAATTCCGGCTCGAGGATTTTCTTGAAGGCATTGAGGATTTTGCTGAAGGTGACTTCTCAGCTGATCTTCACTCGGATGGATATGCTGCGCCAATCCAGGAGCAATATTCCTTCCAGGAGGACTTGGCAAATCTTGACAACCTTGACTTTCATGATCTAGCTTTCGTCCCCGACGAACCAGCTAACGAAGCGTTCGCCCTGGACGGAAACGATTCATTCGCTGCTCAAGGTTTGGCAAATCTCGACACATTTGATGCCGACTACTGGTTTTCTTTCCCGACGGAAGTGGACATACAGTCTCCTCTGCCTCCTGATGAGTTCGTCGACGCCAGCCTGTCGCGCTATCCTCGAACTCCCGAAGAGGTTCATCTGCTGTCGCGCTCCTCGAGTGACCTGGCTGATTTCTATGGATACTCGGAACTTCTGGCCCAACCCGGTCCAAGCTCAGCTTCGTGGAATCCTCCAACTGACGCCTTTCTGACTCCACAAGACCAAGGGCCCCAATATCAACTCACGTCGCAGCCCCACCAGGTCGGCGTATCGCAGTTTCCTCAGGTCATGCAACAACTTCCAGTGGAACAACAGCTTCCAGAGCTCAACTTCAGTCACATTCCGGTGGTTGATGATGCGATGGAATTGCTGTTGGTCCCTCCAACTAACGAGAATACCAACACTGCAGCTGCCTCTGATTCAGCAACAGAATCTGGGTCATCCGCGACATCCTCGTCTTCGTCAACGCTATCCAGTCCGGCCCGCGGCCGTTCCGAGTCGACTAGGCAGCTTTATCGCACCCAGAAATGGTACGAAGAGGGTGCCCGCCGTCAACAAGAGGCTGCTGCCAGGTCCGCAGGCACAACGCGTCAAAGACTCGCGCGCAGACGAGAAAACCATCGACAGCACAGAGAGAGGGTGCGGGAAGGGCAGCAGAGAGAGCATGCATCTAGACGGCTTCACGGGTCATCTAGATCCCCTCCGCATCTCACCATACCCCGAAGTGTGCCTACGCAGCAAGCACCTGTGATTCCTCCGGTTGTTCTTCCCACCGGGAACAGTGTCGCAAACACAAGCCCCAGGGTTTCATGGTACCAAAAGGAAGATGCCCGTACAGGGGAGGTCTTGGGATATGTTCGCTGTGTCGAAGAGTTCTACACCCAGCTTCCTACTCCTGTCGCTCCCCCTGTCTTCAATCCTCTGTTCCCTGTCGCTTCTCCCGTTCCAGCCGCTGGTGCTGCGCTCCTCACTGCGCTGCCACCGCCACCGCCGCCGCAGCCGCAGAGAGGACAAGCACCGGTGTCAACTTCAATCACGCCGGCTGCGCCCGCAGCCAGGGCAGTCATCGTTATCGATGACAGCGACTCAGGCTCTCCCGATGGTTCCCCACTAATAGTGACAACTCGCGCCAACCCAGTGCGTCGGTCTGATCGCCTACGAAAGAGCTGATCACAGCTAAGTGCAAAGGTTAGTACAAGGTGAGTTGCCCCTACAACAATTCCTTTCCCTTTTGGTGTTTTCGTTTACCCCCGAAACCCGGAACTTTGAAAATTCGAAGCTCAAAAAAAATTGGAACAACAATGGAGGAGGCATTCTGACGGTATTTTCCGTGACAAAAAGGTAAGGTCGACGGGGTTTTTCCGTCTCCACCCTCCTTTTCGGAAGGGGAAAACTGTCTCATTCCCATGAGCGGTGAAACCCTTTGCTAGGTATAGAAATTTGTTCGGGGCTTTATCAGGATTTTGGATTGGAAAAGGTAAGTGGGAAGTACCTGAAATCAGCCTTAGGTCTACGGCAGAGTCCAAGGTGTGTGTATGTACGTACATCTGTCTGTGTCCTTCGCACTGGTGGAACATGTACATCTGTAGGTACTCTCACCGGGCGCCTGGGTACGTACTTAAAGGGTGAGTTAAGTCGAGTCGAGTCGATCGGCCAGTCAATAGTCGAATGAGAAAAAAAAGGTAAGTTTGTTGAACAAGTTTCTGTCCCAGTCTAGTCCCTCAGTCCCATTCCTTCCCACTGGCAGTCTATATCCAGATTAAACTCTCAAAAGGGGTATGTATGTACATATATATATGTATATGAGACATCGAGAACCGGGAATCGAAGGATCAAGTCCATCCATCCATGTCCTAAGCCTTGATGTCCTGCCATACCATACTATACCATGTCAATACGCCATATGGATAGATACTCTATATTCTTCACATCTCAGGCTGTCTATCTTGTCTGTTAGTCAGCCTGTGAGCACAGTCAGCGAGTGAGTGATATAGTATGAACAGATCCAGTTCCTCGGTAGTGATCGATACATCGAATTGAACCAGTATTTTTCTTTTCTTGTTTGTTTCCTTGTTGATTTCCACGCTTCTTCTAAGTTCTATTGTTCTACACGAACGAGTCCACAGCCACAGGGCAGACAGACGAACAAAATCCCGAGACTTTTTCTTCTTCTCTTGCTTGTTCCAAGCGTTTGCAGCATGCCATTGATGCATTACCATTACTCCCCCCCTCCCCTCTCGCCTTCCCAGACTCCCTAATCAAACAAATCATACAAAGTCCCTTGTCGTACATCAGCCATGAAACAATGCCCAGCTCAACTCGTTTTCAATGCATATAAATCATTCTCCATCGGTGAAACTCCCTGCATTACCTCCTACCTATCCAATTGAACTTCTCAGAAATCTTGCTCGTCACTTCACTGATGCTGATTCCCGTGCCAGCACTCCCCTTGCTCCCACCACTCAATCCCGTCTTGCCACTTTCGCTGATCCCGCTACCCAAGCCCTTTCTCTGTCGTCCATTCTCATCTCCACCACCAAAGATTTTCTCAAACTTGGCTTGCAATCTTCCCTCCACAATCGCGGAGATGAGGTTGATGATTCCAAATGCCGAAGACCCAATGGCACGGAATAGTGCCACGGCAGCCACCGACCACAAAAGGACTTTCAGGTAGATGTTTTTGCTGATGTGGCTGCCTACGGGATAGGCTTCTGAGACCGCCATGGCAAGGATGGCATTGCACACTATCCATACGGCGACCATGTACGTGCGCACGGACTTGTAGTAGTCTTCCTGCAACTGGGACTCGCTGACGGACGGTTTGGGTACCTCGACTCTGTCCCGCAGATTACGAAGCGCAACATCGTATCCAGAATCGATGTCGAGTTGTTCAGAGGGCATTTCCACTTCGACGGTGTTTCCACCAGATCCAACTGCTTTGGCTGCTCCGAGGTCGGTGTGCAAGATATTGTCACCTTTGGTACCCCATGTGACGTCGTGAGTGTTGCAGAATGCGTACACTTGTAACGTGCAAATGTAAGACGGTAAGAGGGCGAAGTATTGCGCCGAGCTGGTAAACATATGCCATGGATCCAGGTACAAAAACGACATGAGGAAGTAGAGGCCAACCGTGCTAACTGTGCTGACAATGAGGTTGGTAAAGATGTTGTCGCCTAGCTTGTACGGATTCTTCGGGTCTGTCTGCTCTAGCGCGTGTGTTGTGAGCTGTTTGATGACAATGTAGAGAGATGCAAAGGTGGTGTATGCCATGATAATCGAATATGTGACCATAGTACCCGTGAACAGCTTCTTCGCGCCCTGTGGCCGATTGCCCATGCTGAGGATGAATTGCAGACAGATCAACAACACAGTAACATAGCGGAGGATGACGAAAATGTATTTTCCGATGTTGTGCCCAAAAGGATCGATCCTGGGGTCGGATAAGGAGCCAGCAATGAAGTAGAAGGTCAGGTAGAAGTTTGCGAGGGAGAAGAAGGTGAATATAAGAGAGATGAACTGGTAGACGAATTCGATGTGTAGCAAGATCTTTCGAGCCAGAGTGTGGTCGGTATGCCAGATTTGCTTGAAATGGACCAAAGAGTACACCGCTGCGAAGAAAGCGCCGTTGAGCCAGCGTCGTCGTTGAGAGATGAACTCGGGAACAGCATCTGGAAGTGGTCAGTGAAGATTCTCGATTTTGCTGTTTCGCTCTTACCTGGCACATCGGTCTCTCCGTAGGCGCTCTTGACGAATTTCAACACCCACTGTTCGCCGCGTTTCGCAACAAGCTCCCAACAGAGGATTCGATCTTCAGCAAGGTACATATTGGCGGTAAAAACGTCGGCATCACGCCCATGCAGCGTTTCTCCCTTGAAGTATTGGCTTAGTGGGCCGTGGCCGCTTGGATCATTTTGAAGTGCATAGTATCGATACGCCGACAGTGCACCGGGTAAGACAGTGATATAGCCAAACACTGACTCGAGTGGCTTGTCGAGGATGTTACTCATCTTGTACTCGAAGTTTTGTGAGGCGACCAGCGGGTTCAGCAAGCCCATCCATCCCTTGCCCTTGTCAGCCTTGATTTCACCTGCCGCCCCAGCGACGTTGGAATCTTGATCGAAGGCTTTCCAAAGATGATACAACGCCTTCGAATCCGGTTTGGTGCCCACATCAAGGAGGATGCAAACGTTGGGCGTCAGGGCGCGGCCGAAAGCATTGAAGAACCAGCGGTGAGAATTGAGCTTCTTCTTGTTCTTCTCCTTCAGGCAGAAGATCATTTGGCACGGAACAATGCCTTTTTCCGCGCCTTTGAATTTCAAAGTCTCGTCCAGCGAGACTTGGGTGGTGTATTCATACACATGGGCGGTGACTTCTTTCTGGTTGACAATGTTCTTGGCTATGCCATCCTGGTAGACTCCCATGGCGGCCAGAGCATTTAGAGTGCGAGGATGAACCTTTTGTCTTCCGTCCGCAATGATGCAAACGACAATCTTCTGCCAACCGTCTTTGCCCCAAGTCCTGGACTTTGTCCTCGAGCAGAAATGGCTGATGTTTCTCATGATACCGTGCATTGTCCTTGTGAATTCGATTTCGCCTTCATTGTACATGGTGACACAGATGAAGAGCTCGGTTTCTCGAAGGGTAGGTCCGATGTTCTGGCGCAGTTTGTAACCTTTCACAACAAAGTCGTCTGGGTCGCAGGTTACGGCTGTGTATCGCATGTGCGTGAACTCTCGTTCATCCCTCCTGGGCAAAAAGCTGTGGAGAATTGTAGGGATCTTGCACTCGAGGATCAGCTCTCCGTTGATGAGTCGCACCTCCTTCCTTGTCATTTGTGCTGCTCTTAAACCTCGTCGATCCTGTCTCCCTTCTGGAGCAGGGCCATAGTGATCAAGTTTCTCACTGTGTGCGTCGTCCTCTTCCGTGAAGGTTGAGTCGGTCATGTATGAATGGGCTGATTTGAGGCTCGCTCTGGGATCGTTGTCAGGCACGATTGGGTGGCCGTTCACAAAAACATCGTTTTCCATGTCTGCATCCGGTATCGGTATCGTCGTCTCTGTTGCAGCGCCTTTGGTGGAGAAGAGCGGTGCAGGAGGCAGAGGTCTCCGCGGACTCCCACCATACTGCGAGGATGGTGTGCCCGGCCGTGGACTCCCATTGAGGTCTGCCGGTTCGTAAGAAACGGTAGACGCGGCAGGTCTGCCCCAGTCGGTAGATACTCGAGAAGGAGTGGAAGGTCTGATAGGTGAACGGGGGTTCGCCGTCGGCGGGGGAATCGAGGGAGCTCGTCCTAGGCTGGAGCCAGGCCTTGAACTGTATGCGGTCGACGCCGTAGGTCGATATCTTTCCGGGGAGCCTCGAATGGATGGAGAGGGTCTATATGGAGGGCTTCTGTCAGTCTGAGAGCTTTTCTTAAGGGTCACAGTAGCTTTGAGGGTAGGCGCGCGGCCAACGAAGGTAGTTGTGTCACGACTGCGCTGGAGAGACTCCTCGGCTTCGGCGATCAATGAAGACACTGATGCTTGCAGTCTGGCACCTCGGCCGGCGGACTCTGTGGAAGAGTCTTCCCATGCAACGCGAGACGCCTTGGGTTCAGGCACCGGCTTGCGCCTGGGGGATGGCAGTCCATCGGGTAGTGTAGAAGAAACGCAGCTTGTGACATACGGTCTGTAATCATCACCCTGCGGGAGCAGCCTAAGTGAAGTGTTGTGTCCGGGCATACTCATAACATCCTCCTCTCCTGGGCCATTGACATATGAAGGAGGTCCTTCGACATAGCTGGGCGGTACGTGAGTGAAAGGTGGACGGTCGTCCATTGTTCGTCGAGAAAAGGCGGGGTTTGTTTACTGGCGATTGGGTTCGGCGACAGCGGTCAGATCAAAGATGAATCCATGCGCAGCTAATGATACAAGTAGGGAACAGTAAAGAGGCGTTCTATCAGCGCACAGACGAAGAAGACCTTGTCATGTGGAGGAGAGATGAGCGAATGGCGTTGGGCTTGTTTTAGCCATGGCGGGATCATGGCGGATAAACAGCCAATGTCCCAATGCGGAAGCCTACAAACTGTTTCGAGGGGCAACCGCATCAAGTCTTGGCATTGCCTCTCAGCCTCGTCGCCATCTGCATCCAATACTACGACTAGTACAATCCATCACTCGTTGTGAGTCCTGGTTCCCACAACGCCTGCACCGTCCCCAGTGTTCGAAGAGTACTTCTGGTGCCATGGCGCAGAACTGGACAGGTACCGATGGCACTGCTCACCAGCCTACGACGGCCATCAGGCTTTTCATCGCCGCGAACCCACAGTCCACATCATGGAGAGAAAGGTAAGGAAGAGATTCATTCTTGGGAGAGAATCACGGTAATGCAAGCTCTATGTCTCAATTAACATGGCATTATCCTCGTGTCTTCGTGTCCTCCAGTGCTGCTCTTTCATGGACTCGACCGTCCGCATGCGGAACCTCGAACAAAGGAAGGCTTTGTACGGCCACCATTTCATCCTTTTGCTTCATATCGCTCCCCCTGTGCCTACTCTTCCCGTTCTCACAGCTTCCCACAAAATCACTCCCTTCACAGCCCTTTCAATCGAACCCTTGAGAGACAAACTCGACACCCATCACCGCAAGAATGTGTATCTGGGACCTGGCCGTCTTCCAGTGCGGCCATTTCGGCGGCTTCAGCCGGAGAGACGGCGGCTGCGCACTCCCCAAGCCAGCATGCGACAAAGAGCGAGTCAACGCTATCAGATGCCACTTACCATATGACTGTCTAGATTGTGCGCATCGCTGGAGCCAAGGCATCCCTCTCCATCCTGAGGACGACATCCACCCTGTCTTCCGGAGCGTTCAGCAGCCCATGCTCCCTGTGGTTCTACCCCCGGCGCAAGGAGTCGCAGTCTCTCGTCACGCAACAGTCCGCAAGATGCCGTCGCCCAAGGACATGGTCGAAGAGGACGGATATGACTTCTCGGAGTTCGCAGAGTACGCCAAGTATCCGACCCTGCCGCAGAAGCGGCCGTGGCAAACCAGTCCGACCAAGATCATCAAGCGGCACAGAATCTCGAGGTCCAAATACTCGAGCGACACGCCCCAGATGTTCGGCCGCCTGGGCAACATCGCGGAGGACCTGTCGGAAATCGCCATGCCGGCTGCTAGGGCGCGCAAGGGCGGGGAGGGTTATTCGCCTCCCAAGGACGTGCGCCTCCACGGGACCGTCCAGGATGTGTCAGAGCTTGACCATCTTCCTCCGGGCCTGATCGCCGGGTTCGCCAACAACACCTCCCCGACGGGCCGGCGCCAGCGCAACGAGAGATCCCCGGTTCTTCTGAACAACGCGGGCGTGGCGAAGCGTCGCATCTCGCCCACGAACAGCTATGCCCCGCGTCGCATCTCGCCGACGCAACGCATCTCGCCCACACACCCCAGGGCGCTGTACGCCACAGCCGACCCTGCCAGCGCCGCCACTGGCAGCACGTACACCGCCTACAACGGCTACGCAGCAGCCTCCCAAGCCGCCACCCGCCAAAAACAAACCGCCACCCGCACCTACCAAGAGACCTATGACGATGTCTCGGATATGATCCAGAGCCGCCGCTATTCCCCGGAAGAGATCATGGCCTCGAACAAATTCGCCCAATTGAGCATCAGAGATCAGGACGAGGTCTTCTGGCAATACGAGAGAGAACAACAGGCACAACAAAACGGGCTTAAGGGCCTGGGCATAACGATGGAGCGAAGGAAGACGCATAATCTGCCAGTGAGGTCTCGCGAGGAGGATGGGCGCACGAAAAAGAATGGTTGTGTCGTAATGTGAGCTTCACTGAAATCGGAGGCATGACCGCGTGGTGTTGAGTGTTCAAATGCTTTCGTCTGCGAGTCTGTTGTTTGCTAGGTGCCTTTTCGTAAGATTCTTGTTTTCTTCATGATTTCCTTTTGTGTTTATTCTTTTTCCGGTGCGTCGGGCTTGGTTCAAAAGGGACGAAAGACGCTGGAGCAGTAATAGATCGATTTGAATGCATTTCATTACTTTGGAAAGGACCAGTGTTCCCAACCGGCTCTGCAGGCGCGTTTTATTCCAGCATGCTCTTTCCAACTTGAGGTGGTCTGTTGCATCTCCCAATCGAAGATTAGTATCGAAACAATTCTGGTTCTCCCATTACACATCCAAGCTCCGAACCAATGCTGCAAGGGGTATCTCTAACTCAAACAAAAGAGGAACAAAGGGAATAGGACGACGGGTAAACGATTACCATCCAAACCTCCCAAGAACCCATACTTAAAGGTTCCAATGGTCGGTCCCATCCAAGAATTTAATAAGAGAACGGATCGACTCTGAAAGATCTATTCCAATCTCTCACTTCTGCTGCAATATCTCAGGAATATCCCTCACCGAAGTCTGCTGGTTTGTAGCTTGTTCGTGGTTGTGTGCTCTCAAGTGTTGCTCTTCCTGAGTGGGGGCCGCAAATGGAATGGGAGAGCTTGAAGTAAAGACAGGCAGGTCCTGCTTTGTTCTCTGGAATGGATTGTCCGTTCCAAGAGACAAAGGAACTTCCGGTGAAGCATCCTCGGCTGTTTTTTGTTGTACTTGCGGGCTTGGTGGTGGAGGAAGAACGAAGGGGGGGTTAGTTATTGGAGCTTGCGCGTCGGCAATATGCACAGCAACAGTCGGTTCGATTGTCGTCGACTGCTGTGATTCTTGCTGTCCATGCACTCCTTGCGGTGTCTTGAATGGTAGAGACATATGCATGCCTTTGTCTTCCTGTGGAGAATTCTCGCTGAGGGGTGGCGTAGGTTGAGCAATAACAGTAGACACTCCCATTCCAGGTATCCTTGCGGCTGTTTGAGGAAGCACTTGAGAGCCGTCTTGTGGGAGCTTTGTCTGTGTGCTGACAGGATCACCGGGGTTTGCAATAGGAGCTGTTTTAGTGAGCTTTGGATTTTTAGGTAGAAGCGGTTTCCTCGGTGCACGGGGCTTCTTCTGTTTATCCTCAACAATCTTCTGGGTCGGTTTGTTGGCGTGCTCTTCTGCAGTCGGCATTTTCAATTTGATCGAAATCTTCTTCATCCCATTTGTCAGGTTGTCCATCTCTTCCTTAGTTGACACCTCCTTGCTACCGTTTAAGGGAGGCGAAGATGGCTCTCGCTTGGCCATACTTTCCTGAGCAATGCTGGGAGAAGTTATGGTCTCGGACAAGACGGTAGCAGCTGATTGGACAGGTTTCTGCCTCCGAGGGCTGGTCTTTGGCTTTGTCGGTGCTCTTGTGGTAGGTGGTACTCTCGTCTTCTTTACGGCGACAGCCTTTACTGGCTTCCCAGGGGCGGTCGGGGGTGCCCTTAAAGGTACTTGTGCATTTGGAGGTTTTGGCATAATCTCTGCATCGCCAGCACCCTGATCGGACAACTTCATGCCTTGGAAACTCGACAAGATGCTCGATGCATCACTAGATCTTCGACGCATTCTCCCGTTAGGTAGGTCTGGATGCTCCATGTTCGGATCAGGCAAGTCACTAACTGCCGCGATGGTTGTGCGCCGATTACCATTCCGCGACATTGCTCTTGTAGCTGAGAGATTTGCAGGGGCTGCTTTTGGCTTTCGATCACGCAGTTGCATCCGTTCGTCAGGCCCAGGAGGTAAGCCGACAGTCGACTGTCGCTCCCGTCGTACACGTGTGGCCTCGGCATTGAGTTCCTCATGAGTACAACTCAAAGTTTGGCGATCACTAGGGATAATGACACGAGACAGCTCATATGAAGCTATGGCCCAGTCAACGTCAGGGGGCGGAGGCTCATATCCAGCCTCTAGAGAGAGCCTGGCATGCAAAGCTGATAACGACCGTCTCTCGCGAGCATGGTCGGTCATCTTCAGCGTAGACGCTTGCGTTGGTGAAGAGTAGTTTCCCGTCTTATCTTTAGCTTTCGAAGTTGGAGGTTGTCGACCTGCGACGACAGCTTCAAGCTCTTCTAGATTTTGAAGAGCCCACCAATCCGCTGAGTAGGTAAAGTGTTGCCCGGCCGCAGAGGAAGGTATGTCTTGTACCCAGTTGTTGATTGTTTGAAATCCATTCCCTTGGCCCTCTGACGGACCGTTGCCATTCGCGGTATGGTTGTCACCCGCCATACCACATATATGGCTCAGGACACCTGAAGTCAGAGCGCGATCACTGTAGCCGCCCTCTAAAACGCTGATAACTCGACCCTCGACGCCGACGTCATCTTCGTGAGCAAGCCGGACAATGTCGGACGTGAAACGTGCGTAGAACTCTGTTGGAACATTGACACTGTGCCTCTGCATGCCTGCACCTTCCCACTCGCTTGCATCAAAGCCCGCTGAGATGAAGATGGCAGCCTTCGGAGACTGGTTTCCAGAAGCGCGCAACTTGGCCGTGTGATGGCGCAGGAACATCCTGGCCTTGTGAAGTAGGATCATATACTTGGACTCGTACAGTTTCCAGAACTCTTCTTGGCTTGTCCAAGGCTCCAAGTGGACATTCCAAACCGACTGGCCATGAGCGTTTTCGATGCACAAGCTTGCATTGCGCACCTTTTCTTCGTCACCCCACTCACAGGGATAGGAATTGATGTCATGGAGGCTGTAATAGCCAATAGGGGTTTTCTTGTGCGCTGCAGCATTCTTCGCCGCGCCTTGTGCCTTTCGGTTGTGGTTCCAGGCAATGTTCTGGGAACCATCTCCATGATGTAGATCGAAATCTATAATGGCGGCATGTGTCAATCCGTGATTCATAGCCGCATACGCAATTCCCACATGAACATTGTTCAGCCAACAGAAGCCCGACGGATAATCGGACGAGCAATGATGGCCTGGAGGTCGAATGCAGACAAAGGCTCGTTTGGTAAGAGGTGAAGAGAAGACGGTGTCGACGGCATCGCAGACCCCACCAAGACAGCCCTGGAAAGCAGCCAGTGATTCCGCACACAAGTAGAGGTCGCCTTCATGCAATTTTGGGAGGGGATTCCCATTCTCGTCCTTGCCATAACCAATTGGTCTTACCAGCTCTTTCCCATTAAAGGCCAATTTCCCCTCGGCGGTGTCGCACATGATTTGCAGCTCTTCCATCCATTTTGATCCGTGGACGAAAGCGACAGAGGGGTGGGTGAGAGGAATGATCCGCGAAGTCTTGCGGATCTGGAAGGGAATGTTGCACACGCGCGAGGTTTCGTGCTTCGGGCATGGCGCATATTCACCGTCAGCATGCCGCCCTCCCAAGCGCACATAGGCAGCCGACGCTCCTAGCAAGGTGGCGTGGATTCTTTCCGGCCGCTCGACGATTGTGGCGAGGGCATTCTTTGAGGTGCGCGGGCGCGAAAAGCGATGTCCATAGCACGAATCATGGACGATGACCACCACGGGGGATTGTAGGGAAACATGAGCCTCCAACTCTTTTCCAAAGTAATCCTTGGCCACCGAATTGGCCGTAACAGCAGGGCGTTCTGGAAGCGACATCATGCCATTTGCCGCGGGGTAGAGAGGGTTGAGGTTGGAGGAGGCTCGACGGTATTGAGGTGTGCTGCCCCTGGTATTACTCAGGCTGGAGGTTGACCTTCTGGTGGCCAGGGTTGGGGTGGACTGTCTCTCTTGTCTCTCGCCTCGATATGAACTTGCGACAGAGGGCGAGCGCGAAGGCGGTTTCGGCGACAGAGACTTGGTCTTGGAGGGCGCGGGGGTGTGGTAGGGACTGCGCATGGGTGAAGAGGGCGGGAGGGGGATTTGGGCGGCAGCACTCAGCAGGTTGGGGTGCGCGTGGGTGTGATCTTTGTCTTTGTGGTCTTGATGATTCACCCGGATCGAGGGTGACACGAGACCTGGGGTTGTTGTGGTGAACACACCGTTGGCCTCGTGAGGGCCGTCATGCTCTATCGAGGGCGTCGGTATATCGGGATCCATGTTTACCTGAACTTTCTTGGAATGTTGTGGTGTGCCCTCTGATGCCCTCTCTTTTCTGGTTGGATCCTGTATAAATGAATCAAATGAAAGGGAAGCGGCCAAGCGGCTTCATGTTGGGAAGTGAAAGTGGGTTTCAGCCTCTTTGACACCCACCACGTCATTTGGCTGATCCTCGCCGTTGACCCCTTTTTGCCTTTTGTTGCCCTTGTAGGCGCGTTGCCGGCTGCACGTCGTGTTTGGCGCATCTGCTCTGCCGTTGCCGCTCCTCTCACTTTCCTTCATCCGATGCAAGATGGACCAACACGCATCATCCTTCGACATCATCCAAGGGCCAGTGCGCGGCGATTGCGACATCTTCTCCGTTGCGCTCGTCGGCCACACCTCGAACCACAGCTCTTCATCGCCATTGGCGCAGAAATGCAACACTTCGAGAGCTATTGCCAAACATGAGGCCATCTCTCCAAGACTGCGTTGCCCGGTGCTGGGTCTCTGGCATATCAAAGCCCTTGCCACGGGCACCCTTCCGTGGCGGTTCTGGCGCGAGATACTACGTCGCCTTTGATCAGCGTCGGGATGTCTACACGGGAACCTCATCTGCGTTATCCTGTTGTAAAACCACCGCTGTCCCTGCTCGAAGAACACATTGCCCGAGAGCTGCCCAGCATATTCCCACCAAGAGTGCGAGGCCGGGTTGCATATCGCAGCGAAAGATGAGAAGGTAGGCATATTTTCGTCTCTCCTTGTCCCTTCGTGTTGCGTACCGAGTACTGCGTCTATCCTGTCTCCTTCCCCTTCCCGACTTCTCCTCACCAGCTGGGAAATGATCCCATTGGATAAAAAAGGGTCAATCTATCCATCGGGACATTTGCCGGTCATCTCCACACCCTCCGCCGCTCATATCGCTCATAATCGGTGATATCTCAATTCCTTCGTCTATCAATTCTCCAAAAAATGTACCCCAAGCTTTTTCAAGCAAAGCACAACATAAGAAAACGAAGGAAGAGCCTGCTCATCAAACAAAGATTTCTTCCACTTAATTAACCCTCTCTCCTAGCACAAAAACCATGACTACCCCTCCTCCGCGTGTTCTTGTCTTTGGCACCGGTAGTGTCGGCGCCGTCTATGCCTGGATGCTCTTCCGCGCCGTCGGCTCAGACAACCTATACACAGTATGCCGGTCGAACTATGCGGTGGCCTCGACGGCGGGCTTCACCATTAACTCGACCATCTTCGGGGACGGCCTCAACTTCAAACCCCAAGTGGTGCGGACGGTGGACGAGGCTGTTTCCCTCTCCGGGGGAAAACCATTCGACTACATTGTCGTCACGGCCAAAGCCATTCAAACGACTCCCTCAATGCCAGAACAACTCCGCCCGGCCATCTCGCCTGGGCACACGACCATCGCATTGATCCAAAACGGCATCGCCATCGAAGAACCCTACCGGACTCTCTACCCAGACAACCCTTTACTGAGCTGCGTGGTGTACCTGCCCGCCACGCAAATCGCTCCCGCGGTGATTTCCCACCGCGAGATTCAGCTCTTGCACATTGGGAGCTACCCGTCCAATGCACCACCCGAGCACCAAGCCGCGGCAGAGTCGTTCGCCCGACTCCTCAACGCCGGCGGAGGTGAAACGAAAGTACACCGGGACGTGCAAACGCAGCGCTGGAGCAAGCTCATGGTCAACGCGGCCTGGAACCCCGTGTGCGCGCTCTCCCGCTCCCGCGACGCGCAGTTCCTCCATTCCTCACCACCAGAATACTCGCTGAACCTGATCAAGTCGCTCATGACCGAGATCACCGCCATCGCCCAGTCGCTGGGCTACCACAACGTCAACACAGACACGATAGACTTTCAGATCAACCGTGTTAAAGTCAGAGATCCGCCCGGGATCGAACCCTCCATGCTCGCGGACGCCAAAGTCGGCGCGAGGATGGAGGTCGACGCCATCGTCGGCAACGCCGTCCGGTTGGCGGAGGAAAGGGGATTGAAAACGCCTCTGCTGAGGGCTATCTACGCCCTGGTCAAAGCGTTGGATGCCAGTTTCGACAGGGAGCGCGAAAAGAAAGTCCAGGTCATCAACGGCAAAGGGAAGCTGGAGGAACAGTCCAGGATCTGAGTAATTGAGAGATCGGGTCTTCGTCGCAATTCACATTGGGAGGGTGTCTCTAACAACATTATACCCTTTTTTTTTTTAGATATGACAACGTCTGAGAGAGATTTACAGGATAGAACTAGGAGACAGTAAGACTCAACCATGACCATGTGCACTTCGCGGCTTTGCTTTTCCGCCCGAGTCACAATAAAGAGACTTGAACGGAGCATGATCGTTGTCTTCATGTTGCGGATCTCACACAGAATACATATAACCTTGAAGCCAGGTCGGGGCATATAAGGCTCAAAAAGAACCAAAATGAGGCTCTGTCTAGAAAGCATTAAGGTCCAAGGTGCTCACCTACCCAAAGCTAGAATCCTGTGCTCCTGAGACCACATAACGATGCGTACCGGGGTGCACGATGTGGTCATATCTCAATGCCCACTCCCTCGAGAGCATCAACAGCCCATGCTGGCGGAGATTGGCCAGCAAAATACTTGGCGAAAAATTGCTTGCAGAATAAAGGATACTGATCATCCATGATGGCCGTTCTGATCCGTCGCATTAGTGAAAGCAAGTGGTGTACATTATGCATCGTCAACCTGTGAACGTAACGAGTCAGCGGCAATCCAACGCAGAGCGGGCATAATCCAAGAGGCACGGGCCAGATAGTAGACAAGCTGTGATGAGAGTTGAACAACATACAAGTGAGCTCCTACAGTTTCCTTCGCAGCGAGGTGGTAGATGTACGCTCTGGTGATGGCCAACCCGCCTTCTTCTTTTGGGCGACAGCAAGTGCAGGTACAGTCTTGCTCAACGGGCCCGAAATCTTGAGCATACCGAGCATTTTTGAGGTTCAGGACGCCGCTGGAAGTGATCGCATTGCCGAAGCGCTACAAGACACGCACGTTCATTCCTCGGTTAGAACAATGGCCCTGAAGACAAAAGTAGAATCAAGGTATATAAACTCACTGCCGTTCGTGTCGGCCACACACAATCAAACATATCTGCTCCAAGAGCAACTGCGACGACTATATCTTCTGGGTAGCCCTGGATAGGTAAGTTTTTGTTCACCAGTAGCAGGGAAAGGAATGCCGTACTATTCCCATGACGTATCTCGGCTTATTGTCAGGAAGTAAACCGGTGCATGTATCAACGCTGTCCAAAGAGTGAGCATTCAGATATACCCAGGCAGAAATGAGAGAGGGGAGGAGGCTTTACACTTTGCAAAAATCCGCTTTTGCTTCTCCGCCAGACAGACCGCCAATAGCTATGCCTGGTGTGTCCCTCTTGACCATTTCTTCACAGCACTGTCGCCTCATTTCCAGGTCGAGACCACCTTGAATAATGCAAAAAAGGTTCTGGGTCTCGGGGTTCTTGTGTGCAACGATGCATCTGTCGAGCCAACGGATGGAGCGTTCCATGGCCTCTTTCATACGAGCATGATCAGGTGATGTCGTCTGAATGACATCGTCGAGCTGCATCATGATATCTGAGCCGATGGAGTTCTGAAGAGACATGGAATGCTCCGGGGTCAGGAGCCTACGCATGACGTGAGTCTCTGGCTTGAGAGAATATCCCTCATTTGGGTTGTCACATACATCGGGCTACCATCGTGAGGGCTGAGGAATCGCACGCCTTCCTCCGTGATCTTTGCCAATTTGAGCAATGAAACCATTTGAAAACTTGAGATAGCTCGAATCAGTCACTTATCCTCGGGCAGAGAGGGTGCTGTGCACCACCAACCCGCCGCTGTCTGTCAGGATATTGTAGTTCCATCCTTGTAGTTTATGGGCACCGCCAATGGTGTCAAGCACCGCTTGGCCAGGTTTCAATCCCAAGTGGTATGTATTGTTCAGGCATAATCTGCATCCAGTCTCTTCCAATTGTTCGGGGGTCAGTCCTTTGAGAGATGCCTGGGTGGCCACTGGCATGAAAATGGGAAGGTCCACTGGACCATGAGGTAAATGCAGAGTCGAGGCGCGGGCCTTGGATGTCTAGAAAGATGGCGAAGGGAATTTGTCAGTTGCGAGAGTGGTCTTGCAGTAGGGGAATGGAGGGGGAGTGATGGCTGCGTACCGAACACCGGGCCTTGCGGTCAAAGGTCAGCGCTGAGGCGTTTGTAGCGGTCGACATGCTGGCGACTGGTCCGAATGCATAGGGACTGGCGGTAACGGCGTGCTTTGCGGCGGTGAAGATGTCAAGAGGTGGTTTGGTTACTTGACGGGTCCAGTGCATATGAAATCCGGCAGTGGGAAATGCACTCGACCGCTGATCCAGGTGGCACGGGGATGTACCTCTTCACGTCAACTTGGCTTGCCGGCTACTTGACAGGTCATTGACGCCGAGTACGACCAATGGAATGGGGTCTGTTGTAGGCTGAACGACGATGAGGTGGAAACAGAATTTTGGAAGGTGGACGAGATGTGGACGAGTTGTGGCTCGGAACTTTTTTCTCGGCGACGCCTCGTTCCTTCCCTCCTTCCCACCATCCCACACCTCTAGAGCAATAGCTCTCTGGCCTTGATTCGACATCCAGAGCTTCGGGTCATGCGAGGACGTGGCTTGAAGAGTCTCCAGATCGCTCATCGACAGTGGCACGACAGGTCAGGGTGCACAAACATTCTGCCCGATACCGCAAGCTTAGATCCCAAGCTCCACCCGCCACTACAAGGCGCATGGATGATGAGATGGTCAAAGAAGATCGGACGCCTGCCCAGGATTAAGCACAGGCAGAATCAAAATATAAGCATGAGATATCATAGATTCCTGGTTTTTTCTTCTATCAATCCTGAAAAGCGGTCAAGGAAATTTGGGTGAGGACTGAGACCTCTCCCGTTGGCTGACAGCTTGAAGCCTGGACAAGAGGACAGACTGGTTCTAATCTCCCTTGAAATCTGACGGGTTTGTTGTTGTTTTTCCTCTCTGAGAAGCAGGTGGCAAAGGCGAACAAAGGAGAAAGAAAATCCAATCCCAAAGAAAAAGAACGACCCCCGCCTAGAACCCCCCTGCTGTCCTGTGTCTGTGTGTCACCATAACGCCATCGCTATGCTCTCATTCGAAACCCTTATTTTGCCCCGTCGGATACAGCAGGTATTCAGACAATTACCCCACCGGAATTCGACTCCAAACCTGCCCGCGGCTTTGTACCTGGTTGAAAGCACTGTATTGCCCTCCAGCGCACGTCGCAACACGAGACTCAGCGAGCCCAGGGCCCACCGTAGCCAGACTGTGCTCGGTAAACTGTTGACTGGCCGGCGGTGATGGACGGGTTGCGCAGCTTGGTGCAAGCCACTTCTGCGGCGTCTTCTTTGGCGTTGTTGAGGTATTGCCCGTCATACCAGTATCTTGCTGCAAGATTCTGGCCCTGGATCGTGACTGTAGCAGACCAAGCTGTGCGGCCACCTAGAAAGCCGGCAGAATAGATCAGCGTCCGAACAACATCGAAGAAATTCTACTAGAATGGTCGAGAAAGGGCATTTTCGGTGCCACAACTTACCTCGACGGTCAGAGACAATGTTGAATTGGGGGGCAGGCAGTCTTAGTTTTCGGCACTCAGCTATCAACAAGTCAGCCAAAGTCTCAGCAGGCATAGTGGTGTGAGTCTTACCAGCAAGCTCTTCCTGCCATGTCTTGTGGGTTTTTGTAGCCATATTGGAATGGAAATGCGGTGAAGTCTTTGGCTTTGTTGTTGTGAAAGCTCTTGCTCCCACTGCTTGCGTCTCTGTAGAAGATATTTGGTCGTGTCGACGAGGAGGATTCGAAGTGAGATGATGACAGAAACCACCCTCCGTGAACACAGATATCCAAGGACTTTATACTCAAAGAAAACCCCGAGGCAGCTCGAATGCTCAGCTACGGACGCAAAGCAAAGCGACAGAACGAGTGCCAAAATCAGGGAAGGCGAGCTGCAGGTGCTCCAGTATTTCGTTCCCACGACAGGTCCTTTGTCTATCAAGAAGGCCGCTTCATTTCAAGGTAGGGCAGCATTGAAAACAACTGAACATAGAGCAGATAGGTTGGCTTCGTGCGACATGATCTGAGATCTCGTGACACTTTTGTATCGATGGCCCAGTGGCCCTGGCCTCATCTATCGAGAATTTCGTGGTACAAAGAGAGAGATTGCAGAGACGTGAGATGTCAAACGTGGGTAGAGGATGGGATGGGAGGAGGCAAAGCAAAAAATCAGAGCCAACAGCCTCACCAAAGATGCGCTGCCAACACATCAGGTATCCGGCAGCGTACAGTAGTGGGACGAAAGGTCCGGCTCCAAGCGCAAGCGATGATATGCATGATGGCGTAGAAAAAGAGGACTCTGTGACAATCCAAAGGATGGGGGAAAAGTCCGCGAAAGGCTAGAAGGAAACCTTTGAGAGCGGATGGCAATATCGAAGTGGGGGCGGCACCAGCTGGTGCCGCCCGATCGAATGCAAGATAGCGGCGAAAAAAAAATAGCACAAACTGTTTTCATCGGTGACATGTCCACATCAACCCGAGTTGATGGTCGTGGAGATTTTGGAAGCAGTCAAAGAGCTTCCGAACAAGGATCGTAAATTTCCCTCTTCCCTTGCTGCATTCGGAGTACGTCAAAAACCAGGGCTGGTTTCCTTATTGGTCGCCTTCAATGCTCTCGGGATAATTTGCATTTGGGCAGCAATCTGAGCTGGACGGGGGCGTGTGTGTCAGAGCACGCATGAGATCGATCCACGTCTCGCATTGAACCGAATTGCCGGAGATGGCGAGTGCTTGGACAGTGAGATTGGTTACAGTGGCGTAAGCTTGAGGTCTATGGGCACATTCTTGGGGACAAGCCAGACAGAAGTCAAGAGGCTAGAACGCGGGTAACAATTTGATAATGGGGATCAATTAGTCGACGGAGAGTAGCACAATCCCTAGGTAGCAACAACCCCGGATTGCAAGGGACATGAGCGCAAGTGTCCAGTCATTCCGCACCAAAGAGGTAGCAGGGGTAACGAAAGTGCAAAGGAAAAAGAGGTGAAGAAAAGGGCGGCGAGATCCCTGCCTCTAGGGCCTAAGAGTGACAAGCGGAGGCTGGGGGGAGCTTGAGCCGGCAGTGAGCATTGGTGTTCAATAGAAAGTAACGCGGCATCGAGCCGTCGAGCGTGGCAAGAGTTTCGAGAGCTGTGCAGCAGTAGTATCTTGTCTAGGATGCTGGAGGCATTGATGGTTGGAGCAAGATGCACAGGAGGAACAAAAAACAGAGTGGGCGCAAATGAGGATGTCGGACGTGGAAAGTCACTTGGTCAGCAGAAGCCCTTGGACCAATCAAAGCAGCGAGTGACGGAGGCCAAGCCGCTAGGTCCAGATATGGCCTAGATTGGTCCTATACAAGTTTTTCTGGGTAGAAGACTGCATAATACTACCAAGGACATACCTAAGGTACCTATGCTATGTATAGCTGCCCAAATAATCAGACTCAGCAACCTAGAAACCTGGTCCGTCTCTAGCCAGTACTCTCTTTGGTCTCGGTACAAGTAACTGTTGCTGTTTCATTTGTACAGCTTCATCGTACGGAAGCGTAGATACAGTGACAACGATACTCCGCTCTCAAGTCATTTGCTTGGAGCCTTTCATCTTGTGGAACACGAGTCATGCGCCATAGGCCAAGCTCTTCTGGCTATGTCGTGTTTTGTACGTCCTGATGTACGTTGTCCAAGCCTTGTCCCCAGCGCCGAGCAGCCCAAATCTTTCCAGACATTACTGCCCAGATCAACCCTCCGCCACGAGTTGGCCCAATGCAAATTCTGTACAAGAATGTGACGGATTCCACCCTGACAACTCTGCGAGAGTCCATCACTCATGCCCTTTACATCTCGTCTTCGCGATGCATCCCACACCGCGCAGTAGCTCTGTGTAACGCCTCTGCAATGGGAAAACCATTCCCGAGTTTGTGTCCACACTGGACAAAAGATTGGGGGGCAAAAGAAACAAGTCAAGAAAGTGCGGTCTGAGACTGATCAACTCTTCCTGGGTCAGGAGCGGTGTGGCTCATCCCAGTGTCTTTTGATGCAGTCGTCCACAAGGGTCATGAGTCCGGTTGCCATGATCACGTCTCCCAAGTCATTCGAGATGTCCTTCTCTGTGAGCCGCAGGCTGCACGGTGGGATCCAGCCACCCAGCGCCGCTTCTTGCCTGCTCTGTCTCCGTGACAATTTGTCTGGAGTAATATGAGCAATGCAAACCCCCGAAGACAACGTGATCAGCTCAAAAGAGAATACCAGCTCTGATTCATCCCGGTAGATATTCCGTCTCCACGAATACCGCTCACCCCAATACTCAAACTCATATTTGCTGTCCCCTGTCTTACTCCGCTCTAGTTCGACCTGGGCATAGTTGGAGAACTCGATTTTGATGGTATCCGTGGGGATGGTGGCCTTGACGTCGACTTGCTCAGCGAAGGAACTGAAATCTTCGTCCGATTCCTCGCCTCGAATCTCTTGAGCCGGCTTCGGGCGAGGCTTGCTCTTTAGCGTTCTGAGGTTGAGTTTGGCGAGAGTCGAGGTAAATGACCGCCGCCGGGGCGAGGATGTCGAAGACGATGGTCTCTCAGCGACTGGTTTCAGATACTTCCGCTTCGAGTTGCAGACTTCCCGACCCGACTGCCGCTGATATCGCCGAAGTGAGAACTGGCGTTCGGCAAGATCGTACATTCGAAGGTGGAAGAGGGTCAGCTTCAGCTTGTGCCCTTTGGAGATGGTCAACTCGGTGTCAATGCGAAGATTCAGATTTCCATCAGGGGTGGTGTCATCGTGTTGAATGAGGATTCTTCTTGTGGATGGAAATAGCTCTCCGAACTCGACAGGGGTGGTGGCAATCGCATCAGGCTTATAGCATATATGTCTCATCAAAGGACATAAGCTTGGAGGTCTTGATGAATCAGTCTCAGAAGCAGTTGTCGAGGCGTATGTGTCGATTGATGCTCGAGGGTCGTCTTCATGGTCGTCAATACAGGCCGAGGGCCCATCAAATATCTCGCGCTCCTCATAGCTGTGGTAGTGCTTGACAACAGGCTTGGTGTCGCTACAAGACGTGAGAGTGGTATACTGGGTGTGACTGGAGAGGCTGGAACGGCTGGACTGGTCGCTACGGGTCGAGGTGGAGCTTTGCGAAGTGGCAGACCCCTTCGACCAGATCCGATCTGAGGTAGGTCGTGGCATGGTGCGGAAAAGATGTGTAGTGTTCGGAAAGATGTTGTGAAGAAGTCCAGCGGTGATGGTCTGTAGCGAAATGGGAAAGCAATTCTCTAAGACGTGATAAAAGAGATATATTTCAGAGAGGTGCAAGGTAATGAAGCCACGGCAATGCAAAAACCTAAGGTAGCGACGCCCACGGCATCTGAAAAGGAAGCGAGACCATTTCGATCATTGGTGACGAGGACCAAAAGCAAACAGACTTGAGTGACAAGGTCACTCCACAGGCAGACAAGGGCGATGTCAACCTCCTCTAGCCATCTTGCACGACGAAGCACAGGCGCAGGTGATGGCGCGGCAGTAGTCGTACATCCTATGGCGGATTTGTGAGGGCGGAGGGGAGAACAAGCCAGAAGAGCAGTATGGCGGGTGTGGCCGGGACCTGCCGCAATGACCAGTTTCCTTCTGGAAACACTTCGTCCCGGGATTTGCTGAGACACGGAAGTTCAGCTAAGATATCTTAGTGATCCTGCTTAGCGACCAGCCTTCATCGAGACTCCAATAACCGACTTGTACGGGGGTAACAGTGGCCCCGGACAAGATCCATTAGAGGGTCGAGCCAGCATCATTCTCCGTGGCGTGGGAGGCAAACGGCAGGGCAAAGCCGGATAAAAACAGAGCAATGCCAATGGTGGCGAGAAGGTTGTCGGACGGCCATTCTGGAGGAGGGTTGGATGAACAACGGATCTCGTGGTGGGATGGCGCATGTGGTTGCCGGACAGACGGCGAAAACATCAAAGTGTTCGCCGTCAGACGGGGCTGTGAAAGGGGCAGGTGACAAGATGATGGGGATGCGGCCGCGCAAATCAGAAAAGTAGCAACTGTCAGACTGGTTAATGCTCCGTGTCAAGCAGGTGATGGAGCACAGTTCGACGCGCCACGTCAGACAGAAAAAGGTTCTCAGAGAATCCGACGGCCGGGGCCTGGCGGGACAGGGCCGAGGCATCTAGGCCATATTGGGATTAGCGACGTGCTTTAATTCAACCTGTGCCGAAGCTCTTACGAACTCCCTTCCTTCGTTAGTCTGCGGCAATATGTGGCACCACTTCATTGGCACTGAATCTGTCCATGTCACCTGCTTTGCGTTTCGATACGTTGCTTCGATCTTGGCTGGTATGCAATGCCCGTGCCCAATTTGGAGCGCCCTCGAATCGTTTCCAGGAGTCCAAGAGCACCCATGAACATGTGTTCACTGCCAGATGCTGTACCATGCGCCTCTGTACCACCAGCGCAGTTCCATGTTTTCGTCTCGGTTGCTGCAGCTGAAGAATCTCCAACGTTTTGTCCGGCCGGTACTGTCAAAATTTGGGCAGCCATGTCTCGCTTCATTTTCAAGTATTGGGTCAGCCATCCTGCATCTCAAAGTTTAGAGCTCCAGCAAAGAGCCCTCTTCTACCCTTCATTGTGAGCACGTGCGGTTATAATCAATCTGAGTCAGGCAACAATATCATAATCATCAGATGTGAGGCATTTTAGGACGAATCTGGACAAAAGCCATGCAACCAGTCCCAAAAAAGAAAAAAATCGGTAGGTTGCATTGCCTTGGATCATCCAACGACTAGCAACGGCTCGACCCGCAAACCGGCCGTGAGGCACTGTTCATGCCCAACTTGCTCTTTATCCATAGCGTTCCCACGTACCTGACTATCTGTACGCTGCTCTGAGGAGCGTCGGTCAGGGAGCTCTGTGGTTGCGCGAGCTCTTGAGACCCGGTCCCTGAAAGCTTGCGGCCTCCAGCTCCTATCCGAGGCTACCACCTGCAGTCCGATGCGAACTGTGAGCTTCCTGCAGGACGGTTCGCATGAACTTTGTTGCTTAAGCCAGGTCTGGAACGGGGTACATCAGATCCCCATCCTCGGTTCTGCGTGGCGCCGTATCCAGGTGTTTCCCCGTGCTCACGGCCGTTTCTGCTGAAAGGGACCCATGACAGAGCTTGGCTGCCACAATTGCCGTATGCCGCGCGAGTTATTTCCGTTGGCACTGTCATATAGCGCGTTCGTACAATGAACGCACCTATTCACAGGCCTCTCGCTATCGCTGCACAATACAGCCCACTTTCACAAACTCGCTCCTGTCGATGAGAAGTCACCTACCTCGGGCCAGAACTCTGCTGCTGGTGATACTTCGGCCTGTTCGTCCGTCTTACATTTCTGTCACGTCACACAGCCTTTACTGTGCTTCTTGGAGATGAGTTCGAACTCTCATTGGCTCTGAAACTCTTTTCTTTATCAATGACTGTGAAGAATTCCGTCTATTCGCTGCGATATGCTGCGTAGCCGTCTTTGGCTGCTAATCCATACCAACTCCACCAGCTGTTCCACGATATGCTCCACGCCCGTGGAACAGTCAGGTCTGGAGGGTCCTGCTCGAAGAAAGAGCCTTGATCAGTACTCAGCTAAAGTGGGGGATTCCCACAAGAAGGAGTTCTGGAAAGATGAGGTGATGCACGAATCACGAAATTTCTGTTGCAATTAAATTCTCTAATGTTCTACAATCGACCAATTGGAGAGAAGAAAATCCATACCCAGAGACTCACAGAAGAGTAGTGTATACAGATCACCAACTTCGACGACCGTTACACCGGATGCTGCAGAAACGGGTTTCGGATCAGCTTCACACCATCCCCCACAGCGGGCGTGGAAGTTCGATTTCGCGGCCAACCTCGACGCCTCGGCCCAGAAACCCTCTTGCTCGGCTGTCCACACCCACATAGGCTTGTCTTCTCTTCTCCTCACCCTCGACGTCAAGGGTCACACTCCAAGTTCGCAAGCCATAGTAGCTGCCCACGCAATGCACCAGCCATCTCGCAAAGGCGGCGCCCTTGTCTTTATCCAGGCCCTCAAAGACCATTTTTTCAGTGCCGATCGTACCATCGTCGTCCCATCCCGCCTCACCGTTGTCCTTCTGGTCCTTGCTGGTTGAATCGTGCATAGCACCATTCCTACCAATAAAGACAATTTCCTCATCCTCGCTGTCACTGGTCAGAGGAATGTCATGCAGACCATCTCTTCTCAGACGGATTTCTCTTTCGTTCCACTTGCGCACGAACGCTCGGACTGTTTCCTCCAGATCCTGGAGCAATCCCTTGGCGGCTCTGGCGCGCTTGAGTTTGGCTCGTACTTCCTTTGGGATGCTGGTCGCTGCTTCTTCCATGGGACTCATTCCGGTGTTCTGCACGACGCGTTTCCCATGGTTTCGAGTGCTGTTCCTGCGACCCTTGAGCTTGGATTCGACAGCGCGTTGAAACTCGGCGGCATCCCACAGCGGAGCCAGATAGTATGGGACGGTTCGTCGCGGGTACGTGGGACGGACTTCCCAGTCGGAGGGTAAGGGAGGGACAGCCCAAGGGTTTGACAGAAGTCGATCTATTCTCTTTAGTCTTGGAGCAGTCATCTCTGGGTAGGTGTAGGAATACCATTTTCCCATCGCCGTCGCTGCCGCGAGCCCTCCTTGCCCTTAAGGAAGGCTTCGCGGCGTTCCAGGCTGTCGCGACGTACAAGTTTGCGGTCGGAGTATAAGCCCGACTTCGCGACGCCCGCCGTCCTCGAGGTGGCGTCGACAGGAACCGTGATCCGAACCGCTTTTGTATCGACAGGAGCACGCTCGGGCGTCGCCATGGGCTCAATGGATATTTTATCCATCTGTGCAGTCACTTCTTCGGTGCTCTGGGTAACCACAGGCATCGCTGCTTCAGGAGCTGACATGATCGGGATGATGGCCATGGTAGTTGACGATAACCGATTGCTTGCCGCGTACAAATGATCGAGACAGTGGCGAACAAATGAAGGACCAGAACGAGCAAAAGGCGGTTCAGCGAACCAAACGATGCGGAACTGTAGAGATGAAAACAGAGATGTGAACGGTTAAAGTACCGAATGGACGGGTAGGATGGGAAACGATGAAGTTGTTGCTTGAGGGGTGTTGCGGTTGAGGCTCACCTGGGATAAGGATGCGGCGCCCGCAGTTGGTGGCCCGGAAGCTCGTACAATCATTCTTAGTGGTGGGAGTCATGACCACCCGGACACGGACGAATGATAACGAACCTCCCAGCAGCGTGCGGGCAGGATTGACTGAACATGAGTCAAACAATCATCGGACAAACACTGCCATGATGATGTCGGACTCATCGGTTCGTATAGCTAATACCTACCTAGGTACCTATAGGTATATTGGGAATTTACAAGACTAGACCCCTACCTAGGGATGTATCACAATGCAGTGCCTGGAGCACCCTCTGCTTTGGCCAGAACAAGCCGGAAAGAGCTCATCGTGAAGACAATTCATAACCGCAATGATGAAAAGCTGACCTCGAAGTGCTCTAGGCGGTACGAGCTGTGCATGAGGTGACCCGTCGAGGCAGTCTAGTGATGCCCAAGGGGCTGCCGCCGCCATGCGCGCGTCGGCTCTTGCCCGTCATGTGGGGGACCGACAAAGGGCTGCTAAGCCTGGTGGCCCTCGGGAAGCTCAACGAACTGCAGCTGGCGAGTCCTCGGGGGTGCCTGGTGCCTGCGTCTCCAACCCAAGATGTGGTTCACTGACATTCAAACTATTCAGACTGACACTTAGCTACTTTGTGTACCTACGTCCTTCTGGATTCGGGTTTGGCTTGTCGTGTATTCATTTCTTCTCTTTAAACCCCTCTCAAGAATTCACCATGAGAACCCTCGCGCTTCTGGTCGTGTCGCTCGGCGCTTCCGCTTTCGCTCGTTCAGTCGACACTCAGTCTCAGCAAGCACTTATTCCTCAAGATGAAGAGGCTTCCAGTCAGGACAGGTACTTGATTGAACTGAGTTCAGGGGAAACGAGGTGGGTCGTGGAGGAGGAAAAATGGGAACTCAAGAGAGTATGCACTATGTCTTGCACTCCGTACAGGCAATTTGAACAAACTGCTGATTCAAAGTGCAACAGAATGGAATCAAGTTCATGGACATTACTGAAACTGGAGACACATACCCATATGCGGCCGCATCGAAAACAGCTGCGAATGCGATCACCTATCCCTCGAAACCTGAGCACAAGCACGAGGTCAAGGCTTTGATGAAGACGTTGGACAAGGACAACATGCGCAAGCACCTCGAAGGTCTCACGTCGTTTCACACGCGCTACTACAGGAGCCAGAGTGGCATTGATGCAGCTCTGTGGTTGCATGACCAGATAGAGCAAGCCATTGAAGCATCCGGCGCTTTCAACTACAGCGCTTCTCTGAACTTGTTCCCGCATTCATGGGGACAGTCGAGTATCATTGCTCGGTTTCCTGGGCGAACAAACCACACGGTCGTGATTGGTGCACATCTGGACAGTATCAATATGTTCTTCCCCTATCTCCGTGCGCCTGGTGCCGATGATGATGGCAGCGGGACGGTGACCATCCTCGAGGCTCTGACGGCTCTGCTGAAGTCGGACAAGATTGTGAACGGCTCAAGTGAGAACACGGTCGAGTTCCACTGGTATTCGGCCGAAGAAGGGGGTCTTCTTGGGAGCCAAGCCATCTTCAAGTCCTATCACGAAGAAGGAAAGGACATCAAAGCTATGATCCAGCAAGACATGACAGGCTACGTCGAGCAAACCCTTGCAAACGGTAAACCAGAATCGGTTGGAGTGATTACAGACTTTGTGGACCCAGCTCTGACCAAGTTTGTCGAGAGCATCATTACCGCCTACTGTGATATCCCATACACACTGACCAAGTGCGGATACGCCTGCTCCGACCACGCTTCGGCGAGCAAATACGGCTATCCCTCAGCATTTGTGATTGAATCGGATTTTGAATATTCGGACAAGAAAATCCACACCACAGACGATGTCATCAAGTACCTGAGCTTTGATCACATGCTTCAACACGCTAAGATGACCCTGGGGTTTGCATATGAAGCCGCCATGGCCAAGTTCTGAGCATGGGGCGATCTGTCAGAAACAATATACCCACTGTTTGCCTGTGTGCCTGTGTGCCAATGTCTCGATACTGTATGACAATACATCATTCTTCTCCCAGCCTTGATGCCTGATGTGCTCTGCTTGTCGTCTGGTGTGCGCATGATCTTTGTAACTACATTCTGCGTCGGCCATGAATCAGCATGTGAAACCTGCACTACGAGGACGAGGCTAAGTGGGATGGACGCAGCACGTGATTGCGAGTGGTCTATCCTGACGTCAGTTCCCCACGATTAGTTGAGTGGCAGCGGGTGGCAGTGATGAATGGCTGGAGTCCTTTTCCGCATGCAAATCAAGTCCCTATTCAAGTTCTGGCTTCTCCATCCTTCTAACATCGTTGCACTGCTAAAAGCTTCAGGTCAATCACGCGGACAGCTCGAATTCTGATGAAACTAGGGCCCGGCTATTACCGCCGTGGTTGTTGAATTGATCCTGCCTGCTAAACTTCATCTTCCCTCGCATGTCTTGTCTCGACTGAGCCTCAACTTCCCCTCACTCTACGAGCTGCTGTTCTGCACTGAATTCCCAAGACAGCTGTTACAAAAAGCCTCTAAAGCTCTGTGTTCGGCGTACGACCTCGAGATGCCTCTCACAGATTGTACGGAGCTGCTCAACCTGCAAGCTTGCTCTGGAACATGTCTGCTAACCTACCTGCCATAGACAACCCGTTTGCGAAGCGCGAAGAGTTTACCCAAAAGAATCTCATTGCCTACAAGATCCTCACGATTGTCAGCTGGCTCCTGCTGGTTATATTTGGAGCAATCTACACCTTCCAGCGGCCGACCGACTGCAAACATCACAGACACTGTCACACAATATGGGGGCAAAACAATCATAATCCGACAGGGTTCAGCGTCAATTCGGTGCTCACAAGCATCTATTGGGTCGTTGTACTCATCTTTCAGGCACATTATGTTCGATTTCTTTGGAGCGCAGAAAAGGAGAACGTGACTAATGCGGCCAACGTGGGCTCGCATTTCATCCTGGTATGCTTCTCGAGCATCAGCGTGAACACAGCATCACTAACGGCGTCCACCAGCACAATCTCTTGACCTTTGGCTTCATCATGCTTTGGGTCCGGTCGTACTTCTGGCAGGGAGAGCTCCTTCTCATTGTGAACCTGTTCAATTTGACAGCTCTATACTTTGCCCATCCCACCACTCCTTTGATCATCCACATGCCCATTGTCTCTGCCCCATTGGCGTGGAACTATGTCGCAATTTTGTGGGACGGGGCTGCGATGGTTCCCGGTGCTACCAAGTTGCCTGCTCGGATTGTCGCCAACATTTTCATCTGGGGCATTCTTATGCTGGGTGGCTTCTTCCTCGCCGTGTTCAAGGACTATACTATGGGGTTTGAATTGGCTATCCTCGCCTTATGTGAGCTTCACCGCGCTGACTGTAGGATGCTTCTTGCTAACGTGACATGAACAGCACTGGCACTGGGCCAACTTGCAACCAAAGTTGTGGCCTTCCAATGGATCTTTGCGTTTATCATTGCTGGCATCCTCTTCGTTCTCTCTCTGGCAGTGGGGGCGCCAAAGCTCTTTGGAGCAGATCGTAGCCATCGACACGAGGGCGCGATTGTCAGCGAGGACCGAGAACGGGCCCCTCTTCTGGATGATCACTAAAGCAGAGGTCGAGCACATTGCTTCCTGTCTGTGTGACACGGCGCTCGTCACTTCCTGGCTTCGGAGTGCAAATCGAAATGAATTGCGCCAGTCTGTTCATCTTGCGCTGCGCAAGACAGCGCAGCACCACAATTTCTCCTCATAATCACTAGACCACGGTCTCATGTCCCGACCGGATGACGAGAGAACCGGAATCTGCTCTTTCTTTGCATTTCAGGGGGAGTTAGGGTTCGACTTGGTGCCGCATCTAATCTCGACGCAGTAATCTCAAGAGCTGTGGCTCTCCGTCTCTGAACAGGTCTTTTGATGGACCTTGGGCTGTGATATTCCCGGTATGGAGAGAGGGGAAAGAGTTGTTTGCTTCTGGACGGACCTGATACCCGGCTCACGCCATTGCTTGTTACGTTTTAGCATTTTCTTGTACCTAGGCTACGGTCCCAGAGCCATGGTTGCCTTGTGGCCTATCTTGATTCTTGGCCACAAACAACAACACAGAGAACTAGAATCCAAACGAAAAGAAACCTAATCATGTCCCAGGTCTGTGAACCAACCAAATTGCAAGGCTTGGAGAGGTTCAACGGGCGCCCAGTTTGTGTTGCTGTTGACAGGCCTTGGGTGTGTGTGCGGCTGTGCCCCCCTCTTTAGCCTCAGCCGCGCGGCTGGGGACTTGACAAGGACTGAATAGAAAACCCAACCGGCGCGACAAATCTTGTTTTGTTTTGTTTTCTACCTTGATCTCCTCTCATGGCGACTGACAATCCTGACCAACTCCTCACAACCATGGAGAACGAGCAGGGCATCACCATGGACAAGTCGCCGACAGGATCCCCTGCAAGCGACACCCAGACTCCCAAAACGTTGCTATTGTCTACGGAGGCAGAAATGGACGTTCAGACTCAGGCTGACAAAGAGACTTCAAAGACACCAGAATCCCCAGCCAGTCCGACTGACCAGGACAAGACCAGCACTGCCTTTTTCGTGGAGCCAGACCCAGAAACCGTTCATCCCGATGTCGACCTCACCGACAGAAACAACCTTGTCCGCCTGCTTGCCCTCTACCAGTCTGGCTGGGAAAAGGGGCGCGGGCGCGGTCCCCGAGATCACGAAACATGCATCTGGTGTCGTGGACCGGTGGCTCCAAATGTCGAGGTTCTCACCCATGTTGGCACTAGCAACAGTTGTAGGAACAGCTGGCCTGCGACATGCCTTCTGGATTGGATTAACCAAGAGCTTGGTGGCGGTGCCCGTAATCATGTGTTGCGATGCCCAATGTGTCGGGAGGAGTTTTTCAGTCTCTACAAAGCCGAGGGTGCTGATTTCCGGGCGGACCAAGGTGGACCAGATGCTGGACGCGTTATTAACGCTGGTTGGTTGAGATGCATTCTTTTCAGCCCGGTGTATGCCAGAGAAACTTGTGTCAAAAAGGGAAAGCCGCTCATCATCATCAAGAGTGAGGAAGCTAGGAAGCTCGTGCTACTGAACACAGAGAAAATCATCTTCAACACATGCGAGGAACTCCCCTTGACAGGTCTTGGGCCACGGAAGAGATGGATTGACAGAGTCCTGGCAGCGGACACTTCCAACAATTCTGGACCGCTTTCCTCTTCCCACACCTTTGTTCAGGATCCAGTTGCTGCTAGTATTGTCAACCATCCTCTGGTGAGATTTGAAGAGCCACCAAAACGAACGTTCGACACGGTGTGGGTCGTCTTGGACTGGGGAAGCAACCAATTTCGAATGTCACCTCTCTTGTCCCTCCAGGCAGATGCCTTGAAGATCCTGATGGAGGAACAAGGAGGAGTCGTGAAGATCATGAATGCAGACGAGTTTGATGCAATGGCCAAGGGAAATGGAGGTCTCGCGGCTGCGGTCACGGGTTTTCAACCTGACGATAGGGCCGAGTTGGCTGAGATGTGGGAATCCGGCAGCGTATGGCTCTCGAAACTGCTGAACGAGTCTTCAAAGGACGGCGAACACGCATCCGACAAGGAGTGGTACGAGAGACTTGCCAGGGCTTTTGGATCTAAAGTCAACTTGTCTCCAGAAGAAGCAGATGATGGTGTCCGCGAGGACGTTCCCTCGAGCGCGCATGATGCCGATGACGAGTGGGATTCAGATATGTCCTTGCCAGAGCCTCCTCTCAGTTAGGACGGCAACGCACAAGTACCATGACAGCATCAACAAGATCTTCATTATCAGCTGGCAGCAGAATATCCGTCGACGAGGGAGCTGGTTGGTTGATTTATGAATGGTTGAAGACATTGGAGAGCTCAAGGAGCACCTAGGATGAGCCATGTTGCCACTATGCGACGAGAAACCTGCAAATTCCATCACCTTGGAACTATCCATTCGATGGTTTGTTGGACGCTCGCTCATTAGGGGAGGAGACACATCGATGCTGAGCAGCGCTGTTGGTGGCAATCCTTGTGGCCAAGGCATTGGAGACGTTGGAGACATTGGGCTGGATAGCCAGAACAATGAGCAAGAGCGAGAACAGGGGCCAGCGACAGATCCATAGCCGGGGCCGAGAGCCCAGCGCTCGAGAGCTTCGTAGCAAAGAGCTAGCACAATGACCAAAGTTCATACATGCATATGGTTCTTTGGTTTGGTTTTCTCTACTTGAAGACGGTTGACTGACTAACTGACTGAGCTCACACAATGCGTATCTTCCATCCGGCCCAGATCTGCGTGAAATGAGTCGCACTGTGTACTCGGTGGGCTGTCGAATATCATATGTTCTCAGACAAGGTAGATCCCTTCCGAGTGTTACGTCCCCACATACCTACCTACCTACCTAGTAAGTACACATCGTTATGTCGCATCATGGCCCATCGTCATGACAATTTCTAATCGGAAGGCAACGAAGGGGCCACGAAGCGAAAAGGGTGACTTTTCGACGTCCTTCGCCCCTCACTACCTAGGTAGCCTTCATTAGAAGTGGATCATATAATTATTAACAGGTGAGGGTAAATAACTAAGTATTTCATTTGATGTCCCCTTATATTCTCATGTCCTTCATGCCCCATAATGTAGGTATATCTCTGATAATTGAAACTTTAGCAAACCGGTAGTAAACAAATATCTCGATTCTCCCCTTGATTTCCGACAAACATATATCATACCGACCGAGTTATAGATGGTGGGGGTATATTCAAGAGGCAACAACAACGGCCCTCAAAAGTAAGAGAGACCGTAAAACTAAACTGGCGCTTGCTCGTGAAGAAAAGGGGAAATCCATCAATCCGTTGGATTCTTGGGGCTTTTTTTCTTTCTTTCTTTTCCTCCCTGAGATTCGTCCCGTTCCGTCCCTTTTTTTTGGTATGTGTGTGTGTGTAAGTATGTGCGTGGAATGTTGGAGCCCATTTCGTTCCTTTTTTCCAAGTCGATCGATGACGTTGGTTCCAAGAAACATGTATCCTTGGTCTTTTGAGAGAGAGAGAGAGAGAGAGAGAGAGAGAGAGAGAGAGAGAGAGAGAGAGAGAAAGGAAGAGCGGAAATGTGGAAAACGAAAGCAAAAAGCGCGGGGGAGAAAGACATAGGGAGAAAAAGAAAAAGGATGGCCGAATGCACGAGATTCATTCGTGGTCGACCCCCCACTCCTTGGCCCTCTCCTTCTCCCTCATGCCCATCTTGGCCTCCATCCAGTCTTCGACCGTGACCCAGCCCTTGCGCCCGGACAGCACGGCGTTGCGGATCGCCAACTGCCACTCGCGCCACCATTCCTGCGCGATCAGCGACGGGAGCCCCGTCGGGTCGCTGCTGGTTGGGTTGGAGGAGGACGAGGTCGAGGATGCTGAAGAGGCTGGTTCGGCATGTGCGGTTCCAGTCCCATCATCCGTGGCTCTACGCTGGTATGCGGGGCGGGAGGACGTTGGTGACGACGGTGTAGCTGTCGATGCCGAGGCGGCAATTTCGTCGGCGTCTCCTTGGCTGTCCCTGTCCGCGGCGGTGCCGATGACGGGCCAATCGACCTCGACGACCTCGTACTTCTTGGTCGGATACAGCCGGAGCATGTTGGTGAACCAGTTGCTCGATTTGCGCTGGATCACCACGTCCGAGTACTGCACAGGGAACTCGACGTGCAGTTTGCCCCGGTACTTGACCGTGGCCAGAAGGTTCCGGGCGTAGCCTTCGAGCAGGGCGGTGGGCAGGTTTGGTGTCGAGCGGTGCAGCGTGAAGCTAAATCGTGCAGCAGTAGGTGGTTAGTTATGATTTATATTTGAGAACTGGAGATGGATGGGTAGAAGAGGAGCTTGGCCAAAGGGGGAGGAAATTAGAAACAGCATCGTGATTTCGAGGCCGTGGAGGTGGAAATCTCGACTCCATGGATGGAGTATTCCTCTCAACAGGACCCAGCCTCGACATGGGTTCGAAATCGAACTTTGAGGGGGACCGATGCAAATTAAAACAAACGCATACACTCACCTGCGATTCTCCGCCTTGTCTTCACAAAACTTCTTCACCCACAGCTGCAGGGGAGACATGTTCATCTCCTCCCTGGTCATCTGCTTCGGCGACCCGTTCGACGAGCCATGCTGGTAGCGCTTGACCTTGACGGGGCCAGGGCCGCTCCAGCCAGTCTCGGTCCCTCCGCCTCCCCAGTCCAAGTCCAACATGCTGGTCAGGTTCAGCTTGAGGTCAAAATCCACGACCGTGTTGCCGTGCACGTGCGTCCCGCGGATGACCATGATCGGCTTGGGCGGCAGACATGCCTGGTCGCGGATGAACTTGAGGAGCGACCTCTGCTGCTGCTGCGAGGTCGACGGCGAGTGCGCGCAGCTCGACGTCAATTCCGGGTTGGTCGTCGTGGTCACGGTCTGGTCCTCGGAGAGTTTGGAGTCGCGGATCCGGTACCTGGCGAGCGACACCGTCGACAGCCGGGACAGGGCCGAGAGCGGGTTCTGTGAGGGGACCGATAGCGGTGTTGATGATGTCCGTTGAGGCAGTCGGCTCTGCGATGACGGGCTGTCGGTCCATGGGTTGGAATTGGGGAGGACTGTGTGTTCGTATGAAGGCGGCAGGTCCGTGGGTGCCGACGTGTCCACGACCGCGGTACTCCGGAGATTTCTTTTCTCTGAAGAAGACATGGATGCTTTTGTTGAATGAATACAAAATTGTACAGAATTGTGATGCGGGGTTGGGACTCAATGGATATGATGAATAAGGAACAAATAGTGGTGGCGGCCGCGGCGGCAGTTCAGCCCCAAATCCAAGTGGTGTGATGTCGCTTTTCTGTGATACTCGGTACAAGTAGTTCTGATTACCATCCTTATGTGATGTGTAGGAATACAGCACTGAAAAGTCAGTCAGCAGGCAAAATAGGAGAAACACATGATAGTATTATTTTCTAACATTGACAGTGGTAGCGGAAAGAGGAAAGAGGAGGGCATCAAGATACCACATGCTTCTCTTTTCATGGTCGAATAGATTAGGCACACGCATTTTTCCCGGTTCCAGATCCCTGGCCGTCTTCGTAACCTTCCGCACAATCATCTGCATGTGGCAAGGCGCCTCATGCACGGATGAGATGTTCCTCGTTCTAGGTCGGCCCAAGGGGATCAGGCACCGCCACATGGTTCGGAGCTGTCGGGACTTGGGAGAGCCCATCAAGTCCCAAACCGCTCTAGGGTGCTCAGGCACCAACTCTATTGACCCGGCCAGTAACGATGTTGGAGAATGATGCCGAACAAAGGAAGCTGTGGCGGTGCTAGAGGCGTTCGATGCATCGGCCGAACCTTCGCTTCCGTTCGGGTCTCGCTTGTAGCAGCAGTTGGAGACATCGTTGCCTAGGCAAGGCTTACCGTCAGGCGCACAGATCTGGTGAACGCGGAAGTCGATGGCCTGTCTGTTTTCGAAGGAGCCTAGCATGGAGTCGGGTCTTGTGTTGTCGTAGAATCTTTCTTGGACTTCTCATGGGCTGGGTTCCTCAACTCTGGTGAAATACATTGGGCGCCCACAAGCTGAGTTTCTCCAGAAAATCCCGCTGGTATTCGGCATCAGCTCCGCTCATGTCATCTTTCCACATTCTGATCTGCCCGACTATCATCAGATAGACATCCTTCTGCTCGCACGTCCAACCTCCTGGCTCGCCCAGCCAATTGGCCAGCATAGCACATTGTTGAGCGTCCCGCTTTGCTTGATTATGTTGATCGAATAGGTATGGATCAGATAAGTGAAAGTCCCTGGGGATGTTAGATCGCAACTCCCAGAGATAGGCTTGATCTTGGAACGTTGGAAAGAGCCTGAAGAGGCTGTTACACAATGTTGCGTCAAAATCAATCTGGTGTACAATGGCGCAAGGCTTGACTCGTCCCAGAAACACCCACTCTGATTTCTTTTTGGCTGCGTCCTCCCGATGCAAGCGTTGCGCGATCTCGCGTGCATGCGTGATATCATGGTGTGATTCCATTGCCTTTTTAACATCAATCACGGTGATCTTGATGCCATAACGCTGACGTCTGTGGTGTCCAACAGCAATCAGGAGAGCCCTGAGAAATTCTGATGTTGTAGAGATAAACATGGTGGGATAGGTGGATTGCATGTTGAAGTGGCAGTCGAAGTGTTGTTGCGGTGTGTCATGGATCCACTGCCACATAAAGAGTGTATCCCGCGCCCACGATCCGCAGTAAACTCCTGCAGAGGAGGCTTGAGTGGCTGAATCGCAGTGCGAGGTGAAGAAGAGATAGTTTGGCAGATATTTGGACCGTGGCAGGTCTCGCAAGAAGGTCGGGATGGGAAAATCAATCAGCGGCGGTACAGGCATTGTGCCTTCGTCCGTGTAAGGATTGTGATGAAGAATGTCCCGGCTCTCTCAGGTTCAATTCAATCCTCAGTCAGCTGCTTGTAGGAATAGGATGGTGTTTAAAATCTATGAGGGCAAGCACGAAGCAGAAGACCAGCCGTGCCAGCGAGCTCAGATTCTGCCAAACATTAAGGGGAGTTTGCTGTTGTGCTGTTGTACAAAGTTGCTTTTGAAGTTGCTGTTGGGAGTCACTCCCTCTATCTGAGGGGAAAGAAGAGGTCGTTGGTCATAGTCCTAATAGAGCTAGCTACAACTGCTTCGCGAGATTCACCTTCCTCAGGAATACCACGTAGTCGCAGCCTCAGCCTGTCTTGGCTCGCCGGCTTGAAGTGAGCAGCCTTTGTATGATGGCATGACTGTGGCGCCTGTGGTTCGACATGATTTCAATGAATCTTGGTTCCCCGCACGCCTCCAGCACGAATCTCCCGAGTCTTGACTGTTTATTCACCTGTATCACCAACTGTACATTCCATCGCACCAAGCCAAAAGCATCCTGGCAGTAAGTGATCAGGGTTGCAAGATACAATGACCTGACTACCCGGGTCCGATGCAACAAAGCGCACCTATATAATCTACGAGCCCTCCAAATACCCGTTGAAATGATCACCGACGCGATTGTGGTGTCCAAGCCCGGGGCACCCTTCCAATACCAGCAGATCGAGCTCCACGATAACCTCCGGGCAGATGAAGTCCTCGTGCACGTCAAGGCGACTGGCGTATGCCACACCGACCTCAACTTCTCAAAGGAGAAGACCATGCCAGAGCTGTTTCCAGCTGTCCTGGGCCACGAGGGTGCCGGGGTTGTCGAGCGGACGGGATCAAAGGTGACGAAAGTGGCAAAAGGAGATCACGTCGCCGTCGTCTTCAGCTCATGTGGGGAGTGCAAGTACTGTCTGCGCAAGCAGTCATCGTATTGCGACTTGTGGTTTCAGTACAATTTTGGCATTGGAAGGCTGGATGGGTCGAAGGTATTTTCGAGCCTGTCTACTGGGCGACCCATCACGAGTCACTTCTTCGGACAGAGCAGCTTTGCGCGGCATATCTTGGTGTCTCAAAATGGGCTGGTCAAAGTCGATAAAGGCCTGCCCTTTGAGCAGGTCGCAGCGCTAGGCTGCGGAGTCATGACGGGCGCTGGGGGTAACTCTCCTTCATCACCCATCCCTTGCAGCATTCACACTGACATGACCAGCAATGCTGAACGTCGTCCAACCAGCTTCGGACATGACTGTTGCTGTTGTAGGCGCCGGAGCCGTAGGGTTGTCAGCAATCATGGCTCTGAAGATGCTCGAAACACCACCCAGGAAGATCATCGCCTTGGACATCGTCCCTGCGAGGCTGGAACTGGCTCGTTCATTCGGCGCAACCCACGGCGTCAATTCTAAAGTCCGCCCTGAGCTCATGAAAGTCCTTCTGGATATCACAAACGGGCGGGGCGTGGATGGTGCTATAGACACCACGGGGAAGCCGGAGGTGATCAAAGAACTTGTGCACAGCGCTGCAAGGAAAGGCAAGGTCGTAACTGTGGGTGTTGGCGATGTATGTGCCCCATTTCTGACCACTGAAATCAATCCACAAGCTGACAATGCTTTCAAGCTCTCCGCGGAAGCATCATTTAATATGTTTGAGATGGTAAATGCAGGATGCAGCTACGTTGGTTGCAACCAGGGAGACTGTTATCCTCAAGAGTTTCTACCAAGACTCCTGGCCGCGAATCAGGACGGGAGATTTCCCTATGACCAGCTCATCAAGACATATCGCGCCAAGGATATTGAGAAGGCGGCCCATGACATACATAGCGGCACCACCGTCAAAGCTGTATTGCTCTGGGACTGACCCCCGGTCGAGTCTATGTTGTGGCAAGGGGGATGCTGATACATATCGCGGGTACCCGGTCTGAGATCGCGTTCATGGCATAGAGGGCACTGTAAATACGTTTCCACGATATCATTTTGGGAGAATTTATCTCGAGTATCGGACGATCAAGTTCAGGCGGGCGAGAGGTCGGCTTGCTGGATGAGTGCTGATTTGCCACGAGGCTGACAAACGCGGAGGCGAGGCTGAGCGCAGCCTCGGCGCGGGGAATGGCTGCGCAGCATCCCGAATCTTCCAGCCTCATCCCTCATAGATCACATCAGCCTCATCCTGTTGCGTGCGTGACGAGTGCGTCCTCAGCCTGCCACAAGTGGCGACTGGACGAAAAAAAACACCACCACGGATTACTCATAGTATATCGTCCTATAAACGCCCCCATCGTCGAGTCGTCCACAATGTCTGCCTCAACCACTCCCCCGGAGGCCTCATATACCGCCATGGACAGAGACGTCGAAGCCATCGGCGCGCACTGCGAATTCGCCTACTGCCACCAACTCGACTTCCTCCCCTTCCGGTGCGACTCGTGCCACCACACCTACTGCCTCGACCACCGCAGCGAGACTGCGCACCAATGCCCCCGGGCCGGCGAATGGGCCAAGAACAGACGGCTGAACAGTGTTGGGAAATCTTCCTCCCTGGCAGGGACGACGGCGGGGGCGGGTCCGGGAAAACCAAACCACACCAACGCCACACAATGCGCCGAGACGACGTGCAAGACATTTGTCAACACGTCGCAGAACCTAGGCGTGCACTGCCAACAGTGTAATCGGACGTACTGCCTCAAGCACCGCTTCCGGGAAGACCACGACTGCAAGAACCTCACGCCTCTGGGCGCCCGGCCCCTCGAGATCGCCATGCAATCAAATAAAGAAAAGCTGCGGATCGGGTTCGGACGGCTCAAGACCTGGGGCAAGGAGCGGCAGGAGGCACTCACACCTAAACCAAGCCCGTCGAGCAAGTCCGCCCAAATAGCCGCGCTCAACACTCTCAAAAGAAACGCCAAGGGCGACGACAAGCTGGCCCCCGAGAAGCGCGTTTACTTGCATGTCGAGGCCGAGGCCGCCTCCACCACGGCCAAACACCCCAAAGCCGACCTGTTTTTTTCGGCGGAGTGGTCTGTCGGGAAGATGCTGGACGACGCCGCCAAGAGACTGCAGGTCGCCAACGTGAACAATCGGGTCGAGACGGAGGAGCAGAGACTCAGGGTCTACCACGTCGAAGGCGGACGGTTGTTGGAGTTCAGCGAGAAGATCGGGGCCTGTCTGGCGAATGGGAACACGGTGGTTCTGCTGAGAGGAGTTGGGCCAAAGCAAGACACTGGAAAGTGATATTCCAGATGTCATGTGGCAGGTCGCCCTTTTTAAAATGTATCTGATTCTTCGCATAGCGATGGCGTTTCACTGGGATATGGGGGCCATGACGAGCGATTCAGCGCAGGGCGGTTTACAGCATAATGAGCAAAGCCTCTTCTATTGAGCTCACAGGGAAAAGAAGGATATACCTCGATGTGGGACAATGGCAGAACATCTGCTCAACACTCATCGCAATAGATAATACTTGTCTTCTCCATGTTCCTTTCCAACTCACATTCACTTCTCATTTCATCGTAATCATACACTCATCTTCATCTTGATTCCGCCGTGTGGTTTGTAGCCCACAACTTCCAACTCTTCGACTTTCCAGCCGTCCATTTCGCCGCTCCCCCTATCGGCCCGCTTGATGCTCAGGGTCGGGAATTCTCGTGGCTCACGCAGTAATTGCTCTCTCAAGGCGTCGATGTGATCAAGATACACATGCGCATCGCCCATGGTGTGGATCAGCTCTCCCGGCACAAGATCGCATGCGTGAGCCAGCATATGCGTCAGGAGCGCGTAGGAGGCGATGTTGAAGGGCACTCCGAGTCCCATGTCGCAGGATCGCTGGTACAGGACACAAGAGAGATGTCCCTTTGCTTTCTGCTTTTCTCCATCGGCCTCCAACCCGGTGATTGGTGCCTTGAGAGCTGCCTCGCCTCGTGGCGCATCAGGGTAACTGACATAAAACTGCGCAAACATGTGGCAAGGCGGCAGTGCCATTTTAGACAGGTCTGCTACATTCCATGCACTTAGAATGATCCGTCGGTCGTATGGGTTGGTCTTCAGTTTTCGCACCACCTCTTTGATCTGGTCCACTCCTTTGCCCGTGTAATCTGCATGGCAGTCCTTGTATTCTGCTCCGAAATGGCGCCACTGAAATCCATACACGGGGCCGAGATCGCCTTCCTCACGATCGACGAATCCCAATTTATCGAGGAATTCACGCGAGCCATTGCCGTCCCAGATATGGATGCCTGCTTCTGAGAGAGGTCTTGATGTTGTGCACCCTGATATAAACCACAACAACTCGGTGGTAACGGCACGTAGAAAGACGCGTTTAGTGGTGAGGAGAGGGAGGATGGGTATTCTATCGGTGGTTGGTGAAGCAGGATCGGGTTGTGAGAGGCTGAAACGGAGCTGAGGAGGAGCAAAGAGTGAGACCGTGCCCGTTCCTGTTCGGTCTGGTCGATGTTCGCCACGGGACAGAATATCTCGGATTAGATCGAGGTATTGATATTCTTCATGAGGTGTTGTCCTTGTCGAGACGGGTTGGACCGCGGGTTCGGCGGATTGAGTGGTAGTGGCTCCATTCGCTGTGGTTTTCAAGGCATTGGCATTTTCGCGCAGAAAACCCAGAGAGTCTCCAGGCGGAGACTGATTGTCTATTTCCACCGCAGAGGGCGCCATTGGGACATGTGGCTGATTGTATAGAGGAAAAGGATTAGTTGCTAAAGAGGGACAAGAGGAAGAAGAAACGCGGCGAGACAAGACGCGACTCGACGCGTGCAAATAATTCCTGACGCAATCTTGCATCTCAAGTTTGATCCAGTGACCGAGTCACTCACTTGTCCTCCTCCTTTCTACGAGTTCCTCTCAATTGCTCCCATAACCGCTGGTCAACAGCGTTCCAATGCCTGCTAATACTCCCTCGATTTCTCGTAGTTTCCACACATCCAGCACAACAGGCTCAAACAGGGGCCTTCCGCCGACATTTCGCTCATCGGTTTCCAGCATTTCGTTCCAAGCCTTGCAAACACTTGTCTTGTGTCGTCTCTTTGCTTCAAGCATATCCTTGATATTTGGGACTGGATTTTCCGCGAAGTCCTTGAGCAGCTCCTCTGCCTTCATTCGAATATGCATGGTTGGCGGAAGAAGAGGCGGAAGATCGTCTTCAAAGTCGATCGGCTTGAACCATGGCTCCTTGCATTCTTGCTCAAATGCATGCATCATCTCACCGCGAAACCTGATGGATTCCAGGACCGCCACGTGCTTCTTGCAGAAGATCAGTCTGTCTGATTCTGAGACCGCTGAGCGGTCGACGCCGTTCTCGACGAATCGCTCGTGTGAAGCTTCCTTAGTTCGACGTCGGTCTGCCTCTTCGTTTCGCTCATTGAGAGGAGTCGCTGCAGCTGGTCTATCGTGGGCTTCAACTTGTCTGTTTTGTCCTTTAGCGACTTGTTTGACTGCTGTTTTCGTCCAAGACTTACCGGCAGCGGGCGCGGCACTGGGCAACTCGACCAGCTCGACATCACCGTCGGGCTTGGTCGAGTAGTTCTGCCCTTTGGCGCTCGTCCGGTCTAACTTGCGCAGGGCACCCCTGGCCCAGAGCCCCCAGTGCCGCGCCGCCAGGATGCTGACGGTCGACGTCGGGCCATCCTCCGGAGGCGGCGTGACGACGATCTCTGGTATCTCTTGGGCTCCCGTCATCCTGAACGACAAGGTTAGTGGTGGACTAACTGCTGGTGGACACTGCGGGTATTTACAGTAAGGACTTGGACAAAGGACTTTGTTATCGAGGTAAGTCGGTTTGACAATGGTGTTTGTCTTGACTTTGTGAGAGACAAGGCCGTCACAAAAATCATTGTTGTTTATGAGGCATTCTACTAAACAATGAGACCGCACACTCACGTGTCTACAACCTCCTCGCTCGTACCAGACATATTCTTGTTGTCTGCCGAGTCCTTCTGGTGCACATGGATGGACGCAGCCACATGTCAATGTTGGCGCCTTAACAACTGATTGTTAACGAGTCAAACTGTCGGCTATAGCCCTTCTCTACAGAGAACCCACCAACTATAAAATGGTTTGACAACTGAAAATGGCATCAGAGGCCGACACCTGACCAACCAAAAGCCATTCACGAGGCATTGTAGATGATGTCGTCGACAACATCAGGATACGCCTCGTATGTCGCGGATCCGTCATCATAAACAATCTTCGCACTGACCGAGAGCTCAAAGTTTGGCAGATCCCTTGGGTCCGCCCTGGTTATTCCGGCCTAGAAGTCAATGAATCAGCCCCAAGCCTAGAGAAGCCTCAGCACCGCTTCCCACTCTTGCAGCACGACCAGCAACGCGCAATGTGACTTACGTATACAACTCTCCAGCGCAAGTATTTGACCAAGAAGGGCCGAACATGCTCGGCCCGCATGCTCTCCAGCGTCCCATTTCCCATGTAATCGAGAAGCAGCGGCGTGATCGGGACGGTGTCGGACGCCAAAACCCCAGCTGCGTCTTGTTGGCCACAGTTGTCGCAGACTTCGCGTGGTGCGGCGAAGATATGGTTGAGACCGGCAAGGTAAGGACTGGCAGCGTAGTCGGCTGGGTCGTCGGGAAATCTCGACTTGGGGCAGAGGAAGAAGTAGATTGTAAAGGGACCGTTCAGAGCGTTTCTAACCAAGGACGGGGGTTGTTAGTGCAGGGCATTTCGATTTCCAGGGTAAAAGGAGGCCATAGGAAGAAAGACCGCACAAGGACGTTCCACAGACAAAGGGACAATGGTACAAACCTTTTTACCACATTGTCAATGTACCACTCGCGGTCGAAGTATGGATCGATGTCATTGTCAGGAGCCGGCATATACCCTCTATCCTGTGCGGCGAGTTGCTCTGTCGTTAGAGTCTCTGGAGGCCCAGACGACGTGACCCGCTTGAAAACGATTCGTGTCGTCACAGAATGAGGGGTGGACTCAGCGGCGGTTGCAGTTCTTCCATTGACGTCGGGATACCGAAAAACCTGGGCCTTGTTGAGGTTGAGTGGCATCATGTCCGAGGGGGGCGTTGAAAACCGGCGGCTCGACGCACTGCGAATGCTCCAGATATACCTGTGGTAAACTCTGCTCCAGATGACTCTTGGGTCGCTGAGGCGGTCCAGGTCGGGATACGTGTAGCCAAAGCTCTCTATATCTCGGGACCAGTCCGAGTCGTAGTAGATGGGCCCCAGCTCGCAGATGTACTTGTAGAACGGCAGCAAGTCCTTTTCGTTCTCGGGCTTCAGACGCCTGCCTGATCGTGCTTCCCTGCCGGCCGGGGGGAACCAGGCTTTTGGATGGAGAGCCTGCCAGATGGCAAAGATTCGGTCGACGTTGCTATCACATGAATGTGCGTCTTTAGTGCTTGCAAACATTGCCCTTGCATACTAGAAGCAGTGGTGGCAGCTTACTTACCAGTGATGGAGCCAGAAGACCGGATCAAAGGCCGCGATTGACGGACTCGACATGTGGCCGTTGGCACCGCCGACCAGGGTGTGATAGTTGCCGTGTAGAGCTTCAATCGAGCCGAAGCTCGCAGGCCTCCCGTTCCCGTCTCTGGGCAATATCCCAGACGTCTGCCCCGAAAGCCCCGTCTGTGTCATGTCTCCTTCACGCAGGACCGAGTCCGAGGCCACATCGCCGAGGCGCGGGTATCGTGTGGAACTGGGATTCAGAATGTCGAGCATCATCGAGGCTCTGCCCTCGCGGCCGCTGTTGAGAGCGTCGCTCAGTTGCTGCACGTCGTGGTACTTGGAGTCCTTGTCTCTGGGGTATCGGACGGTTCGGTTAGGGTTGTAATTCTGCCCAGCTGAGTTGGTCCAAGGTCTCGGTGAAGAAGAGACGTGTGAAAAGGAAAGAGGAGCAGATTACATACCCTCAATCTAGCCCTGGCCAAATCCTTGTCCAGATTCTGCTTGTCGGTGAACTTGAAGTTGTACAGCGGATTCTCCTGAACTATCAACTTGTCGTAAGGAGGCACTCGGACCATGACCTCCCTCACGTTGAGGATGTCGGGCATGCGGAAGTCATAATCGTACTTCGTGCGATTGCCTTCCAGCTTGATGCCCGGGAACTTTGCGTCGACGTCGCGAGGCCGAAAATAGTCCCAGTATGGAAGCCGAAACGCTCTCGCCGCGGCGAGGTATTTTGACTGAAAAGCCCGGTCGAATTCCTTGACGATGGCCATCATTTTGCGATAGAGGGTTTGCTATACACAGACACATGAAAAAACAATCAGGTTCCTTTGTATTTCAATGAATACCCCTCGCATCCACCCCAGAGGCAAGGTCGCACCTCAAGAAGAGCCAAGTACGGTCTGTGCCATGTTGGGAAGACGAGTCGACCGTGTGCACAGTATCCCCCCGTACCTTCGGGGAATGTCTTACCCACGCCGTCCCAAAGCGACGTGGGAAGTCCATGGATCCCTGCGAGAGATGGAGAAATCAGCCAAGGAAGAGAAAGAGAGAGCACCGCGGGGAAAAGGAATTGTTGAAGAATCACCTGCAAGAGAGAAGTAGCCGAGTTTGGAGGTATCGGCTTTCAGATCCATGAATGCGAGAAGGAAGAGGTTGAACACGTCCGGCTGCCTCGCGATCATCACATCGATGTCCAGTCTCGGTCGGACCTCATTGTGGTTCAAGGCCCCAATACCGACCACAATTCCCGCGTTTAGTTCTGCCTCACTTGGCGCCATACTTCAGGTTCAAAGCTTTATGGAACGCCAAATGCTTGGTGCAATGATAATAGGATCAAGAGGGGAGGCACTCCATTTTTGCCAGGCTGGCCGGGCAGGCTCCATCTTATCCCGTTTCAGTGCTTAAAGCTGATTTAGCAATGAAAGTCTTGGTTGAATCAGCCGTTAGCAATGGAGGGCCGAGCCCTCAGGGCTGCCTGTCAAACGTACGACCGACAACCTCTTAAGCGTTTGCCAATATGTATGAAAGCATGTGTGGAAGTGCCTCACAGGGTTTGTAGCAGCAACGCCACAGCGGGTGTTTGCAAGGACTCACCATGAGCAGTAAACCCAAAGCGAATAAACCGGCCGGAAAGTGGTCCGTCCGACCAACGTCCCCTGGTGTAAGAGATTGGATAGGAAAAAGAGGTTGATGAGAGCACGGGCCAGCATGCATGAAGCGCGACGACCCAGAACTGATGAGACCTCTTCGACAGGGATGCGGACGGGACCGAGTTTTCAGCTCTCGTGTTCACAATTCACAGATGTCCATGCGTAGGAATAGCGAAATAGCTTGCCAGACATACTGTTTGTGAAACCAGCGCTTCAACCGAGTTCCTTGAACATACTCAATGCTTGGGATGTGATCCTCTGCTGGGTCCGCTGAAAGGGTTGCTCGGGAGCGTCCCAGATAGGTGCCCTACAGTTTTCGTCTTGACCCTGTCAGCAGATTTATCGTGGGAGGTGACGGCAGCAATTGAGGAGGGCTGCAGGAACCCTTTGGTCGCGCTCTAAGGGTTCATCTAACAGCCAAGTCCAGCTTGGGATTTCTGGGATGAGAGTTCTAGACCAGGCTAGGAACTAGAACCAACCCTGTTAGCTGAAATGGTGGCGTAGCTGAAAACAGAGCTCTTGGAATGCCAAGGTTGCCCTCCGTACTCTGTACTCGTAGCTTCTTGGGCGAGCGAGAGGTGACAGAGATAAGACGGGAGACTGGTCATAACGTGATCAACAGCATCCGATGATCGAGGTAGTGCCGGTTCACTGAAGGAGGCCTCAGCAGCCTGATTCTGAAACGACATCTGGCTCCTAGGCTGATGTGGCCTAAGCCACAGGCACCGCCACAAGGTTGGTGGTTTCCCTGCGTGGAGACAGACTGCCTCTTGTTCTATATTGCTCAGAGCCTTCGACGCTGAATATAATACTTGTATATGTATTTGCGTAGCCCCAGAGCCTGTAAACTCAGATATCACATCACTGGCTGATAGGGAGGGAGAGCATCATCCTCTTTAAGCAAACATAATGCTTGTGGGTGCAGACCTTCCACTATACTGCTCCCTATAGACGAGCAATGACGATACCTCCTTCTTGAGGATTCCTGAAAAGAGTAAAGATTCGGGCACACCGCACTTTTATATTATTGTCTAGAGATTACTTGCCTGGAAAGGGAGAGGAGGCCAGGACGAGGCTGAGAACAGGCAGCTGCCCTGCGTGCCTGCTTGTGCCTTCCCCCGCCTCTTTGCCTGCAGACCAAAAACCTCCAACAACCAAGCTCCCCAACCTCGTCCTCTGGATTCTTCTAACCCACTTTCCATATTCAACGCTTTCTACATCGACGCAAAAGGAATTATCATCACTCAGTCTGTCTTAATCATCGGATGACGCCATGGGCTGAGGTCTCTCGAGGGTAACAGTACACCCTAACAACCCGAAAGTCGACGCCTTGTCAGGCAGAATCCCAACCCCATATCTTCCATGCTCTTCTTTACTGACTTGGTGTGCTCGTCGGGCAATGTCACGCGCAATCCTCTGAGCCCGATGCATCCGACACCACCGATGCTGACGGCACGGACGCTACTGCGGTACTGCGGGCGCAATTTGGTCTCCATGACGCACCCCCCGGCTCTTCGAATCCTGCAAAACGCCTTGATTTTCAGCCCGATGGACCGCCTCCACCAGGTTCAGGATGCTACCTTCACAGCCTAGAAAGACAAAAGCAACCGCTGCTGGCTGTTTCGATCGACTGTGGGCTCGTTGCCTTGCATTAGAGTCCATGCCTTGCTCACATCTACGCGACGACACAATGCCTGGGCTCGCAATGCCAGACGTTGCAATGCGCGACCTCGCAATAGTTGGTGCTCGCCATCTGGAGCGGATGACAAGCCACCTCCGTTCACCATATGACAAGTTGCGTTGCAACACATGGGCTACGGACTATGTCCATTCTCTTTGCTCTCCTTTCTTGCAGAGTCAGGTCTCGAAGACTCCCCGTCTCATTTTGAATTATTGGGGACTTTTGCGCGGTTTCAGGGACCGACATCAAATATCATTCCATTGCTTCCTTCCCTAGAGTGTCGCTCGAGGGACTTTTAACTCAGACAATTTTGGGTGAGGTTTTCATCACTATGTCAGCGGGACTCGGACTAAACATGCTACATGCTCCAGATAGCACAGAGGGGGTTGTTGATGTAGTTGCTGTCCACGGACTGAGCCCTCAGGCATCGTCTTGGTTGTCACTGTCGCTGCCTCGCCACCTGCCTGAGGCCAGGATTTTCAGCTACGGTTACGACTTCGAACTCAGAGACATTGATCTTGTCAACAAAAAGGCGCGTCATCTTCTTGAGGCCATTTCGCAAGCGCGAAGTGCCGACAATACCGTCAGTACTTTCTCAATTTTGTGGCCCAGCTTTTGGTCGTTGTCCCTTCCAACCTACCCATGCTCGGCGCCAGACACCAGCTCCCTGTACACTGTCCTACGGGCTCTTTGATGATCGTCATTGTTGTGAAAAGGGAAATTGTTCTTGTTCCTTCCAGCCCGACTGTCCATGGGTAGTCGACCTCGGGTTGGTCCTGCGGATGCCAGTTCGCGGGCACTTGTTCACCTCTACTGGGGATTCTCCTTCCTCCTTGGATTGACGGCTAACTCTCTCTTCAGTCTGACCGTCCGGTGGTCTTTATTGCTCACAGTCTGGGAGGTCTCGTTGTTAAGCAGGCATTGATCTGCTCACAAGCACTTTCAGACGATCCGGTTTTCCCCAAGTGGCAGGCGCGCAACCTCACTCGGCATACCAGAGGCATAGTCTTCGTTGGAACTCCTCATTGTGTCAACGGCCGCACTGACCGAGCCATCTGGAAATTCCTCCAGCTCTGCGACAGCAGCGCCGCCATGGATACTCTCAAAAAAAGGCTTCACGAAATTCTACCACCGCTTCAGTTGATCACTGCAAAGTTCAAGGACTTCATTAGCGCGGAACCAAGACAAATCAAGTTGATCTCTTTCTTTGAGGAACCGACCACTCTTGAGCCGGACGATAACATGCCAGGTCTCTTCGATCCCAGCATGGCTCACATTGTCATGAAGGAAGACAGTGTCCTTGAAGGTTTCGACAGCGTTCCGATACGTGGAGATCACCTGGTACATAGTACGTTCCAAATTTGGTTGAAACTTATTAATTCGATCCCTGAGTCAGAGCATTTGGAAGTCGCTCTCTTCCAACACGGTTAATTATCGTCGCGTACTTGGAGCACTCAAAGAGCTGACAATTCCCTTATCTCGCCATGGGTCGAAATTGCCCGAAAACCATGTTGGTGAAACTTACTCCTGATTTTCTCCGAAACAAACAAGATGGCTAATGCATTCGCAGATGCTGAGGCGCTCTTTCAGCTTGAAGACGGCCGCCAACGCATTGCTTCTCCAGCAAACGGTACTTTCTCTTGGTTTTGCAAGAATTCGGTCTTCGAAAGATGGGCACAAAACGGTCATAGAGGCATTCTCTGGATCAATGGGAAATTAGGATCTGGAAAGTCGACACTGATGAAATACATCCTGGACCATGGAAACTACCCGGTCGCCGCTAAAATCTCAGTACTCACACTTTCTTACTTCTTTGACCCCTTCAGAGGCGACACCAAACCATCTGCTTCTGACTTCTATCGAGCTTTGTTGCATCAACTTTGGAAGCAAGCCAGACATCTTCCGTGTGAGCACGACATTCTGGATTCAACCGAGTTGCATTTCACCAGCCAGTTACGAGGAAATTGGATGAATAAACCCTCCGTGCTGGCTGAACAGCTCAACCGTCTTTTATTCGACATCAGCGAGCACCATCCAATCTATATCTTCATTGATGCGTTGGATGAGTGTGCAACAGATGAAGTCGTGAGTATTCTTGAGTTCTTACGCCAAGCTCTGGTTAGAGCACCTCCAAGTCACCTTCGCATCTGCGTCTCCTCCAGAGACACGCTCTGGTTTGTCGGAGAAGATGTGAGGGTTTTCGTTGACCAAGAGAACAAAGAGGACATTGTCAGTTTCACCGAGACTCAAATCAAGATCAGAGCTGCAAAATATGGCGATTCACTTTTGCCTTTCAAGGACGAATTTCTCAACATCATCCTCGAGAAAGCTGCCGGGATCTTTCTATGGGTTCCTCTGGCTCTTCACATCGTCTACAACGAAACTACGGACAGTGCAGACACCATACGTGTCCTCAGAAGTTTACCTACTGACCTAACGAAGGTGTACCAGAGAATCCTTGGAAATATACTTGAAGAAAAGCCCCAAATTCAGCTCCAGATATCTCAGATACTATCTTGGGTGCTTTTCGCAAGTCGACCTCTCACGGTCCAAGAGCTTGCTGCAGCGCTTTCATTTGTTAATATTGATCGTTCACAACTCCACGCAATCCAAGAACGATCACTTGACGCAGAATACGTCTACTTCAATGCCATCCCAAGCCTGGCCAGCACCTTGATTGACCGTACTTGGGGACTTGTCAAAATTGTGTACAGCAAATACGACTACATCTCCGAAACCTGGTCAACAAAAAACCATTCAATGGTTCATTTGCTCCATTCGAGCGTGAAAGACTTTCTGACCACATCTAGTTTTCTCACTAAGCACTCAGGTCAGAAGACAGTCGTGGAAGCTGCAGCCGCTCAAAACTTGGATATTGCTCGCGTGTGTCTTGAATACTGTGCCTGGTCTACGGAGGCTTTCGAACACGGCGACGTTGACGAACAAAATTTGGACGCTACCCTCTCATTCTTGGACTATTCTTCAACATTCTGGCTCAAACACCTACAGATTGCGAACATGGGTGCAACTTCAGAAGAACTCTGGGCTCAAAAATTTCCCCTTCCTTCGAAGAAACTGCTTCTTTCTTGGACTCCAGCATTGGTATTGGTAGGGAAAGAGGCGCGGTTCTACCAGTCATCGTCTGTCTTACATGTTGCTTCTTACTACAACTTGTCGTGGTGGGTTCGCACATGGGCACACCAGGAAATAATGTTGAAAAGTCGTCGATCCAAGCAAAGAAACCAAGAGTACCCAAAAGAGGGAGCATTACCGCGCATTGACTCTATCACAGAGCCCTCAGATCTGAAACAACTGCTTGATCAGACGGACGCAGAAGGAAGAACACCATTGTTGCTTGCATGCGAAACCGGCAGCCTGGAGATTTGCAAACTCCTGATCCATTACGGTGCAGATTTGAATTCTGTCGACCCAAAATACAAATATTCGCCGTTAATGTGGGCAGTTGCAGCTGGCGATGAGCCGACAACAAGACTGCTCCTCGATGCAGGCGCTGATGTGAATGACCATCGTAGTGGGACAAGTCCACTCTGTCTAGCCGCCACAACTGGAAACCTAGCAGTTGTCCGGATTCTACTGGAGTATGGTGCCAACGTTAGGTATGAGTGTCCAGCAATTCAAGAGCATTCAGCTCCAATCCGGTCTCGAGATGGAAGAGATGTCGATTCTAAGCTTCCCATTCCGGGAAGATTGATGCCGTTCGCTGGCCATTTCAATCTCAGCCCATTACACTATGCTATACTGGCGGCCGATCTTTCCACGACGCGTTTGCTGCTCATGAAAGGTGCAGAAGCGGTGTTTGGTGGAGCAGATGGTTTATCTCAACATCGATCCTTGTGGCTTGACCGTATAATATTAAGTATGCGTCAAGACGCACTATTGGTGGACTGTACAACATCTCAGCCATGTCCCGAACCCAACGGCGGAGGAAGCAATTCAGCCAGACGGAAAAGCTCACACCCGGCTCGGGACTCTCATGCAGACAGTCCTGTGAAGAGAAGGCAGGTCCCCGACGGGTTTCCGAACGACAACGACAACGACGATGATGATGACGACGACGATCTTGGGCGTCGTCCACCGCGCAAAAGACCGAATCTCTCCTCTCGGGATGACACACCAGCGAACAAGAAGCCGCTGCTTACATATGCTTGCCCTTACTTCAAATACGCTCCACATCGCTATGGATGCCAAAGGGCGTGTAGCGCTCATGGCTGGCCAAACATGAATCGTCTCAAGCAGCACCTACATCAAAAACACTATATCCACCTTTGCGACAGATGTGGCACAAAATTTGAGCACAACGAGCAGAAGCAAGAGCACCGCATATCTCAAGAAGGATGCCCCTATGTACCTACCGAGCAGCGGCAGCGAGATTTTGCCGATGGGTTTGACGACCATCAACAAACGAAACTCCGTGATAAAACAATGAAGAAAAATCAGGCCAACAACAACGAGAAGACGTATTGGGAGGAAGTTTACAAAACCTGTTTTCCCGATGCCATTGATTCAGAAATTCCTTCGCCATATTTCGAAGAAGCTGCGGACGCACGTTACAATATGTTCTTGACGGACAGACTGCGACGCTCTCCATCAGCACTGAGCTTGATAACGGGGCACGTCGGCCGAGAAGTGGCGGCACAAGTGCTCAACGAGATCGCGGATTATGTCACAGAAGTTCATACCCAGTTCCAAACGGCCGGCGGGTCGGGAATTCAGTTGCAGCAAGGAGCCTTCCTTGAAATCGAAAACGCACCTCGTCCACCTCCAATCCTGCCTTCACAACCAGCTCAATATCAAGCAAGTCCTGGGTTCCACACCATTCTTCCTGGTATTCCCGTTGATATGAACTTTGCGGATGACTCCGGTGTCTACTCGCAAGATCAGGAGTGGTATACATTGGGACCGGTCCCAGAAAAGCAGCCGGATGCCCGGATGCCACTACTGGATCCAACAGAAGTACCCTTACCACAATTTTCGAACACAGGTCAGTCGCCCTGGTCATACGACGGCTTGCAAACATCTACACTCCAGTTAGGCTTTGGCAATAGAGATACTATCAGATACTCTCATGGCCTCAATTCCCCGAGAGTCAACGAAGGTGGTGCTCATGGTCTCTACAGCATGAGCTATCAGTACCGTCAATCATATCAGCAAGCAGCAATAAACAACACCCATAACTTGAATGACCAACCATATCAACGAGCAGCAAGAAACAATATTCAGAACCCAACACACCAACAGCGACATCCACCTCCATCTTAACGGGAGCCTTTTTCCGGTGATCCTGCATGGGCCACCTTATTTTATCTTAGCTTGAACTCGCAAGAGTATCGCCTACTTGATCCGATCAAATAGGTCGAATTCGCAGCATGCTTTCACAGCCAATAAAGCAGAATCCCAGCTAAAACCAAAATGTAAGAGATGTCACGTGTCCCTCCTCCACCAGCGTGATTATTCGTCACAGAGAGTTTTTGGCGCGAGAAGATCTGGTCGCAGAGAGTTACTCCAATAAAGATATTTCTATGGCCGTTTCCTGGGTCTTCTAGCATAATGGAAGGTCAGAACGCCCTCAGCCGATGTGAAAGCTCGAGACGCAACTTTCCTATTCCCTATCAGCGCTCCAATTCGCTCGGCTCGATCGACCTGAAAATCAAAGTCTAGCTCTATGGCCAACATGTTCTGGCTTGCCGTGATGGGTGTCCCAAACAATAGTTTCCACGGCTTCGAGGTGCTCCATCAACTGCAGCAGGCGCCTGGTTTCCTCCAAATCTGCAGCATCGTCAGGGCTGCAGAGTAACCTTTGAAGGACGGAAATTGTATCGTGAAGATATGGCAACAGCATTGAAGAGACATCGGTCTGCGGGAGACAGCTTGCATCTGCAGCTGTCTTGGACTTCGGGCGTGAGCTGCGGCAGTATGTATTAGCTCTCAACTACTCCTCCAACAGCCCATCAGACTGAGAAAAGGCTCTACGCGTCACATACCACATTTGGAGTTGGTTGCTCAATCCTGGCAACCGTTTGATATCCTTGGAGTCAGAGAAGGCCATGCCTTGAGGCGAATCGCACGATGCGTATGCGACGATGCAATGACACCAGGCAGATGTGGGGACCAGATTCTGTCAATGACGGAAGCCACAAAGCAACTCTGCCTCTGCTTTAGAACCTCTGGAAAAGCGGCGCACAGCAGAAGCAGAAGAATCTCACAGGGGTTTAACTGCTTCGAACTGTGGATAACTGCAGATCGTCCCAAATGCCTCCAAACATCTGCTACTGCCTCGAACAAAGTAATTTGGACTGTTTGTGATAGCGGCAGAAAATAGAAGGCAGTGTTGGAGAAAAGAGAAACTGAAAAACTGAAAATGATCGAGCAACACACGGGCCCTTCTTCTCAAGCATGCACTGATGTTTATACACTCTCTCGTCCCGTCGTGTCTCTTCAATCCATTGCACACGGACGTATTGCGAGGAGGAAGTTTGCGAGACGCAGCATTGCTCTGTTCGGCAGCATTGTGCTTCTTGGACACCGACATTGATAGTACATGTCAAGAGCCGACCGGCAATCATTCGTCTACCGGCTTCGCAGATTTCTTGGACAGAAGGAATCAAAGAAAACACGCAGTGCCTCTCCCTAGATCCCGTCCCGCCGCGGTCAAGTTCTGCAAGAGACATCTCGTTGTTGGCGTGAGGGTGCCGGGCAATATCACAGACCTTATCCGGCCACTGCGCGAAGCCAACATTGCGAGGTCTCGCAATGTCCGAGCCTCGCACAGCCAATGCGCGAAAAGGGAGACCCCGGATATAACGAACGGCCTTGTGACTCTTTCTTCGACTCCTCCGCTCAGGGGGCGTGGCCACTATGAAGCCGCTGGACACGGCGGTAATCTACATGAACGACGTCTCGTCCCGAGACTCATTGACTCTGAGGTTTTGAGCGGCTGGCTTACCTGCCCTCGGCCTGTGGGTGTTCGCGTCCAGTGGGGAAAGGAAGCATGAGTTCCCATCAGGAGACCGCAACCGCTCTCTGAGAACAAATAGCCATAGAGAGTCTGGATCATCGTCCCAAGAAGCAAAAAGTGCCCGACGGCACACCTCAGTGTTGATTTCATGAGGTGGGTTTCCGGTAAGTTTGCGTGGCCCTTCGTTATGGAAAGCGTTTGGACCGATGCCATCGTGTCGAGGGATGGGTCCCGATGTTCTCCGTTTCACACGATGTGCCCGCTGACGGAGAGGGGGGTTGAAATGTGCATTCTTACGCGGAAGGCCTTTAGTGTGCTGTACGGAGTAGGCTGGTCGCGGTGGAGAAACGTAGGAAGAGAGAAAGATAGGAGGGGGAGGGAAGAGATACACTCTAACTACATGTCCGTTCGTATGGGGCTACTTTGCCTGCTCATGGGCCAAAATAGGGGACAATTTGCGGACTCGTGTTAGAGCATGTATGGGAGAGGACGTACTCGGAGCTGTAGACACGCCCCCGGACGATTGCCACCTAGGTAGTTCACTGCGTTTGGGAAAAGAGGTGCCACACGAGTAGCGAATCCGACTAGCAACGCATCCAGCCGTTCAATTTCTCGGATATCTCTACTCCTAACCGAGATCTCATAGCAACATCTTACAGTATCCATTTCACATCGGAGCCCACAAGTCTCACCTAAAGTTTTCGAGTGAGTGACTCTATGTTAATCCACGCCTCTAATCAAGGAATCTTATGACGAGGGGTACAAACTTCGTCGGCTTTTCTCTCATGATCCACTTAGCAGGCGCCGCTGTCACCACCATAATCTCCAGAAAGCTCATATGTTATCGACCGCGAGAATTTCTCGATGCCAGAAAGATGAGGCGGATGGTGACCCCAAACCCTCACGACTTCTAGCTGCCGGTGCCAGAACAGTTACCTGTCGTGCCGATGAAGACGACTTGGACCGCAGCAAAACTGGGGAGGACGAAATAAGCCAGAATGGTCTATGTAGAGATCAGCGCATATTTGGGGCCGAGACTTACGCGGACGTGGCTGCAAAGACTTCGATCCTGCGTGCCTCAGTCACGGCGGCGAGACAGAGGCAAAACACCGCAGTGAAGACAGCCGTCATGCCGATGCGAAGTGAGATGCTCTGGACGGCATTCAGAGCCACTATGGACAAGACGGAGAATAGACAAGACACCACGGTTGCCAGGATGTCAACGGCGTGAACGATTCCCTTGTTGGAGTAGTTTGCGATTCCTGTCAAGGGGTCCCAGTCAACTGCTTCCTTGTGATGCTTACCTATCCACCAATGGTAGTTTGGAAGAAGCGTTTCCGATATCCAAGTACTGGTAGCGTCCATCTGGTTCGTGTCGGTGGTGGAAATGAGGTCGCCCTCGTGAGCCTCGCTCCATGCGTGTCGGTCGTCGCTGATGATTGGCTGCCCTCCCAGCTTCGGATCATCCCGCCAATCACGAAGGAAGTTGATCTTGTATTTGGTGGGTTTCTTCAACGAAGATAAGCCCCGGTGCTGGAGCAGAGCCTCATCTGTGACCAGCAGCCTGGCAGTTAAAAAGAAAGTATTAGATATTTGATCTTGGGGGGATCACACATACTGTATTCTTTCAAGACGGCTCTGATTTGCATGACCTTTTGGAACTGCCCGTCACGCCCCTCCTGCTGGGAGTTCTTTAACAACTGCCAGTGGTTTGCCTGCAAACTTCGGGTGGGATCATCGGAGGCTCTATCTGTCTGCACGATCTGCTTCAATTCCTGCTCAAGCTGCGTGAGCTCGGCCTGGAGGTAGAGGAGGTTCTGGAAGTTCAAGCAGCTGAAGCTCCGAAAGATGCCAAATTCACTGTGGCATTCCATCAGACGAGCCACCTTAGCATATCCGTGATGGTCTTCGGGAGTTGCCATTGTTGCGACCGTTGGTGAATGCGACTTCTATGTCTACCCCTGACTCCAGGAATTAAAGCAAGGTTATCTCTGGTCGTCGCACAAACAACTTCTTTGTGATTGGTCGCGACACGAGTAGTGCTGCCCATTGACAGGTAACGCGGGTGGCCACGTACAAATGCCGGACAGGCAGTCATGCAACCCTTCGCTTGGTGAGAAACGTGTATAACTGGCAGATATAGGCGACGAGAAACCGGTGTGAGGGGTGCTCGCTGTATGGTTGCAGAAATGGCTAGGTCGTGCGTTGGTGTTCACATGATGGACTTAGATTCGAAGTCATCGTGCCGTTCAAACCCTATGAGCCGCTCGAGTCAAAAGCATGCGAGAGTCGGTCCTTGCCCACCTTTCACTTCTGCTGTGCCACCTCCCTCCGGAACTCTTCTACACCCAGACAAATTAAACATCGTGCACCCAAGATCTCAGGATGGAGGATGACAAACGATATAAGGACCTCCAGCGCGACAAGACACGGTATGAAAGTGCTGGGTGGATTCTCGGCAATGTCCCCATCGACGAGGGCCATGAACGTTGGCTCGCCAAACAAGCCACGGCATCAAGGCAAGGAGCATCTAGCGACGCCAATCAAACAGACAGCACGTACGACCGACCGACTTCTCGCCAGACTGGTCCACCGAGAGGCGATCGCGCGTTCTCGGACTCACAGTCGTCATGGACGTCAGAAAATAGCATGTCGGCAGTGTCCACGTACAATGGATACAATGGAGAACCCCCCGCGGCTAACGAATGGCCCATCTCACTCTGCTTCCACAACGAGGAGCAATTCGAGGGCAAAGTTTTGCTGGACAGCGGCGCCGAACACAATTGGATCTCGATGGACGTCGTCAAAGAGCGCCACATCCCCTGGGACGACGACCCTAGCGGAGCAGAGATATATGTGGATTTCTCGAATCAACAGCTCCGATCCCTCGGCGTCGTCAAGGCGACATGGGTGATCAACAACAGGTCCGTTCCGGTCAAGTTTAAGATCGCGCCGAATCCTCCTTTCCAGGTGTGTTTTGGATATCGATTTTTGCTGGAGAAAGGCGTGCTTCGATTTTCTCACCACGGGCCAGTCGCTGGCCTGGTGAAAGGGAAACGGAAAGCCAACAATGGTAGCCATAGAGTACCGACCCACCGTCTTGGTAGACTATGCTAACACTGAACAGGGGAGAAAGCAGCAATCCAACGAGAGGAAAATACGACAGACAGTCTGAATCAGAAGATCAAAGACTTCCTCGATTGGAAAAAGAGCATGGAGCAGCAAGGCTGGAAATGGGACCAAACCCGCAAGAAATTCTTCCGAATGAAGGACCGAAACGTGGAGTGGAATGAGACTGGATATCTGCTGGACCTTCGGGTTGGCGATCCTGCGCAAAACAGCCCTTGAAGGGCCGACACCAGCACCAGCATCAGGAGTGGAACGCAGCTTCTGTCGCCAGCTTTAGCTTTCATCAATCGTTCAGCCTTGGGAGGGGCGGTGCAGGGCCGGCGAGACGGCTCCTTCGGCTGCTGGTGCCCCTTACATTTCGGCGGGGTCGATCCTCTTATCGACAGATCTAACTGCCAGGTTCAGGTTGGTTTACCTGTCTAGCGATCAATGAATGGCGTGCCCGCGGTCATGCGCCTGCTAAACCACCCCGGATGTTCATCATTCGGGTGCTCACCTGCAACCAACGAACAACTGGATCTCATTCCCTGACACAACCTGCGCTAAAAATTAATATCTCGAGCTCCTTGGGCATCGCTGCGTCCTCTTCTCCCTGTCTGGAGTGCCTCCACCGCTGCCAGGAGACCATCCTCTCCCGGCCCTCGTTATCATTGCTCGCTTTTGTATGTCGCCGTTGTTGTTGTTGCGAATCATTTCCATCTCGCTGTCCTGGTCAGCTCGCCGGTCAGCTCGCCGGCCAACATCATTGTCTCCCGACAAACCAGTCGGACGTTTCTTGATCGAGGCACACCAAGTCGACCACCGCCACCATAGCACGCCCATGTCATCCTCCTGCCGACTGCAACGCAAGGCCCTTGCCATACCCAGCCACGACTTGACTCCCTTCCTCAGTGCGACCCCAGGCGCACTGCCGCCATGAGCGGCGTAGATTTCGAGAAACACTTCGAGAAACATGTGAAAGAGATAGCCAAACAGGAAAATGTATCATGGTCCAAGATCCATAATGCAGTCTTCCTTGTTGAGGCTCTAAGAGAGTTCTACAGCGACCATTGTCTACTTGCAAAAGAGACGGAGATCAAAAAGTTCATGAAATTCATCAAGCACGGGCTCAACTTTTCTTTCCGAGACCATTTCGATTCTGGTGCGGGCCTTTCCGACAGTATTTCCTCCTCTTCGACCGAAGGCACATCGTCGCACTCCGGACGTTCAGAACCAGAGGATGTCTTGGTCCAAGTTGGCCAGGCCTTCGACGACAGTGATGCGCTCCAACAGCCTCCTGGTCCTTTCTTATCGTTCAGAGATGCCGTCGCAACGGCTCCGCCGCGGTCTCCCCTCGAGACGCTAAAGGTTTGTACCACTCACTGTGGTTCTGCAATGTTGGATTCCAGCTGACCTCTTGTGCTCAGCAATCTCCCTGGAAGGCCTGTCGAGTACTTTCTTGGAAAAGGAACAACTTAGTTCCCGCCGTTTTCGCCGAGGATCGCTCCACATCATCCTGGGTCTCTAGTAAATATCTGACAAACTTCGTGGAGGACACTCCAAATATATGGGGTAAATCAGGGCTCCGAGAGGACGTTGGGCGGCTCAATCTGATGTCCAGAGGCCTTGTCAACATCTGGATCCAACCGGTCGACTGCTGTACAGGACTTTGGTTGACCTTCAACGTCACGGATGACCCCAAATGCTGCGACTTGTTGATTGGTCGTGAAGCAGGTTTGCAATTGCAGACCGCGAGAAATGCTGCTGCGTCGCACTATGCAGCTCAAGACTATCTCCCAGTGTCGGGTAAATGCTTCTCACTGTCCATCTTCTTCCGAGACTAACCGTTCAAATGATTAGGCTTTCATTCGGGAGTTACTCGATCTTGTCCAGCCTCAGTTGCCGTTAACGAGGTTGCCCAATCCTCCACAACGCTGGTTGTGAGCGCGGCTCAGGCACGAGCAGTGTCAAGTACAAGCGGTACGCCGACAATCCCACATGCGGATACAGACACTACGCCTAAGCCCCAGCCGGTCCCTCCTGTGCAAGAATCAGACCTTCCTTCCTTGAAGTTGGGCCCCCCTCCTATGGCGACCCCAGTACAGACGTTAGACTCAAAAGTTAGCATCTGCCCGCCTTCAGCACAAAAATTTGATGGCTCCTCGATTCAAGACAGCGAATCCAGCCTGCAGGACAGATACGCCAGCTCTTTTGCCCGGTTTTTCAGGCCGTGGGCAATGTCACTCCTAGCAGTCCTCGTTCTTCTGGTTATGGTAGACCTCTGTTTAAACATTGGGCAGCCACGGATTGAATGGACCTCCGGCCAATTATTGACTCTGGCCGTCTCCCTCTACACCGATTTCTTGTCGGTTTTACCAGTGCGCGTCCTTATGGTTGTCTTGGAAGTCTGCTTTGTATTGGTGGGGGCATGGACCCTCTGGCGACATCACTATGGTCCAAATTGGACAGGACATACCTTTCAGATACCCTAGGATATTCATGTTATGTAATGTGTTATGAGATGGATGGGGTTTGTCATGTACACAATTTGTCGCATGTGCTGATCGGGTGGCGACGGTGCCCAAGCGGACGGAAGGTTCTATTCTTTGGTGCACAAATCGGCGTTGAAAAGAAAGCATGCTTCGCGGCACTTGGGTCTTTCTCTTTCTTTTTCTCCTTCACTTATCGTTCCAGACTATCAAGCACGGGAGACTGGTGTCCACAAACTGGGCACGATGTATGTGTCGCTATCAACATATTGCACGAACAAATTTGAATTCGTCCATTCAAGCACTCTCTCCATTATGCTCGCTTACTGCTTCTTGCCTATGGAAGGTATCTGGAGTCCGGGTGCCTTACATTGGACTCCTGCTGCTTGCGAGTCCCTGACCCATCCCTCGTTTCGTATTGCTCCTGAATGGAGTGGGCAAGTGCACGGAAGGATTAGTTCAGCTTTGAAGCTCTGGAGTCGGTGGTCCAGCGAGCGCAGGAGTGGGTGGCCATACAGATCAGTGTGATAAGATTCCGCGTCTCGGAGAATGACGAAGTTGCAGCTTCTCACGGAACATACTATAATAGACACTACTTTTCTCATTTATCTTTTCGATCAACCCTTTCTACAGCTTTGACTCTGGCCTGGTCTGTAAGTTATGTCGGTTCAGGTCTTTCACGCTCTTCTTGCCCATATTTCCCAGCATGTTGTCAGTGTCAGCAAGCAAGCACCGCAGGACATGCTCCACCCCTTCTTGACCCCCGAAGGCAAGACCATACATGTAAGGCCTGCCAATGCACACGGCTTTTGCGCCTAGCGCTAATGCTTTCAACACATCACTCCCCGAACGGATACCACTGTCAAACAATAGAGTTAGACTAGATCGTTTGACCCTTTCGTCGGCGGCAATCTCGGCCAAAGCATCCAAAGAAGCGATGGCACCGTCACATTGTCGGCCTCCGTGATTGCTCACGATGATGCCATCCATTCCATAGTCAATGGCTCTGTGAGCGTCTTCCACCGTCTGGATCCCTTTGAGGACAATTGGACCGTCCCATAGCTTCTTCAGAATTTCCAAGTGCTCCCACTCCCTGTACGTGCCGGAGTTCAAGACGTCCAACCAAGCCCTCGACTTTGGAAGGAGAGAGGTGTTAGTCAACACTCGCACCGCCCCATAGACTGAACCCGGTCTCTTCATCATTGTCCAGAGCTCGGCCAACTTCTCTCCGTAGCCTCTTGTATCGTTCTTCTGAATTTCTTCATATCTACGGTTGAAGACTGGGTCAGAGTGTCCAATCTGGCAGCCGTCACCCCAAATAAAAGGGAGATATGCGGTGTCGAGATCGGTTGGCCTCCAAGCGAGGTTGAAGGTGTCTAATGTAACGACGAGGACTTTGTATCCGTTGGCTTTCGCTCTATTAAGCAAGCTGACAGTAACTTCTTCGTACTGCGGTTTGGGCCAGTAGAGTTGATACCAACGGTCACCGGAGCCATTGGCTTCAGCCACTTGTTCAATGGTTCTCGTGGCAGCTGAGGAGAGAATCATAGGTACGCCGACCTTTTGACAAGCTTTGGCAGTGGCCTCTTCAGCATCTTCATGCATAATATTCTGGACCCCAACTGGGGCGACAAGAAGTGGGTTGTTATACTTGGTTCCGAACAGCTCGACACTCAGATCGCGACGAGTAGCATTGACCAGCATATGGGGTCGAATCCGGTACCGATCAAACGCAGAAATGTTGGCAGCGTTTGTTTTACCACTGCTCGCCGACCCCCACACATAGCCGAAGTTAGGAGCAGGGACTTTGGAGCGGGCTAGAGATTCCCATTCAGCCGGCTTGGTTGAGAAGTTGGGTGCCCGTAGAGAGGCGTATATCTCTCGTTGGTACGCAGAGTAATTGTTCGGATCAGGCTCCGTGTAAGGTTGGTTCCATCGAGCGGCGTCGGTCTTGTTCGCCATAACTGCTGGTGAGCTCAGCTCGTCCTTGCTGGAGAGATGGAATAAGGACGGAAGTGCTCCAGGGTCGAGGTGGAAGATGGGCAAATATACAAGCACGGATCGAAGTGCTATTCTCCTTCTGACGCCGTGGATAAGCGTACCGTCAATGGTCAGCACTCGGCGACATGCATGATGGATGCATGACGTTTCCTGATGCCGAGGCTCAGTTTGAACCTTTTGCTTGATGAGGCTAGCGGAAGTTGCGGCCAGTCCATTGGTCGATTGACGAGGGCGCTTAGGTAAGGAAATGCTAGCCGTTTCGGGCATAGTCACCCAATGCTCGATCTGCTAAATTGATGACGTCGCGTCTTGACCGATGATCAAACCTCTGTTGGGGCTTGACCTGTACAACCGGATTTCCAAGTTTCTTCGGTTCAACTCTTCTGAAAAGAAAGCTGAAAGCTTTGTGATAAGGTATATCTCTGTCGAAGACTGCCGTTGTCTGGCGGGGCAAGCCGTGGCTCTGTTCTCTCACCTCCACTAACAGGTACTCTCTGTCTCGCTCTCATCATGGCTTCCAAGCCGCTTCAGACCAACTTCGATGTCGACTATGTCATTGTCTATCGGGTTCCGAACGATGGTACTACTCCCACGCCCTCCACTCCACAGGTGTTGATACTGACGCTGAGCAGACAAGGAAGCTGGCGTTACTCAGTTCAAGAAGCTCATTCGAGCTCTCACGGAAACCGGTTTGACCACCGAAGTGCGACGCGGCGATGAAACATCCTTGTTGGTCTTTGTCAAGGCCGCCGACGAGAAGATATTTGCAGACGTGGTTTATCGGTCGAGGATCAAAGACTGGCTTCACGGGGTTCGACAACTTCAGCCTAGCAATGACGCAGCCCAAACCCTGACCTCAGAACCCCTCACTGTTGCCGAGCGACATCGACACATTCACCACATGATCTGCTGTCCACGCGAAGAAGGAGGAGCTGGCATCACACCAAAGCACGGCGAATGGAAGAATGTCGAAGCCGTGTTTCCCTTGCACGATCATGTTAAAAACAAGGCATGGCTGACCGAGTTCGCCCGCAAGACATTTCTGACACCCGATGATCTGGACGACATCAGGAACACTGTCGGCGAAAAGGTCCGTCCCCCATAATCCTGCCGTGTCTCCGCAAGCTGACTGATGGGGATAGATTGGCTACTACTATGCGTTCCTGCAGTCCTACTTCTCCTTCATGATCTTCCCTGCTGCCTTCGGCTTCTCATGTTGGGCCCTCCTAGGCAGCTACTCCCCAATCTATGCCATTGTCAACGGTCTGTGGTGTGTCATATTCGTCGAATACTGGAAACGTCAAGAACAAGAACTGGCCATTCGATGGAACGTCAAGAGAGTGTCTTTGATCGAGGACAAGCGGAGAGAATTTGAGCCGGAAAAGGTCACCACAGATCCTGTGACGGGTGAAAAAGTTGCATACTTCCCGGCAGCCAAGCGACTCCAGAGACAACTCCTCCAGATTCCACTGGCAGCCTTGTGCGTGGTCGCACTTGGTGCTGTTATTTGCACCTGCTACGCCATTGAAATCTTCATCTCGGAAGTCTATGATGGCCCCCTGAAGTCCATCCTTGTCTTCCTTCCCACCATCCTCCTCACCCTTGCCGTCCCCACCATCAGCAATTTCTTGACCGGTTTTGCCGAAAAGCTCACCTTCTACGAAAATTACGAGACCCAGGACGCTCATGACAAGGCCATGATTTCCAAGGTCTTCGTCATCAACTTTATCACCTCGTACACGGCCATCTTCTTAACTTCTTTCGTATATGTTCCTTTTGCCTCCATCTTGGTACCTTATTTGGACATCTTTGGCTTGACAGTCAAACCATTCGCCGAGAACGAAAAACAGCTTCAAACACCACCTCCGGCGGCCTTCAGCATCAACCCCAACCGTTTACGCAACCAGATGATCTATTTCGCGGTCACAGCCCAAGTCGTCAACTTCGCCATGGAGACAGTCATGCCAGTCATCACTCAGAGGGGGACCAAGAAGTTCAAGGAGATCCAATCTCAGCGTGCAGAAAAGCAGGGCGGAACAACGCCCTCCGTTGCGGACCACGATCCAGCTGAAGAGAAGGAATTCCTCACCCGAGTCCGCGAAGAGGCTGCTCTACCAGAGTATGATGTGACGTCAGACCTGCGGGAGATGTGCATGCAGTTTGGCTACCTCTCGCTCTTCAGTGTGATATGGCCACTCACGCCGGTCTCATACTTCATCAATAATTGGATTGAATTGAGGGGAGATACCTTCAAATTGGCAGTCGAATGCCGGCGACCCAACCCTGCCCGAGCAGATACCATTGGACCCTGGCTCGATAGTCTCGAATTTCTTGCCTGGCTCGGGAGCATCACCTCCGCAGCGCTGGTCTACATGTTCTCGGGTACTGATGGACAGGGGCCGGATGGCCGACCTCACGCGATTAAGCTGTGGGCACTCCTGCTTAGCATCTTTCTCTCTGAGCACACCTTCTTGTTGGTGCGACTGTTGGTTAGGACGGCAATCAGCAAACTCGACTCTGCGGCTATGCGCAAGGAGCGCAGCGAGCGCTTCATGGTGCGTCGAAAGTATCTCGAGGAAGCTGGACTGGGCCATGCCGTCAAACCCCTTGCCTCGCCTCCTAATAGTCCACTGATGACGGAATCTGGAGAGCACGCGTTTGCTAGCATCACGAGAGAAAGTCTCGAAGAAGACGCAAGGAATCAGAGTATATCTACAACTAACTCGGCGGCAAGCGCAACCGAGCGGTTTTGGATGCGGCAGCGGAGTTGGGCCGAGTGTGAGAGGGTTGGTCTGGCCATGATTGACTTGATGGACCTAGGAACGAGCAAGGGGAAGAAGGCGCAATGATCAGGTGTATCGTACCGGGGTGTCTCAGCAACAGGTTTCACGGTACTGTTGGGCAATCCACGTTCTAGTGCTTCGGGGGTGCAACAAGATTGTTGTAGGGGTGTGTTTGAGTGGAATTGGGAGCGTTTGTATGTAGGGATCAAAAGCAACATCGAGATAGGAACTGGCACATACGAGATATGAAGTATGATATGAATCTAGACGGAGCAACACTATTAGGAGTGTGCCTTTTTTACATGCCCTTGGTACCTATCGCTCGCTATGTAGGTAGGAAGTGGCCGTGTCGATGTAGCCTCGCCGCCATCCCACGCTCCATCCCAATCAGGTTAGCACCCCCAACGAAAGTCCCTTGGCCGGCTGGATCCGGTTTAGTGAATATTTTGAGTCACGTCCATCTCACCGACATGCACAATGCATTCATTTACTTCTCATCAAAACCTCCTCCTATCGACATTCACTCTTGTCCCATCACGGTGTGTCAGCTGCCGCTACCGCTACCGTATCATCGTGGCTGGCATTTTGACCGCTCCTTTCTCCATCCACAAGTCTTCCCTCCTTGTCAATATTGCGCCTGATTGAGTTTCCAATCGATCAATTCTCAGCCTTTCAATATATCATTGCCTGAACCAACTCTAGGTGATCAATTGAAGGGCCTGCCTGCCATGTCCAACGAGACCCAGGCTTTATCGGATGGCTCGCCGCCACTTCTGCTTGATGTCCTGTCGAATTCCATCGTCCTTGACAACACCTTGCAATATCTTCCTCTCTCCACTCTCTTTGCCCTGGCCAGAACATGCCGCTCTTTCCGAGACCTCATCCTCCACACAGCGAGCGTTTTTCGATATGTTGATCTTTCAAAGTGTCGAGGCGCATATGTTTCCCCCAACCTTCTGACGAGAATCGACTCCGGTGGTCATTCCTGGCGCGCAGAACGAATGGACGAGAATCTGACCGAAGATGAATTCTATGCCGGTCCTCTACGCGGCGTCCTGGCCAAGCTGGCCAAGCTGAAGGTCCTCCAGAATGTTCACACCTTGGTCCTCGATGATCTGGCCTCGGTGACCGTTGATCTGATCAACGATATCGTCACTAGAAATGAATACAACGTTCGGCTCCTCAGTATACGGCGATGTCTCAATATCAATCAATATAGGCTGCAACAGCTTCTCTGCCACATTTGTCGACCTGGCAGACCTGAAGGGACCCCTCGGCTACAGGGTATATACGTCTTCACACCCCCTCCGCCGAGGGACTGGTCACCAGATGACCTCGATTTCAGTCATGCCTTTCACTACAATTTCGACACCATGGGCGTTCTGGAATGGGAGCCCATTCCGCTCCGACGCCAGTCTGACAAGAATCGAGGAGGTAGATTATGCGGCACAGAACGCTGGTATTCGCCCTCGGGCTACTGCATGGCTGAGGGTAGTACGGCACGAACAAACTGGGAGGAGACCTTACAAAAATGCCAAGGCATACTCAGCTTCGATGCTGTTTTATGTACTCACATGCACGCTGATATGGCACCCGTTCTTCATCCAGCGTCTAAAGATTATCTTTTGAAAGAAAAGCCCGGTATCCGCCCGCTGGCAACTGTGGCTCTAGGCCCGGCGGGATGCTCTGGCTGTGGTCGAGAGCCCCACGGTGCACCTGTCTGGGACGAAAGCGATCTCCGCGAGTTTCCACTCCTGTGGCCTCCACCCCACACTGGAAAGCTGGTTGACGCTGTCCGACCTCCACTACGCCTCGCCGAAGATGGCCGAATTCTTCCCCAGCGACTCATCGTTTCGTGCCCCTGGTGCCTCGCTAATCGACATTGCGACAGCTGTCATCAATGGTGGTGCGCTGACTGCTACAACCCCGAACGTGCGAACAGAGCCGCCAATCTGGAAAGATTTGGGAGTGCGGCACGCTTCACCGGGCCTTCCGACGCAGATCTGGGGATAGATCGGACTACAATCGGGGCATCATCTCCCGACGACACTCCCAAGGTATCTAACGGTCTTTGTGTTGAAAACTGCCCTAAACGCACAATGTCGGTTTGGGGCACACGGATGGTCGGGGCTAGAGATGGCGGTGCTGGGGGTTAACCAAGGAACGCATCAGGTACAAGAAGACCACCAATCTGGAACATCGACTGGAGGGTTTTCCGGAACCAAGATTGAGCCATGTGTCATCCCCAAGCCGCCATCGAGGCGAGTATACCGCCAACCGGACGCTTCCACCGCCTACAGCCCGCAACTACCTACCTACCCATCGATCCTTCCTCTCCGTCGTCGTCCGCACCCTCCCATCATTACTGACGTGTGTTTGCTAACCGACTGATTCGGGTCTCTCCCTTTACAGCGTCTTTCACTTCATGAACATCCCGTGCGACTCAGACCCGGCCAAGCAGCAGTGACACGAGGCTGCTGGGATTGTGGGCGCCAGTGCCAGAGCTGTACGCAGCTGTATGAAAGGATATGTCAGCGCTGTAGAGAACCCTATTGCTATGTTCATAGGACGGGCTGCGACAAGAAGATTGTAAGTACTTGGCATATTCTTCTCCGAGAAAGCCTTGATGCGATGGAAGTTCGGTTGCTGATCAATTTTTTGGTTTAGTGTGATTGGTGTATGCACAGGGGAGGTAGGAGGACTGGGGAGCTCTACTAACGTTTCAGCACGAATCAACCTCTGAGCCTGTCGAAAGGTCTCATCTCAGAGCTGGTATCCTTGTTTGTATTACAATAAGATGCAGCAGATCCAACAACGTTCTACACCGATCATGAGAGCAAGTATCAAACCATTTCGCGCAGAAAGAGCCTGCGGTATCCCAATCACCGCCCGACTCCAATGCCAACGCATCCATTCTACAAACATCTCAAAGGTCACTTCCCTTCCCGTCGCGACCTTTGACGCCCCAATCACTTCTCCGTCCAGCTCTTCAACGACACACTTGGCCTTCTTCCGCGGAAAACAATAGCAAAAAATAAGTAACCAACGAAGTCCGCGGGCGGAAAAAGTATGAGATTACTTGCTTTGCCTGCTGTGTTTGAATCGAGAATGTTACCCGATGCGATGCCTGGCATCTATCTACCTGGTGGTGATGGTGGTGCCAGCGGGCGACAGTGAACACCAATCTCTCTCAACTCAACTCAACTCCATCCAATACGCCCTGGAGAGCTTATTTGGCGAAAAGCGAGAGCTTCGGGGGGCTGTCACCCTGGACCTTCAACGTGTGCGGCATCGTCATCGGAAACATATCCATTAGGGTGAACGGGGGAAAGAGGGGCATCGCGGTGCTCTACCGCTCGCGGCCTTATCTCTTAGATATCTGGCCCAGATTGAAATGATGTCCATACTTTGAAAATCACAATTAGTCTTTCGAGATCACGTACGTGGACCAGGCGTCACCTAGGCGCCGTCCTCTCTCTTTCTCTACATTACCGTCTTCCAGAGAAATCGCATGTCCGCCTGACAAAAAAGAACGGGTGCAATTCGCTTGACTTTATGAATGACCAGCAACGATGGGCAAAAAGCGACTAGATTAAAATCCTCCTATTCATATTTTATGGATTCTCAACGCCTTTGTCCAATTTCTTGACTACCAATATGCATAACCCGCTCGACCCTGAATGAAAAATGGTTCCATTGCTCGAATACACACATCGGGACCCAAACAAGTCAACATTGCCTAATCCGTCATGTTTTTTTGCGGCGGAAAACTCATTATAACTCCCTCCCACTGACCACCCTCGGAGTTCTGATCGTTCCAGGTGTATTTTGTTGAAACGCCATGCTTGACTTGATGGCCAATGTGTCGTAAGGATCAACCCCCATGATGGTCAGGGTGGTGAAGCCACTGAAATAGAACCCCAGAGCTACCACGAGGTACGTCATGACCAGAATGCTGCCCTTGAAGTAGTTGCTCTTTCCCTCCCCAGACATGTAACTGAGCAGGAAGACGCAAAGAATGATTGTCACCATGTCCCATTGCGGGAAGATGAGATTGAAGGTGTGGTCGATGAGGTCCGCTGGATCAATAAAGGGCCAGCGCAATGCCGAAAACAGGACCAAAACCGGAAGTTGAAGCATACACACTTGCAGTGCATACGCTGATCCAATTTCCATGCTGAGAGCAATATTCCCATTCATAGCAAATGAGATACCATTCAAGAATTCCGTCGTGTTGGGTACCAGCGCAAACAAGGTAATTCCCAAGAACTTCTCATCGATGTCAACCGAATCAAGCACAACGTCCACGGTATCCACCAGGATTTCAGCCACGACAGCGTAAGCAACCGTTGCTGTCAAAAGGATGATGAACGATTTGGTCCTGGACCAATTTGGCGCATCATGGCCACCACCCTCCACAGCAGGCACAGGAGCTTGTTCCGTCCCAGCAGTTGCAATTCCCTCATCTGTCACAGTGTCTCTGCGAAGGACGGATGGTCTTTGGCTTTTCGAAGTGTCTTGCCTGTAAGCATGAGTGGCCTGATAAGACGCGGTCCGGGGGTGATTGACCGCATCTCGGGTGGCAATCGTTGCTGCTGTCGCCGCTAGTTCCGCAACCTGTCGAACCAGGTTGTTATTGTCTTCTTCGGATAGCCCAGGCAGTACAGGATGTAGAAGGGGGCTTTGGACGTCCTCGGAGCCGTGGCTCGATTTGGGCGGGACCACATGAGGCAAATCACTCTTGTTGTGGTGGTCCGTGGCTGAGACGTGTGAGGCGTTTTCGTAAGAACTGAATTGCTCGCGTTCAACACCAGCATCGCCATCCGGAAGCCCAGCGGATCGCAGAGACTGGCCCAAGATCTTTTTGTACAACTGAGACTCCCTAATAGCCGATCGAGGGAGATAGGACCCGTCAGGTTTAGGCAGGTTCTGCGAGTTGACCACGCTTTGCTGTCTGGTGTCCAATGGACTTACGTCAGCAGTTGGAGGCTGAGCTTTCTTCTCGTCCAGTTCGGTGCTCCATATGATAGCAGCGTGAGTGCGCAGGGTAAACAGGAGTCCTATGATGTAGGACGAAAAGAGAAAAACTGCAGCAATCCAGCAATATGGACGCACGGCTTTCAAAAAGAAGTCGTCCGAGACGGCTGGCACCTGGCGGAAATAGCATTGCCGACAATCCGCAGGAGTGTCCTCGCCCTCTGCAGTACACGCTCTACAGATGAGCTCATGGCTTCCGTATATCTTGTAGAACAGGGTTGGCCCAAATGCTGCAATGACGGCGAACAGCAACATAGTAGATGTGGCTCCAGCAGACTTGACGTTGAAGCGTTGAGTCTTTCTCTTTATGGCTCCGAAACACATCGACAACCCGGGAAGAAGTAGTAGACCAGCGAGGATGCTGCCAATGATACTCCCTTCCACTAGAGAGGCCTTCCCCTCGTTAAGGGCGACGCAATACAGGTATACCTCAACAATGGTGGAGAAAAAAGCATTGACGGCAGCTCCCATCCCCATCGACGATTGAGCCGAAATCGACGCCACTGCCTGTCCAATGAAGTAGGCCAAAGGGATGATGGAGATAAGGGCCAGGGTGAACATGAGCGCGGGACTTGTCAGCCAGATATCCAACCCAACTGCTATCTTGAGAACGAAGTAGTCGAAAATGACAAAGACAACAACGGCCAGAAAGTTGATGAGGAAGATATTGGTTCCATCGACTGTGTACTTCCAGTATTTGACACCGACCGCCCGGTAAGTACACAGGAGGATTGACGAAGGCTTGGTGGAGCTTCTAGCATGCGAGACGTCTCGGTGGAATGTCAGAGCCAACGGTCGTTTTCGTAGGTGATAAAACAAAATCAAGGTGACTCGACCCATGGGAATCCAGAACACCATCAACCAACAGACCATCGACACCAGTAGCATCAATGGGGCGACATTGAAGTAGAAGAAAACGAAGAAGATGACCCTGCCTAAGGTCCACTGCCCACGGCCGAATAGTCGTCGCTTGCCTTTGGCGCTCACATTGGTCTCTTGTCGGTCTGCTCTTCCACTCCGGTTCAGGAGGCTTTCACTCTCGCTTGCAGAGTCGACACTGTTTCGATGTCTGCCAACGATAGACCCAGTGTGAGTAAGAGTAGGTCCAAACATAAGTCGACCATACTCCAGATCTCCACTCTGCCATCGTTCGTACTCGCTGATGCTGCGACCCTCGCCTTCGTCTTCCTCGGCGTAGTTCTCATCTTGCTCGAGTCTCACAAATTTTCCAAAGGGCCAGAAAAGGTAGCCAGCCAGACCCAGGAAAATCCTGCCATATGCAGCCGCACTAGGGTCAAAGGCAAACAAGTAGCAGACAATGGCTCCGATAAGTGCTGCGACGCTCAGCCACCAGCCGAACAGAACAGTCCATAGGCAGTTGAAGAACCACAACCAGTTGCTCACAATCTGGCTGGGTGAGGAATGAATGTCCTCTTCTGCTCCCTTTTCTACTGATCGTGATTTCTTGTATAAGGCAGGTTTCCAGATCCTGATGCCAAATGGATGCGTTTCGTTGATGGCTAACTGTCGATCTCTCAAGGTGAAGCTCTCTGCATCACTTAGATCCGCATCCTCAGAGTCTTCAAGCCCTTCTTCATCATCTTCTCCACCCGGATCGGCTTCTTCATTGGGTTCTGCAACAGGCTCCTGTTGAACCATATCCTCGGCCTCCTCTTCTGCAGAATCAACACGCGGTAACTGCGGAGGTGCGGCAGCAGTTCGGCGACGAACGGTGGATTGTGATCGTGTCAGAGGCGGAAAGGATGCGGTGTTTGGCGTCGTTTGGAGCTCCCTGTCGACTTCGACTTCGTCGGGGTCATCGTCCACCGAGAATTGTTCGCCTCGATGAGGCAGTTGTCTCCGAGTCGAGACTCTTCTCATTGGAGGCTTGCGCCTGGTAGCCTGGGGGGATATTGGGAGGACGCTAGGAGACTCTTGGGCCTCGTCATTTCGATGTCCACTGCGTGGTCTTTGGCTGCTTGAGGCATGTATAACGCTGCTCAGGGTTCCTGTTCGATCTTAGAAAGTAACTTCACTATACTCAGGAACGCCAGCACTCACCATAGTCTCGCCGAATTGTAGTGTCTGCTCCAGTTGCCTCTTCCCAAGGCCTCGAGTCTGCTCCAGAACCGGCTACTGAAGGCGGTCTCTGCGTGGATGGTGCGTCTTGCCCAACTCTTTCTTCAGGGCTCTTCTGGGGCTGGTTACTGGACGACATTCTGACTGGGATACCTTTCCCTCATGGAGTTGTTCAAGTTGCTCCCATTACTCAGAGAAGGTTGCGATTAGGAGGACGGCGCCGTGGAACCAGCACAGCTTTTGAAATAACGGACAGACAGGCGGGTCAATGCCTGGCCGAGGCACGTGTATGCATCAAATGTGCACGCGGACTTCAAATCATCTGATGTGTTTGATGACGATATTTATCTCAGGTGGAGGAGCGCAGGTACGTCGCGATGTGGACTGTAGGAGGGAACGAGCGATGTCTCTGAAATGAAATCAGATAGTCGATAGCAGAGCATAGGCAAGTCAGTCTATGAATGGTCACTGGTGGGCATGTTAGTGATGCTTTTAACGATATGCGGTATTGAGGTGTACGAGTCGGGCGAGGAGCTCAGCGAGCCAGGACGACACGTCAATGGGCGCACGTGCTATAACCAGCAGTGGAGGCTGCAAGTAGGAATTGAGAGAGGGAAGCAACTGCCAGAAACTTGGAGAAGACGAACCTTGTCCTAGCACCCTACCAGGTAGCGAGGGTAGGTAACCTTTGATCGAATGCAAGTCGCAAATCGCACACAAGGAAGGGCTAGGAGCAAGCTGCACACTGAGCTCATAGCAATGGCTTTATTTCAAACAAGCAAATAGGTGCGCAGCTGGTGGGCCGATGATGCCTACTCGCACGAGTTCAGCTGCTGCCCAAGCTGGTCGGGTCTCCGCTGGAGGAAGCTGCCCCAGACGGTAGAGCCGTCACCCGAGCAAAACGAAGTCAGTGCCTAAAAGCAAAAGCGCTAGGGAGGCCCTTTAACTAAACTCGGCCACTGTTGGACCGTCAGCCCCCATTGTGGCAACGGAGCGTCCTCCTTGTCCTTTAGACGCGCTAGACGCCGCTCACCATTAGCCGCCGCCTCAGGCTCCCAAGCGCAGTCGCGTCCCATCATTCCATCCGTGCCTTTTATCACCCATCATCGTCGCCATCAATACATCCTCAAAATTTCCGTCGCCGTCTAGGTCTGTTGATCCTTCTCTTGGAGGTCTTGCAATTGCCAATAAAGAGACTACCACCACGTCATTCCCGTCTACAAGAACAGCCTCCCATCATGGCTCTGGACAACTTCTACCACAACAAAATCGAAGCTCTCAAGCTTGAGATCCTCCAAGGTCAAGCGGTGCTGCGCCGCTTAGAAGCACAACGAAATGACTATAACTCAAGAGTGCGACTTCTACGAGAAGAGCTGGGTTTGCTACAACAGCCCGGCTCCTACGTGGGCGAAGTCGTCAAGGTCATGGGGACCAAGAAGGTGTTGGTCAAGGTACACCCCGAAGGCAAATACGGTAAGTCTCAACAGCAGATGGTCACGTTTCAAACCCAGACTGACGAACTACCAAAGTTGTCGATATCGCCGACAGTGTCGACATCTCCAAATTGACTGTTGGGAAGCGAGTCTCCCTTCTCTCCGATTCTTACAAACTCGAAAAGATGCTCCCTTCATCCGTTGATCCTCTAGTTTCCTTGATGATGGTCGAAAAGGTTCCAGACAGCACATATGATATGATCGGTGGACTCGATCAACAGATCAAGGAGATCAAGGAAGTCATCGAGTTGGGGTTGAACCATCCGGAACTTTTCGAATCGCTCGGCATCGCCCAACCCAAGGGTGTCCTTCTCTATGGGCCGCCAGGAACAGGCAAGACACTCTTAGCACGAGCCGTTGCTCATCATGCCGACTGCAAATTCATCAGAGTCTCCGGATCAGAATTGGTACAAAAATACATCGGTGAAGGGAGCAGGATGGTACGAGAACTTTTCGTTATGGCCAGAGAACATGCACCCAGCATCATCTTCATGGACGAGATCGACAGTATAGGCTCCAGCCGGGTGGAGGGAAGCAGCGGTGGAGACTCAGAGGTACAACGCACCATGTTGGAACTGCTGAACCAGCTGGATGGGTTCGAACCGACCAACAACATCAAAGTTATTATGGCAACGAACCGACTGGATATTTTGGACCCTGCGCTCCTCCGACCGGGCCGCATCGATCGCAAGATCGAGTTTCCACCGCCGACTGTCGAGGCCAGAGCCGATATTCTAAGGATTCACTCCCGAAGCATGAACTTGACCAGAGGAATTGACCTGAAGAAGATTGCCGAGAAAATGAACGGTTGCTCCGGTGCCGAACTCAAGGGGGTGTGCACCGAGGCGGGCATGTTTGCGTTGCGAGAAAGGAGAGTGCATGTCACACAAGAAGACTTCGACCTGGCAACGGCCAAAGTCCTCAACAAGCATGACGATAAGGAGGTATCACTGGGCAAGTTATGGAAGTGAGATCCACGCTGTGTTCATGTTGGGTCTCCTTTTTTTCTCCCTCTGCATAGCGTCAAGTGTAACATTAGCGGGGCAATCAGAAAGGAAAAGGATAGAGACTTGTTGGAGGCCACTGAATCCGAGCTTGTCCATTTGCCGGACGCAAAACGTTTCTCGTTTTATGTTCTATGGTCGTTGTCATCGTCCTGTGTCATGTCTAGAATCCTCAAGCTGGGCTCGTTCTTTGCGGACAATATATGTGTATGCCAGCCAGAAGTCGTTAACCCGAGACCAGGTCATTCATTGACCTCTCCGAGACCCTCCAACTCAGTGCTCAATGCTCATACTCCATGCCTCCCTTGACAAACCCCCAAAACTCCTTCACCAGCTCTGTTTGACCTTTCTCCGCCGCCCGCACAGCGAGATACTTCCTGTGGTCGACGGGGATGTCCCATTTCCCAGAAGGATTACCATCGACGATGACGCCGCCGGCCTCGGTGAGCACGACCCAGCCCGCGCAGACGTCCCAGGCCCAGCACCCGCCTTCCCAGTAGACATCGATGGAACCCTCGGCGACGGCGCACAGGTTCAGGGCGGCGGACCCCAGTGCCCGGGCCGAGTGAACCATGGCGCCGCCTTCGTCCTTGCTGGCCCCCAAGGCGGCCCAGGTCTCGGTCTTGCACCGCCAGTTGGGGCCCGTGCGGTCGCTGCCGTACTCGATCGCGACGACGCAGGAGTCGAGCCCCGTGATCGCGGTCGGGTGGCGGAGCGGTAGCTTTGCATCGGCCTCTTCGTCGCTGTTGCTGTGGTGCGTAGAGGAGGAGATGATGAGCCGTAGATAGCTCCCCTGCCCCTTGATCCCATGGTACAACTTGCCTGAGAACGGGTTATACACCACGCCCACGGTCGGCACACGATTCACGGCGAACCCCAGACTGACGCTCACGTAGGGCCAGCCATGCACGAAATTCGTAGTCCCGTCAATCGGATCAACGACAAACGTCGGCTCCGCGCCCAACTTGTTGCCGGCCACGTACGTCTCCTCGCCCATGAACTTGTACGTAGGGTACTTCTGCTTCAGCGTGCTGGAGATGTAGTCCTCGACGGCCTTGTCCGTTTCGGTCACGAGGTCGGCCGAGTTCTTTTTCGTCGACAACGCCGCGTTGGAGTGGTCGTCTGTTCTGCTGGAGTTCGAGGCTGATGTGATCATCGACCCGGCCTTCAGCGCGATGGTGATGAGGGTGTCCCGCAGCGCGGCGAGGTCGATGTCTTCCATGGTTCTGGAGATGTGTCTTTGCAGTTTGGTTTTGTTTAGAGATCTGTTGGCCGTCAACGACAGATATGAGGGAGACCGTGTTCGTATGTACCTAGTTAATTATGGGTACTCTTCTATCTTTTTTTCCCTTTCGTCAATTTTGACGGGCCCGGACTGTTTTGAGATCATGTATGGTCGATTCTCCAATGAGGCCGAAAGCCTGTGTCACGCTGCCTGCCATTGGTTCTTTGGTCCTCGAACTGCCCCTTCCTCACATATACTCGGCCCAAAAATACTCCTATATCTAGCTCTCCTTTTGAGAGGCCTTGTTCCGAGTTGAATCGTCAATTGACAAGAACACTCTCATACATGGATAATCCTCAGAGGAGAATCACTAGGGAGCGAAGTCCAGAAGATGCTGGTAACGTGCGATCCCTGAGTTCTGGTTCTTCTAACAAGTCTCGTGCAAGTAGCACATTGGGATTTCTGTGGTACATATGTACAGAGTTCTGCCTCAGTCGGCTGTGTATCCCCAGTTTGGGGTTTGGTATAGTTGGGGAAATATATTTTTACAGAATGTTCATCGCTTGCATGTCCGCCGTACCTAGCTAATCAGACACGCTATCGTTCGGCAAGAGGAAGTCAGAAAAGAATCGTTGCAATCATGAAATGATACCTTCCCGCGACGTCTGGTTCGACCGGGCATCCTGATATCTCCCCTCAGCGTCACTGCTTACATCGCTCACCCCCGACATCTCACTGAGGCTCCTAGGGCGCTGTCCGATCGGCCCTGGTATCGCCATTCCAATTGATGAGGCTCCTTGACCACCTATCCGTGCAGCATCCCAATTCAACGGCTTCCTCTTGATGCTAGGGTATTGTCTCTGAGGATGCCGGAATCCAAAGGACAAGGGACGCACCAACTGCTCCACGTCACCCATACCCAAACCATCCAAACCTCGACCATTTTGCTGATGCATGCCGAAGGAAAGAATGGGGTCATCGAGAGCACGCCGGTAAGCAGATCGTTCTAGTCTTTCTTGACGCCAAACCGAGTATCTTTCACGAAGAGGGTTGCAGAACCGGAAGAGAAGAAATAGTAAGGCGGCCAAAGCCAGGACAGGGAGAATGACTGCCGCGGCAATCTCTCCTGGTGATAGACCTGCGCCACCCGCTGAATCGGCTGATGTTGAACCTGTCCCTGTATTGCCCCCTGATCCTGGCCCTGAGCCGGAGCTTGACCCCGGGCCGGAGCCGGTACTTGTATGCGATGATCCACTGCTCTCAGTGGTAGTGGGAACCACGCCAATTGGCGCCCCCGTCGAGCCCGGCGAGCCCGGCGAAGTCGAAAGGACGCCTGCGGACGTCGTCGTTGCTGTATTGAGGAGGACGGAGTTGGAAGCTGCATTGGTGGGTGAGACACTTCCGGTGGATGACTGTGTATCAGTGGCGGTGACTGTTACAGTTCCTGTCCTGCTGTTGGTGGTGCTCGAAGCTGCATCTGATGGTACAAGATTGGTTTGTGCGGTGCTTGCTTGGCCAGTGGCGGCCACTGAACCTGTTGAATCTGTGGAGGAAGCTGAGAGTGTTGTTTGTGTTTGCTGTGCCGACGACTCCAGTCCAGATATAGCCGTCGTGAAGCCGAGCAGCTCGCTGGCGACGCTTTTCAGAGGACCTAGAGGATTGTATCCATCTCGAGGCTGCAAAGGAATCGCTCTTACGGCGCAAATGGTAGTTAGGAGCGAAACGAGAAGTTCCCTTTGGCGCATTTTTTTATCTGCCGAGATCCGCTTTCTCACTTCTTCAATGCGTCGAGGTTTGAGTGAAATGATCTGCGCAATGCTTGAACTGGCAAATTTGGGAGATCCGAAGAAGATGGGAAAAGCAGCCTGCTAAACACGCGAAGCAAATCAAACACAACGGGAGATATGAGAAGAAATGTACGTCCAGACACGAACTCACCCATTGGGTGCCTTCCTACCATTAGATACTCCCGCAGCCTGGCATACAGCCGTACCTGCATTAGGCTTCCCAGTAGGTGAGCTGCAACTATGCGCAAGCGAATCCATCGCGCGGGGGCTGAGTAGGCGCGATGCTTGCACCAATGCCCGTGCGCGAGGCTTGTGCCAAACGGCAAGCGTTTCAGCAATTTATAGCAAGGCAGAACACTCGTTCGTCGGTAGGGTGTGAGCCTAAGCTCGGGAGAAGACCGCGGAAGGTGGTGTTTGATCCCGGATCCTTGGATCGCGGTCTCTTTGCATCGAGTGGCTCTTGGGTTGTGGCGGTTAATCTTCTGGAAAGGCGAGATGAAACCCGCGCTTGATTGAAGGGGAGAGAGTTGCTTGTCAACATTCGAGCTTCTGGTCTGTGGCAGAAGCACAGTCACCAAGCCGATGGACAAGAGAGCAACAAGGACCAAATTGCCGATTGTTCTCCCTGATGCTTGTTTGATGGGAGGCTGGTGGTAGATGAGAATGGAGAAGATGGCAAGCTCCAGAAGCAGTAGTCGGGCCAGGGCTCCGAGTCGTCTAGGGACCCTAGGCAATAATAATATTGCGAGCATGCCCTGCGCTCCAGGACGAGGCCACCCAGAGGCACTGGCTGTAAGAACTAAGAACTTTCTTCGAATCGTTCCAAATCCTGCACTGCCAGCTCCGAGTCTTGTGCTTCCCTACCCAGGTAGCTATGCGGCTTGCTGGCCATGTAGGGAACTGTCTCGTCCGCTATCATGCAAACGCATCAGCTTTTCGCCATGTGAACAAATTCCAACCTCAATGCATGCGGAAGCCTCTGCTTCATCCGTCCATGTATGCCTCATTTCCGCGAAGGGACTTGTTTCTTTCCTCGAGTGATCCAATCACAATCTCCGGGGACCGCCAGACCATCACATTCCGTCTAAACAACGGCGAGACAATCACGCAGAAGATTTCGGTGACTCCGAAGGCGAACCGTGACAAGCTTGCGAACGCCCTTGCGTCCCTACTTGCGACACCAGAAACCTCCGAACCGAGCAATCACTTGTCATTTGGCACGATCCAATGGCAACTCGATGCCCTCGGCGATGCTATACATCGACACACCGCGCATCCTTCGGCCGGAGAATGTGAGTACGTGGAAAAGTTGATCATGAACGTGGCCGAGAACATGAACCATCATCCACACATTACCCGCGGAGACAAATATATGACTATCACATGTACAACCCACCGTCCTCGAGGTCTGAGCGTTCGAGACACCAGGCTGGCCCACGAGATCAACGACGTTCTCGATGCGTTCGACGTCACGGAGCCAATGAGCGAGGAGGCTGCGCAAGATCTGGATGAAGTCGAGAAGCAGCTTGCCGCACACCGTGAACAGATGATTGCTCTCAACAGGCGAAAGATCTCTGAAGCCTTAGAAAGCTGCTCCTGTGATACAGCCAAACCAAAGTCTACAACTTCTCCGGAATAGTCGTCAGCTCCTTAGAACCGAGAATGGTGGCGCACTCTCGGCTCAAAGAGAACATTCGTAAGGCCTGAGAGGCACTGCATTCGAAGGATCAAATGCTCTTGGTCAGAATCACCAAGAAAAGAGCAAAGAGACGAGTACAATGTCACATTGAAGGCGAAACCATGTGCCGTCTAGGTCGTGAGAGGAGCTGGCCATCCGGCACTCTCTATGAATGCAAAGCCTATCCAGTTGCCATACTTCGATGCAATCCAACGCCACTTATTCATGATTCTATCCCGTTCTTCGCTCTTCAAGATGGGATCGACCGCAGTATGTACAGCGAAGCTCGGTCAAAGCTTCTTTCTAACGGTTTTCGATCTTGAAAGCCGACGGCACAGACCTATTCGTCCTTGCCTTCGACAGTCTTCTTTTCCTTCTTCTTCGCGCCCTCGGAAGCACTGCCAATATCGGTACCCAATGCTGCGTCCCACCACCGGAAGGAGCTGGCATAATTTCCTAAGAATTTCTCATGGTGCACGTCGTGATGGTCCGCTCCTGCCCAGAAAGGCAAGAAATGATGTAGCGACCAGGGAAACTCGTACCCAGAATGCGCGTCAATTGCTTGGAAAAGTCGGCCCACAATCCACAGGTACATGGTGACGATATGGAGGTTCTTGGTCAGTGCGCAAAAAATGATGGGGATCCCGACAGCGCCGAATGCGAGAATCATGGTTTCCAGTGGCGAAGCGTACTCAGCAGCAAGCCCAAACGGTGCGCTGTACTGGTGATGCAGCTTGTGGATCATCTTATAAAGTCGAGGCAAGTGGAGGACTCGGTGGAACCAATAGTGCCAGGCATCTTCGAGGACAAAGAACAACGCGATTTGCCACGCCATTGTATACCAGGGAGGAAAAGGAACGGATGTAGACAGGCCGAAGTACTGAGCCATCGGATGGAAGAGCCAGATTTGAGGCAGTTCGACGGTGAAGTGGGAGAGGAGGACCAATTTGGCGCATTGCCATTGTTCGGTCAGTGTGGGCATTTTGTTCTATCATTCTCGTGTCAGCAAGCCGGAGAGGTTGGAGCTGGCATCCGTCGCAACATGAGACCTTACCGCCTGGATCTTGTATCTCCTGAAATAGGGAATCTTGTCCATGATCATGAACGGTACACATCTTCCAAAGTACACGACTTCATGCATGGCAAAGCTCATGATGCCCGTCGCCAATACATCATTCTGCATGTATGCGTACCACGCTGCCCAAAGTTTTTCAAAGATGTTCAGGTGCACATTGTAGGCGGCTATATCGTTGAAGTAGTCCGTGTACGTGACGGGTGTGGCGTAGGTTGTGGAATTCCTGAGGGAGATAGACGTATTAGTTAGGCCAACCAATGCCTCGGGGGCTTTGTCGATTGGATTGTTTGCAAGGGAGCATACATCTTGACAAGGTGTGTTTCCCCAACCTCGACGGCAAAGAAGGGCGAGATGGAAAAGGCGACAAGAAAGAGTGACAGTTCAACGGCAAACTGGATATGCGAGAAAAGAATAGTAGGAGAGAGGAAAACAGAAATCCTTCGGTCAACAATTTGAATCTCGAATTCAAAGAACCCTGGATCTGTGGTTTGTTCCGGCAGCCTTTTCTTTGATTGGCAAGGTGGGCTTGCAGGGGGATTTTATTGGGCTCTTTGCTGGTGGCATCACTCGGGCCTGCAGGCGGCTCTGGAGCTTCCGGGTAGGTACCACTCACTGGTGGGCGAATGGTGCCACACACCTGGACAGATGGGTGGTGGACTGACGCGCAGACACTCGTAGGCGTAGGCGGGTGCCGGATGTGCTGAGGCGGTGAGTGGTGGGCTTGGAGAGTGGCGTGCTCAAGGGGGTCAACCTTGTGGCTCTGTGAGGCAGCTGCCAAACATGGCAAACTATGCAAACATACCAAGAGCAAGACCCCAGGCACCCACAGATGCTGTCATCGCACCACGGAATGTTACTCCTAAACCCCCCCAAGAGATAAGGCTGTGAGGTAACGGGATTATCAAGCATACTCCTGGTGCGCGCCCTTCAGCAGGGTATCCCCAAGAGATGGAGTCTCGTGGTAAACATCTAAAATACTGTTACACGACCTTGAAGCCACGTTATTGCCATCTGTATTCACAACCATCTTCAGAAGAGAATAGCTTGCCGAAACAATGTCCCAATCCACCGTGATCGAACTCACTCCCCCGGCTTCGGCCCTGCTTACACCACCGTCACCAATAGTCCAGGATGATGGCATTTCCTCTGAAAGAAATCCTGAAACCATGCTGGAGCAGCCTACACTCCGGAAGAGCTCTACTGCGGTGATATTTGTGTCGGTGACTGGCGTTACGGGTATCAGCAGTCTCCTCGCTGGCCTGATAACTGTCATTCTGCCAACATTAGCAAAAGACCTGCATATTCCTCCTTCTGTCCTTCTTTGGTATCCTCCAGTCTGCCAAGTCCCCTGCACAGTCAAAGACTAACTGAACATCCAAGGCCTTCGTCAATCTATGCTTTAACGTGCGGTTGCTCACTGATTCTTTCAGGAGCTGTGGCCGACGTGGTAGGCAACCGCTTCATGTATCTGCTAGGATGCCTACTTCAATGCGCATTCACATTGGCATGCGGGCTGGCACAGAGCAATTTGCAGCTGCTCTTCTTTCGCGCTCTTGCCGGCGTCGCAATTGCCTTCTGTCTGCCCTCCGCAGTGAGTCTCATCACGTCGTATTTCCCTCACGGGCAGCGTCGCAATTTTGCGTTTGCAATGATGGGCGCTGGTCAGCCTGTAGGCTTTTCAATCGGCCTTGTCGTGGGTGGCATCTTGACCGATGGCCCTGGATGGCGGGCGGGTTTCTATATCGCAGCCGCCATTAATGCTGTCCTTTTTGTTCTGGCCGTCACTGGTCTGCCAAAACCGGCACAGCCAACGCAGATGTCAGTCAAGAGACTGGCAACGGAGATTGACTGGCCGGGAGCTTTGATTCTCAGCACTACGCTGGGTCTCTTCTCGTACGTGTTTGCGTGAGTATTCGTGAACAGTCCTATGTTGAAGTACCCAGTTAATCAACAGTAGTGTCTTGACCGGCAATGTTTCAAGCATCAAATCACCTGCAAACATTGCATGTTTGTCGACGGCCGCGGCTCTGATCCCAGCATTCATCTTTTGGGTTGGCCGACAGGAGAAGCTCAACCGTCCAGCAATCATCCCGAACTCGCTGTGGCGCAATAGGATCTTCACGAGCGTCTGCATCGACGTCTTTCTGGCATGGGGGGCATTCAATGCAACCGAAACCCTTCTTACCTTCTTTTTCCAGGATATTCAGCACCTCAGCGCCACTCAGACCTCTCTGCGTTTCTTACCAGCTCCGGCTTCTGGTATTGCCACGAATATTCTTATGGGGCTGGCGGTGCACAGAATTCGCGCAGACTGGGCCGTCATCGCAACTATGGCCATCTCCTGTGTCTCGCCCCTTCTAGTGGCCATCATGAGAGTCCGCGCACCTTATTGGGAGTACGTTTTCCCAGCTATAACGTTAAATGCCATAGGACCAGACGTCCTCTTTACTGTTTCCAACTTGGTCATTACTGCCGCATTCCCAGAGAAGACCCAGGCATTGGCAGGAGGAGTCTTCAACACCGTGGCACAAATCGGCAAGAGTGTCGGCCTTGCACTATCCGCCGTGATCGCAGAAAGCATCACAATGCAGTCAGACTATCCAGATAAACATGCACCAAAGGCACTAATGGAAGGATACAGAGCAGCCTTTTGGTTCTGCCTAGCTGTGACATCAAGCACCCTTGTAGTGAGTCTCTGGGGTTTGAGAAACATTGGAAAAATCGGGCTGAAGCGAGACTGAAACTCCTCTGAGTTCAAGTCTAGCACTGGCTCAGTTCTTGGATGTTTTATATGCACCTATATACACACCTATGTACGCACACTTGTATTCCAAAAGGCTCATGGTATCCAAGTTTAAGGCTATTTAAACCCTTGAGTTGCACATCAACCGTTCCAACACATGGTCTACCCAGGCTTCACATACAGTCTGACGGATATACCAACACTCCCGAGCGGAGATACTGTGTGCATTGTACAGCGAACCGCATCTCATTCTGCTGTTGATACGAAGACGGCTAGTATCGTCCGAAGACGCTTTTCTTTTGGCCCGGACCAGCGCGGCTTCGGATCCGTCTGGCAATCGGCAGGCTTTGGCTGGACTTTGTGTCACACGCTGGACCGAAGATACTGCACGTGGGTTCCTTGCGGACCAGCATTGGCATGTCTCTTTGCATCGATTAGTTCTTATCTTGTTTCATTGTCGACATCACCTTGCAGGCGGCCGCCCGTCCCTGGGAAGTGGCCGGTCATCCTACGCGAATCGATGGGAGATCCCCTATTTCTGGGACCACACCCTGCCTACGGCCTTCGCTAGGCGGGGTCGAGGGGTTGGAGATCCGGATAATTGGCAGCAAGAGACATGGAGAGATCGAGAATGAAGTGGCGAAGGTCGAACATACATAAACCCAAGTGACTCGCCAGACGCTACCTATGGTGTGACCACAGCGCCGTCATCGACTTCTTCACCCCTCTCATCGCCCAAGGCGCCCTCCTCTTACATCCTCGAAAAACAAAGTTGATTTCCATACGATCTTCTCCCAAAGCTTATCGATTGAAAAGGCTTTTCCATAATTAATTCTTACGATTTCCCGTCATGTCGATCAAGGAGCCGAGGTCAGCCTTTGACCGCAACCCTCAGTTCCCATCGTCGCGACCTGCGAGCATCTTCTCGGCGCAATCTATTGACACACTTGTCACTGATCAGAGCTATCGAGGTTTCCCGTCCGAGCAAGCATACCTTGATGCCCTCAAAGAATGGGCACAATCAAAAATGTATTATGAGACTGGAGAACAATTAGAAGGCTTCTACGGCACCAAAACTCTGGATGACATTCTGGAAAAGCATGGGGCTGTCAGGGGTGTGAAGAAGAGTTCTAGAAACCAGAGAAGGGCAACTGTGGCTCCTCAACTTCCCACCCTCGCGGAGCATAGCGGCAGTGCCTCATCCCTTTCAAGACATAATTCCGCTGTTGCAAGTGCAGATGTAACGAATGCGCCGGCGGAAGGCAAAGGCAGCAAACTGAAAAGAGTCTTCGCACGGCGCAAAACAGTTGTGTGATGCAGCTCAGAGGCAACAGCGCCTACAACACGTTATGTATTTTACAGGCATCTGCCCATTCGGAGGTCGAGCAGATATCACTCATTAAAACAGGGAAGGACAGAACGAGCATACGCAAGGCACTTCTCTATGGGGCAACCTTTGGAAGTTATATCTATTCCATCACATACTGCTGCGTTTCACGCCCCTTCCGTCCCAATGCTAGCTTTCGGCTTTGGCTGGACTTTGCGAGGATATTGCGTTATCTTTCAGAAAGTCTCATCCGGCTTCAGGCGGGAGGTATTCTCGGAGCCACGTACCGATAGCAAATCTGGGTTTGCTGTTGTCTGTCAGGTGTCCTTTGACATTCCCCATCACCACAATCATTAGAACTTCTTTCGGTTTCTTCAGAGTGCCGTATCCCTTGCGGCGGTGTCCTGAAACGTGCTAGCATTCCCATCCGTCTCAGTGACGATGACCTTTATTCCTAGAGAAACTAGCTCTCTACTGCTGTTGGCCGGCCTCTACTCGAACCAACGCACAACCGAACAAGGAAGAACTTGGGTTGGCAAGATCCAGCAGAGTTTCGATGCTTCAGGGGACATGATCTGGGGTTTGAGTTCGACCGACGATGTGCTGGCCCGAGCATCTAATGCTTTTGATCTGGCAAAGCCGACAGCTACTTGCGGGGGATTTCCACTTGACTAGGAACATCTCCGCTATCTATACCTCGTGCTCCAGCCTCAAACACGGGATCTCTCTTACCTTAATGTTGGGTGTAATAACGTTTGCCATCTCCTCGGCGTCCAAGCAAGAGTGTGTATTTCCATAGGAACGACCAGTGCAGCTAGATAAGGCTGACTCCCCGGCGCGATACTGCCTTTAAAGCAACAATCGCGGCATCGACATGGACTCCCACTTGCAGATCTTTCCCCTGGCCATCTCGAGTTGACCACTGCTCCAAGCGCGACGTGCCGTTGCCAGTCGAGCCAAGTCATTATCATCCATTATTCAGCATATACGAAGTGCCGATCCTACCTAGCATTATCCAACGGGCCCGGATAGGTCCGCGGGTCTTCACCACCGAAGACACCCCAACCACTTCAGCCACGTTCTTGGGGGTTTCAGGCAATGGCAACGCTACCGAGACCACCGCCCCATGTTGAAGGGATCTCCTCGCTGACTACGCCCATCCTTCGTGCATGAGGATTCTCAAGGATTCCCAGGTTTTGTCAGCGGATAGGTCAGGAGATGAACGGGTCAAGAAAGCTCCCCTAAACTCAGTCCCGCCAGTTGAATTTCCCTCGCTATCTTCGGCGAGTTCCTGGCTAGAAGAATAGCAAATAATAGGGCCTGCGCACTACCTCCAATACTCCACACTTCCTACTTTCTGAGTAAAGCCTTTCGAACGACTTTTGAGTCCATACGATGAAATTTCCACCATGGCCGAGACGTCCACACCCAAATCCGGCCAGCTGACCGATCTGCTATGGGTCAATCATGATGCGCTGAATATGAAAGCGCAGCCCCACCGGCAACGCGTCTTTAGCCACATTCAACAACGGTACCGACCATGGCAGAGACGCGACTCCGCCTTGAAGCTAAGAAAGAGCGTTCAATTACCAGCATCGGGCTCACGAGAGCAGTCTTCTGAGAGCGAGGAAGACCGCTCAGAGTCGACGGTGAGGACAGATGCGTGACGCGCGCACAGGTGACCATGCTGATATCGTCCCACAGAGCACTTCCCCGGCCTCGTCATGTACTTCTTACAGTTTGGACTCTCTGGCAAGCTCGGACAAGAGTCCTGGGCTTGTTGCGTATAATGTGAAGTTTTTTCAAGGAAATTCTGACCCATTCAACGCTTATCCTGTGTCAATTTCTCCAAGAATCAACGTCATTTTGAGATTCTACCGGGACATCGTCATCCCATCACAATACCATACCGGCTTGGATGGTTGGAGAACGCTAGACGCCGCTGTGGAAGACTGGAGAGATGTCGTCCGTTCGCTGCATGAGAAGGGTGGCGCGCTGGGATTTTTGGGACGATGGGCACAGGTTGCGTCCAATGTCACCAACAATTCCGAGCTCGCCACGCAAAGTCTGCGTTTCCGATCTCAAAGTACCTCGATGCTACTGAAGAAATTGCAAACGGGTTCTGGGCTCGTTTCTAAGTCATCTTACTGGCACGTCATAACACTGTATATGGCCGAGGCACAAGCTGGAAATGCTGACGGAGCATGGCTCCATGCAAAAATGCTGTCTCGGGCATTGAAATACGAAAGTCAACATGGGCAAGTAGACATCACATCTCTACGATCCTTCATGTACAACGAAGCTTGCGCCTGCTGTATGTTCCTGCGCAAGCCTGTTCTGGACTATGACGGCTGGGTCCCGGAGGTGTTCAAGATACCTTGGGCAGAAGGTAGGAAGGGTCTACCAGCCATGCAGCTATCGTTCGCTACATCTCTAGACCCGGCCATCGAGGATGAGTTTCTCATGGACATGTTCATGCAGCAGCGTGAAAGCCTTGCGGTGTGGAGACACGGTTCAGAAAGAGGGGATGGACTGCCTCCTGCTGTGTTTACGTGGTGGTGTTCCAGCCATCTGGTCAAGCAAATGAGACTCTTGAAGTACGCACTGGACCGCCTCGATGAGGCAAAAGAAGGAAAAGGCCCCCAGTCACATCTGCACAAGAAGAACGCCTACCTGGCTTTGACGGCGGTCTACTGGACGCGGCTCATTGCTGGAGATGAGACCCTCCTCGGAAAGGAGATCTATCAAACGAAGAAGCCTTTGCGAACTCTGACGCGCCAGCTTCTTGAAAAAGAGCAGTTGGTTGTTGAATTTACCGGATCGATGAAATACGCAAACGCACGGTTGTGGGCTCTTTACGTCGGCGCGCAAGCAGAACATGACCACCTGGGCATTCAGCAAATCGATGAGAACTGGTTCAGTGCCCAACTCTCCCTCCTGGCTGCGCAGATGAATTTGACCTCTTGGGAAGCTGTTCGCTCGATTCTTGACGGCTTCTTGGATTGCGATGTCGTCGAACCCCATGGTTCCCAGTTTGTGCCTGCGCTGCTGTCACGTCCTTCTTCAACCACGCAAGGTGACAGTCGACGATATTCCAAGACACCTTGACCAGGAGGAGCAGTGAATGGATTTTACCACAACCATGGTTGCTGGCATTGCACAGCGCACAACAGGAAGCGCCGGTGAACCAAGACCGGAGATCGACCTGATGAGCCAGATGGCGGCAAGAGCCCGACCCCATAGCCAGATGGGTTCGGGTCATCTGGCGCGGCATCAAGGCAGACCATGTCGATATGGCCGAATATACCACTTACAGCCGGGTCGGTTCAGCAATCAAGGCTAGAACGGAGGCCATCGCAACATCCCAGACATCGGTGTAACGGATTAAATCTGCAAACGATGAATTAGGTGGACATCGCGTCTGCTGGCATGCGACACAGTTATAGACGGGAATGTCAGGAACATACCATTGTCACTGTGGCGAGTAGCTACACCTCTCTGAAGCGTTTCTCTGATTTCAACAAGTTCAACAGGTCAAGCGCTATTGACAGACGTTCATCCGGCTTAAAATGAGGTACATCGACCAGGCACCAAGGGCTCAATAATGATGAGATGGCGACAACCTTCACCCTTGAGAACGCAGTTTAGTCCATCTTCTCCCCTGGCTTCTCACCGGCGGTATACATCAATTCAGGGGAAGAAATCCGCACCATTGCCTTTTTCACTGTTAAGGACCCGCATCAAGCCACGGAGATAAAACAGCAGAATTCTCCCAATCAGGCAATTCACAGACATATCTCCAGCAGCATGCGTTGGATCGGGCTCGGTCGGGAGCAATAATGGTGAGTTTTCCCTACCGCGAAATGACCCGGCCATTGATTTTCTGTGCAGTGTGTCTTAGTCATGGTCCTCGTCGCTCATCCTATACTGAATCCAATTCACCTTCTACAATTGCTTATTGTTCGCAACACTGCCAATGGCCACTATGGCTTCTTGGACGATTCGGCAAGGGCTTCAATCGCGAACTCAACATACCGGAATGACACATCCCCCCATGACACCTGAAGGGGGGAAAGGCCTAGATTCCTGTTGTCTGGAAGGGGCCATATATAACGAAAGACCAACAGCCTGGAAAGAGATGAAAGAAAAGCATAACCTTCTCTCATCTGCGGCTGTACATACCTTTGGATCCATACATTCACGATGACTTCCACCAATGAGAACCAAGCACTGCTCTATGCGCCTAAACCGGCACCCGTGCTGAATCTCCCGCCTGGCGCAGCGGCAAAAGTCCAAATCATTGACACCACCTCGCGCCTGGACGTGCCCACACAAATCTTCATGGGTCCCAAGATCTTTGGTCACGAGATCCTCAAGGTACCGTCATTCTCATTCCTCGTCGAGCAAGTCTCCTCGGGGCGCAAGGTACTGTTCGACCTCGGGTGCCGGAAGGACTGGCAAAGCCTGCCTCCCCTAATTTTGGGGCTCGTCACCCAACCGGGCTGGAAGATCGAGGTCGAGAAAGACTCGGTCGCCCAGATCTTGCAGGACGACGGGGTGGATGTCGCGAGCGGCGCCATCGAGGCCATCATCTGGAGCCACTGGCACTACGACCACACGGGGGATCCGAGCACTTTCCCGGCAAGCACCTCGTTGATCGTCGGACCGGGCGTCAAGGAGGTATTCCTGCCGCCATACCCGGAGAACGCACAATCGCCGCTCCTCGATACGGACTTTGCGGGTCGCGAGCTGAAAGTCGTCGACTTCGAGAACTGGGGAATTGTCCAGATAGGCCGCTTCCGCGCCATCGACTACTTCAACGACGGGTCCTTCTACATCCTCGACGCGCCAGGCCACGCCGTGGGACACCTATGCGCGCTTGCACGCGTGACGTCGACGCAGGACGGCGACGTCGAAGGAGACACGTTTGTGTTGATGGGCGCCGACGCCGCTCACCACGGCGCCGAACTGCGACCGACGCAGTATCTCCCCTTACCCAAGACCGTCAGTCCGTCACCCTACGTAAGCAAATATCCCGGCGTCTGCCCCGGCCAGCTCTTCGAGGCGATCCACCCGCGCCACAAGGCCGTCGAGCCTTTCTACCACATCCTCCACGAGGGCTGCGGCGTGGCGCATCACGACCCCGCGCAAGCGCAGGATATTGTGGGCGTGGTGCAGGAATTCGACGCCGCGGATAATGTCTTTGTCGTCATCGCCCACGACGCTAGCCTGTTGCATGAGAGTGTTGGTATTGAGTGGTTCCCACGCGGGAGTTTGAGGGACTGGAAAACAAAGGACTGTAAGCGCAAGGCGAGGTGGCGGTTCTTGGAGGACTTGGTCCCAGCTGTCGAGCATGCCGCTGACATCGACACCGCTACTGCTTCTGCTGCCACTGCCACTGCCACTAACTAGGAAAGTGGAGACTGAAGACGACGAGATTATTTCAACGAGAAAGAGTGGGACCGAAGCGCCCGGACACCCGGGTCACGAAAAACTTGTACTATACCATTATGACTGGAGCTACGTCTACGTAGCGAGCTGTTTTGGAAACGAATCTCATCTCATCTCATCCGAATCTCATCCCATACTAGATCTCACGGGCTCAATTCAATCTCCAGTCCTCGTTAATGGTGCTATATCATGCCATTGAAGCGGAATCTCTGCAGAGTATGATCATCACTCAAAGCAGAGCCATTCGCGACTTTTCGTGAAGAAGGGCGTCTATACCGAGTACTGCGTCCGACAGAAGCTTTGGGTACCCGTTCAATCCCCGTTACAGAGGGTTCGTTGGCTGAATGCTTGATTATTCCTACGGTCCTACCTCCAGGCACCGGGTAGCCTATATATTATCATATAACTACCAAGTACATGTGTGGGATGACAAGCATTATCTGACTCGCAGTTACCACCAGCAGGAAATACATCCAAGCAAAGCCACGTCCCCCGCCGGCTGGCCGAACCGTTCGCCGTATTATGGTATTGCATCCAAGGGATAGGGGAGAGGCCGTTGAGGTTTGTTCTGGGGGTTTCAGTTTTAGAATATAATGCCTTTTTTCAAACTCGGGGTCTACGTGTCGATTCAATCAGTCAATTCCTGTCTCGACAGATGACAGAGAACGGTTTCGGGAAGTTAGTCCACTTGTCTCGTGGCTCGAAATGGTAGGTTGGGTCCTCAAGGGAGAGCTAGTTCACATGGTCAGCAGGGCAACACAAGGCGGACTCTCATTGGGGATGTATGTTTTGTCTGTGTGCAGATGCAAGAAGAGAAAGCAGGAGAGAGAATGTGGTATGATGGAGGGAGTGAGCACGGGAGTAAGGGACGATGCCAGCCAGGGCGTTGGATACTCACATCGAACTCGAGCAGGATCCTGGGAATCACCATCTTCATCTCCAGCTCTGCAATGTGTTTGCCCAAGCAGACGCGCTTGCCAGCTCCGAATCCGAGCACGGACCTCTCCATCAAGACTCGGCGTTGAGGGTCGGGGTCAAGCCAGCGATCGGGCCTGAATTCGTCGGCGTCCTTACCAAAGACAGTGCGATCGAAATGCACGTTCGAAACCGATACGCCCACCGTCGTGCCGCCCGGGAGGAACTTCCCAGCGATGACGGCACCTCCGGGAGGCACCTCTCTCTCCAGCAGCGGTCGGACGAATGGTCGCATCCGCATGGTCTCCTTGATGACTGCACCGAGATATTCCAGCCTGTCTGTCTCCACGAATCGTGGTTGTGGTGTGGAGAGGCGGCCTGCGTGACGCGCCTCGTCTATCTCCGAGCGCAGCTTCTTCATTGCCTCGGGATACTTGAGGAGGTAGTAGATGATGGCGGTCATGGTGAAGGCCGAGGTGTCGAACCCAGCGGCGATGGTGCTCGAGATCATCCTCAGGATGGTTTCGTCTGAAATGCTGTCTTTGTGCCGACTGCGTCCATCCAGGTACTTGGCCATGAGATCAGGCTTGTCACTCAAACCCTCTGACGCTTTGTCCCTTCGCTTGTTGAACTCTTCGATCGCCATGGCCGTCCACGCCTGAGGTTTCCCCTGCTCGCTGTACCATGCCCAAGAGAGCGGAGACTTGAAAAGGAGGCTCTCAAGGGCAGGCATGCTTTGCCACCGGGCCCAATGTATTAGCCGTCTATGGGCCGAGACTGGCGCCACTGATCTCCCAGTTGTCAGGTAATCTGTGTCTCTACTGAAAGCCACCTTCAGAAGAAAGTCGATTTGGAATTGCTGCATAACATCGAGGAGTGGTATCTTTCGGGTCTTGCGAATGGCCTGAACGAGTGTCTCGATAGCATGGTCGACATCGGGCTCATAATCCAGTAGGTTTTTGGTTGCGAATGCGCCTCCAACTGCCCGCTTGAGAGCTGACACTTCGTTCTCGTCCATGATGTCGATAACGGTACCGAGGACTTTGCGGTTCACAAGAGCCCTCAAAGTTGCATAAGACTGGGCCTTGATATCACAGATGACCGTCAGTCGTCTGCAGGCGGTCGGATGGAGATGTTGCCTACCTTTTTGAATTCCCCGTGCATCGTATGAATCACAGGAATCGCGGCAGGGTCGGCGACGCTCACGGTATTTGGACCAATTCGCACCAAGGGCCCATACTTGTCGTGGAGTTCTTTGAGTGGCTGTGTGAATCCTCCATATTCAGTGACAAAGAACCTCCAGAGGCTCGTAAAGGATGCAAGTAACGGGCCTGGGATGGAAGACAGACGGCGGTATCTGGAGAAAGCCGTCGCCAACAGGAGGACGGCAACGGACCAGAGCGAGAAAGATAGCGAAAAAAGCATATTCGAAGTGTATTGAAACACGAAGCTGTTGACCACCAACCTTGTAGATGAAGAAAGAGTCTCTCTTTTGAGGGAGTCATTTACGCACGTACCTTTCATCATAAATAGCAGAATTCACTCGCAGAGGTCTCATGTAATGGTCAGACCCGTCTTCCGGGACAGGAGGGTCCGAAGACGAACGTTTGAGTCGACATCCACTCTCACAGTTTTCCATGATTTCCATGGAGCCTTACATAAGATGTCAGGGGCTGGTTGCCTGGTCCATTTTCAGGCTGGACATCCCAGATTGGGCCACCATCGACCTGCGAGGAGACTGAGCGTCCATTTCAGGTACACCAGAAAATGTTGCAAGTCCATGACCCTACGTCGTGCGATGGGATGCGCTTATAAGAATCAGTAGCGAGGAGGAGGAAGCACGTCGCCGCATCGGTGTCGCCTGCTAGTCTAGTGGCTCATATGCTGGCGTCCGGATATAGTGACATTTTTCTCTACCTGCCATGATTGGATCGTGAGCAAAGCACCTGAGCAGTTTCCCCACGTCTTATACTGCCCAACAGACTTCCTGACTAAGCTCTTCGAAGGGGTGGACCTCGTCAGTGTTCGTGCTGTGATCTATGCAGGAGCACGGGATTGATCGTACATAGGTTGACTCAGGTCGTACACTAGCTCGTCAGATGCAGTCCTCGGTGAACCAATCACCATTATGGTCTGGGGTTAGTAGGGCTTATACGTGGCTGGGGACGTGGAGTAGGATTATGTATTCGAATGCAATTAAAAAGAGGCCTACCGGTGGATTTCCCGGTGAGCCTTATGACCGCACCGCGATTTAATCGTTTTCCAATCCCCAACTCGGAGACCAACAACTGAGTCCTTCGCAGAACTCCGAGCGACAGCTTCTGAATATCCAGCAATAGTCTACTAGTAAGACTACTATGCTTAGTCTCTGCCGCGCAATTCCGCATTATTGCAGTTCCTTCGATCTTGGCATAGGAATATACACATACAGATGTCTCTACATCCTGCCAGTTGCATTCGAATGAGCTTCGGGATGGGACCACTGTCGTTCGGACTCACGCCACCGCTGGCCCAAGCATGCGACCTTGAAGGATGGGGACGCGAGCACCGTTCTCATAGAGCGAGGGCAGGTGCTTGAAGACCTTCGGAGTGTCACCGGCGTAGGACACTGCTAGATGTGCGAATACTTGTGCTTGAGACCGTGGCTGGGTCAGCGGAAGATGGAGGGTCCGGCGCTGGATGTTGAAAATGAAAGTCGATGTCGCCATGCGCGAGAAGGAGGCGGCAGTGCAAGGCAGTCATCAACTTATCATCGCGTAAGTGCAAGGCATCGAGTGGAAACCAGGTAAGTACTGGTGGGGCTGGAGCAGGTACGAGTTTGCTCTGTCTTGGTCCTCGACAGACCTATAACATGTAATGCACCTGCGGTAGGCATGAAGCAGGTAGTGTCGTATGAATTTCCATTTTCTGCAAGACAAGCGAGATCCCAGTGGTGGAGAGAAACCCTATGCTATTCCTCCAACAAACCGTTGTATCCCTATGACTGCTCATGTACCTAGGTATGCAACCTGGTGTTTTCCATTTTATCCATCCGGTGTTATACACATCGCAAGCAAAAATCTCGTCTCTGTTCTCCTCGGCATTATGACTGCCTCCAGTAAGCCCTACTCACTTGCCCTCCTTCGCCTTCTTCTGCTCCAGCGTCTTGACCGGACTGTCTCTGGGATCCCGAGTCTCATTCGATGGGTTCCCTTGCCTTCTCGCCTCCGTCATCTTCGTGTTTTCGGACGCCGAGGGCTTGCGGCTGTGGAAAAGGTAATAGAAGGGCGCGAGACCCAATATGCTTCCGGCAGCGATTCTGCATTCCGGGGGCCAATGTGTCAATACTTGTCCCAACTCAAATACCCCGCGTGTAGATGTATATACTTGTGATAAAATGTGATTCAGGCTGGGGACCGTTTCTTACATGGGTATTCTGCTGTTATAGGCGCCTGGCGCGGCATCGGGACGTGTGGACGCATAGGCTCTTCCGGACTGCCTGGAGCCCGTCTGTAGGGGCTGGAAGGGCCTCAGGGCAGGCTTGATGGCCTGAGTTGCACGAGTTCGAGATAACATAGTGATCGAGGTGTAGATTGGAATTGTGACCAAAAATATTCACAGTGGTGGTGACTCCCTCTCAAGATCAACAGCGATGACGATGCACCAAGTTCGCAGGTCCGCATAAATTTGAGGACTTTGTATTTCACAGCTGCTTTTACATTTCGCTCTGCATCTCTTATTTTCTCATTTCTTACCATTGCCACAAATCATCAGTCCTGCGTCATGAAGGAAAATGCTCTGTTCGTTGCGAACGTCATGTCTTTTGGTCGTTTACATCATGACATGGAAGACCTTTCCTGGCGACGAGAGAGGAGATGATGGAGTCGGTGGGCGCACAAATCTTCCGAAAGGCTCGCGCCCAGGTAGGCTTTCTAATCGCCGATCGGCGGTGACGGTGCGGCGCCAGGTCCCAACGAGTAGTGGCCTCGCTAGGGCCCCCGGATCGACAGCAAAGAGGCGTTCGAGGCTCCAGAAGGCCCTGGCGTGGACGGAGAACTGCCCGCCTACAAGGAACTAGTCAGCTACAGTAGCTAGCGAGCTAGGTACGAAATTCTCTGGGCAGGCACTGTAGACACCTGCGTATCTAGCGAGGTTGACTCTGTACCTAGGTATCTAGGTACCTTAGGTAGGTAGTTTGCTAGGTGTTGTAACGTGCCTAGGTACCTGCTACTCGTCAGGGACTTGCTCGAGACTCTTGCACAGTCAAGCAAACTCGCTAACTTCGCAGGCTAAACATCAGGGCTGTCCTGCGGAGAAAATACCCCTGAGTACTCGACTCATACTGCCCCTGAACGCGCATCGGAGGTAGCGACGAGTACTAGGCAAATACGGAGTACGAGGAACTTGTACTATTATCTCTTCCTTGCTCAAGCGCGAATTTCAGAGCACGAGGCCAGGGTCTTTTGCCGGGCCTACACTACAATACGAGGTATTCGTGCTTCAAATTTCGCCATCCTTTTAGTTCGTCAAAGGAGATGTACGAGGTATGTCCAAGCTAATAGCCAGCCAGCCAGCCAGCCAGCTCCAACCAGTTGTTGGTTGCTTGCTGAATCAGACTTGGGCAGTCCGTCAGCTCTCGAGGAAAAAGGGGGGTGGGGAGGACAAAGAGGGTACCTAGCTGCCACCAAGGCTGCCTCATGCTCACACTTGCGAACAGCACCGATCAGCACTCCAGCGAAAGGAGTAGGAATACTTGCGCTTCAGGAAGAGGCGCAGGCCTCCCTGTCTGTACTCCATACCCTTGACTCCTCTGGGGAAACTAGGTACAATCTTCCCTCAACGGCAATCTTCGCCTATGGATGATTGCATGTGTCACCGCCACGCGCAAAGAGCCTCCCATTATTACAAAGGAAATTGCTACCGAGTATAATCGTACACCGCCTCAACAGAGCGCGCAAAACAGACTACCTCCCGAATGTCGTCCAGTGAGTCCGAGAGCCCCTCACCCTCATCCATACAGCCATCACATCGCCCTATGGGCTTCCTCCACCCAGCAAAATTGTTACAGCCTCATCCCAGCCTCGCCCGTTCACAATATCCATTACTGTCCTCCCGGATTCGTCTTTCGCTTCCAGGTCGACGCCACCACCCCTCTCGACGAGAAGCTTCAAAATCTTAGCGTCTCCATTTTCCACCGCTTGGAGCACTGCGTTCCACCCTCGGTACATGAGATTGATGTCGGCTCCCCGGGCGAGCAACATCTCCATAATCTCGGTGTCGTTGTTGCGATATCTCCGGATAGCCTTGATGATGGGTAGATGCTCGCCGGGGGCGTTGACATCGGCACCGGCTTCGTCGAGCAGGAAGCGAACAATCTCTTTTCTGTCCTCCCGAATTGCGGTCGTCAGAGGGGAGAAAACTCCGCCGTTCTTGTCCTCGACGTTGACACCGGCTTTCAGCAACAACTTGATACTCTCGAGCTGGTTTGCAACCACGGCCATCTCCAACACACCTTTAAATGCTCTTGGGTTGGAGACAGAAGGGAGGAGCTTGCGGAGAATCTCAGGCCTTTTCACCGCCATGCAAATGGGCCAATCCTGACCTCTGATCCCGGGGTCTGCACCATTGGCTAGAAGTACATCGATAAAGTCAAGTCTCTCATCACGGATGGCCGTAGTCAGAGGCGTATAGCCCTCAGCGCTTCTGTCATTGGGGCTAACCTTCTGGTCTAGTAAGAACATGAGGGCGTCCTTATTGTTGTGCGCCACGGCTTTCTCGATGATGCCCTTGGGTTTGTGCAGGTTCGCCCCAGCAGCAACGAGTTGCGGAAGCAGATGTGTGCGGTCATGAGTCACGCACTTGAAGGCTGGGTATTCGGACGCCATCAGATTTGGATCGGCTCCATTGGCCAAGAGGAGCGAAACAAGTTCGCCCCGGTTGTCACGAATGGCAGAACAGAGAGGTGTGTAAGTTCCGTCCTTCTTAGCATTGGGATCGACACCGGCTTTGAGCAGGGTAGTTACCGACTCCAGGTTATTGATACTCGTTGCGAGCTCCAGGACTCCAGGACACTTTTTCAAATCTGCTCCTCGAGATAACAGCAGCTGGAGCGCTTTTGGCTGGTAGGTTGAAGGCCACAGAAGGTGCTTGGGCCCTGGTAAGTTGGGATTGGCTCCATGATCGAGGAGAAAGATCATTATATCAATTCTTCTCGCCTGGATTGCTGTGAAAAGCGGCGTCTCCCCCTCCCCATTTTTTCCGTTCACGTCGCTGCCGTAGTCGACCAGAAGCTCAACCAACTTCTTCGGATTGGTTTTATTTATAGCCTTGACGAGAAGGGTGTTGCCATCAGCGGTGTTGAGGTTGGTGTCTCCTCCGTATGTGAGATATAGCTGCAAGAACTCGAGCTTGTTCTCCATGACGGCCATTGCAAGGGGACACTCTCCATCGGGACCGGCGGGAAGATTGGGGTCAGCTCCATATTTCAGAAGCAACTTTGCCGCTTCCAGGAATGACAGTTCTGTCGCGGACAAAAGGGGGCTGAATTTGATCTTGTCAAGGCCATTGGGATCGGCTCCAAAGAGGAGCAACAGTCGGACTGTCTCGAAATCTTGATGAAGGACTGCTTCTCGGAGGAGATTAACCCCGTTCTCACCGTCAGGAGGAACGCCGCAGTCCAGCAGTTGCTCGATCATCTTGTGCTTCTTCTGCTGGACGGCATTCAGCAATGAAGATTTGAGAGCGGCCGAGTTTGCCCCAGACGTTTGCTTAGGTGTCCATCTTGGGACTGTGGCAGGATCGGCTTTCACGCGAGCATTCGCAGAAGAGTGCTTGTCCAGTCCGATGTCGTGTATCATGTCCTCGATCTGGGCAAAGGAATCCGCCGTTTTGATGGAGACATGATCTTCAACGACGACCTCGGTACGCGAACTCTCACTGCTCATCATTTGCTGTTCCCTCTCCCTGGAGGTGGAATTGATCGTGAGCTTGCTGGACCTGGTGCTGGGTGCTGGCCTGCTGAAACTTTGCCTCTGAGGGATCGCGGTCAAGGTATCTGGATCCTCGTCGAGCCGTGAGAGAAAGTTGGACTCTGACGTTTTCTCCCTCAATGGAATGGCTGGCAGTGGTGGCAGAAGCTCGGGTGCTTCTAGAAAAGGAGGACGAGGAGGAGGAGACTTAACAGTGGTCGACGGGCTGTGCCTGATGGTAGGGTTCATACGCTCGAGGACAGCTGCAAGACCCGTATACCCTATGCCGACGGAAGCATCTGCTTTTGCGTCGCCGAGATACCATCTGAACACCATTGCACTCATGCCCAGCGCATCTCGGCTCCTGGCGAGCGAGTCCTTCATCTTGTGAATGTCTGTGTCCGCGAACATCATATGCCATCCCTTCCTGAGCTTGCCCAAGCCACCCTTCTTCTCATACTCGAGGAATTTGACAAGCATTTGGTTCAAAACAATGAAGTCATCGTTTGCCTGACGAAACTTTTTGTCCAGTTCCTGTTGCATGTCGTTGGGAAACTGGCTGTGTCCCCGCGAAGCCTCAGATAGTCCTGCTTCGATGGAGCACAGGACCCGACAAATATCGAGGAAGTTCGTGGCCAACTCACGAAACCCATGCGGTGGTTCCTTGACGTTGCTGAGATACTCCAACATGCGCACCGACACGCTGTTTCCCAATGTGGTTGCTCGGCCACAGAGGTCCAACAGGGACTCTTTACCCTTCTTGGGCGCCATGTTGAAACGGCAAGAGAGTGATCGGGGGGGACAGGTATGCACCTGCTGGTTAGAAATAAAACACTCAACGAGGAAGAGCTGGAGGCGATCAAAGTTTAGGTAGGAAGGAGCGCATCTACGGGCTCAGGATGAGGTCCCACGCATTTATTTCCCATTTATTCCTTCTCTCGAAGCTCACGATGGACCAGAACATTCGACACGGGAAGCTCTCACCCACTTCTCATACGAACTACTGATGGCGGCGGCGGCGGTCTCCTGGTACCGCAGTTGCATGCATTTACCAAGCCAATACCATTGTTGGGATGTACCGCTGTACAACGTAGCACAGAACCTCCTGTCCCACTAGGCTCCTACACGAGTCCGGCAGATCCCTGGACTTGCGAGAATGCCTGCCCCCGACACAACACTTGAGGCAATTAGCCACAGCATCCCTCGTCTTCCGGCTCGGGCTCCATCTTTTGCTTTTTTTTTTTGACGGCCAGGGATATTTCCTGCTCAGAGCCCCCTGCGTTAGAAGCCTTATCTGGTTGGGCTTTCTTCAATCATCGACAAGGGATCTTCGATGGCCTCCAGACCAGGGACTAGCTTTGATCTGATTCGCAACTCAGTATTTAGCGACTGTCGGGGTAGCGAGACACAACAAAATGAACTAATTACTGTCAGAGTCTGGAGGGCCAGAAGTTATGCAGGTACGGTGCTGCAGAAGTCAACGTGGTTGGCAGGTCTGGGTCTGCAACTGGGGCCTGATGATTCCACAAGCCACACGGACATGATCACAAATTAGCCTGAGAGGGAAACGAGCTCGAGCCAACCCCTGACCGTTCCAGCCTTCTAACGACGAGACGGTGCTTTGAGTAGCAAGATAGGATTGGCAAGTACTCGTACCATTGCCAATTTTTGGCATTAATATCGCAGGGCGTATTTGGCAACCCGTATTTTACGTACAGCTCGCTCGGCAGCCAAAGCTACTACCCTCGACTAGACATCGATTGCGACTCTTCGATTTGCGGGTTTCAAGGGGGCTGCAGCAGCAGGCGAGACAAGCAGCTCGAGAAGAAGCCTGTCCAGCTGTCCACATGTCCTCATGGGCATCTGCAGCCGGTTACGAGATTCTTTGTTCGCTATGACTGATTGGGGCTGATGCCGCAGAAAGAGTCCACCTACCTATGCACGGCTCAGGCAACTCTCCGCAGTACGGACGACACTCAGACGAGGTGCTCAGCGCTCCATACGTGCCGCAAAGTTCACTGGTTACCCGTCGAGAGGCTAAGATCACCGACACGACTGCAGGAGTCTCGCTAGCCGAGCGGCGAGCCGGTAAGCATCAAGCACCGAGCATATACGGAACATGAATTCCAGGAGAATAGTTGACCAGCTCCCTCATGTGGAACACAGAACTCGACAACCCTGGGACGAAAACCTTGAGGGCGATGATCCACCGATCCGTTGTCAAACGTGCCTGAGCTAATAAAGTCAGTCAAGGCTATTCTTCACAGAGCACGGAGTCCCCCACTGATCCGGGGAGGAATATTCCCATCCCGTTCGCTGGTTTCCATGTTGCAAGGGTTCTCACAATCTTCAGTAAAGTTCAGTGGCGTTTTGGCCCGATCTCTGCGAGCCGTCCTCGTGTCAACTAACCCTTCTCCGGTCATCCAGCGGACGAATGCAAGGCAATGAAAACTAGCCAGCCTAGCCAGCCAGGGCGTCTGCGGCCGTTCAGAAACCTACGCAGTAGGCACGTACTCGGAAGGGAGTATTAGTGTCTGGGTGGCTTCCCGATGGAAAACTTGCAGGCCTTGCGTCTTCATTTCTTGTCTAAGGTCGAAATCGTGTGAGGAATTTTGCCAATGCTTGAGCGAAAATTCTTCATCAGAGGCGGCTCCCTTCTACGAGTATGGTGCAACATGGCTGGGCCAGACATTACTGCCGCTGTTCCACTTTCACTTTCAGCTATTCGCTTTTCCCAGGCCAGAAGATTAGTCCTTATCTAGGTATATCCATCCAAGACGGTTCCTGGCGAACTGATTCTTCTGCATCTACCAGTGAAGCCACGACCTGAGAACTCCCCATTCAGCTCGGAGACTTGGTCTATTCTGCTCTGCAAGCTGTCTATCAAGGTTTTTGAGCTGGAATTTACTTGGGGCACGGAACGGGGGATGTACGGGATTTGCTCCTTCACTGACGAGAAGCAGGAAAAGGGAATCGCATCTCCGGGCTGCGATCGACAACTTGGCCAAACTTGGTTGACCTAGCATTGCCCTTTTTGTGTCTCAATCTGCATATGCGAACATCGAGGGCAGGCCCGTCTTCTCTCGAACCATCCCTGGAGTACAGTTCGTCCTCCGCACACGATTGTTTCAAAGGAAAAAAAAGGCGCCAAATAAATCCACTTTGAGCCATCTGTGCGGGCCCTGATACTGCAGAAGTACGACAGATTCAGGACGGTTTGTGTCTAGAACCTCGAATTTAATGCTGGGGCTGCCCCTAACACTAGGACTATTATCAAATAACGACTTCACGCTGGGAGCTGGCTCCTTTTTCCCGCCTTCCCCGAGCCTTTTCAGAATGGTAGACCTTTTCAAGGAGCGAAATGTCAGTGTTACCAGCGAAAACATGCAGTTGAGTCAAACAACAAGCATGTACCTCGTACCTTGTACGAAGTGCACACTTGGTTAGAGGCGACCATCTATGTAGTTCTCATGCAGAGATGAAGGTTCAGCAGCGTGTCAATGGCTACCAGTGCTTATCCGGAAGACCTGTTGTGAAATGTGGGGAGGCAGCCGATATGATGATTCATTATGCATGTTCCTCTCCATAATGGGTCTCTGCACCTCAAGAGACTAAGCAGAGATAGCTCCATCCTCCACCCTGCCTTCGCAATAATCAGGGACCACTGCGGACTGGAATCAGCCCGCGCCAAGCACCTTCGAAGAACCCAGTCTTGCAGCTAATCCGTCAGTTCGTGGGCTCGATGGGTACCAAGGGGAAGCCGGCGCCTTCAACAATACCTAGTATTTCTTTCTCCGGCCCAAAACCTTGGAAATAATCTCCTTCCCAGTTTGATTTGCTTCAGGATTTCCCTCGCCACTTGGGTCGAACGACGACCCCGGATTGCTTCCAGAACTAGGGCTAGGATGCCTCCGTCTTCCATTCCGGCTCCAGGGACGCCCACTGCACGACCAACTGGCGCAGGACCTGCTGAATAAACTGCTTGCCCATGTCGAGGACGGAGACAGTGTTGCCGATGCACATACGCGCCCAAGCACCGCATTGAGGGTAATGGGATAAAAGTCAGCGAATCGGGCGGGCAGAGTGACTGGAAGGAGAATAGAATATGGGAGGAAATAGGAAGAAGAACAAATGAGCTAAAGGCGTTCTTCCCTCCTTCCCCTTGGATGCTAGCATCGCCAGCCAGCACCACCTTGCGGGACGATTCTGTGCTTCCTTGTCATTTCCTACAGGACGTGCCCTGACCTGGCTACGCTGGACATGCACCACAAGGCCGAGATGACCACTGCTGGCACGATCAAGACTACTCCATAGTCCGACCATCCATCCCTGAGCCATTTTCATGGACAAGACACCGATCCCTCCTAAGCGAACCCTGTCGTTATGAACTCGGCAAACAGCCTGGCTCCAGAGTTGACGGCCTCACGAAGCAAAAACCACAGCAAATGACCAGTTTCCACCGGACCGGGAGCTCAGTATGGCTGTGGGCAGGGTGCTGGGCACTGTCCTCAAGTTCCAAGCGAGACACACCGCAGCGATATTCGGTCTTCGCATGAGTGAGACACCAACACTTGAATACGAGCACCTGAACGTTTCTCTTGGGAGTACCAGGCCTTGCTCCAAGTTTGTGAAGACTATGTCACGGATGAATATGACAGACTGTATATTCAATCGGATCGATATCAATATGCATGAAACTTTTGGGGTGCTGGTGGGGTGAGAAATCTCAAGCTCCCACGGTCGGCCAGATATTGTCGCAGAGCCTGCTCTGTACTGGTGGAAGGTTCAGTTGGTACTACGCTTCCGCCGACTTAATCTCCCTGTCAGTGCTCCTTGGTCGTGATCGGGAGAGCTCATCGACTCTTTTGGGGCTCAGCATATTGTTTGGGCTGCATTATAGCACCCAGTCACCATTTTCCTGGAATGCAGGTCATACCCCTTCAAAGGCAACAGCTCCTTGATGTTTCTGGCAGAACATGTGGTGGCACAATTCTTGTAGGTCGCATTCCCTGAAGTCACAACAAGTTCCTTTCCGCGCCAAGGTCGCTCGGGGACTTACCCGGCAAAAGTCAACTTAACCTAGGTAGAGTTGGCCGGAAGCTGGTGAGCTGCCGAATGTAGTCGAGTCAGGCATTGCCGAGGACAGGCACTAGAGCAATTTGTAGTGGGAACTTCACGCCAAAGTCAATTACTTCGAGAGTGTTGTGGACAAAGGATTCCTGGTCAGCGCCTGTGGGACAGTTGGACTCCTGGGATACAGTGTAGCATCCGTACTGAGAAAACTCGTCCCAGCAGATTTAGAAGCATTAAATGCATTACTCATGGCCCTGGATCAACACTTTTATAGAGAAAGACGCGTCGCGTAATAACACGAGGGACGCGTCGCTGAGTAATGACGTCAGGCTGCAAATAAGAACTTCGAGGCTTCTTAATCTTCATCAAAGTCACCAGAACCATCCCTCATCACAGTCCTGCCCATCTTCCTATCATCGAATGCCTCGCTCCTTCAGCGCAGCCTCGAGCTTGTTCGTCATTATATACTCTGATCCCTCGTCTCCCCATTCAGGCTGCTTCCTATAATGGATCTTATCGACGCTGCATTCCGCTGCTTGACCCGTCAGAGAGTCGTCCTCAACAAATCCCATGACCGCTCGCACAATGGTCGACTTCGGTGTCACGAATTCAGGCGGAGCAACAGACATCAGCACCGGTGTCAATCCCGTGTCGACGAGTCCCGGGCAGATGCAGTTCACCGTGATGGGCTCGCCGAGGATCTTCAACCGCTTGGCCAGGGCGCGAGTCAAGCCCACAATTCCGTGTTTTGCTGCCGTGTACAGAGGGATGCTGTCTCCTGGATACAGTCTGCACAGGATCGGTAAGTGTTTGTATTGGACTAACATGAGGAAAATGGAAAGTCCAGAGGACATGGGGGGCTCGCAAATGCCACCATCGTCGACTTACCCACACATGGAAGACGTGAAGACTATCTTGCCCGCCTTAGAAGGGTTCTGCCGGAAGAAGTGCAGAGCCAAATAGGCACTGTAGACCATGGCATTGAGGCAAACATCGATCACCAGCTCATTCGGCTTCGCGGGCACGCCTGGCAGGTCTGGCAGAAACTCTGTGGCAGGCGCGAAAAAGTTCATTCTATCACCAATGCCCGCGTTCGCAAACACGAGATCCAGTCTGTGCCATTTGTCCCACGTCTGAGCAAAGGCCTTCGCCTGTGCGTTGTAGTCTGTTACGTCGGCCTTGACAAACGTGGTCCGACTTCGGTCAAAGTCGGCTTCCACGGATGATATCGATTTTTCGCTCAGGTCGACAATTGTCAAGTTCCAGCCTTTAGCAGCCAGCTCTTGGGCAACTGCCAACCCCATCCCGCTTGCACCGCCGGTGATATAGGCCACAGGCGCAGAAGCTCTCGCGGCGTCGCCGTTTGCAGCCATGTTGCTTATGTCTAGGAAGGTCGAAGGATCAGTAAATCTGTCAGGCCTGAGTCTTGCTCCTGCTGCTCTGCCTATTGGCTTATTTGTTCTTCTTATATGGCATATATGAGACAGCTTCGGGCCCGAAAGAATGGCATTGCAAGAACCACCAACGCGAGACCCCGCAGGCCCACGAGGCCTTGGATTTGATGCACGTCCTTTTCGGATCGAATCGACTGCCGAGGCAGGACGTTTTGGGTAACCAGCGCGAGGCCAAACAGCATCCAGGTTCGGTTATGGAACGACATCACAAGATTCAAGGTGTGCTCGTTTCGCAACGCATTCCTGATTTACACTTCACAGACCTCGGCAGGTGGATGAGCTCAGCGAACCGAAAGACAGATGCGGGGGATTCAGGGATAGCCGCCAATCCTCCGCGGTTTATTCTGCGCACCTACAATGCTGCCTCACGCTGACACCTTATAATAGTTCTGATTCTTCGGCTCAATGCGGTAATCCAGCTCGGCCCCGAGAGTCAACAAGCAAATCGCATATATCTCACTGAAGACCAACCCCTTCTGTCTAAGATTCTGTCATGCCAAAGAAATAATCTGACAATTTGTGGATAGACTGAAGACTTCCTTGCCAGTGTTGACAGCGACGGGCGCATCAGCAGCAGCAACCTTTTGTTTCCTCAACAATCAGATTGTATACGAAACCTGTTAGAAGGCAGCGGCCAATCATCAAAAATGGGTGAAGTCGAGGTTCTTGTACCCTCTGATCTCTTGGGCCCAAAGCCTCCGAAGACGACGCTTGAATCAGACATTTCATTGGCGTCCAAGCCCAAAGACCTGCCCTTCGACCCTGACGCGCTGAAGCGGAAGTATCTGGAGGAACGCGATAAAAGGTTAAAGTACGGCCAAGAGAAAGGCGGTATCAACCAATATCGACTTGTCGAGCACGATGGTCCTTTTGCGCACTACCTCAAGGATCCATGGGTAGAGCCCGGCTTCAACCGCGATCCAATCGACGAGCAAGTCGACGTCATTATTATCGGTGGTGGATATGGCGCTCAGCTCGTAGCTGTTCGGCTGATTGAGGCCGGTGTCACCAACTTACGGATCATTGAGAAAGCAGGTGATTTTGGGGGGACCTGGTAAGCATAATCCCCAGTATCATGCTTGGACGCAGTGGCCCGTGGCGGACGGTTTCTGACTCGCGTCGATAGGTATTGGAACCGCTATCCTGGCGCTCAATGCGATATTGAATCGTACATTTACATGCCCCTTCTCGAAGAGCTCAACTATATGCCCACCGAGAAGTATGCCAGGGCCAACGAACTTCTGAAGCACGCTGAAATGATCGGCCGTCGCTGGGGCTTGTATGACAAAGCACTTTTCCAGACGGAGACGCATAGTCTCGAATGGGATGAGAAGACGGCGTTATGGACTGCAAAGACCAATTGGGGCGATACCATCCGGTCGAAGTATGTCATACCAGCTGCGGGACCGCTACATCGACCAAAGCTGCCCGGCCTCTCGGGAATAGAGTCTTTCAAAGGCTACTCTTTTCACTCATCTAGGTGGGACTATAACTACACTGGCGGTGACACAACAGGTAACCTCCACAAGCTCTCGGACAAGCGTGTAGGCATTATCGGTACCGGCGCGACTGCTGTTCAAATCGTGCCTCACTTAGGAAAGTGGGCCAAAGAGGTCTATGTCTTCCAACGAACGCCGTCGTCAATTGACGTCCGCGGAAACCGACCTACCGATCCCGAGTGGGCTGCCTCGCTCAAGCCAGGCTGGCAAAAGGAGCGTATGGACAATTTCAACATTATCGTCAATGGCGGTATTGCGCCTGTCGACCTGGTCAAGGACGGCTGGACAGACATCTTACATAAACTACTCGCACGTTGGCAACCTACTGTGGGCAATGAGCCGGTGAACCCGGAAAAGGCTGCCGCGCAGCGCCAGATCGCAGATTATGAGAAAATGGAGACTGTCAGGGCACGCTGCGACGAAGTGGTCAAAGACCCGGTGACGGCCGCGGCTCTAAAGCCGTGGTACAACCAGCTGTGCAAGCGACCATGTTTCCACGATGAATACTTGGACACGTTCAACCGGCCCAATGTACACTTGATCGACACGGCAGGTAAGGGCGTCGACGCGATCACAGAAACGGGCGTCGTGGCCAACGGCCAACTGTACGAGCTGGACACGCTCATCTACGCGACAGGGTTCGAGCTCGCAACAGAATGGAGCCATCGATCCAATATGGAAGTGACGGGTCGTAATGGCAAGACTATCACAGAGTGCTGGAAGGACGGATCGCGCACGCTACACGGCTGGACAACGCGCGACTTCCCCAACTGCTTCTGGGTGCAGATCGTGCAGGCCGCGCTATCGCCCAACTTCCTACACGTTACGGGCGAGCAAGCTGAGCATCTGGCTTACGTGATCTCCGAGTGCCAGAAACGCGGCGTCCGCACAGTCGAGCCCACCGCCGAGGCCGAGGAGGACTGGATCAACACGATTCTCAAGATGGCTAAGCTGCGCGCCGAGTTCCTCTCCGGCTGCACACCCGGCTACTACAACAACGAGGGCACGCCGAATCCCTCGGCCGCCAAAAATGCCAGCTACGGCGGAGGCGCGCCCGCTTTTTTGAACTTGTTGAAGGAGTGGAGGGCGAAGGGGGACTTGGAGGGTCTGGATCTGACGTTTGAGAAGGAAGAGAGCGCATCGTGACGGTGGTGATTGACCGTGGTTGGGATGAGTCTATCAATATCATTTGCAGGAAAGACATGCAAGCTTCGTTCCACCACTGCGTTTGACTGGTTGATATATTGTATATTGTTCCGTGTTTCTTTCGTACACGTACTTTCCTCTCCCCAGAATAAAGCAGTCAGCTCGTCAGATGTCGTGACATCGCCCTCTCCCACGCCTTGGCCTACCCGGCAACTTCCGCCCTCTGAACTCGGACTAACACCGAACTCAAGGGCTTGGTGACGAGATATCGTCGGCACTGTAGTTCTACCCCCGGCTGCACAAGGGACAAATCGTACCGACGGAAAAATGAATACAGCAACAACTTCATCTCGAGCAGTGCAATGTTCTTCCCAATGCACGAGCGAGGACCGGTGCTAAACTATAGCGACGAGAGCGTCAGAGGATATATGCTCGTTAAAGAACATCCGGCTCCACAAAGAGTTGTATGGAAAATCTCACTTACTCCCAGGAAGTATTTATCCAACTCTTTGGAGGTGTCGCTGCTGTCGAGCCACCGCTCCGGTTTAAAGGACTCGGGATCGCGGAAGATGCGCCCGTCCTTGTGTATTTGGCACTGCATCACGTTGACAACCGTTCCCGCTGGAATGCGTGTGCCTCCAATGTCGAGTCCGCCCGGCGGTGAGAGCCGTGGTAATGGTCCGGCAAAGGGTGAGGTGAGACGCATTCCTTCCTTGATGCAGGCGTCTAGGTATGGGAGTCTCTGAATATCCTTGTACAGGGGAATGTCACCCAAGGAATTGCCGCGAACCTCAGCCGTCAGTCGGGCAGCACGGTCTGGGTTCCTGAGGAGGTGGTATATGATGGCGGTAAGCGAGATGGTGACAGTGTCGGAGCCGGCAATGCTACTCTCCCCGTCAGCATCGTCCAAACGCTTTTCTTGCTCTGAAACGTCGGCTGGCCACAAAGCTACTCACATGTTGGTCGACGCATTCGTGGCCAGCTCTGCGAACTCCAGCCGTTCGTTGGTGGCCGGATCTCTGGCTTCCATGAGTGCGCCCAAGATGTCACCACGCTGAGCACCACTGTCTCTTTTTATCCATCTATCTTGGACGAGGGTAGTTGTTTCCTTCACAACAGAAAAATATTAGTGGTTTGGCCAGTACTCCTCTTGGCTAGGATACTCGCCTTCTTCACGTATGCAAAGCCGCTCTTCAGCTCTCTGAACAAGGAGAACGGCAGATATTCCACCAAGAGCTGGCACAGCGGTCTCAAGAATGACGGCAAGAGAAACCGCTGGAAAGGGATTCAGCATTCAACCCCAAGGAGTAAGAAATTAGGTAGGGGGATATGCCCGGCGAGGCGAGGCTCACCACGAACGTAAACTCGACTCCATCCGAGATGCACTTGACAAAGTCGTCGATGACACCTCGCTGGAGCATGCCGAAGCTCCTGCCGAAGGCGAGATCGCCGATAACGTCGAAGGCGTAGAACTTGAACCACATGGCAGCATCCATGGGCTGCGCTCTCGCGGCACACGCATCCATCTGGCGGAGAAACACGGCTAGGTTCGCGGCGACGACGTCTTCCATCTTGGTTAGGCTCTGCATACTGTACGCGTGCGCAGCAATGCGACGCTTGCGCGCGTGTGCCGTGCGGTCGACCTCGCTGAAGATGGACGGCGTGTGCACCACCAGCGCGTCGTAGTCAGCGGATTTGTCCAGGTAGTTGTCGCCGTACCCGAGCACTCTGCGCACTGCTTCTGCGTTGCCTGCCAGCACGGTGCGTGGGCCGATCCGCACGACATCCCCGTACTTCCTGTGTGCGTCGAGGATGGCAGATTCGGTTCGTTCCCTAAAGGCGTGCACGGCTAGCCAGCCCGGAAGGTGGCGGGCGAGCAGCGGGCCTGGGATATGGCGAAGGGGGTCGCGAAAGACGCAATATCCAATGTACCCGGTCTGGTGTGTGAGTGGGTGGTCAGTATCCTACAGCAATGAGTCTCATGGGGACGGGATTCACCAGAAGAGCGACGAGTAGGATTGTCCGGACATGGCCCAGGCAAAAGCCAATCACGGCCTTCGCGACTGACTCCATGTTATGGCATGTATGCAAACTGAAGGGTGGTCAGGGCCATCGAGGAAGATGAATGCCACCAAGTGGCCCCCATTTGTTTATATTCCCCCCTCCCACACTGAGTAGAAGTCGTCTTCTAGGCTCCGAGCTCGTCAGCCGTACGATCTCGCTCTCTCGGCCTTTCGCTTGGGAGTTTCGTACTTTCCAGGCGCCAGCGTCAGGAGCCGACATACTCCCGCCCTAGATTACCTCAGTACCTCCACAAAATCTGGGGGAAAAGCGACCAACTAAGCCCCGGCTCTCGAGGCGCGATACGAGCACCAGAATCTGAACTCAGACGTTACGTGAGCCCTTTTCCTTCTGGCGATCCGATATCCCCCCGAGATGTGATATGCACTGACAGTGACAGGGGAATGAGGACGAGTTCTCCAGAACTGGGCCTTCAGCATTTCAAAGCATTTCGGAGCGTGAGAGCCAGGGCTTACCGGAGTGATGGGGTCCCACACTTCGGAGCTAAGGTTTACCCTTTATGTATAATATCTAACCAGGGATTTATTTTGACAACCTGCTTTCGGTCTTGTTTCTCGGACAAATCCAACACCCGGACACTCGAGGTCAACAGGGGAAATGGAGGAACTCTACACCCTATTCTACAATGATTACTCGATCTGCTCCATCATGGTCCGGTATACCATTGCCCTGTCGAGACGTATGCCTGGCGAAAAGGTCAGCATTGAGGAGAAACCGATCAACATTCAGCACGGAGGCCAGTTGACCGAATACTATCTCTGCGAAGTGAACCCGCGAGGAACGGTACGTTTTCAACCTGGCTGGCATTGCACAAGATTCCCTCCGAAAAGGGGTGGGCAACGCTCACCTGTAGGTACTTGCTCCAGGTTCCTGTCTTGAAAGGCCCCAGTTCGTCCAAAGTCCTGAAGACGCCCCTCAGCGAGAGTGTCGACATCACGTACTTTCTCGCCGAACGGTTCCCCAGCCTCTGTCCACCGCACCTGTCGCAGCAGATTCGGCGTCTCCTCGCCGAGCTCCACGACATCAATTACTTTTCCCTGACCTATACCCGCAAGCCGCAGCGCGCGTCGGACATGGAGAATTCCGTGCTGAGCCTCCTCTCCGACCCGGCCATCTCGAGTCGATGGCGCGAGGCTCTGAAGTTCAAGCTCGATGTGTAGGTCAAGAAAATCCAAATTCTATTGGAGAGGAGAGGCGATTTTTTTCATTCCTACCCAAACCCATGTAGATGAGACTGACGTTTGACGCTTCGGCCGCAGGGTTCGCGCGACACGAGCACCGGCACTGACCAAGGAGGCCGTCGCGGTGCAAGAGGCCAAAGCATCTTCTTTCCTGTCCCAAATAGAGACCCTCCTAGCGGGTTCCGAGGGCACTGGATCGCCATGGATCTTTGGCAGCGAGGACCCAACTGCTCTGGACGCCCATGTCGTGCCGTTCGCCGCGCGGTTGATCGACGTCGGACGGCAGGGGATGCTGCCGGACAGAGTGCGTGCCTATGCAGACCGTGCATTTGACGCCGAGCCATGGAAAGAGGTCATGCAAGGCAGGAAGACTGTATATGGCACTTATCTATGACGTGGCATAGTTTCTCCGGGAGGCATAGAAGCAAATGTGTAGACCTCGTACAATTTACTACCGGTTTGCGAAGGATTTCTGACACCTCGGACGAGGTTACGCCTCGATCATGGTCTTCCGCCCTTCCATCACGGCCTGCCACTCTGGCAGCGCCATAGCCCGATCAGCATAATCGCTGATCGTCTCCGGGATGATATTGGCTCGGCCAACGTCACGCATGCGCGCCACAAACACGACCAAGTGCGCGTCCAACGCGCTGGGGCTGGTCAAGCCGAACAACCACGGTCCCGACGACGTCGTGCCGTTTGATGTCTGCCCGCCATCACCCGCCTGTAGCGACGCTTGCTTTGGGAGGATGCGTTCGAAATCGGACATCAGGTTTCGCGCTCGCTCGTCCATCGCCTCGGGAGCGCCGGGCTTCAGGCCCCCGATCTTGTCACGCTCTATACTGCCTCAGGCAGGCCCGAAGGGGCGATCCTGTCAGCATATAATATCGTATTACATATCATTTAATATGACCGGACGAGTCGGTGTGCAATGCAATGGCAATGCAACCCACAAACATCCGTATCCTTAGTCTTGTGCAGAGGGTGGAAAACTTACATGCCCATCTTGTACTGCAATGCGTCCCGGTACGCCTGCGAGATGTCGCCGTCCAGGCGCCTCTGCACGGCGGCCTTGAAGCCTTGGGCGACGTAGTCGCGGCCCGGGAACGACAGGGAGAAATAGTTCAACGCGTGGAGGGCGTCCAAGCGTTCGTTGATCTCCTTCTCGTACGATGCCGGGATGATAGCCGGATAGTACTTGGCCAGATAGCGGGTGATGTCCATGCTGTCTGCGATCGGCGCGCCGAGTGTCGGGGACGTCAGGACGGGGACCTAGAAGATTTGGTCAAAAACATCCCTCAACTGTTTGTCTTTTCTTGGGGTATAGAAGGTCGCTCTTGTAGAGACTGCCTTTGGTTCGACAGTTCTGGCCCGGGATGGCGTGGAGGTGTATAGAGGGAGAGAACAAGGCGAGGAGGAGGCTCTACTTACCTGACCCTTCGGATTGATATTCCGCAAGAAATGCTCCGAGAGCTGCTCCTCATGGAAAATATCGACCGACTGGTCCTGAATCGGGATCTCGGATGCCTTGTCTCGCGCAGGTCCCCGCAGGGCCACCGTGTATCGGACCATGAGTGAGCATATCGAGAAGGGGTTATGGTAGAGCGTGTGGACTGCCGGTGTCGCGACCATCTTGACTTCACTATACTTCCGCTTGTTTTCTTCGGATGGCAACAAGTAAGATATTGTGTTATTATATAGTTAGGCCAACTCATTCACCGGCACTGATCAGGGCGAGGGAATGGCAGAAACTATATACTTACCTAGGTACACATAAGCATGTCCCGGCGGGTGGCCCTCGTGTAAGAAAACAGTAAGCGGCGGAGGCGGTAAGCTTTAGAGCCCCGGATGCCCTACCATCCTCGCACCTTAGCTCAGACCCTTTGTCTCTGTCCAGGGTGGTTTCTGGGACCTTGCATCTGGGTTCCGCCACAAAACTCTGGAAACTTGCCCCAGCTTCCCCACCGCGGATCGATTGGATTTATGATCAAGTGGGGGAAGATCGCCGACGACTTTGACCCCCGCAAAGCGAAAGAGACAGCTCATTATCCATCCTGATTCCTTGAGATCCGGGTTGTAGGAGAAAGGATGGCACAATCCTGAATGTGAGCTCCATCACTCTTCGTGGGACACGTCGAAATTGGATGGCGACAACTTGATAGGGAGAGCGCGGACTAAAATCGTCCTTGTTCCTCCGGAGGCGTCTAAGTCAATCCTCGTTCAGCCTCGTTTGGGAATTCCAAAACCAGTGTGTATCATGTCTGTCATCAAGATTGGCTCCGTTATCGCTGTGATAGCCCTGTGATGGTGCATCTACCGCATCCACCAGGGGTTTTGGAAACAAGGATCACGGCTTCCTTTACCACCGGGCCCGCTCAAGCTTCCATTGATAGACAACCTGCATCAAACTCCTGGCAAGTGGCCGTGGACGATCTATCAGGGATAGACCAGGAACTGTGGCCTGAGCGTGATCGCTTCAGCATGGTGAGGGCACTCTGACCATCCTGGGCTGGCATCAGACGACACCAGACTTGCTGGCCAAGGGCAGCAGAATGTACAGCGCTCGGCCACATGTGTGATGGTCGGCGAATGCGCCACAAGGGCGCTGAGCACGCTGCTGATGCCCTACGGCCAGCATTGGCGCATCCACTAACGACTAAAGGCGTCGTATCTCACCCTCCGGATGTCTCAGCACTACTGGAGCCTGGAGGATGGGAAGAGAACCATCTCTTTCTTAATATGTCCTCGGAACTGGACGGTTCTCTTCTTGACACGTTTCTCTTTCTCCGCTGGCTGCAGCGACACATAGCTTGGATGCCTGTATATATATAAGTCTTCAGCCAACTTCAGCAATGGCCAATGGCCAATGCCCGACCGGGTCTTTGTGCTGATGGCATCAAGGCCTGCACCCGTTAGGGCGACTCCTAAAAGCGACTCGGCACAGTGAGACAGATGTCCAATAACAGTCGATCTGTTATCGCGACTGAAGCTTGCCCCGGTCTCCATGGTGAACGCCAGCCTCTTGATCATGAACGCGTAATGGACGAGATGGTCTTCTTCCGTCGACCAATAGTGCAGTCCATTCACATACGAGGACCGGTTCGAGATTTCAAACTGGCCTTCTCAATCTGCCCAGTAGCGCCAGGAACTCTCCTGCTTCCAGTTGAGATACTCTTCATTGTACACCCTGGAACGTCAGTGGTAACGTGCGGGCATTGGTGTTTTGTGACTATGAACGAGCACCCAATTGGAGTCCGTAAAACTAATATAGTAATGGCACCCGAGTGCCAAGGCGCTGAAAGGCCCGCTCCGAGGAGGACTAGTGGTTTCATAGAGTTGCACAAGTACCTGATCAAGCTGAAGCCTCCTGCTCGTGTGGCCAGCAGAAAAGCATTTAGATGCCTCGGCAGGAGTGAAGACTCTGGAAAGTCCTGCTCCTTCCGTATCCTTTCACTCTCCTGTGTGGTCTTTGCTTCACCGAGATGTCGCTGGCGATGTTTCTCTCGCTGTGGTTCTTCATCGAGAAGACATTTCATAACTGATGATACCACCGATAACTTCCACTATCATCTTGAAATGAACGCTTAAGATGGCCTGAGGAAGTTTCTCTGGGAAATTGATGTCGCCGTTTATTATTGAACCAGAGCTAGATACGTAGGGAAATGAGGTTCTCGAAAAGGAGATAGCGGTGCACTTCACCCTTCTCCAATGTCTGCATCCACTCATCTGATAATACCTCACTCAACGCTATTCTTGCAGTTGGATCTATTCTCAACATACCCTGAATAATCGTCCGGCTTCTTCGCTCAAGTTGATCAAGGAATGTTGACGCACCTCTCAGCGCTCATATAGACATATGAGATACCCAGTGCCCAGACATCAGCAGCAGCAGCAGAGTCGTATAGGACGTCGTTAAAGACCTCCGGCGCAAGATGTTGTTTCGTTCCCTGAATTTCTGCGTGAATGTTTTATCTTCCACCCCAGGCCGTCTGATTCCAGATCAATTTGTGTTTCTGTACTTACCTCCGATTCCAACACATTTGGGACCCTTTGTATTGAAGATATGTGAGCTGCCAAAATCGAAGCTTTTGGCCCTTCCCAAAGTGTCTATCCCAATGTTTTGAAGCTTAACATCCATATGTGCAATTCCCAGCGAGTGCAAATGAGCAACTCCTTGGCAGGGTGTCGGGCCTCGTCCGATATACAGGGTGGCTGTCTTCCATCAGCTGCATTGGCTTGTGAGTTACAGGCCTCTCCTTCATGCCCCCGTCAACGGAGAAAGACTCATATCGCAGTGCTCTATTGCAGTCTAGCATACTAAAGGAGTATGCTCCGACACCTCTGACTGAATTCCCCTCGTCCCATCTGGACCATTTTGTTCATTGTTTTGACTTCATCCGTCAAGCTCTCATGTGCTCGGCTGACACGACGCAGGAGGGCCAAGAGATAGTGACTGGCGGGGATGGATGGCGTACGCGTCGTCAATGCAAAGATTATGGCGGGATACTCGACTGGGTGGAATCAAGAAGTCCTTTCTTCGTCAACAACAGTACAGAAGATGGCTTCATATAAAGTGTCACATGGCTCTGTCGAAAGAACACCAGCTAGTCAACCTCTGGCCCAGAGACGCCGTGGCACCCTGTTTCCCCGTTTGGTCGAGTTCTCAATACCTACCTCCGCAGCATCAATCCAGCCGACGCCAGTCAGTGCGCCTACTGCAACCAAGGGAGCAGATGATAGAGCATGTCCGACTGGAACGCAGGAAGAGGAAAACAAAATGATGGGAGATGCGGGCAGGCAGTAGGCTAATACGCCGCCTTAAGAGTGCTAATCAGCAACACGAAAATGAAGTCACAGCAGTTAAGATCATATGATGAGGAAGACTGGTCTGCTCAAGCAGTCCCCGCACTGAGCATGTTGACCAAACTTGAGCGTCCTCTTGCATGTAAAGGTATTATGCCTCGATTGGGACGTGGATGTATTTGATGAGTAACTGCCCTGATCGGCCGCTGCGGCCGTCGCCTGTAACTGGCGGAGGTTTGTCGGACGATTCTCGCATCTCGATTCCGCTGCACGATGATGTCGACAGCGACGCCGAGTTTGCGCCGGGACCGCAGAGCTTGAGCTGATTGGCTGTGTGCATGCGGGAATTAATACGGGCAATGTTTGACCTTGGAATGCACCCCGTGGGGGGATGTGTATAAAGATACACCAGGATCATTGGAATTTGGCCACCGTTCAAGAGTGGAATCAATCCAACGCATCCAGAAACAAACAAGTCAACAAACAAATCTTCACAGAAAGACAATAAACAAACGCATCCTCATGAATCCAGTCAATTCAGAGAGCTCATCGGCCCCTCGCAGGTCGTCCTCAGTCTCCAGCCTGCCAGAACCACTGCAAGATCTCATAGACAAGGCAGAGAAGGAAAGAGAACTGTACGAAGATCCTTGGAATCGGATGTAAGTGGCACTGACCATTGTCTTCCCCGTGTACATGGATCCACATACTGACATGGGTTACTCTGCTAGTCCCGGTCCACAGGATTCAAAACAAGTCAATCAACCAAAGAAATCCAGCAAAGAACAAGGCAACAAGAGATCAATCCTGAAAAAGCCTCATCTTCCAGCGTCGCTGCAGCGTCTTGTTGACAAGGCTGAGGTTGAGAGGGAGGTGTATGAAGACCCCTGGTCTGTTCGAATGTAAGCGGTGACTTTCATGAGTCTTTGTGATGGTGAGAATGCTGACACAGATTGCGCATAGTCCAAGAGCCCTCGGCTGGGGAAAATATAGCAAAAACCAAGAGACAAAGAAGCCGGTCACAAAGGCATGAGGACAGGACAGCTGAGAGACATATAACTCGAGGTTGCGATCTCCATACTCCAAACCCACATTTCGTTTCGATGCATGACTGGTTGTCACGAGCCAACCATTAATGATGAGTTGAACAAATCGAACGAACAAGCCAAAGAAAGGATGCGTTCCTTGCTTTGAGCCACCAGGCCAAGAAGGCAAAATGGTGCAGGTGTTCATATCTCGTGCCACTGTCAGCGGACTGAAGAATGAATGCAGTCTCATGGCTGAGATGTTGGCCAGGCGTGACACCTGGATTCTCCTCCTTCATGTTGGATGGCCACTATCAAGCGGGATGAGGCAGAAGACCTCAAATGTACGAGTAGACTAGACCCGGGGCAGCCCTTTGGGTCGGCTTCCAGGTCTGATATATTAATGACCCAGATGTCTCTCTTCAATGGCTTCAGCTCTGTATCGTCAGCACCATCATTAGTCACAATTGGGAATATAAAAAGATTTGAAGTTGCCGCCAACAGTAGTTCGTGATACTCATACATACGAATATGGCCAGCTGAACCGAAGTCTGTACATTTTCTCTGTCCACTTTTGCTGGCTCACGGGATGGCGGGAAGAGTGGGCGGATGACTCGTAGCGCCACACGCGTCGTGGGCGTCAGGAGGTGGCGCTGAACCATCCTCGATCCGATGTTGGCCTCTTGAAGTTGCCTATCTATAGGTACCGAGTATCAACCTCAGAGTGTCGGAAGATCGGGTTGGACTCGTTCTGTTAGCCTAGCATCCAGGAATCGTTCTTCCAAGTGACTGGGTTCACCAGAGACTCCAGGCTGTCTGAACCAGTTCCACACTTCCATGGTAGGTGGACTGCGGATGTAGACAAGATGGTATTTCAAGGAGAAATACAAGGACTTCATAGATTCTTCAGCCTTCCCAAAAAACGGGGTAATATTTTTCTTCTGACACTTTGCTTGCAGCAAGCAGGGAATGATGATGCAATTTGACAGCTGATCCAGTCATGACGTGGATAGTGCAAGAGAAAGGGTCGAACGCAAACCTTCAATGGCCGCACGGACACTCTCGAGCTGGTTGAACTGAGGACAACTTCTTCAGTCCGATTTCCTTACCCGAGTACCCTTCACCAGTCATCAAAAGGCAGACTGTGCTCGCGATAGCTCTTCGGAGCCAGTCATGTGTGCAATGTAGACCTTACAGAAATCTTCTGGCTGGCAAAGGTTCTCTGCTCGCTACCAGTCTGGGCACATACACGGCTGAATCAATCAGAGGTTAGGGCCTTGTCGGCACATCGGTTGTCGTTCGTGGCCCTTGTGGTGGTTAAAGATTTGATACCGTCTGTTTTCCCACACCACTTTGACGTACTCATAACCCTGTAAGATACCAAGGTGTAAATCAGTCTATGTGGTGCCGACATTCCGAGGAAAATCTTGTCACCAGGCCTGGAACCCCTATAGACCTCCGCAAAACGTCGATTGACAACAGCCCGCTCCAGCATTCTGGGCCATGTACCTATCGACAGAAGAGAAAATTTTTTTCCCATCAACTCGTTTGGCTTTGAGATTGCACATGCTTATCATGAATCAAGATCCTAGAGACCTGCAGTCGACAATGTCGGCTCGCGTAAGCACATAGCATGACTGATTAAGGTGGTGAAGATAGAAAAATTTTCATTGCTCGGGGTCTGGGGAGAGCCCAAAACCCAATCAAGTAGCCGCCAAACCATGTCCGCAACAGACGTCAAGGGAGCGCCGCAGAGGCATTCCTCCGGTATCTGAAGCCAACTGAAATGATGGTGATAGCTCATTTGTTCTCATGGCACACGACCCGGAGGTCTCCAGGACGGACCCTTTTCCAAGAGCTGTCTGTCAAAGTCCCAAGACCATCGGCTTGCATTAACTTAACACCATGAAACAACAAGCGAGATTCGACAGCCGGGGCCGTGTGAGCTGCAGAGGGGGGAAGGGAGGAGGACGGCCGTGGGGAGGAGGTTCCCTCTCCGGCATCGGGATGTGCCTATGGAAGGACGTTTCGTATTCGTTGTCTGGCCGTCATAGCAAACGCATAGCTGAGCTCCAAGAGTTTCCGGCTCCACTGGGCGAGGACAGAAGAAAGTTGTTGTAAGATGAAAAGCGGCCTCAGCAGCAGTCGAAGTCCTGCTTATCCCGACCTGTTCCGTGCCATTGGCTAGGGGCGGAGAGATATGGGGCTTGGCATATGTCTTGGCGACGCTCCACTGATAAGAGCAAGGCCCGCAAGGCTCGCTAATCTCACAACCTCATCAGTCAACCACGAGGCGTATTCAGGGGCCATACGAACCTGTTTGATCCAGCTATTTGCACTGTCTTTGCTCTCAGCCAATCTCGACACTCCATCTAACTCTGTAAATCAGGCCTAGCCTCAGGACCACCTTTATCAAGTCGGCTGTCCTGTCCCCTTCGAGTCAAGGTCGGCAAGCCTCCCGCGTCCAAGGGGATCCAGAATTAAGAAAATTCTCTTGGTTCTCGGTTCGATGTCAAACATAGTACAGCACCAGCGAGTGTGTTGACAATCACAAGAGCTATGGATACCTTGGGACCGCGGGATCTAGCGTGGAGGTGGTCTGGCATTGAAAATTTTGCCACGACCATCCTCGCCATGGTGGACTCTGCTTCCGATATCCGTTGACAACTCCAGGTATAATAGTTGTAGCTCTTACCCTGCTGCAACTCCACAAGTCTTCTCTCCATCAAGTCTTTCTTGTCCCGCAGAGTGTTCGTCTCGAGATTCGACCTCCAGCATCGTCTGAATCCACCACCATGGCGTCAATTACACCCGCAGTCGCCGTATGTTCCTCCTCTTCCTCGACTCTCCCCCTGAGATCTTTATGCTAATTCCAACATCAGCCGGAGTTCAACTCTAGCATCCCCAATGGAGGTAATCCACTGGAGATCGACGTCAACCTGCCTTACACTGGCCTCGAGTTCCACTATGTCTACCAGGTGATCATGGGAGCTCTCGTCTTCGTCATTGTCCCCGGTATCGGTCTGCTCTATGGCGGCATGGCGCGCAGGAAATCTGCCCTGGCCATGGTGTTCCAATCCCTGACGGTGATGGCTGTGTGCTCCTTCCAATGGGCCTTTTGGGGCTTTTCCCTAGCCTTCTCCCGAACTGGCGGTCCTTTCATTGGCGACCTGAAGAACTTTGGAATGATTGATGTAAGACATGCCCGAAAAGCCGACGTAAAACTATCCCCAAGGACAAAAGTCTAACCCTTATTCTAGGTCATGGCTGCGCCATCCTGGGGTTCGGCTGTTATCCCCGACATTGTCTTCGCTTTCTACGAGTTGATGTTCTGCGCCTGCGCGACCATGATCGTTGTCGGCGGTTCGTTCGAACGTGGCCGTGTCCTTCCGTCTATCATCTTCGGCTTCTGCTGGGCCACCCTGTGCTACTGCCCGATCTCTTACTGGACCTGGAATGCCAACGGCTGGCTGTTCACCTTTGGTGCTCTTGACTTCGCTGGTGGTGGCCCCGTCCACATCTCCAGTGGTACGGCCGGTTTGGCCTACGCGCTTGTCCTCGGCAAACGAAGCCGATATGGCGAGAAGCACGTCTACAAGCCTCACAACGTCACCATTGTATTCCTCGGAACAGTCCTCATCTGGTTCGGGTGGTTTGGCTTCAACGGCGGTTCGGCTCTGAATGCCAGCATCCGAGCCATGATGGCCGTCTGGAACACCAACCTGGCTGCGTCTACTGGGGTTGCTGGTTGGGTCCTGATGGATTACATCAAGACCCGCAAATTCTCGGTCATTGGCGCTTGCGAGGGTGCTATTGCTGGTCTGGTTGGTATTACACCAGCAGCTGGTTACGTGTCTGTCTGGTGTGGAGCTGCCATTGGTTTCATTACCGCCATTGTGGTCAACCTGTTCGAGCCCGTTAACAAGTGGCTCCACATTGATGATGGCTTGGAAGTCTTGTGAGTACCCGCCGTACCCTCGACTAACCTAGTGATCTGGGGCTGACCAAATATTCACAGCAAATTGCACGGAATCGGTGGCATGTGTGGAGCATTCCTCACCGGCATCTTTGCCTCTGCTTCTGTCTCGTCTCTCGACGGCGTCACAATCGCTCAAGGAGCCATTGATGGTCATGGCATCCAGGTCGCCAAGCAGCTGGCCGAGATCGCTGCCATTGCCTCGTGGTCCTTCGTCCTGTCCTACATCATGCTTACGATCCTTAAATATATCCCCGGCTTGCACCTGAGAGTGACAGATGAGGTTGAAATGATTGGTCTGGATCTCGACCAGTTCAACGACGAGCTGGTTGGCGAGTGGTCACTGTTCCAAGATGATGCCACCGTGCGTCGAAGCTCGATTGCTCATATCAATGCTCAGATCACCCAGGGTATCGCACCGGGCGGTTCATCTACACCACAAACTGAGAGTATCACTGGGGAAAAGGAGCCGGCCAAGGCTACCACCGAGGGGCAGCAGTGATTGATGTTGCATTACAAGCCCAGTCACTTGCAGATTGTCTCACCTTGGATTCAGATGTGTCACTGTTTATACCCAGATATGTAGGAGCTTCCCATAGTTGAGCGAGGAAGGGAATCAAAAACTGTCGCTATTGTTCTGCACCCATTCATCACTTTGCACTCTGCCCCTTGCGGCATAGTGATGATCGTGAAATCTTGCGAGGCATGTGGAGAAAGTGTGTTGGCCGACCGTGGTTAGTATCTAGGTGCATGGACAGGTATTTACCCCTTTGGCTGGACAAAAGACTTTTTCTTCCTGCTTTAGTCTCAGTGACCAAGTTGAACCAATGCCCTTTTAACCTGAGCTGAAAGATTCAGCTGCCGAATCACGCCTGGAGACGCCTAACTCCTGACCTACTCCCTCTAGCCCGCGTATTCTTGGGTTTCTCGCCTAGTAGGAGATCAGGACTAGATAGGTCGGTGAAATAAGCCGACAAACGGCTCCCCTTCCTCTCAAAGTCGAAGCTAATTGAAGATGCAGCGTAATCAGAGTCCCAGGAGTCGTTGCAGAAAGAGGAGCACCTTCGCGGCGAAGCTGGGTTGCCAATAAGTTCTCCGCAGCTTCAAAGACTGGAGGAACCAATCTCCATCCTTTTCCCTCCAGGTCTCATGGTAGTAGCCTCCGCCTCTGATGCTGATGGAGAGCCCCGGTAATACGTCGACGATGATCTGGTCCTCCATTCCCCAGATCGCTTGAACCTCGTCGGCCGAAACCTGCTCCAAGTCGCCCTCTCCCACCTGGTGGAGCGTGTGCGCGTTGGCAAACGCCTGGCGCAGGAACTTTGTAAAGTCCTGAGGTGATGTAAACAACAGTCTAGTCTGTCCGCTCGTGGAGACCGAGCCGCTGGGGTCGTAAAAGGTGAGATCGGCGTCCGTCCATGCAAGCTTGACAATCTCATTCCATTGCTTCGTATCAATTGCTCTGCAGTACCGCGACTTCTTTTGGCGAATGATTTCGGCAATTTCGTATTTTACTGTCATCTCGGCCCAGTAAAGTGCAAGTATTCGCGGTCTATCCTTTCTAGATCCAAACCTATTGGTGACTTCTGAGCGACAGTGTTAGCTTGGGCATTGTTCAGTTACCTATGGAGGCTCTATTTAAGTCAACTGACGGTTCAGGCGTTTGATACTGCCGAGGCTGAACGGCGCGTATAGTTACGCCGACTCCGAGTCGCTAGATCCTACTCTCCTTATTGTACTATGATCTCCAGACCGGTGGACAACTACCAGGTAAGTTGGGCTATTACTGTAATCCTACCGAATATATACTTACTGTGTACGAGGTATGTACGAGGTGCCTATACCTCGTAGGGAAATATGGACAAGGCTGAAAAATGGTGGGGGTTGATGCCACGCTGCGGGGTGGGGAGACAGTTAGACGGTGACTCGTCCAGCTGTCACTTCCGGTGCCCGTAGGACTCACCCTCCAAAACACTGACCTGTCAAGCCTGTCCCATTTCGTGACGTTGCCCGATCCTACAAACAGATCACGATACACATTACACTGCCTGTTACAGAATAGGTAAAAGTTTGGAAGAGAATCCCTTACTGTCGACTCTCCAGCCCACTTTCATCGCCCTTTTACAAAATCTTTTTATCTTAGAAATACATTACCATCGACCCGCGTGCGCAGCCTTGTTCCCGCACCCGTGGTGCCTGCGCCGCCGAAACCAGGGTTCCTTCACGCCCACCCGTCGACACTCTCACAATGTTCGCAGCGAAGAGACTGGGGAAAGTGAGTGACTCTGCGTCCTCGTCCTGTGTCGTATGTTCAGATCATCAGGGCTAACCGCTTGCACAATCCTTCGCAGGAACTGGCCAAGGTAAAAAGCTCACATGCAACCCACCCCAACCACGCCGAAGCGGGTACTCGTCACAACACCCTCGACGAGCCCGACCCTGTCCTGCTCACATCGGTTTCGGACACAAGTTCTGACCCGTGCTTGTCACGTTTAGGCAAAACAAAAACTCCCCCCGGGCATCGAGCTGGTCAAAGCAGACGACTTCCGAGAATGGCTGGTCGACATCAAAGTCCTGGACGCGAATCCCCTGTACATGAACCAAACCTTCCGCCTCAGTTTCCTTTTCTCAGAGTCCTATCCTATTGGTACGTGGCGCGCACACTCCCTGGAGGCTTCCCAGAGAAGAAGGAACCACACATAATACATGGAAGATAGGGAGGGCAAGTGTTTGGGTGGCTAACATGGACACACATGAAATATAAACAACAGAAGCGCCAGAAGTCGTATTCATCAAAGTGCCACCCGCGGCAACCGACCCGGCGAAACCGCAGGGACAGTCCTCCCAGTCCCAGACTCCCTTTACCGGCCGCCCCATCCCGATCCACCCTCACATCTACTCCAACGGCATCATCTGTCTCGACCTGCTGGGCTCGGTGGGGTGGTCGCCCGTGCAGTCGGTCGAGTCCGTGTGCATGAGCCTGCAGAGTATGTTGACGGGGAACACGAAGAACGAGAGACCCCAGGGCGACGAGCAGTTCTGCCAGAGCATGGGCGTCCGTGGGCCAGACGGGTGGGCTCGCGGCCGTGGCAGGGGGCTGAAGGATGTACGATTTGCTTACGACGACGACACGGTATGAAAATGACCAGAACTACGACAACAACATGACGAGCATACACGGCGTTGGGAGATTTGGAGATGATGTCGCTGGCTGGCTGGCCCTGGATTGGTTGGTTGGTCGGTTGGGGTTGGTAGGCCCTTTCTCTTATGACTTTTTTGTTTGGAAAAGACGAGACCCGGAGGCACGGGGTCCTAAGGACAACAACGGAGCTGTCTGTTTCGCCATCATTATGACAGAGCATGGGCACGGCACGGCATGGGTACATGGTGCAACATGGTATGACACAGAATGGCATGGATGGTATGACATGACCTGGCACGGCACGGCACGGGAGGGATATCATATCACTGCGGCGTTTTGACCAGGCACTCACTCAGTCTGATATTGAACACACTGATCCTGACAATGGGATTGGGCAATGGGAACCACGGCACTCACTCAGTCCAGCCGTTCACTCATTGATCGATCAATTGTCATTCCTCTTTTCTTTTGGTCTTTTGTTTTTTGGCTTTTGCTCTCCTGAATCCAAAGCTTCCATTCCGGTGCTCGTGCGCTCTGATGAGCGCTTTGCGTCGCGGGGCTTGTATTAAGAGCTCGGGATTGGATTTCTGAGCGCACACTATGCATGTACTCGATACCAGTGCCTCATCACTCGGAGCACTTCCCCCTGCTTCTCTGGGCGAACAGAAATGGGATTAGAATGGATGTGGTCAAACTACCATCGCTTTTCGCTGCTGCTACAAAGAGGTGGAAGAGAGAGAGAAGATAAATCTCCTACTCCCGCAAGAACGCTGGGCTTGTCTTAAGTTTTGCTTTTTCCTTTGGAGTCATGTTCGTCTTTACAACAAGAGAACCAGAACCTTCGGTTTCTCCACCTATTCCTTCCCTTGCCCAATATGTCCGGCGACTCATTCTTCCCAACACCGATATGCGGCGATCCACAGGACTAGTCAAAATCTGCAGCCCTCGCTCTCCCATCGCCACCTCTTCTATTCGGACTCGGGCTCGGTGACCATCGCCTCTTTGCTCCCTTGCTTTGAATGCCTCGAGCAGGTAACGGTGACCTCGACCGAGACGCTGATCGCCCGCTGTCGCTAGACGAATTCCTTCTTCTTGGCGGAGGTGCTCGTCGTCGTGGTGGGGTCAGACTTCGACTCCTGCTCCTACTTGGCGAGTATCTGTCGGCCTTCCGCCTGGGTGGAGGAGACCGCGAGGGCGGGCGGGATAGACTGCGACTTGGGCTTCTTCTTGGCGCTGGCCGACGGCTGAACCGTGGGGGTGAAGGTGATCTCGATTTGGGTCTTGCGGATGGGACGTTACGTCGACGAGACGGATGTACAGTAGGACTGGCTTGGCGTGGTGGCGGAGAGCGGGATCTGGACCGCGACGTCGAATAATCGCCCTTTCGCCGGGCCGGTAGACGACGCGGAGGCGGCGAGCGCGAATCGCCGGAGTAGCTACTGTACGACTCTGAGCGTGTACGTGCTCGCCCACGCGGAGGGCCGGTGTCTCGTCCTCGCGTTGGTGGCGGACTTCGAGAGACTGAATAGGAGGGCGATCGTCGTCTCGGCACCGCTCGTCGAGGAGGCGAGCGAGAGCGAGAGCGCGACATTGACGAACTGTAGCTTCTTCTCCGTCCGTTTGCACCGCGCGCTGGAGGTGGAGATCTCGATAGTGAATCAGAATCGCCGCGGCGGGATTTCCCTGTCAATCGATCATCTGGAGTTAATGACCGTGGCCTCCTATCTGCCCGTCGAGGTGGACTTCTCGTGGATGACCTGCTGGTCGTATAGCTAGAATAGCTCGAATATGAACTGACGCTTGCCGAATCCGAAATGTCGTCCTTCGGCGCCGGGAGGGCAGGTGGCTCCGGTTTCGGTAGATTCTTGAGATGTTCACGCATATCCTCGGTAAGGGCGCCCATACCGATGGATGTAAAGTAGTTGATGGCGAATCGTGTGTTGCGAGGTGTATCTGTTGGGAAAAGTCCTGAAAAGCTGGGTCGGAGGATATCATCCTTCATCCTCTTCTGAAGCTCTGGCAGACCCAAGGCTTCGGCCAGATCTTGGAAGAGTATCTTAATAAAGATACGGCTGCTGGAAGTAGTCTCTTCTTCATTGAGGTGCACCACGGAAAACACGTGCCAGCCAAGAGCATCGGTAGCCAACAGGTGTCCAAAGAATCGAGCAATGTTCCGCAGCCGATTTGTTTCGTACCGATGGATTGTGTCGTAGTATTTGGCAAAGGACTGTTCAAACAAGTCCGTCCAGAGTCGATTAAGCTTGGCAAACCTTTCACCAACAAGGCCAAAGAATTTCGAGTATGTCTTCTCCTGAGAACAGCATTCAATGATCATGGACGGCAGTTCGGATTCCTGGCCCGCGGGGAGTTGGACTTTCATCAGCTTGTGGCATGCTTCTTCGAAATCGAGACTGGACATGATGGTGAGGTAGATTGTCCTTCGCAGGTTAACCAAGTCTGTGTTTGTTTGATCCTTGATTTCCAATGCACGTTCTTGTTCAGCCTCTTCATCCTCTGAACTCTCCTCAGAGCCACTCTCGTCGCCGTCTTCCTCGTCACCACTCTCTTCCCCGAGAATCTCGGCTTTCAATTTTCTATACGCCTCTTCGTGTTCTTCCCACTGTGGATCATATTTGAAGATGTTCAATGAATCTTGAACATCGATATCATCATCAAGATCGACCTGGTGCGTAATTTGATCTTCCTCCTCCACGAGATCGAGCTCCTCACGAATCGCCGGATTGTCCTTGTATCGATCTTTTCTGACCTGGAATAGGACCTCTATCATGTATTGGACTCGTTTGTCGATGTCTGCTTCATGCAAAATGCTTCGAAATTGATCAAACACGGCCAGTGCGATAGGGGGGCTCATCTCTTCCAAGTGTTGGCCCACTTCTCGGGTCAATCCAACTGCGATTTCCACGGAGTCATCGGTCGGCTTGTGCAGAAGCAACAAAAGCAGCTGCGCAGCGAGAGTTTCGTGCGCCACTTGTTGGTTGCACAAGTGGGCGATGAAAGTGGTGGAAGACAAGCAGACTGCCTTATCATTGCGTTTAAAGGCCTTGCGAAATTGGACGACCAGCCGGTTTAGAAGCAGCTCTCCAACTTGAGGAAGTTTGGTATTCACAATGGCAGCCATCGCCGCATAGATTGGGGTGAAAGGTAGCGAGGCGGCCTGTGCCTTCATGATGCTCCGACAGAACAACCCTCGACCGCGAACTAGATTTTCACCAAACAGCTCCGGGACAATGTGTTTGATATTCGAGACATTGACCTTGTTGATGAGGCCGTTGATTGATTTCTTCAACGCCTCCCAAGCCATTCGCTGGTATTCCTTGCTTGACTTGTCGGTGATCTGTGACTGTAAAGCGCGCAATTTCGCAGGAGGGATATAGGTGCCGCCCGAGCGCATCGTAAGTAGTTTCTCGTACTCGGCTTTTGCAGCCGCTTGCTTTTCTTCAGCAGTCAACGGTTTCCGTCTCGCTTCATCTGATTCTTTAGGCTTGAACCGCGCAAGCAGTTGTCTCTCTCGCTCATCCATCTCACGCTCCGCCTCTGCCCCCTGTGGTTTTCGCCCATCATTGTCTTCAGCTGGCGCAGGTCGGCGGCGTCGAGGAGAAGGTGACCGAGATGGAGGTGATCTCTTCCTGGCTGCTGAAGGCCCGGGGGAATAGGAACCACCTGGAGGCGGGGTGGGCAGGCGGACGGCGGACGACAGTAGCATCGTGTCCGTCATGCTGACGAGATCAAAGACTGGATCGGTGGTTAGAGAGTTGTTAACTTCATATCTTCGAAGTCACCAACAAGGTGAAAGCGAAGGTGCCTGTTTGGAGTTTTGAGGCAAAGGCAGCGGCAGGCAAATGAAAGTCGATTTTCAAAATTCGGAATCGGAAAAACCTTTCCGGGTCTTTCCCTTTTTTGGTTATGCAACGAAATGTGACATTTTCCGAGAACGCGACTGCGTGTCCAATTCTGCCCGCGTGTCAAACACTTCAGCAGTTGTTCTTTTGAGCCGTCTTTTACAAGCTTTGAGCTCCTAAGAGCAGAATACACGAGCAACAAGCGGATCTTGACGAGATGGTATTTCCTCACCCTGCAGACCACGCGGCCCATCAAGATACTAATGGTTCCCCTGTCATACAATAGCTGGACAAACTTGTGGGCATGGCGATGCTCGTGGTCGCAACCACAGTCTTCTTATATTACACATTATGGACCCTGTTCATGGTATGCCACATTCCACAGGCATGAGGCTCTCGACTAACCTTTGCAGCCGTTTGTGGACGACGATCATCCGCTTCAGAGCCTGTTCCCGCCGCGCGTCTGGGCAATCCGAATCCCTGTCATCCTCACTCTTCTTGGATCGGCAGTCGTAGGGACATTCCTCGCCATGGTCATGATCAGAAGCAATAGAAAGAAGGCGGCAAAGGCTAGGGCCGCTGCGGCCAAGAAGTCGAAATAAGAGAGGACGCAGATTGAGAATACATACCCAGTCTCAATGGCATTCAGGCTGAGAGCATTCATGCAGTCATGATGGGTTTCTTGCCTTCAATAGGGCGGAGATTGACAATAATGTAGCACCTGGAGACCTCTCCGTACAACAGGACCAGCTGGCGTTGAGTGAACGCAGTTTCCCCTCCTCTCAATGAAGAAGTAGGTGTGTTGCAGCATCGTCTGCGAGGGTCCGGGACTTGATTGTGGTTGAGCCCATTCATATGCCTGGAAAGTGACAAGGGATCTTGTACCTATTAATCGTCGATGGAGCCAATATCACGGATCAATGGAAACTTCCCACCAAAGCTCTTTCCCGGCTCGGACGATGCATCGTTGTCTGCATGAGCAAATCAGTCTAGCATGCCAGCTCAGAGGTGGCACTGCGCCCTATTGCAGTCTTAAATTCTGCCTGGAGCGCCCGTCTGTGGTTGTCCCAAGTGGGGAGAAACATGAGGCATTGGAGGAGACTGGATTGTGAGTCAGGCGTTGAGCGTCTAACGAGTTGAAATTTCGCTCATCCTGTGGCCCCTCCACTGCTACATTTTAGCTCAAGAGGACACCTGGGAACAAGATAATGGATACTGAGGACAATTAGTGTTTGGCGGCAACGGAGTGTAGAAGGTGCTGGAGGTGACGACGTCCCTATGGCCGGAGTTACGAATAGTATTAGGAAACTGCGAACAGCCTTGCTATTTTGGTGACTTGTGACTCGCCCAGCCACACTGGCATCCCGCGGTCACAGAGTCGGTCATTTGCGGCACCGTCACCATCCGTGCGGGGAGACATTCCCAAGACTGCGCCCAAGTGCTTGGATTCAGCGACCATTCACACGCCCTAGCAGCGCCCCGTTGCCGATAAGCAGGTCACTAGAGTTCACCTCGAAGGCCTCCTGACTCAATGTACGGGAAGCTGCTCTCAGCACAGTACATATATGTGATGCCACCTGACTTGACTCTGACTACGACTACCGCCATTCCTTCTTCTGAGCAGACAAAGAACAAGACACACATAAGTCCCTCGTTGCACGCTACCCATCTGTCCCTCCTTAGAACCAAACACGCAACTGCTAGTGCAAGCTGATCGACGGCTCGAGACCACTCCTCACCCATTCTCTCTCCAAGCGACGCGTCAAACAACCCCGCGCCGAACCCTCGATTCACTCCTGATCAACTACACAGCGTTCTTACATACACTGCGGACTTGGTTCCTTCTCTTGCCTGGTTGCTTGGAAAGAGTAGTCAGCTAAGACCCTCACACGGTGTCTCATCCCAAATCTTGAATGCCCGCATCCAACAAGCCAGCCCCCGTCGAGTCTAGGATTACAGAAAGAGAAGGCTTCCAAACCGTGGTAGACCAGGATCGTCCCGCCTCAAGAGCAGGAAAGCGAAAGACAAAGAATGCTGCTGTTAAACGGCTGTCCAGCCCCGATCATGCCGAAAAAGGTGTCGACTCAATGGGTCAATCTCAACAACCCCCCGTCTCCCCAAACCCTCCCCCTTCCATCCTGGGCCAGTTGCCCCAGGCATTTCCTTCAACCAGAAAGATGAGTCCGTTCGACGCCCTGAACGATGTGAATGCTTCCCAAAAGGTGTCCGACGAGCACACTCCCCCGACCGACAATTGGGCTCGGAGCGCTACCCATGGCAGAACTCCCCCAGTCGAACCCATTCCGGGTCTCACCACAGGCGGATCTCCCCCATATGAGCCTGGCTTTAGTAATCGAGGCGTCTTCAATAGCAGAAGCCCTCCTATCTCTCCTCCTCTGCGGAAGGCCCGTCCAGTTAGCTACAGCAGTGCTATTCCTCCACTCCCGACTCACTCGAGAATCTCGACCTCGCCCTATGGCTATGGTATGACGGCCTATGGATCTCCGCCTGTCCCGCCTCATCTCCCTCAACAACATTTCTACGGGCCTCATGACGTTGACTTGGGCCTGCACCCCCCGCATACGCCTCTACCAGAACCTGTCCCGTTGAAGTTCGCTCGTCTTCCAGGTTCTGGAGCCGAGTCTCGCGAAGCTGCCTTGCTGGCTGTAGACGGCGAATTGCATGTTGTTAGCTACAATGGCGATAAAGCGGAACATGTGGGAGCGCTCAGCGGCTTGCAGGGTACCATTCTGGATGCCACACTGCTCACGTGGAACACTGGCGAAACCCCTTTTGCGGACTACAGGCCCTTAGTTGCGCTCACCGTCTTTGGGCCCGGCGAGTCCCCATCTGGTTCTCCGGCTCAAGAAGACCGACCCTTTCCGGGCAGTCACCACAAACCTTTCGAGACGAAGGTGGTGGTATATTCGATGAGCAAGGGCTGCCAGGTCGCCGAGCTACTGAGAGTGCAAACACTCATGGAAGGCTTTCCTGGAGTGCCTCCAAGCATCAGCCATGCAGCAAACTTGAAAGTCTATTCGAGCGGCAACTTTCTCGTTGTGGCATCAGGTGACAGTGGGGAGGCGTTTGTCTTTTCCATTCGACAAGGCAAGGACTCCGCAGTATTCGAATGCTTAGGCAAGTACTGGACCACGATACAGCCTCAGCTGCACCGGAGAGACTCCTCCTCTCATGGACCAGGGTCAGATGCAGATGTTTCACCTGCCGACCTCGGTCGTGGCCCGGATTGCCAGAATCTCCCCATGCTCAGTCTTAACGGGCGATGGTTTGCTTTCTGTCCTGCAAGCACACCTTCACGAAGGTCTATTGGGGCTATCTTGGGCGATTACGTGGTTCATAATAAAAACTCCAATATTGCCGCTGGAACAGCTCCTTCACGCCCTTTGCCCAATTGCGACGTTGAGTCTCCGGATGTCGACACATTCCTTAGCAAGGTTGCCAAAGGATTCGCCCAGGAGGCGGTCCGGGGTGCGAAATGGATCAGTGAAAAAGGCATGCAGACCTGGCAGAGTTACTGGAAAAGGGACACTGCCAGCCCCAACACGCAAGGTGCTCCGTCCTCGAGTCCTCCAGTCTACTCTCCTCAGCTTGGTCTGGTACAATTTCCACCTACTCACGCTATTGACCAGCAAGGCATCGCGAAGGACCCGGATCTTGTCACGATAATAGACCTGAAGCTGCTCCAAGACAACCAAGGCCGGAAAGTCACTTCCGAGTCTAGCCCAATGGTCACCTTCCAGCCACCAGGGGGTTGTAGCTTCCTGTCATTCGCGCCAACCGGCCTCGGCCTTTTGACAGCCAATCGCAAAGGCGATGTGCAGTATATCTGGGATCTGATGCAGATGAAATATATCCGAGTTTCGACAACCTCAAATCCTGCTGAGACGGGGCGTGTGCGGCAAATTGCCCGCTACGAACGCCTGAGTCCTTCCTCAATCGTTGATGTTGCCTGGGACGGCACAACTGGCTGCCGGTTTGCTATTCTGACGAAGAACCGGACAATTCACATCTTCGACCTGCCCAAAGCTGCCTTTCAGTGGCCGCCACCTCCTACCAAGAAAGATCGACCGACTTCTGCGCCAGTTGATCCTTCCCAGGTAAAGACAGACCATGATCCCGCCCCGCCCGGAGGATTCTTTGCCTCTGCTATGAGCATTGCAGGTAGAACACAACCGATGCTGGCAAGCCTACGTGGGAGGGCACCAAGTATCAGCAGTGGGGTGGTTGGGATGGCTCCGTCGGGAATTGGGTTTGCCTCTACGACCACTATCAAAAGTGGTAGCAGGGCAGTGGCGGCTGGACTTAGCAAGTCTCTGGGTGCCGCTACCGAAACTGTTACCAGTATACGACACGCAAATCAGAGCAGACTTCATCTGAAGATTCCAGCCCGAGTGGGGATATTTTGTTGGCTGCGGCGTGATGGAAAGTCAGTATTATCCATTCTAGACGAGAGCAACATCAAGAACTACTACGTACGGATGACAAAGCCTAGAGAGAACCGCCAGATGGAGACGGTATCCGTGTTCGATGCACGAAGGGCAGTCGCAATTAAACTCCCCAAGGCTGCAGAACTCGCTGCAGATCTCCCCTCGAAAAGCCGCTCGAACGAAGCACAGGAGGACAGCAGTGAGAGCTCAGCACTGCTCAGCTTCTGGAAAATTCGAGCTGCCAGAGATGGAGGTTTGAGAATGCCGCATCCGCTCGCTTCGGCTGAAATTGAGACCAATGCTCCGTACCAGCCTTTCCATTCAGACCGCAGAGTCACCATCTCTCTATTTCCAGATGGGTCAAAGACCAAGCTTGGAGGCAATTCGATTGCGAAGTCTGGTCATGCTCCTGTCGCCGAAAATCTGGGTTCAACGTCCCAGCAGAAATGGGTTTTTGGTGACGAGGTTCTCTCATATACACAGAACATCACCAGTAAACAAGCCATCGACGAAGGCTCTATCATTTATCGAGAAACGACAGTTTTCTCTGGCAGCACAACTTTGACCACAGGCACTACCGGACTATTGGAAGACGAAATACCTCAAGCCGTTAGTAACACCAAGAAGAAGAAAGGCAAGAAAAATCGAACGCAGGCCCGGTTGTTTGAGCATGACAATGCAAGCGGAAGTCTGATGGATTTTGCGGCGCAAGATGTCCCGTTTGAGCCGGACGAAGACTTGCTGAGAGGCGAAAGTCCCTCGTGAACATGGCAGGCTGCGTGCAGAGATCGCTGCGACTGTCTTCTGCCCCTTGGATTGTTCCATGGTATTTCGTTTGCAATGAAGAGCCAGTTCTAGCTGTCGGAGTTGCTTGTAATACCCTTGCGTCATGTCTAGTGGTCTCTTCATCTCGCACCGGCACATGAAAGTGTCAATTCAACTCCTTTCTGCTGGACCATTTAAGCAACGTGGGATCTGCTTTTCTGCTCCATAGCATCAGAACACGAATACCTGGCTTTGGCCAATGCCCGAGCACTTTTCCGTTCGCAACATTCAAACCAAGTCCTATTGTTAGTCAACTTGCTCTGCAAGCACCATCCAAGCGGGCCTGTGCCGCCGGAGTATCAAGAGGAAACGGTCCTTGATCATTCTTTTTGGGTGTTTACCATTTTCATTGGGTTTTCCGTTCGCCGAATGCACAACTCTTTTTATCTCATCCAGCCAGTTCCATCGGCTCCTTACGCTCAACAAAGCATTCGACAAGCATCAAGATCAACAGCTACCGACTCCGACATCACTCCCACAAATATATATTCTGATGAGCCAAAGCCTGTAGAGCGGGTACAAGCATTCATTGCCGTCGAGGACTCCTCCGCTGCAACAGCCTACAGAATTTGTGACAAAGGACTCATTGCGCGGCTAGGTGCGACGGAGTTGAATGCTTCTCCCGGGGATCCAGGCCGCTTGAGATAATCGGCATCCCCATCCATGTCGTTTGGTCGACCACTGAGGATATCAACTATACCCTTGACCGGCCGCCAATATTCGTTAATTTGCCGACGCAGTCTCCAGTCCGTCTGTGTCGCTTCCAAGCCATAATCGCTGCCCATGGGACTGAAGACAGCGTCGGACCCCTGGATGCCGATGATGGCAGCGTTCAGGGGATTGGCGTTTATTTCCTCCTGGCTCTTTCCAGCGAAGTTGTCTTCGAGGAATTGCATACACTTGATCGCCAACTTGAACGATCGAATGCGGTCAATTGGCGAGGGCTTCATTCCCTGTTGATAATGGGCGGGGACCGCAGCACGGGCGTCGAATCTGCCTTGTGCCTCGACATTGATCACATCGGCGATCATTTGCGTCGTGTAAGTTTGACTTGCGCGCTCGTTTCGGAGGATGATCTTTCCTGCCCGCGACGCCCCCTTGTCGTCCTGGAAATCTTCGCGGATAAAGTCGATGTCTCGCAACAGCATGTGCATGTTGACCCCATCTTCTGGCGTGTAAACGGCCAGGGCACCAACGGCAAGACCTGTCATGGTGGCCAGATAACCAGACTTGCCACCCTGTGTCTCGACCACGAACACTCTTCTCCTGGAGGCCGACGCCGATTGCCGGATCACATCACAGAACCCGACTAGGGTGTTGAGGCAAGTGTCGCTGCCCAACGAGTACTCGGTTCCAGGGACGTTGTTGGAGATGGTCGCTGGCAGGACGAGGAGCGGAATGCGAAAAGACGGATACCTGTCGCGGCTGTTCCTGATCTGGCTGGCCGAAGTAAAGGCCTCGAAGCCTCCGATCAAGAAGAGGGCGTCGAATTTATATAGGTCAAAACAATAGGCAGTCCGCGCGAGATCTTCGCTCGGTAGACTTCGATTAGTGCCCAGCTCTGAACCGCCTTGGTTCACCCAGTCGTCAACGTCAATCCATTTGAGTTCTCGGACTGAGCCAATAGGTTTATCGTCGTGGTGCCTCTGCAATCCTGGAAAGCCGTTGTGTATGGCCAAGGGTGTGTGGCCGCGAGAAAGACAGTAGGCCACGGCGGCTCGAGTTGCGGGATTCATGCCGGCCGCGGGGGCACCGATATGAATAATGGCTATCCGCATGTGCTTTTCCTTGGGCAATCGCAGACGAGGCCTCTCTTCGGTCGTGGACGTGGTGAGCTTGTAGCTATCAAAGTAGTCCTTGAACTCGATGTCGCGCAGCTTCATGGCCTTGGTCCAATCTTTCTCTTTGACGGCCACGCCCGCGGCTTTTGTCAGCCGGACGCATTCCTGCAGGTCGGCCCTCAGGATCTTGTTCCCGCGGACCGTAATGACAGGCGAGGGCGTCTCGGGCGTGGCCTCGAGGAGCGCCTTGACTGCCTCGACGCCCTGTAGGGTCGCGAGCCAGCGGTCATAGTACGAAGGCAGGCCGCCTCTTTGGATATGGCCCAGAACGGTTTTCCGGGTGTCGAGGTCCAGTTTCTCGGTCAAGGCCTTGACGACCTGGTCGGCGGTGATCTTGTTGAGTTCGGTGTCCTGCGCGCCTTCGGAGATGATGATGATGGTCCGTCGCTTGCCCAGCTTGCGGTGGCTGGCCACGATCTCGCACATCTCGTCCACCCAGTCCTGGCCGGGCGGCTTCTCGGGGATGAAGACGTAGTCGGCACCCGTGGCGATCGAGGCCATCAGGGCCAGCCAGCCGCAGTTTCTGCCCATGACCTCGATGACGAACCCGCGCATGTGCGACGCCGCCGTGTCGAAGACGGCGTTGACCATCTCGCAAATCCGCTCGAGCGACGAGTAGCAGCCGATCGTGGCGTCGGTCCCCGAGAAGTCATTGTCGATGGACCCGACCAGGCCGCAAATGTTGAGATGACGGTACGGCTCGATCTGCACGGGCGAGAGTTGTCGCGTCTGCACCAGCTCGTCCAGCAAGCTGGGCCATTCGGCCCTGAATCTGTCGGCACCCGTCAGACTGCCGTCGCCTCCGCAGATGATGAGTCCGGAGATGCCCTTCAAGATCAAGTTCTTCGCGGCCTTGAGCCTGCCGGCCCTCTCGAAGAACTCCTGGCACCGTCTCGTGCCGATCAAGGTACCCCCGAGGGAAAGGTAGCCGCGGACATCGTCCCAGAACATGCGCTTGATTGCATCTCCGCCCTGCACGAGACCTTGGTAGCCTTCGAGAACAGCGTAGACCTCGCATCCCATGTGTATGGACATGCGGACAACCGCCCTGACCACCCCGTTCATGCCCTGTGAATCTCCTCCGCTCGTCATGACACCGATCCGCCTCGTGCTAGCTGACGGAGTATCCACGCTGAGCACCATGATGGATGGTTTGACCACAATAAGCTCGCTGCTGGGGGGTGAATAACAGAAGCTAGAAGTGCACGAAGCGCGAATATGCACTCGGCAGAGAAAAGAGAGCGCAAAGGAGGAAAGGGCCAGAGAGGGATGAGAAGAGGTAATAACCTGCCCAAAGACAACGCCATGCACATTGTATCTTGGAGTGTTGGTTGGTTGGTACTTTGGCCTTTTGGTAACCAGATCATCACACCACAATCCCCGGACAGTAGGTAGATTCGGCCGCACACGCAGGCCTAGTTGGGAGAGTGGTGTGGAGGATGATGGACATGATGGTTGGGCACATGATGGTTGTCCCAGCATAGAATGCCTTGTTTTCTTGTCTCTAGCAACCTACCTGGTTCCCGTGAAATCGAGCTGCCTTTGCCCCTTTGCCCTGCTCGTCGACATTGAATCTCCGTTGGTGAGTTTCGACGCCAAGAGACGATAGTAAGTAGCGAGGGGTAAAGACGTGGGTTCATTCATTTCTTGTCCTACCACCAAATGGTTTCTGTTCATGGGACATTCTATGCGGACACAGAGTTCTCGCGTCGTGTCATAGTATGTGCATACCACGGAGTAAGATAAGTATGGGCAGAGATGAAGGTCGCGGTCCGAAATGACCACTTTATCTGTGTCGCCGAGGATAATATCTTTTATCCCAGAGGGTCACGCCGATCATGTCGCCTCGCATAATGTACGTTGCAGATCATGACTCCGCTATCGATTGAGCCAATATCTGCGACCATGGCAGTCATGGTGCACCCTGGAAGTCCAGTGCCTCTACCAAGGGCGGCCAACCTCTACATTATGCGGTGCGACACGGGCGCCTCCAAGGCCATTCACCGTCGAGCTCTTCCTCCGAGACGGCGCCCCAGGCAAGAGTAACATGTTCAACAAGGGCCATGTCCAGACGGACGAGATCGGTAGCTCCTGGCCGTCGCTATGGTACTGACAGGTACTAAATCTAGGCCAATAGATATATACACATATAATTTACAAAAACCCTTCCAGGCTGGACGCCGCCAAGCACATCAATGGGCAATTCACTTCAATGGGCAATTCACTTCAATTGACAATTCACTTCAATGGACAATTCACTTCAATGGACAATTCACTTCAATGGACAATACACATCGATTGACAACAATGGACAATCCTGAATACCTCAACTACTCAATGTTGTCAAGTGAGTCATTTGCTTGTCTTCACTCGTGGCAGCAGGTACGGCTCTCATTCTACAGAAATGCAGGGTAGCTGCAACGACACCAGAGGAACCACATTCCATCTATGTGACCTGTGCATTGTTTCCCTTTGTTTGGTATGCACATTCGGCTCTCTAGGATACTTACCTTGACTGCGATGTTTGTTGGAATGCACTGGTCAAACGCAATCTCGGGTCTCTGCATCACGCCTATCTCATATATCAGCATTGCCCTCCTCAGCCCTGACGCGATTGCGAATCTTGCTAAGGCAATTTGCAGCTCTCATTGAACCTTCTGAAGCGTCGCTGTCCCTCGCGTGACAATCGGCAAGTTCGCTAAAATGGCGTCGCACGGATACGCAGTCTTCTTTCCCGAAGGCACCGGCTATCTCAAAGTCCATGAATTGGAACACAGCAATAGCCACCACAACAACCTCGTCTGGAGCATCGAAGATGGGGAGGCATATGTGAGGGTAAAGCGTCAGCCCTGGTCTCGCCCTGACAAAAGCGCGCAACCATATGCTGAGATCAAGCACTATCGCGAAGTCAAGGGAGTGCCCAAGCTCCTGAACGCCTTACACTTTGAACATCTCCAAAACGACGAGCCTCGCCGCAGCGAATTCATATCCGTCTCCACCATCTGGTCTTACCTCAACGGCGGAAACCTGGGCGAATTCCTGGAGGCCAATGAGTACAGCCCAGACCCCAAATACAATTTCTTCGCCCCGGGGCTGAAATCCCCAGAAGCCCTCGAGATATTCGTCTGGCACTTTTTCGACCAGATCCTGCAGGTCTATCTCAATCTCTACGAGAGGGGGATTGCTCCTGGGGAGGGCTGGTGCAACAACGTCATGTTGCATTTTCCTGACGACAAGGCCAAGCTACCAGATGTCTATCTGTGCGACTTTGAGCGGGCGGGCCCTGTCGATGAAAAGAGCGTGGAAAGAGGGCTGGCAACGATCTTCGTGAACCTCACCTGCATCATGACGAGGCAAGAGCCCGCCACCGAGAGCGCTGACTGCAGGCTCATCTCCGACCAAGGCGTGCCCGATCCTCAATTCTCGGATGAATTGCTAGAGTGCCGCGTGGAGTTGGGCAAGATGTGCTACTCGGCGCTAACGGGCGACTACGAAGTGAAGGTTGACAATGACGTCCCCCAGCCCAAGAAGAGCTCGTCTCTCGGCCTGCCGATGCTGCTGCAAGAGATCAGGAAGCTCAAGGCCAAAGTGGCTCAGCACGCAAGGCAGGCGAAGGACAAGGCCTCTTCGTTACCTGACATGCGAGGGCTGCGACAAGACCCGGAACCGTGGGAGCCGACATTGTACAACTCGCGGGCCGAGCTCATCAACGACTCATTTCACACGGGAGGACCTTGGAACATTGCAAGGGTCGACTTCGAGACGGGCAAGATCCTGGCGGTGGAAAAGGCCAAGTACAATCTGCATCTCCCGCGCGTTAACAAGGAAGGGGTTTACAATCCGCCTTTACCCGGAGACGTCCTGCTAGAGACGGACGTCAACCTCTTCACAGTTGGACAGCAGGCCCTCGACCTGGCGGAAAAACAAGACAAGGCCAAGGCCGGCGAGATCGTACACCTTATCTTCGAGGTCGACCCTTTCTGGACAGAAGAAGAGCTCTATAACCCGTTAGGCGAAGGCGGCATGAGTCCTCCTTACAAGAATTCTACGAATTTGGGTCCGACATCGTCAAACGCCAGCCAAAACACAGGAGGAACGGGGAAGGACAAGGCAAACGACGCGACCAAGTCCCCTACCAAGTCGCCCGCCAAATCGCCCGCCAAATCGCCCGCCAAGTCCCTATCGTCGGCGCCGCACAAGCAGGCAACGGGAACAGGCTCGGTAGACAATACGGCAGCGGCAGCGACAACCACAACGACAACCACAACGCCGGCGGCGGCGGCCAGCCCCAAACCGGACGCGCAACCAAAATCCGCAACAGCGACGAGAGCGAGTACGACAAAGAAGCCTGCGTCGTCGGGAGCGAGTAAGCGAAAGACCGGTCCGAAGGCCAAAGCGACGAGGACCAAGGTTTCAAAGGCCAAGCAGACAAAGGCAACGGCGACGAAGGCCGCATCCAAAGCGAAAGCCGCACCCAAAGCGAAGGCCACGCCCAAACCAAAGACCACGCCGAAACCAAAGACCACGCCGAAAGCGAAGGTCGCACCCACAGCGAAGGCCGCACCGAAACCGAAACCCGCATCTAAATCGAAGGCCACAGCCAAACCGAAGACTACAGCCAAACCGAAGGCCACGCCTAAACCGAAAGCCACAGCCAAACCGAAACCCAATCCAAAGAACACTACCACTACCACTACCACCGCCACCACCACCAAGAGAAAGCGCCAAGCCACCACTCCACCGCCCGGAACCCGACACTCCAAGCGCCTGCGCGGCGAGCCATCCGACGGCAAATCTCTGCCTTACTGAGGTCTATTCGTTTAAGTCCGCTAATATACTGCGCTCGTTTCCGCTGGGGCATCGAGTACGTATGTACGATCACGGCGAGGAACAGCAACAGCATGCGGCAGACCTGCAGACGCGCGCGCGATTCGTGAAGGGGGAGAGCGGTAGAGGGAGGAATCGGAGGATGAGTGAAGGAGAGGGGACCATGGGATGAATCTTCAGGTGGGATGAAAAATGATAAGTCGCGCTGGTGGAGTCCATCTCGTCAGGCGTCGAGGGCCGAGAAGGGCTGGTCAGTTGTAATAACAACAACATAATAATGGTCACTAGGTTCCTGTCAGTGAGGTGGAAAATGTCGTCTTCTAGCTAGTTACGTTGCCGTGGTGGTAGATTGCTAGACTCAGAAAGAGAAGAAGAAGCCATGAAGATGAAGCCGGGTCCTTGCAGTACCTGACCTAAGTAGCCAAATCCTACTGTTCTATGACCCCTATGTTCTTCGCCTTCAAGCAACATAGACCCGCGCGAGACTGAAGCTCCTCCAACACCTACAATACCTCCCGCTACCTCTCGCTCACGTCCTTCCTCCCTTCCTAACCCCGAACCATGTTCACCCTCCTTCTCGACCTACAGTATTTAGAACCCAAGATTCGCACCTGTAATCATGGCCAAATCACCCCGGAGCTCCCAAATACTCCCACCAGCCTTGTTAGCGCTGTTGACGCGCTGCTGCGTGCTCGTCTCCCACCACCTCCTCACCAGATCTCCATCAATGACGCCGCGGCCGCCGATCCCGTCGGTCTCGACCTGGCGATATGCGCGCGGGTTGAGGCTCGCGGGCTGGTGGTCGAGGGTGGCGAGGATGGTGTTCTGCAGCGTGGAGAGGCGGCGGTAGGTGGCTTCGCGGAGAGGGGTGAGGAGCGCGAGACTGCCGGATTGTGTGGTGATGAGGATCTGAGAAGGAGGTTGCGGTTGCGTATTGGTGTTGTGAGAGTCGTCCTCGAGGTCCATCTCGTCAGAGTCGACGTGGTTAGTGGAAACAGATGGCGGTGCTATTAATGTCATGGTCGTCGGAACCGCTCCCGTGTGAAATGTGCTTCTCAACAGGAGCTTTGTTCCGCGCTCCGTCTTTGGGTTTTCCGGGTCATACTGCAACACCCTCAACGTGCCATCCTCGTCCGAGGAAATGATGTACAGTTGCTTCCCGTCCGGCAAGAACTCGGCGGCGAGCACGGCCGGGTTTTCCAGGTCACGGCCCAGAATCTGCAGCTTGTACGGTTCCTCCGAGTACCCTACCAGCCATAGCCCGGAAAAGGCGTCTCCCAAAATGCAGAGACCTGTTCCGGGAAGCTCCTTGGCGACGTGGACGTAGTATCGCATATCCAAGAACGCGACGGGCAGGATGGACATGTCCTCCTTCAACCCGCGCACCATGCATTTCTGGCCCTGCGCAGCCAGGAGGAACCCCTGAGACCCCACGCCCGAGATCGCAGAGACGGCACCGCGCACGTCTTCTCGTGTTATGAGCTTGAGTTTGAGATCTGTTTCGGGCACATCCGGCTGGGGGACGACGTCCACAACGTCGAATATGTACAGATTCCCCCGCGTGGTGACGTTTTCTCCCTTGACCAGAGCTGTGCCCACGACGATCAGGTCTTTGCGTTCGTGCGTCTCCTCGGAAACCTCTAGATTGAGTGATTTCACAGAGAGGATCCTTTCGGAGTCGTCAAAGGTGTACTGGCTTATGACTCGATGGGTTTTCGAGCTGAGAAGCTGAAGTGTAGATTGCACCGTGGCGGGGAGCAAGGTCGTGGCTTCGTTCTGCCATTCAGGATGCCATTCATCGTCTTGGGGAAGTTGGAAGTCTACAGCGTGGTTTGTGGCAAGGACGTAGGAGTTTGTAGGAGCAAAGTAGCTAATAGAGGCGATATCCTGGCCGAGCGGGACGCGCTTGATGACCCAGTCTGAGTGGCCCAGCATTAGCGCCGGAGGAAGCTGAGAGAAGCAGAGATGGTCGGACTCGTCGATGTACACGAAGCCATTGCGGCAGCTCCCAGTGTGAATTGCACTCATTGAATTGACATTTTGCAACCCCAACTCGTAAACACGAGGCATCGTGGACGCTTCGCGCAGGATGAGCATTGGATGCAGTCCAGGGACGAACACAGAAGCGTGGCCGGCGAGATTTTTCATGACATGCATCGGCCGCAATGAAGTCTCTTCACCTTCTTCCTCATCTTGATCTTCAGGCGCCTCTGCTGGCTTGGTGGAGACTTTCTTGAACTTGAAGCTTCCCACCACCTCCGGGTCTACGAAGGGCTCATAAAGAATGACGTCTCCTGTCGTGTTGCGGGCGACCAAGTATGGTCGAAAATCTGTGGCGTCCCCTAGGTCGACAAGGAGTGTTTCTGCCAGATCGTCTTTGTTCCTCCAGTGCTTCGGCAATTGGAGGCCTTGCATGAGATATGTGGGAAGGAACGGCAGGCTCTCACACTGAAATACCTCGAGTGCGGTGTTTGGTAGCGACAGTAAGGAGAAATGCCCTTCAGAGGTCAGCAATGCGAGGACCGGTCCTCGTGACGCTCCAGCACCCTCATAGAATCTTGATGTCTGGAAGAAATCGCTACTGTCATGATAGAGCGAGGCTGATAGGACAGACTTGTTCTTGAGAGACGTGGATACTTCAACTTCATCCAATTCACCGGCTCTATCGGCTTTGAGCAAAGTCATGTTTCCGTCGTCTCTGATGAGGATGAGATACGATTCGGCAAAAGTGGCCTTGACTGCCCTCGCTGTCTGACCTTCTTCTTCATCCACGACAGGAAAGATCTGGGACAGTCCGAAATTGGCGTCGTAAACGCGTACTTCTGTCGAGAGTACTTGAACTGTGTGATTCGTCGATTCCAATTTGAAGACAGATATGGTAGAGCCAGCCGACTCATCGAAGTCGGTGTTCTCGATTGGGACCAGGCTGTCATCAGCCAGTGAAAACAAGGAAGATTTCCCGACGCCGTCTGGAGTCACCTGTGAGACCAGAATGAGGTTATCAAATCGAGACTCGACATTCTCGTTCTGATTTTTTCCGCTAGAATTGAAGCACCAGAGTCCAGTGGCGTCGTCGTACTTTATTCGCTGCGTTACCTCTGGCTCCATCTGCCTGCGGATGAACGCGATCCCACCAGCATTGCCTCGACCATATGCACAGACAAGTTCGCGCTCTGGTGAATAATGCCGGTCTGTTTCATCGGCATCATCACGCTTCCGCTTGCCCAGAGTCCCTGAGGCAATATCATTGATTGGTGCTAAGCATGTAAGCCGGTCGACCAGTCGAAAGCTCTGGCCGCTCAGGTCGCCTGATATATGGCCATTGCGTCCGTCGGTAATTTCGGCATAGAGATCATCGTCATCGTCGAATCCATCTTGTTCGTCGTCATCCTCCTGGGGCTCGACTTCAGTGGCTTGTATCTGCGCTCGGGAGCGGATTCGCTTCAACTGAGGGGCCTTCTTCTCCGTCGCCAGAAAGACTGAGTCGGCCTCTTCGCTCCCGATGAAGAGGCGATTCGTTCCGAGATTTGCCGTGCAAGACGCTGCGCCCATGAACAGACGTTGAGTTTGTGCCTCTCCAAGTCGACGAAGCGTCATCCCAGAGACCGAACGACCGTCCATCCGGAACGTCAAGAGAGCAAGTTCTCCAGACCTCAAAATGATCAGCATGTCGCCATTTGCATTTCCTAGGTGCTCGACCTGACAGCCTTCCAATTTCAGACGAGCCTCGGAGTGGTCAGCCATGGAAAACGAAGAGGCCTCTCTCGCCAATTCATTCACGGCCACAGCGCTTGATTTACCTCCTTGATCGATATGGATCAGTTCGTTGCCACCAACCAGCAAAGCACCGCCAACTGGTAATGGAAGAGCAATAATCCGATAGAGGTCATTGGGAAGCTTCTGAACAGATTGCAAAGTGGTTGACGCCTTTTGATCGAGATCCAGGGCGTAGACCGCGTATATCGTGACATCCCGCCGCTCGGGGCTCATGTTTGAAGAGCGAGCAGCGGAAGAGTACAGTATACCAATGGTAGGATCGCGATACTCGTGGAGGAAAGCAATGTCGACAGGATGTAGCAACCCAGGATCAAGTACAGTCAAAGGCAGAACAAATGATGGACTGTATGGCGTTTGAGGCCCATCAATGTGCCCGTCACCTTGCTCTGTGTGCAGAGGCTTTTCCTTATCCTCCCCGTCAAGGTCATCCAAGTCGTCAATAGCCAGATCGTCTCCGGCCTGGTGGAAAGGAATAATAGCGAGATTACTGACGCCGAAATTGAAGGCGGCACATCTACTTGATGGATCAATCGTCAGATGACTGACACACTCAGCGAGATCAGGTTGCCACGGAGCGGACTGGAGATCATGATGCTCGTAGAAATGTATTGACAGAGTAGATATGCTATGCAACTCGGGGTCCCATTCGATAAGGCTCAGCTTAGCATCACGAAGAGCAATGAGGACGACATCCCCTCCACTTTTCGCGTCGGCAATCTTGACTTTGCCTAACGAGGTGACTGTCCCGGCCAAGCTGTACTCGGCGATCAAGACAAGTCTCGTCTCCTGACCGGCATTGACTGGCTTGCATTGGAAGACCTGGAGCAGGGATGTCCGCGCAATGATCAGATTGTCGGCATTGCTTGAGGTGAAGGAGAGTGAGAGGGCATGAGTGACGCCCGAAGGAGGAATGAGCTCGGAATAGCACTGCATTCTGAAGTTGGGGTTGGAAAGCAGGTGACAAGTGGTTGGATGAGTGCCTGGAGCACTATTCTCTTCCTGGCACTTCCATGGGCAATTCCAAGAGCCTCGTTTGGTGCCGCATCACCGAAGATCGGCAGATTGAAGGAGGAATGTAGAGATTGACATATCTCACAGAGAAGACTTGAGGGCATCAAGGGGCCAAGGCACGACTTGGATTTGATATTTTGGCCTTTCACGTGACCACGGACTAGCAAAACCGTACTAGTCCGAATTTAGAAAGACAACACAAAGTGGGCAGCTATGACGACGGGCTGCCCGTCACCCACCAGTGCCTCCCCGACTCCCTCGCCTCTTCCATCACACGACGCCTGAGGTCACGACTGCGCCTGACTCCCCGCGCTACAGCATTTCTCTTGCTTTCGCATCCTTTTCACTCCGCATCCTTCGCATCCCATCCAGCTGGCCTGAGATGCACACGCTGTGCCATTGCGAACAGCCATAACCCAATTGAAGGACCCCATGCTGCTCTTCCCATTGACAATGACGGGGCTCGATGACCCAGATTACTCGACCATGGCCGCAGCTGGCTATATCCAAATCACCTTGATTTGGGTCGTCTATGCCATCGCCGTGGTCCTCCTTCTCTCCATCGCCTGCCTCTTTGTCTACCTCTACCAGACCCATCGAGAGCGGTCCATCTTCGTCACCATTGTCTGCATCTTCACGATCACATGTTTGCTGGCAACCGTCCTCTTGCTTCCGGTCGACGTCGCGCTGGTCTCTAGTACCACAAGCTCAAAATTGGGCCAGCGGAAGGATTGGGCAACTCAGGGGAAGGTCGATAACATCACCTTTACCCTCCGGGTTGTATACTATCTTCTCTACTCGCTCGATGCTCTTCTCTGCCTGCTCGTCATTCCCTTTACCTATTTCTGGTACGAAGAATATGATGAAGTCGCTCAAGAGGAGGGTACGCAAACATTCGGCTCCAGATTCTGGGCTGCGTTCAAATACACTCTGGCGTTCGTCTTCCTCTGCGTCGCGCTTTTCCTCGTGGGCTTCTTCGTCCCTGTCGCCCGCCACAGAGAGGGAGCTCATTTCGACCTCGACTTCTTCAAGAAGCTGCTGGCCGAAAACCACGGTGAACGTGCCTTGACCTTTGCGCTCGGCCTTTTGATCACGATTGGTATCCTCATCTACTGCTTCTACACTGCAGCTGGCCTCGCGCTTCTTCCCCTCACTCTGATCAAGTCCGCGCCCAGTATCTCGGCGCCGGCATTGAGCGAGTCTAGCGCCTCTCAGTTGGAAAGCAATCTCGAAAGGCAGCGACAACTGGAGGGCCGCGCACAGGGCAATCCTGATGGGTTGTCCTCCAAAGACCAAAGAGAGTTGGACGCGCTTGTTCGTGAGGAACGCACTCTTCGTCGCCACCAGCGGCTCGCCGAAGAATCCTCGGGGAAAGATCAAAACATTTTCTGGAAGATCTGGATCAAGCTAGGCGCCATTTTGCGGCCTATCAAGCTGATCCTCGGACTTCTTCTGGTCATCATTGTTCTATTGATTTTCGCCAGCATGCTCATTACCGGCATTGACAAGGCCAAGAACTCGATCTGCAAACGACACTGCGGCTATCTGCTCGGACACATCAACATCTTCCAACCGGTCAACTGGATCCTGGTCAAGTCCGCCAAAGTGTTCCCCATCGACTATGTCATCTTCCTGCTGATCGTGATGCTTTTCTTCAGTGCGAGCATCCTCGGCATTGCAACCATTGGTATCCGCGTCTTGTGGATTACAATCTTCAGAATCCGAAAAGCTCACACTTCGCCTCAAGCATTGTTGGTCGCAACTGTCATGCTCACTCTTATGACATTGGCTATCAACTACTCGATAGCCATGATGGTGGCTCCACAATACGCCACCTTTGGCCCTCAAACGTTCTGCGACCACCCCCTAAAGCACCCTGGGGGACGGCCCAATTGTACTGATCACCCACAGCACATTGTACCATGCACCGAGTCGACCGACAACCCTGCCGCCAGAAATGTCTGCACACCTTCTGTGGTGTCCACATTCCTCAACCGAGTGACGGTCAACTTCCCTTTCTTCGGTGTTGTGGATTTCTGGGCACAGTTCGTCTTTTTGGGAATTTTCATGCTCGGCTTCATCATTCTACTGTTCCGCACACCGAAGTTGTCAGATACAGATTCGGAAGAGGACGAGCTCGAGGAAGAAGAGGAAGGTCTGTTAGCAAGCACAGGCAGAAGGTTTGATGCGACGTGGCAAGACATCACCGGTAGGGTCAGCCACGCGGGTAGGAGGGATCAACAGGGTCGAGGGGGAAGGGACAGCACTACCTAGTGTAATTGACTCAGCAGGTTACTTGGTCGAAGGGAACAGGTTTTAGTTAGTGGTATGGAATAGTACATGAATGTTGTTGGAATCGGGTTATGGCATACGCTGCTGTTGACACGGCGATTGGACGACTAGAATCAGGCTTTATGGAGTCAACGATGGACGGGCACTATGTTATACACCCATTCCAATTATAATTTTCATTTCGTAGGAGAGTGTTTCCTCTTCTTTCTGTTGCTGTTAAGCAACAGCTCTGTCGAATGCTAGTAACGATGTGCCAATTTTATCATCACTGCAGAAAGAGACGGTGAGTTGAGGCTTCGGTCCATCCCCGCCACTTCTGGAACCAGAGTGAAACAATGTCCTTTTGACCAAGTCACCAAGTTAGGATCATGATTTCCTCTCAGATATCCATAGCCACCTCGGAATCATCATGCAGAATCTCGACCTGACAGCTTCGAAATGGGCGAGTCCCGATGTCCGTCGCGAGCGAGAATCGCAGATCCCAGCCTGGACTCGAAGGCCTCGAGGTTCCTCACCCCTTGGCCAGGATAAAGCCCCATCATTGAGCTCATTACAGCAACCACAACAACAACAACCACTCTTGCCGACTGGAGGTTCTGCGCCATCGTCGTCGTCGTCATCGAAGCCAGCGCCAGCCATCTCCGCCGCGCAACAACGCAGATATCTATCCCGGCAGGCCGACCTGCAGCGTTTCCGCCGGCTGTTTCGGCGCCTGGCGTGGAAAGCAAACAGCCTGACGCACTGGTCGCACCGCGCGCTGAGTCTGGCTCAAGAACACCACCGGAATCGCCACGCACAACAAGGCAATGGGCGGTCGCACGCTGAAATCGAAGAATGGGGGGAGGCCGCTGTCGCAGGCGCAGGGCCAGGGCCAGAGCCAGGGCCTCGGGCTACGCTGGGACCATACGAGCTGGTGATCGACCCCGTGGACGCGGAGCGGCAGTTCAAGATCGACTTTTACGAGTTCTACGCGCTGCTGGAGCGCGGGCTGGTTTGTTTGCTGGGCGTTTGGGGCGTTGTGATTACGGCTTCCGCTGCAGCAGTAACTACAGGTCCTTCGGGGGATCATGATGATGATGCTACCAAGACACGAGTCCTCAACGGCTCGTTATCACCACCACCACCACCACCACCACCACCACCTTCCTTATCAACCTCACGCCCCATCATAGGCGACTCACGCTACTTCCAAGGCGCCACGCACCGCTTCCACGCCAACGTCCTCGCCGCGCTCGACCACCCGACCTCCCCACTCCACTCCATCCTCGGCACGGGCCCCGTGCGCGAGTACATCGGGGTGGCCAAGGAATTCCGCAACAAGTGGAAGGACGTCGAGACGCGGGCCGAGGACTCGTTCCGCGACCGCGACCGCGACGACGCCCACAGGGCCGCCGAGGAGGAACGGTGGGACCCGGCGAAGACGAAACGCTACGAGAAGGTCTTGAGGGACTTGAAGCTCGATGAGTTGTTGGGCAATGTGCTCCGGGCGCTCGAGGAGGGTGGGCGTATGGCGGAGAGGGAGGTGGAGAGGTTGTACGCCTCACTAGGAGGAGGAGGACCAGGAGGACCAGAAGGACCAGTAGGAGGAGGAGCCCTCACTCGGGAGGGCGTAGGGGACCACGATGTCGATTTGGATATGCTGGACGCGCCGTTCGAGGTCGTCGACGCGGACAGGGACAGGCCGGCGGGTGATTTGGACTACGAGGTCGAGATGGAGTTTTGACGCTTTTTTTCCCGCCCCTTTTCCTTAGGCTTTGTACACAAGGGGGGGAGTACATAGGTGTTTTGTTTTGGCGGGGTTGTTTGTCACTTTTGTATCGCAACTGAAAAAAGCCATAGACACGCGAGAGAGATAGAATGAGAGAGAGAGAGACAGAGAAAGAGTAAAGCCTCCTTCCAAGGTGCAAAAAAGTGCTCGTAGTCATTCCCACACCACTCTGGAAAACGTTTTGGAGAAGAACAGCATTCCTTCCCGCCCCTTGCCTTGCGCTGCGCTATGACTAACTCCACGGGGACGAAACTGTACAGGTCCTGGGGACTACGACTGGTGACGACTGGTGACGATTGGTATGTATTGTGATTCAGCTATGGACTGCTTCCGCCTGAACTGGTATATTAACTGGTATAATAAAAAAAAATGAGAACAAATTAATCCGTCGTGGACGAATGTCTGTCCGGGATCCAATTGTACTTCCAGGTATCGTACAACGCACACTTTGCGTAATTCGTGGGTGCCCTCACACCGATACTGTCGTCGACCTCGACCCCATTCAGCGTCTGCATGCTGCAGTGCAGGACGTGGTCGTAGGACAAGAGTTCCTGGCTGATGGGTCGATTATTGCGCAGGGCGCGGACGGTCTTGTCCCACGAGAAGATGCAGTGCGCCTGGTGGTAGCTGGACGACATCCAGGCGGCGCCGTGTTCACCTTTGCGCATTTCTTCATCCGATAAAATCCTTGTGCCCTCGGCGTCGGCGTACCACGTCCAGTTGCCCTGGGCGAGGTATCTCTCCGTGAGGACGGCGTCGTAGCACGGTTCGGGGACCCAGTCTTGCATCATCACGTCGTACACGCAGCCGTTGGCGCGCGCTTCCTCGGGGCTGTAGCCGCACTCGAGGATCTGACCGGCCAGAGGGTCAGCATCTTGGACCTTTTCTTCCACCACGGAATCGACGGGTCGAGTTGGAAGTGGAAGGTCTGCGGATGATGAGGTGGTGATGGTGCCGCTCGAGGCACTGGATGTACTAATAATGGCGGGCGCTGCACTGTCGCTGGCGCTGGCACTGGCATTGCTGCTGGACGCCTTTGGACCAAGCACGATGGCGAGCGTCGCGCCCACACCAGCACTAGCTAAAAGGGCGAGGACGCCGAGCAGAATTTTCCACCATGACAGGGATGAAGGTGGTATTGGGTGCTGAGGCAGGTCCTTTTCGTCTTTGGTGTCCTCGTCATGGTCTTTGACGAGATCGTAGCGGTGACTGGGGGCCATGATTTCTGGTGATGAAAGGCTGACGAGTTCGGGGAGCGAGAGGAGGAAGTGGACGGAAAGAAAACACCGAGTGAGTGTCGCAACTCTACTGCCGCACGAGCGACGACCCGACCCTGGACATGGAATATCGAAAAAGGTGTCGGGGAACGAGTGAACCCAACGCCTTCAACGACAACACCCGCGTGCTCTTGATCGGTGGGTGTCTATGGAGTATTTGTTGTGATCTCCAACAGGGCTTGGGATGATGATTTGTATGGCGACACCGGGTAACGAGAGGATGGATGAACAGACGCAGGTCCGCTGCAGGGGGATCCCGCCCTACAAATACAGGTGACTGTGGGAGACTGTGGGTGACTGGCACCAAAGTCACAGCTGACGCCACTCACCAACCGGGAACAATTGAACACGCCCGGAGCGCAGGCTTGTGAGGCTTAGGGAAGGCTTGGACACCTTGGACACCTGGGGCTGGCCAGATTTGCCTGCTGAATGGCTCGATGCGACTTTGCCAACCCAGATTTGCCACAAACACTTGGTTAGCTGCTTGGCTTATGTTTGGTATTGGTTATGGTCGATGGTCGCCCTCAACGGCCGCCCGAGATTGGGCTCCGTGGCTCGCCTACTAAGACAAAACCTCGCCAACTAAATAATATTAGGTCAGAACACGCGGATTGGTCTTGAGAGGAACCCAAGAGGAGGTGGGGAGGAAGAGGCGCACACACACTCAGCTTACCTCGTCCTGGTTGGGAGGCTATCACGATCGTGCGGATACGGTACCTTAGGTATGTTCATCGAACATGTGGTGAGGCGTTCCCTTCAGATCCATGCCATCCTCATCACCTATTGCTCACTTTCTGTTTTGTGCCTCCCATGCGTTTCATCCAATCTTGACAGTCGGAACGCACCTGGGCATTCACAGTCACCACATCAAGCCGCCGAGTGACGCCATCAACTAGCGTCACTCATCGCTCGAATTGCTCCTGACCCAAGAGAAACCAAAAGAAATCACCCGAACCTCTTCTGGAAGTTGCCCAATGTTTTCTCTCCCTTGACAAAGTCTGCCCCTGATGTGAACTTCAGAGCCAAGAAAGCCATCCATACACAAACAGGTTCTTCAGACTGGTGAAGAGGTAGAGGCCTTGGTCGAGCCATATCGGCACAGAGAGCGCGAATAACAGGCAGGGTACGAGTTACGTCTTCTGAAATGATCTGTGGTACGTGCGGGACGATATATGGTAGATATGTGGTACTCGGTACAGGCTCCGTCGTCGCATACTAGTAGGTAGTATCTACATCCACAAACACAGTTTCCCACTCGAGGTGCCTCCGGCAATCCAGTCCTTGGAGGGGTGGAAGACGGCAACAGCCGGAACAGCGGTGATGCCTTCGCCGCCGAGCTGGGCGAGCTGATCGCCGTTGGCGGCGTAGACGTCGACAAACCTGAGAGATATATTAGAAAGGTAATTCAATCGGAAACGAAAGCGATAGAAATGGAATAGTCATGGCGTCCTTACCGGTTCATGTTTCCCACGACCAGCTTCTGGATGTTGTCTTCGGGGTAAGTCTGCCAGCGCGGTTTGAGAATGGTGGTCCATCGACCTCTGCAAGAACAAACATGAAGGTCAGTATACTACCACCCTCACCTCCCAAAGGGAAGGTCCATGTCCAAGAACACTGCGGCTCTCAAAACTCACGTCTGGTTATTATGCCTCACCACAACCTCGGGCTTCATGGCCTCTTCCTCCATTTGAAAGCCCGCCGCCCAGGAACTCATGGTCTCTAGCGCCTGCGTCCCTTTTTTTGCATCCTTGCCCACGCCAAACGAGTGGATCTTGATCGTGTCGTCGTAGCTCGTGGTCGCCACTTGTCCGGCGGTATTGAATGCTGCGTGACTCACACTCAATCTTGATTCATGCTCACCCACCAGCGTGGGTAACTTCTTGGTCAATTTGCGCAAATCCCACAACCGCATGTACCGGTCGAGGGATGCCGTGGCCACGTAGTGCGGAAGCAAAGGGTGTAAGCTGAACCCGCCGATCTTCTTCTCGGAGAGCTGGAACAACTCGCACGCAGAGGGCGGTTGGCGCGAGTCGTGCCGTCCAAAAGCGCCGTTTAAAGTCGTAAAATACAAGGTGTGCGGATCGGTCGCGGACATGTCGACACCGGAGATGGGCTCGTCGTCTTCTCGATCGGAGGGGCCGTATACCTCGACGGCCACAGATTTGGAGAGGTCGGTCGCGCGGATCGAAGAGTCGTACGAGGATGTGTATAGTGTCTGGGGTTTCGACGGGTGACTGTGCATCGCGCTTATGGTGCGGGTATGGGGTTTTATATGCGTGATTTGAGGATCTGCATCTTCTACATCTTCGTCGTCTGCTTCTTCCTCTTTGACGTTCGAATCCGCTTGCTGCGAAGCATCCACAATCCCCAACGATCCCAACTTGTCGCCCGCGAAGACGATGGGTTTCGACGTCGTCGGGTGGAACGCCATACTGTAGATCCTCTCGGGCGTGATCTTGATGCGATTCGGCTCCCATCGATCCCACAGAGCCAGTGAGCTCATCCTCTCCCTGAGCTTCTTGAGGTCCTTGTCTGTCGTCCCCGAAACATCCTCCTCGTCAAAGGTGCGCTCGTACGGCTTCGCGACGCCCTTGAGGATCACATCCGTCCCAATCAGATTGGTCCCTTCAGCTGCAAAGTTGAGGTCACCCGTGACACGTTGTCTCTTCTGCCTCTCGACCTCCTTTTGTTGTTCATATTCGACCTCGGCCTTCTGCTTCGCAACTTCGCTGTCCGCCTGCAGACCCGCCAGTCGTGAGGACGTGCGACGAGGGCCGACGTCTACGGGCTCTTTTTTCACTCGCTTTGCAGGTGGGCCCTTGGGCCTGGAGGCTCGCTTTTGACCCTGTTGCGTGGAGGGCGCATTGGAATACAGGCCCGCTTGCTGCGCTTCTTGGGTCAACTTTTTGAGGAGGGCGTCTCGTTCGGCGATGTTTGCGAGCCGTTGCTTTTCAAAGTCGGATTGCTCGGCAGGTTCCTGTCTTCCTCGTGCCATCGTGACGGTGGCATGCAAAAGAAACGGGCTATGATGTGACGATCAATAACAGGTCAAGATTCAAGGTGGACACTTTTTCATGACGCGACGGCCGAACGCGATAAATGTGAAGGGTGGGCGGAGGCGCGATCTGTGAGGAGAAGCGCGTATAGTGGCTGACAATTGTTCACTCCACAGATTCAAATGTTTTAAAACACTTCATTTTCTCGAATCAAGGCACGGTCCTCTCTATACACATCGATTGGTCTCATCATTGCTAGTGCAGAGAGATCATCTCCGACCATATAATATCTTCTACCTCGTCCCAGAACCCTTCTTCAATCTTCAACGAGTCTTGCGCTTGGGGGATCACGCTCTGGATCTTCCCCCTGATTGTCTCATGCGACAGGATTCCGTGTCTCCAGCAAAGCTGTGCAACTTGTTCTGCGAACCAGGTCCGGTTCTTCACGTCGTTTTGTGAGCCGCGCCAACCGAGATAAAGCGACCACAAGAAAATGGCGAGCTGGCTGTCGCCCAGAAACTCATCACCCAGGAGCTGGCCCTCAGTATTGGCTGGTTCCGCGTGCTTTTGTGGTTTTTGCAGAGGAGTCATCATTGCGGATACATAAGCCCTCAACCGGCCGCTCAGCCTGAGGTAGAGTATCGGTGCAGCAAGGTCCCGGAGAGTAAGATATGAAAATATCAGCGTAGCGATCCCCACCACGATTTCCATCAGCCTGTCTTGGGTGAGTGCATGCTCATGACTGTGGTCAGCCGCGCTCGCCGGTCTCTCTGGCACATCGAGGATAGAATACTCGAGTTTCCAAAGTAGATTGCTAAAGGTCCGACATAATTGTTGTTGGCGGTCCTGGAGTAGGACTGTCTTTAAAGACGACAAAATGCGGAGTTGTCGCAGCACATCTCCTGTGCCTTGAGGCAGATCCTGCAAGACAATACCTGGCGGAGTCACTTGCGCCTCTTCGCTGTCAACGTCCGGAATCAGACCGTCAGCTGAAGCTCCTTCTACCACGCTGGGCATCCGGGTTCGAAGTCTGGTACCATGCATAGCGGCCTGCAGCAAGTCCGCCCATCCGACCACCCTCTGAATGTGTCTATTCGAATTGAGAGTCTCCATACCGCCACGCATGGAAATCAAATGGCCTAGGCCCTGTGAATGGGTCGTTTGAGCATCCTCAGGCCAGTCAAAGTGGTTGTCGGAGCTGGAGAGAAGCGCTACCGCGCCCAATGTCTCATCGCTGAGAGATTCTTGCAGATTGTTCAGCCTCCGCGCAACAATTTGCATGGCTTCGCCCCGGTGCTTGAAGTAGACCTTGGACAGATCTATCGAGAAACAGTCTCTTCTGTGGATTGCTACTAAACTCAATGTCGCATGGATGATTGCTGGGTCCATCAGTGCAACAGAAATCCATCTCGCCTCGGGATTGCAAGCAAACGAGTTGGCCCAGAAAGAAGTCTGATAGTATTGGAGAAGACTTTGGGTTTGCGGTCCGTCGAGATCAACGTCCAACGTGCCGAAAGGATCTAACGCGTCCAGATCGTGGAGCCGTGAGATCCTTGAATGTTCCTCTTTTGATTCGGGCAGTGCTGGGACGAGCAATCGCTGACTCTTCGGCTTTCCCCCTGATCTGCGATCACGGGTTGCTGCCATTCTCCGCTTCCTGGGCTTTACGGTCGAAGAAGGTCTGGCGGATCGAAATCGTGATATATGCGAAGCCATGCGCTCGCCAACGTTTGCAGGGGTAAACTTTGATGTGGGATCACTCTTCTGTCTGAGATAATCTCGCATCACGAAGGCACGCACCGAGCTGCGCTCTTTCTTGTCTGTGGTCGGATGAGCCTTCTGGCCGCTGACGGCGACAAAACGAAGCTCCCGGGCGCTAGAATGGGTAATATGCTCCATGGCAGAGACAGCGCAAGAAGTCGGCGAGATGAACAAATACTGGCAGTGACTGGGCCACTTCAGAAGCGGCGCCGGCGCGTCAGTAGATCGCGGCACAAGGGAAGGGTAAATCTGGAGTGATGGCGTTGCCCACGAGGCGGAATGTTCGCTATTTGCATTCTATACAAACGGGCGGGGTGAAAGCGGTTCATTTTGCTGCTCAGGCTGTTTGTCAAAGCCCTCGGGGTGAAACACCTCAAGGTGGTAACGGCCGCAAAGGCAGTATGAATGTTGTAACCATGCTGTCTTGAGATTGGGTAATTGCGGTGTTTTTGGTGTCGGAGACCCTGTGGCTTACCTGATGCAGAGAAACGGCCGATTACTCAACTACTGCAGCCAGGCCACCAATGCGTCAAATCAAATGCATCGACATCACGAGATTGACCTTTGGGAACGCTGCTTGCTTCTCGAACTACTGCCACATCTGGAACGCTCATTAGTCAGTTTTTAGGTGATGAAGGGGCTGAAGCGCACCCTGACGACCGTCTTCTCGCTATGCTCGTGCACCATTGCTGCAACCTATCACGAGGGCGTTTTGACGGACTCGAAATGGCTAGTCTCCAGAATGCCCCATATCAAGTATTTTCAGCCTTGAACCGCAACCCCGGATAGAGAGCATCACGAGCTGCAACCGGTCTGCTCCAGTTGGTGAAAGGCTTCTTTGAAGGCTTGGCTCGATGTCGAATTCTTCCCTCTGGAAACTGAAAGCCAGGGGTTGCTTCGAGTCCGACTCAACCCCTCTGAGTCAATGTTCTGGCCTTGTATCCGGCCAAGCATGTGCTCTGTCCTGATCTTCGTCGTGAAATAATCACGCTTCCTTCTGACTTTCGAGGTTGCTGACATGAGCCAGGAGGAACTTGCAACAAGTCAAGGCATATTTACAAGCTTTGGTGAAGTTCTCATCTTGATGAAAACCAACCCCTAGCTTGATCGAAACATCCCCTATTTTATCACCCTGTATCCCGTAGGGTAATACTCTTTTGGATGGTGTGTTCCTTATTGTCGCGTTCCGTACGGATGGTTTGGGGTTTATGTCGACGCTGGAAGTCTTCTCGACGTATTTTCCCAGTTGCCCCAAGCAGTCGAGAAAGGCCACCATGCCAGCGTCAAACTTCCAATGGTTCAGAATGCGTCCGATTGCCATGTCGCCGCTGCTGAATAGGTTGAGCGGGGTGACCTTGGGTTCAGGATTCGCGGCAGCTGAACGCAACCCTCCATCGCGGCCCACTGATTGCTGTCTCTGGATGTCGGGAGGTTGTTGGGGGTACTCAAGCTTTTCTATGCGAGACGTGCTCCCTTGAGGTCGCAGACGATAACCCTGAAATGTGAACTTCAGTCTTTCTGCAACAGTGGCTAGCAGCAGCAAGGTTTGGCCCCATGCAGCATTGATCTCAGACCAGTCAACATTTTGATTGGGCAAACGGCCGAGACGGAGCCCGTTTATCGTGCCAAAGTAGCCATCATGGCCGATGCAAAAAGTGTCGTTGTAAACATTCGTGCGCTGCAGCCGCTCAAGCTGGCGGAAGTCATGGGTTTGTTTCTCTCTAAGAAATGATAAATGTGTGATCGTATGGTATAGATTGTCATCGATGGAGTTTCGCGAATTCCAGTACGCTTGTTGCTCTAGTTCCTCGTGCCGCAACTGCTCCTCCAGAGCCGCAATCTCCACATCCACTTTTCTCATTTCGGCTTCGGTAGATTCTAGTTGCTCGTAAATAGTCCCTCTGGCCCGGTTTGCATCTGAGGGCCGCCGAGTCTCGGAGGTGAGGTTTTGGACTGATTTGAGGAAGCCGGCGTAGGCGTCTCTTTCCCTGTTGGCACTGCCCAGGCGTGTCGCATATTGAGACAGAATCATGGAAGTGCATTCCTGACACATGGGATGATCGATGTCCGAGTGGGATGAGAGGATGGCAAACAGGTCTTCAACCTGACTCTTCGTATCAGACAACTTAGGATCCGTCATAGGAACAGGGTCGGAACCATTGATTCCCGGACTAGCGCTTTGTACTTTTCGATTCTGATGTTCCTTGCCGGTCAGAGCAACTTGTGACTGTGTGATTTCAATAAATGACATGTCAGGATTGCCGTTTGGTTGGTCCGGCCGACGAGCTGGAATCGCCTCATCTTTTGGCGCGGCAATAGATCTCTTGTAAACCGGAGAGTTCGTTTGGAGGGAGACACGGTCATATAGTTCCTTTCTTTCTTGTGGATAGTTCATGCGAGAGACGGTGGAGGTCACATTGTTCAGTTGAGACTTGCCCGTGGATGCTGAGTGATAGTCAGTATTAGGCAGAAGAGAAGCGGCAAGGGCTTGACAGACCAACGAGCAGGTCAAAGGACGCCGGATTGATATTCTCGAGCGAGCTATCGAAGCGAACAGGCTGTCGACACTTCTGGCAATACATCTTTGCTGGTTTTTAATGGTGATGGTAGAATGTATGCAGAGTGTGAAGTGCGAACTGCGAACTGCGAACTGCGAAAAGTGCCGGATGACGTTGAAGGCGCTGTACTCGGTACGGAACACCAAACGCGCGACGCGCCTGCGGAATTTGAGGCCCATGTACGAGGCAGTCCAATACCCCTCGTTGCCCTCTTTCCAACACCACCATTGTCCGCTTCTAACTTCTGCTCTAACCACCTCGTTCAGACATTGCCGCACAGTGTCGCAATGGACGAACCGTTCCGTAAGAGGCCACGCCTCTCTATGTTCGCCAACCGTTCCTCTGATCCTGGCCTGGACGAAGATCTCGGCACCCGACGGTTGAGAAATGATCACTTGCTGAAATCGCGTTTTGAATCGATCTTTGAGAAGTACTCCCACGACTTTTCCGGTATTGGTGACGAGATAGACATGGATACTATGTCCATAGTAGTGAATAACGGCCATGTGCAATCAATGGAAGATGAGACGGATCCAGGAGGCGCATACTCTACAAAGGGGAAATCGTTGCTCAGAGCAATGACTGAGCTTCAAGACGGTGCACAAGAGTACTCCAATGAGGGTGCAGACGAGGTCATCATGAGTATCGAGGAAATCGCCGAGAATGCTGCAATGGCAGTTGACGACCAGGAAATGGATCCTGTGGACAGCGACGAGGAATTATTTGTGCCCATCCATGCTCGCGCATCATACGTTACGCCTCCTGATGCAAGAGAAAGCCACAACACTGTCCAATCTGGTACAGTCGACTCTGACCATGATTCACTTTTCGAGGGGGTGCAACAGCCGGAAAGATCGACAAGTCCTGACTCTTTGTTCCAAGTTCAACTTCAAGATTCATCTAATCCCAAGACCACCGATTCGCTACTCGAGTTCGAAATTCCACACGAGGAGGTGGATGACGATGCCATTCTTGAGAAGTTTGGACCTAGGCTTGGTCCGGAGGTGTTGGCAATTATACGAAGAACTAGAAGTGTTGCTGCTCAAGCCCATATCGAGCCGGCCTGGCGTCTCCCCACGAATCTCGTTCCTTCGGAGCGGCCCAGATCTGCCTCGAAGTCCAAGACGCCGTCAGTCCCTCTACCTAATCCACGAGATCAGCGGACTGCCTCCCCAGGTGCTGCAAAGTCTCTCTGGAAGCCGCCTAACCGGTCAACCAAGAGAACGGCGTGTCAAGCTGCTGTGAGTCGACGTACTCGTGCCGAATCGGCAGATCCGCTTCAAGACGGGTTTTCTGACCGACAGGACGAAGGAGAAGAGAGTACCGACAGCGGACAAGAGACAAAAGATACAGAGGACGAACAGGTCGTGCAGATGAGGGAAGGCTCTTGTTTTTATTGCTCTCGCCAGTGGGCCTGCAAGGCAGGTGTCTTCAGGCACTGGGCCAAACTGGCAAAGAATTATGACATGGGCGAAATAGATGATGACGATGTGCATGACCTGGAGTATATCCGCGTTTACGTGTCATACAACAGCAGGCCGGCGCGCCTACCAAGACTGATCGTTTCCGACTTTAAAACCCTGGTTGAATTGCATGAGGGCGCCGGGTTGTCTTTCGATGAAATCGCGGAATGCCGAGCTCTTCGAACACACAAGACTGGACTTGCTCTCAATGATGTCTATGACAGATACCGGACACTGTCTGGTCTTGCCAACGATGCTTCAAGAGAATGGTCGGAGGCGGAGCTGTGTCTTTTGGAGGAGCTCTGTCAGAACCCAAAACGAGACGTTGGGACGTTTGTATCACATTTCAAACATCGCCACCAGAGCGAGATCGGAAATAAATTGGCCGAAATATGGTTGGAAAATCTCTGGTGTTCGGTTGGAAAAGGACCTACCGCATCAACACAGCGGACAAATACATCGCCACAGGCACAGGGTGAGCACGAAGGGTTACCGGCGCATCATGTATCTGTCAAAGTGGAGCCTGATTCCGACGAAGAGCTGTTCCGTCGAAGATGAAAGAGTTGGTGGCAAGGTGCTTCAGTCCAACCGTCTGCCTTCAAGGATATCCTCGAGGGTCGTGCGTGCCTCCCCTCCAATTTCACCTATCCGTGCCCAGAACTTGGACAGGTGGCGCATACCAGAGTCACACAGAATCGTGACGACCGTATGACCGGGCCCTAATTTGAGTGCAGTTTGTAAAGCAGCGACACCTTCATGTTGGGGATCAATTCGCTGAGCGAGAAACATGGTGCGGGATAGGGAGGTACTCACAGTTCACAGCGCTACTGCTCCCTACAAATATGCCATCCCTCTCGACCAGCAGTCTCGCCATATTCATCGCCTGCTGGTCGTTCACCTTGACGGCATCGTCAATTAACTCCCTTCCCTGCTCGAAATTCAGGGTGGAGCGAGTCAACCCGATGCCCTCCACAATCGTATCGACTTGATCTCTTCTCCTGGTCCCTTCCTTCTCCAGTGAATGGAACATGACGCCATGTTTGATTTTGTTATACAGCCCCGAACCGTGAGGGTCTGCAAGGACAACTTGAACGTCTGGCAGCTTTTCTTTAAGATACGTAGCCACGCCTGATATCGTTCCTCCTGTCCCCGCGCCCGCGGTAAATGCATCGATGTGGCCCTGGCACTGAGCATATATCTCGGGCCCTGTGCCTTCGTAATGCGCTCGCCAATTGGCCTCTGTTTCAAACTGGTTGGCAAAGTATCCTCTGCCTTTCTTCTCCGGGTTTTCCGTGTGTTCCCGGGCGAGATTGCGAGCGCGGTTGACGAAATGCTCTTGGTCTACTATCGGCGCGGGCGGGACTCGTTCCACAACCGCACCAAGTTTCAACAAGAGGTTGGATTTTTCATGAGATTGATCGTTCGGCATGCAAATGTGGGCCAGATAGCCCTTTGCGCGGCATAAAGTTGCCAATGATATCCCCGTTGACCCAACCGTTCCCTCGTAGACGGTGTCTCCAGTGTGAGGCGTAAGGAGGCCCTGCGCTTCCGCTCGAGTGAGGATTGACAGCGCGACCCGATCTTTGGGTGAGCCACCGGCACCGTTGAGGTGTTCGCATTTGGCGAGGATTGTGCAGCCGGTGAAGCCTGAAAGTGAGGGAATGACGATAAGAGGCGTGGAACCTATGGTCGATTCTATGCCATTGCCGACGGGTGGAGGAGATATCTGGTTCACTCCCTTTGAATTTATGGTTTCGTCCACATGGGATTGGGAGTATGGAGGCCGTCGTTGGTCCCTTGAGGCCGAGGTGTGGCTGTCGTAGAACTGACGGAGCTGATCAACGATGACAGCAATGGCAAGGCCAGAAGCAATACCGATGATGAAGGGACGATCTGTCCATTGCATAATAGTGCTCTGCTGTTCTGATTGCACCAGGAGTTGAACGAGGACGTATTTGTTCTGTTGATATAGGTAGAATCTTGAGTCGCTAGGCTGAGAACGTTGCTCGAGAACTATCACTTATGGCAAAGTATCATCGACTTTTCCCTACCTCTTATTGTGATGGAAACATTCACACCCCAAGGTACCAGTGTAGACTCTGTTGCGAATGGCAGAGGATGAAAGATCAAGTCTCGGTTCTTTTCCGTAATGAAAGCCCTGGCTCAATGATCCACTGTAGCAGATCAGACTTTGCCCGAAACGGATCTTTAGCAACTAATACTCCGCATTTTGCTTTCAATTCCATTGAACTGGGCTCTTAGCTGCGTTACTGTTCCGCCCCCGGTCTCGGTCAGCGGTGCCTGGGAGATCTATCTCACCTGTTCAGCACCATCTCTGCCCTGCGCTCCTGCAGGTGGTGTTGACCCTCTGATGGACTCGCCGGCCGTCACCCGCATCTTTCAACAGCTGTTCACGAGACCGTCACGGAATTGCCTTCGACTGCAGCAATGTACTCGCAGACAACCATCCCTTCCCCATCCAGCACCAGCACCCTCGATTCAACAGCAGCGGCGGACATATGCACTTCGACGCAAGCAAGATGATGCGGGAGGAGGCAGCTCATGGCAGCAGAGAATTGATGCCTTCCCCAAGGACATGTCAAGACAGCTCAAGGAATACCCTCGAGTCACGGCACAGGACCTACGCCACAGAACCCAGCGGCCGCGGCGAGTCAAAATGCTGACGAGGGAATTTATTGACGGTGAGGCTTGGGTCTAGACCTCTAGAACCTTTCCACTAACAGGAGGCACAGACAGCCTATACAACCCCAACTACGGCTACTTCACAAAGCACGCGACAATCTTCAATGCCGGGAAACCCTTTGATTTCGCCTCCATCAAGGACGGCGCCGAGTTCAATCGCCTGGTGGACCTGAGCTATATCGAGTTTGAAAATGCCCTGGACGAGATCGAGCCGGATGAGACGCGCCAGCTCTGGCATACCCCGACCGAACTATTCCGGCCGTATTACGGCGAAGCCATTGCTCGGTACCTGGTCACAAATTACAAAATGACTTTGTTCCCATACCACGATTTGATCATCTACGAGATGGGTGCGGGGAATGGAACCCTGATGAGGAACATCCTCGACTACATCTATGAATACGAGCCGGAGGTCTACAGTCGGACGCAGTTCAAGATCATCGAGATATCCTCCGCGCTGGCCGAGTTGCAGTTGACCTCTCTCCAGAGGTCCCCCTACGCAGGAGAACATTTGGACCACGTCCAGATCCTCCATCGATCTATCTTCGACTGGAACGAGTACATCCACTCGCCATGCTTCTTCCTCGCCCTCGAGGTCATCGACAACTTCGCGCACGATTCGCTCCGCTACGACCCGGAAACGGAGCAGCCCTTACAAGGCAGCGTCCTGATCGACGAAGACGGCGAATTCTTCGAGTTCTACTCCCGCAACCTCGACCCTCTCGCACTACGCTATCTCCGCGTTCGGGACCTCGCCGCCCGCTCCCCCTTCATCACCCCCATCACGCAATACCCTCGCTTTATACGCCAACTCCGCCACTCCTTACCCTTATCCCCCAACCTCACAAAACCAGAGTACATACCCACCCGCCTTCTCGAGTTCTTCGACGTTTTGGCCAAGTACTTCCCCGCCCACCGCCTCGTGCTTTCCGACTTCAACTACCTCCCGGACGCTGTCCCAGGTCTTAATGCACCTGTCGTTCAGACGCGCTACCAGCGCCGCAACGTCCAGGTGTCTACACCGTTTGTGCACCAGGGCTACTTTGACATTTTTTTCCCTACGGATTTTGCCATGATGGAGGATATCTACAGGGCCATCACGGGAAAACTCACAAGGGTGTCGACCCACAGGCAGTTTTTGGAGAGCTGGGCACTTGTGGAGCAGACTGAGGTGCGGAATGGGGAGAATCCCATGTTGGCTTGGTATTCCAATGCTAGCGTCATGACTACTGTATAGATAGCTAGTAGGTTGAACACAAAAATCTGAAGAAGTTGAGGCCCTTAGAGCAAGTCAGGACTACGGATGTGCAAATGGCCTACCAGGCCCTTTTGGGTGGGCAACAAGTCTAGAGAGTCGTTTCTAGTTGAAGAAATGCTTCCGTAAAGGCAAATTTTTTCGGGTCATATTCATCCCAGCATCACCTCGTACTCCAGCCGGTAGGCTTGCCGCTTGGAAGAGTTTTTAGCCTTGCACCCTGAAAGTCCGACCACTTGCCGTCTTCCTCTCGCGTTCTTCGGCTTCCGGTCTGGCACGATTGAGAACTAAAAAAGGGACGGGTTTGTCAGTTCCCAACCCCTCATAAAATGACTTTGACTTTTGGGCGTCAGAGGCTTACCCTGCAAGAAATCCGCGGTCCGACGTCTCATTCTCGAGTGGATGTACGCCTTGGAGGCTTTGATGTGGTAGTGGAAATAGTCGCGGAAGGTCTGGATGTGGGAGATGACCTCGTCCCGTCGCTGGCGGGTGAGGTGTCGAGGGAACAGCACTGCGCGGTTTTGCGTTAGCCTGGAGAGTTATATTGCAGCGGGAGCTCGCAGGATTAGGTGGGATAAAAACATACCGAATGTTATGAAGCCCATTTCACCCTTTTCGCCCGTCTTCCCAACGCCCCTCAGACCCTGCAACTCCAACGGCGGATCGCTGCGGAAGAGCACCTGAGGCGCATTCTGGATGGCTCTCCGCCTGGCATCGACAAACTCCTGCAAAAAGACCTTTGCAAAGATGCGATCCACGGCGTCCGTGAACATGGTCGAGAATATGACCGTGACGCGATCATGGCTCGCCTTGATGTAGATGGCTTCTTCCTCGCGGTAATGGATGGCCATCACGTCGCCGCCTTCCTTGACGCCCTGCGGCGCGGATTCAGAGGTGTATTTGCTCGCTTCTTCAGCCAGACCGGCGAACTCGTCAAAGGCCTTCTCGAACGGCGCGGCCATGACGTTCCTCTTGAGCAGGCTGATCCGCCGCACCAGCTCTTCCTTCTCTTCCGCCGTGGGTGGCAGGTTCTCCAGGTCCACCAGAATGCTAAAGTCGTAGCCCGCCTCGGTGTTTGTGATGTAGTTGCCGTACTCTCGCTGCAGGACCTGCTCGGCGCCATACTGCAGCAGCTCGCGGTAGCATTTGATGGACAGGGAGATGAGGATCTGCGTTTTGCTCGAAGGCGTCGAGATGTGGAACGTCACCCCGTCAAAGTCCGAGACGACCTGGTCAATCGATGTGGGAGGGACGCCTGAGAAGCGCTCGGTCAGGAGGGATTGGATGAGGACATTCTGGTAGTCGAGGAGGAGCATTGCAAAGGAGTATGGCGTGGGCTTTGCCTGGCCCCGGCGGCAATAAGAGGGAGAAGGAAAGTCTGGAAGTCGAGGTCAAATTGCCTCCGGACACTGACGGGTTGTGTATACTTTGTACCTAGTTAATGGTGCGCTCGTGCCTGGTTGCGAAGCTGCAATGGGGTGTGGTAAGAAGGCGAGTGCGGGGAGTGGTGCCGATGTCAGCGGCGGAATTCCTTGGCGGGTCGAATATAAGCTCTCTCGGTCTATACAACCACCCTTCAACCACCACAGTCAGTCCCAACGCCCCCTCTCCGCACCACCGAGGAGTAATCTGCGAAGCTACAGAAAGTTTGTGTACCTAGATATTTCTCGAGGGTTCACGTGGAAGACTGCACTGGATTTCCTAAGATCCTGTTCGTACCGCTGAAGTGGGATTGAGAATGATATCCCACTAAAGAAGCTGTGGTAAATTTTTATTTGGAGAAACAGCTAAATGTTCCTATACAAGGTCTAATTGTCCCTCTTCCAACGCCGCTGTGCTGCTTCGCGTGTGTGCAGGATTTGTTCCAATGAGATGAAATGACTAATTAACCTGCGTCCGAGCCGAACACTTCAGAATGGATTCTCTCGGAGGGGACGCCGAGGTCCTCGAGAGCCTTTTGGTGGAGGCGCATAAACGGTACCGGACCGCACAGGTAGTAGCTCGCGCCAGGCAGGAGGACTTTATCCTTGATGTTCTCGAGCACGATGCGGCCGACAAAGTCGTAGTCGACGCCCTCGCGCTCCGCAGCCTCAGTCTCTCCGTAGAAGACGACCTTGGACACTTGGGGATTGTCCCTGATGATGCGCGCCAGATAGTCCTTCATGGCGTGGACCTTGCCGTTGCGGGCCGCGTGAACGAAGAGCACCGGCCGCGTTGGCGCCCGGTCAACCAGCGTCCCCAGCATGGACAGCATGGGCGTGATCCCGACCCCCCCACTGATCAGAACGACCGGCGCGTCCGAGTCCGAGTCACCAACGTCAAGGGTGAAATCGCCAGAGGGGTTACTGACGTCCAGCTCTGCGCCTTCCGGCAGATTTTGATGCAGGATATTGGACACCCGTCCCGGGGGTGTCGCGGGGCCATTGCCCACCTCCTTCTTGACCGAGATTCGGAAATGTTTCCCGTCGTCCGTGTCGGAAAGACTGTATTGACGAGGCTGGTACACCCCCAGCTCCGGCAGGAAAACTCTTACCGAGATGTACTGGCCCGGCTTGAAGTTCGGCAGCCGGCCTCCGTCCAGGGGCTCCAAGTAGAACGAGACAATCTCGTCGCTCTCGATTACTTTGCGAGCCACTTTGAACTTTCGCCATCCCGTCCAGCCGCCGGGACTGTGTTCGGCTGCTTCGTACAGGCTGCGCTCGACGCCGATGAAGATATCGGCGAGTTGCTGGTACGCCGCGGCCCAGGCGTCCAAGACGGGTTGGGTGATGGCGTCCCCCAATACCTCCTGGATGGAGGCGAGCAGGTTCTCCCCAACAATGGGATATTGGTCGGGCGTGATCCCGAGACTGACATGTTTGTGAGCGATCCGGGAAACCGCAGTGGTCAAGGCGCCCAAGTTGTCGATGTTGGCGGCATATGCCCACACCGCATGTGCAAGAGCTGCAGGTTGCCCTCCCGTGCTCTGGTGCGCCGAATTGAATATGTTGCGCAGTTCAGGGTGGTTGTCCAGCAGGCGTTTATAAAAGTGCGAAGTGATGGCAACGCCGTGTTCGGCCAGCACGGGCGCAGTAGACTTGACGATCTTCTGGTGCTCGGGGCTAAGCTCGTGCCGCTGCGCTGGAGGAGACCACGATGGCTCGACTGGAGCAACATCTGCCTCATCACTGCGTAGTGGTCCAGGGACTTCAGTTGAGGTAAGCATCTTGGTCTGGCTATTTTAGTGAAACAGGATTGCTACCGGTTTGTGGGTGAGATGGGAGCGGCCATTCTTCTGCAAGCGTTCAGGACAGACACAGGCCTTATATACCCTTGTCAACGCCTCTTGATTTCACTCACTCTTGGGGGAAAACGATCGGGTACGAAAATCAACAGGCGACCTCTCAGGCCACGTCACATGATACCATGTTGAGAACATGCAGGAAAAAGAGGTTTCAATGGAAGGTGGATTATAAGATAGACAGAACTCCGCGGGCATGGACATGAAGCCCAGTGTCGAGGGAGGCATCCATGAATTTGACTCGATGCTGACTGTGCCTTTGCCAATTCCCGAACATTTCCATGTTGTGGGGGTTCAAGATAACCGACAAGCCCGTAATGCCGTCGCGTTGTGCATTGAGATGGATTGCTTTCAACGGTGGACGAAGGGGTGAATGAATGTGGCCGCGGAGATGCTTCCCCAGAATCCAGCAGGCGTTTTATATTGCCATTTTCAAGACTAATATTTTTCCCACACTCATGCCACCGGACCCTCTCTGATGGCCTGATCTCATCAACGGACCCATGTTAGAAGGCTTTTATTACTACTTAGGTACAGGCTGCTAGCAGTAAAAATCAGTTGAGTCTTGTATTACCATGTCCCTGATCTCCCACCCGGCTGTACCGAGTGCTCCACCCAAGACAACCAAGCGGTATATATGACTTTTAGATGTGGCAACCCGTCTGAAATGCATCAAATCTCTCCCCGTGGCCAGCTATTGAGGCATACTACTCCGAGTTCGGCAGATGCTGACTTGGACTGTGATGTTGTTCCACAGACTGCGCCTCGAAAAAGGGCACAATCGCAGATGAACCCTCGCCTTTCCCTTTGCTGTCTATGGGGCGGAGACAGCTTCTGACATCTAGGTACACCTGATTGAATGCTTCGGTATATTTCAGCTGGATACTCGAAGTCCACTGGCTGCGCCGACACTTTTCGACTCCCCATACAGTTTCGCAGAAGAAGATGGTGGAGTCGAATCCAAACATGCTCGCGTCGCTGCTGTTTCGTGCCTCCCACTCTGCCGCGATCTGGCAGAGCAGACCAAAGTCCCAATGGAGGCGGGCACACAACTCCTGCAGCTGAGTCCTGTCATCGTCAAACTTGACAAATGCTGGAAACAAGAGTTAGCGATCAAGACCCGTACAACCATGTTGGTCCGCATGTCTGCTGGTCCAGCAGGGAACTTTTTCTTGCGCCGCACCGTCAAGTAGCCCGGGAATGCAACAGTCATGCTCGGTACTCCGAGTGCATGTCAGATTCCTCTTGCGCAGCCTTTCCACGGTCGTAGAGATCATATTGACGAAGGCCCCTTCTCGCAGATCAGCCATTTGGCATGAAAGGGTGGTTCCTTGCGTTGGATTCGATCATCAAAGAGCAGGTCGCGCAGGCTCATATCAGACGTGTTTGTCGTGCAGTGGAGTGACTGTGATGCCGTTCTCGGTGCAACCAGTGGTTGGAGTTCTAGGCCCATGGGATGTAGGAAGAGGGTAGGGTCTAGAACAACAGACTTGTGACATGTGTGGCCCAACATTCTGCTGCACTGCATCCAAAGAGAACTCAGCATCTCAATCGGCCCAGTATTCAGCAAGTAATCCTGCCAATGAGCTGTCAGAGCTGTCAGAATCGATGACCCAGCCTCTCTGGAATAAGGGTCTCAGGGTGCACGGTTCGGCGAAGACGACACCGGTTCTCCAAAACGATGCAGGTGGTAATCCACATGGCGAAACTCACCACCCACGATCATGCTCCAGAAAGGGTGGAACGAGGATTCGACCGCGACGAGCCCAGGACGGATTGAGCACCTGGGCAAGATGGACATTTGGGTTGAAGTGGCCCAGAGGCACAACTACACAGTAGCTGGCTGTCGAAATAGCTTCCGAGTTGCTGGACTCATTGCTTCGTTGCCTGCGCCTTGTCGAATCGCGGCGCCCAACGAGGCCAGATTCTGCATGTCTTGGCATTTTTGCACCGATTGTGACCCAATTTCTCCGCATCTCAAGAAAAAAAAGTTGTCGGCCTCTGAAGTCACTCGACTTTGCGCCATAATACTCCCCGCAATGGTCAAGTCATATCTGTGAGTGAAAACAGAATTCTACAGTTAGACAAAGCAGTACTGACGTGCTCAGAAAGTTCGAGCACAGCAAGACCTTTGGCCAGATTTGTACAGCCTCCGCGAACGTCGTCTGGGACCCAACCACCGAGCATGAGGATTCTACGAGTAGAAGTGGCTCCGGCCGTGCCTATGTTGGCGCCAACGAGGAAGTCATAGTATGGGATCTAAAGAAGTCGGAAAAAATCGGAGTGTGGAACGTCGAGGACGATAATGCTATTGTTACCGTCATCTGCCGGAGTCAGGTTGACCCTGATGTGTTTGCTGTGGGCTACGACAATGGCAAGATTCGAATATGGGACTCAAGAACAGCAACGGTGATAATCACTTTCAATGGACACAAGAGGGCAATTACTCAACTCACATTTGATCATTCTGGAGTGCGTCTAGCCAGCGGGTCAAAGGACACTGATATTATCCTCTGGGACTTGGTTGCAGAGGTGGGATTGTATCGTCTCCGCGGTCACAAGGACCAAATCACTTCGCTTAATTTCCTCACCGCTGGCGACACTCCAGACACGCTCGATGGTGACTCTGCATCTCATGATTTCCTGCTATCTACCAGCAAGGATGCGCTAATTAAGGTTTGGGAACTGGCGACCCAGCACTGTATCGAGACGCATGTGACACAAACGAATGGAGAATGTTGGGCTCTTGGACTTACAAGAGATGGCAGCGGCTGCATTACCGCGGGAAATGATGGGGAGTTAAAAGTGTGGTCAATTAACCAACTCGGCTTGAAGGAGAAGATTTCCATCAACATACAAGAAGGACAAAATATCCTGCGGGAGCAAGGGACACTGTACCGGCACGGCCGCGATCGGCCATTGGGGATTACATTCCACCCAAAACGCGACTTGATTGCCGTACACGGCTCCGACAAGTCTGTCGAGATTCTACGAATTCGTTCAGAGGCGGAACTAAGAAAATCCCTCGCCCGGAAGCGGAAAAGGAGGAAAGAGAAGGATGGAGCTGCGGCGGACGCTGACTCAGGAGTTGATGTCGCTGACGACGTCGAAGACTCGACAGACATTTCCAACGCAACAGCTGCAGACATATTTGTGCCTTACGTTCTTGTCCGTACAGGAGGCAAGGTCAGATCGATGGACTGGGCGGGGGGGAAGTCTGGCAAGTCAATCCGGGTCCTGGTGGCCACTTCCAACAATCAACTCGAGCTCTTCGACGTGGCGGCTTCAGAGAAGAAGAGATCATCTGAAGCTCCAGAGTACAACCGTGCGCTCACCGTGGACATGCCGGGCCACCGTACTGACATTCGCTGCGTTGCTCTCAGCTCAGATGACAGAATGCTCGCCACCGCATCTCAGGGGAGCTTGAAGATATGGAACACACGAACACAGACTTGTCTGCGAACACTAGATTGTGGACATGCTCTTTGCGTGGCATTCTTGCCGGGCGACAAGATCGTCGTCGTGGGGACACGAGAAGGTACGCTTGAAGTATTCGACATTGCAGCGTCCACCCTGCTGGATACGATCAACGCGCATGAGCGAGACATCTGGTCGCTGCAAGTCAGCCCGGATGGCAAATCTTTGCTCACAGGATCTGCCGATAAAAGTGCCAAATTCTGGCAGTTCAAAGTCGTTCAGGAAGAAGTGCTGGGAACAACGCGGAAAAATGCGAAACTCACTCTCGTCCATACTCGGACCCTGAAAGTCAGCGACGACATTCTGAGCGTCTGTTTCTCTCCTGACGAGAGACTCCTCGCCGTCAGTACACTCGACAATACTGTCAAGGTCTTCTTCACCGACACCCTGAAACTCTTCCTTACACTCTACGGCCACAAACTCCCCGTCCTTGCGATGGACATCAGCTACGACAGCAAACTTATCGTCACCTCAAGCGCTGACAAAAACGTCCGCGTCTGGGGCCTTGACTTTGGGGACTGTCACAAGGCATTTTTTGCCCACCAAGACAGTATCCTGGCCGTGAAATTCATCCCCAATAATGACGAAGGGAACGGCCACCATTTTTTCTCCGCCAGCAAGGACAAGGTGATGAAATACTATGACGCGGATAAATTTGAGCAGATACAAAAGCTGGAGGGTCACCACGGGGAGATTTGGGCCCTGGCAGTTGCACACTCTGGAGAGTTTGTTGTGACAGCAAGTCACGATAAGAGCATCCGCATATGGCAACAGACCGATGAGCAGATTTTCTTGGAGGAAGAAAGAGAAAAGGAACTCGAGGATCTGTATGAGAACACGCTTTTGACGTCGCTGGAGAATGAATCAAATGAGGTTGACGGCGAGGGAAACGCGGATGGTGTCGAAGCAGGCCCAGCTGGCAAGCAGACTGCCCAGACATTGATGGCTGGGGAGAGAATAGCAGAAGCATTGGAAGTCGGCGTGGAGGATCTCGAAACAATGCGAATTTACGACGAAACGAAACGAACGAATCCTAAAGCTGCACCTCCGCAGCGGAATCCGATCTTCCTTGCCAACAACAATATGTCCGCATCAACCTACGTGCTCAGCACTTTCCAGAAGATCCCCTCAGCGTCTCTCCAGGATGCCCTGCTCGTTCTCTCATTCTCTCAAATTCCCGCACTCTTTACGTTCCTCGCCCTCTGGGCTGAAGAAGGACGCGCCATCCCCCTGACATGTCGGATATTATTGTTTATGCTGAAGACGCACCAAAAACAGATTGTGAGTTCGAGAGCAATGAAAGGGATGTTGGAGGAGGTGAGGAGCAAGTTGAGAAGGACGCTAATGAGGCAGAAAGGAGAGCTGGGATTTAATCTCGCGGGATTGAGAGTGCTAGGGCGGCGAGTGAGAGAAGTTGCAGGAGAAACAGAATACGTCGATGAAGAGACATGGCAGGAGGGTGAAGGGGCAGCGGCTGGCATGACCAGAGGAAAGAAGAGAGAGTTTGTGAATATTGCCTAGTCGCGAATTCTCAGCAGAGTTCTGAGAGTCCTCGTGCCGGGCATAACGAAGCGACGCTCTGCCATGAGAGATGATTTGAGCGCACGTTGGAACTTCCGATTGCTACGACTACGGGAGCAAGCGGTGGTTCTGGCTCGCTCCTCGGATAGCTTACCATCATGCCAAACCTACGATTGTATATGGTGGAGAGTGTAGCTGAAGCCGCCGAGAAGGCGACGTCGCTGCTGTGGTGGCAACGCGAGGCATTGCTGCAGGCTGGAGGGTCAATATTGACGGACGCTGGGGTCCTTGACATGAAGCTCCGTGGCGTGACATCTAAGTTCATCCCATCGGCGGGATGCTCAGGCTTCTCCTCGGTGAGTTGACAACGGGTTGCGATAACAATTGACGAGCAACGGGTGAAGTATGGGAATGTGGCAGGCTATTCTGGCAGGGAGCGCCCAAGGCCCTCGAAGCATCAATCCCTCTAGCGGTGGCAAATTAACAACTGCCGCCGGGGTGAAGTCTCTTGAGAGCCGTGAATGTCATGTGCAAAAGTACCGAGTACGAGGAGGGTAGCCTGCCGTGCCTGCTTGAGGAATATCTAGCAGAGCTCGAGGTTGGAATAGCCGAGAAGGAGATCTAGAACCCCGGCATGGCCGTGAGGGACGCGTTTCGCCACCCGTTCAGCTGCTGAAATCATATTGTCCAAAGGGGAAGGAAGGGGAGGAGAAGGCGACGAAGAGGCTGCTGGTGGCAGGACAGCCATTGAAGGAGCTTGACAAAAAGAAAGCCCTTCCCGTTGCTTGGGTAATGTGACTCGCCGTGGGATGCTGCATTGCACGCATTAGGAAAAAGGAACAGAGAGAGTGCGTATTAACTTGTACCAGCCCAGTTTGGATCCCGACATGGTGTTGGCGCCCTTCTTGTCCGAGACCCAGTACCACGGGTATGTAGCAGAGAGAAACTCCCAGTCGGACCAGGAGATTATAGATGATCAGTAATAGGAGAAGGGGGATAATGGGAATAAAGGAGACCATAGCTAGGGAATGTTGATGAATATGGAGCGATAAACAGTCGGAAATGGAAATAGATATTCATTGCCCAAAGTCAAGAAAATACAGAAATGAGCTGAAGCCAGAAGGGGTTCAAGAGAGAAGAGCGGAATGGTTTCAAGTTGATCAGAGTTTCAATTTCTCGGTCGACGAGCCCGTGGATGTGAATCTTTCCCCTCCTTGCGCAATAACACTGACAACCTGCGAACCTTCGCCCTGGATGCTGCAGCAGCTGAACCTTGATTCCTTTTACGATCGAGTCCTTGGACCATCCCTGCCACGCCTCTCACCCACTCTCTCCCTCTACGCTTCCCCGTCGCTTGATGCTCGTATTAGCTTCCCCCCCTCCATGAAAGTCCGGGACCAGCATCCGAAGTTCTCAGGGCCTCGGAGCTCATTGAGACTTTTTACAGACTGCAGTCACCCACCGTCGGCATCTGCCCCTCGCCAAAGACTGCCACTATACTCGGTACTATTGTTTTCTTGAACGCGGGACTTGACGAACCCCTCGATGGACAAGGATCCGGGGTGCAAAATGTCTTGCCACTGACTGACCCCAGAGCCTCCCTCAACTCGGCCGAACATTTTCCATCGAGTCCGAATCTCCGAAGAGATCAAGACGAGCTGAGAGGAGAGATGCAGTGCATACCCCGCGAGACGCCCTCCTAGCACCGTGGCAGACGTCTAGCGCTGGCGGTGGGAGCTGAACAAACAGACGGACTCGCAGCATCTTCAAACTCGTATTGGTACGCTTGCATTGCATAATGAGAATCAAAGGCGGGGAGGGGTCAATACACAACAGGGTTACAGGGGGGTGCCTCTACTCGGTACCTATTACGACTCGTACGACTGGATCTGACAGAGCGGGCACCCTAGCGGAGTCATTGATCTTCCTAGACCAAAGTTGGCACCAACCTCAGTGCTAGCCTGCTAGGTGTGAGGAGCTTGGTCGACTGTCTGTTTGGGGAGCTTCTAATGAAAGTGGCGTTCGTCTCAAGTCGCCGCTAGCCGTCTCAGCCTGCTGGCGGCGAGGCGGTTCCCACCGTCATACAGAGTAAAGTCGCTGCATTCCGCGCGCCAGATTCCGAACGCGATCGCGGCCCCTGTCTCTCACCTGCCATTGGGTCCTTTGTTCGCCAATGCTATCTGCTGCCAGGACGCTGCTCCAATTGACGCTCGGGCCTCGCAGGGGCCACAACGGTCAAAACGCTCCGGCTGCAAGCCGTGGCTCTCGCAATTTTAGCTACTTGAATGTTTGACGTGAAGACCAAACCTCGGACCACTCAGAACGCCCGTCGCTCTGAGGTCTCGATCAAGGCCTGGACATGCCACTATACTATTTGCAGCTGCTTCCTCCATCATCTCAGCAAACGGTGATTTGACGACATCGCTTGTTGATTGCTCCTGGGCGAACCCGCGCATCATCATCACCGATCAGGGGGTTCGAGTCCATTTCCGCTGGGCAGGAGATACAACACCACCGAATTAACTCTACGAAAAAATTCAAGTATCCATGTATCGACATTGTCCACCCCTCCCACACCCCCCCAAAGGCCCGCTTTCAGCTTGTTGTTGGACAAATACAACCCTCGGGACTTGCCGCTGGTCCAGAATAGAGCGGCATTGCCCTGATCTACAGGTTTGCCCCTCAGACGCCGGTCACTGATGATACCAGGTTTCTAGGGATACTCATCTCAATGCTGCTGAAACCTCCCAGAGATCGACATACAGTGTCGAGAGAGTTTCCGCGCGTTATGCATGCAATAGAACTGAAGCGTGAACTCTGCAAACCTCCACCCTGCCGTGTTGGGAGGGTGAATTTGTCAAGACGCCCTGCCTTCTTGCTTGTCCTGGTAAGGCCGTACTGAATAGGCCTGGGGGTACCCATGTCTCCAGATCGATCTGGTGGAGTTCTTGGGCGTTTTGGGTCGACTTTTAAGCGGGCTCTTAGGTACGCTGCCCTTCCTTTTCCTGCCCTTCAACAGGGCCCATCTGACCTTCGACAAGGCGAAGTCTATGGACCCATGAGACAGAAACGGCTAGCGCTTGCCTGCGATCGCGGCGTTGACCTGGCGCTGATGGCCTGTCCCCTGGGGCCTCCCGTTCCTATTTGGCTGGGTACGGACTTTGCCCTGGGCAAGTGAGGTGGCAGGCTTAGCCGAAGAACGCTGCTCCATATCCTTAACCTTTTCCCATATCCTTTTTAGAGTTCACTCAGGAGTGATCCGGGAGGTACGGGCGTGGGTCCCCAACTTGGGCTCTGGCTTCTCAACCACCATCCACAAAGAACCAGCCGGGCTTCCGAAAGAGGACGTCGAGGATTCCCAACTCGCCATCCATGGCGCGATGCTAGCTCGTGCGTCCAGCGCCTCTTTCCCTTATTCCCCCTCTACGGACCACTCGACCTCTATCCGTACGCTACAGACATCGAATGACAGCAGGTTTCGAGCATCAGAATTTGACCCTTTGGATCCCCTTGGACCACCGTGCCAGAAACTCTTCTGCGTTTCCCCCTCACCAAGACTCGATTTGGTCTCGGATCATTTTTCAAGTCAAGCGCGGACCGGAGAGGTGAATCACCCGTAACCTTGACAGTCTATTGGAGGATCATCATTGAACATCCAAAACATCTTTGAATTATTGCCTATGAGCCGATCTTCCTCTTGTCGACTTCTTCAGAAAGCCTGTTCTTTCGCTTTCTACTCGACCATCGCACTCGCCTTTCAGAATTCTATACACAACCGTCGCTTCCAAACAACAGTTGAATGCAGAACTTCTTTCCTGTCCGTTTCTCCTGGAGATTTTAGTTGTGGATATTAGGTTGAGGGTTCCAACGGACCGTTCACGCCCACCCCCACCAACCCAGAACTCAGATCAAGGGAGACACTGGAGGCCATCTCATACATATTGCCTCCTATATCGACGGGACTCGCCCTCGGGAGACAACATTCCTGTCTTTGTGTGCGTTCTGTTGAGCAGAAGAGTTCGGCGCTGACCGCTGCCTGCGCACTTATTGCCTCACCAACATGTCCCGATCCGGCCGACGAGGCCCTTGGTTACCAGAAGAAGATGCTACGCTGTTGCATCTTGTCAGAACCCAGGGGCCGAACAACTGGGTTCGCATCTCTGAACACATGCAACACCGATCTCCCAAGCAGTGTCGAGAGCGATACCATCAAAATCTGAAACCCTCTCTGAACCACGACCCTATCTCGTCAGAGGAGGGCGAAGTTATCGAGCAGCTAGTTCGCGATATGGGAAAGCGATGGGCTGAAATTGCACGACGACTGGGCAACCGGAGCGACAACGCGGTCAAGAATTGGTGGAACGGTAGCATGAATCGCCGAAAAAGAAGCACAGGAGCACATGGTGCTGTTTCGAAAATGGTGGGCTACCGGACGCAACCCATTCTTGCATCAGCATCATCACATCCGCTGAAGCAGCTTTATCTACCAGAGCAGCTAGCGCTTCCGCCCTTCTCAGCTTCAGATCCCTTCCACAGGCCGGAAATTAGCCCTTCAAGCACTCTAGGCATGCGACCAGAACGTCGTTACGACCTACTTCCACGGCCGGATGGGCGTCAACTTTCCGTGCAGACCGATTGCAGATCTCTTCTATACCCAGGGGGGGACCAGCAGATTCTAAGCCCTCTTCAACCTCACTCGGCTTCTGCCAACCTACCCAGTCCCGGAGGGAAACCTCTGCTCGGGATCCATAACTGGTCTCCCAGTCGATTAGAGTGCCAATTGCCGCCTCTGAACTGGAGCGAGGCCCCTGTTCCATCTCCGGCAGCGACAGAAGCCTCACAAGGATCGTATCCTCTACAAGCGCCGTCGCTCGTGTCGGACAATCAGTCGAACTGTTCTATCTCACCCAAGACGGTTACATCTCCTCGTCCCGGCGGAACTGTGGGGAAATTGCCGTCTATAGACCTGTGGCCGGAGATGCATCGCAGAAACAGCACAGGTAACTATCCAGATGCAGAGATCGACGGTTCATGGAAGAGCCGGTCAGAGCAAGACTCGCAACCATATCGATCAGCGGAAAGAGCAGGTTCGGTTCCAGAAATCACTGTTGGCCTCGGCTTGCCGCGTCCACCATCGCCCCAGAATGCTGCAAACGACCGTCTCAGCCTGAATACGACGGCGAGATACAGCCCGTGCCCATCGAGCGGCAAGCCGAATTCACCGAGCGAGAAGGACACCCGTATGAAGGTGGCTCGGCTTCTTGAATGATCACCCCGGGAATCAAGATTTCTGCTTGATTCGATCTGGTCTCTAGTGACCAATTGTACCAACACGGCGGCAAGTCAGCCATCTGGCGCTGACTTCGAGTTTCATGAGTGGCAAGACTCTACGATACCCAAAACTGGAAATGGGAGGTGGCTGGGTGTTTTGGGTTGATGTTATCAAGAAGATCTATGCTATAGTATTGATTTAATATTGATTGGATTTGACGAGATTACTTCTTTACGGGCGGGACGGGAGCCTCAGTGTTTGGGAATGAGTTGTATTGATTTCTACAACGGATGTCCCAGTTGGACTTCCAGGGAACAGGTTGCAGGGCGAACTTACTGGGACGGTCTTTTGGTTTTGCGAGCAGACCTTGATGGGCACTGGATGGATACGGGCTGGATACGGGCTGGATACTGGTAGGGCACTGGAAGGGCACTTGACGGGCAGGCTTTTTCCATAGCTTGGGCACTGGGCAGGCAGGTTTGATTCAAGCTGGAAGTTCCGGCCCACAAATACTGCGGGCGGATCCAGAAAATACTCGCACAGAATCTATTGTTTAATTGTGACTTTACGTACATGGTGTCTTGCACGGACCTCGCTCCTCTCGCTGTCTTTGATTGTTTCTATTCATACAAACCCTTTCAGCCGCCGAATGCATGGCCCAAGACGACTACTCGCAGGACCTCGAGTGAAGTTGCCAAACACGATTCGTCTCCTGGCTGTCAACAGCTGGCCAGACCCTGGTCGAACCTTGCCTGTTTTTGCAGGCAACTCACGCATGCACGCATTCCTGCACCTCATCGCACCATATCTCATATTCCCTCCCTCCGAAAGGTGGACACTCAACCCTGTGGTGGCGATACCTAGCAGACTCGTTCGATCTCTCCGATGGGGAAGTTGGCGATGGGGCAGGCCGTGGACCAACGAGAGTCGTGCAAGTGAAGGGTACTGATACCATCGAAGCTGAGGAGGCGGAAAAATCCTGGTCCACCGTAGGCCGTGTCCCGTCACAAGGATCACAGTGGCAGCAGCACTATCGTTTTCCATCACTCAGCGGCAACCTGCTCTGCAAAGGACTGAGGCCGGCAAGCAGCCAATCACAAGGAATGGCAGGGATGGTGTCACAGCAGGGCCCCAGCGAAAAGATTTGAGAGATCGCCAAGCAGCGCTAGAGGTCAGATATCTCGTTCTAGCAGGGCCAACAAGCGAGGAGGTCGACAGGGGGACAAGGCTAGAGGGAGATCAGACGCGCTCACTGTCATCCTGACCGCTGAACGGCCCCGACTAGCCTTCCTGGGCAGCAGCCACAAGGAGGAAAGCCTACCAGGGCCACTTGGGGTCGCCGATCGGGCTTCAGCAGTTGGTCCCCGTAGCGGACAATTGGAGCTGACCCCAGGTCAAGCGTTGAACTCTAAGCTGGCAGCCTCTTCGGCACCACTATCCACCCCAGTGGGCTCACCCCATCCGCTGCCGACAAGATGGCCCTTGGATGGCTCTGCTGCATTCAGGGCTTTTTCGCTTGTTGGCCCGCTAGCAGTTGTCGATTCTTGTGCCGGCCAAGGCCACAGTCCAACCAACCTACGCACCTGACAACGGCAGAAGGAGCGAATGTGCCCCAGCTTATATCCGGCCTTGATCAAAGGCTTTTGGCGGACGTTGAAGAGACAGCCCACTACGGTACCTGGGTACCTGGGTAGCTGGGTACTTTCTCCTTTCCAGCTAGCTAGACGATTCCTCTTCTCCTGCTGACATGCCCTCGGTCGGTCAGTGGTCGCTCAAGACGAGGACCCTCTCTCCTCCGGGTCAGAGGGAAGTCCCAGGAGCTTGAGAGGTGCAACTCGGCCATGAAGAAGACCATGATGTAACCTGCAGCATTCACAAAGCGTCCCATCGACCCGTCTCATTTTAGGGACCGTTGGTAGATCAGTGGAAATATCCCTGCGCTAGGAGTGCCACCCAGAAGCTGCTTCGGGCCCTTTTCCATCCCTTCTTCCGGATGACGAAAGGCTCCCTCTGTCCCTAGTCTACGAAGAGTCACCTTTGGCGCCCATTTTCTATGCCGCCGCGAAGGCTTTGGCGCCGTTGAGCTCGGCCCAGAGAAAGGACGTTGGGCCATGGAAAATAAATTACTGTTTCAAGCCACGTCTCGGAATTGTCCCCGTGCGTCAGAAAAGATAACGGTGGGCAGAAGGCAGAGGCGGTGGGGTGGAAGGAAGCTTGTACAGGCTCTGGGGCCGAGTACGTGACCTACCTGCTTGCTAGGTGCAGCGGTGTAGCTACGACTAGGTACATGCATCGTGGCCCATTTAGGCTGTCAATAATAGGAGGTGTCATGCAAAGTCCCCAATCAACCGTGAGCGGGGCCTCAAATCGACATGATGATCAATACGTCAAACGAGTCTTCGCATAAATGCCGGAGGACGCAGGAGCTCGGAATGACTCTCCACCATTCTCGAAGACACAAGAGATTGCCATTCTTTGCTGACGGAGTTACGAGATGAAGTATGGTTTTCGAGCACGATCTGCGCAGTACTCGTACGCTACCATGGACACGGCGTCCATACCATGACAAGTCTAAGACTAGGCTGTATCGGACTTGCAACCTTCCACGAGGCGACGATCAGTATCGATTGAGATCTTACCTGGCTGAGATTGACACCTGGAATGCAGTTTGCACCGTGCCTGTATCCCATGGTATAGAGAGAAGGGGGAGAAAGACTGCCGTGTTCAGCTCGCACATATCCCAATGTTTGCCCCGGAAATGGCATCTCCACCATTTGACTGTGTCTGCTCGACCGGGGGAAGGGCTAGAGATCGGCGATCTTTGGAAAGTTAGTCTTCGCTTCACTATGAAGCGAGGCGTCAACGGGGCTGCGATCACGATTGACGGCCTGTTGCAGACCCCGGACTCATCTGGAATCAAGGCTCGCATAGCGAGAGATGGCCATGCCACCCACTGCCGGAAACAAGGTCTACAAGCGAGTTTCATTGGCCCCCTGAAACGCCACATGCCGTGAAACTGTCAACCGCAAAGAGGAATAGCAGCGAGTCCGCCCCCGAAACAGTTCCCCGAGGCTACCTGTACTCGCACAGGTGACTTCTACCAATTTGTACAGAATAGGGAGAACAGAACGCCACAAATAATGCATACGAATGTTCCGAGTACTCACCTGCCACTAACCCAACGACTTTGGGGAGCATTATTCAGTGCAAGGTCTCATCGATTCAAGGCACGACGTCAAAGAAGGGTCCAGAATTCCGATATGACCAAGGAAGCTGCATCTGATTCTTTTGCAGATCCATCATATCTTTCCTCTTTGGAGCAATGTCAGTGTTGCAATGGCCCATCATTGCCAGCCTTGCACAACACCCCCAAGGCCTCGGATAACTCCTCTGGCGAGTGCCCGTAACTCGCGAGCCGATCTGCACACTGCAAGTAAGCGAGGTCGTTCTTGTATCTCAAACAGAAATGATGGGCATCTGCCACGAGTCGACATTGAGATCGTCACAAGGCAACGTTACAGAAAGAAAGCAATAGAAGACCGAGCCTGCTCCTGCAGAATGACAGGGTTGATCAGCGCTTGTCGATCTACTCCCCCTTCTTCCCCTTCTCCCTTTCGCCTCTGCAAGGCCGAATTTCAGATATCGAAATCAAGGGTCATATGTCCAGCATTCCTCCAGCGTGCCCTTGTCTAGCTCTACAAGGTGACCGGAGACCTTGCTCGAGCCGTTGCATTTCACGTAAGCGTAGGCTTCCTATCAAGGGGCCACTGGGGCTCAACTGATCTATGGAGCGGGACGGTTTAATGCCTGCCATAATACAAGCCTGTCTGGTAAAGTCCTGGTCAAGGCGTGTGTCAGTGTGAGACCTTGATCTCGATTCTGGTGGTGGTTCATCGTAGCTTCTACGGAAGCTTCGGTGGCCCTTTCGCGCCCCCAACGAGCTTGGACCAGCTGCTTTCGCCTCGCCGGTGCCACGGTCGTTGTGGCGCAATTGAGCCCGTGGTTATTGGGACCGTTCAGCCGACAACCCTCCTCTGGCGTGGGTGCTTATTGGAACTAGGACCACTACCTTTTTGCCCCGGCCCTTACCTTGAAAACTGGCTGTTCCAAGCCCACAAGATCCCTCTGCTAGTTAGGCCGGTTCTTTTAAGTACGAACAATATGCAGAAACCGATTCGCCAGATACTGGCCTTGCAAGTATTTTCGGAACCAGAATCGCCACAAACTGTCGAAGCTGTACAAGCTCGTACGCAGGATGGGCTTTTTTCTTCGCTTTATCCGGTTTTCAGAAGACCTGGGCGAAGGGCCCCTTTGGTCTGGTAAAGCCTCGAGTGCACGGCGGAAGCGCGAAGCTACCTCCTTTGGCTCCCTCTGCAATCTGACCCTCTTCCAGGTAATATACGCTGCAAGTTGGAAGTGCAAGGACTCAGGCCTGGATGTCATACTTTTGTTAGCCTCAGGCCGCACGGGGCTCCCCCAAGGCTCGGCACTGCTTGCATTTTCCTCAAGGACGAAGCTATTCTTGTCGTCCTGGTGTACTCGCACTCCGTACTCCGTCCATGTGAACGAAATCTTGTCGCTCGAGCTCTAATGATCCTTCGTACGTGGCGACAGTGGACTCAGTCAGAGATTGTGGGCTTTGGACCATGCTCACCAACCCATTCCGGCAGTCTCAACATTACTACAAAAGGTGCACGGCGACCAACGACTGGTGACGAGTTCATCGGCGCCTTGTCTTATTGGGGTTCCTCCTTGAACTGGATTAGCGACCCAATGGCTTTTGCCAGGGCTCCTCTCGACTTCGGCTCACGGCAGCGGCAAGAATTGACGACAGGACCAGGAAAAAGCCAGAACCACTTCTGTTGCTACCGCCTCCTGTTGTTGTTGCTGTTCCCAGCGCTGACCGTCGTTGGCACGTTACGAGCGTGTTAGGGCTCTGCAGAACAGGCTTTGTGCCCAATTGTATATCCCAGCCCATACACCGTCTCGTCCGTGGA